TATCCACAATCAGCAGACGACATCGGAGGTTGCGCAGGTGGGTTACACATACGTTGCAAAAGTATTATCAAAAAGAACATAAAGCCCCCGTCGATGCGCCTCAGATATCATTGTCCGCCAGTCCTCGATCGTACCAAAGTGATGATCTAGCAGAGTCAGGTCAAGCGGGGAGTATCCATCCGCAGCCCAGGGGAAATTGATGTACGGTGTTCCAGCGAGATAAACGCCCTGGATATGGTCAATATATTGTTCACATCCAGTCTTCCTGAAACAACAGACGCACCTTGATCCCCATCCCCTGAAGATAATCGAACGTATCCACTAACCCAAGAACGTCGCCGCCATGGCGGAACTCGTTGGAGGTCAAGATATGTTCCCACTGTGTGCCATTTGCATTATCGTTTCGCGGATCACCATTTACAAATTTGTCGAGAAATATCGTGTAAAAGGGAAATCGCCAGTTCTCCGGCGAGGGGTTGTATGTGTGGCCATCCCACTGACCCGAGTAGTCGAGGGGGTGTGTCGCTGTCTGATTTTGATTGAGATTCCAGTTTGCTTCCTCTGGAAGATATGGCAGGGATTGTGCAATGCGTATAGATACTGCAACAATGGCAAGGTAAGGAGTGATGGAAGTAAGCAAATTCATACCGCACGGTAAATGCCACTATGGTGATATTCACAGAACACGACGTTCGAGCCTCGACTGCAAAGAGACAACCGCAAAGTGCATACCAAGAAGAAAGGGATAACTCATAGAAACAGAGACAATGAACGATTCATAGGGCGCAGATGCGCAAGAGAAGCATGTGAGAGATAATGAATACTCCGGAGCTGCCCATGCCAATGCAATATTTGATTCTGAGCGCGAGAATACCAATCACTGTTTTTTAAATTCAGCATAGACGTAGAATTAAGCGAACCGCTCGAGAGCCGAGCTAGCCTTGCTGTACAGCTGTACCGCCTCAGCCTCGATCCACATCAATGCATCTCCATACTCACGCTAAGCGGTTGAGCGGTTCTAATTTCGAATGATGGATCTCAGGCTGACATACACCATATCTGTTGCGCACATCGTTCGGGTATCTAGACCAGGTTCCAGGCCCCGGCCGGATCATGTCTCGTACAAATGGAGACAATCTGACATGCATCGGTATAGGACCTCCGAATATACAAGAGCTCCAAGCCGAGTCATGCCGGGAATCATCGATCATAAAGTGTAAATTATGACAGATCGGGTATTTCGCCTCATATAAGATGGAACACGTCATACCTGATACGGAACAGACCTATGAGAAAGGGTGAGAGGTGGATATGATGATAAGGGTATAGATCGTTGGCGTGTTGTTCCTGTCTCGTATTGCTTTTTGCTTTTGTTCACGGCCACTCCGTCACCGCTGCTAGGGCTGCGGCAAGGCGTAATTGATAGTCGGCAATTGATGCACTTTTTGCTTGACTAGGCTTGGCTGAAGCTGCCAATGCTTTGCTTTCAACCCCATGAAAGGTCAAGGGATCAAAGAGTCCGCGGGAAGGCCGAACTTCTCCTTATCTGACCCCACTGATGCTTTCCCGACCCACATGGAACCAAGCCCGGCTGTCATATTCGGATCCCCATGTGGGCCGGATCAAAGAATCGGGTCATGGAACAGTCAATTATCTCGCCAGTATTGCTGCGACTGTCTAAGGAATCGGGCCAGATTGTAATCAACCATGCGGCTCTTCCACTCCGAGGCCAGCAAATCAAAGTGACATTGACAATGATCGTCAATTAGGCTAGTGGACCCCCCAGGACGAGTCACTCGGGAACCCACCAGGGTCTGTCTGCCGTTGCAAGCCATCGGGAGATGAATGGTTCGAGGCAGGCCGATCGGGCCGACAGAATACATGACAGATCATTAATGTCTGTATTACACATACGGTACGATACACATCTGTAGCTCGTCGTAACTCTTTTTCATTCAGCATATATGACATTGTCAATTAATTCAAGTAACCTTTTCATTGTCTTTGACTCTATCTGCCATTTGATTCTGTTTCCCTCTGTCATGCAAACGCCACCAACAATGTGGTGGAAGATTTTGGTGGTTGCTGCCATTGGGACAGTACATGCGGCTTCCCGAGACCAATGGCTCGGTCGGTCGGTCTACCAAGTGGTCACTGATCGCTTCGCTCGATCCGATAACTCAACCACAGCTTCTTGTGATGCAGGACTGGGAGAGTATTGTGGTGGGAGCTTCCAGGGCATCATAAATAAGCTGGATTATATTCAGGAACTCGGGTTCGATGCAGTTTGGATCTCTCCAGTGCAAAGCCAGGAGTCAACTCGCACGGCGGATCTCTCAGGTATGGCGACCTTGGCTGTCGACAGATACAGAGAACTAAAGATTGATGGATGATAGCATACCACGGGTATTGGCCAAACGACCTGTATTCCGTCAACTCGCATTTTGGCACTTCCGATGACCTCCAAGCGTTATCTGAAGCGTTGCACGCGCGTGGCATGGTGAGTAGCCAGCTGCGATGTCTAGTCACCAAACTGACATGATAAAATAGTACCTGATGCTGGACATTGTTGTTGGTGACATGGCCTGGGCTGGAAAGGCCTCCACTATCAATTACAGCACGTTCAATCCATTCAATGATCAGAAATATTTTCACGACTACAAGCTACTTTCTGAGGACCCAATAAATGAAACTTGCGTTCTGGATGTAAGTCTTTCATCGCGTGTTATGAGAGCATTGCTAAGCCTTCATTAGTGCTGGATGGGAGACAACACCATATCGCTTCCAGATCTGCGAAACGAGGATCAGGAAGTTCAGCAGATTCTAGGCACCTGGGTTTCGCAGTTGGTTTCGAACTACTCAAGTATGTCTACACGTTTTCTATCTCTCCAACTGATTTAATGACAATCATCCTTTGTAGTTGATGGCTTGCGAATCGACAGTGTCTTGAACATTCCCCCCGTCTTCTTCTCCAATTTCAGCAAGTCAGCGGGCGTTTTCACTATGGGCGAAGGAGCCACAAGAGACGCATCCGGTTATTGTTCTCTACAGCCCAGTCTAAGCGGACTTTTAAATTATCCGTTGTGAGTAGCTCATCGAAATGAACAGAGGGCTTGTTGACACTGTTAAGGTATTATGTCCTCTTAGAGGCCTTCAGCACGACCAATGGAGACCTGAACAAAGTTGCACAGTCTATCGACTACATCAAGACATATTGCAAGGACGTATTCTCCTTGGGAATTTTCACATCGAATCAGGATGTCTCTCGCTTTGGCTCGTATACATCAGACATATCGGTAAGTCAAGTGCATCGAGTTTTTTGTCAGCACGTGTTGACTTTTTCACTCCTAATTAGCTGGCTCGCAACATTCTCACAATCAGCATGCTCACTGATGGTATCCCCATCCGTACGTTGCCCCCTCACAAATGGAAACGAAAGCCAAAGACACTAATGGAAACAATACAGTCTACTACGGGGAAGAACAGCACCTGTCAGGTGGGTTCAACCCTGTCAACCGGGAGGCCCTATGGCTTACCAAATACTCGATGAACTCGACCTCCTTACCTTTGCTGGTCCAGTCGCTGAATCGCATTCGATCATATGCGAGCGGCGACGGAGAAAAGTCCATGGTCGTCCCGAAGACAGGGAGCGACTATCTATCGTACCTCTCATTGCCAATCTACAAATCAACAAACATCTTGGCCATGCGCAAGGGATTAACCGGCAACCAGGTTGTGAGCGTTGTGTCCAACCTGGGCGCCAAGCCAGCCACAAAAGCCACCACCCAAATCACGCTTGGCTCCGACGGCACAGGATTTTCATCCGGACAAAATGTGACCGAGATATTTTCTTGCAAAACATTCGTGACTGATTCAAGTGGAAATATCTATGTGGACCTCAGCTCGGATGGAGGGCCTCGGGTCTACTATCCTACTGAAAGCCTGAACCGAAGCACTAATATTTGTGGAAATCATACCCAAACATCTACAGCCTCATCAGCAAGTCCAAACACTTCCACTGGCGCTGGAATTCCTTTATTCGGGTTGTCGTGGGAGAAGAGGACACTGATAGTAACGGCTGCATTGACCACGTCCTACATTTACGTCTCATTCGCTAGACCGCTATTCCTTCTGTGTTGATCATATCCTGTACTTCGCATTAGTTTTGAGTTTGTTGGTTGACGTTCTGTTCGATGGTTTCTGCAGTGGTTCTACTATAGACGAGATACTCCGTACATTTAGTTCTATTGCTTTCATATTACATCTCTTGAAATATAACGGAGAAAAAGATATATGTTTAGCCACTAGAGACTCTGTGCTTGGAGCAAAATTCCGACAGTCGCTTTAGACTGTTGGGCACAACCAGTAAGACCGCATACAGACCTAGCTCATGTGGTGAATGTTACCAGTTATGACCGGTATTCATTCACAGCTGTAAGTAACAATACATAATAACGACAATAGATTTTTTATTATGATAACCTCGATTTCCGAGCCCCGTCGGTATACTTCGTATTGTCTGCACTTCTCAACGCTAACCTAGCGCTGACATGCTTGTGGCCATTAGTTAGAAGTTTAATATTTTATTAGAAAGGACCACAGGTCATAATGTGTTTTGAAAGCTTGATTGGACAGTTAAGCTGCAATGCTCACTTTGATGGACCCAACAGAACAGGGCGGGTCGCTGATACAGAGATAGTCCTAGCAGTGCCTGTTCGTTGTTACCCTACGTGGACACCAGAATGGACCCTGGTTTTTTCAGTCTCTCCACAAGAGGCTCAGCTCATGTTAGAGATCATATTCTGCTTCTGTGCAAGGCTTGGGCTATCTCGTATTCTCAATGCGCTCAGTTTCAGCAGAAAGTTACTGGATTCTGTATTTAGATCTTTCAACAGTCTAGTTCCCAGTAGATCGAATAAATATATATTGTCTTTTCCCGACTAATAGTGGGACATTCTCCTCGGCACACTCCGTTATTTCCATAATTCCATTCAATCAAAATGCGTTACTCATTCACCATCACCGCCCTGAGCCTCCTCCCATCGGCTTTTGCAATCACTGTCACCAATCCTTCATCAGACACGTTGTGGGATTTTTCCACTGCCAAAACTATCAAATTCACCAGTGATTCTAGCGATCCTTCAGTAATCAGCATCATCCTTCGAAGTCAGGATGGCTCCTTCCAGACCAAATTGGCGGATAACGTCAAGACCTCCGACGGCGAATACACGACCCAGCCTAACCCAAGCATTTCCAACGGGTATGTAGAAGATAGAGTGAACAAAAAAGAACAACACTAATACCATTCTATCATGGCTTAGAGATGACTACGAGATCCAGATAATTGATTCTGCTGGCCAGCTCGCCGTCAGTGACATCTTTACTGTCGAGAAGGGCGCTTCGGATGATGGTACCACAGCCTCCTCTTCTTCCACCTCTTCTTCCACCTCTTCTTCCACGTCTTTTTTCACCACCTCCTTCACCTCCACTTCTTCTTCCGCGACATCCAGTACGGCCACTTCTACATCGGTCACCTCCACCCTTACATCCTCGGCAACTTCGGCAGCCACGTCGTCAACTAGTCCTTTGTCTTCCTCAGGCATGATGCAACTCCACACAATGTTACAAGGCGATTATACTAATACACCTTGTCTCATCACAGGCTCCACAACTACCTCTTCTACATCTTCTTCCACGACCACGTCTTCCACGTCTTCCGACAGTTCATCCACCAGTGCATCCGCCTCCCCACTGCCCTCGACTGGTGCTGCGTCGTCTCAGTTGAGCGCTTCCAGGGGAACCATGGCTCTACTCGGTGCTGCTTTCGCGCTCTTCATCATCTAGGTCATGTCCATCAGACACTATCGTGCCTGAAGCGTGTATACAATCGGATTTCGAAATAAGAAGAATCGGGAAAAAGATGTGTCATTGTTCTGTTGAAATCTCTTCTTCTTGAAAGCTTGTGTCGAGATGAAGCGAGAGCGTATAGACTAGTACAACATAATCTAATTTTGAGAGGGTTATATCGATATGCTAAATCGAGTTTAGCGATCCTGCTAGTTCGTAGAGGCTAGTTGTGTACCTACGTCCGAATTATACAAAAATAGTCACCTTACCTAGCTTACTCAGCCTTGTGAGCTCCACCTCGTAGGTCCTGTGTCTCAGTGCTTCGGCGAAAGCGGTATACCGCGGGATATACCGAGCTCTGAACTACTATTTCTATGTATCTCAATCCGTAAACTGGCATTTAGTCGCGAACGTGGACGAACTCCCGAGCACATAAGTTCACGTCCTGCATTGCAACACCGTGAACTATGCAGCCCAAAGAGGAACCTCCGCTACGCCACTTTCGACAGCGCAACACGGGCGTTGAATCTTGTGTGTCTACAACATGGCGGCAACGACAATGTTGCGTCTTATCTATAGACTAAAAAAAAAAAATTAAAAAGTACAGATCACAGGCTATGCAGCCGCCAAAAACCGTGTACTTGTGCCTGGACTCGCGCCACAATGTCGAGATCAGGTCTAATGCGTCTGTTCCTCCATTCCGCGATATGAGAGGTCGGTTTGGAAATTGCGGTCGCCATGTCGCCTGCACCGGTTGCGCAAAGTCGGTGTGACTAGTAAGTCAGGAATGCGGCTTATCGGGATGCCGATCTGATGATGTTGAATGAAAGCCGGGAAATGACTAGGGTAAGAGGGTCTGTGTGGTGATAGAGCGACGGGGGATAAGAATAACGCGCTCTTACCCGGCTTCTTCGCCTATTTATTGCGCACTCACCCTTGTCACCCTCGCGCAACGATAAAGTGGCCACTGCTTTTCGGTGGTCTATATGTTCCCCATTAATAAAGCTTTAAGTACATACGACCATAGGGTGTGGAGAACAGGGCTTCCCGTCCGCTCAGCCGTACTTAAGCCACACGCCGGTAAGTTAGTAGTTAGGTGGGTGACCACTAGCGAATCCTTACTGTTGTATGTTTTTTCTCTTTTTGTTACTTTCTCCTTACGTTTCTCATAGTTTTGTGCAATGGGGATGGCATATACGCATTGTGTGTTTTCATCGTACTTCGCGCGAAAAAGCGAGAGGCTAGATTATTGGCATTATGTCGGCCTTCCTCTGGACTTGAAGTCGTACTCCTGTTTACAAGATGCCGAGTCTACCACGCTAGCCATAAATCATGGGTTTAGTCGCCGCGGTACGAAAATCAAACTGTACATTCTGATTTCCCATACATATAACATCACATCCTGGGGACATAATCCATGACAAGACTCATTTTTACAGTGAACTTGAAGGCTTGCTACCTTCTGAAAGCCAATTATGGGCTGTCAAAGTGTAAGGTAGTATGTGGACCCAGTAAGAAACGCGCATGCTGAATGTATGGGGAAAGGTAGGGACTCTTTAGATGAGATAGCTACGACGGCGATGTTGTTTGCATTACTCGGCGTCTTTTATTCCCCTGTATCCTATTTTGACTTGCATCCCCTCAATCTATCTCTTCTCCTGTGACTTTCTATCCCTCGGCCTACCTTTTTGACGTCCGTCACAATTTAAGGCTATTTTCTACCCACCCACCTTTGATATCCCTCAGCCTACCTTTTTGACGTCCGTTAGAATTTGAGGCTTTTTATGAATCATCGCTAACACCGTCCAGCTTTCTTTTTTCAAAAACGGCATCCTTACTACCAACACCAGTGCCGTTTTTAAAACCTACTATTCAACCTACTAGAATCACCCTCCTTGTATCGTCTTACGTTATATACTATTATAGCTTCAACTCGCCGCACCAAACTAGTTGGCAATATCAACTATGCTCCTGATCTCATCGCCGCCATCGAGAATTCAGCCTCAAAGCTTGTTGGTTGGTATAGTTTCCCAACTACAGCCTCTGTACACAAAATCTACAGTCTCAACCCACACTTCAAACACTCTCGCGATATCATCGATCAGTTCGCAGCTAATCGAGCCAACTCCCTTGATCATCCAAATCTCTCCGCTGGCCATAAACATATCCGCTTCTCTATTATCAGACACGCCTTTGACAATGCCCTAGAATAGAGTTCTACTCTCGCTGGCTCTTAGCGCCCCATCGTTAGAAAGCACAATATCGACGCGTCCTGCCTCTTTGAGATTCGCACGCTTTAGTGGATCGTCCGATTAATACGCACCCGCAACACCGATATATTCAAAGCATTCTAGATCACCAAATCCCATTTCTCGTTTGACGCCTCGAGTACGAAACAGAGTTTTTTCACAGACACAAGCGTTACCAAGACGCCAACTAATCCCGATGTTTCTTACAGAATGTGGAGATCTCGTATGCCAGTGTACTCTCGTATATCCCAGAGATTATGGCGTTTAATTGTCACGCGGTGAAGTGTCTAGCTTCCCCTAGAAGATTCATTATTTCATAAATACGCCTATATTACGTATATGTTACTCGCTCTTTTGCGCGAAGACACTGATCATCTCCCTTGGGTGGACGGGATCGGGATTGGATTGATAATGGAGTGCCGGGTTAAACCTAAACAGGCTTAGCCCGCAGAGTAACAGTATTCTACTATATGACATATATGAAGAGTGCAAGTGCAACACTTATCTACGAATTCGTTTCCCTCATCTACTACAGTTGATAAAATGGCCACCGCCGGCCCATCTACCACGATCCGTCCAGATGATTTCCCCAAATTCTTCACTATGGGACGCCGGAGCGGGACCAAGCAAGATCTTGCTGGGCTCGAGTTCCTGACACACTGCCCCCCCGACCTTCCCCCCCGGCATCGCATATTAGCCCTCCTGGGCATTACAGACACAGACAACCTCGCTAGTCCTACTGAGGACGGGTGGTTTGCGTCAGACTTCTATCTGTTTCACTATCTCTTATCGCCACAATTTCCACGACGTATGTGTTTCCTCGTCCTGTTGTTTTGTTCGATCTCTGCTAACCTTGCGAGTATCATTAGCACCTAACCAAATATGGTTGACGTGCGAAGACCCGTCGGCCCTCGTCACAAAATACCATGAATACCTTCATGGTAACTCAGAAGGTGACCGTCGGGCAGTACTAGATGGCGAAAGACTTCTTGTCATCTTAGGGGCTGGAAATCTACGTCTTGTGCCACGAAAGGACCTCCTTGAGAGATACCTCAGCACACTCAAAGAGCAAGCGGCCGAAGCGGCTCGCTGGGAAGAGCATCTAGTCCTGCTGATCTTTGGACACGGCACCTCAGCCCATGGGATAGAGGTCGGAGGCTCTACCATGCATATGGAAGACCTCCGCCATGTACTGGAACCAATGTCTCACACCACCATCTTCACTACGTCGTGCTACTCCGGTGGCTGGCTCGTCCGTCCAGATATCAACCAACACCTGCTGAACACCACAGCTATAACAGCAGCGAGCAACGAGTCTGTATCATTGTCGTGGGCTGTCAGCGGAAGTGTTGGGCGTGCCAGCGGTAGCTTAGCCGCCTCCGCCGTTCTACGCTGTCTGATAGACGCTGAGGAGTTAACCGAGGAGACCACAAGGCATCCCACCTACATTGAATTTTCGAAGTCAGTGTATGACTGCCTGAAGGGGATGGGAACACTCGGTAATTCCCAGGAAATCTATTTCTCTGCGGAAAACGACGAGTGGGAGACAAGTTACCAGCCTCGTCTCGGTCTGCCCCTTACGTCATACAAGGACAAATGGCTGTCTCTACGACAGGTCCCCCCCCCCCCCCTCCTCGACCGGTGGTCCGGGGCCGGCGAAGACTGGCGGCCGGCGCCTCAAACGCCTGAAGTATCTCGCAGAAGAGTACTTTGCCGCAAAGCCAGGTCTGAATGAAGCCGCTCCGAATATTGGTCTGCACAATTGTCTCCAAACAGTTCTCAAGGGTGGTACCTACCCGAAAAAAAAGGTAGATGGCCTGACGGAAACCACGTCGTACAGGCTAGGGGCAATGTACGAAGCAGACTTTTTAAGGGAGCAGGCAGGGCTGAAGTTCCCCTCAATCTTCGGCATGGAGGTTCTCTGGCCACAAGTTACGAATGAGTCCAACAACCGAGAGTTGTACTCACAAACATGGAGATTGCTTCTGAAGCGGGAAATCTGTACAACTCCAATTGGGATCCGCTTGTTTTTCGCTAAACCCGTCCAGTACCTTTCAGTTGCGCTGGTGCAGTCATCCGCGTCCTGGGAGGTGATCCAGGGCCATGTGGAGGCTATGGCCTCCAAGAAAAAGGCCTGGTTTCGGTTCATCTACAGGGCTTGGATGGGAAATCAAGTCGCCCATGACGAAGGGGTGGTGAAGAGCAGACGGGCCTTCCTAGAGGCTTGCAAAAAGCTCAGGTATTAATCACGAACGACGCCGTCGGCACCGAAGACGCGATCGCGTCTTTTGAGCGTTCACCCTCTCACTGAAAAACCCACAACGATACCTATCCTTAATGTTCTAATTGCTCTCGAGTGTTACATGACTTTCATCGCTTAGTTCGTTTTCCTCCTATCTTCTTATTATACAATTATAGCTCTTATAGCTTATAGCTTTCCAATACAATCCATGTTGTATCTTTATGATCTCGTTTTCTTGCCTGTAGACCCAAACAGGTCATGAACTCTAGACGAGAATGGTAATGCTGATCGGGTGGTCGAGCAGCAGGCTCCATTGTGGCGCAATAAGCTGCAGCCAGTTTACCAGGGCAAATGGGCACAGTGTTGATGCCAGGCTCTTTTTGATGGGACAATCAAATGCATAGGCCATACAATGGTGCTGCTATATAGAGAGCAAGTGATATATATGATTTGGAAGGGGGACCCCAAACAAGGGAGTGGGTAAACAGTTGTGAATGGGCAGGTCTGTTTGTTTCAAACATACGCTAGGGCTCCAAATATCACACGGGTTTAAAATATTGTCACCGTTTGGAATTAGCTAATATATATATTTCCAAAGTCCACTTCCTTCATTATGAGGTGATCTAAAGATCAATATCACTAGCTGGCCGAGCAATATTCAATCGCCAATGGTGCCGATTGACTGGGTCCTTTTGATACAAATTGACTTCGAAAAACTTGTTGTGTGTTGTACACTTGAAGTTCTTGTACCTATGTTTGATGAGTTTCCTGTGCCTGTAAAGAAATCTAGATATTTTAGAAACATACGAGTTGAGCTTTTGGAAATTCCCAGTGATTAGATCTTGCTCAGTAACCTCCACGAAGTCTATCCGACCCCTAGTTGCTTCGGGGTGAGGGATGAAATATCTTTTGGCTTCGATAGCACCAAAATTGACTTGCCGAACAAATTGAATCGCATAAGGTGGCAGATTATCCGGATTTTGGAAGAATGAAGCTGAAATGGCGGAGAGGGATGATTCCGATCCTTTGGCCCAGGCAATGAACGGTTCAAACTTGGCCTCATGCGTGAGGTAAGCCGGTCGATAGGGCGAGGGAGAAAGGCAACAGAAAATAGAAGACATTGCTATAGAGATTAGTTCCCTAGTCGTTACAGCGGTCTATGATTGATGAAGAACCCCTTATGCTCTTGAGGCATGACTCCCTTTATATTCATTCCAAGTCGATTTCATCCATGTAAGCACCAAGTCATCTTTAATCAATAGAGCTTGGATTTGGAAGACCTTGCAGCAGCCTACGCATAGAATGACGAGCAAATGCGCTCTTTTCCAGAATCTTGCTAATGGGTGTGGCAGTTCGTGGCCCGATCGTGCAATCACCGTTCTCCATTTTGAGGCCCCCTTCTGATCGACTTCGTGAATGCCGAGATTTAGGTATCCGTCATCCCAAAATCTGTACGCTGATGATGATATCGCAGCTCGATTTGCGACATGGCTAATTCCCGCCAATCAGAACACTGCATTTTGAGGCCATCCTGGCACGGTCCCTCTGCTGGCTCGAGATCACCGGATACTCGCAGCCTTGGAAGGTAACTAGATACATACTAAAGACTGGTGGGTTATCTTTCGCCCGAAGAGCTTAAAAAGCTGATTATGCCATTTCAGATTCTTCTCTTTTTTTTTCTCTTTCTCAGGGGCAGCGGTCCTGTCATCACTCTTTACTCCAACCGCTGCCACTGCCACTCCTTTGAATTCTGCTTTCTGGTTCTCTCCTTCATTTTCGTGGTTGTTCGTTCTGAAGACCGGGGTAATAAAGTGAAGCTACCTGTTCCACTTTCTTCCGAGGCGAACTCATACCAGCGACCCAACCAAAAGTCACCGACCGACAGTCCTATTTTCTTGAACAACAACAACAACTTCTTTTGAAATCTGGACTTGTCGATCCAACGTGGCTACACGCGTCGGACACCACTGGTCCTCTTGCGTTTTCCTTTTCCACATCCCTACCCTGGTATCATGGTGATACACCCTATGATAGAGAGCAACATCAGCAGCAAGCCAACTTACAACAACCCCAAAAATATTTTCAAGATAACCAATCAGACAAAGAACATGTTGTTTCCGAGGTTGTTAGCTCATCAACGGCCGAACAGCATCCTTTATCTTCTGCCGCAGCCAACGTCTCTTTGCTATACTGCAAACACTGCGAAAAGAGATTTCAACTCCCTGGACGGCTCAAGTATGTTTTGAACTTTCTTGCAAATACCTCATCACGTTTATAATGCTAATTTGGAGTGTTTCAAAAGCAAACACATGAAAATACATACGCGTCCGATTAAATGTCCCATGAACGCATGCACCAAGCGCTTTGCAACCCTGAGAGACCTCACACGACACAAGCAATCAATCCATCAGGTTGATGGTGGCGGCAAGACCTATTGTCCTTATCAGGGATGCAAATATTTTGCAAAAGGAAGAAGGGAAGATAGTCTTCGGCGCCATATTAGAACGAAGCATCGATTAGAGGCTGAGTTTTATCTCTCAGGCCAATTCGGACATTGATTTCAATGTGTATAAACACATCTTTGATACAAGAAATTCTACATTGGACATCGTCTTTTTGAAGTTGGTTGATAACATCCCCCTCTCTTCTACTATATTATGATTGAAAGAGTCGATTAGATGTGTCGTCTTGACCCGCCGCCACAGCTTTAGCCATCATTGAGCGGGCCCCATCAAACCAAAGGTAACCAAGAGCACTTTATATGGTACTAAACTTGTTACGTGACGTTGATAATTGGCTTTTGTGACATCAAAGGGCAATTTCTTAAGATTCATCGAGACTGGCACAATGGGCCTCAGAAGATCTCTTGTGCAGACCTTCCAAAGAGAGCTCAACCGGCTAAATGCCAGTTACCGCTCGTCATGGAATTACCTTGTGTGGTCTCCATACCACGCAGGTATTCTCCGCTAATTGTATGTTTGCTGGGTACTCAAGGCTTGGTACAACAATTCCCTTCTAGCTAGATGTCTTGGCTAACTAATAAAAAAGGGTCGTCATGGATGTAATATCCAAACATTGACTAGACGGTGAAATCAAGATATTTGAATTATTAGAATTAGACTGATCGGATAAACTTAGACTCGCAATATCTACCAGGTTCCTTGGATGTCTTCTCTCCATCAGAATCGTTCGGTATTTGGTATGTGTGGCGACTTGGGTAGTGATATTTATTTTAGAAGTCTGCAGTGACATCGTACTCATGTTTCAGGTCAACAACAAAGATCGAATAGCCCTTTCGGAATCTGTTGAACATCATTTATTACTGGTTGTGAAAATTGCGCTTGAAACAAATAGTACTGCTACGACAGTCACAGTATCAATGAGGAGAGGCCAAAAATAAACATAAATTGGCTAAAATTGGGTATCTAAAACAAGAAAGTCAAAGAAAAATCAACATGAAGATAGAACATAACAAAGCAACAGAAATGTGTGAGCCGCAGTGGACTAAACGAAAAGGGTTCTCAGATAACAGACGATTACCTTCTGTGGGGAACAAACATGTACTCCCCACACACATACACTGAGCCAGTAACGCCAAACATATATCGCTACAACAGAATGAAAGAAAAACAAAAAGCTAGGATCTATACTCACTTCTCAGCCAAAGCAGCAAGCAATGAAGCCGATAATGGCGAGTTTGCCATCCTCGTAATCCGATGATCACTGTACCTGACAGTATTACCGGGGCGGTTTCCACCACCGCCCTCTATGGACCTGCTGCCAACATTTGTCCTCGTATTCCTGCGAACAGTCTGGAGTGCTCGGTCGGATGTCCAAAAAGGGACCCGATCGACTGTTTGGGTTCGGGATTGACTTTGCCCCCCAGCCCGAGTCGGCAGTTGCGATTGTGATAGAGACTTCGCTTGCTGCTCTCTCTCTTCTTCATCGCGACTTTCCTGCAGTGTAATTCCTGTTCTTGGCTCTCGAGAACATAGAATCTCTTTTTCCTTTTCAGGCGAAGACAAGAAAAGACCAAAGTCGCTCATTGTTTCCACCCCAGAATTTATCTCTTCACTGGCTAGAAAGTCGTCGGTAATTTTTGACTTATTTTTACTTGTGGAGCTTGGAGTGGGAAAGTTCCCCGACTGGGGTTCAGTCTGAGGCTGCGCAGAACCTTCTGCTCGGTGTGCAAGGGGTGATGAAAGGGGGCTCCGTGGCTTGCCGTTCATGTTCATCCTGTAGCTTGCTTGGATATTGATGATGTGGTGATGCCGGGCGATCTAGTAATAGCCTGATATTGAGAGTATTCGTTGCTGTTTCTGCCGTTGGGAGACCTGTCATATTTGGTGCTGCGGCTATGACAGTTGGTGTCGATGCTCGGGGTGGAGGTTTATATTGGGGTTGTGTTTGGTTTTGGTCCTGGTCCTGGCGATGTTGATGACTTTGGGTGTTGTTCCACAGGTGTTGAAGGGTTGTTTGAAGGAGGTTATTTTGCAAAGAGAGGCCGTTGTTCTGGAGTGAAAGATTGTTGGTTTGGTTTTGAAGTTGTTGTTGGTATGGGTTGATGGAGCCATATCGACCGGGATAAGGTTGCGGATGTCTGCCGTCTGGGAATCCGGGGTCAATTGGGATTTGCATCTGCAAAATGACAAAAGAGGATGTTAGCCCCTTCAATGGTCGCATACAAGCACTGTGCTAGCTGGTCGGATGGTGGGGATGCGAACATACCTGACGACTGAAGTTCCTCCCAGGCATAGCGATGTAATCATCGAACTGACTCTCTAGGGCAGCAAAGTTGAATCCACGGACTGGGTCCACAGGCTCAAACCGCTGACCAACCTCCTGTCGAAAGTCGACACCCCTTCTGGATGCAGGTTTATACGCAGACATTCCCAACATCCAACTCGGATAACTTCCAAACCAGACATCGATAACAGGCTCGACCTCGATAGACAAAGCAAGCCGGCTATCAACCGTTGGCTTTTGAATCAACATGACGAAGGTAAACTCCCGCGGCAGACCCGATTTCTGCAAGTTGTTCTCCTCCATTGACCAAACAATCTCGCCGGCCTCAACGTCCAAGCTAGGCCCTTGTTGACTCTTCAGGGTACGCGCCGACCCTTGGATGCGCATCATCTCGTACCGCCTGTACCTGCTGTTGAAGCTTCCCGAAGGAATCACACTCGCGCTCACTGGCATTTCTGAAATCCCCAGTGACCCTGCCAGACTGAAGGTCCATTCCATCGTCTCTGGCGAGACAGTACCGTAGATCAAACGTGGTGCATGCATAAGAAACCTTGGGTTACCAGGCGGATATCCATGCGGATAAAGAGGCGGCCGAGACATCTCCTGCGCACCACGAACAGCCACCTTAATCGAGGCAGATTTGAAGCGATGAGACAGAGTATGCGGCGAATGAAAAACAAACCCAATAGCGAGAAAATCAACATGTTCAGCATCCTTGTCGGAAACAGAGGCGCTGGAATAATGCCCATGTTGGAGGCGCTCCACGTGCGCAGTAATATATGCATCGCCAGGGAGGCGGCGCTCGTAAATACAAGCACGGTTGATGAGGAGGCGTGGATTTGCCTTGTTGGGATCGGGTGGCTTTTTCTCCTTGGGAACGTCTAAGATGGGGCTGAGAGATCGGGAATTTGACAACCCATTTTGGGCTGGTGTTGGTGTATACGCCATGTTGTGATGGCGGCCGTAGTGTAACAAAACCGCTTGTTCCTGTTGAGCGTTTTTGTTCGCTGTTCATCGGCCTTTGAGCTGCACCGTTTAGTATCGGGCATGTAAGTTAGAATTTACTATCTGGACCTATATATGATTTGAATAGACTATAAGGAGATCAGTTTTCTTTTTTACCATCTCTTGGCGATGATATTTTCCATCACCTGGAGTGTCAGGTGTTGGATAGGCGTCAGGTGAGCACTAGTCATACTGGTCACTGTGACGCGGCTCCCTTAGTTATTCTGTGGAATGATATTGTCATCTTCAAACCAATTCAAGTTAAATATTAGCCACATCTCTGTATTTTCACGTTTGTAGTTGAATGGATGTCGATCCTTGGGCGGAGACTGGGGAAGATATCACGGTCGGATTAACTATTCCGCCGGGCAGAACTCAACGCCTCGCGATCTCCAAAGTTCATCAACGTCAGGCAATGATCTAAAGATCGGTGGTTCTGGTTGATTGGATCTCTTGAAAGGTCTTTTCCTCTGTTTTATTACGCGTGTATGTGCCCCCGATTGGGATGCGTGACTCCGATTTCCGACCTATCCAGCTAACAACCCTCAGATTGTTCCCTGTAGTATAGCATATTCTGGTGTTTCTTGCGACTCTTGCGCAATCAGCTTGTTTGATTTGGCGTATTTCTCTCTTTGATTCTGCACCGTGGGATCTCTGGGGACCCTCACTTCAAGCAGACATTTCTTGTGCTTCCCCTGCGTCACCGGATCACAAAGTCGTATTGCACAGTCAGAAAACAACTGTACATGTGCAAAACCTTGACCAAGGCAACTGTGATACTTTGAGGCTACCGGCTTCATTCTCTACCTGGCGTGCCGAATCTTCATCTGCCAGTCTCTTCTTTTCATTTGTGTCACCATGATCGCCTCGTCTGCAGCACAGCTGCCCATTCGGGCGAGTCGGCAGTCATCTCAAAATTTGTTGCAGAATACACGGATTTCCACTAGATCAAATGTGTTTCGGGCAGAAGCTCTTCAGCGAAGTGGACTCCGTTGCATGACCACAACCCGGCCTTCCACATTGGGACAATTGCCAACTGGGTATGATTCATCCAGCTCTCATGCAATGTACAATCCTGACTATCTCCAGCGGTCTCAAGAGCTTGGGTTGTCCCCGGACTACCACTCTCATCCCACCATCGTTCTTCACGCAGCAAAGATGGTCCGGGTCAAAATCTCCCGAAGAAAACAAAACCCCTGAAACGTAGGTGCCAGCGTACTTCATGTCACGGCGACCAACAGTCACCTGGGACTATTGTGAACCTTGACTAATCCGAGGCAGATCTGAGACTCCCAAGAAGAAACCACTTCTCGCGAGAATTCCTCTTGCCAGCTCACACGAGAACATCTACACCGTCCCTAACATTCTCACCTTCTCCCGTCTGCTAGCTGCACCCGTGGTAGGGTATCTCCTGGTACACAACTACCACACAGCTGCGTTATCCCTGTTCGCATACGCAGGTATCACCGATCTTGTCGATGGCTATATCGCGCGGCGGTATAACCTCCAAACTGTGGTTGGAACTATCATCGATCCAATGGCCGATAAGCTGCTGATGACGATTGGAGTCGCGTGTTTAGCTGTTAATGGGTCTCTCCCTGGTAAGTCTCGTATTGTGGTTGGCATTGATTTTGTATGTTGACTGTTACATAGTTTGGTTGGCCGTCATTATTCTCGGTCGCGATGTTGGTCTGGCTATGTCCGCCATCTACTACCGCTGGATCTCACTCCCTGAGCCCAAGACCATGGCCCGATATTGGGATTTTTCGCTCCCTTCAGCTGAGGTGAAGCCTACCGAGATATCGAAGATCAACACTGCTCTGCAGCTCGTCCTGGTTGGTAGTGCGATCGCACTGCCTGTCGTGCCTGAGGCTTTTGTTAGTGCTTGGCATTTGAGCGAGGCTATGACTGGATTCCAGTAAGTAATCTTTCTACTTTTTTTTGATCCACTTCCTATTATCCATGCACTTTATTGTGGAAGACAAGGCCCCCACGGCCGACTTAAGCAACAACGAGGCGTTCTTGAGTACATGCGACCACAGGGTGTGGAGAACAGGGCTTCCCGTCCGCTCAGCCGTACTTAAGCCACACGCCGGTGAGTTAGTAGTTAGGTGGGTGACCACTAGCGAATCCTCACTGTTGCATGTTTTTATTTTCTCTCTTTTTGGTCTCTCCATGTTGTCGCATTTTCCAGCATATCTTCTTTTTTTCTTTACTAACCAAAATAAGGTACTTGGTCGCAGGAACCACTGTCTGGTCCGGTCTCAGCTACGTCTTCTCAAACAAGGCAGTTAAGATCCTCTCCAAGGAAGAGATCCAGAAGCGCATCGCCCAAGCCGCTGCCAAGCGCAAGCCATAATTTTCACCTAGGCTTTAATCCAAACAAGTTAGAAGTGTACACGTTAGAAGTGTACAATACTAAATCCTGTAACAGGGATATCGCATATGAGACATCAGAACAAGCCACCACCACACCTCGCTGAGAAATATGTAATGTTGTCGGGTTTTGATATATAGAGAAAGGTCGAAGAAGCGAGATCTGATCATGCCGACCGGGCATCCCGATCGCTAATCCGACTAATGAGAGGCTCCCACAGCGATACAGTCTCTGTAAAAAGCTTGGAGTAAGAGAAATAGATGCCCAGAGAAGTCTGAATAACTTCAATTTCATTGAATTCTCGTTGTGGTTGGAAGAAAATAAAAATAAAGATAATAAAGTAATAATGACGCGGGGTGGACGACTCGGAGGTGGATTACGTTATGCACGATATAGACGGTGTGACTCACTGTTCACCCTACATGCACATGTATATAGGAATCGGATATAAGTTACATATCGGAAGTAGAGTAACGGACATGTGAGAGATCCAAAACGTGGCTTCCAAACGAGCTGCAGTCAGCACAAAAAAATTGGAGTAGTTCCAGAACAGTTCGGCATCTGAAAAAAAAAAAAAAAAAAGGGAACCCAAACTGGTCGGATCCAGTCATAATCCCAGGCTAAAGTCCATGATTCAGAGCTAATGAATAGCTAAGCCGTATAAGCATACATAAGTGCTACCCGACGTCTAGTGCCGGTGGAACCTGCCGATTTCTCGGGTGCGCAAGTCATTGTCGGGTGTCGGCATGGGCCGCTATACAGTGCACTAGTGCGAGGGCCGAATCCATTGAGTTTGGGTGGTTGTATAGCCGATTACAAATTTACCAATTAAGAGTTATAAAGATAGTTTCGGAATTGTTTTGGCCGATGTGGATCGGTCAGATCTTAAAAGTCGCCGAACTGCAGGATTCATTGAGTGGACGTATGGCTCGAGTCAGGCTTCGTCGGTGGCGGCCTGATTCTATGGGTGGACTTATTCAGGAGGCACGGACTTATATTTGGGTGTCATGAATCACCATTTAGGGGTTATGCATGACTGCCCGGTACCGTTCTTCAAGATTGATATTAGTACCAAAATAGGGAGAAACAACAGCAATCTAACTAATATTAGGTCGATTTCCAATCAATAATTACCAATCAAGGAGTTCATGAGGTGATTAGATGTTAGCGGAATATAAAAGCCGATGTTTGCATCTCTTGGCGGTCAGCACGATAAGATAGGAATGAATATTCCGCCGGATGAGAGAGGATAAGCCAATCATAAGTCAGCATCTGCATTTAAATGCCCCACTAGCCCCCTAATCGGGTAAATTCCGGTATTTCGTCTAACTCCGGCGAAAACTCTTCGATGACGGCAAGTGAATAACACTGACTCATGCACTCCACTATAGCTCAGAATGTATCAACTGCCTATATCTCATCCCTGATTCGACAATTTCACCGTTCCAATGCCCACATGTCTGTCTTCTTTGTCCTTTTTGGGTGTCTTACAAATCGATCTCGGAGTTAATGGCGATTGCCAATGGCCCTTATATAACAATCCTTGCACGTCCATGAACTTTTTCTGAACTGCTTGTCGCTCACTCTCCACTCTTTCCTTATTTCCTTCCTTGTTTCCGCTGTATATACCCTAATCAGCATTCCTAATATCATTAATCTACCATTGATTGCCTGAGTAGAGCCCAAGGCGACATGGACGCCGATTTCCGTGCCATGGATTCTCACCAGGACCACTCCTCGTCCGAGTCCAGAACCTATACTACTTCCTCCTTTCAACAATCTAGTTTGAATGGACAGAACTATCAAACCGTTGCTCATCACCCCACTTCCGACGGACAAAACCACGCCGCAACCGCCGAAGAGCCCGAACAGTCTGCCACCACTGAACAGGTCATCAACCAAACTGCGGAACCCATCAAGTTGACATCGACCTCCTCCTCCCTGAGCTCATCCCTCGCCAGTGAAGATGGCCGCTGGGGTGAACAGGAAAAGGGCGAGCCCGTCTCGCGCCGCGGCGCAATGGAAGACCTGGAAGAAATGCGCCGGGAACTGACCCGTCTCAGTCTGCACCGCACCCGGTCAACTACCAAGAGTGCCCGCCGTTTGAAGTCACGCACTAGTCGTCGCGACGAAGAGAAGGGCAAAGAGGAGGAATCTGAAGCTGAGACCGAGGACTTCGATCTGGGTGAGTTCCTCATTGGCGGTCATCTAGAACGCCGGACCACCGCTGGCGAACCCGCCAAGAAGGTCGGCGTCGTCTTCAAGAACCTTACTGTCAAGGGTGTCCAGACTGGTGCGTCGTTCGTGCGCACTCTCCCCCACGCCGTGGTGGGAACTTTCGGTCCGGATCTGTATAACCTCGTTTGCCGATTCGTGCCGCAGTTGCAATTTGGCAAGAAGCCCCCTGTGCGTGATTTGATTCATGATTTCAGCGGTGCCGTGCGAGAGGGTGAGATGATGCTCGTGCTGGGCCGTCCTGGTGCGGGTTGTACCACTTTCCTCAAGGCCATTGCCAATGACCGGGCTGCCTTTGCTGGTGTTGAAGGCGAGGTAAGCTATGGAGGTCTCTCGGCTGAGGATCAGAACAAGCACTTCCGTGGCGAGGTCAACTATAATCCTGAGGATGATCAGCACTTCCCTTCTCTCACTGTCTGGCAGACTCTGAAGTTCTCTCTTATCAACAAGACTCGCAAGCATGACCGTGAGAGTATTCCTGTTATCATTGATGCCTTGTTGAAGATGTTCGGTATCAGCCACACTAAGAACACGCTTGTTGGTAACGAGTATGTACGCGGTGTCTCAGGTGGTGAGCGCAAGCGTGTCAGTATCGCTGAGACCCTGGCCACTAAGTCGTCTGTCGTCTGCTGGGATAACTCAACCCGTGGTCTGGATGCCAGCACTGCTCTGGACTACGCCAAGTCTCTCCGTATCATGACGGACGTCAGCAAGCGTACTACCTTTGTCACCCTCTACCAAGCTGGAGAGAGCATCTACGAGCTTATGGATAAGGTGATGGTTATCGACGCCGGCCGCATGCTTTACCAAGGTCCCGCCAACGAAGCCCGCCAGTATTTTGTCAACCTCGGATTCCACTGCCCCGACCAGTCCACCACCGCCGACTTCCTGACTTCCCTGTGCGACCCCAACGCCCGCCAATTCCAACCTGGCCTTGAGGCATCCACCCCCAAGACCGCCGAGGAGCTCGAGAGCATCTTCAAGAACAGCACCTCCCACAAGTATATCGAGGACGATGTCTCCAGCTATGAGCAACGTCTCCAGGATACCCAGCAGGAGGATACCCGTCGTTTCCAGTCAACTGTTGCTCAATCGAAGAGCAAGACAGTCTCCAAGAAATCGCCATACACCGTTTCTCTCGTGCGCCAGGTCATGGCCTGTGTGCAGCGTGAGTTCTGGTTGTTGTGGGGTGACAAGACTTCTCTCTACACTAAGTACTTCATCATCATCTCCAACGGTCTCATTGTCTCGTCCCTATTCTACGGAGAATCTATGGATACCAGCGGTGCATTCTCGCGTGGTGGTGCTCTCTTCTTCTCGATTCTATTCCTGGGTTGGTTGCAGTTGACTGAGCTGATGCCTGCTGTCTCTGGTCGTGGTATCGTTGCCCGTCACAAGGATTATGCTTTCTACCGTCCGTCTGCTGTCTCCATTGCCCGTGTGGTTGTCGATTTCCCTGCAATTTTCTGCATGGTCGTGCCATTTACCATCATCGTTTACTTCATGACTGGTCTTGATGTTGATGTGTCCAAGTTCTTCATCTATTTCCTGTTTGTGTATACGACTACCATCTGTATCACTTCGCTTTACCGCATGTTCGCCGCGTTGTCGCCAACTATTGATGACGCCGTTCGCTTTGCTGGTATTGGGTTGAACTTGCTGATTATCTATGTCGGCTATGTGATCCCGAAGCAGAATTTGATTTCCGATTCGATCTGGTTCGGTTGGTTGTTCTATGTCAACCCGCTTTCGTACAGTTACGAGTCCGTCTTGACGAACGAGTTCACTGGTCGCACTATGCAGTGTGCCCCGTCTCAGTTGGTCCCTCAGGGCCCTAATGTGAGCCCGGAGTACCAGGGTTGTGCTTTGACTGGGTCAACTCTTGGTAGAACTTCCGTTGATGGATCTCAGTACTTGACTACCAACTTCCAGTTCACTCGTCACCACATGTGGCGCAACTTTGGTGTCATAATTGCGTTTACTGTTCTCTATATCCTAGTTACTGTCTGGGCTGCTGAGTTTCTCTCGTTCGGTGGCGGTGGTGGCGGTGCTCTGGTATTCAAGAAGTCCAAGCGTGCTAAGAACATTACTGCTCAGCCTAATGGCAACGACGAGGAGAAGGTCGCCAACGCCGGTGACAACGCCACTCTCGCTCAGGGCAAGGGCTCTTCTGGTGAGGATGCCGCTTTCAACCGTTTGTCCGAGAGTGAGCGCTGCTTCACCTGGGAGAACGTGGAATACACCGTCCCCTACGGCAATGGAACTCGTAAGCTTCTCAACGGTGTCAACGGTTACGCTAAGCCTGGTGTCATGATTGCTTTGATGGGTGCCTCTGGTGCCGGAAAGACTACTCTGCTTAATACACTCGCCCAGCGTCAGAAGATGGGTGTCGTTACTGGAGACATGCTCGTCGATGGGCACAACCTTGGACCTGACTTCCAGCGTGGTACTGGTTTCTGTGAGCAGATGGATCTTCACGACCAGACCTCCACCATCCGTGAGGCTTTCGAGTTCTCTGCTATTCTCCGCCAGCCCCGTGAAACTTCCCGCACGGAGAAGATCGAGTACGTCGACCGTATCATCAACCTTTTGGAACTTGAGGATATCCAGGATGCCATTATTGGTTCTCTCAATGTCGAGCAGAAGAAGCGTGTCACTATCGGTGTGGAACTTGCTGCCAAGCCCAGTCTTCTTCTCTTCCTTGATGAGCCTACTAGTGGTCTCGACAGTCAGGCTGCCTTTTCCATTGTCCGTTTTCTCAAGAAGCTTTCCCAGGCCGGTCAGGCTATCGTCTGTACTATCCACCAGCCCTCCTCCATGCTCATCCAACAATTCGACATGATCCTCGCCCTTAACCCCGGTGGTAACACCTTCTATTTTGGTCCCGTTGGACAGGAAGGTGCAGCAGTGATCAAGTACTTCGGCGACCGCGGCTTCCACTGCCCACCTTCCAAGAACGTCGCCGAGTTCATTCTCGAAACCGCCGCAAAGGGAACGCAACGCAACGGTAAACATGTTGACTGGAACGAAGAATGGCGCAGCTCAGACCAGAACCAAGAGATGCTGGCCGAAATCGAACGCATCCGTACAGAGCGTAGCAAACTTCCCATCGAACAGTCAAACGGAACCCAGAACGAGTTCGCCGCGACTACCTTCACGCAAACAATCCAACTTACAAAGCGTCTCTTCCTGAACTACTGGCGCGATCCATCCTACTACTACGGCAAGCTCTTCGTTAGTGTCATCATCGGTATCTTCAACGGATTCACCTTCTGGATGCTCCCCAACACAGTGGCCTCTATGCAGGACCGCATGTTCTCCGTGTTCCTGATCATCCTTATCCCACCAATTGTCCTGAACTCCATCGTGCCCAAGTTCTACATCAACCGTGCCCTTTGGGAAGCGAGAGAGTACCCGTCCAGAATCTACGGCTGGGTCGCATTCTGCACTGCGAACGTCGTCTGTGAAATCCCCGCAGCCATCATCTCAGGTCTGATCTACTGGCTGTTATGGTACTACCCCGTCGGTTTCCCAACAGACTCCTCGACGGCAGGCTACGTCTTCCTCATGTCAATGCTCTTCTTCCTCTTCCAGGCATCATGGGGCCAATGGATTTGCGCCTTCGCTCCCTCCTTCACAGTCATCTCCAATGTCCTTCCCTTCTTCTTTGTCATGGTCAACTTGTTCAACGGTATCGTCCGTCCGTATGCCAACTATCCCGTCTTCTGGAAGTACTGGATGTACTACGTTAACCCAACGACCTGGTGGATGCGCGGTGTCCTCTCGGCCGTTCTGCCCGATGTTAAGATCGACTGTGCCTCTCAAGAAGCCACACACTTCAACCCTCCTCCTGGTCAGAGCTGTCAGGCTTATGCTGGTGACTTTGTGAGCCAGCTTGCTAAGGTTGGATACCTTGTCAACCCCGATGCGACTTCCGATTGCCAGTACTGTCCCTACAAGGATGGTGCGGAGTATATGACCAACCTCAACGTCCATGACGGTGACAAGTGGCGCTGCTTTGGTATTTTCCTCGCCTTTGTCATCATTAACTGGGCTTTGGTTTACTTCTTTATTTACACTGTTCGTGTGAGAGGTTGGGGGTTCGGTCTCGGCTACATCTTTGGTGGTGCTGGCTTGATCGTTGACCGTGTCAAGGGTCTGTTCAAGTCCAAGAAGAGTGAGCAGGCTTGATTCACTTTTAGATATTTCCTTTCCTTTCCTATTTCTTTCTTCTTTGACACTTGGTTCATTCCCTCAATTTCATGTTTAATATGCATTTACATGGAGCGTGATATTCCGTTGGTGAATATTGGATACATTGGAGCTTAAAAGCATACATAGCACTTTACTTAGCTATTAAACGAATGTTTCTTTTTCCACATTATCTCCTCTATTAGCTGTAGCATACCTACTTCTAGACAGTCGTCAAACACTGGGTAGAACAATGTATGACGGTATTTGGCTTGATGCTCAAAGAAGCTAGAGCTAGGAGGGAGTCGGGGAAAGTCCCTCTGACGAAAGCAGATATCTCATCCGCGTGATGCTTTGCACCCGAAGGGTCGACATTCGAACCTAGCTTATTTTTGCACGAGTCAAGGAATATAAAGCAATATCGAATCGCGGAACTCTACGGCCAAATATTACTGAGGCCGCTGTGCCGAAATACTCCTCGCTAAATCAAGACCTCAACTGGCCAGAAATAAAACCTACTATGGCACAGGGTCGTTGTCGGCACCTAATCTTGAGTTCCTTGACATTGCTTTCGGTTGCCTGAGAGTCTTACTCGGGCTCATAACCTGACATTTGGCCGATTTTTGTCGTATTGCATGGAAAGATGATAAGTATTCTTTTTAGCTGGCTTGCGCACTTGCTCACGTGGTGAAGGATAACGTATTAGTACAGCGAGTGGTCCAGGACAGCGGGTGGTCCACCCCGCGTCATTTACGCGTCATATTTCTTTCTCCCTTATTCAACCACCCACTATGCCACCAATTCGCTCTCAAAGCTCTCAAAAACGTACAGAGCAAGAGGGTAGGATCTTATTAGCTATTCAGGCTTTTCAGAATCGAAAAATAAGCTCAATTCGTCAATTAGCGCGCGATTTCGATGTCTCAGTCATAACTCTCCGTCGCCGTATCTCCGGCATCAAAAGTCGCGAAGAAACCCGCGCCAACAACCATAAATTGACTTTCCTAGAAGAGGAAAGTCTTGAAAAATGGATCCTCTCATTAGATAAGCGCGGAGCTGCCCCCCGGCCGAATACCGTACGAGAAGCGGCCAATTTACTGCTTAAGGACCGGGGAACTGAACCTATTATTACGGTTAGCGAAAAATGGGTATACCGCTATGTCTAGCGGCATCCTAACCTCCGTACCCGATTCTCAAGATCGTACGATTACCGGCGAGCTCAATGCGAAGACACTAAGCTTATTTTAACGTGGTTCAACTTCGTACAAAGTACGATCGCGAAATACGGCATCCTCGATAACGATATCTACAATTTCGATGAGACTGGCTTCGCCCTCGGCCTTACTGCTACTGCTAAGGTAGTAACTCGAACTTCGTACGGTCGGAGGGCTCTTTTACAGCCAGGAAATCGGTAGTGGGTGACTGCAATTGAGACGATAAGTGCGTCGGGGTGGGCGCTCCCGCTATACGTCATTTTTAATGGCAAGGTCTTTATGAAATCCTGGTTTACCGGCCCTAATACTTTACCGGACGACTGGTTATTTGCAGTAAGTGAAAACGGGTGGACAATAGATGCAATTAGACTTAAATAGCTTCAAAAAGTATTTATTCCATCGAGTAATAGCCGGAGGAAAGGGGTATATCGCCTCTTGATACTCGACGGATATAGTAGTCACCTTACGCCGCGATTCGATGAAATTTGCTCTCAAAACAACATTATACCAATTTGCATGCCAGCGCATTCTTCTCACCTTCTACAACCTCTCGATATCGGATGTTTTGGGGTATTAAAACGCGCTTATTGCAAGGCTATTGAGATGCAGACAAAGCTTGGCATTATGAGCGTCGATAAAAATGACTTCCTCGAGGCATATCGGACGGCGAGAATTGAGACATTCAAATCGGAAACAATTATGAATAGCTTCGCCGGTGCTGGCCTTACTCCATTCGACCCGCAGCGCGTTTTATCGAAGCTAAACATTCGTCTTATCACCCCCCCGCGTCCGACTAGCCAGGAAAGCGATTCAAGCAAAAATTTCACCCCGAAAACGCCTTATACGGTTAAGAAGTACGGAGACAGGCTTCATCTATTAGGAAGCTCGCTGCCGATGACCCCGGGCGTCTAGGTGAAGCGATAGACCAGATGGAGAAAGGCTGTTAGCTTGCGATACACGGCTTCGCTATCGCGAAACAGGAAATTGCCGAATTACTCGCTGCCAATGCGAAAGTGGCACGTAAAAAGCGGCGTACGAAGGCCCGAATAGCGCATGAAGGCAGTCTACTAGTTGAAGAAGCTGTATCGCGTTTTATAGCACCTAGAGAGGTTGAAGAAGAGAGACCTGATCAAGCCGGCGGGGTATCGCCGACGCCGAATCCGACCAATGAGAGGCGCCCACAGCGATGCAGTCTCTGTAAAACGCCTGGACATAAGAGAAATAGGTGCCCAGAGAGGTCTGAATAGCTTCAATTTTATTGAATTCGCGTTGTGGTTGAAAAAATTGAGTAATTGTAGTAAGTAAAATGGGTGGGTGGACCACCCGCTGTCCTGGACCACTCGCTGTACTAATACGTTATCAAAAAAAAGGTACATGTACTGTAATTTGACTTGCTGATCCTTCGTTGCAGGCAACCCCTGAGAAACTGGACTGAAGCGCCAATGAGTCATTATGGATGGGGGCCGCCCAGGGATGGTGTGCCCCGCGCTAGCAGCTAATCGGATGACTAACGTGCAACTTCATGACCGGAACTAATTAAACACATTTCATCTTTCTCCTTATTCCGACTATCACTGAAAATGGCCCAAAGATTGTCAGACATACTGGGCGCTTGTTCTTTAGACTTAGGCCCATACGAAGATCTCTACAAGTATTTCCATGCAAACCCTGAGCTCTCCCTGCAGGAAAAGGCTACGTCAGAAAAGATTACAAGCATCCTATCCAACTTAGGACCTTATGAGATTCAAACAAACGTTGGCGGCCACGGCCTAGTAGGAATTCTCAGAAATGGCCCCGGAAAGACAATTCTCCTGCGCGCCGACATGGATGCTCTTCCAATCAAGGAACTCACCGGCCTTCCATACGCGAGTTCAGTGACCATGCGTGATGGTGATGGAATCATCAAGCCGGTCATGCATGCGTGTGGTCATGATATGCATATAACTTGTCTCCTGGCAACAGCCGAAACACTTGCGAGGACCCAGGATTCCTGGAGTGGGACCTTGGTTGTGCTCTTCCAGCCGAACGAGGAACGGGGCGGAGGCGCTCAGGCTATGGTTGATGATGGTTTGTATTCGAAGATCCCCATGCCAGATTATGTTCTTGGTCAGCATGTTATGAGAATGCGTGCTGGTGCCGTTGGTTCGCGGCCTGGAACTATCATGGCTGCTGCTGATAGTTATAAGGTTACGCTGTTTGGTCGGGGTGGGCATGGGTCTCAGCCTCATCAGACTGTTGATCCTGTTCTTCTTGCTGCACATGTTGTTGTGCGATTGCAGGGTATCGTGAGCAGAGAAGTCGATCCCAGTGATCTGGGTGTTGTTACTGTTGGCAGTTTGCAGGCCGGGCAGACCGAGAATGTTATCTCAGATAGAGCTGAGATTGGCATTGATTTCAGGACTGTGAAGCCTGAGACTCGACAGAAGATTCTTTCTGCTGTTCAACGCATTGTTGAGGCGGAGTGTGCTGCTAGTGGATCACCAAAGCCGCCTATCTTCACTCCGACGAGGCGGTTCCCACCCACTGACAATGACCGAAATGCTGCTTTGAAACTGGCTGCATCGTTTGAAGACCATTTCGGGGAGGCTTTTGATGGTGATACCCCAAGAACTAATGTTAGTGAAGACTTCTCTACATTGGGTACTTCTCAGGGTGTACCGTGCTCTTTCTGGCTGTTTGGAGGCATTGACCCGGAACTCTGGGATAATTCCCAGCAAGATGAAGCTCTCATGGCGGAGATTCCTGGTAACCACTCGGCGTTATTCGCGCCCGTAGTTCAGCCAACCATGAGAACTGGCGTCGATGCGCTATGTCTTGCAGCTTTGACATTCCTGAGAAAATAGCTATTCACGGCCTAAAGCTACTTTAATTATGAAGAAGCCATGATTCTAAACTGAAGCGTTGGATAATGATATACTGTGAACTCATAAAAAACATTGCGCTTTTTCCCAGGACAGACCAATCAAACACCAGGCTATCTGTACTTAGGATACAAGGGTATGTAAGCACATCAATACCAAAGTACCCCTCACGAACCCCGCCTAGCATACTGAGGCTTGTCTGTGGAGGGTGTTGATGATACCTAGCTGCCGGTCTCCCAGATTTCCGGCGACGATAACATCTTTGTCGTGGATGAGCCTCGGTCATACCAATCAGCGTACTTGTTCGAAAGATCCACGTTCATCCAAACATGAGCCACTATGCGTTATCCCCTACGGCAGAAAGCCTACGCCAACAACTTAAAGCTCTTATAAGCTCGGCTGTCCCGAAGTCTACCACGCCAGGAGTAGAGGAAGTTGCGTACTTCGAGGAGCATAGAAATGGAGTTAAAGTTTATGGGGGCTTATCCATTATTCAGAAAGCAACCGAGTTAGCTAGGCATATGGATCTCGTGCAAGTATGTGCGCATCTTATTCCCTAATTTGCCTGTGCTCATAAATCTCTAGAACTGGGGTTGGAGCCTATCACAGTTTTCTCGGCCTATCCCGATTATAAACATATACGCGCGCATGTATCTTGTGCCTCTGTCTGACAATGTTACTCTCACTCCTGGCGTAGATTTGAAGGAGGGATTTTGCACGTCAGCGCCAATTCTGTTGTTTTGTTTATTTCTCCGGTATAATTGTGGTATAGAGGTTGTTTCATATGCTATTCGATGGGTGGGTTTGCTTACTACTGTTTTATATGCATTTTGGGCACGTTCTGTGGGTCCGTTCGAATCGTGTATAAGTTTGCGGAGTCCAAAGAACTTTTATTTCGATTGAGCGCAGCTTAAGCTGATAAAAGCTTGGTGCCAATGGCCCTCATGCATGGCTAGACATGATGTATATCAAACGGTACCTCGTGACCGTTGAAAATAAGATCTTTATCTTTACTAAAGCCAAATCTATTTCCTAACTCCTGCAACTGGTCTTCGGATAGTACGTTGTCCAGAACACATCCTATATGGAATGTTAGTCGACCACAAGCATTGGTACGCATCTTGTAACGGACCACTCTTACCTCTAACAATTTCACGGCTTTCTCTCCACTCTCTGACTCTTTCCTTCAACAAGGCGTTCGAAATCGAGGACGGGTAAATGTCATCCAAACCTTGGACAGACCGTGTATCCAGTGACTGAAGACTGGTTAACATCTCAGAGGTGTGGATATAGTTTCCAAGCCACGCATTTCGAATAATTGTAGCAATCCCTTTATGACTGGTGTTTATATCCGGCAAGATCAAATCACCATCATATATCGAGAGATTCGGTCTGGTCCCATGCTCGATTTCAAATATGAGCGAGCCCATTGCAAAGATATCTGTTGCCTCGGACAGAGTTGGCGACGGACCGCTTACTGGAAGCGGCATATCTTCAAAAACAAAGTTCACCTGACCAAAGGGACTCGCTGCACTGAAGTCACAAAGAATAGCTGACCCTTGGCTATCAAGAAGGATGTTGTCAATCCACACGTCGGCATGAGCAATGCCAAGCTTTTGGAGATGGCAAAGCGCTTCGGCTATCTCACGATACCACCGAATCCGCGTGGATTGTACAGCTCGCTCTCCTGTCGGTAATGGCTGATATCTCCGAAGATATACCCCCTCGGCGTGATCGGTATCAATCACTTCCATGATGTGAGGATGTGGCCACCGTTGAAGGAGCTGCAGAACATATCTTTCGTTCCGTAACAAGCCAGAGTGGAAAATGGCATCTGAGGCGAAGTGGCGATGGTCGCTTTTCAACTCCTTGCGTCCGGGCCTTTGATAAATGCGAGAGCTTTTGAGGACTATCTCTTCGTCTACCGCGTAGACTTGGCCCGAAGCCCCTATGCCCAATACTTTCAGATCAGACTGGAACAGTGGCCGCATAGTGTAAACTTCATGGTCAGACGTTTCTGAAACGTTGATTGCGTCCTTGAGATCCATATCCTTCCGCCTCTGAGAGCTGCACTCTCGTCAACAACGAAAATAAGCGAAACAGGACGCCTTAGACGCCTTTGTCGACGGATTTCCAGGAAGAAGGTAGATGTAATATGCAGCACCAGACATGGTTCTCGTTTTTGAAAACAACGTGCAGCCTCGTTAGTGTTGAAAACCCAACGTGGAAGGAGCCTTGGCGAGAGATAACACATGACCGCGAACACGTGAAGTGTTGCCTGATAGACAAGGCAAGAGTAGCGATTTCACCAACTTTCAACGGACAAACCAAATGCTGCTAAGATGAGGCCTATAGGACGAAGAGGCCTGAGGAAACCTAAGGACATGTCACGTCTGGAGCCTAGCTGCACAATTGACCCCACTATCGAGGACGCTCGGGCTGGGCTGATCCAGGTGTCCGTCGATACGATATATGTTCTTTTTCTTCGGCACCGAGCTCAGGAGTGAGTCTAATAAGCCTAGAGATAATGATAGGTTTGATATGGGCTATACTCCACAGGTCCTCTTGTATGAGCATCTGTCTCAGCAGCCCCGATGATCAGCCACACTTCCTTCCGATTGGCTTCAAAGTAAAAGATAGATGGAACACATCTCGTGTGGAACTGAGATAGGCGTATCAGCTCACTCCATTTTGCTGAGATGTGGCTAATTATGACGTTTGTTCAATTTTCGCCAACGCCACGGCGCTATTCGGTGGCTAGTGCTGACGGCTGTACGAGGAAGCCTGCCAGGCTGTCTAGTCTGGCGCAGTGACATGAAGTTTCTTTGCACTGGATTTTTAAAAGACAAAGTCAACCACAGCTTGAGAAACTCACAGACTCGGTTTCTCACCTCCTCACCTCAAACCTGCAATGAAACCCAGGGTTGTGTTACTGTCTATCTCCTTGTTAACAATTCAGACACTGGCTCTACAGCTCAGACATGATGAGGTTTTTTCAACATCTTCACCGGTCATCGATGGTGACCCAAGTCAGACACTAGGCTTCGTGACCACCACTACCACCACCACCACTTCGGCACCCACGACAGCTACCCAAAAACAACCATTCAACCTACCTGTTACGTCTGAGCCCCCTGATATGCTCGGCATCGGAGATATAAGTGACTTCTATGGTCCTGGGACCTGGTCTGCGTGGTTCCTTTTGATTTTAGCATCGTGGTCTCGAGTCCTTCGAGGATCAGATGACAAATTTGACCCAAACACATTGATATTTCTGTTCACGACCAACTGGGCCGCGGTTGCCCTATCCGGGACAGTGCATGCAATAAAAAAGATTCCAAAAGATTCGGTAACTTACAGCGAAGACTCAAACAAGCTGAGAGGCATGCTTGGTGCCGCGTTCAATGTCACTTTTTGGGGAGTTTTGCATGCGGCTCTGCAACTCTACGTTACTTGCAGCAGGTCTGATAATTTTCGTATCAAAGCTAGGACTCATCGCGTAAGGACTCTCGCTCTTGGCCTGTTTCTTCCATCGCTGGCCTTGATACGATCGATGCATCATGCAAGCAACGATTTAGTGCCAGCTTTGTACTGGCAAGGGATGGAGTCCTCCCACCATGTGTTCGTTATGGTTCTTGCAACTCCATCGGGAATACACATATTTCCTTTGATTGTTGCTTTGATATTCTACTTGGAAATAATGCCATTCCTTAGAGTGATTTCCAGGAAGTTAAAAAGAGTAACTGCTGGAGGCGCAATTCCCTGGGCGACATTGCGGTACTGGATGCAAATCTTACAGCAACTAATCTTCATTGTCGATCTTCTTTTACTCGGAGTCAGCACTATTATGTTTGCAATAACAAGGAGCCAAATATGGGCTCTTGTTCAATTTGTTGCAGGGATTCCATTTATGAGCCTCCACTTAATCTTTTTGGCCCCGATATTTGCATTTTCGTGTTTGCTGTGTGCCGCCGCGTATTACGCTTTCAGGGCTTACGTGACTCACGGTGTGAAGGCCTTTGAGTCTTGTTTCTTCATGCCGTGCGCTCCGCAGTCCATTAAAGAAGAAATTCAATCTTTTGCTTTGTTTGCGGGTATTTTGCTTTTTCTGGGGTGGGAAGTCTTTCCCGTTTTGACGAGGTGGTTTAAGGAACGGTATCAGAACAGGAGGGGATTCTTTCAAGACGTGGAAAACCGAATGTGGCAACTTGAATTGAGAATATTGATGAGATCAGTGTACAGTGGTAATGAAGCTTTTCGGAGGAACCGGAGTCAGAGAGAGGATTGACCGTGGAGCTTTTTTTTGACTTGACCGAGGAACGTGCTGAGAACTTTGGGCAGATCAAGAAACACTATCCTTACATTATGCGTTCGACAATACAACATTGAAATTAGCAGCTCAGATATAGCTGAATGGATATACCTGCTAATGAGAGCTCCTAACACTCTGTTTTGAACCTCACTTATACTTTCACTCCTTCTTCTACTTCTATTTCTACTACGCACGGTAGAGTAATTCAAAGTAATACAGTAGAGCCTTGGCTCTCTTTCTAGAAACTTACTCTTGGTTTATGTATCATCTGACATTAACGACTCAAGATGGACAACTTCGACCTCGATGGCAAGCAAGCACCATAGCCTTCATGATAATCATTACAGGTGTCAGCTCTGTTCGCTCCTCAACCATTTTTTGAACATAATCACTGATCCAGGTCACTGAAATAATATCTGCTTCAATCCCAGGACGCTCAGGATTCCCAATGATATCCAAGCATAGTATAAAGAAGGGAATGAACTGGTGCAGTAAAATGAGACTGGATTTAGGAAAGCTTTTAGTGACGCAACAATCATGTTGGAATGGGATGTGGCTTTTTGCATACCTTATTCCCCAGAATGCGTGTAGTGATGACCCGACGATAGACTGGAACATTTGAACCGATTTTCTGGAAATATCCACACTTTGAGGTGGTAGTTTGTGCCTGTTCTGGTTGCATTTCTTTGACTGGTGAAGAACAACGAGGAATTTGTAGCTGCTAAACACCATGTCAACGCAAAACCATGTGTCTACTTGGGTCTTGGCCATTCTAACAAGTTCGTCCTTTCTTAGGTCAGCATAGGTAACAAAATTCAATGGGGTACATCGTACTGTATTCCAGTCAGACATAATCAACTGCACCTCTTGAAGGAAGCTGTCGATTGTTGCATCGTGCAATACTGGGTCTAGATCTGGAGCCAAGTCCATCCAGTCCAGGTACTTCAGCACGACCAAGGCTTGTCGCATAGAAGCTAGGAAATGGATCTGGATAAAACGAGAGCCTTCATCGTCGATGCCAGTAATAGTGGGATCAGGGAAATTGACCTTCCAGGACCCAGCCGGCATAAGAGTGGGCTTGCCGAAGGACAATCTGAACAGACAATCCGTTCGAAGCAGGTGCCAGAACTCGAAGCGCTTTCTGTTTTTATCTGTTTCAATTTCGTTGATATTCAATCTTTCTGTGAGAGGTGGCTGGCCATCTGTTCCTTCTGGATTCCCGTCAACGGAGAAGTAACCCAATGCCTTGGCAATCTTGCAGGCGTGGCCCAGCATCTTCCAAGCCACATCGCTATCGCAGGCTTCTAGCGCCATTGATGTCTAATTTATTGTCAGTCTTATTTAATATCAACCAAAGTTTGGTCGATTCACTTGCCATCAAAACTGCAACAAAAAGATCGGGGTAAGCGTTCTGAATATTCTCTAGCCAAAAATCGCTGAGAGCAAGGCACTTTCTGTATAGATGTCTAATCAGACTGCCGTTATCCTTGTATGGTCTGGGATCCAATATAATCCCTTGAAGGCGAATAGTATGATAGATAATTTGTGAAGTATAGTCAAGCTGAACGTGAGGGTTATCGAGTAGGTCGGGGATGGATAGCAAGAAACCCTTCTCCAAGGGAATTTTGAATCCTTCGAATTGGTAGCACTCATAATAATCTGAGGAACACATTAGCGAACAGTTGATTTAATACAGAAAACAATCTTACTTTGAATGAAACTCCTTGTAGCTTCTTTGGGTATTTCGGGAATCGTTGGGGTTGGGTCAGCTGCTGCGTTCTGCAAATATTCAATTTCAGACATTGCAGCAGCGATGGCTCCCGTGCAACGTTCATTTTCGAAAAAAGACGATTCGACCGTTCGCAGATGACTGAAAACATTGGAGAAGAGCAGTGCCCGACTCTGTGGGTCTTTGATGCGACTCAAGATACTCTCAATAACGCTTGGTATGGTCGGAGCATGGGAGTTATCCGAACATAAAGGTTGATCAATATTGGAAGAAGACAATGATGTCGGAATATCGCCATGATCATTAATATCTGGAGACTTCTCCAACCCCCAGCGATCTTCTAGGCGTTCAAGGCGGCGAAGAACGTCTGATAGAACACCATTTTCATTGGTATCGCTGCTATAGTCCGTCAGTCAAACACGCCTGGGCTATTAAAGCCAGATCATAAGCGATCAGTTACGCTTGCTTCTTCGTTCGTGGCTTGCGTGGTACATATGTACACTCCGCACCAATAGATTCACATTTGTCACATCGAGGGGCGACTCGATCACATCGAATCTTTCTAGACTGGCAACGACGGCACTAGTATTTTTGATTAGACGTATGCTCTCATTATTAGCTAAAGAAGCTCACCGAAATATTCTTCAAGGGGGTCGTCATATCGCGTAGTTGATAAGAAGAGGTTGGAGAAGCGGGAATAGCAAAGTCCGAGAGTCCGCATACGAACTTGGAATATGTGGGTCCTACGGTGTCAGTTCTATTGGCTAAAAAACCACTCTGTTGCCTACATAGCCTCACTTTAGCCAGACTTTGCTCTTACTTTCATAATACTCTGTCCTTACTTTCGTCTTAGATGCATCTTTAGTAGGAGCTATAATTTTTGCTTGGTGGAATTAATAAAAGTATAAAGGATATATACACGAAACCCTCAAAGCGACCGTTTCGTTATATGTCATTTTTGCCCTACTCGACCTCTCCTTGATCGCGTCTTTTGTCGCATCTATTATACTTTTATTCAAGTGTCTCGAGTTGAAACTATCTTGCAACATGTGCTATCTAAGGAAATATACAAATATGGGTTATAATATGAAAAAAAAGCAAGAGTCACAAGCGGTAAAAGGGGGAAATGACTTATGAGCTAATGGCATCAAAAAAACAGTTCTACTATATGTCCGAAAGTCCGGGCTCCACTTTGCCCTCTTAGGCCCAGTCCTACCACAATTCAACTATATCCCGATGGGAGGCCTTAGCTATTCTATTCTTCGGCCTGGAGCGATCAGTGCACTCTACCTATCAGAATCAAATAAAATCGCCGAACCACTTTCCCGACTCTGGTTTCGTTTTTTTGCACCTTAAGCCAGTGTGCACGTCTGCCTTCATATATATATCTTGGATCTTCCCCTCTTTGCGGAATATGCTTCATCTCACATATTGAAACTACGCGTCTTCCCAGAAAGATGGGAGCATTGCAAGATGTGCGTTCACAAGAGACCGCGACTGGAAAAGCGACTACAATTGAAGAGTCATTTCTAGCATCCACAGATGATCATTCCAACGATCAGGTCATGGATCTCTCGAAAGAGACCCCTGAGGTTAAAGATGCGGCCCAACAGCCTACTTCACTCAAGGATTATTTTGTATGTTGTTTCTCGGGTGAGATTTGGATGTGATCCTGTGCTGAAACATCTCAGAGAATTCTATCGTATACGACCACGAAAGATCGCATGGTCTTCGCGGTCGCCTTGGTATGCGCTGTGGGGTCTGGTGTGGTATGTCATTTCACTATTCTCTTCTACCAACCGGAAGATCTGAGACTAACCATAGATCAGCCCTTACCGATCATGAACATTATCTTTGGTGGACTGGTTGGTGAATTCAATTCATATTTCACCCCCGGAACGTCGACCACTGAAGCCGAGTTCAAGAAATCAGTCAGTCGGCTGAGGTAGGCAACTAGTTATTTCACTCTGTCTCCTAGCAAAACTGACTCTCTGGAAGTCTGTACATTGTGTATCTCTTTATTGCAAAGTTCACGTTGACCTACTTCTCCATGGTAACCACCCAAGGCCCCAAGATATTCAACATTTGGAAGAAGCTGATCCACTAAAACTCAGTACTGCTTCCGTGTTATCAGTCTTCGAGTCTCCGCTGCCCTGCGACTGGAGTATATGAATTCGCTTTTCGCTCAACCAATCAGCAAGCTTGACCAAGTTTCAGCTGGAACAGTCGTCAATACAATCACCACTCTCTCCAACTCGATCCAACAGAGCGTATCTGACAAGCTGGCTATTTTATTCCAGTCTACCGCTCTTCTAATCGCTGCATATATCATCGCATTCAAATACTCATGGGCCTTGACCCTCGCCACCAGCTCTTGCATTCTGTTTATTCTCGTCGTCTGCAGTGTAACGCTACCCGCCATCTCCCAGATCCAACAAAAGACGGACAAGGCGGACGAAAAACATTCGGCGATTGCAGCGGAAGTCTTCGGCTCAATTCGAACCGTGATTTCGCTGGGAGCCGAAGCGCCTCTAACCAATAAATATAAACAATGGGTTATGGAATCCCGAGACAGAGGCCGGAGCATGGCTGTCTTTCTAGGGTTCCAGTTTGGACTAATTTTCTTTGCCATGTACGCCAGTTACTCTCTGGCATTCTGGCTTGGCTTGAAACTATACCGAGAGGGTCACATCCATGACATTAACACTGTCATTATGTAAGTGATTCCGCTACTAGTTACTATTTTCTCATTCTGATTAATCATGCAGTGTATTCTTCTCGATCATGATTGCAGTGAGTGTTCTTGGGAGTATTGCAGCCCCCTTGACGATGGTGTTCAAGGCAGCCAGTGCATCGACCACATTCTTTGAGATCATTGACGCAGAGAAGATTGCCGCAGGCGGCCTTCGTGATTCGGAAGCACTAGCTCAGGGTGATATTGTCTTCCAGAATGTGGACTTCACATACCCCACGCGGCCGGATAGCAAAATCTTCCGGGGACTAAACGCTCGATTTGAAAGAGCCAAAACCACAGCGTTGGTGGGTCCATCGGGGTCTGGAAAAAGTACCATTGTCGCTCTTCTAGAGCAATGGTATACACCAGAGCAAGGAAGTATCTTCCTGGGTCAACGAAAGATCGAAGACTTAGATGTCAAATGGTGGAGGTCTCAGATAGGACTCGTGCAGCAAGACTTGTTTCTCTTCAACGATACGATTTTCAAAAATATCTCATTTGGTCTTGTTGGTACAAAGTGGGAAAATGAGCCTGATTCTGTGAAGCTCGACTTGGTCAAGAATGCATGCAAAGAAGCATTTGCAGATGAGTTCATCGAGCGTCTTCCAAAGGTACGTCAGCTGTACTCCTCACGGTTGCGTTTCTCTGATTGTTAAAGGAATATGACACAATTGTGGGAGAGAATGGTACAAAATTGAGTGGCGGCCAAAGACAGCGTTTGGCTATAGCCCGAAGTATCGTGAAAGAACCTACTATTTTGATTCTGGATGAAGCCACTAGCGCGATTGACGTCCGTGGAGAGAAAATTGTCCAGGCAGCCCTTGATCGAGTCGCCGAAAATCGGACCACAGTCGTGATTGCACACAGGTTGTCCACTGTTCGACGCGCAGATCGCATTCTGGTTCTCAGGAACGGTATTAATGTTGAGGAAGGAACCCACGAAGAGCTTCTTGCCATAGAAGACGGGCTTTACAGGAAACTTGTCAATGCCCAAAGACTCGAGAGCGCCGCTGACGAGGATGACGAAGCCGGTCCAATGGAGGTTGCGGAAGTCTTGAAAGAGGAACTTGAAAGGTCCACTGCTGTCGTTTCTGAGCAGCAACAGGAAACGGACAAGAGGAAGGTAAAGCATCGTGGTTTTTTCCGAAGCACGGGTGTCTTCATTTACGAAGCAAGAACGCATTGGTTCCTTTGCCTCAGTGCTTCGTTGGGAATATTGGGTGCTGCGTGTGAGTCCTTGGCTTTGATTATGTTGCAGTGCTGGGCTAACTTGTTGTTAAGCTGCTTTTCCATTACAAAGTTGGCTATTTGCAAACCTCATCGATGTGTTCCGTCTCACAGGACAAAAGCTTAGCGATGCCGCCAGTTTCTGGGCTTTGATGTTCTTTGTTCTATCCCTAGGTATAGCCGCCTGCTATGCTCTGGTCGGGTACTCAGCCAACAGGCTCTCCATTGTAAGTGATTAGCTTCTTTCCTCACGTTAGAAAATCATGGTCTAACCAAAATTTAGGAAATCTCCTCGTCTTGTCGAACAGAATACTTCCAAAACATTCTGAGCAAGCCCGTGCCATTTTACGACATGAACGAAAACGCCTCCGGCTCCTTGGTTTCGCGTCTAGCCACTGACCCGAAGCAAATTCAGGAATTGATCGGTTTAAACGGAGTTTTCCCAATCATTTCAATCTGCAGTACCATAGGTTGTATCGCAATCGCCTTCTCCTTTGGCTGGAAACTAAGTTTAGTGACGGTGTTTGCTGCTCTGCCCTGCATCTTCCTTGCCGCATTCATGCGCATCCGATACGAACTGGAGTTTGAAGCTTTAAATACAGCGGTATATGCTGGGAGCTCCCAATTCGCAGCAGAAGCTATCGAAGCATTCCGGACTGTGTCGGCCTTGACCATGGAGAATTCAATCTTAGATAGGTACTCCGGTCTTCTGAGAGAACAACAAAATCAAGCTTTCCGCAAAGCTTGGATTGCGACATTGGTGTTTGCTTTCTCTGACAGTGTTGAGCTCTGCGCTATGGCACTTACCTTTTGGTATGGCGGGCAGCTTCTGGCTTCCAAGGAGTACCAGCCAGCCTCTTTCTTTGTCGTGTACATGTCGATCATTCTCGGTGGTCAACAGGCAGGTCAATTCTTTAGTTTCGGCCCAAATATTGCTCAGGCTACATCGTCCGCGAATCGGATTTTGAACTTTCGACCGGGCTTGGAAGATACCAGTGCCTCATCTGGACAGCCCATGGCTGACCAATCTCGCACCACTGGAGCTCAAATTGATTTTCAAAATTTAGGATTCAAATATGCATCACAGGAAGTCCCCTTATTCACGAGTCTTGACGTTAGCATCGAAAGTGGCCAGTTTGTCGCGTTTGTAGGCCCATCAGGTTGCGGCAAAACCTCTTTGATATCGATCCTGGAGGGATTCTACAACCCGTCTCGAGGGACTGTTCTCATAAATGGCCTGGATATCAGCTCCGTTGATCAAAAATCATACCGAAGATGCCTGTCACTGGTGGCTCAAGAGCCGCGACTTTTCGAAGGAACAATCCGTGATAATATCACACTCGGACTCGATAACTCCGAGTATACAGAAGAAGAGCTGGTGCAAGCATGCACCGACGCCGAGATTCACAGCTTTATCATATCACTTCCAGATGGATACTCTACAGAGCTAGGAATAAAAGCACAGACAGCTCTTAGTGGAGGCCAGCGGCAACGTTTGTGCATCGCGCGGGCCCTATTGCGGAAACCTAATTTGCTCCTCTTGGATGAGGCCACGTCGAGTCTTGACTCGCAATCCGAGAAAATTGTCCAAGCTGCCCTTGAGCGACTGGCGGCACGGAGAAGTATGACCATCATTGCGGTTGCACACCGACTGGCGACCATTCAGAAAGCAGATGTGATCTTTGTCTTTGGGGAGAATCTCAGTGGGAAAGGATCGCGTGTTGTTGAACGGGGCTCACATCAGGATTTGCTTCAAAATAGGGGGATGTATTGGCAGATGGTTCGCATCACATTCCTTGTCTCACCACTTGTGCTTGAAAACTTACTTACCATTTTTCAATTTTAGTGTCAAGCAAATGGGCTGGATCGATAAAGGCCGTCCACATACATTACGGCAAAGAAAATTTCTGGGAGGGAATGGCCAAATTGATCATTAGGGCCTTTCTAGGCACGTGCACGAGCCACCCAATCTTGTATTATAACATCCAACTCATCTCAAGGACTGAATATAATTTCCACTATGTCAAGGAAAAGGATTGTAGGGTAGTCGATACAACATGCAAGGTGAAAGTCACGGAATCTGTTGGTCAAGGGCAATTTAGGCCAAATTTTGTTTGCAGGTGATGGTTATTTCAGCATTAGAGGAATTCCTCATGCTTGAGAACTCATCCTCGCTCTTCTTTTAGTCCTTAGGTTTCGCAGAGCCATTGATTTTTCCATTCTCTTTAGGGCGTGGCCGTAGTAAACTGCCGTAGCGGTAACGAAATGTGCGGTCAATGCGGAATGGGAAAGCGTCTGCGACACGTGTATCTTACTTTTTTACCTCCCGAAATTGCTTTAGACCTAACTTGGCCCAACTCTTACATAGTTACAATTATCAAAGTGCTCTATCATCAAAATACCACACTGTTACTTACGTTGGCTCTGGTTCATACGCTAAACTATGATACTTTTCTAGTATAACCTCCTCGAAAAATCAAGAATTAAGCAGAATAATCGATATTTCTTATTACTAACCACCTTTTCAATTGGCAACTTTGGGGTGCAACTTTTACATTTAGTAGAAGTTTGCGTGATCAAAGTGTATACAACACTTGTACCTTTGGAGATTAGATATAATCACAACAGAAATCTGATGTTCCTTCTTTAGTTTGAGTATTTTGTATTAAATAACTGGCTATATATCAATTGACTATAGTAGTCTAGTATATAGTAAGATTATATTAATCAAAGGTGTTTTTTGGTAGTGTTAACCCTGATTGTGAATATCTATGATGGGGGTAGGATGAAACTTTTGAGGACTAAGGGGTAGGATTTAGGGTGGAAATTAGATTATTACTACGTTTTAGCTAGGGTTTCTGGGTTTTCTAGGGTTTCCCTACGATATTAGGTTCGGCGTATATAGAGGTAGGGCACTCTAACTAATTAGTCACCGTCTTGAAGTAAATTTTTATGCAATTGATATATCGCGTTTGTAATATTCACTATCTATAGTTATTTTTATATCGTTAGTTTCTCTATTCTCTCTTTGTCCCTTATGTACATTCTTATGCAATTTATTACATCGCAAAGTTAGTAGTCTAAGTTTGCATCCTCTCTTTACCGTAGTGATCAAGAGAATCTAAGCTATCTTACACTATCTAACTATATTTACTAGCCAAAGGATAAAGTCCGAGATCTCAACGGATCCCAGGATTAGTAAATCGTTTTCTGGGTCCTGTTGAACTTTTTCTGAGTCCCGTTAAACTGGAACTCGCGTCAAAACTAGCAGTTTTCTGAGCCTAATTTACCATCACCTACCGTTGTGATGTAAACCGAACAGTTAGATTGGAGTAGGAGGAAGTGGCATCATGGTTGAAAGCTACATCCTCGCGACAGGGCACATAACCTAACCGAAAGGTTACATTTGATCACTGAAGTGGTTGTCCTTTCGGTACAAGAGCTTCTCTCCGGATGTCGATTTCGTTAGGCGGTCATGTATGTATAAGAATAGCCTTGCTCTAACATTGCAACGAAACTCCATCTTGAATTGACGACCATCAGTAGTTGTTGCCAGGGATATATACCTCCACGAGCCGAACTAGCCAAGACGGGCGTGACGGTCTTCTGCGCGCTGCTTTCGCAACCGCGAAGCATACCTGACGCCAAAACCATGCTTCAAAACCTCGCGAATTTCTTCAAGATGTAGTCCCGACATTTCAGGGTAGAAGAGTATGATCATCACCCAGCCTATGAACGTCAGACACGCATAGAACCCAAAGGCGCCGGATGGCGTGATTCCTTTCATCATAGACCAAAATGTCGAGGATACAATGAGATTTGAACCCCAACAGCAGCAAGTCATATACATAGTACCAACGGCGCGAACCTCCATAGGGAAGAAGTCTGCACTCATCCAGGCGGTGTTGCCAATAGACACGCCGTAAAAGAGCACGAAGAAAATGATAAACACTAGAACGATGATAGCCGGTGTTGTAATGGACTTCGTTGTCACTTCAAGTGTTTCCAGGTCTACGGGGATGTATGCGAATGATACTGCGACTGCGACTAGGCTGGCTGACATTCCCCATGCTGTTGTTATCAGGAGACGTCGACGGCCGAAGGAGTCCACGACTAGCATGTTGACTAGAGTCATTCCTAGAATTGTTCCTGATACAACCAGACCGACTGCGACGGGATTGGAGAAGCCGACTAGTGCGAAGAGCATACCGGAGTAATACATCAGGACATTGAAGCCTGACATTTGACTGATGGTCACTGGATGATGTTAGTCAAGTGCCTCGCAAAAAGAGATGACAAACTTACTCAGACCACAGGCACACACCAAAGCACGGAAATAAGCGGAGTTGGTGTGGAGTTGATTCAAGATGGACCACCTGGTCTGGTTACCAGTAGAAGCCCGCGACTCCCGGACACCAGCTTCAATAAGAATGGTCTTGTCCTGAACCTGCTCAGGAGTTGCAGTCATGAAAATACGGTGCAGGACTGCTTGTGCTTCCTCATACTTGTCGTGATACACCAACTGGCGTGGAGACTCCGGGCACAGCGGAAGCAAGACGGCCAAAAGTATACTAGGAACGCCGCCCAAGCCAACCATATACCGCCATCCATTGGGGACACTAGAAAATGCAGCACCCAGGCCATAACTAATGACCCGCCTTCCAGTCATGCTAACATTGTTCAATCCGATCATGCGACCGCGGTGCTTGGTAGGTGCGATTTCAGCAATGTAGGCTGGCACAATCATTGCTGCAGAGCCAACTCCAAAGCCGACAATAAATCTACCAACTGCCATCTGTGGAACAGAGTAAGCCGTGGCTTGTAGAATCGCTCCCACTGTGAATAGAGCACATCCAATATACATAGGCGCTTTCCGTCCATATCGGTCGGCTGTCAGACCAGCAATGATAGATCCCACAAATGCCCCAGCAGAACACAGAGATGTGATCATCTCTTTCTCGCTTGCTGACAGCAGATGACCCAGACCGTCTTCGAGGTATACCAGGACGGCTGAGATGATTCCGGTGTCGTATCCAAACAGCATGCCACCGATAGAGGCAGTTAATGCGATGAGCCAGATGTACCATCCCGTGTCTGTATGCTCGATCTCATCAAGGTCGACGGCATCGTGAATTGTTGCTTTTGCCACTTCTATCTGGGTGCTGTTGGGCTTTAACTCTTAGTCTTTTTCAAGCGATTTTCGCCCGTCTTTGAGTGATGTAGAGGACATAATTCAAGTGTAGTAGGATTGTACTCAGCGTTATAAAAGCTGATGCTATTACGATCATTGACTAGGGCTGAATGCCTCCTTTATATCTGTGAACCAAGTCAAGGCATATCTCTACAGTCCATAATCGGCAAGTCTGCCCTGTGGAGACATGGAGATCTGGAGTAATGCGGGGAACATACTGGGGTAGAATACAGACAGCAATCGCCGCCGAGATTGTCTCGATTTCTAGTCAACGGCCCAGTCTTGTACATTTTCAGTCTTGGCGGCTAAAATTCCTTTTTTGGGTAACTTGGCCCCAAACTCACTCTGCGCCTCTGGTATGTTCTTATTGGCTGGGACTGCGGAATGATGCGAGTACAACCCCCTTCATTGGTGCTCGCTACAAATGACACCTTAATGAAGAATGCAGGTGTGGCTAGACAGTCGCACCTACCAAAGCAGGGAACACGCGCCGCCGTTTGCCTCACAGGGGGAAAGTTCTGAAACGATAGTATAACCCTCAAGCTCTTCTACGGCAAAAAGTGACGAGGAAAGGAGGCATCATCAGTCAGTTGTGCATGTGCAACCGGTGAACAGGCATTTCAGCTCCAAGGTGTTTATTCGACAGCAAGATGCATTTAGCAGATTGGCACCAACAGTAATCCAACGTGGGATGATAACCCGCTTTCTTTTTTTTGTGAGAATATGTCAAGCATGTAGCTGGTTTACCAGGTGATATGCTCGACTAAGCCAACAGATTGTTTTGATTTAATAATTGTTGTTCAGTCCTAACTCACCACATTCCTAGTAGACGCCGTCCCTTCATGTGGTTAGGCGCCTTCCTGTACAGAGTCAAGTTAGAGTACAATTGTGCCTAAAGACTCGTCCGATTGGCTATAATGCTTGTTCGTTTGTCAAAATCACCTTGAACTTAGACGCATAAAACACCGCCAATAGCCCTGCAACACAGTACACTATCTAATTATTTGAATTTAGGCGCTAACGATGAGGCTCTGTGATGGAGGTGAAGAAGTCGCGCCTATACGCGCCCCATGTTTTATCTGTTTGCACTCTGTATACTCGTACTATGTGCAGACTCGAACCATAGTATTCATAGAAGAAAAGCAGAATATTAAGATACATGAGTGAATGTTTGTCAAGCAAATATGAACTAAGATCATATGTAAAGACGTCCCAAGAAACCAGCCATCCCCAAACCTAGTCGTCATAAGCCACAATAACCTGGCGACTAACGACAATATCAGCCTGTCCGGGTCTTTGACCGTTATCAAGAATATCCTTCTGGCTATCGCCATCACTCAGACTGCCCCGTCGGTTGTTTTCGATGGCAGACGTGGTGGTGACGTTCTTTCCGTGCTCGGCGAGCTCATAGTTTCGTGAGAACATTGCGCCTCCAGTGCGGTGAGAGCTGAGTCCGGGTGACTGGTGGTAGTTCTTATAATCGGAGGTCTTGCGATCGCGGAGGATGCGGAATAGAGGTCGGAGAGTTGCGATATTTCCAACGATCATACCGAGGCCGTTCTCTGCAAATCCCCAGATGACGACGTTGGAGACCTCGTATAGGAAGTCGGTTTGGTTGGTGAGTGCGACGGTATATTTCAGACGGACACAGGCTGAAAGAGAGGCACTATGGGTAACAAATGTTAGCTGAGGGGCGAGCGAAGGAGGGAAATTCAGATTCACACACAAGATACCCAGGCCCATAAGACCAACGATTGATATTTTGGTGTTGCGGTTGATCTGCACGTTCCAAAGGAGAGGAACTGGCCTATTTCTGTCAGTCTGTTGTTGCAGATAGATATATCGGCAACTCTTACAAGAAAGCTGTCACCCAATCAGTGAGGATGTTCACAGCAGTACAGGCATAGTAAACGTCGGCAAGGACATAGCTTGGCTGACATTTGCCTCCATTGTCGAGGGCTTCTTGACTCCAGGCAGCTCTGTAACTAGGTAAGCGGGTTTCTTGCAGTTGGATCGTGGAAAGACCTACTCGACGGGAATGCAGTTGATCAGAATGAAGACCAAGGCGATAATGTTCATGACCACGAATGTGGCAATAACAACATATTGTACATAGAGGTACATCTTGCGACCTTCTGCGACTCGAATCAACATCCAACTGATGCTGAGCTTGATGGGAATGATCGCAGCGCAGTAGCCGACTTCGAAGATGAGGAAATACTTATTTCCTTCAGACGAGTACTTTTCATTGCCAGGCTCCGCAAGTGTCGAGTTGTGAATTCCAATTCCATTGAATGCGCCTCCAACACATCCTGCCACTAACACAGCAAATGGGATCAAGGCTCCTGTCATGATCCAATCCTCCATTCCCCATGACTTGCGAGTCAACCTGCAGTAAACTCGCAAGCCAAACGTCAACAGACCCAATATCGTCAGCATGATCGTGCTGCCAGCTAGAGCCGGGGCCGCATCGGTGTAGATTGCCATGGTGTTGTCAATGGCGATGTCACTCAGCCTTAGGGTGCTGTCAAGGGCCGGTTTGTCTCAAAATCTCGACTCCTGTCAACCTGGGGTTGAACTTTTTTGTGGAGCGATTGCAAGGGTGATATAAAAAGGAGGGTCTTTGCCACTGCCGATGGTTGTCGAGGCCTAGCTCAGCTAGTGTGATACTCTAGTGTTGTTTTAGGATGGCCGGGAAACGATGTTGCTGGAAAGCCGGCACTTCGGAATACGAAGACCCTCCAACCTAGAGTGATCGTCCATTGCGCTTGGCGGTCCGAAGGGGATACTGTTTAATAATTGGTTCTGCCCAGTTCAACCCTATGGAGATTGCCGATAGCGCTGCTGATTTGACGTGGAAGGCGTGGAACTCTGCCGCAGAGGAGAAGGAAAGTGGACGGAGTCTCCACACTCAAGCCCTAGTGTCGTCTAGACCTGAAAAAAGGACAGCCACAGGCGACTCGTAGATGATTATCGTCAGGAGTTGTTTCAGATGTCGCATGATTCGTGCGCGATTATCACAATTCTGCACTAGATCAGTTATGTGTTTAGCCAAAGTATATTCCAGCTTAGTCTGCAACCTAACGACTTGTGGACCAATTAATACCGGTAAATGCTAAGGATCTGACGCCAACCAGACTGCCGGGATCGAGTCGCTTATTCAGTAGATTAAGCCACAGGATAACGATCTCGTATTACTGTCCCCACAGTGAAGTCCCATTTTTAGAGGCAGGGCTATACGACTGGAGCGAGATGTTAATCTGGACGACCCATACCGGGGATTTAATTTGTTGCACACTGGCCGACCAAATTTACCCCTGGGTTTGCCCCATAGAGTCTTTCCGACCTCTATGGTTGGTCCTCTAAGCGAGCACTCTGGTTGGCTCGGACTGCCAAGTCCGCGCAGGCTTCCGATTGCTAGGCTCACCTACCATGGTTCATCGTAAGGTTGGTCTACAGCAAATTCCTATACAAGCTTAGTATATCTGTCTAGAATGAAACTTATGGGGGTACGGCTTTGAGGGAAAAAATATTCAGGCAAACTACTGAAGCTATGTGGTACGGAGTACGCGCCAAACATGTTTTACCAGGGATAAGAACGCGTGTTGAGCTCCTCTTTACAGCGCGACCAAGGCCAATCACTAATGTCAACACTATCAGGGGTACCATGAAGTTTGTATTTGCTATGGTTTGAGGACATACTTGGCCTACTTGAGGATGTCTCTTGCTTCAGTGGAAGACCTGTGAGCCGAGGTGACAATGGCAGTGATGCCAGCTTTCGGACCTTGCAATCGACGTGCTACAACCTACGAGACAGTATGCCATTACATTCTCTGGAAAGAGTTGCCACGCTTGTTAGAAGTGGAGCACCTTTCGAAGAGGTGGATACACCTGGGCAGAGTCTTTTTGGACATCTTCGTTGCCCGTCGGATTTTCCGAGCAGCTGTACAGAAAGTAGCATAGTGCAAATAATTGTGAATTGAGTGTCAGTAAGATACTAGAAAGAGACATATATGCTCGATTCAGTAGACGCAAATCTGAAAACAATGGCAAAACAGAAACAATGTCGGAAACGACTTGGGTAAAACGTGTGTGCAAGGGCAAGAGCAACAAAAACATACAACAGTAAGGATTCGCTAGTGGTCACCCACCTAACTACTAACTTACCGGCGTGTGGCTTAAGTACGGCTGAGCGGACGGGAAGCCCTGTTCTCCACACCCTGTGGTCGTATGTACTAGATGGAAAACTAAAAGGAATAGTATATCGCGAAATAAATTATCCAAACTACTAAGAGGGAGATCTTCCACGAAGAAGATTCCCATTGAACAGACTAAGATGTCAGTGAACAAAACGGCTGACCCACTTTTGGATGTCGCGTGACTAGGATATGAGCAACTGCCCTACTATCTTCACTCATCATCATCAGATATCGGCTTTCATAGATGCTAACATATCTATTTAATTGAGTATCAGCCAGGATGTATAGTTTATGATTTGTAACCTCGACTCGGAGGATATTCTTGCGTGCTAAGACGCAATCCATGTATATCTCGCGTGATATCAGCCCACCAACAAAGTAATAAAAGGCAGGTATATCCAAGAGATCAGACTAAATTTACACGAAGAAAAGTTCAGAATGCCCGAATTTATCAGCTTGACGTTCCCTAATGCTTCAACCGAGCTCGACCCTATCCCCAATGCATCCATTGATCCCGAATACCTCATACGCTATGCCCGTACTCTAGATGATTACGGATTCAACTATACACTTGTGCCTTATGATTCGTCTTCTTATGATCCCTTCACTATCGGCGCAACTATTTTATCCGCGACCAAAAGCATCAAAGTCATCATCGCCCTCCGGCCAAACACTTTGTACCCCACAGTGGCAGCAAAAGCACTAGCAACTCTCTCCCAACTAGGCCGCGGTCGAGTCGTCGTTCACTTCATTGCCGGTGGAAGCGACATCGAGCAAGCCAAGGAAGGAGACTTTTTAACGAAAGATCAGCGGTATGGAAGATTGGAAGAGTATATCAAGATTCTGCGCCGCGCTTGGGAATCCGACCAACCATTTGATTGGGAAGGGCAGTATTATCAATTCAAACAATTCAACAATAAAGTCTGTCCGACTGCTAAGATCGAGATCTCAGTCGGCGGTTCCTCAGACGAGGCGTATCGAATTGGAGGTTCGCTGGCTGATATCTTCGGGCTGTGGGGCGAACCATTGAAGGAGACAAAGGAGCAGATCGATCGCATCTATGCCGAAGCTGCCAAGGCCGGCCGTGCAGACTCCGATAGACCTCGCATCTGGGTGACATTCCGTCCTATCGTCGCCGAGACGGATGATCTTGCTTGGGCGAAGGCTCATCGCACATTGGATGCCTTGTATCAGCACCGCACAAACGGTCAGGGCAAGGCCCCTGTCAATGCAGCAGCGCCTCAGAATGTAGGCTCGCAGCGCCTGCTTGATATTGCGGCTCGTGGGGAGGTCCAGGATCGTGCGCTTTGGTATCCCACTGTTACCGCAACGAACGCGCGGGGCGCGTCCACTGCTTTGGTGGGATCGCCGCAGACTATCACTGATTCGCTGATTGACTATGTTGATCTGGGTGCTGATCTGATCTCGGTTCGTGGTTATGATAATCTGAATGACGCTATCGATTATGGTCGCTTTGTGCTTCCCAACGTTCTTCGGGGTTTGGAAGAGCGGACGAACGGGGCTTCGGCTTAACTATGAGACTTTGAAGTCCTATATATAACGTTGCTTCGCGACTAGAATGTGATAACTGATTATACCTCTTCTTGCATATTTCTCTGGGGAAGAGCACTAACAGAATTATGAAGCCAATGAAAACACTGAACAGCTTCCCAGCGTCTTTTTCCTTTTCATAAAATAGCATACTATCGATACAATCAGAGCCGGTAATTTCGCTTAAGTATGACCGCTGCGCGGTACCATGCTGAAGCCGAGGATGCGTATTCCAGGCTCCGGGCGGGAAATCAAAATAGGCTGTCGAGCTCAGAAAATGTGTGAGAAATATCGGATGTTCTGTTTAATGACGAAATGTTAATACAGATATTGTTACAGCGGTGATTTGGTGGTCATTTTACGCACTTAAGCCTCTTTCTAAACCTTGAAGTTCCCGTGGCAGAGCCGTACTATAATCGTACCTCGACAAGTGGGGCGAGAATGGAATTCAGCATGCAATATTTCACTCGAAAGAGGATCGATTATAATCTGAATCATTAGGCATGTCCCTCAAGGCCCTATACTGTCTTACCATCTATCTTGCCCTTTTCCAATACACAATTCCCGCTGTTGCTGCATCTGTAGTTTTATTATATGGAATGTCAAGCAATTTTGCCCAGTACTATCTCTACCCTTGGAGTGTATCACGCAATGTGTTTATTTCGATAAAAAGTACCGGTTTGCAGAGAAAGCGATGATAAGATATGAGAGGCCTAATATCATCAGTAACGTACATCAGTGATTTAGAAGTACTTACCCCATGCCCAGGTCATATATTTGAAGCCTATCAGAGCCTTGAGGACCCCGCCCAGAAGGGGGCCGATGCTCAGGCCAAGAGAGCTTGCAACATCAAGCATAGCAATAACCCTTGATGTCCCACCGTTGGTACCAAAAATACCTGGCGTTCTTTCCTGGTGAGCTTTAGCAGCAGCTATAAGGGATCTTTTATTAGTTCCAGAACAAGTTTTGTGGAGAAGGGCATAGCTTACCAGTGAGCTCTGCTGGTGCAATACCTGAGACAAATGGTCGTAATGTACCTATAGCGATGATGCTAGTTATGCAAATTGCCTTGTTCCTGAGCTGACCCATTGCTATCAGAACTGTGGCTTGAAGGATAGCGCCGAATACAGCAGGAATCCTTGCTCCGATACGGTCTCGGACCCAACCGGCGAGAGGACCGATTATCAAACCCGGAATGACAAGACCGGAAAACAGCATACCAACCGTGCTAGAGCCCCAACCGAAATTTTCCTGAACATACAGAGGAAGAGTAGCTTCAAAGCTTCCAGTAACCGTCACGCTCATGCCTGTAATCAACAAACATGTTACAACACGGCCGTCAAATAGAATAATACGCCAGAAACTATTTTCTTCAGACAGACCATCTTGTTCTTCGCCCGAGATCTCCAGTGGAGAAAATCCAGTGGAAGCAATGTTCGGCGAAGGTAACGCTTTTGGTGGAGGTTCAATCATGACAACACGCGCTATAAGGTCTACTGTAAGAACCAGAATCGGGACCGACCATGTAGCCCAGTAGCCAGTCGCTTCCAAGAGCAGCCCAGATATTACAGGACCGCTGATTGTTCCTGAGTTCGCAAACGACAACATCAACCCCATTCCAAAACCTACCCTATCTGGGCTCATATTGTCCGCGACAGTTGCAAACCCAATAATCCATACAGCAGATCCGGCGATGCCTTGCATCACTCGACCAAAGATAAGTATATGGATGGTATGAGCCCCTGCGACAAGACAAGTGCCCACAATGCATAAGCTTAGAGATATTAACAATGGCATCTTCCGGTCTGGGCTCTTGTCGGCAAGATGTCCAATTATAGGGCCAGTGACCACACCCAGAACACCATAAACTCCAAGAACAGTCGAGATTAACTCTTGAGCATGAGATGGGTCTGATTGAAGGCGGTTCATGAGCATAAAGTTGAGAATGGGAACTAGATATCCATATAGGAAAGTCTCTGTTTCATGTTAGTGTGAATTTGAAAGTGTCTATCTCATTTGTTCAGGTGTATATACCAGCGAACAGCGCAATTGCGATTGTTGCAAGAACGAAAAATTGCGACGAGCGCCATCTGTGGCCAAGAGAATATGACTTCTCACGGATTTCAGCCATGATGAGAGGCGCGCTTGAAACTTGAAATTGGACACCGCAAGGAACTACATCAGGGTTTCGGGAAGCACAAAGCTTAAGAGGCAAAGAGATCGGACATTCTGAAGAACCAGAAAGGGGTGAGATGAGGAATCAAGGGATTGGAAAATATGATGTAGACATGCAAATAATGCGCATGGCCAACAATAGAGTAGGACTTACAAAAAAAAGCAACGAAGAAGCTCTCTAAAGGGGCCATCGATCTCGGAGGGAAATAGCCTGTGCGATGAAGTCTTTACAAAATTGAGGTGATCTTCACAATGATTTGCAATTTTGGTCGATCGCTTGTAGTATCCAAAAATGATTGGCCGATGATCATATGCTTATTCAGAGGTTTAGGTTGCATGTAGTGATCCAGGAATAGCCGATCATTCGTATTGCAGATGCGGTATTCCTCACATCCCTTGCGACCACTGACCAGTATTTGGCTAGGATCCTCAATGGGGGGGGGGCTTTCTTTTTGCTCTTGGGTTATTTTGATATTGTATTTCTGTAAAAGGTATTCAGTAAGATAGTGGACAATACAAATTATTGCATGTAGTTCATCCCAATCGCCCTCTATCACATAGAATACTTGAAAACTTTTGTCTCAACGCTAACAGATTATCATGGAGTATACGCGTTATGTAACATCTCCGGTGATAATTCCAGCTTGTAGTTGAGGCTTAAAGAAGTACATCATGCACAGGTTAAAAGATATACCTTTCGCGCTGAGTGACTTTGAACCAATCAATCTGTTGACATATTCGGGTTTGAATCGAACCAGGTATCATCCTCAGGAGAGCTTGGTAAAAAGACAAATAAAACAGTTCTGCACCATGAAGACATCAACTTCGCAAATAATGTTAGCCAAGTTACCATGGTGTTTAGGAGCGGACCACTAACTTATAGAATACGTTACAGGCTAGCAAACCTTGTACCATCTTTGTCCCGACATCTCCTCTTGTTTGACATAATCCTTGTTTCCTTGCCTTTCCCTGTCCCTTTTCAACAAATGTTGAGTTCAGAATATCGATTGCATCTCTTCCAGCAGAAATAATCTCTATGATTTGCAGCCATTTGGAACTGTTTTGAGCGGAAAGCTCTTTTGTTGACTTGTCGCAGATTGCGCAAAACCTGGTCTGAGGAGTTTTCAATCGTCATTTCATATCCCTGCACTATACTGTAACAAGCGACAGTAGTCGTAGACTAGAGGGCCTCGTATAACAGGGTAATATCAGAGATTGAGTCCAAGAGGTTTGGATGATACCAACTGTGTTTGTGTGACTGCGCAATCGGACCGAGACCTCCTTAATTGAGCTGATTATATCTTCGAAACGCTGTCAATACCACGAAGATCTAACGGCTCTTTACGTTACTTAACACCGTTCGCGCACACGCAATACAATCAAGTTTCGGGGAAGAGCTTTTCGCCTGGCACGAATTGCATTTGCAGTCTTCCCTTACTTTCTCATCTTGAGTTACAATCAAGTCATTTTCGGAGGACTCATCTCGTTCTCGGGTTTCACCGATAAAAAGAAAACAAGATGAAGAGCCAAGAAATATCCCAAAAATGAATAAAGAGACATAAACTCCTTAGATGAAGGATCGATGGGATTCCAATGCACCGGTGACATGATGAGTATCTAGTCGACCTGGGTAGGCGAAGCGATTTCATGCACCGCGTTTGAAGTACCCCAGTTATTCATTGGGCGAATCATAAATGGCATGGGTGCCGGGGTACTCGCCACGGTGGTTCCTATGTGGTAGTCCGAATGCTCTCAGGCCACCAACCGCGGAAGGCATCTAGCTTGCCCACAGATGCAGATGTGCACGGAGACGAATCCAAGGCAAAGATAGAGCAGATGAAGCATTCTGAGCCCCGATCTGTAAAAGACCAATCAATTGAGAGGATTTTGAAGTATAAAGGGAGAATGATACAATTTTTTGAATCAGTCTGAGCACGCACTTGCTATCTATGGAGCAACTCCCTGACCTGAGATAACTTATATTTAGTACATATAGCCAGGTTTCGATAAAAACTCAGTTTTGCGGGTAGAGACTCATGCGAGTAACTGAGTGTTAGCTGCAACAGTAGAAGAGGTATGGAGCCTTGATGAAAAGCAGCAAACCAATTGGGTCCTCCCTTGAGGTCGTTGTCCAGCAATTGATGCCTGAGTCTCAAGGCATCAAGCGACATTTGGTGGCTCTAGGAACAAATCCTGCCTCATTTGTAATTTGAATGAATTTGAGCCACGTTCTAAGTGATTTTCGTCATACCCAGCTCATCTCAGCTCATCTCAGCTATATGTCGATACATCATCAGTGACGGAAGCCGAAATGGTGAGATCGGACTTTTGTGAAAGTCCGCGGAGTTTCGCCAACTTGCAACTGCGTACCTCCAAATCTCCATGGCTCCAACACAAAACAAAAAGAAATACGACATGCGTTCGATCATGATTTATAAAATTGTTCCATTCCCCTTTTTTTTTTTTTTTTTAATTGTCTCCCATCAATATACTTCATCTCCCTAGCACACCATGTCGTCCACCGACGGATCGACCACTCCCACCATAATGAGTAAACCCGACAAAGAAGTCATCTCAAGCCCAGGGGCTGCCGAAAAGGCGGAGCCAGAGACTGAGCCCACAACATTCTCCTCCACCTTCCAAGAAGCTATTTTCATCCTCATTATCGGCCTATCACAACTATTCTCCGTCGGCGGTTTAGGCGTTGCCGCCTACTCAATGGAGCAGATCGGTACAGCTCTCGGCACAAACAGCAATGGCCAGATGTCTTGGTTCCTAGCTTCATATTCCCTCTGTGGTGGCGTCTTTGTCCTAGTCACCGGTCGTCTGGGTGATCACTTCGGCCATAAGTACGTCTTCCTCTTTGGCTGGATTTGGATGGCTATCTGGTCTCTGGTTTGTGGTTTCTCCCACGACGTCAAGTTATTTGATATCGCTCGTGGAATGATGGGAATCGGAAATGGCGCTTTAGTCCCCAACTCCTTCGCACTGTTGGCGCGGGCATTCCCTCCTCTGTCTGTGAAGAAGAATATCGCCTTTGCTTTCCTGGGCTTCTGCGCTCCGTCAGGCTACATCTTCGGCGGATTGATCGGAGCTGCTTTCGGTCAAAAAGTCACCTGGCGGTGGGGATTCTGGTTCTGGGCTATCGGCTGCCTCGTTCTCAGTGTGGCAACCTTTGTGATTGTTCCTCACCGAATCGGCTCCCCGATCCCGGGACTGAGTCTCCGCCAATTTGACTACATTGGTAGCTTGCTCGGCGTGTCAGCCCTTATTTTGTTCTCATTTGCTTGGAATCAGGCTTCGGTCGTTGGCTGGCAAGAGCCATACATCTATGCCTTGCTGATTGTCAGCGTCTTTCTGCTCGTCGGATTTGTCTTCTCCCAATCCCGCGTCTCTGCACCTGTCCTGCCCAACTCCCTATGGCGTCGCCCTGGCTTCGCGCCAGTGGTCACTGCCATGGCATTTGGATGGATGTCATTTGGAATCTTCCTCTACTACACCACCGTCTATATTCTCACTATCCATAAGACCCAGCCGCTTGCCGCAGTGGCTCAAATGGTTCCGCTGGTTATTGGTGGACTATTTGCTACTACAGCTGTTGGGCTCTTCGTCGCCAAGACGCCTGCTCAGTATATCTTCGGCGTGTCCATGTTCTCCTTCTTCATCGGCAACTTGCTCATGAGCTTCGTGAACTACTCAAATGTCTACTGGGCTTTCATCTTCCCTGCTTGTTTGTTTGTTGTCGGTGGGCCCGACTTGTCTTTCGCCTCGTCTGGAATCCTCATTTCCAACGCTGTCCTTCCTGAAGAGCAGGGTGTTGCTGGATCATTCATCTCAACGGTTGTGCAGTACTCCATCTCTATTGGTCTCGGCATTGCCGCCACTGTTGAGTCGCATGTCAATGAGGGAGGAGAGAACCCTATTCTTGGCTACCGTGGCGCGTTCTGGTTGGGAATTGGATTTGCGGCCGTGGGATTCTTCGTTGTGATTTTCTTTGTTCGCGACCACAGATTTGAGTCTGAGAAAGGGGACCAGTCCGGCCCAGAAGCTATCTCCGAGACAGCGGAGCTGTGATTCGATTTGCCATATTTTGAGTCTGATTTTGTTTCTTTGGTCTTGTTGGTCGGTATTTACCAATTTGACCCAAATAATAGATACCAATAGATTGATCTGAAATATGATGTCTCGGTAACGGGAAATTAGGTGGCTAATTGGGTAGATGCTAGGCAATTTACCTATAACACGGGTTTCAGAATGTACCGAGTTTCCATAAAACATTGAAAAATTTGTATAAACACACAAACAAAAGTGTAATGTTTCCTGCGTCAGACACTTGGGAGCTACAGCGGGCGAAGACTGAGGTGCTGTATTCTTTTAGTTCTTGTTCTTTTTGTTGTTTGCGAAAGGAACGAGGGTCTCACATACATGGAAAATCTCTTTCGCGTCGAGGAAAAGAGTGGTTTGCTGATGCTTTATAGTTTGTTCATACCATCTATATACTGGAAGCAAGTAGTAGGCTGTCTGTAAAATTATTGTTTTTACATTGCTTCTCTTGCTGAAAACGTTCGAGTAATTTGTAAATATAGCAATGTATCCATAGATTTCCCAGTAATGTAGCGTCAAAACAAAATATGAGTGAAAAAAAAATAGTCGCAACAAAATGCAATCTAGTTCACATGCACACGCCAGTGCTCGCGGTGACCCTCAGTGAATGCAGTGCGAGTATGGTGAGTAGTAGCATTGTCATTGAAGATAAAGTCGCCAGCCTTCCACTGGTGATGATATACGACACGGCGGTCATAGAGCAGAGCAGTTAGCTTCTCGCAAAGCGCATCACTCTCAGCCTCAGGCCAACCGACAACCTGCACGATAGTTGGCTTGCTGCTTCCAGCGATGCACTTTGATTCGGGCCAAGGCTCATGAATACGGAAAGTATCGGCGCCGGTTTCTGGGTGGGCAGCGATGAAAGGCAGATGGAGATCGTGACCGCCGAATGCATCGTTGACTTCCGTGAAGGTCTTCCATTTCAGCGAGCGCAGCTCCTCGAGAGAGATAGTCTCAGGTCCTAGGAGTGGCAGGAGATTACGCGATGATGCGAAGAGTGTAGCGCCACCCTCGGACTGCGAGGCTGCGCGGTTCCGGAACATTTGGAAGAGAGGTGGGGTAGAGATCCATTCGCCTGTCTTTTCGTCCTGGACCATCTTGAATACTCCATCGTAGTGGAAAGGCATAGCCTCGCGCGTGAGCACGTTGTTCATGTTGATATCTGCGTTCTCGCGAACTTCGAGGATATCACCAAACGGCCATTGTTGAATCTCACCAAGCTGGCGTGCCTTCTCGCGGAAGACTTCTTTCTCAATTTCCATTGTGAACCCGCGCAGGAGAAGAGGTGCGGAGGATAGAGCGAGCCGACGTACACGCTTCATATCGACGTCCTCAAATTTGAAGGGCCCGTGCCCTTCTTTTGGACGGACCTGCATGCCACAAGGGAAAAGTGGCTCAAAGTCGACCTCCATACCTGGCCAGTTGAACAGGTCGCACTTGGCACGCAGCAACCATGGATGGCCTGCGGCGTTGTTGACCACCTCGAATTCGTTCATGTCGATTGTAGATGCGTCAACCATACGCAGGCTGGCGTCGGGCAGAAGTGCTATAGCCCCATGCCATGGGGTGATGAAATCAGGGTTGGTCGCAGGTGGAAACAGGTCAACTGTGATCTTTCCAACATTGTTGGACTCATGGATCGACAAGCGGATGGCTGATGGCGCAGCAGATTCCAACAAAGTTGCGTAAGCCTAAAGATGTTAGCCCCATCTGGTTTTACAAGCTGATGTGGCAGTTACCTTGCCTCGCTGGAGCATAGCATTCTTCAGAGCTGCAGGATGATTGCTCTCCGGGAGAGCCGTGTCGTAGTGTCGGCTGGTCGCTTGTCGGTTCTCATCCTCGGCCGATGGAACGTGGGACATTGAGTGATCGAGGTGGTTACGAGTCTTGATCACAAAGTCGGAATATTCCTCAAGAGTCTGAGCCTCCTGTGGCACAATGCCAGCCAGGGCTCCGGGGCGGGTGAATTCCAGACGGCGAAGGCCCAGAGATGCGGCCAGCTTCTGAAGCTCTTGATGGTAAGCGAAAGCATCGCTCTCGGCGATATTCAGAAGATCTCAAGAAAATTTAGCCGTGTACATCGTAGGATAGGCAAGATGAATGCTTACCGCCATAAACTGATGCGTCTGACACTATCACAACTTTAGCACCACCCTCGTAGATTTCGGTAATAGACTCGGCAAGTCCATTGAGCGTCTGCAAGGCGACTTCTTCGGCCTTGTCTGGCAGAGGACCAAGGGTCTTGCGCTTGCTTCCCTCGACTGGGGCCTTGAAGGGGAAAGCCGGAAGGATGAAACGGACTGCTTCTTTCTTGGAGATGATATCTCCGATCTGCCTCTCAAGCGTAGGGACGAACTTGGAGAAGCGATCGGGGACGGCAGTAGAACAATGGCGATATGCCGCAATGATAGAGACAATTTGTGAGATCTTAGTCTCGACGTCTGATAATGGGTTTCCAGCGTAAGGCATGTTGTGCTTTGAAGTATCAGAATGCTCTGTTATGCTTTGAGTTCATCACGGGAGAATCGATCTAATATATCATCATCTGGATAAATTGACGGCTAGTACTGCCTGGATGTCATCTTTTCCGAATCAATGTCTTCTCACTGTTTGGTGAGGCTGCGAGCTGAATGGAATCGCGGACTCCGCGGATGTCTTCCCAGGCGAGTTTCAAGGGCGCCCGTGGACTTGAAATGAGGATAAGACTAAGCCAGCATTTATCGGACTCCGAATACGAGATTCAATTGTCTGATTCATAAGCATCGGCTGGGTGTTGAAGAGGAACAAGAGGGCGTATTTATAGGGACACATTCCGCCTTATGATCTGTCACCTGCATTTTGCATCGCGTGGGCAGTGCTGTGATATGAGAGATGTATGGAAATTCCTTACCGCACATCAATGGCAATGAGCATGTAAATGGCAATGTGAATACTTCCTAATTTATTTCTAACTGTAGACGTGAGGACAATGTAGATGGCGGCAATCACGGGGCATTTTGGGGGCCGAGCCGAACGGGTTTAGTACGTGCAGGACATCCCTCCCAACTCTTCGTCTTACATCCCACTCAACATGGGCCCCCAAAAAGCTCACCCTGTCTTGTTCAAGATGTCGCGCCTCAAAGTTAAAATGCGATCGCAAGGAGCCTTGTGTGAGTGTGCGAATATCATGGGAATACCAAACTCATTGTTTCTAGCTGGAATGCGTCAAACGCGACTGCGCCCACCTATGTACGAAAGATGAGCGTCAACCGAGAGCCAAGCGAACCAAGACCCAACATACAGAGCAGAGCCCTAGCCAAGCGTCACCAGAAGAAGATGCACCAGAGGTCGAGGAAACAGCGCAGATCTTGGAGCAATTCGTGGATGTCGTTCCACTCCCCACATCGGGTGTGGCCCCTGACTTCGCCAATCGATACTGGGAAAGCCAAGATCCGCAGCGGGAAAACCAAAAGCTTGGCTTCATTCGAGATTTGGTTCAAGCTCTGCCAGAGTGGGATATTGTTCAACTCCTCTACGAGGTTTTTGTTACACGTTGTCAAGGTCCGCTGGGAAATGTGGTGCACACGCCAAGCTTCATGAAGCAAGCCGATCAATTGCGCCACTGCCTGAGTATGGCTTCCCCCGACACAGCCATCGCCAGTACACTGTCAATGGACGCGCTTGCTGGTTTGCTTCTTGCGGTGCCGCTCTCCTTTAAACCCACTTAGTCTAGCATTAGCTGACTGTTTCCACGCAGCTCGTGCTCGGACTCGCCTTTCATCCAACCCCGTCCCTCCTGGGGGTACAGCTCACCCCTTTGACTTTCCGTGTAGAACAATTGCGCGCCTCCGATGAGCCTGCAGCGACATGGCGGTCCCTTGGCGTACGGTGTCTGCAAGGTGGCATTTCCCTCTTTTGCGGCTCTATCTCCAGCTTGCAGGCAGCCATCATGCTTCTTTTGGATACAAAAGAGACCTCTTTGGAGCTTGATGCTGTGTTGGTCACCGCTATTGCGGGCGCGCGCAAACTTGGATTGCACCGCTTGGGCAATGCCAGTTTGGACGTCTCACCTTCCTTAAACTACGGATCTGCGACCGCTGACCCCCCTCAAATTCGCACCGAGGTTGCGATTCGCATTTGGTACGGACCTGAATTCCTTTTTTCTTAGTCGAGGCGACGCGCTCATGAGTTAATAGGTGGACTCTTGTCATGCGAGACTGGTCGCGCGGACAAGCTCTGGGCTACTATACCATCCGCCCCTCACAATATAATACCCGCATGCCGTTTCACATCAATGACGACGATCTGCTCAGGACACATGGCAAGATTCCTGAGCGCCCTCGGTCTGAATTTACCATGCTCTCCTATACGATACACGCGTTGGAACTGTCCATCATTGTGCGAGAGTCAATTGATCTTGGGGACGTCGCAAACGAAGCTTCTCAGCGACGTCAGCATCTAAATCAAAAATACGAAAAATACGTGGCAAGCTTGCCGTCCTACTTTAGATTGGGAAGCACTGTCGGACTTACAGCCATGGGTCCCATGGCCGCCATCCCGGTCCAGCGATTCATGTTACATCAACAGTTGTGGAGTTTACTCCTTCGCCTCCACCGAGCGACTCTCTCCACTCCCATGGGCCGGGCATCCTGCCAGCAGCTGGCTCATAACATTATCAATACGCAAGCCCAAATTCAAGCTCGCTGCACAGTCTGTGGCTCATTGTCCACGAACGAAACGCAACTGTTCAATGCGACCGTGGTTCTAGTCTTGGGTCTGCTATTTGATTCCCCTTCGACTGAGGCTGAGCGCTCGAGTGCCCAACTTAGTCGGCTCATGACGCGAGACCACATCCGAGAAGCCATTGAATTGCTGCGTACCAAAACCTCACCTGACACATGCTCTGGCGATGTTACGCCCAAGGACCCGCTCCATGGCTCGGCATCGCGTAGTGTTGTGGCCCTTGAGGCACTGATGAAGTTGGAAGAAAATTCAGGTGATGATATTAAGTACAATACGGCATCGAACCAGAAGCTTCCCCTCCGCCACCAGGTAGGAGAGATCCTGAAGAACCTGAATACCCAAAATACGCCAACAGACTCACCCGCTCCGGGACTATTGACGTCGACTCCTGGTGACACCTCGTTGACCCTATCAATGCCTGTCGCAGACGGTTTCCCCGATCTAGATGTAATGCCCATTCTTTCCAATGGCCTGAGTCCGAATATGTGGGATTTTTTGGACTTCCAGATACCGGAAGATGTAGTAAAAGAGAAGTCGCCTATGGCCGGAGATATTTACGGGGCTTTGGGCTTTACCAACGCATTGTACCCAAGTCAGAGCAGTAGTCTTTCGGGGACGCGCTTGACACATGAATCTCCCTCCTCTCTGGGGAGTGGGAGTGAGCCTACTTTGAACCCTGCGACGACGCCTTCGAGCGCTGATGCTTTCGCAGCTGCGAACTTCTTCGATGCTATGGGAAATGATGGGCTTCCTTCCTGGTGAGACATTAGTTATACTTGGACTAAGTGTTCAGTTCCACCTCGCAAGGGTCACCAAACGGAAGCGTTGTGATACCACTCCTGCTTAGGTGGGTTGAATTGCCGCAGAACCATACTGAAAAGAAACATGGTATCCGATCAAACTACGAAATAAAAAATAAAAAATCATTCATCAATTCAGAACTGTTTAAATAGCCTCCAAAAAAGCAATCAAGGTCACCCTTTAAGCAGTAGGCAAATCCACAAAAGGATCATCAGCAGGATCCGAGTGCCAGCGATACTCCAGCCCAAAGGCATTCATATGAGTAAATTTCAACGCCTTCTCTTGATTGTAGCCAGGAATAGGCGTCGCCTCCCCGCGGAGACCGACCTCCTGTGCCTCCGCCTGGCGATCCTCAGGTGCCACGTACGTATTCGCAATGAAAGCAAATCCCGCGTCAATTCCAGCCGTCACGCCCGATGAAGTTAGGAACTTCCCATCTTGGACCCAGCGGGCACGCTTTTGCCACTTTACGGCTGGGTCTGAAGAATTACGAGTGTGATTAGCTTTGTAGTTTTGTTTACGAGGGGATGTATGAATAGCAGTGGAATTCAACTCACGCTTGGGAGTGGCCTCATCATAGAGGCGCTTATTGGTGGTAGCCTGGCGCCCATCCAGGCGGCCAGTAGCAGCCAGCAGAATTGACCCTGTGCACACGGTAAACACGTTTGCGGCGCGATCGACCAGCTGGCCAATTTGCTTCAGTAGCATCGGGTCCCAGACTAGTGGCATCATGCCGAAGCCGCCTGGGATGAAGACGGTGTCGAAGTCGTGGTCTTCGCGAAGAGCCTCGGCCAGAGAAATGGTTCCTGCGATGCCGATTCCATTCTTCATGGATGTTTCTATGCCGTGGGGTGAGGTGAAGTTGTGGAGATTGACGAATTCGACTGTGTAGTAATCGCTTCGTGGAACAATTGCGCCTAACGGACCGAAGAGGTCCAGCGCCTCGAACTCGTTGTATACGAGTGATAGGATACGGTGGTGGGTAGGCATTTTTGCTGATTTGTGGAGTTGTGAAGAATAAGAGGCTGAGAGTCGGATCTCACGTCAGATGCCTAGCTTTTATACTTAGTTTGCGCCCTGACCAAAATACGAGAGATACGAAATTCCATGGAGTTTTAGCGGAGTTTCGTTCATTCGGAGACTCCGATCACTTGGCAAGCCCCAGTGAGCCTCCGAACGGTTCGGCCCGGTGCCATTGTTGCTCTCTTTACTTATACTTGCCTTGCTCCGGGCCCCCGTTCTACTCCGTGGATCAAAAAACTAAACTGGAAAGCGCCAACATGCCCACAAAATATGGATCAACCACAATGGGAAGAGACGTCGACACCAAATGGGTCCAATGGCTCGCCAGACGCAAGAATCAAGGTGCTTCACCACCATCCTCAACCTCAGTGCCACCAACAACCACCCTTCATGATTCAGGCCCTCTGCACTCTTGCAGCACTGCCACTAGCTATTTTGCTCTGCTCTCCGCAACTCAAGACCAGCATCAGCCACGTCGTCAAGGTCGGCCGCAGACACCTTCTCCGTCAATGGACTCTTCATGGGTGACTTGGCTCTTTGACCGGGGACGTGGATCCAAGCGTCCGACGGGCGCAAATGCAAATGCAGAAGTCGATTCACAGACTGAGCAGATTTTGACCGAGCCGCAATCGATGCATACGGCTCCTGCGTTTGTCTCAAGCCTTGATTCTCTCCATTTCCCTCTAAATGCCCTTATGGACCCAGGGGATCTTCCCGCAGTCTCGAATGAGCCTTTGGGTGATTTGGATGTGAACTTGGATTTGGATTTAGATTTAGATTTTGCGGGACAAGATGCTGAATTGCTGAATTGGTTGGATGGAGAGTATTCATTTGCAGTGGAGACTCCCGCGAAGTCCGGGAAGCGTGGTCTTGATTCTCCGCGGGACTTGTCCGCCTGTAAGAAGCAGATGGTGGATTGTTCGTCGGTTCTTGCCAAGGGGGATTCTACACCGAACTCTCCTCAAACAGGTTTACATAAATAATAGAGACTAGAAGTATTATGATCACGAATAGATGTTATGAGATGTCAAAAGTGGCCGCGTAGGGAGTTGGACCATTCGAAGAAATTCTCAGAATATTTTGTAGGTACAGCTCTCTTGCTGCAGGCATGATTGGATTAAATGGAGTGCAGCTTGATGAAACCTTAATCACTGCCCCATAATTCATGTGAAAAGACGTGAAGAATGAGAGAGAAATGGCCGAGGTAAGACAAAGTAAGCCGGCTCGGAAATATACTTCGGGCAGGCAGGGTTGCCTCATAGCCATGTGAGGCGTGATTGTCTTCATTTAAAGGGGGGGGAAAAATCGGGCGAATAGTTCGTATCTTTAGCAAAAAGAAATGACATTTCTATAAATAACCTATCTAAGTTTCAATTTGTCTCGCACCATCAAAAAGCCAATCTCCATCAGTCACCACGGAGAACCCTCAAGAAAGAGGGACTAAGATGAACAGGAAGAACAATGCGATGGTCACAAACCACAGCATCACCTGCCTGCCAGCGATGCAAAACACGAAGGCGAACATCGTCCAGCGCAGCTGCTGCCTCAACAAACGGCACAAGAGCATCACCATCCTCCCGCTCAGCAGGGATCTGCACGAAGTATGATGCGACAGCCGAAACTGCAGCAACGCCTTCATGAAGAAGACTCAGCGACAATCCACGCCCAGCGACACGCTGGAACTCCTCGCCGGTCTCGGCGGTATACTGCAAGGAGTCCAAGCCTTCGAACAGAATTGGTGACTGGACCCGAGCCAACTCGGCGACCCTGTCCAGCCGCATTCTTGTCATTGGCAGGTCGCGTGGGACACGAACCTTCAGCCCAAATGGATATAGTGGATGCAGCTCGGGCTGGTGGTCGCTTTCAATTACGCCGTACATGGGGACATCAGCGCATAAGAACTGTAGTCCCAGATCGTCGTGGCAGATTCGATAGGAGGGTGCTCCGTTGGTAGCCGTGCTGGGCTTGCGTCCTAGACTAACAGACGACTGGTCCGCCTCTAGACAGGGGGTGTTGTGCCACGGTGTCACGGGGAAGTTACTATATCGCTTCTGGGGCAGTAAGGCCACAGAGAGCTTGTTCGTGTTGTCACCCGCGTGGATGGAAAGACGAACATGAGGAGGAGACGCAGCCGCGACGAGAGCTGAGAAGACCTGGCCACGCTCGATCATGGCACGAGCTACGACTGCAGAGTGCTTCTTGATGGCGCTCTTGCTCATCTTCTTCTCCTGGTAGAAGGTCGCCAGATCGGACATCAAGAACTTGATGTACCCTCGATACGTGAGGGTGGCATTGTGATCCAGCGTTTGGGGTTTCTCGCCGGAACAGTCTTTGAACAGACGTTCTTTCAGATCATCGATGCGAGAAACATATTCTTCCTCGCTGACGGGCACGCTGGGTGCACCATCGAGAAGATCAAATGGGTCTGCGAAGCGGATATGGCGTAGACCCAGTCTGTCGACGATTCTGTGCAGACCTTCGGTATACCGATATGTTTCCTCATCGGATACACCCAGCAGATCGTTGTAGCAGCAGCCATCACTGACGATAGTGATCTGGGCACCTCCTGGGTAGATCTGGGTGATTCTGGCACCGAGCGAGTTCAGATGTTCGAGAGACAAGCGCTCGCCAACGTCTGGGTCCGGTCCTAGGACTTTATCTTCATGGTTTGGACTTTTGAACGGGTATGCGGGAACCACGAAGTTGATCTCATTGCTGTTCGAGACGAAATACCGCAGGTTTTCGAGAAGTCGGGGCTTGTATATATCTTCGTAGCGGTCATCAGGTCCGCAGATGCGATATGAGGCAATGATCTCTGCAATGCGGTCGACAAGGGCCTCCTGGTTTCTGTAGGCCTTTGTTTGGGGTACGAATTCAACTATGGTCGACGCTCGGATGGCTGGAAGGGTTGCCTCGACTATGTCGATGTGAGGGGCTTTTAGTGCTGTGATCACGTTGGACAACATGGTTGGAGTCTCTGATGGCTGGATTAATGAGTTGAAGGGTATCTTGTAGGTCTAGAAATTTATTGAGAATGAGAATGAATCTATTTCAAATGTCGAGGGTGGAATTGGCTCTCTTCTCTACAAGATTTGATATTGCCTCTTCTGCCCGATTGGGATATATGCAGAAATTGCTGCACTGCCTGCTGGTGTTTCCGATGTCCGCGGATATGTGATTCAGCTCCGTTTAGGCCCGGTTGAATGTTGCATTTGAGTATAGGGAAGGTTACTTCAGGTGTCAGCCATAAGCTACACTGTGTTGTCGTCCGCGGCTTCCGTTTTCATTCTATTCATAGTTATCCATAGTTACTAGCTCGGTGGCGAAGATAGATATTAAGGCTCCAGTCCCGTGAGGTACTCATCGATCTGCATTTCACGGTTTATTGGAGGCTATGAACCGAGACGATTTCAGATGGAACGCACCTCATCCCGTAATCCAAGACACGTTTTGTAATCTAGGCTTTATTCCGTAGGGTTTACCGCGGTGCTGAGCCATATTGTTTACTAGTCTGAAAGAGCTAGATCCGTTTGCATAGGATGACTGAGGAGTATTTCTCAGGCGCAGGTCTCTTCCAAGGTCTATTAACTGGTCTCAATTTCCGATCCCAATGTCAATATGCTATTTGATTGCCTTTTCCTTTCTACAAATTCTGCTAGCTCCGGATCTGAGGTAGAGGTATATATAGGATAAAAATTTCAATTGCTGGGTTCAGGGCGAGCTTGGTCGAGGCTCTATGCTTATCTTTTGAAAGTTATGTTGGTATTCTTGCTGAGCATATTTGAGCAAATCAAACATTTATATGTATTCAGTATGTATGGTACGTCGAATTCTGCATTTTTATGCAATCTATGAGACATGCCGTTAAGAGTCCTATAGCCTTCCAAGGTTTACATAGGAGGAACAGCCTTCTTGTAAGCAGCCTGGACCTCAGGGAGAGCATCCAGCTTCTTCATATAAGCATCAATAGCAGGGTACTCCTCAAAAGACTTAAGTGCCGGGCCTGCAAGGACCGAAATTTTCAACCAAGGGAAGATGGCGAAATCGGCAATGGTGAGACGGCCAAGGGCGACGTAGCCGTTCTTAGCTGAGGCAAGGTGGTTCTCGAGAACAGTGCGCAACCGTTCGACTTCAGCTTGGTAGCGAGCAATAATGCTAGGGTTGGGTTTTTCGCCGTGGGCACCCTCGTGGAAAGCGAGAAACCAGACTAGCTGGCCCTGGTAGGGTCCGAGACCAGACACCTGCCAGGCAAGCCATTGGTTGACGGCGGCACGTTCCTCAACGGTCTTGCCGGCTAGGCTTCCGGAAGCATCGTACTAGGTGCATCATGTCAGGTTTGAAGCTTATATTGAGTGTTGCATATTGCTGTAGATCTTTACCTTGTCTGCCAGGTAGCGCAGGATGGCGGCACTCTCGAAGACAGTGAATTCATTGTTGCCGTGGTCAATAAGACCAGGAACACGGCCGTTTGGGTTGACCTTTGAAGTGTATTCGGAATCTTTGACTGTTCCCTTGCCTTCGCCGAAGCCCAGGGGCACGGTGTTGTATGGGAGACCGAGGTGCTCAAGGGCCATGGCAACCTTGACGGGGTTGGGGCCGGGGCCTAGAGTCGATCAGCGGTATTCGGACAATGGAAATTAGACTTTAATTCTTACCCGCGTGGGTGTACAGGGTGAAAGGAGTGCCAGTCATGATGGATCGAGAGGAAACAAATCTGGTAATGGGAATTGTTGTGGGTTTGAAGCGAAGGCTGTTGCTTAGAGAAGTTGCGAGGCGCATGAAGTAAATTGAAGTAGAAATTGAATTCTTCGGACTGCTTTGACTTGCTATTTGTAGTGTTCAGACATCATGACATCGCAAGTTTGAAGTTGTTGATGTATACTCCGTACAAAGAGCCTCGCTCCGAAACTCCGAGACTCCGGATTCTCGGAGAAAGTGCCAAGCTCCGTGGAAGTTGAATTCAACTGGCCAATTTATTACCACGGATAGAGAATTGATAAGTGGAAGGGGAAGTGCTAGAGTTAACTGTAGTTCCTCGGACTTCGGACACAATATTGGCCTTGGTACTATGCGAGATGCGGCAGCAGAACTGAGAGCTCTATTACTGGTTACACGATTCGCATGGCAAGTAGGTAGAGTATAGATCACTTACCATTGGAATTACCTCTTACAGTGAAGCTATTCATTGGGAGAATGTGTTCTCAAAATCAGCGTCCAATCTGCCTTACTTGGGCTTAGGTGCGGTCAAAGCTCGCTATGACGAAAGTCCGCACAGATATTCATTGGCTAGAACCTGCATTCATGATGGAAAACCCGGTCCTGAATCTTACAGTGGTTACAGGAGCTAGCTAGTGAAACAGGGTCCACCTGACAGCGAAGTAGATAAATGGCTTACGTATCTTCATCAAAATTAGAGTCGGCAAACGAGGTTGGAAAAGACCCCACTAACGGGAGCGGCTTCGGAACCGGCCCGGGCTTCCCTGAAAAAACTGACCTTTTAGTTCAGGGGGAAATGAATGTCCTTGATGCCAGTTCCCAGAGTATATAATAGCACGATTGTCTTTCATTTCAAGCATTCGCCAAGACCAACCGATCACTTGTTCTCCCAAGATCAGGTTACAGCAGATGGCTCTAGGCAATCTCACGCTAATTTCTTTCGGCCCGCAGCGCTTTCTTGGCCTTCCTATTTCGTTTTAGTGCTGACCCTTCTGTGTAGATTTCAGGTTATATCGGCTAATCCGAACTCATTTCTGTGGTGGCAACTGAATGTACTTTTGTTTTCCTCCCAAAAGAAGTGTTCGCGCTGCAAATGACCGTCAAGATGTGACCTTTACTTATTGCTTAATCAAGAACTCGATATAGCTAAGGCGGTCCCCTTACCTCACGCTTTAGCTGTTTTGAGTCTTGTGGTGTGCTGAGACGACTGAAGAGTTATGCAGAACGGTTCGTATTCGTCCGCAGCCCCAGTATTACGGTCACTTCAATTTCCTAATGTAGTTAATGCAGATTGTTTCTTCAGTCATTCCTTTCAGAATTACGCCATCTGCATCAGACATGCTCGAAGGATTCGGGTTGAGCGGCCACAAAGCCTATAGGCTTTTCATGGGCGCATAGAATAGGTTTCTCGTTCCTGCGCAGAGGCCTCGCGTCTGATTACTGCAAAAGCCTGCATGCATGCTGAAAGGTCTAATTGGCAGCATCCTGCAGGATCAGACAACGCGTGCTTACATTGAACAAGCCCCAGTATTGTGGGGGCCGATGATCGAACCTAAAGTCCCCTTCCTGTTGGGATCGCCATTGTCACCACGTTCATCACCACGTTCATGATCTACGCCATTGCTTGGCCGGAGAATTAGAATCTTGCAATTAAGCAATGCGCACGTCACTGTACAGTGGGCCCTTGAAATTATCCGACTCTTGAGATCCTCCGCATAAGCCAAAGCTGAAGTCAATACGAGATTGGCCAAATGACTCTCTTCAGGTCCTAAAACAGGAGTTTTTTCACGGGGGGGTGGCCGAAAGGCTGACTGCATAGACGATATCGATCCACTTATTCCTTCATGGCTCCGCAGCTTTATGCTTTGATGCTACATTTGATACACTCAGACGCCAGCTGTTGGCTTATACTTACCTTTCGGCCCCTGATGAACATGAGGCTTTCTATTTGGATCCACCGTGGCGGCTTCAATGTAACCATCTTCATTTCGTAAACTCTTCTGATTCGAATTCGTCTGACTTGATAAGGCCCCCTGACGGAGTCCAGACTTGGGCGGCTAAAAATTCTCTCTCAGCTGTCGCCTTCCTTCGTATATAATCTAGTACTCCTCTATCCCTATAATCTGACAAATAGCAACCTCTCAATGGTTGACCACTTCACCTATCAAATAATATATCCAGGCACTCCTTAGATTATTCTCATCCTTGGATCAAGTCGAATGTCCGATCTCGAAATGACTACCCAGCCACATACCCCTAATCCTCCTCGGCCAAAGAAGACCAAGGACAAGAAGATCTTCAGCTGCCATGCGTGCCGACGGCGCAAACTCAAATGTGATCGATTTGATCCATGCGGAGCATGCCAGGCACGCGGGGAGGGAGATCGATGTACGTGGGAAGAAGGGCAGAGACCGGAGTATGTGTTGGTTGACTATTTCATCATTTCGATAATATATTCTGATATGAATGCAGGCGACACCATTGTGAAAGTCTCGAACACCTTCCTAAAATGATCTCAAACTTGAGCAAAGAAGTCCAAGAACTCAAATTGCTGAACTCGAGTATCATGGAGAACTTTCGTGGCAAAGGTACAGATGCCATGGCAGACACTGCTTTGATGACACCCGAGCCACGGCCTCATTCAAATGGAGGACTCTCCTATAATCACAATAGTCAGTGGGGTTCCAAACTATCAGAACCCCATCAATGGACCACGTTTGAGTTGATGACGCTGCTCCCTGCAAGCCCCCTTCTCTGGGGTTTAGTTTCACATTATGTTAGTCTTTCCTACATTCTTCCGGAGGTGAATGTTTTCTAATGGCAATAGATCTCTTCTTCCGCCTCACTCACGGGCTTTATCGATGTCCATCAACTCATTAATGACGTTGAAGAAGTCGAAAATATCCGTCAAGCATTTGACATGAGCCAAGCCTGTAAGGCACTCCAGATAAAAGTATCCCGCATCATATCATGCGCCAGCCTCGCCGTCGTGGACTTGGATCTAGCCAAGGCACAAGAGCTAGGAATTGAAGCATATGAAATTGATGCTTTGATTCGTGATTTATATCGGAAGGCACGGATGCTCATTACACCAACTGATGCAGACATGATTTCTACTACATCACTATCAACTACAACAACATCCTCAATTTCCAGCATTCACAACACTCTCGACCAGAGTTCAAACAACGTGGCTATCTCACAAACACCGCCTCCAACCAGCTACGATCCAACTCTGCTCGGGGTAGTATCTATCAAGATCCTCCTTCTTCTCACAGCGCGATCTTTTGCAGCACCCTCTGAATATCTCAAGCTCCATCTAGACGCCATCTCATCGGCAATAGACGTGTCCCTGGATTCAGCCGGTAGTCCAGACATGTCACCCGCTGAGAGCGAATTGCGCTGGCAGTTATGGTCCACGCTATGTGTAATGGACTGGTCATCCCCAGGCATATATCACCACGGTAGCTACTTCATTCGCTCAGAGATGCTCAGAGATCCTCCATCACCATCACCAGTCGCCGATGACAGCAATGCAATGTCCCTAGACCGTCTCCAACAAACGCGCCATTATCTGGAGTACTCACTTGGACTCGCACATCTGGCCCGGCGCGCAGAGAATTGTATTCTACGAACAGGACCCGTACTACCATCTCAGGCAGCGGACCTCTGCGCCGAATTAGATAACTTCGATCACAACCTAAGTTTCTATCAACTACTTGGAAGCGCAAGTTCTACTTCTGAAGGTCGGACTAGCCCATCGTCCAACGGAGCCACATGGCTGGCCAGAGAAAGCATCAAACACTCAGCTCGTCACGCCACTCAGGTCCAGAAGATGCACCTCAGCCTCGAGCTCGGACTTATTCGATTCAAAATCTTCCGGCACGAGGCATTTCACCTGCTGCACGAGCCCTCAACTGCAGCTCCATTGCGACTTATGTGTCTGGATGCCTGTATGGATGCATGCATCCTCGTTCTATCTCTATGCCGCCGCCTTGGGAACGGGGAGGCTATCATAGATCGTGTTCCGGATATCTTTGAGGTTGCCAATCGACCCTGTACGGGGAGCTTGCGTCGCGTTTTACAGCCTGCCTCGGCGGCTGCACTGGTTGGACAGGTGCTGCTGCATGAATCTCGGTCTGCTGATGGAATGGTAACACGGCCTGATCAGCCTGTACCTCCTGGGCGGGACTTCTTTGCTTTTGCAGGTGGCTTTAAGAACAACTGGGCAGTTCCTGCTAGGTTGAGTGAAGAGAAGGTTAGTGTCTTGCAGTGGCATGTCAATACGGTATTGTCGCTGCTGGAGGCGATGCGTGGGACTTCTTCATTGGCAAGGTCTAAGTTGGGGTTACATATGCAATGTATGTGAAAGGAAATATGCTTCTATTTTCTTTGTTGGGGGCTAGGGGGCTCAATATTCACTCAATACAGTATTCGATAGCAAAACAATATAGATTTCATGTACACAGATCAACCAAATAGAGTGGGAACAAACACCAGTAACAGATAAACCGTGCCAAAGTATATATTTCTATTTTAAACTCTCACCGGAATTGTAGACATGGCAGGCAATTCCGTAACCGTTTCGGTAGTCATCTCCTTCTCTGCTCGTGCCGCAGGCTTTGCATCGGAGGCGCGCACCAAAGCCTTGACCTCATCAACCTCGAGAGGAGGGTTCCAAGTGATAGCAGCATCCTCTTCAGAGCGAGTCTCACCACAAGCGTAGCAGCGGCGCCAGTCCGGACGGCAGTGAAGCCAGGTACCACACTCGCGGCACTGGCGAGAGAAGGTATCCTTGAAGGGCTGATCAGGGTGGTAGTTGAGGTAGATGTCGTAGTAGCGAAGCAGACCATCCCATCGGAAGTTGAAGCGACCAGAGTCGACTGCGACGTTCTTGACTGCATTGGAAAGCTCGATCACCTCGCGAACTATGGCATCTGGGATGGTCTCTTCCAGAGGGATCGGGGCCAGGAGCTCAAGGGTGCGACGCGCCACGGAGTCGTACTCTGGTGTCATGGATCCCCAAGCCCAGTTGATGGAGTGGGGCACGTATGTCTTCATGTTCAGGTTGTAGTCCTGACGGATGAGCTGCCAGTCTGGGATACCAATTCCGGCGAAGAACTGCCAGAGACAGGAGACCTGAGGACCCAGGCGGGGATCGCGGAAGCAGACGTAGTTGAATTTGTTCATTTGGTTCAAGGATGGGTAAAGACGACGGGCAAAGTCATCGTAAGGTGCCAGGGTTCGACGAATGCTGCGCTCGGCGGCCTCGTCATTGGCCTCAGTCCTAGCTTGATCCAGAGCCTGATGAGTGAGCTCGGCAGCGTAAGTCGAGGTTGACATAGCAGCGGTGATACCCGGCGAATGAAGCGGGTTGGTGAAGCCACAGGTGTCGCCAATAGCGAGCCAACCGGGACCAGAGACAACAGGGGACTGGTAGGTGAGGGACTTGCGAATGTACCAGGTGGTTCCGGGGCCATAGAGGTTCTCGATCAGGTCAAAGTTGGTCATGAACTCCTTGATAATGTCGTACTTCTGGACGAAGTAGTTGAACTTGCGCTCGGCTTCACGTGTACCGTGAGCCGACATGTCCTCGGGGTACTTGACGTCGTTGCGCACAGCGAATCCAATACTAGTGACCCATTTGAACTTGAGGTCGAACATGCGGGCGAGCTCCATTGAGCTTGGAACCTGATCTCCAGGAACACCGGCTTCGGCACAGTCCAGCAGATACGAGATCATATCCATGAGGTTGGCAGTAGAGCTGCCCTCCCATGAAGGAAGCTTGATAACCCAAGCCCAGCCCTCGGGGAAGCACAGATGGTTAGTGTGGTCACCCTCGTAGTGACGGAGAGGAATGTTGCTCTCATCCGCGGGGGCAGTGAAGTATCCCCAGAAGGAATCATAGTTCCAGTCCTCGAAACGGTGCAGTGGGGCCTTCTTGGATGCAAGCTGGCGGAAACGACCGGTGGCGTCAACCAATAGCGAGGAATTAATGTTACTGGCTGGCTTTCCGTCGAACTTGCCGGGGTTGATGGAGATCTTGCTGCGGTCAGATCCACCGTTGATAGCACTGGCGTTGAAGTCAACCTGGCGGCCGTGGTAGACGTTGACTCCCTTACGCTGAGCCAGCAACGTGAAGAGGAGCTCACTAATGGTTCGCTCAACCTGGAATCCACTGAGGAAGAGACCGGGAGTGCCATTGCTGCAGAAGTCTGAGTATTCCCCCTGGTTCTCGCGGTCGAGGAAGTAGAAGGCCAGTCCGTCCTTGAGACCGAAGAGTCGCAGAAGATACTCGGCTGTGAGGCCATGCATCTTGCACCACAAGGAAAATAGCGGCAAGGTACTCTCACCAATCTTGTAGCCAGGCTTACTAGCCTTTTCGATCAGTGAGATGCTGATGTTTCCTGGCTGATACGTGGCAGCATGGATGGCGTAGATCAGTCCATGAATACCACCACCAGCGACGACAACATCGGACTTCTCTGGAATATCGGCACCGGAGCGGTTGTTGGAGTTCAGGATCTGGGCATCGTTGAAGTTGTTGGCAGCCGCACGATCAGCGAAGGTGTGCTTGGGGGTAGGGCTGGTGATAGTCATTTTGTGAGCGATTGATGAGAAGGTGATTTGGATGTGATGATCGATTCAGAGATCGATTCTTCCTTATATGCGAATCTCGTCTCCGTTGATGAGTATCTTCTCGTGTCCAGAATCCGTGTATACACTGTCCGCATATACGCGGACTGCGCGGAGTCTCCGTCTCACCATCAGCCACCACATGAGAAGATAACATGAGAGGCATCCGTCGCAGGTCCGTTGATGCTCATTGTTGTCAGACCATTTTTCCAGCTGCCCCAGCTGCTCTGTGCCTAGGTCCGGGGCAGGAGTTCAAACGCAATGCAGGTCCGTGGACTCAGATGTTTGAGCGTGGCATTAGCGTGGAAATTATAGGACCTACGGCTATCTTACAGTCAATGGCTAGCGAGCCCTAATTCGGACTTGTTATTGCCGTTTTTGCATTTCCCTTTCATATTCTCCATATTTACAGTATACCGCAAGTCCAGAGGCATTTTTTGGGTGCATTTTCTTCCTCAGTCTCCAGAAGTAGTCACCCAGTAGCAATATATGTTCGTTTCCAATGTAGCCATTATGGAATATGTTCAGGCAATGTCTCCTTCTGACGTGCCTCATTCGAAGATGAGCTCTGGCATTTTGGGAAATCGGCTGACATGTAGCAGGCCCTTCAGATTCATCTCACTTGGAACAAGCCTTGGTCTTTTTTCTCGAGGGTGATACATCTGGCGAGGGTTTGATCTTTTAGCCAGCTTCGTGAGGGTTTATTGGTATTTCCATCGAGCATAGCGTCTTGGTTGAGATATGCAATCACTTGGCTATTCCTCTGGCATTACCAAGATCTCTGCAAGTGTAGTTTTGAATGAGGCTCTTAAAAGTCTCTTTTCCAAAAGCTCAATGAAGATTGGGATTCCTCATCCTTGATCCTGCCGGTGGCAACATTGCATACGCCTGCAGCAACTGCAGTATTCAACCCATCGTAGGCTACCTGGGGCCAGATATCTTGCATATCATAACAAAGGTCTCTCAGGACGCAGAAATCGTGGGCAGCCTTGTAATGACTAATGGACGTGTCATCAACCTCGATGATCCCATAATCCTCCAGCTCAATCTGCTGCAGTTCAGGACGTGAGGCACCGTCTGAGGTATTTCGCTTTGTCTTCGACTTCTGTCCGCACTTGGGATGTTTCTGTTTTCTTGGCCTGGCTGTAGTTGAGATGGTGGTGTCGGCGTCTTTGTCCTCATCCTCGTTTTCATGAACATCATTGTCTTCGTGCAGGCTCAATATTGCAAATTTGTTAGAGAAATCACTTCTTTTTCATCTTCATTAGGCCAGGCAGGTTCTCCCGCTTTTGTTGACTGCCATGTTTTGCCTCCCAGGGCATCGAAAGCCTCGATCAGTCCATTTATCCAAACTTTGTGTGACTCATTGCTTTTCTTGAGCTCCGGGTCTGGGCTGGAAGCGGTGATCTTCAGAAATTTCTCGTGCCTCTTTTGTCTAGCCTCGATGATCGATCGGAAAATGCGAGATGGTGGCTGGAACCGGCCTGATATGTCTCGAGATGAGCCTCGCCAGAGAATCCACTCATGTGGTGTCTCCCACAACTGAGGCTTCGGAGGAAAATCTCTTGGTAATACTGGCAGAGGCATGCACCATCCATTAGACAAGTCGTCTCTCGTCCTGCCTGTACTTGAGATATGTGTTATGGTCCGCCATGACCATATCGTGTCAAGACGGGGATGAGAGGGTGTTGGAGGTGGGGAGAAAAGGAAGAAAGATCATGTGGGTGGGTGGTTGAAGATAAATATATGTCTACCGGTCACAAACAGATTTGCGTATTGAAATATAGTTCTCCCACTTCGGGTAGCGTTGCCTTTGTATACCACCACCTTCTATCAACGTCTACACAGGACTACACCACATGTCCTTGAACAACTCTACGATCTCAATATGGCTGTTTTGATGGAGGCCAGAAGACCTATATCAAAAGATCACACGGGCTACATCAATTTGCGTACGATAGAAAATAGAAGTAAGGTGCTAGATGTATATCGGCGTGACTTGTTTTTACTAGTAATTTACATTAGTCAGTGAATGTAGATACTCAGAAGGCATACTAACGTTAGCATTCAAGCAAAGGTACAATGCTCGACACATCAGTAATGCCAAGAATCAATACATTTGAAATACAATTGCTGCTGCAGGCGTAATAAGGTTTAGCAAGTGGAGAGGGGGTCTTTTAATAATTCCCTACATTGAAGCTACAGCACAATAGATCGGACAAGGAATCAAAAAGACAAAAGAAATTCAAGACCAGTGGCCTCTGAGATCAATGAAGATTGTAGTAGCAACGTGGATTTTGAGCATCTTGAACGTCGCCCAAACATGCAATGTGTGGTAAATGGACAGGTACTTCCAAACGGAAGCAAGGGAGAACAGTCAACTCAAGCACTATACATAAAGGGCTTCCGATTTTGGTTCAACTCAACGGCAGGGACCTTCATGGGAATGGGGATTGTATCCTGGAACAGGTTCACTGGCAGGGGAGCAGGAGCATCATCGTTCTCAGAAGCCTCTGGCGCTTTTCCCTTGCCCTTGCCCTTCTCTGTCTTTTCCAAGTTGTCCTTTGAATCAGTGCTCTTGTTGATAACTGGGATGATCACCCCGCATTCCCAGTTGCGGCAGTTCATCTTGAACTGCCCGCTCTTGCTTTCCTTGGTCAGACGGCCCCTGGTTTGCATTAGCAGGTTTCAAGTACGCGATTGCCTCAGGTCGGAGTAAATTTACGTACCAAGCACTCTCTGACAAGTTCGCACTACCGACGTAAGCCCAACCCCGGCATTCGTTGTTGTTCGGCAGAGGGATTGGCTTGGAAGGATGGACGAAGGCAAGCTATATATCAATATATTTTAGCACACGGAGCAACCTCGAGGACAGACACGTAATCAACCTTGTTATGCATAAGAGCTCCCCTCAAGCTCTCGCAATCTCTCAGTGAGCGTCGAGGGAAATCATCATTCATCCACCATTTCGGATTAAAGCAAATTGTGCCCGCAGTGTTTTCGGGATTTTGGTGTGACGCTCGCACGGTCTGGTCAGATGGAAAGTAGATGCGGAAACGGTCTAGGCATTCTTTGTTGGTGTCTTTCACAAGCTTTGTGTGAGATGCAGCCTCTGATTTGGTGGGCTTTGTGCGGAGAGTGTAATCCAGTACACCATCCTCACCTAGAGCTGACTCGTTAGACTTCTTTTGATTATGCTAATAGAATAGGGAACATGCCTTTGCAAGCGAGGTAGATTGATCGCAGGAAGCTAGTGTTGAGACTTCCCATAGACGAGGTCTGGTGATCACGTAAGTATCTAAGTGCCTAGAAGAGTTAAGAACAAGAAAGCTCACCACATAATCAATGTTTACCGGCGAGGTTGAAATGAGCCCAAGGGTTGTCAGAGCGCGACCTAGGCCACAGTAACCCGTTCGTCGCCACGATTCTCCGGTATTGGCTCCGCCACTTCTCCTGTTAATAAAGTTCTGCACGAGTTGGACATGAAATACACTTACATTGTATGAATGAATGCATAACGCGCCGTTTCACTGAAGTCATACTCATCCAATTTCTTGATCACGTTGCGGTGAAGCGTAGTGGCCCCAAGGAAGTACACCAGTTCTTCATAGAAGGAAGTCTTTGATTTCTGGGTGGAGGTCCCGATCTTGGGCAGATCAATAAGGAAAACAGTCTGTCATGTTGTTAGAATCACAGAAGGAAAGGAAGAAAAGAAAACGTTGAAATTTGTAACGAACGTTTTCCATCAGACTGTGACTGCCCCAGTCGAACGAGGTAAGGTTTGCAGTGGGAATTGCAATTCGAAGGTAGGTGGTATGAAAGAACATCATGAGCTTGGAGTGCATACAAAAAACCTGCCCACCCATGGGGGGGAAACACAGACGAACGTTCTTGATCTCAGCAGTCTCTGCGATGTATTGGTCTCGCTTCAATGTTGTTAGCATATATAAACGCATGTGGAAGCCTTTCTTACCACAGATTGGTCGTTCGCCTGCATGACCAGCATGAACCTAGTTCTCTGTATGTCAAGTTTGGTGAAGAGCCATTCTATATCCCACAAAAACGAGCTGAAGACAGCAAGCTCTAGCTCGCCACGTTGGATAACCTCTTCGATAGTGATGTCATTTTCCTGGCGGGGAAAGCCCTCGAGAGATGTTTTCTTGACTGCTCCCAGAGGCCATTGGATCATTGGTCGGGCAGTTGGCTGGATATCCAGACCAGGTGCATTCGCTGCAGTCTGTGGACAGACATAGGTGCGTTCTTTGGGAATACCATTCGCCGAACTTGAACCTTGCATAGGACACTGCTGAGAAGAATCTGATGGGCGTGCTGAAAGAGACTTCGTTGACACGGGCTCAACTTTGATAAGCTTTTGACTCGGTTGAGCTTCCGGAGAGCCTGTATTGTCGGCGGCCTTGCGCTTAGCAAGACGAGCGAGACGTTCCTGCTCCATCTGCTTGCGGTCGAGCCCAGCCAGTCCCGCCGAGGAAATGGTAGCCTGGGGAGCAATAGAGGTCATGTCGTCGGTTTCGTCTTCGGGAGCTTTTCCCTTGGCTTCGGTGTTGTCCATCGCTAAGGACAAAGCGAGAGCGCGTTGGAGCTCGTCATCATCCTGATCGTCTTCCGTATCAGAATTGACCACAGACTTGGACTTGGTAAATTCCTCTCTTATTTCCGAGTCATTATCGGAGTCTTCAGTCAGATCCACGAAGTTGGATGCTTCAGATGACTTGGCGCGTTGCTGAGAGAGCTCCATCTCCCGGCGCGAAGCCTCGATAGCGGCTCTCATCTCGTAGTCCTCCGAATCACGCATCTCTACGGGATGCCGTTGATCAATGAGGGTGGCGACGATGAAAGATTGATGAACAAAGCACGATGATAGAAAGATCACATGCAGGATCAGCAAGGATGCATCGAGAGATGCATAAGTCCGATAGTGCTATGTTCGATGGTGGGGTGAAGTGCGTGAGCGGTCACTACGCTTTTCACATTTTACTGTTTTTGCCCTCGCTGTCGCCCGTGGAAACCCCTGTTTGTCGACATGTGATCACGTGAGTGGCCATGTCGCGATATCGACATGCCCCTATCCATTCACACATGTGGCTTATAGCCTCCGGCTTAATTTATCGTTGAGTTTTTCAAATGGAGGTCAGAAATTTTACTCTATTTTCGTTGATTTTGGAGCTAATACGGAGATCCAGCTATGTCTACTAAACATGTGACCCGTATTGGAACCAGACCCACGATAACATTAACAAAGGGCTCTTCATTTTGACCGGCAGGTGCTTAATTTCTCCGGAAGGACCTATTAATGCGGGCTTGTGGCATGGGCCACTCAGACGGAGAGTGCAATTCAAGCGGCTCGGCTGGAGAGCAAGGCATGTTTTGTTCGGACGGTAAAACCAGCTGAGCCATGCAAATCCACTGATGCCGTCGCTTATCGACATTCTTAACTGGTGTCGGGATGTGGGATATCATCAGCCTGGAGCCGACAGGTAGCTTCAAGCGGCTCTTGAAATTCCACGGTCAACTGGTTATGTATTGACCTCATATTCCGAGTGGCAATGGATGCAATTGTAAACTTTTTCATCGCCGAGCACAGATGCTCACTCGTTTCATCATTGCAGAAGTGGGGATGTGGTTTTTGGTCCGTATGATCCGTATTTCGTGGCTTTTCATGTAGCGTCCACAATCTAGATGCATTGTAGAACAAGATCGACAATGGCGAAGAACGCATCTCGGTCAGCGATTTCTTTTCCAAGTCCCAGACCGACAACAAGTAGCCTGCTTTCAGTGGGCGTCTTCGTAGCAATGGCAGTTGCAATTTGACGGGCGAGAAGCTGGCCGGTTATATCTTGGCCAGAAGAATGGCCACCCAGTAGAGTCGTCGACGTCAAATTCTTGAATGGCAAGAGGTTATCCTCTCCCTCAGGCATGGTGTGCATACCCTCAGTGCCGGGGTTAAGATTCTCCATGGGTACGTGTAGCTTTGAGACATTAGTGAAGCTCATACCCAGATCCAGAGTTACATACCCAATGCGCCAGTCTACCACCTTGTGAGATTGTAACCATGACCTTATCGCTGAAGCTCATTGTCATGACATCTGTTTGGACCCCGTTCACCAACCCCGCAACCTGTTTTGTGGCCGCTGGGAAAGGGAGCACAAGGGATTCCTGCAATGCATTGACATCAAATGGAGCAGCCATTGTAATGAAGGTCTGTTATTTCTATAGGCGAAGTCAAGAGATGATAGAAGCTGTGTTGTTCACCAAGAGTGTCTGCTTCAAAGGCGGTCAGGCACTTCCCCACAGCCAATCTGGCAGATTTTCACCGCCTCGATTTTTTTCCAGCAACGAAGAACAATTGAATCGCAGCTCTCGATTTTGTAGCCATTTTACTTTTTTTATTGTGGCTGTGGTATCTCAGTATGCCGCCCAAGTTTACGCCACGTCTGCGAAAGCAGAAGCACCGGCAGGCCCAGGCCAATGAGCAGGCCGACACCAATGCCGCGCAGCTCGAGCCCGTCTCCAAGGATGAGAAAGAGGCACGACGACAGAAGTTGCAGGAGGAATTACGGGATCAGCATACCCATGTCTCTGCAAAGAAGCAAAAGCGTCTAGACAAGTACATTGTACGTGAGGCGCTCGCAATGGAAGAATAGCTTTAACATTCCGCAGGAAAACAAACTCCGAAAGGAAGAGAACATTGAATTGTTAAAGAAACTCGCCAAATCCTCGGTCGACACATCCTCCTTGCAAAGTTCGAAAGATCTGGGCAAGCGCAAGAGACAGGAAGACGAATCACTCCTACCGAAGCTTGGCCAAGCAGCGAAACGCGATGCTCCCGTCGATCTCTCCGGGGATGAGACCGACGATTCGGATGTCCATCTTAAGGTGTCAAACCCCGCAACAGATCCCATGGTGGAGTCGAAGACACAACCTGATGCAGCTGTTGGTAGCGGATTAAAGCGGCCACTTGAGCTTGGTCCTGATGGTTTCCCAGTTCTCAAGAAGCGCAAGCGTGCACCCAAGAAGAAGCCCGCGCCTAAGCCTGCAGCAGAGGTTGCATGGGAGGGCTTCGATTCGGATGAGGAAGAGGAGGACGAGGACGAGGACGAAGGCATGAGCGACAAGGACGAGGCCGAATCAGAAAGTGATATTGAGGAGGGTTCTGACGACGAAGACGATGAAGGCACCTCTTCCGAAGGTTCCGAAAACGATGATGATGACTCTGGGGACGAAGAGGATGAGGACGAGGATGAGGACATGGATGATGAGTCTCCAAAGATCGAACCTCGCCAGTCAGCCTTCAAGTCTTGGGCTGTTCAACAGATCAACGAAGTAGTAGGTTTCAAGCCGAACGCTGGCGAAGCCATTTCCCAGCAAGAGCAGATATTCGACCCATCCAAATTGCCTCAGAAGGTCAACGAGGAGGAACCGCTTCCCCGCGAGCTCCAGGTGACCCATGGCGACCCCAACCGGAAGGCATACAGCGTCGCTGTAGAACGCTCAGAGGAGATTCAAGCTGCCCGTCTCGGTCTGCCTGTCGTTGGTGAGGAGCAGAAGATTATGGAAGCTATCCACAACAATTCCACCGTGGTCATTTGGGGTGCTACTGGTAGCGGAAAGACAACCCAACTTCCCCAGTTCCTCTTCGAATCTGGCTTCGGCAGCCCAGACAGCCCTAACCCAGGCCTAATTGGCGTCACGCAGCCTCGACGAGTTGCGGCCGTGAGTATGGCAAACCGTGTGTCCCAGGAACTGGGTCAGCATGCCGACAAAGTCTCATATCAAATCCGATTTGAGAGCACAGCGAACAAGAAAACTGCTATCAAATTCATGACTGATGGTATCTTACTGCGTGAGATTGCAGATGACTTTGCCCTCAGCAAATACTCCATCATCCTTATTGATGAGGCTCACGAGCGAAGTGTCAACACTGATATCCTGATTGGAATGGTCAGCCGTATCGTTGATCTGCGCAAGTCATTGAGCGAGGAGGATCCATCTGTCAAGCCCTTGAAGGTCGTCATCATGTCAGCTACTCTGCGTATCTCCGATTTCACTGAGAATGCAAGTCTATTCCGCCATGGTGCACCCCCTTTGGTTCAGGCCGAGGGTCGGCAGTACCCTGTCTCTGTGCATTTTTCTCGCCGCACTCAGCGCGATTACGTTGAGGATGCATTCCGCAAGGTCTCCCGTGGACACCGCAAGCTACCTCCTGGTGGCATGCTTGTGTTCTTGACTGGACAAAATGAGATTCGCCAGCTCTCCAAGCGACTGAAGCAGACTTTCAAACCAACACAGCGGGAAGATACTACGCAAGCAAAGGTCCAGCTTTCGGCCAACGAGGCACCTCTGGAAGCCGAAGATCTGGAGCTGGGTGAGACAGAGATGAACAATACTGGCGTTGACGATTACGATAGCGATATGGAGATTACAGGCCTGGATGATGAAGAAGAAGATGACGGTTTCGATCTCGGCGAAGAGGCTATGGATTCATCAACACGCGTCCACGTCTTGCCTCTCTACTCCCAACTGCCCACAAAGGAGCAGATGAAGGTCTTCGAGGCACCACCAGAGAACTCCCGTCTCATCATCCTGGCAACCAACGTTGCTGAAACTTCCCTGACCATCCCCGGCATCAAGTACGTCTTCGACTGTGGTCGAGCCAAGGAGAAGCAATTTGATCTGTTCACGGGTGTGCAGAGCTTCCAGATTGGCTGGATCAGCAAGGCCAGCGCAAATCAGCGAGCCGGTCGTGCAGGTCGAACAGGCCCAGGTCACTGCTACAGAATGTACTCATCTGCAGTATACGAAGGCGAGTTTGCTGAATACACCGACCCCGAGATCCTACGCACTCCCATTGAAGGCGTCGTCCTCCAGATGAAGAGCATGGGCCTGCACAACGTCATCAACTTCCCCTTCCCAACACCCCCAAGCCGCCAGGGACTTGCAAAGGCCGAAAAGCTCCTCAAGAACCTCGGCGCCCTCTCATCCGACGGCCAAATCACCCCAATCGGCCGCCGTCTCTCAACATATCCGCTCTCCCCACGGTTCAGCAAAATGCTCCACATCGGCCACCAGCACGGCTGCATGCCCTACGTGATAGCCCTAGTAGCAGCACTCGCAGTAGGCGACCTCTTCGTCCCAGAAAACCAACTAGACCCGAACCCGCCAGTCGCAAAAAAGAGCAAAAACGACGACTCAGACTCCGACTCCGACGTCGAAAAGAAACATATCTACACAAACGCAGACCGTCTCGAAGACACAGAACGCGAACAGCGCGGTAAAGCCCACGCCCGCGCCCACCGCCTCTTCTCAAAGCACGACGATACATCCGACGCTCTAAAAGCCCTTAGTGCAATCTGCGCCTATGCCTACGCATCCGACGGCGAAGCCTTCAGTGAACAGATGTTCCTCCGTGGCAAGGCCTTCAAGGAAGCAACCCAACTCCGCCGCCAGCTGACAGATATCGTGCGCTCCAACAACCCAGGCCAAGTCCCCGAGTACAAAGCCCGTCTGCCGGAACCATCCGCCAAACAAATCAAGGCCCTGAAGCAAATTGTCACGGCTGGTTTCATCGATCAGGTCGCTATCCGCGCGGACCTGGCACCCGTCCCACCGGAGAATCAGCGCGCGTCCCGTCGTGCCATCGACGTGCCGTATCTTACCCTCTTCCCCTCGCGCGATGGGAGTGGGTATCAGGAGCTAGCAGAGCGGGCTGTTTATGTGCATCCATCGTCTCTTCTGGCTAAGCTATCGCCCAGGGAAATGCCCCAGTACATCGTCTACTCGCATCTGCAGCAGTCGTCTGCGGCGCTGGTCACTGATTCCTTGCCTAAGATTCGGATGTTCCCGCTTGTTGTTCCTAGTGGATTGCAGCTTGCTGCTATTGCGCATGATACACCGCTTATGGAGTATGGCAAGCCCATTGGGAAAGCGGATGCTTTGGATGGTGTTCCGCCTAGAAGGTCTTGTTGGGTTGTTCCTTCGCTTGTTGGCGATTCTGGCAGTACGGGTTGGCCTTTGCCTGCTAAGAAGGTTGTTCAAAAGAAGGATCCCAAGGCTGGGTGGGTGATTGAGAAGTTTGTTGCTTGATCTATATCAGTTTTGTTTGGTGTATATTACAGATGAGATGAGGTTATGATATCCAGTGGTTCTTTGGTCATATTGCTTGCAGCATGGAGAGTACATAGAAATGAATGCAGAAGAAGAATATAAATATGAATACCATTGACTCGTTAGCCTATTATCAATCTAACGCCAGACACCAAAGACACCAAACCATAGAAGAATGCAAATGCACATATCACACCACATTTTAAGTCTCAATCAAGTAATCAAGACTTCAATCCCTCTCCCTTCTCCTCTCCCGATTCTCCCTGTTCCCCCAAGAATCCCTCGAACTAGAGATCTCCCCAGTCTCCCGATCCTCCCGAATCCCAAGCGCCCTCCTCAACCGATCCGTCTCTTCAATCTTAGCTTCAGCAAGCTCATGAACCTGATAAGACTTAAGCTGTCTTTTATCCCGTCCCCCAGCAGTAGGCTTCTTAAACACACCCTTGCCACCGCCCTCAAGCTCATCCTCCAACTCCTTAAGCAACCTCACCCGAAGAATCTCGCATCTCGCATCGATTTCTTCTTCGCTAAGGACCTTTTCAACGTCTTCATCTTCGCCTTCTTCTTTAGCATCACCCTCTGCATCCTTCTTGGAGCTGGTCTTCGACTTTGATTTGCTGGTTTTGGCTTGTTCCTCTTCAATCCTCTCATTCTCCTCTTCAAGTCGATCCCGCTCCTCCATAACGCGGACTTCGATAGCGCGCTTCCGGTCGTGTTCGAGGATCTGCTTGTCTGGTAGACGTTGCTTGAAGGGGCGATCCATGGGACTGCTGCCGTTTGCGCCGCTGACCGGTGGGTAGGGGGCGCCGTAGCCTGTGTTGCGGGGTTTGATAAAGGCGCTGTTCTTTTGTACGTAGCCTGATGTGCCGCTTCCTCTTGGGGTTGTTAGGCCCACGTTTGAGGACATTTTGGTGGTTCTTGGTAGTTGATTTTAGGTTTGGTTTGGGTTGGTGGTGGGGGTTGTGAGGTAGTGTGTAGGTCCTTGTCGATTGATTGCTGGTCTCCAAGCTATATTCACTCAGCGACGGTATAACGCGCTGTGAGCGGTGCGCGAAAGAAATGTAGGAGTTTCGGCTGGAGGTTAACTGAGCTGCGGGAGATGTTGAGGTCAAAATGCGCCATTGTTCTTCCCGGTCACGTGTTGATAACACTCTTCATCACGTTGAATTTCCAACTAGCTGCAAAGCATTTGGGCAGGCAAAATGATACGAGTTACGCGAATATAACACATTGATAAGCTCTACTTTCATTATTACGACTTCCATCTATCTGAATGTGGTTACAACAGTAACCAAGAAACCCCCTAGCAAGAAGTAAATAAAATCAAGTCATAATGCATTGGTAATACAGCCACAAGCAAAGAGGTAAACGGGGGTCATTATTCAAGTGTGGAAAATAACGGGATAGGGTGAGACAATATCAACATGGCATGAGGGCAACAAACACGTCAAGTGACACTTTCCATTTTGGTTAGATCGCGAGACTGTATAGCCTACTTTGAATAAACGAGGCAGGTTCAGACAGACAGGCTGAGGGTGGATAAGTCGAGTGAGGTCGAGATGTATTGGATGTCGAGATCAAAATGTTGATATTGATGTTCAATGAAGTCACATGACGACGGACCTTTGATATGGCTTAAGTGTAAAAGAATCGACTAGTGCTGTTGGTTGTTGTGCCAGATGATGAATAGATAAAATCTTCTCGTATTTTGATGCAAGAAATCGTACCCGGATCAAACTCGTCGATCCGGTGAATGTGTCTGATTGAGATTGCAGATAAGTCCCCCCGTGCCTTGAAACCATGACCATGAAACCCAGACCTTGACCCATAACAGTAGAATGAACAATAAAAAATGAGACAAACAAGAGTAGACAAGTCGAGAAACACAAGACGCCATTTCATAGATTTGATCTGATCTGATCCTTAGACCAGCATAAACAGCGAGGCATTGACAAGATGGGTGGTGAAACACCGTCGTAAGAGTAAATGAACAGTTCAAGAAAGGACATGGAAAGGAAAAAAAAGGGTAGAAATAAGACATAGGAATCAACAGGTCTGAGATCGACAAGAAACAAGAAATAAAAGCAAATTCCGGCCCTATTGTTGCGCCGACAAGCCATGTTGGTAAAGGGAGAATCACATAAGACGTTGGTGAGATATATCCGCGCCGGATTCCCCTGTATGTATACGCTCCATATTAGATAAAGAACAAGAATGTTGACTCGGCTTCGATCAGATCTGGATTAGAAATATTATGTTGAGCGAGCGAGTGGAAATGTGTGCAACGAATTAGTGAGCACTGGTGACATCGACCGGGACGGTAACACCGGTGCTGCCCGTCTCGGGACTCGAAACCGAGGTCACTGTGCTTTTGGCGAGGCCCTTGGGCTCGAGAGAGCTATCGACCGTGCTGGGGTCTGTGGGGGGAGGTGTGGGAGGAGCGTTGCCCAAGAAGGCCCGTGGCTGCTCCGTGGGGAGAGAGCGCTTGAGGGGTTGAGGAGAGGACTTGTGAGAGTTTGGGGGAGTGGTCGAGGTAGTGTGGGATAGAGGCACAGTCGCAGGGGAGTTTGGGTCGAATATGAGCTTTTCAATAGCGACGATCTGCTTGCCATAGCTGAACTTCTTCAGCTGGCTGAGAAGAGGCTTGATCTGGTCAATGAGAGCTTCACGCTCTGCCTCCTTGAGTTGACCGAGGACCTTTTCTAAAGGGGGTTAGTAAGGGATGTATCTTGAGTTATGAGGTACTTACGGATAACATAATTTCCATACTGGTCGCGCATGAGACCGAGGAGAGGGCTCTCGCCACGGTCGTTCGGGGAAGTCAAGGTAGAGATGATGTGGTGACGCTCATGGGGAGCACCGAACTCAATGCTCTTCTCAACAACGTTGCTAGCGAACTTGTGCTTAGAGTAGGCAAGGAGTTGACCCATGACGATGTCAATCATGCGAGTGCGGTCTTGCTCATCACCGTTCTCAATTACATGCTGGATGACATAGTTGCCGAACTGATCGGGGATCAAGTTGGATGTGCAAGCGTGCAGCTCCGCCAGGATAGACTGACGGTCGACTTCTTCGCAGTGCTCGAGCATTCTCTGGATAACGCGGCAACCATATGGGTGGGCAGCGAGCCGGTTGACTTGTCCACGGAAAGCGTTGATAATGAACTGAACGTACTGAGAAGGAACGCGCTCGATGGCTTTCTGGATAACATGGTTACCGTTCTGGTCACGAACGCACTTAAGGACGTGATTCTCTAGCTCTTTGACCATGGCAGATTGCTGGTCGGTGAGAATGTGCTCGAGAGCCTTCTGCACGACACGGCATCCGTACATCTGAGTGGACAAAGCCAGAACATGACCGCGCATCTGGTTTGCGAGTATCTTCTTCTGGGTCTGGTTGCCATGCTCAAACAGCTTCTGGACGACGTAGTTGCCGAAGACATCAGTCATCAACTGGAGGCAGTTGGGCTGGATCTCGCGGAAGATCTGCTCCTTCTCGTCGCTGTTGGCAGTTTCGAGCTTCTGCTGGATGAAGCGAGAGCCGTGCTGGTCCCCGCTGAACTCAACAACATGATTGTATATGTCCTTGAGCTCGTAGCGCTTGTTACCCTTGCTGTTGGCACGGAACTCCTCGAGGAGAGGGCTGCGGACGACCTGAGTAGGGTCATGATCACGCTGGGTGCGGGAGACCAGAGCGGTTGCACCTAGTCCACCGAGATGAGCCACCGGATAGAATCCAGACAGAGCGTTCAGGCGAGCATTCTGGTATCCTTGGAAATCGTAAGCAGGAGGGTACTGCATGCGCTGTCCGGCATTGGCAGAAGCCTGAGCAAGCTCCTGTTCCTGGAGAGTGCGCAGGCGACGCTCGAAAGCAGCGGCCTGGCTGTCAGCGACACGACCTCCGGTGTTGCGGTATTGGCCAGTGCCATCCACACCAGTGTAGATAGGGCTATCAATGCGAGCGTAGTCAGAGGGTGAGATCGATCCAGTCTCCGCAGCGCGAGAGCGAGCTTGATAAGCAAGGTGCATATCCTGTGCGGCTTCGGCACTGTAGCCTAGTCCCTGGTAGGCAGCTTCCTCGTTGTTCGGATACTTGACACGAGGGAATGTACCATCGAAGGAGGCGTGAGGGACGTAGGCTGGGCGCTGAACACCCTGGGTGTAGTTACCATCGTTCACCTGGAGCTTGTTAAATCCAGCGTTGAGGTCCATTGAGCCGCCATAACGGCCATCGATGCTGTGGTTCTCAGAGTAGAAAGAAGGATGGGCGGAGTGAGTAGGCCGTTGAGCGGCGTAGGAGGCGGAATTGTGAGAGACGTGGGAAAGAGTGCTGCGGCCTTGGGGGGGGGGAAATGGAATCCTGAATGCCCGAACCTAGTGAGGACATGCCCCTGGCGGCGGCCATGTCGTCCTGACGGGCGCCTTCGAGAGAGTTGGAGAATCCAGGTTTGAGGGGGAAGGTTGTTCCCACCGGACTTCCACCAAGACCGGTGGAGTTCATCTGTCGTCGACCAGCAAATCCACCGAATGACATGCCATCACCGGAGGGCGAGACACCCTCCGAACCAGTGTTGATGAACGGACGGTGGCTTGCGGTACCAGCTGAGCTGCCGATGCCAGTTGTGCGAGGAAGAGCAAAGTAAGAGCTATCACCAGTCTCGTTCATGACAGGCGCACTGCGGTCGTTGGCACGCGTCTGAATCGGGGAGGTGGCCAGGCCACGGTTCTGGAAGGTAGCGTTGTTGTTGACGGTACTCCAGGGAAGGTTGGCGCGACCCGACCAGCCATCGGACTCTGATGTAGACAAGAGAGAGCCTGAGCCTGACTTGCCTTCGAAAGCAGTTTCGCTGATGTGTTGATCTACCACACGTCAGTATAACCTTCCACCATGACCGACGATCACTTACCGTCTCCGAATCCGCCCAGGTTCGAGTCACCCCAGATGTTGTACTTGCCAGCGCCGAAGCTCTTGCCGACATTGTTGTGAGATCCGCGGTTGTGGTCGTTCATCCCTGATGAACCCATGTTGGAACCCCGACTAGACCGTACCTACACCGACGTTATTATTGATCCAATTGCTTTCCCAGTCGCATCCGACTCACGTTATGTACGCTGGTTGCATTAGCGGCCATCGTAGAAGCCATCCCAGGAAATCTCCGATCGGCGATCGACAGTCGATATGTGCTCGAACGGCGAGCGAGTATTTGCAGAAAGATCGAGCGGGTCTGTTTTTAAATCACAGACGCTTATCAAAGAACCGAAGAATTATCGGCCAGTATTTGCAAGCGGGCACCAGGCACCAGAAACGGGCGTACACGAAGGAATATAAGACTGCGAAAAGTGCGACCCTTGTTAGCCAGTTGTTGGAGGAGGTTGCATTGGGAAGCCAGGTGTGAAGCAGGTGCGAAGGTGCCAGGGTAGGGTGTACAGGGACTCACCAAAGGAGGGGACGACGAGTGAAAAGAATGAGAGAGAGGCCTTGAGTCTTCACAAACCCAAGGACATGTACAGATTATACAGGGATCACGAAGAAGGGAGACGGAAGGGAGGAGTAGCGAGGCGAGAAATGCTGGAGGTGGCAGAAAAAGGTCGGGGAGAGCAGATGCAAGGTGACAAAGAATTGGAACGATATTATCACCCTTTCTGTTTGTCGCTGCAGCAGTGTGGGGAGGGGCCAGAGTTGGCAGCCGGAGGGTTCTGAAGGAGGCGTCGCGACGTTACTCTGCTCCGTGCATGCTCCAGGAATCTCCCAATTTGCAGATCGTCGTATGGCGATCCTCGAGAATGGCGTTGGGGCCCTGATAGGCAAGGGGGATGTTGTAAGTGGAATGCGCTTTCGATGAAACTCCCAGAATCTAGTGGGTCGATTGATGAGAATGTGGAAGAGAGGGCATAGATGTAGCTGTCACACAAGCTGACAGCCCAAGCGGGTAAATAAAAGACCTTGTTGGGGACGGAACAAGGAAAAAGAAAGAAGAGTGTAAGAAGAGCAAAGGGGGGGAGAAAGAAAGAGGAAATGCGATAGATAGAAAAGAAAAATGATGCGAGTTTGAAGGAAGATCAGCCGCTGTATTGCCCGTAATACCGTGACGATGAACAAGGTCGATCCTGGCTGATGGTGGAGGTACTTATTGACTAGTATTAATTAATATGGGGATGGAAGTACCCTTCCCACTCACAATACATGGCTTGGGTTTCTGACGGTCACCGCGATCTGCCTCCCGGCGCTTCTTTCTAGCCCCTCTCACTTGCGATTGACTTCTCTCAATTAGCTGATTATAGGTGAAGAATTGCTGGTTATAGCTATATTCCATGGTTAATAGTCTAGCGTCAACAACTAACTCTGGATCATGTCCCTAATCTGGTCCAGGGACACCAGTTAGACCTGGTTGAGCGAGAAACCCTGAAGTCACCGAGAGTTTCATACCGGCCAATAGTTCCTGACCAGTTCCTCCCTGTATTGGCCATGGACGAGAGATCCAGGGTTGATACAATGCCGAAAGAGCCGAATATAACTGATTCAAGTAGTTAAAAGCAAAGAGAAGCTTTATAGTTCCCGGCAACCAACTTGGCCCGAAAGCTGCGGGGCCACTGGACCCTCTAAGTTAAGTTAATTGCGCTTAACTCAAGTACATTCTTCAGTGAGGGGTTGTATATCTCTTCATGATATATTCTATGTATGACGAGTGCTCTATTCTTGATATTCTACTCTACTGTATATATTCTGTTTCCCCTTCAACCTTCCAATAGTTTACTGTGTACCATCCCTGGAAAACAGGTTTGAGAGACTTCCATAGACTCACCCAGCCCCTTACTTCACTCCGTCACACTGACCCTTGTTCCCAAAGGGGCATTGGTATCTAACTCTTTAACATCTGGCATTGGCTGGTATCTGCCATATTATCTGCCATATCTCGGTATCTGTGGCATTGCCAGGGCTGGTATGGAGCATGTTCTCAACAGTCATGACCGTGTAATCCCAGGCCATTTTGAAAGGCCGAGACAGGGGATTTTGATCCTTGCACAGGGGTCGCACAGGTCGAGTGTCAGACCATCACTCGCATTTGGATTTCCCCGGATCTTTGGCTTGCCTTGCGTCCGATTGCTGCTAGATCGTTGCGATCCCTTGGGCTTCGTTTTTCCCGTCGGCCTTTTCTCCGGGATTGTGACAGGTCACTTTTTGGTGGTGGTGGTGTGTGTTGGCCTCTTGACCGCATTATAAAGAATCCAGTGTGGGAGAGGTCATTGTTGACAAATTGACAGGGTGGCGTACGGAGTTGGTTGGGTTTTTGATCTTGAGTGTCAGGTCTTGGCTAGTACTTAGTGCTGTACAGAGTACAGTCAGTTTAGTAGAGTAGATCTCGGTATTTGTAAATCTATTTGATTACATCTTGATTTGAGTGATATATCATGACACTGTATACTAATTCATTCTCTGCCGCTCTAAGCACTAATAATAATACAAATACTGACACTTACCTGGTCAAATACAGGTCAGTCGATCATGCAGTCGGGCAGGAAAGTGTTTCAAAATACACAGCCCAATTGACACTACAGCTACTGATCTGATGTTCAATGACTGTCTAGGTGAATTGTACATACGTGGCGACGGGAGTACTTGACTACGTATTAGTATACCTCAACCCCAGCCTATTCCCCCACAAGACAAAGCACCCTACTACTGGTACATACAAAGTTTACAACAGCCTACCTACTGTGCTTGTAACTGTATATTTGCTGGTGGCCATTTGCACCCTGGTGACCGCGTACTAGTGCGGTGTGTTGCCGATGTGGCGGTCAAACCATGCGAGTTGGATACATGCAGTTGAAGTGATTGATACATTAAGCATCTGGCAAACACAGTAGTAAAATCTTGCAGTTTAGATGGATGTGTCTAGATATGCTTAGTTTAAATGGCAGACTATTGATTCCAAACTGTCCGAGTCGAAGTTTGTGTGCAGATGGTGGAGGTGGTTATCTGTATATATATTCCGCACCACCGCGCTTATAACATAGCTTCGACTCAACTATTTCTATTTTCTTTGATTAATTTACTATCTGTTTAACATGATATATCATGAATGATTTATGATTTATAAACACTCGCACAATGGCTAATTCTACCAGTATTGCATGTTTCCTATGTGGTTTTGATGTACACTTGTTAGGCGCTCACCTGGGCACTTAGGCTTCAAGTGTAACAAACCATCACATCACACTGACATTCCCTACACCGTTCGACTTACAACACTTCCTCCTACATAGGATGGTTTATTTTAATTCAAAATGGCTGTTTATTATTCAAGGGTGAGGCATATAATAGCGTTGTGTACTGTGGATTAATTTCCCATTAATGATTCACTGAGACATTACTGCTTATAGGTGTGATAGTGCATTGGCGCCTATTGTGCTACCTAGGCAGCATTGCGGTGAACGTGAAGTGAACACGACACACGACACACACACTAATATAGGTCTTATCGTGAACATGAACACTACTCTATAGTGGACTATACTAAAAGTTGGCAGTGTTCTAGCCATAACTGGAGACTGGAGCATAACTGGCCATAACTTTAGGGGGAAAACAAGGAAAGAGGCCCCCCCGAAGGGTCCGATCTCCAGGCACCTAACGCTGATTGGCCAACCCCTGGGGCCAAGACCGTTCGTTGGTGACCGGGCAACGCTAAGCTTAGAACAGCTTAGCACGCGTTAACAATAGAATTCTAGGTCTCTCTGCCCTCTGACCTCCCCTTCTCCCCTTTCTGCTTTCCCTTCATTCTCTCTCCTCCATTCCTTTCGCAGGTGTCAGCTTCACTCTTTTGGCTCACCTTGCTGTCCACTCTTTACTAAGGTTCAATCTTTGGTTTCTAGCCTGTTTTGACCCTTTCCCCCCTGTTCACCCCCCCCGGATTCAATCCGTGTCATTCGTTAAAACATCGACGATCTTTCCAAATACAACCAATTTCGATCCTTCTACTTGGTATCTGACGCCTATCGACTATCGACTATCAACACTCAAGTCTGACTTTCGACATCGACATCCGACAAAACCCGCCAAGATGATGAATCTCTTGCCCCGACTCGTCGCACGTGATGACAACAATGGTGGACTCTCCAATGCTATGGTCGACCTTCTGATTGCTCTCCTCGTTCTGGTTCTGCTCGCCCTCGCTCTCGTTGGTGGTCTTATGGTCCTTCGCCGCAAGCGTACCTCGCGCAAGGAATCCCTGCTCCCCGTCTACAACGGTCAAAGCCCTCCCAACAACCGTCGCTTAACCATTTCTACGAATAAGAACGACTCCGTCCTAGTGTATGACGAGAAGCGCAGCCTTATGGAGAACTCCGACAGCCCACCACCTAGCCCTGTGCCCGAGATTCGCATTACATTCCCCGAAGAAGAGGATGAGAGCGGCAAGCGCAAGTCTGGCCGCATGGTGGTAGTTCGTATCAGTGACGCCGGCAGTGTCGGCCTGGAGCCTTGCCATGAAGAGCTCCCACCCTACCAGACCAGCGATGCCGACCGCTTCCAGTCTCTCGACATTGAGCGGATGGGCGGCTTGAAGGAGAAGGAAATGAAGACATACTCCTAGAGGACTATTGGCATCCAACTTAGCCATTGAGCTTGCCCGCAGTGCCGCTCACCTCCACTATCTTCAACGACTTTTCAAAAGCATGACCACCCCCACCACTACATCCGTTCCGATTCTACCTTACATACCTATTCCCCGTTTTGGCCTGATGGCTTGCACATATGCGGATTCAGTCTTTGTTCAACCGGCTTACCCCCATCTTGGTTTTGGAGCTATCCTCCACTATCTCCCTGGGTACTTCGGCCCACTTGACGGAAGCTGGATCATTTATAGCGAGGGCCTGCCGATTTTTCTGCTTTTTGTTACCTGGCGTTGCTTCTTGAGCCTGGTCCCCCATATCCCTTTCAACCCTGTCACGTTCCTAGGGTTCGGAATACATGCACGTGACATTTTTGCTATATTTTCCTTCTCCACACCCCTTTAGGGAGTCCTAGTTTATTTTTTTAGGACCCCCTCTACTTTTCTTCTTCTCATGTGCCTTTTCTCCGGTACCCGGCAGCTGGATAATGTATGTACTTAGTCCTCCTATGTTTTGCCATGGCAAACTCGCAATATCTTTTTCTGTGTGTATCGTGTGTATCTGTGTGTAGTTGTATCCACCCGGCGAATCAGAATCACCGAGTCCGATCTCCCCAACCCGTCCGTTCCGCGACGTCAGAGAACCTCTATTTCTTTTTTTTTTTCTTTAGCAATTCGCTAAACCTTTCATTCCGGCTTAGCCATGTACATGCTATAGCTTCACTATTAATAGGGAAGCCGTTACAGAGACGAGCACAGAAAGGGGTTCGACCTCCGTAACCTCTATACCTCCGACCCTAACAGACCCTCATTACCTCACTCTACCTATCTTCCCCTCCTCGAATGGACCGGACTTAAATCGACCCCCGGCAAAACTCGTGCTTGCGCTGCCTCCGGCTTCCCTTCCCTCGATTACTTTCTCCGGACACCGTGTCCACCCCTCCCGGACTCCTCGGCTTTATACTGAGATCAGACCGGACCGCGACTGGCGCGCCAGACATCGATTTCAGAAATTAGCACGCGCGCTTTTTCGTGGATATGGCTGCGAACCCGCCTCCAGGGGCGATGGGTCCTCTCTGGACACCCAATGTCTCGAAAAGTGGCCCGAAGAGTCCGGCTGCGCAGTCTAGGCACAAACAGACCGGTGTGTTAGATCAGAAGGCGCTGGCGCTGGAGGATGAATTCAAGACGAAACATCTTGGTGTGCTGGGTGTTTTGGCGTGGATAATGTGAGTGGGATATTTCATGATTTGGCGCAGCTTGAATTTCAGGGTTCAAGCTTGCAGACTGGAGGATTTGAAGAAAATGTCGAGCTTACATTGGATATTCGCAGGCTTTTACATGTTGCCGGTATATATCTGTTCACAAAGGGATTCCTTCTTACGCGCATGGTTCTGGAGAATAAATCCTCATGCGATGTTTTACCTTTCGACGATGTCTTAAATCAACCGCAGGGCGCGCTGGGAAACCAGGAGAAGGGTTGTTGGCATGAGAAGACTTTTGATAAGGCTGTTGTTATCATTATTGATGCTCTTCGCTATGATTTCACTGTTCCCTTTGCTTCGAAGGATGAGAGTGAAACTGCTCATCTGTTCCATGATAATATCCCCGTGCTTTACGAGACTGCTGTTCAGAACCCCGCCAACGCCTTCCTTCTTCCGTTCATTGCTGATCCCCCGACGACGACTCTGCAGCGTTTGAAGGGTCTGACAACTGGCACCCTACCCACCTTCATCGATGCGGGGTCCAACTTCGCCGGGACAGCTATTGATGAGGATAATCTCGTTGCTCAATTACACCACGCTGGAAAGAGTCTCGTTCATCTTGGAGACGATACATGGCAGTCTCTGTTCCCAGGCTATTTCAACGAGAACCTTACTCACGCGTATGACTCATTCAATGTCTGGGATTTGCATACAGTCGACAACGGCGTCACAGAGCATCTCTTCCCACTGCTCAACCCCCAGAACAGTACCAAGTGGGACGTGATCTTTGGCCATTATCTCGGCGTGGACCATGCCGGTCACCGATACGGTCCCAACCACGCTGCCATGGCATCCAAGCTACAAGAAATGGACCGTGTCATTCGACAGATTATCGCAGCTCTTGATGAGAAGACCCTCCTCGTCGTCATGGGTGACCACGGCATGGACGCCAAGGGCGACCACGGCGGCGAGTCCGATGACGAAGTCGAAGCTGCGTTGTGGATGTACTCCAAGCGTGGTATCTTCGGCCGAACGAGCCAGGATACAATCCTCCCACCCAAGTTCGCACGTGACCGCTTCGTTCCCCAGATTGATCTCGTTCCGACTCTGTCCTTGCTCCTTGGAATGCCTATTCCATTCAATAACTTGGGCTCTCCTATTGAAGAGGCTTTCTCTGGTGCTGGTGGTAATAACTGGGCTAATATGGCTACTGTTAACCGGTTGACTTCCGCTCAGGTCAAGAGATATCAGCACCAGTATGGTATTGCTCGGGGTGCTGGTGATGACAAGGAATCTATGTTGCTGTATTCTGCTGCCGAGGAGGAGTGGAAATCTGCCTCTAAGAGTTTCTCGTCGAAATCGAGTGCTGCTCGTGCTAGTAATGAGCTCTATCGCAAGTATCAGCGTCATACTTTGGATGTCTGTCGTGGTCTGTGGGCTCGCTTTGATGTGCCTAGTATGATCCAGGGCGTTGTAATTCTCTTCGCGGGAATTATTCTATTGGTTATCTATGCACGAGGCTTGAAGATGGATCGGACTCAACTTACTCCTCGCTTACTTTCCTTTGTGGGAGCTGGAGCTGGAGCTGGAGCTGCTTCTGGCACTGCTTTGGGGTTGATTGGGTTGACTGAGATGACTGTCATTGATTTTGTTGTGCTTCTGACTGCGGCTGGAAGCATCATTGGAGCTCTGCCGGCTATTGTCAAAAAGCCGACGAACTTGACTGTGCCTCTTCCCAGTGGCATGTGGGGTTGGCTTGCGTTCTTCTTCACTGTTTCCCAGTCTTTTGGATTCGCTTCTAACTCTTACACCATCTGGGAAGATGAGATCCTGCTCTTCTTCCTTACTACCTTTGGTGTATGCGCTGGCATCTCCTCCATGCGCCAGAAGCAGACCACAGATCGTGTCCTCGGCGTCTACCACTCCGTCCTTTTCGTGATTCTTGGTCGTGTGGCATCTTTCTCCCGCCTCTGCCGTGAAGAACAAATGCCCTTCTGCCGCTCGACCTACTATGCCTCCTCAACCTCCTCCATCTCCGCCCCCTGGCAGCTCGCTATTCCCTTCCTGGTGACACTCTTCCTCCCAAGCGTAGTCCGCTCCTTCTACGTCGGCTCAAAGTCCTACGAAGGCGCCGCCTACCTGTGGATCGGTTTCGCCTTCCGCCTAGGCCTTTTCATCACCTCCCTCTTCTGGATGCTCGAAGGCGCCGACGACGGCGAATGGCTCCCCATCAGCAAAGAAACCCTCAAATCCGTCCGCGTCTTCCTCGCCCAACTCGTCCTAGCCCTAGCCCTCGCAGCAGGCACGGGCGCATACCTATATTGCAAGCCCTGTGTCAGCATAAACGTAACAAAACAACCGGAAGACCCAACCACCCCTCCAGACCCCATAACCGCAGGCCAACCACAAGGCCCGCGGACAACAGTGACAATCCTCGGCTTCGGCAACGTCTACGGAACCCGCTTCTTCTTCCTAGTCATCAACTTCGCCCTGGCAACAATCCTCATGCAAAAACCAATGGGCCAAGGCGCCATCGCCCTCCTCCTCTGCCAGATTCTCTCCCTCCTCGAAATCCTAGACACAAATGCCCTGACTATATCCAACTCGTCCATCGGTCCCATAATCCTAGGCGTCCTGGGTTCCTTCTACTTTTTCAAGACAGGCCACCAGGCTACCCTCAGCTCAATCCAATGGGAGACGGCTTTCATCCCTCTCTCAACTATCAAATACCCCTGGTCTCCGCTCCTTGTCATGCTCAATACCTTTGGTGCTCAAATCCTTGCCGCTATCGCTGTTCCCCTTACCGTTCTTTGGAAACGGCCGCTCCAGACTCATGATCGTGTACCTGCGTCTGAACCATCGAAGAATCCTGCTACGCGTCTTCTCTCCGATGTCGTTCAGGCGGCGAGTACACACATCCTCTATCTAGCAACTATCAATCTCGCGACGACGATGTGGGCTGGTCATCTCCGGCGCCATCTTATGCTCTACCGCATCTTTAGTCCGAGATTTATGATGGGGTCGGTTGTTTTGGCGGTTGTGGATGTTGTCCTCATGGTTGTTGCTGTTGGTGGTGTGAGGTGGAGTACCCTTAGTGTTGGTGAGGTCTTTGGTTGGTGATGGGTGAGTGTTCTTTGCATTGGGTGGCTTGGTTTTCTTTTGCATTTCTTGCCATTGTCATATCATCTCATACCTTGCGATGTCTTTCCTTTCTTTTTTTTTTTTTTTTGGATGATTTGAGTGATTTGATTGAATCGCTTGGTCTTTGTTGGCGCGCTTCTGCTTCCGCGCTGCGCTGTGACTATGTGTACATGCGCTTTTATCTTGTAACACCTACCTCACCTACTCATTCTTTTCTTCCATTCTTTCTCTTGTCTTGTTATCATTTTGTTCTACTATATTTGTTGGTACTTATAGACTTATAACTATAATTCTAGTCCTTAAAGTTATATGTATCCAACTAAGTAGACATGATTTAGTCTGCTTTGCAGATGGATGACAGCTTAAGATTTGTATCTCAGCATTCCGAAGGAGATAATGTCCACGGAATACACCAAGCCCTATCAATTATACCCGAACGGCCAGCGAAGCACTTCATATGTATACACTACACCCTAGAGATATAAAGATATACGAAATGGAAATACACAAAATGACAAGCATGAATACGGCCCACGGGCTACGGTAGCACTGAGGCGTTTGGATGGGTAGATGACACGAGCATCATTGCTGTCTCAAACAGCTACGAAGAGAATGTCTGGCTTATCGAGAAAGCTCTTGAGAGAGCCGATCAGTGGGCCAGACGTCATGCAGCGAGATTTGCACCCGACAAATTTGAACTAATCCACTTCAGCAACCCGAAAACAACACCCGTGGTATCTAACACCATTACAGTGGTGCCCAATACCACCGCCATTGTTCCCACTCCCTCTCTCGGCCCTTCGTCCTCTGAGACAGACATCTGGACTGTCCCGGATGACCCCTGTGGACATGATCAAATGCCAGTGGCAATGCCAGGCAATGAACCAGTCATTATACAACCAACCGAATGTGCCAAATACCTCGGTGTTTGGCTTGACAAACAACTCAAATTTGATACACACCGCAAGAAGCTCCTTGCAAAAGCAGCCGGCAGCCTGGAAGCCTTACGAGGCATCTCGGGGTCTACGTGGGGTGCATCATTAATGTCTATGCGTAAGCTCTACCAAGCAGTTGTCGTGCCTCAGGCTCTCTAGGGCGTCTCTGCTTGGTACTGCCCTACAGCACGCTCAATGCCGGCATGGGAAATGACGCGCCTAGTCAATGAGCTAGTGAAGTTGCAAAAACGCGCAGCTGTTTTGATCAGCGGCGCGTTTAAAAGCATCTCCACTGCTGCATTAGACATTGAGCTCTTCTTGCTCCCAATGAAACTGCGCCTACAATAGTCTATCGAAGAATGCGCCATTCGCATCCTCACCGGACCTCAGTGGGCCTATCCCCGAACGGCAAAAATAGCAAGGAAGCCGATCGAAAGACGTCTGGGTGGATGGACACCGTTGGAAGCCCTAGTCTGGAGGAATGGACCAATCAAACTCAACATAAAAACGAATATAGAAGGTGCGGAGAAATGGGAAGAAAGAGCTGCATTCGTGCTGCCACCCTAGGAGAGACGTATCTTATGTTACATTGAACCCTCGGAGGCTGCGAAAGCAACTCATGAAGCCATCATCCAAAAGAAGTGGACTAAAGTAGGAAGTGAGACTTCCTTGATATATACGGACGGCAGTGGCTTTGAAGGCCACATTGGTGCGGCTGCCGTCAACATCTATGACAGTGATACCGTTATCTCAGACCGCAGACATCTCGGTACGGGGAGACAGTCCACGGTGTACGCTACCGAGCTCAGCGGCATTGAGATGGCACTAGCAAGGGCGATAAAGAACAACAAGGCAAAACCCATAAAGGCTCGAGAGGTAACCCTCTTCTCTGACAGCCAGGCCGCCATTCAGGCGGTCCAGAACCCACAACGACCGTCGGGCCAGTACGTCCTCGGGGTGATATACGATCGCGTACGGACCCTTCGATCGAGACACTCGTCATTTGTTACCCTCCGCTGGATCCCCGCACATAACGGGGTGCCTGGCAATGAAGTTGCCGATAGTAGTGCGAAACTGGCAGCCATCGAAAGTGCGGGAGGTGCGACCGACGGAGGGGCCGGATCGGATAAACCGACGATCCGACTTGCTGCCGCCGCCAAGCGTATGGTTCGGGCCCGTATTCAGGACCGCTGGCGGAAGCAGTGGGATGCGGAGAGGACTGCCCAGCCGACAAAGCGCTTGGTGGAATGGCCGAATAAGAAGGTCCTACGTCTATACGAAGGCCTATCTAAACCCCGCTCATCGATCATAATACAGATACGCTCAATGCGTATTGCGCTGCGGCACTTCCTGTACAAGATCAATGCAGCGGATTCGGACAAATGCCCGTGTGGAGAAGGCTCTCAGACCCCGAAGCACGTCTTGCTTCAATGCCAGACCTTTAGTGGTCTAAGAAGAGAGCTTTTTGATAAGCTATTTCAGGCCGGGGCTTCTAACCATACTGACTACGACACTCTAGTGTCAGACCCGCTGGCGATCCGCTACGTCGCCAAATTCATGCATCAAACCGGCCTACTTGCTCAGTTTCAACACACTCAGCAAGAAGAGTCCGATGACGAAACTGGAGATCCTGAGATCATGGAGCAGAGTCCCGAAGACGCTGGGTACTCACCACCGCCTGCGCCGACGTTTGAGGAAGGAGAGAACCTCACTCAGCTATTCGAATATACTATACCGGACTGGATTAAGACCCATGTTCGGCCTGATGAACGATAATCAGCAATTGAGGCTGAAGTGAGGATGTCGGAGAACGGGGTTTGATCTTGCTGCAGCAGAGACTGGCTGGCATCTAGATCGAGAGGTGTCTCATGGGATGTGAGAGGACAGGGGAGGTGGACGGTGCATCCACGCATTCATTTGTATCCAGTGCTTCCTAACACTGGATCTCTCATTTGTACGGGCTTCTTATTTGGGTATGGGTTTGGCTTACATGTAGGGCTGGTTCTCTCTCTCGCTTCGAGACTAGCCCATTCTTCTGTACTGGAGCATGATCAGGCGTACGGGACACGAGTTCTTGCTTCAACTGGAAAGAAGCGCCTGCATAGCTATTCGATACTAGATAGGCTGCAACAGGTTAATAGAACTTTGATTGATTGATTGATTGATTGACAAGCATGAATAATTCCCACAAACTAAACCCCTATCCTAATCCTAATCGCTAGCAGAAGAAATGAAACCGGAACAAGGGCCAGATAGAAACAGAAACAGAAGAGACAAAGCAACAACTTTTGGGGCAGAGAAGGGGTATTCACAAATGCGACAATTGTCTGACATCACGAAAAAAACACAAAATGATGTACATGAAGTCGTTTCTGGGGTCATTTTTCATAGAGGGGTCTGTCGTATATTTTTTGAAGGTGGAAGGGGATGGAGGAGAGGGATGGAAAAGGCAAAGAGGGATTAGGGAGGAAAGAGGGGATATGATGAGTGTGGAGTATGGAATTTGAAGGTTGATAGGTAACAGAAGGAGTGGAAAGGTGGGAAGATAGAGCGAGAGAGGTAGAGAAAGAAATATGATCGTTTTATCAGGGTGCCAGTTGACGGGATTCTCGAACAATCAACGAGACCATCGGGAGAAGTCTAGGTTCTGCAGGATGTTCGTGTCTGCCGCTGCATTCCACTCTGCCGCAAAGTCGGTCTGCACCTGGGGAGTACGCGAGGGCAGTTCCTCAGAGAAGATGTTGGCCTTGGTACCACGACGCTGGCCAGGGTATGCTCCTTCGGGTTCGGCGGGTTGCGCCTGGGCTGTAAGAGCACGCTCGCGAACCTTTTTGATTTCACGCAGCCGAGTGCGCCATGAGGTTGTGTGCTCACCACCCTTATTATTCCAGACAAGCGAGAAGACGGAAGCGTTAAGTGCAAGAATGCGTACAAAGGCTGCCAAGTTCTTGCCAGAGATGACCTTCGGTGTTGCAGCAGGTGAAACATCGGGGAATCCGGGCTTGCTCATCACTTGGACACTGTAGAAGAGGTTCTGCGGGTTGGTTTCACCTTTAACGTTGTCATCTTCATCGTAGGCAATACGAGACGACGGAGTGATGACAATGTTGATGGAATTGAACTCGGACGGGATTGTGTCAAAGTTGAACGGCAGGTTAGACCGGTTGAACACAATGGTGACATGGTTATTGCCAATGTTTCGCTTCTTGTTGATACAAGCTGGGTCATGCTCAAGGTTCGTAGGCATCATTGTCGCAACGTGGTACACGATTTCGGTAACACGATCTCGCCAAGCGTAGGTATCTTCTCCATCGGTATCGGCATATAATCCTTGCGGGTTAAATTGAGGGTTCCGAAGAGACACTTTGGTTCCTAAGCCGGACAGCAGATGCTCGTAGTCCGCAGATCCTCCAGTGTTGGCAAGGATATCTGCCTCCTTGGTCTGGCCATTACCGACGTAGACAATGCCGATACGGTGACCATCCACAATGTCGGTTCGATCAAAGTTGCTGATCGCACGGCGGGTGATATCGTCTTCTGGAACCGGGATAGGCTGCATGACCGTTGGCGTAGGGAAAGCAGTTGCAGTCAATTGGAGCATGATGTGACTTGGAAGCACGGCTGTATGCATTGAGTCGGAATGCAAATGGGCGTCGGGTGTTGGAGGCACTTGATGTGGCAGAACCGGGGCGGTTCGCTGTTGATAGACAGAATAGGTGGTTCCTGATGCCTGGCGCTTGGTGATTTGGGATATGCCAGATACTCCAGCAGTCTCCACGGTAACAATACTCATACCGACAATCCAAGACTTTTTCGCAACAGGACCATCCTCAGGGGAAGGAGGGAACGTTTCAAAAGGGATGGTCTCTCCGAGATCCGAGTAAGCAACTCGCTGCATCAGATCAATCAAGACTTGACTTTGTTCTTCAACCACCTCCTTGCCGTGTTCGTCGTGGTAAATGAGTCTGCTCGTGATCCAGTTCACATGTTTAGGACGGTCCTGCAGTCTCAAAGACAAGAACCAGAAAACCATGACATGGTAGGTGAGATTGGAAATGTATTTAGACATGCCGTCTTGTGGAGAGGGTTCCGTAGTCTCGGCAGTTTGGGACAATTGAGCTGCTTTGTATCGCTGCTCCCTTGAGGTCTGCAAAAAGCGAATGCAAATTCCAAACACAGTGCGGACTTCTTCTTCGCGCAAGTTGACGTACACATCTGGTAGCCGCGCAAGCAAAGCCAGGAACTCCAAGATATGGACAGCGATGTTTGACATGGTAATCACCTTGGACATCCTATCAAGAATGCTGGTCAATGATTTGGTCACCGACATTGGGATCTCGTAACAACAGAGCGACAGAGCTTGAATGCAACCACGGGAAGTGCCACCCCATGATCCGATGATACCCTGCATGAAAGCACGAACAAGGTCATCCTCTTCACTTTTGGCAAAGTGCTGGTGATAACTGACGAGCATGCAAAGTGCATCGAAGATACAGGCAGCCACATCGCTTTTCTTCAACCCAGTAGTCTCAGGAGGTTCGTGGAAAGTGCCGTTCTTGACTTGATCACAGAGAATGCTACGCAAAAGCGTGACCTGAGGAATGGCGTCTCTGAAAAAGTCTTTGTTGCCAAGCTGAGGTCCCAAATGGGTAAGAACATAGCTGTAGACATCCCAGTTGGCCTCCCGTTGCAGCAGAGTGATTACAACCTCGAGCCACATCTTGACCTTCAGTACTCCTGTGATAGCTAGTTCTGGCGCAATCGACTCGGCAGACTCAGTGGGGTTGGTTGGCTCTGGGTGCGTGTATGCAAAGACGACGGGGCTGGACTCTCCAGGAGGTTGCTCAGGAAGCACTTGCGGGAGAGCATATGTCCATGATGGAGCAGTCAGCTTCGAACCACGGGCAGCGATAGAACCACGTCCTGGAGCCGACTTTGAAATCGATGATTCTCTTATTGGAAGCTTTGCGTTGGGGGAGCCTGGGAAAGGATCCTGCTGGGGAGCTTCGCGGACAGTAGGGCTGTCGCCGAGGGCATGTAACTTAGAGCCACCGTCGAGATTCCGACCCAGAACGTTCATTAAGAAGTCATTCTCCGAGGTTGATATGACCGTAACAGACCCATCCGAGTCACACCGCAGTCGGAAGAGTAGCTTCAAAACAGTAAGACGGGAGTCCGTTGGGCGGGATGCAGACTGTGCAATGCCGAGGAGTGCCTCAAAAACCATCACGGCTTTGGTGAAAGAGTGATTCAAGGCACGAAGCATCATCTTTACAAGACCAACAGCACAGACGTTTGTCAGACTCAACTCCAAGACACTTGCGCTCGTGGTGGATGTGCGGCGGGGAGGAGATGCGTAGCTTGAGGGATCGCGCGGTTCGTCTGGGCTCGAGTCTCTTTGCATCGGCGCCCCAATAACGTCTACTAATAACTTGAATGTTTCGTCATCACTGTGTTGGATGGCCGGGTCAGTCAGCAACGAGACAAGCGACTCTAGGAAAAGAAGATCGTGCTCCGTCGAGAAATCTCTAAGCAAAAGGTTAAGAAGACCGTGCTCCTTGGAGAAGATCGAAGCTTCGTGGTCCGAAAGAGCATCTTTCAGCGTGTCCAAGGCTAGAATGCGAATGTCCGAGCTCTGTTTACGAGGTTGAACAAATCGTTCAATAAGCTCACGGCAATGCTGGACCCATGATGAATCTTCGCGCGGCTCACACAGTTTGTCCTCTCTCATCAAGTGGATGATGAGTTCAGCCTGTGTAGGCTCGATGTGCTGGTAGATCTTCATGAGGAATCGACCGGCGTGCTGCTTTTGCTCTTGGTTGAGGTGTTCCCACTGGTTCTCAAGGACGGAAGCGATCAAGTTGAGATTTGTGAGAATGTAGGATTTGATGTCTTCGGTGGGCTTGGAACTGGCTGAGATGGGAGAGATGGCTGACTCTTCCACAACTCTGCGAGAGCACAACACTAGAAGGTCGGCAAATGCCTTCCAGTCACGTGCCAAGGCAACACGAAGATAGTCTCCTTCTAGGATGTTGAGACATAAATCCAAGATGTCTGAGTCCACCCGACCATCGTCCTTCTGGGCAACCACTTGCAATGACTCTATCAACTGATCAAAGGGTAGTTGGGGCATGCCATCTTGACCATATGCACGAACAAAATCCGAAAACACATAAATCGTGCCACGAAGGACATTCATGTTACGAGTCTGTTCAACAGCACACGATTCTCTTAAGAACTCGTGGAGAGTGTTCACCATTTCTGCTTGTCTGCGAGACTTGGCCAGACTGCGCACCGCTCGAGATGTGGGCCCAGAGAGTGCCTTGACCGATGCATGAATGCTGCAAAGAACTTCGAGGAGAATGGGAAAGCTATTATCGGGTACATCGGCATACATGATCACCGCATCAAATACAGACAAAGAGTTCTTGATGTCTGCTGCGACACTGGTTCTCCTGCATGTGGTGAACGACTCCATGAGAAGCATTTCAATCTCCTCCTGTGTTGGCTTCTTTCGCTGTAAAGTGATCAGGTCTACCGCAAACTGGAACAAATCTCCCAAAGCTGCTTCGTCGTGACTGATCCCGGCCGGTTTGATGACCTTCCCTTTCTTCGCCTTGGACCGCGCCGTTGCGATATAGTCATAGAGAGGAACGATCCATGATGAGATGATATGGAGGATTGAAGAATTGGCGAAATCCAATTTCCTACCATGATCCGACAAAGAGATCAAGGCTTGCACGCGTGCAGAAATTACTTCGGGTACTGTTGGGGTGGCTATCGATTCAAACACTTGACGTCTAGCTGCTTGAGACAGATCCTGACGTGCTGCAATTGCCTCTAATAATTGGGCACCACTTCTCTGAGCATCCAAATCACGCTCATGGCGCAAGAGATGTTCGCCTGCTTCCCATAGCACAACGGACTGCTCGGAGCTAAACCAGGGCAAAGTTTTTGACAAATTCTCAGCCTCCTCAATCGCCCGAGTCAAGTTTTGAGTTTGCGACAAGTGTTGAAGAGACGTGTCAAAGTCCGGGCCACTGGGCGTGTCCGACGAACTCGACACGACACTGCCGCGATGCATTGATTCGAGTCCGTAAATAAGTCGATTGGCGCTGCGACCGTCAGTGTGCGATAGCGAATCACTGCTACTTTCTTGCAAGGAAACCGGAGAATGAGATTTCGGACGTCCGACACCTAGCGTCTTGAAGACATCTGCGAAAGTAGAAGGCTTGTGTTGAGGTACTGGTGGAACATCGTCGGAAGACATCCGCCTCACGGCAGAGATGATACAATATCAGGCGCACGGGTGTCTAAACTATGCAAAGAGTCAGTATATATGGCATCATGTATTGCATCATTTATGATAGAGCCGATAAGTGGAAACTTCTCCGCTTTCGTGAGCCTCATTGGGATCATTGAAATCTTGGAGGAACTCGCCTTTTTCAAATTGACAAAGAAGAACGCTTTACCGCATGGGCAGCTGCTAGCAGCAGAACTCGCACATGTATAGACAGAACGGATAACAAGCTAAAGGATTGAGAATAAACACTGATCGGCAATGAAAAACAGTGAATATCAGAGCCCCACCAGGTCGATGACAGCAAGTGATGTGATGCCAACGGAGGGGAATCGGGCGGGCTGTGGCTATGGAATCATCGGAGACGAGGTTATTCCAGCCCAACCTTGGAAGTCACCTGCTACCTGTCTCACCGCCCTATAGATCGGGCATGAAATATTCAGGCGGTGAGATGCATCCACTGTATGTCACGTGCCTCGCCGCTCATCAGGCTGGCAGAAAAAGTCAGCACAGAAATCTGCAAAGTGGGGGGCGGTGAACCACAGGTAGCGATTTACAGCTTCATTTTTTTCGGTTTCCATTCTCTCTTCCCCCCCGGCAGAAGCCAGGAACGGCACCCTACATTTCTTTTTCCAAGGGTTATTAGTGGCACTCGAGATTCTTTTCTAATTTAATCTCAACTCTCATCTTCCTTGTCTCGATCGGTTTATTCACCTCATCGCCAGGATGAAGTACGTCGTGGTTTCCGGAGGTATATATGACTCATTCTCCATTGAAGAAGGAAGAAACAGTAACTCACATGTATATTTTAGGTGTCATCAGTGGCATCGGAAAGGGCGTAATTGGTACGATCCTCTCATTCGAGCAGTGAAGAACCTTCCTAATACTATGTCCAGCCTCGAGTACCGGTTTGCTGCTGAAGACTCAGGGTGCCCGAGTCACTTCCATCAAGATCGACCCTTACATGAACGTCGATGCCGGAACCATGGCCCCCACTGAGTATGTGGATTCAATCTCAATATCTGAGTACTGTTCCTAATAGCAATTTCTTAGGCACGGAGAGGTGTTCGTGCTGAACGATGGTGGCGAGGCGGATCTCGATCTTGGAAACTACGAGCGGTAAATTTTCCTCCGTGACGTGAAGCTAAGCGACGAGAGGCTGATAGTTGGCCTACTATAGGTACCTTGGAGTCACCCTCGGAAGGGATAACAACATCACAACTGGAAAGGTCTACAAGCATGTGATCGAGAAGGAGCGTCGGGGTGACTATCTTGGACGCACTGTCCAGATTGTGCCTCACTTGACTGACGCTATCCAGGAATGGATTGAGCGTGTGGCAAGAACCCCTGCCGATGACACCAACGAGGAGCCCGATGTTTGTGTTATCGAACTTGGTGGTACTCTTGGTGACATTGAGAGCGCTCCCTTCGTTGAGGCTCTTCGTCAGCTGCGTCGTCGCGCTGGCAAGGACAACTTTGTCCAGATCCATGTCTCCCTGGTTCCTGTCATTCACGACGAACTGAAGACTAAGCCTACCCAGCAGGCTATTCGTGACGCTCGCTCAGCTGGTTTGAGCCCAGATTTGATTGCTTGCCGTTGTGAGCGTCCTCTTGACAAGGCCACCACCGACAAGATTGCTATGTTCTGTCAGGTTGAGCCAGAGCAGGTGATTGGCGTGCACAACGTCAACTCCACCTACCACGTCCCTCTGCTCCTTGAACAGCAGGGCTTCCCCAAGGTCCTGGGCAACCTCCTCAATATGAGCAAGGTTGAGATCACTCAAGCTCAGTTGACCAAGGGTCAAAGCACTTGGAAACAGTGGAAGACCCTTACAACTGCCCAGGACCACACATTTGAGACAGTCAACATTGCCCTAGTTGGAAAGTATGTTTCTCTTCACGACTCTTACTTGTCCGTTATCAAGTCATTGGAGCACGCGTCTATGGCTTCTCGCCGCAAGCTCAACATCATCTGGGTTGATGCTTCCCACCTTGAGACCGAGTGGGAAGAGACCAACTCCAAGGAGTACCACAAGGCCTGGTATGATGTCCACACTGCCCACGGTATTCTGGTTCCCGGAGGTTTCGGTACCAGAGGTACCGTCGGAATGATGCGTGCTGCCCACCACGCCCGTACCAAGAACAAGCCTTACCTCGGTATCTGCCTGGGTATGCAGATTGCTGTCATTGAATACGCCCGCAACGTCCTCGGCCTCGAGGGTGCTAACTCTGTCGAACTTGACGAGCGTACCTCCCACCCCATCGTCGTGTACATGCCCGAAATTGACCAGGTGAACCTCGGTGGAACCATGCGTCTGGGCTCGCGCCCTACACTCTTCCAGGAGAACAGCGAATGGTCCAAGCTCCGCTCTCTCTACGGACTTGAGCGCACTTCCATCGATGAGCGTCACCGCCACCGTTACGAGGTGAACCCAGAGTACATTGAGAAGCTGCAGGATGCTGGTCTCCATTTCATCGGCAAGGATGACCTTGGCGAGCGTATGGAGATTGTTGAACTTAAGGAGCACCCCTGGTTCGTTGGTGTCCAGTTCCACCCCGAGTACATTTCTCGCGTGTTGGCACCTAGCAAGCCCTTCCTTGGCTTCGTCTCTGCTGCCGCTGGCTGCTTCGATCAGGTCAAGAACATGTCCCAGCAGAAGGAAATGGACTTGGCTAACGGCGTTGCCAACATTATTGTCTAAGCATATTGAGGGTTTCGGAGTTTGTATTTGTCACGAAAAAATATTACGGTTATAGAGAATTCAATCAAAGATACATTATTTGACTAATTTTACCACGAAAGTTCGGTAGGTGATTAAAGCTAAATGGCCTTGACTTGGGTAGAACATTGCTTCACCCACTGGGTAGTACACTCTCCGCTTGATGCTTGATGCACCCTGATTAAGTCGTAATGACTTAGAAGGCACAATGAAGCAAGATGGAATCTCGTTTAAGTTGAATATATGTATCTTTTACTTAATCAAATTCACTGCCAACATAACATACATATCTTAATCAAATCTATTCTTTCTATACATTTCCGAATCACCTGTGTGTCTTAGGAGACAAAATGGCCGCTACTTCTTCGTAGACAGAGAACACGATGCCACCACTCAAAAGCAGTCGACCTAGTCGCATAGAACTACCCTTCCAGAATCCACGAACTCCATAGTCGCGAATGACACTCCGAGATGCCTCAACAACACCAACACCCTTAACACCTTGCGCCCGTGTCTTGATCGTGTCAAAGGGTTGCGTGGCGTAGACAGTAACAACACCCGCCACGGCGCCGATTCCAAACGTCGTGAACACGTTCGTCTTGACATTATTTGCTTTGACAGTCTCTTTAAGAATATTGTATGTCCCCATCCGAACAGCTGATGTTGCTGATTGCTTCATTGCGGTTGATAAAAGACCTCGGTACAGCTCTGTGATACCATGTCTTTGGACTAAAACTTTGGTCGCATGGAGACTTGATTTGAATTGTCGAGCTCCCTTTGCATCGTCAATTCTGTGTTTGAATCAGTCACCTTGAATCAAGGATCCTAAACCATGATAGGGGTAACGAACAGTGCGGTCTTGATTCTCTCCGTGGGGGTTACTGCCAGTACACTTTCTACAGCTCCTGCAAACATTCCAGCTAGCATGCCCCGGCCGGGTGAGAGAACCCCATGCTCGTCGTTCAGGGAATTGCGGATTGTATCGTATGACACAAAGCGGACAGCGGCTTTTGCCGTGGTTCCCTATTTGCAGGTCAGTATTGAGCTTAGGGTCGAAATAGGATTAGGAACGAACGATAATGAGAGTTGAGCAGCCCATGTACAAAGCACCGACGCCTTCCTGCTTTGCGACTTGGCAGATGAGACGTAGGGGATTAGACGTTTGGACAGCACTGTTGTCTAACAGCTGAACGCGAGTCTTGGAGTATTCAAATGGATACTGTATGGAATTAGTGCTGTACAGGCCTGCGTGACCTCAATACTGACCGTCATGGCTGCCTCCACTCCACCTGCAATTCCGCCAGCCACGAGTGAGACCCATTGAGGCGTATTAACCTGGACTGGGTTAGCTGCAGGATCTTTCTGGGAGTGATGACCTACCCGTTGCGGTTTCTTTGCCTCGGACTGTACCGAATGAGAAGCAAGTGCAGCCATAGTGTGAGATGGAAGTAATCAGCCGTTTTGGCGAGTAGTGGGATTGGCTCTCCTTATACAACTCGAAGACGTTGATTGTGGGGAAAACGTGGGGAACGGAAGGAGAGTTGCCGCGGGAAAAACGTCCCGTCCTGTATATTCTCTCCTCAACCCGCGGAACAACTTGGCCTCTCTAACACAATGGAAAGAAATACTCCGCCCAAGCGAAGGGCTGTCAAGGCTTGTGCATTTTGTCGACGTAGAAAGGTAAGCCGATATATGTGTTTAAAGTGCCATGGACTAATGGGAGTCAGTTCCGCTGTGACAACGAACGGCCGGTATGTTCCAACTGCAAGACATATGCACAAGACTGCATCTACATTGCAGGACCAGATAAGCCGAGGTACGTCATCGACTACACACCCTACTCTGTACCGCCACTAAGTATGTGAAGACCAACAAAAGCTCGGCTATCTCATTTAGAAGCCGAAAATGAAGAACTTCGACGGCACCTAAGGCGTGTTGATGCTCGCTCAGAAGACAGAAGAGATGTAGCCGAAGATAATCCGTCTCAGTTAAAGCAGCAGATACAAGGTCCCCCGGAGAGTCCGAGTGCAGATGTAAGTGCCGATCAGCGCCAGTCAGCTGTATCGCGCATATTCATCTCGCCAAATGGGGACTCAAGTTATCATGGACTCACGAGTACACTTTTCAGCGATGCATCGACCGATCAACATGGCCATCCCCGGTCTATAGATCCGAAGATACCAGTAGAGCATATTCGAAAGCAGTTGATCGGGGAAGCTGCCTACCAACGTGAGATCCCCGGTCTATGGAAAATTTACACCATCTAACATTTGAGTAGGGCAGTCAGAAGCATTGAACTTACGACAAGGGAAATTGGACTTCGATGGAGTCGACCCAGAGCTTGGAATGCACCTTCTATCTCTACATTGGAATCGACAGCATCATTCCTTCTTGATTACATATCGCCCAGCATTCATGCGAGATATGGCCACTGGAGGTCCCTATTTCTCCAAACTCCTCTTGAACGCGATTTACTTCGGCGCGTCAAAATTCAGCAACCGTCCTGAAGTTCGTCGAGATCCGGATGATGTTCGCACTGCAGGATGGACATTCCGCCAGCGAGTGAAAGAATTGCTGGGCAGTGCTCTTGACCGAAGTGAGATAACAACGATCCAGGCCCTGTTGGTGATGACCAGTTCGTTATTTGCCTTGGGAGACGAACGCAGTGCTGCGTGGCTCTATGCCGGTACGGCATTTAGAATGATCATCGATCTCGGCATGCATGTTGATCCCACTATGCTGAGAAATATGCGGCGTCTTTCAGATGAAGATATCGAGATTCGTCGTCGAGTTTTCTGGGGTGCTTTTGTCATGGATAAGATCCAATCTCTATACCAGGGTCGTCCTGTAAGCATACAGGAGTTTGATACAAAGGTGTCCCTGACACTTTTGGACCACTATGAGGAACTTGAGCACTGGCAACCTTTCGCGTATACGGATGTACAGTCATATCCGGGATCTCCTGCTTACAGCGTTTCGACCTTCACGCAGCTGTGCAGGCTATCGCTGATATTGAACTGTATCTTGAACAAGGTCTACTCGGAGCGAAGCTCAAACCGGTCATCTCAGGAGTTGGTCTCCACATTACAGGCGTTAGATGCACAACTCAACACATGGCATGACGAACTACCAGATCATCTACGCTTCCGCTCTTCAACAATACAGATTACGCCCCCACCTCACGTCCTTTCTCTCCTGGCACTCTACAATGTACTTCTCATCCTTTTGCACCGACCGTTCGTGGCAGAAGGGCATCTCCACACAACCGATCCATCCGTGGCCATTAGCTCGTTTACTACTTGCACAGCGGCAGCAGCTCGCATAATTCACATCCTACAAGCATACGATCATGCATTCTCAATCAGACGGGCTCCTTATCTGATTTCATATGCGACATACGTTGCCGCCACGATCTATGTTCGAGTTGCTGCTCAAAGGGAAGCAAGTAGTAGAGCCCATTCAAATCTTTGGACATGTCTTGACATCTTTCAGAAGAACCAAGCAACTAACTGGGCTGTCCGCCGTGCCAAGAATGTGATTGTGCACCTGATGGATCGTATGGGAGTTGATCTGAACATTCGGCACAGAGAATACGAGGAGGCCAGACCTGATGAAGATTCAAGCGAGCAAAGACGTGTTTTAGAAAGAGAAGCTTGTACTGGTAAGGAGGGTGTCAGGCAAACGCCTTTGCCGACTCGGATGACACCACCTGAGACAGAGGTCTCGGAGTTGGATATGGATATGATTATCCAGAGCTTCATTCGACAGCAGACAAGGACAAATGATGAACAGCTGTTCGATGAATCAAACTACAATCCTACGTCTGGTACTGCAATTCCTCTTGGGACGCCTGGTGTCCTCGCTCCCACTGTTCTTCCGGGATATAATGATGCATGTTTTGATGCGCAGTTTGACGATGATATGCTGTTTGGCTTCAACGGTTCTGTTCAGGATAGTATGCTGTATAAATAGGGATTTATTATCATTCGATTATTATTTTGGTTGCCGATAAGACCTAAGACGGCCAAGTTGCACTGCTTGTTATTGTTGATAGGTGGTTTATTATTTACTCAAAGAACCTATTTTTTTCCCTCTCCACTAATAAGTAACGTGTAGGAGTATCAAATCTAGCTATCTACTATGCTCGGTAGAATACATTTCCTTCAAAAAGCCGACGTGCCGTTCGAAAGACAGCCACCTTTTCCACATTCATTTCGCCTTCATGGTCCATTCCCAGCATCGTCTCCACAAATATCACCCCAGCAGAGTGACGAATGCCAATTGGCAACGGCGATGCAATATCATGTCCGTTCAAAGACATCCCATGCTTCGGCACTCTATCCATTCCTTTCCTCCCAGTTATATCCCACGCAACAGTTCCATGAACCGATGCAGCCGCTCCGAGACATACAGCACCAGTTAACTGAAGACTTGCATGGGGCTTACCCATAGTAAAAGCAAGAACCGTAAGATCTGCCTCCTTGTCATCTTCAGCCGTCGGAGACAAAAAAGCAATCTTTGGAGTCCCTCGCACTAGGCCCGCTGTCTCTATATCCGCGGCCAGCCCGAACCGCACAGCGCCTGTACGGCGAATATCTTCGACAACGGAAACAAATTTCGTATCGTTTGCGTCAGGCCATGAGGGGTGACCTGTAATGGAAATCGAAGATGAATCAACCAGGACAAAGGGATTCGCAGCGTCAACCAGACTAACTCGCACATCAAACTTTCCCACGGATGGTGAATCAACAGTCAGGATTTCCTGTGTTGCCCCGCTAGGAAGCATTCGACCTGTCATGCTGCCTCCTGGGTTGAGAAAAGCGACTTTGATAGGGCTCGACGTGCCTTGGACACCGGGAATACGAAAGTCGCCTTCTTCCTGGAAACCTCCATCGGGAGCTACTTGGACTGTTTCCACTAGAGTCTGTCTAGTGTTTGTGTTGAGGATTCGAATATCAATCTGAATGAATCGGTTAGTAAGTTCCAATTAGACCCATATCCATTCGAAACGCAATTGCCCTTACCTCTGTCTGTTCCGGAATCGCCCTTACAATGCCCTCATCAAGCGCAAAAGGCCCAACACCAGAGGCGATATTGCCACAATTCCCAGACATGTCAATCTTGGCTTGATCAGGCGCTACTTGGATGAATGTGTATTCGACATCAACATTGGGGTCTTGCGACTTCGCAACGACTGCTACCTTTGATGTCGTAGATGTAGCGCCACCAACCCCGTCAATCTGTTTTGCATTTCCACCTTCAGAGCCCATAGCTGATACCAGAATGGGTTCCCAAAGTTTGGTCGACGCTGGAAGGTCTTTTCGGTGGATGAAGAGTCCCTTTGAAGTGCCTGATCGCATCCATACTGCTGGGAAAGCCTTTTTGGATCGCCCAAAGAGCTTTCCATTGATATGGTGGATGTTTTGTAGCACGGGGGGCTCCGTGATAGTGATTGAGGCTGTTAGGGTCATGATGTTGCGACGTTGGGTGCTTTCGATAGATTGTTTCTTTTGCTTTTGGTGGGTGGTGCCATGATAAATAGCTTGACTTAATTATTTGCCGTTTCCGTTCTCGACTTTATTTCCTTTGCCATTCTTGTGGAACTCATGTCTTTCACGTTTGTGCCGGCTCAAGGCTCACCCATGGCATTGTATATTCCGCGGGTATAAAACTCCATGGCCAGTCTCGTTCCCATGCTTCTTTTGGAGAGCCGATCTCAGAAATCTGTGTAAGTGATATGTGGTGATCACAAGGAGGAAAACTTTGAAGAGTATCACATCAATTATCGGCGGTGAAAACTGGATTGATTGGACATGTATAGGCATATCTATGAGATTTGTATTCGCAGAAGTCTACCTAGCAATATCCAGCAACATGGTCCAAGGTCTTGACGAGAACTATCAGACTTGATCCTCCAAGTATCAGAATAACTATCATAATAGATAGATACTGGACATGGAGTCTTTTCAAATCCATCTGCGGCCACGGGATCTCATATGCCGCGGAAGCTCAACAACCCCACCTCTGTTCCTTTCAATCCCCGGAAAATTGATTCTGGGGTCCCCAGATTATCGACATGTGCCGGGTATATAAAATGAGATCTCCCATGGGACTGAAAGATTGACATCACTATTTGTCTGTACCTACCTCCGACACCATGCTTCGGGGTAAGACGCTCCACCTCGCGCAGCTGCTCCTCACAGTAGCACCTGCATTCATCACCTACGGATATAATCAAGCTGGAGTGGCGCCACTTGCAAGTCTGCAGTCATGGTAGGATTGTCCTAGCAATGAACATTGGGATAAGTCACAAAACTGACCAACTTCCAGGGTCATACATTTCCCAGAAATTGACACAGTCGGCACAGAGGGTGCAATCAAACAGAGGAATTCGACACGGAAGGGTGCAGTCATTGCCTCTCTTCAACTGGGCGCCCTTATGGGTGCGCTCTCATGCGCCTACTTTGGTGATCGCCTTGGTCGACGCAAGACTATATTTATGGCTGCTGTTATCACTATCATTGGAGAATTGCTGCAGACTTCATCCTATGATATAATTCAGTTTACCCTTGGCCGAGTCATCCTGGGGATTGGCATCGGGCAACTCAGTGCTACTGTTCCGGTGTGGCAGGCTGAATGTAGTTCAGCGAAGCATCGTGGCCAACATGTCGTGGTTGATGGAATCTGCATGGTACTGGGCTTCGTGATCACCAATTGGGTGGATTACGGCTTCAGCAAGACGAATGGAGAAACACAGTGGCGTGTTCCATTGGCGCTGTCTTTGATCTTCCCCCTGACCATTCTTGGGTCTGTATTCCTGCTGCCTGAGTCACCACGATGGCTGGTCTTCGTATCTAGAACGGACGAAGCAGCAAAAAGTTTGGCGGCTTACAGAGATCTCTCTGTCAACGATGAAGCAGTGCAGACAGAAATTGCGACTATAGAATCGTCTCTGGAACTCACTGCACAATCAAAGAGCCTCACGTTCCGAGAGCTATTTCTAGGGAGTGATGAGGAACGTCTCCTATATCGATTTGCTCTCTGCCTCGTCATTCAATTTTTCCAGCAGATGTGTGGCGGCAACCTGATCTCGACTTATATCTCGACAATTTTCGAGGAAAACCTACATCTAGGCTCAGAATTGTCTCGAATTCTCGGCGCCAGTGCACTGACATGGAAGTTTGTCTGTAACTTCATCCCCTTCTTCGCAATTGACCGACTCGGCCGGCGCAAGGTGTTTATCATTAGTGGTGCCGGCATGTCTCTTTGCATGATAGTATTGGCTATTACAACAAGTTTCGAGAATGCCTCTAGGGGACTGTCAATTGTGTCTGTGGCCTTCATCTGGCTTTTCAACATGTTCTACCCAATTGGCTTCTCCGGCGCAAACTTCCTTTACTGCACCGAAGTTGCTCCAATGCGTTTACGTGTTGCTATGTCGTCTGCATCCACGGCGAATAAATGGCTTTGGAACTTTATCGTGGTGATGATTACACCTGTTGCACTTGACACAATTGGGTGGAAATACTATATCATCTACGCCGTCATTTCGGCGTGCATTCCTGTCACAGTATATCTTTTCTACCCAGAAACAATGGGTCGAAATCTCGAGGCCTTGAATCATATTTTCCGCGATGCCCCCTCCCCTTGGCATATTGTAGCTATGGCAAGAAAGCTTCCTCAGGGAGATTTGCCAGATGTGCATATTCAAGAGCCGGGGGAGAAGGTGATGGTGGAGCTGAAGGAGCATGCTTAGGCTGCACTAAGAACGGCAGCCCCATTTGATTACCTCTTTGTGCATATCTTTTGGGATTACGCTCGACATATGAATTTCATCTCTTCTTGCAAGTTAGAATAATCTTCCGTTGTGTCACTAGGGAAGTAGGTATATATATGTATACGCAGAAGTGATTCTACAGCTCTCTAATCTTGAGACAGTACTTCTATCGGACTTAAAACTTAGCATATAACCAAATTAAATACAGGAAATTGAAAGAAATGCCGAATAAATAAAACAAAGTAGAAGTGTATAAAATGCAAGTGACGCCTGAGGCATGAGGCTCAACATGTGACGTTCTAACCGTATTGGGCCTAGGGTGTTGATGTGGGCTGCCGTACAATTATCAGTTATTTATTATTGTCTTCGAGCCATAACTTTTTTGTCTGTGATTGCCATCTTCCTCCACTTTGGCATTTTGGCATACATAAACTCCTCTCATCGACTGTATCTTCTCCTGCCGTCTCTCCTTCTGCCCTTTTTCCTTATTCCCCTCACTTCTATTGATACCCCACGTACAAGATGGCGGAGGGTCTTGGAGCTCTGTTAGAGGCAAGCTTGGACCCCAGGAGGAACAAGGAAGGTAAGTGACAGACCGATTGGATATCGACAGCCTTGACTGACCTGGTTTCACTCTAGCCGAGACCACCCTTCGTCAGGAAGAACAGAAACCTGGATTCTCGCTACAGCTTCTTCACATCACCGCATCGGATGCCACGCCCTACAACACACGCCTTGCTAGCGCCCTTTGCTTCAAGAACTTCATCAAGCGCAACTGGACCGACGAGGACGGAAACCACAAGCTGCAGAGCGAGGAGGTTGAGACCCTCAAGCGCGAATTGATCACCTTGATGATCTCGGTTCCTGCAGGTATTCAAAGCCAGCTGGGTGAGGCCATCAGTGTGATCGCCGACAGTGATTTCTGGGAGCGGTGGCAGTCTCTTGTGGATGTAGGTTGTCCAATCTCGCGTGGTGATGCAATGCTGACCTTTGGTTTATTTAGGATCTCGTTTCCAAGCTGTCGCCGAACAACCCTACCGTCAACATTGGTGTGCTCCAAGTTGCGCACTCTATTTTCAAGAGATGGAGACCTTTGTTCCAGTCCGATGCGCTTTACACTGAGATCAACCATGTGCTTGGCAAGTTTGGCACTCCATTTCTGGCCTTGTTTGAGGTAAGTCTTTCTTCCCATGCGCTCGAACGAATTAGATAATAACATACTCTAGGCTCTGGACAATTACCTCGAGCAAAACAAGTCGAACAAAGAGAACCTCACCCAAGGGTTCGCTCAGCTCAACCTGATGGTCAAGCTGTTCTACGATCTCTCCTCCCACGATCTCCCTCCCATGTTCGAAGACAACATCTCTGGAATCGCTGCGATTTTCCTCAAGTACCTGACCTACGACAACCAGCTATTGCACACGGATGACGAGACCGAGGCTGGTCTCTTGGAATACGTCCGCGCTGGAATTTTTGAGGCTTTGACCCTCTACGCGCAGAAGTACATGGATGTGTTCCAGCCTCACGTTGAGCAGTTTATCCAGAGCTCTTGGAGCTTCCTCACAACCATTGGCCAGGAGACCAAGTACGATATCTTGGTCAGCCGAGCTCTCCACTTCTTGAGCTCCGTCGCAAGCATGCCGGAGCAGTCTCAGGTTTTCGCAGCCGAAGGTGTCCAGGCTGAGATTGTCGAGAAGGTCATTTTGCCCAACGTGAGCTTGCGTGAGTCGGACGAGGAGCTGTTCGAGGATGAGCCCATTGAATTCATTCGTCGGGATTTGGAAGGATCCGACAGTGAGACCAGACGACGGGCTGCCACTGACTTCCTCCGACGACTGGCGGAGAAGTTTGAGTCCTCAGTGACTCAGGTTGTCCTTAAGTACACCCAGCACTACCTGGCCGAATATGCGAAGGATTCATCCAACTGGAAGGCCAAGGACACTGCGACTTACCTTTACTCTGCTATCGCTGCCAAGGGTACCGCAACCTCCACCCACGGTGTTACTGTCACCAACCCGCTGGTCAGCATTGCCGATTACTTCCAGCAGAACCTTGCCGCTGATCTGATCTCCGACAATGGTGTTCATCCTATTCTCAAGGTCGATGCTATCAAGTATCTTTACAGCTTCAGAAGCATTATCACAAAGGAGCAGTGGCAACAGGTTCTTCCTGTGCTGGTGAACCACTTGGCATCATCTAACTTTGTTGTCTACACATACGCCGCCATTGCTCTGGAGCGGGTGCTGTTCCTCAGCGATAGCCAAGGACAGCCCGTGATTTCACCTGCTGAGATTACACCGCTGGCCAAGGACCTTCTGGAGCACATCTTCCAGCTAATTCAGAATGATCCGGCCCCAGAGAAGGTGCAAGAGAACGAGTTCCTGATGCGTTGTGTTATGCGTGTCTTGGTTGTTGTTAAGGAGGGTGTCGTTCCTTTCGCGGACGTCATTCTTCAGCGATTCATCAGCATCACCGAGATCATTCGGAAGAACCCTAGCAACCCCCGATTCTACTACTTCCACTTCGAGGCCATGGGTGCCTTCATCCGCTTCGCTGCTCCTGCCAACCCCGACAAGCTCGAACAGGCTCTCTATGCCCCCTTCGCCAGCATCCTGCAGGAGGACGTGCAGGAATTCATTCCCTACGTTTTCCAGCTCTTCGCGGCCCTTCTCGAGGCCAACTCGTCTGCCACCCTTCCCACCTACTACCAAGAGCTTATTGGTCCCATCTTGATGCCTGTGATGTGGGACTCCAAGGGAAACATCCCTGCCTTGGTCCGCCTGCTTTCCTCAGTCATTCCCCGTGGCTCGCAGTACATCATTGAGCACAATCAGATTGAGCCTATTCTTGGTATCTTCCAGAAGCTGGTTTCTACCAAGGCCAACGAAAGCTTTGGCTTTGACCTATTGGAGGTAGTCGTTGCAAACTTCCCACCGTACGTATCTTTCCAACCTTCATCTCACTACCATCTAACATCTGCCAGATCTGCCCTCGAAAACTACTTCATTATGATCATGCAGATCATTCTCCAGCGTTTGCAAGGTTCCAAGACTGAGAATCTCACCATGCGTTTTGTTCGTTTCTTCCACTTCATCTCGGCACATGACGACAAGGGGTACAGCGCCGACTTCTTCATCAACGTCACCGACAAAGTGCAAGCTGGGTGCGTATTCTCCCGTTTTAAATTGAAATAATGCTAACTCCTTTCAGACTCTTCAAGCAGGTTTACCTCCACGTCATTCTGCCTGAAACCCAGAAGCTTGCCCGTCCTCTGGACCGCAAGACTGCCATTATCTCCTTCACCAAGACCCTCGCCAACTCCCATGAGTTCACCACTACCTATGCTCTGAAGGGATGGGGACTCACCTGCATGGCCTTGCTGAAGCTTCTCGAGCTTCCCCCACTGCCCGTCGGCAGAGATGATCTGATCGCCGATGCCGACATCGAAGACATGTCCTTCGGTGTTGGCTTCACCCCCCTCAACACCATCAAGGCCCAGCAAAAGGACCCCTGGCCCGAGACCGGCGCTGACCTCAAGGCTTGGGTTGGCTCATACCTGAAGGAGGCCGACGTTAAACACAACGGTCGTGTGTCGCAGTTCGCCCAACAGCGTCTCGAAGACGAGCCCCGTAAGGTGCTGGGAAGCTACATTTCGTAATTTGGGCTTTTATTTGTTGCTTTCCTTTCGAGAAACCAAAAAAGTTCCATTATGCCCCTTTGCTCTCTTCGTTGAGCATCTTCCCAATTACCCCTGCGCTATGCATGTTATGAGACCCTAGATCCATGAAATAAATGCTTCTTGATTTACAGTTTTGAGAGTATCGTACTCTATCGCATAGATCCAGACCTGCTGTACTCCTTAGTTCAAACATCAAAATGCCTCGATATTAGGCCAATATCAAAGTAAGCCTACTACACAAATCCTAAAAAGAAAAAGATTTGTCAAACACTCTTTCCAGACCCCTTCTCCTCCACGGCCTCAGTCTCAGTCTCAACCTGTGTCTCCTTCTTCCCTTCCACTTCTTCCTCCACTATCTCTTCATCCACAACCCTCCCACCCTCATCGTCCTTCCTTTCAACTTCATTCTCAACTTCCTTTTCCACTATCTCTTCCTCCACTATCTCTTCATCCACAACCCTCCCACCCTCATCGTCCTTCCTTTCAACTTCATTCTCAACTTCCTTTTCCACTATCTCTTCCTCCACTATCTCTTCATCCACAACCCTCCCACCCTCATCGTCCTTCCTTTCAACTTCATTCTCAACTTCCTTTTCCACTATCTCTTCCTCCAATATCTCTTCATCCACAACCCTCCCATCCTCACCCACCTCTCTCCCCTCCAACTCCCGATACTTCCGCCTCGTCTTCTTCATCTTACTAGCCTTCTTTCTCCTCGCCGCCTCAGCCTTAATAGCAACCCGACTCTGATCCCCCTTCAACTTCGCTTCAACCCGATCCGCCAATAATGATCGCGCGATCTTCTCGTTCTGCGCTCGGGATCGTGTCGCTTGGCATTTTATTACCACTCCGCTGGGTTTGTGGCTGATTTGGCAGGCTGAGTTTGTTTTGTTCTGTGGCAATGTGTCAGGTCAGGATTATTTTAAGAGTCTATAAAGGGAATTTATGTGGTAACATACGATCTTCTGCCCGCCTGGTCCTGTGCCTTTCAGGTAGGATATTGTTAGGTCTGCGTCGTTGATTTTTAGACGCGGTGGGAGGGCTTTGGCGGGTGTTATTTGGCTTTGGCTGAAGAATCGGATTTGCTTTGCTACCTGGGACGCTGGGCCTCGGAGGCGTGGGAACATTTTTGCTGTTTGCTGGTCGTTGGACGTTGAAGTTATTGAGGTTGAGGTTGACTGATAAGCGATAAGGGAGCATGAAGTTTGGCGTTTTATACTCGATTTAGTCTCCAAAGAGAAAGATATATATATATTTACCGCGCTACTATATTTCGAATACTCCTAGACAAATTTATGCAATTGAACTGGAAACTTATATGTTAAAGCACTCTGGGTTTGATCTGTATGTAAGTCGCCAGAAAAGCAAGGTACCTGCACTAGGTACATGCAGTTGACAAGCACTAAATTAATGAGGGTGTAATTGATCTAAGTTACAGCCAGTTTGAAGTGCATAAAATAAGATAAAGAGTCAAATTGTAGTATAAATAGTGGGTGGTCAAGCTACAACAAGTACTGAGAACCTCACACTCACGCGGATAGTGGCGGGAACCCGAGGTACAAGGTACATAACACACGACCTACGCAAAGGGGAAGGTTTTTTTGCACTTCCCCAATCTCAATCTCTTCTTGATCCTTAACTCATCTACTCAACAACCTAGCCACCACACCTCCCCTCTTGTCAACTCATACTCTCCGACCCTAAATTCCCCCCTGAGTACCCGCTCACCTCCCCGCGATCTCCGGCGGTCTCGGCCGCTTGCTTAGCCCCCGAGTCGTGTTGAACAAAACATCGTTCTTTCACGACATCACCAACCACCTCGCAAGACGGATCGCAAAGGTTCTGCTTTGAATTTAACAGGATCTACTCGACACGCTTGTCTGCGGCGTACCTTGGTGGTCCAGAGAACCCCGAAAAAATCGAACGAACCGCTTCCCGATCCTCTTCGCGCCAGGCACCAAAGACCAGGCCATCCTCGAATTCCCTCGATAACCCCGCAACAATGGAAATCATCATCTGGGCCATTGCCACTTTGATCCGTTGGGTGCGCCTGAAGATCTACCAGTATGAGGTGACCTTTGCCATCTACATGCTGACGCCAATTGAGAAACTCATCTTCAGTACGTTGCATCCCTCACCACCACCAGATCTCTTCAAGTCCAAAAGACTGACCCTCTTTACTTTGCAGACACACTCCTCCTCACGCTCATCACCATGATCATCGCTGGAATTTACATCTACCTACCCGACCACCTCCGCGCCATCTACGGCCGCCTCTACTACTACTGGGCCGGCGAGCGCCTGTTCAGCTCCAGCCGGCTGTCAGTCAGTTCAATCTTCGGAGAAACCGCCACACAAATGGGCGAGATAGTGTACGAAACCGCAAAGAATGCGGCCGCAGCCACGACCGCCCGCATGGCTGAATTGTGAAAAAAAAAAAGTCCGACAAGGGGATTTGCTGCATTTACATTCTCTCGCTGGTAAGAGTGAATATGCTATTAATATCCTGGGGGTGGATTATGTCTACACTCCGGGAACCCTTGCATGTTCCTCTTCTAGTTGGCTGGCGCTTCTTGGAGTTCTTGTGATCTGGGAACTAGGGACATTCCTATTGCATTGTCACAGTGTGGCACACCGCATTGTTAATAATTCTTGTCGTTTATTTTCTTGGGGTCTTTCGTGCCACGGCTCATGGACTTGACGCACCCTTTCTGGCCATGCTTGTCTGGTCATGCCTGTAGCGGATTGACCGTATGTCTTATCATTGGAACGTGATTATGATTCAAGTTGGTATTTGCAGACTTGTCCATCTGGATGATATACATAATATGTAGATGGTTGATTTTAAAACCATGACGAAAAACCAGACCCCCAAACGCCTTTTATGCCCAGAGTAGAGTGTTGTACAAGCATCACATCAGCAAAGATGTAACTCCCACGCATTGCCTATCTCCTTCAGTCATTTCATAGCGAAGAGAGGAAACGCCCCGATTGCTGCGTTGCAAGACTAAAATCTTCCCAAAGCAAAGACCTTGACAATGCGCGCATGTCACATCCCAGACCACCACACACCCTTCCCACCATATATCACCGAGACAATCTCAGCGCTCGCAAATTGCAAATTGCCAATGGCTCATTGCTCACTCTGCTGCCCCTGTCCCTGTGCCTGAACCTGTGCCTGAGCAGCAGCAAATTGAGCCGCCTGCGCCTCCCTCCGCTCCCTCCGCATAGAATCCACCATCCGCATACGTGCCAACTCCTGATCAATCTCCTCCTTGTCCAGGGGAATCTTGTTTGATTGTTCGGCGGTGGGCCAGAAGTTTTTCGTGGCGAAGCGGTCGTCCAGGTTCGTGCCGAAGTAGTACATCCAGCCGATTGGAAAGAGAACGTACATGCCGAACTATGAAATGGATGTGTCAGACATGGATTCTTGTGGGAGTTGCTTCGCAAACCCTATTTACCTTGAAGACTTCGAGGTTGCCGCCCTGCAGCTTGCGGATAAATTGCGACATGGTGGGTATATGTTTTGGTTGGATTTTGGTGAATGATATTTGGTATTCGGATGCTGCGGATGTGAGAGAATTGGCTCTCGGTAAGACTGTCGTGAAACCTGCAACCTGCAATTGACTGTTATGCAGTGACAGCACCAAGATTCGCGATGATCTTCAAATCGAGTGGCGCCACAGCCAGTCACGGGCTTGCTTATGTGAGCAAACGGGGCAAACAGACACCTCGTCCCTCAGGCCAACATCAGACCGCGGGCCTCGGCTCCCCGCAAAACAGAGTCGCCGAGCGTACTTTTATATCAGGACGAGGCTGCAGTTCAATTCCTGCATTCCCTCACCCTTAACACTGCAATCATGTCGAACGAACAGCTCATCACCATCTCTTACCAAGATCGCGTTGCGGTCGTCACTCTCAACCGACCTGATAAGTTAAACGCCCTCAACCAAGACCTCTACTACCTCCTCGCCGAGCGTCTCCGTGAGATCGATCAGCGTGAAGAAATCTTCATCACCGTCCTCACAGGTACTGGCCGCTTCTTCTCGGCGTATGTATCCCAATCAAGAGCCAAAAGACCCAATTGACGAGAACAACAACTAACCATCACCAATCTACAGCGGCGCAGACGTAACAAGCTCTCGACCAAACGGCGACCTAGCCGGCAATGGCCGCCGCGAGCTAGTTCGTGGCTTCGTCGCCAACAACGTCGACGTAACCCGCACCTTCTACACCCACTCCAAAATCCTAGTCGTAGCCCTGAACGGGCCAGCCGTCGGCCTTTCCGCCGCACTAGTTGCCCACGCAGACTTCATCTATGCAGCACCGCACACATTCATCCTAACACCCTTTTCATCCCTCGGTCTTGTAGCCGAAGGCGGTGCGAGCCGCGCTTTCGTCGAGAGACTCGGTATCGCTAAGGCTAATGAGGCGCTTATTATGAGTAAGCGGATTACCTGTGAGGAGCTTGTTGCTGCGGGCTTTGTGAATAAGGTGTTTACGCCTGCCTCTGGTAATAAGGAGGATTCGGATGGATTCCTCAAGCTTGTTCTTGAGGAGGTTGAGGAGCGCCTTGGGACGCATTTGAACCAGTCTTCCTTGCTTAAGATTAAGGAGCTTGTGAGACGGCCTGAGAGAGAGCTTTTGGATCGTCAAAATGGGCTTGAAGCTTTCATGGGACTTGAGCGGTTTATGATGGGGTTACCGCAAGAGGAGTTTAGGAAGTTGGCTTCTGGTGAGAAAAAGCATAAGCTTTAGATGGATGAGGGCTTTTGTATATAGCTCGTTGGGGTTATACCTTCGAATAACATACACTATTTTCGGATTTTATTCGATGAGAAAAATTGCGTAAATTTATATTCATTCACGATGCAATGCGTAATCGTCATATTCCACTCTAGCCAAACGCCATACTAAACATGCTTTTGGACAACACTCCCTGGGTGTTGGATGCCTTAGTCCGAGTCACTGCCTGCTGCTTGATCCTCCTGCTCTTGCTGCTTGAGGATCTCATGCCACTTGCCCATGAACTCGCTCATACCGCCAGGTCCCGCAAGCGAAGCATCCACCAGCTCCTTAGGCACTTTATGGGCCGAATACTGTGTTGAGCTGAAGGCATATGCTTCTGGATCATCCTTCTTGATCAGACGGAATTCAGGAAGGAAAGGGGCTTGGTCGTCGTCCTTCTCGGGGTCATCATTCTCTTCCTCCGACTCGGAGCTTGAATCTCCAGCATCGAGCTCCTCTGCCGTTCCAGAGGTAATAATGCTGCCGTCACGGAGTGATATTCTCACGAATCCCTCAGCTCCATCATCATCTTCTTGGATACCAATGGGATCCTTCATATTTAGTATCTCCAGCCAGCTAAAGAGCAACGGGTCTGTCCGCTGCGCCCACGGGTTCACATCGATAAGCCAGACACGCTGATGAGGTGCGGGAATATATACATCGAAGACAAAGTTAGGTTCGGGGAAGCTATCTTTGAGCTTTTCATCGAAGAAAGACTGAATTCGAGACCGGAGCATGTCGCGCATAGGGAAGAGGAAGTCGAAGTGGTTCTGATCACGCTGGCTCATACACAGCAGCACGCGGTTGCGGACGAAACAGCGGAATTCGAGGGAGGGGTTGAAGTTGACATATTTGCGGAGAACCAGGTGATATGGCACCTGCGGCAATGGGGAGTCGACGGTAGGTGTGGTTGTATCGTCATTGGCTGTGTCCGGTACACAGTCATCGAATGGGTGGTCGAGATCATGGGTGATGAAATCACTGCTTTTCAGGAGGAGATATATGTCATTGGGGGTGCGGCATTGGGTGTCGTTTGTGGCGGCCATGAAGGTTGCATCTTTGGGAGCACTCCAGTTCAACTTCGGCGTGACAATGCCACCAAATTCGGCAATGGTGTTCTTAATCTGGATGTGAATGTCTGCCCATTCGGTGGAGGGGTCGACTTCCTCTTCGCCCGAGTCGGAGAATGTATCTATGTTGTCATCGTCGACTGGTGGAGCGGCTTCAGGGGGAAGAACGATGCCGTCGGCGCGGAGGTACTCGACGAATGCGGATGTTAAAGGGATGCAGCGCGACTTAGGCGCGAGGGTGCGGTATCTGTATTCTTTCAGTTAGATGACTTCGCATTGAGTCATATCTAGAAACATACCGCGGATGCCAGTCGTGATAGGAACAATGCAGGATGTGGGAATAAGTAGTTGGCGGGAAAGGCAAGCGATCCGGTAGGTCATTAGATGATGACTCCATCGGAGTCTCAGTATCAATCGACGGCATATTGGACATCTCTTGCTTGAACTGAAGAAAGTCGTCGAGGGGAAAATCGCGGGGACATTTTCCCGTGTCACGTGCTGATAAGGAAGCTGAGTAACCAGGAACGTCAGGCGCCTAGGCATCTACAACATTGGACTACTTGTTCTCCGTGTCAAACTCGCATCTCATTGTAAATCCCAACAGCATGGCCCCCGAGGCACCAGATCCTCAGAGCCTGAAGTCATGGCACGACGCATTTCAGTATCCGATTCCCACGGTCCGCCGTGTGGAGCAGGAGTTGCGCCGGGACATCGCGAGCAATAAGGAGAAGCTCCGAGCTCTCGTGGGGTAAGTGATTGACTCCGGGAACTTGTCCACGAATATGCTAATATCGTTTTGCGACTTCTTAGGATGAGATACCGCGATTTGGTCGGGACTGCCGAGACGATTGTGGCTATGAACCGCGATATCCAGGATGTGGAAACCGTTCTGGCCGATGTTGGGCGCCGATGCAACCCTCGGCTGGTGGAAAGGAAGCATGTTCATGGGAGACAGATCAAGAGTGGGGATGCAGAGAAGGGTACGATTCTCACCAAAGGGTTAGAAATTGACGACTAACCTGTTGCAGATGCGGATAAACATGCCTTTGGCGCTCAGCTTGCGCTCCTGCACAAGTGTACCACATCGATCACCAGACTCTTGCGACGCCGCGCATCTCCTCTGCTGATCTCCAAGATTTTTGTCGTCTCCCGACTATTGCACAAGACATTGTCTCAGCACGAATCGGTCCCTCCATTCCTGGACGATCTGCGCAATCAATTGGCATCCTTGCGGCGAACCCTTCTCAAACGAATTGACAAGCGCCTTGCTTCCACCAGCGTAACAGAAGATAATATCATTGAGTCGCTGGCCGCATATTGTCTCGCAACAAGCTCGTCTTCTGATGATGCTATTCACCATTTCCATCAAGTGCGCCTGGATGTCATTGTAAGCCAGTTGGATTTGTCTCGCGAGAATATCCCCAAGGCACTTCAGCTCTTTGTCCAAACACTGCAGGCTTCGAAGGTCTTGCGACACCGTCAGTTCTCAGACGTGCTTTCGAAAATCAAGGCTCGACCGATTCTTGCAGACCCAGAGATCCGCAGCCTAGATGGATTAGAAGTCGAAGTTCTAGGTCGATGGGTGGCTCCAGATGTCAAGAACTTCACGCCTTGGATCAAGTTGAGTGAGCTCAATAGGGCTGATGGAGTTGATTCGATCAAAGAGTGGTCACGTCAGGCGTTCGAGAAATTCGCTGAAGGCTGCCAAAAGGGCATGGCTCACAGTAATGATTTCTCTGAGCTTCTTGCTTTGCGCCGGGAAACAGTTGAATTATGGCTCTCGTCTTGGGGCTCAACCATCATCCATGGATCACTTGATGTGTTGGAGAGACTGCGCAAGATCTTCAATGACCAGCTGGCACGAATCCTGAAGGTCCAAGCCCTGAGTCTGGAAGAGGTCGGAGGAAGGGCTTGCTCTGTTGTTTTAGACTGGGATAAGAAAGAGCATGAATCTGTTGGGTCTCTGTGGGATGGGGATCTCATTGTCGCAGATTATTCCAATGGTGCACAGACATTCAAACAAACCATGGCAGACAGACTGCTTGGTCGTGATGAAGACGTATCAGCCGTTCTAGTTACGTACAAAGCGTGGCTCACATCGATCCGAGAAGTGAACGAGTCTATCGACTCTCTGCGTCGCATGCGGTGGACCGATATTCTCGTTGGCGGAGAAGTGGAGGATGAAGATATTGACATTACGCCTCGCCTCAATGAAGATGACCCACGTCTTCTGTCTGAATCTCTGCATTCCGCAGTTCGAGAGTCATTTAGCAACCTGCAAACGTCATTTAGTAGCGCTTTCAAATCATTCGGCTCATCGCATTCCAGCGAAAAGGCTACTTTCCTGTTGAGGCTCATTCGGTTGGTACGGCGTGATATCCCGACCAGCTTTGTGGCAGGGGACTTTGTTTTCTCAAGTGATATTGTTCCAGAGTTGCAGAAATTGCTTGCCTCAGAAGCCGTGGCCAAGGCCGGTTCTTTGAAGATAATACCATCTTCGAAGACACATCCACAAGCAGGAAAAGCCAGGATTGTACCTGGTCGGTCATTATGGGAAGGCAACCCTGCCTTACCGGTCCAACCCTCTGCGTTGACTTTCAAGTTCCTGCGCCGGCTCACGTCAACGATGGACTCCTGCGGATCAGATCTCTGGGATCCCTCAACGGTGCAGGTATTGAAACAGGCTCTCAAGAAAGAACTAGAGACTGCTATTACATCTTCTCTCGATGATCTCGAAAGCCCGGACTCTCCAAGCAAATCCGAATCTAACAATGAAGAGCCTATCACAAATGGTGACAACGATGACGAGGTCCAAGAGAAAAAATCCAATGGTAACAACAATACCGAAGAACAAATTGAAGTTACGCGGGATTGGAAGATCCAGCTCTTCTTTGATTCTCTATATCTGTCTAAGATTCTCGGTGAGCAACATCAGCTGGCTGATGTTGTTTCTCGCGCTCAAAAGAGTGCTGAAACTAGTGCGGATGCTGTGAAGACCATTACACAGTCAGCAGACGAGTACTGGACTCGGACAGAGCTACTTTTTGGCTTGTTAGCGGAGCATTGAAGATCCTCTAGATCTCCGCTGTCGGAAACGTCTGTAGATTACTCGCAGACTATTTACTTTTGCATCTATTTCTTCTTTGCCTTGAATAGGAGAATAGGACAACATTTTACATGACATTAAGATCCCAAACGTAAACATACTGAATTCAATCGTAGCTAGGTAACCTATTCTGTGCTGGGGTTACGAAATGGCAAGGGCGGATTGATCGATCGAGCTAATGATCAGGGCTCCTCTTGGATTATTTGTAGCCAGGATCTCCTTGTAAAGCATGTCAGAACCGGCCTGAAAGAGGTCACTGAGCGGCTCATTCGACTTACTGCGCCCCATGAAGAGTTTACCGAGTTCCTCCGTGAGGTATCTTCCTCGATAAAGGGGTGCAGCTCTTGCAAAGACCTCAGCAACGGTGAGAAGATACTGAGGGGTCCTTCTTACCTCTAATCCGTCAGTCATCTCAATTTTCATCAGACTCACCCTAAATCTCGCGCAAATCATTTCATCCGAGACCTTCCCATGACCAAAGGAGCAGTCTTCGGCGGACCTTGGACAGTACCCAAATCGAAAGTGGGTAGTCAACAAACTTGACACGTTCAGATCTTCAACGAGGTTCATAAGTCTTTTCACAGCGCTATGAAGTATTAGACAAGATTCAACCAGAATCACCAAAGGGAGCACCAATTCATGCATCATTTGTGCCCGAATTTGGTCTCTCCTTTGTCACCTCTCTTTGGGCCATTTCGAGGGCTTTGGGTAAATCAGTAGTATCACATAAAGAAAGGAGCGTGAAAAGACTTATGACCGTTGTTGTATGTCAAATACCTTTTAGAATCTGATTGTTACATGGCATCGGTGGCCAATCTTCATGTGAGCCACAGCAGTGTCATGGAACAGAGTAAATGATTCGCTGGGATTGTCTTGGACAACCTTTCAAGCATAATTGAGCATCTCCTGCATCAAGCAGGCTTCGAAAACATATGGGATCTGCAGAGATCATTTGCAGAAGCTTGCCGACTTGTGATATCATGTCCATAGGAAGTAGTGATTCGTTAGATCGACAGAAAATACTCATGTCGAAGGTGACGGCCTAGAAAGAGTTAACATAGTGACCGAAATTTTACAAGAAATATGAACTCGCATGCAATATCTGGGTCCATATTTAACTTCTCTTTGTTCATCTCTTTTTGTCTATTTTCAGGTGCCTCGGCTGAGCCAATCAGATCATATAAATATAGGGGCGTGAAAGGACTGAAATGTAGTACCTGATTTTGACAGGATCACCTTTTCTCTAGGTCATGTCAACAGGGACTATATGTCTTCTGAACTTGTGTCTCTATAGCTGTAGCTTTGCGTCCTTGGGCGGGCTAGCATTGTTGAGTCTCCTGCTTGTCCATGACAGGTGCGACAGGTCGTTCTTTTTATTCCCGTGAATCACATATTCCCCAGCTGTTCCCACAAAATTGTCTTCTTCCGCCAAAGCTATTCCCTGAATTGTTCGGCTAGAGCAGGCCGTTTCTGGTGCGTTTCGGACAACACAAGATGTGGTGTTCTGCAAGTGGATTTGTAGGAATGCACTACCACTTTGAGGTATGAAATCAGCTCCGCTACTATTACGCATGATCATCGATTCACCATTGGCAAATTCTGGCCATTGACATGTTGTGTAGTATAGAAAACGAGACGGTCCGCTGCCAAATGCTGACTCATCACGGTTCCCGCGGGGGATCAACGTCACCGAAAGCTCGTCCGCGGGAAATGGTTTGTCTTCTTCATAGCTGAACACTCCTTCAACCTCGCGTCATGGCTACGCCAAGGCTCCCATTTCTGTATCCGAATTTGATGCGCGCTGTTCGGTCATGTGAACCGAGCACATATCGTTCCTTACGATTCCCATACCCTCCCAATCGCCGTTTCCATATCAGTCGCCGGCATGAGCGCGAAGCCTACCAGCGACGCTATGGTCCAGCAGTCGAGCCCAGTGTTCCCGCAGCGTCGCGACTAAAGAAATCTTCATCTGATCAGATTCCGGAAGAAATTCCAGCGCAGAATGAGAGTCAGGATGCCTCCGAGCAGGAGGGAGCTTCTCCGGAGGAATCACAATCGGACCCACCCCAAGACAACCAGGACGCGGCCAACAGCTCTTCCTCTGCGAGCCCAAACTTAGATCAGCAAGAATCGATCGAATCGAAGAAAGACGATCCTCCGACAGATCGAGAGCCACACGAAGAGTCGGCGGCAGAGGAGCATTCCGAGCAGGACCAGGCCTCGGCTTCGTCAACATCCACTTCTGGGAACCCGCCTGAAGAGAATACCGAATCCTCTCCATTCTCCGGCCAAACACCATTCGATGAAGTCCTTCATATGCCCTCGCCGTCCGTCTACCTCACCCCTTCCGGGGAACACTCTTCGTCTGACGATCGCCCGCCACATCTTTCCCCGGCACCCTATGTACACCATTTCGATACGTACTCCTTGGTCCAGGATCTTTCTAAAGGAGGTTTCAGCAATGAGCACTCGACTACCATTATGAAGGCCGTGCGGGCCATTTTACAAAACAATCTAACTCTTGCGAACGAGAGCCTGACTTCCAAATCTGACGTTGAAAACGAGGAGTATTTGTTCAAAGCAGCGTGCTCTGAGCTACAGTCATCACTTCAAACAGCCCGTAACTCCGAAGTGCAACATCAGCGCTCATCACGTACACAACTGCAACACGACACGGACATCATTTCGCAGCGTCTCAGCCAGGAACTGGCGGGCATGAGAGATGAGATTAAGGGCATGTTCAACGACCATAAGATGATTACCCGCGAACAGCAGCGGAGTATCGACACCTCCGTTCAGGAATTAAACTACAAGATCACTGTTTCGCTTAACAGTGATGGAAAGAGCGAGATTGAAGGCCTTCGGTGGATTTTGACACGACGTGCAGCTTTGACCGTCGCCATTTGTGCCTGTAAGTGTTTCAGTTTACCTGATTTGAGAATTTCGTCACTAACTAGCGTGACAGTCATGATCATTGTTTTCCTGAAGTACGCCTCCACTCTTAAGGTTCATGAACCCGCAAAGGTCAAGGAAGTGGAGAAGCCCGTTGTCACCAAAGAAGTCGCTACGGAAACCAGGGTGGTCCATGATAATGATACAACGACTATCCCGTCAACTTCGGAAGCCCACCTAGGCGAGTCCCTTGGTTGATCGTCCGTGTCTAACACTCTCTACTTATACATACCAATCATTCATTGTTTATTTTCTTTTGTCTCGGCCTACTTCTATGTACATATATGCACTGGCCATGTACAACAACTGTATCACCATCAATAGACCAAATGCAATTCTGTCATACTAGGAATATATAAATCAACTTAATTTCATATCTTCCTCATAATGAAAGCTGATCGAGAGCGTGGAGAACAAATGTACATCTGAAACCTGCGAAAGCTTTCCAACCATTACTCATCCCTAACCCAAGGAACTTCTTCAGGAAGATACTTGTAAGCCCTGAAAGTAGCATTACTCAAACAATCAAATCCCATCTTCTCCATCTCATCCAACTCCTCCTTCCCCATAACCCTCTTATAATCCCCCAATTGGGGTACAACAAACTCCCAAACCATCTCCCCACTCTCCAAGACCTCCATAATACGCCCATCATACGCTTCACAAAGTAATACATTCCCATTCGTCAATTTCTGCGCAGACCCCATAAACGGCGTAAAGAAACCCAGCCCTCCAGTCGACGGGTCCTTATACTCCCACTTAACAACCTTCTCCCGGGAAATAATAATAGCCCGCGAAAATGGAACAGCCAGACCAGGTCTGAAGACCCCATTATCGAAAATGAGGATATCACCTGCGTCATTGATCTGATGGGCACAGTGCTGCTGACTGACCGTCGGTGCAGGAAGGTGCCACAATACTTCACCTGTTGCACGACTGATCACGAAAACGCTAGATGCATTCCGTGACGAGGCGATGACATTGCCCTCGGAGTCGAAGGCGACACTGTTGATCAGTGGCCAATGCTCACGCGGGTAATGTGGATGTGCGGCGAAGACTGCAGGGTCCAGATGGTCGATTGCTCGCCACGACCAGAGGAGCTTTGCACCACCGCTCCCACCGCTGCCGTCGAAGTCGGCGGATGAGGAGGTCATGGATGACTCCCAGGGCCGGACGAGCTTGATGCAGTCACTGTAGATGATGCCGTTTGGCGCTTCGCTGCCCGGGATGCCACCCTGCACTCGGGATGCTTCTTCACTGCTGAGTGGCTCCAGGGTTGTGTAGAGGATTGTGCCATCGTCGAGGTGGTTTTGGTCATGATGGGCCAGTGGGTCTGAGTACTGACGGATGAGATCACCGTCTGGGCTAACTTGCATCATGGTGCCGCCCCGGTATTTTGCCCACATCGGGAACAGTCGGGGTGCGTCTGGGTGTGCGCCGTTGTAGGCTAGGTTACCGTTTGGGAGGATGCAGGCGTGTCGGCCTGCTCTGTGGGGGAGAGTCCAGCGATGCACTTCTTTGCCTGACGTTGAGACTAGATGGACCGTGTTTGAGGTTAGAGGTGCGTACAGCACGTAGCCTGGTGAGACGCGCTGGCCGTCGACGCCTCGGAGGCCGAGACCTCGGCGACGGAATGTGTGCTGTTCCATTTGATAGACTTGGAAAGTAAATTATGAATTAAAAGAGGAGTACAAAGCAAAGAAACTGTATGCAGAATGGGAGGATTTTATCTTTGGCGAAAAATGGGGGAAGTGGACATATCTGTTGTTCTTAGGGCATCCCGGTCCGGCATGCCGCGGTATGCCGCGGGGATAAGTATCAAGTTAGATACGCTCGATATGGCGTCAGATATGCCCATGACATGCTTATCGGCGTATTGGGAGCTATGAATGGTCTATTGGAAGAATATGAGTTGGCCTGGTATGTATAAAATGGGGGAAAGTGAGGTATAGAAAGGGAGAGTCCCCTGCTGGATCCTACTACCTGACCAGTTCCACTTTGCAGTTGGAATTTCCTATGAAAATGAAGAACTACAGTGAATCTATTCAGAAGACCCAGTCTGAGCCAGAGACTGAACAAACTGAGCGGCCATGGCATCGAAGATTCTCTATTGAAGAGGGTGGCATTGAACGGGTCACCGATGAAGAGCGGTTGCAGAATACAACCAAGTTTTGGAATGCTGCTACTTTCTGGTACGAGAACTACTCCATGGGATCCTTGGATACGCTAAATTCAGCTGATGCCTCATCTCTATGTACAGGTTGAGTGCCAACATGGCTGTGGCTACCCTCAACATCGGCTCCCTGGGGGGCTCACTAGGCCTCTCCTTCTGGGACTGCTTCATTGTCATCCTGGTAGTTAATATAATAAGTGATCTGCTCCCAGCATGGACAGCAGTGTTTGGATTAACGGGTTTGCGCATGACAACTTTCTCGTAAGTGGTCGCTTCGCTTCCATGATCCACTATGTCCTAACACGGTCTGTCGACAACCAGGCGGTACTCATTCGGCTACTGGGGCAACATGCTCGTTGTCATCTTCTCAATGATCGCAACAACAGGCTGGAACGCGATCAACTCCATATCCGGAGCCACCGTTCTAAACGCTCTTTCTGACGGCCAGTTTCCCACATGGGCTGGTGTGATTGTCATATGTGTATCGGTGTGGGTGATGTGTATCCTGGGCATTACCTGGATCCATAAACTAGATACTTTTATCTGGATCCCCCCTCTGATTGTGTGGTGTGTGGCAGCAGGCACAGGTGCGTCTCACTTCACAGGAGATGATCATGCCGGTCTGAAAGGATCTGATAAAGCTGCTGCTATACTGACCTATGGAGCTTCGATTTTCTCTTTCTCTGTTTCCTGGGTAAACTGCGCAGCAGATTACAATGTGCGCATGCCTAAAGGAACTCCGCAATGGCATATCTTCAGTGCTACTTACATTGGCATTTTCGTTCCTACCGTGCTTGTCCAGACCCTTGGAGCTGCACTATATACAGGAACTGTGACTGATGCAGCATGGAAGGATGCTTACACTGATTCTTCAATTGGGGGTCTTCTCAAGATGTCATTGGCACCTGCTGGGGGGTTCGGCAAGTTCTTGATGGTTCTAGCAGCGTTGAGCTCTATCCCCGTAAGTGAACATTCTATCTCACCGTCCCGGCCCTTCACTTACATTTACTAACATCTCAAAGAACAATATCCCGAACAACTACTCTTTCGCCCTCCATGCACAGAATATGGGGCCATGGGCTATACGTATTCCCCGTGTGGTTCTAGTCACTTCTGGATCCATTGCAGCGGTGATAATAGGCTGCTGTGCAGCTAGATATTTCTCTGATACTTTGCAAACATTACTTAGTGTCATCGGATATTGGACTGTGATCCATATTACACTGGTTATGGAAGAGCATTTCATTTTCCGAAGAGGATGGAAGGGATATGACCTTGATGCCTGGAACAGCCTCGCTGGTCTGCCGTTTGGATGGGCAGCTATAGGAGCATTTGCCTTTGGTTTCCTAGGTGCGGCACTTGGTATGAAGGTGGCATGGTATTCAGGTCCTAGTGCATCTTTGATTGGTAGCAAAGGTGCAAATATTGGACATGAACTGACATTTGCTTTTTCAGGAGTCGCCTTTCCACTGTTTCGGTGGATCGAGAAGCGATATGGAGGTCGGTGAGCGAATATTAACAGTGAATTGCTTTGGAATGTATGGTATTTGGCAGGTGCATATAACTATGGGATATGCGAAATACATCTTTGTGCTCAGTTTTTGATAGACAGGGTCACAAATCCTGTTCCGAGGAACCATCTGCATTGTGTATTTGACAGATTCCAAGTTTTTAAAAGGCTCTACCCAACTGGATCCGATCCCTAATCGGAAACAGACCTCACACTATATCAAAAAGGGTCACAACCTAGAGGGGCTTGACCTCGGAACTGACGCTCAATTAGGGTATATCCCGAGAGCGGCATCGTCCCTGCATATATGCGAGCTCTCCAGGCTATACCATCTATTACTTATTGGCACGGGCAACATGAGAGTGGGGTTGAATACGAGATACAGGGTTGAGCAGTGACTCCCTAAGCGGCTCTCTCGAAGCGAGCCTCCCGAGGGCTTTTCAAGAACATCGAATAGACTGATATAAAACTCATAATCACCTCTATGCCAATTCAGAACAGATGTGCTTCCTATACTTACCTGCCTCAGAGTTCATAGTCGCTCGATCCCCTTGTTTCGTCCAAAGCTACACAGTATGAACGCATACAGATTCATCGCCGTGGCCTTTGCCCTTGGCCGCCTGACAGGCGCTGATCTTCTTCGACCAGCGGCCCCCGCCATCACTGGAGTTCTCAATGCACGACAAGAGCTAACATGTCCCGAAGCCACGCAGACAGTCTGCCCTGATGGAAGCGGAGGATGTTGCCCATCTGGTGCAGCCTGTACATTTGTTAGTGGCCAGCCGAGATGCCAACAGTCATCTGGCCGTGGGCCCCTCTGCTTAGATGGGGGCTGCTGTTCCTATGGGTATAAATGTGACCTAGTCGGCGACTTTTGTTTCCCGGACCCAACAACCTCCAATTCGATACCACCTCTGACGGTGCTGACTTTTGATCTCCCGGTATATTCTTCCCTGGGGCCAATCGAGCCAACACCAACCATACATACTATGCTGGAGCCCACAGAGCCCCCCCCCCCCCCGGGGACCTGGAAACACGCAGGAATCTACGAGCATATCAACATCTTCGAGTGTTTCAGAGCCTACAACCATCCCGGAGCCTACGACTACAAGCTCTCGCCTGTCAAGTAGCGGCAGTGCAGCTCCATCTACCAACTTAGCAGGAACGGCTTCCGATACTACGCCCAAATCATCCACATTACCATCTACGACTCCACCATTGACAGAATCGCCCACAAGTACTGAGGACTCTGGTGCAGCATCGCCATCAACGTCCCCCGGTATTGCCAGTTCGCTTTCAGTGGGCTGGGGCTTCTGGACGGCGTTGGCCATTGTGGTGCTGTGCCTTGCTCGTTAATCATATACACTCAACTAGTGCGCTATCGTAATGCAACACATATAATTTACGACACTCAATGAAAACTCGGGACGCAAAGATAAGGCATCATGATAATATGTTGTCTAGAGTAAGAATAATATATAATCCAGCTCCCTCTCGGCGGCTTTACTATTGGAATATCACATCTTCAGCAAAAGGAGTAAATACATACGCCTATCTAGTTCAAATTCAACTCCAGCCACTTGTTCATTTTGTTGAAATTGCCACTGCATCGTCGTTCTCCTATCTGTTGATTTAAACCCCCTCTTATGGTGATTACATCATCCGTAGATATGAAATGACAGAATCTGTCTTGTTTTGAAACTACTCATTTGACCAAACATTAGAACAGGACAAAAGGGACCCTCATTCATCAGGCGGTCTTGAGCTCTCTGGACTCTGCGGGAAAAGCCCCATATTAGAAAGAAGATCCCAATTCCCATCCGCAGACATTCCCAATCCAAGAAACTCGGGGAAATAATAATTATTAAAGTCGCCCAACATCTCATCAGGTGGCGCATTAGGCGGCGATGCCTCTACACGAGGTCTCAGCTTCTGATGAACCTTGGCGATGATATTGCCTAGGGTATGTGCTGCGTGACAGGGTAGTCCAATGCAGTACAGCCACTGCACGAGATCATGAACCAATGAGTCCAGCTCATTGATGTTGTGTGTTGAAGCGACTTGTTCTTGGTAACCAGTTGAAAGGCGACAGATGACAATGGCTGCGAAAGTTATCATGTGGTAGATGTGATCTGTTAAATGGCGAGTCCGCTCGTCTACCGTGTCCATGGCTAATTGGATTATTGCGGTGGAATGGCGGATCATTTCTGAAACGACTGATTCCCTGGCTCGGGCGGATTTGGATTTTAGAGCGTGTTCATATAGAAGGAGGTGGGAGAAATGGAAACCCATTGATAAGAATTGGGATCTTGGTTGGTCTAGTTGGGCAGAGTTAGAAGGAATTTCGTCGGTAGAAGAGTGAAACCAAACTTACCAAGGACGAACTCCCATTTCCTCTTCCATGCTTGCAAAGCTGCCACGGATTTTAATAAGTCGACTGACTCTTGTATCAAGTGCTCGTAGACAGTCCAGTAGAGATAAATTTCTGCAACCATGCGCACTTCAAAATTAATCGCGTGGTCGGAATCTATAACGGCACGGCATCTCTCAATCTGCCAGGGTTGTAACATTGACCGACGACTCGTACCAACACAGTAATGCATATGAGCAAGACAGAGATGATTCCATAAGTAGCAACGATCCATAGTGGCTTCGTCCAATCTGTTTGGAGGATGAGACTGAGTTGTGACTACAGTAAATAACGGACTTGATTGCGAATGCTGCAGAGCAAAACCGCTCAAAAGCCAACTATCGATGCTCAAAGGTACTTGACCTACTGTTGTCGACCACATTGAAAGAATCAAAGCCGCTTGGAAAAACTCAATTGGTTGTGGCGCGACCAAAAGAGTAGTCGAGGCCAGGGAGCGGGCATGTTCGTACAGCTTAGGAGCGAGACTCGCAGCAACGTTCTCGGAAGTATGCCGCACGGCGATCAGAGAACAAGCGCAAAACAATAGCGGGGATTTTTTCACGCGGCGTAAAAGCTCAGTTGGCTCACATTCGGGGTCAAACAGAACCCACCGACCGTAATATTCGAGGAAACTGGGAAATTGTTATTGATAGGCCGAATTTTTGACAACAGTGCAGCATACATAGTAATCAGCGTTAGTGCAAGATCAGGCGCAATAAGGTCATCCAAATCGGCACTCATCGACCGGATGTCGGAAGATGGATTGGGGCCGGCATCTGTCGCCAGATCACGAATGACCATGATCGGAGCCGCGGAGGATTCCGTCTCTTTGTACGGCACTTCAGACTCGGTCGTCTGTGCAGTTGAAGGTCTGCTGGTCTCATGGCCTGGGGTCCTTGGAGGACCCTCTCCAAGGCGATCGAGCAGGGCAGCTACAGACCTTTCTAGACGTTCTAACCTGAAGACATATTAGTATGAGGCAAATCGGAGGCAAAGATGGAACCGTGATCATACCGCACATCCGTACCGGAGGCGGGGACTACGGATTCCTCATCCCACGCATCAATTTGAACAAGCGAACATTGTTGACGAAGTCGATCACAGCGAAGACAGGCTCGCCCAGGAATACCAGGCTCGTAACATCTGGTCTTCTGCTTCCTGCATGAGGTACATGCCCGCGAGGCACGGCCCCGATCCGGCGGCATTTCGACCTCGAAGGTGGTCTCAAATCACTTAGGGGTTCGAATTAGATCAATTTATTCATAAAATGAGGTCGAAGTCAAGCCAGAAAGCTGAAATCAAAAGGAACTTAATTGATGTCACCTGATTGCGGGGATGAGATAAGCGCGATCCAGGACTACAGTGGAAGTATGTGAATATCATGAACATTTCGTTTGATCTATATCGTATACACTTTCGAATGGAATGTACTAGAAATCCATGCGCAATGCGATACTAGGCGCTGCCTGCGGGGCAATATCTTCTGCTTCCACACCAGACTTTGAAGCAACAGCTCCAACACCGACACTACGGAGGACTTCTTCCAGAAGTCCTTTCTGGTCTGCATTCATGGAAGCAACCATTGCTCGGAAGGCGAGTTGATCTGCCTTTGCAAGTTCGAGGAGATGGCCAGCAGATTCCTTGTGCACGGACTCGCCTTCGCGTTTCGCACGGGCCAGTAAGGCCGACATGACAAGCGAGATTGCAGTTGGGAGTTCCGACGCAGAGAAGGTGGCGTTGGAAATGCACGAGACCAATGTGCGGGCAATCACCGCGCGTGAATTTTCCGGGTCGTTCGGGATATCTCCATTGTCTAGTGGACAGGCAACGAGGAAAGCGATCAACCGCGGGGTGAGATATCGGCTGATCACATCGTCCGTGATGGAGCGAGAACCTGGCTTGACGAGTATTGAGCGGATGCAGCTGGCTGCTACATTGGCGAGTCCAACATCCTGGAGACAGTCGAGGAACTCATGCAGAACTCGGATAAGGACGGGGTCCTGAGGCGGGATGACGTGCCCGCCAGCAGTGAGGAGGAAGGTTATGGCGAGGAGGGTGTTCTTGGCACAGGGAATGGAGATGTCCGATTCTCGTCGCTGGGCAATCGTGAGAATCGTCAAGAAGCGCGTGAGGCATCCGCGGAGTTGGAATGACACGACTTCAAGGTCTTCGGGTGATTCTGTTGTAGTTGTGATGGCGTGGATGAACTGCCGGAAAATCGGGAGAGCTTGGGGAACAACACCTTGTTGGCAAATTCCAGTGGCCAGGATTGTAGTGAAGATGTGCAGAATGCAAGCATGGAGATCATTTCGAATTATGGACGGAAATACCGATGCAACATCGACGAGAGAACGCAGCGCCAGACGAATCAGAGTCAAAGACTCATCTGAAGTGACGTTGAATCGTGCAAGAGGGGTTGATTCGCGAAGATTAGGGAGCATTCCAGCGAGGACCAAGATAATACTTCTCGTTAACTCGAAGAGTTGCTCGATATCATCAGAGAGATGATCGCTGCGTTCCTGGTCACCCTTTGCAGCAGGATGATCCAATGACAGGTTCTGTGCGATCTCGACAATGACAGTCTGGATAGGAGTCGTCTCTGTCAAGACCAGGCGGTCGAAGGTGTCCATCGTTTCCGTGAAGATTGCATCTTGGTAAATAGCATTTCCAGAGATGATTGGTCTCAAGATTCTCTTCAAAGCTTGGAGAATCTCCAGGCGCTGGGAAGCCGAAGTTCCTTGGTCAACTAGAGATTCAAAGGCCAAACCGAACAAGACAAAGAAGAAGGCAACTGGCTCTTCGCGGTAATTAATATCGTGTCCTTTGCCTTCTTCCTTCTTTGCGACCTTGTCTTCCTTTTCCTCGCCATCTTGGCCACTGGGCTCTTCTGGTTCATCGGGCTGCTGTAATTTGCCATCCAAGGCATCAAAGACGAAGTCAATATCCTTCTCGACAAGTCCAGCGATTGCATCAACTAAATACAACCACGTGTCTTGGTAGAACTAAATATGTTGTTAGCCTCTTAGAAACAAAATATTGCAGGGGAAACCCTTACATTCAACAAAGTCTCACGGTTCAAAGCAGCGTATACCTCATCCAAATCGCCACTAGTGCTCGTGCCCAGACTGCCGGAAATATCGGGCTCAAAGCGCAACCGAGCATATTCCTGCAGAGAAGACAGCCATAGAGGTGTAAGCCTAGCAAGATAAGGCTGAACGACCGAGTTCAGATACTCATGCTCGATACTGGCAATCTGCAGCCGAGCCCAAGCAGAGAACAAGGCAAGTTTCACCATCACCCGAGCATTGGAGTTCAGGCCCTTGAGATCTCCGATTTCAGTAGTCCCTGGGTTTTTTGCGAAGTTCTCCAGGCCCAATACTAGCAGTTTCAGAATTCTGCCCATGCGGTCGACATTCGTGACGATTCCGGTGGCGATGAAGGTAGCAGAGACATTGATCGCCTCTGAGGCTAGCTCTGCGGATGAATCGGTTGCAAAAGCGGGAGTAAGTGCAGATCCGATCTGCGCCTGATACTGTTCCAGCAGCGAGGCTTCAGCAAAATCAGGATCAGGGGTCTTGCCAAACATAGTGAGAACCTGGTCAATGATCTTCAGACCCCAGACACGCAGCTCGATGACATTCGCGGTTGATGCCGAAAACGCCATTCGAACGATGTCTCCGACGTTCTTCTGAAGAGCCAGTTCCGCCGGGATGGCAGAGTCTGGGAGGATGGCTTCTTGGACAGTAGCCAAAAGCTCAGAAAGGCAGCTCATGGCGAAGTTGCGTGTCTGCCACTTAAGCAACTCTTGGCCAGAGACACTTTCATTCGCGATGTCACCTTGTCCTTCCCCAGCAACGGCGGATGCGAACCCGGCGACCTCGTCATCTGGGATATCCGCTGCAGCCTGAACGGCTGTGGTAGGTGGTGGTTCAACCTTATGACGTGTCTTGGTCATAATGTTCTGACAGCGCTGGATCCACGCCTCGGTTTCGGTTAGAGCAGTTTGTTGCAACCAATCCTGAATCATCGACTTGAGTGACGCATTGTTTGGCGCATCTTCATATGCAAGCCAGATGTCATCTTCCAAAGACTGTCCTGCTGTCTGTACCACAGAGGCAGCGCCTCGCTTCATCAGGTTGTTCAGTCCGCGGACGGCCACATCCCGCATGAGGAAGTTATTTGCCCGGAGCTCGCTCTGGAGGCGCTTCACGTATCCTGCAAAGTCGACATAGCTCGAGGCATAGAGTGACAAGTGATCCAAGCACCTGGAACTTTCAGTAACCAGTGCAGGATTCTCCTCCAGTTGGAACTGACGAAGCAAGGTCAGGATAAGATTTCGAGTTTTGGCAATGTCCTGCAGGTCGGGACCAAGGACGTTGATGAGAGAGTCCACACATCGACTAATCACGACAGGCGTCAAGAATGACATCTCGATGTTAGAGGTGGCCAATGCAGCGGCCTCCTCGTTGTGGGTATCCGCATTGTACAGCTGTGCAAGCATACCCAAGGAGCCAGAGACAAAGGGTGAGAATGTCAGTCCAGCAGAGTTGGCAACTCTTTCCAAACCACCAAGAGCCCAGAAGTGGACAACGGGATGAGGATCATTGCACAAGGACATTAAGACACCGACAATGGTTTTAAGATGCAGACCAGCTGCCATTCCACCGATCTGCGCATGAATACATCCTAAAGCAGCGGCACATCCAGCTCGAGCATTGGGTTCCCTGTTCTCGACAATGGTATCAACCAACCAGTTGACCTGTGTATTCGTGCAAGTGTTTCCAGCGCTGTCGCAAAGACGTCCCAATGCTTCAACGCCAATAGTACGGACGATTGGATCGGTATCCGTGACGAATTTCTGAAGAAGCTCTTGCAAGATTTTATCGGTGGATGAGTTCAGCTTGCCAGCCACAAAGTCTGTTTCTTTAACGGCAACCTTCAAAGCATGGAGGAGTGCAACAGAGATATTGATGACCAATGCTGCCTTCCGGCCTGGGTTCCTCTGCAAGCCTGGAGAGGTGAGGAATGTGGCAATTTGTTCCACGCTGCTCTCTTGAATCTTGGAAGAATGAAGAGCCAGAGCTACGGAGAATAACTCAATTGCTGAGTTGACAACACCAGTGGTTGGCGGATCAACAGCGAGGGTATCTCCATCCCGCAAGCTATAAAGGAGAACTGCGTCATGTTCGCTAGCTTCGCAGATAGGGAAAGTCAAAGCATCATCAACTGCTTGATCCACGGAGTCAAGTGCAGACCAAGCAGGGCCTTTCTCATCTTTCTGTGTTCCAGACAATGTGAGGCGAATATATTCTCGGGATAGTCCCGTCACGCCAAAGCCGTAGTTGTCGCATAGATCCCACAGCCCATCGAATTGTCCAGCGGAGCCAGAAATTGAACTTTCCAGCTGTTTGTATTGAGCATCTGGGTCTGCAAAAGACGAAATGGCCAAACTGAGAAGGCTAGACTGCGAGATGATGTCTCCATGACTGGGTGGGTGTACATGTACGAGCTTTGAGAAGCACTGCAAGACACGTCGGCGCACCATAGTCATATAATCCTGCAATTGCAGGGAAGGATACAGTCGCTGCGAGATATCTTCCATAGACTTAGGCTTCGGCAGGTCATCCAAGAATTCAACGGTATTTTGGAGCATTGCAGCAATTCTCTTCGCGCCGTCTGCGGTGATCAGTTTGCTGTTGAATTCCATGAATACTAGCAGGGAACTCAAAGCACACTCTCGCACATGAGCCAAGAAACTAATCTCGAGATTACCCGGTTGAGCAGCATTCGCCTTGCTAAGATGCTTTGGCAGTGCATTCTTCCAGAGAAGCATCAATTGAGAAAGGTGGATCTTAACAAAGCTGGGTCCAAGAGGCATCAAACCTCCAATTAGAATCCATGCCACCTGAATCTGAATGCTGGCAACACGAAGCTCGGAAGTGCTGCTGGTCTTGAGAAGATCGGTGGCCTGCGTGAAAACGCGCGCGAACACATCTACTGCACCGTAGAGTGGTTGCAGACGGGAAGTGCTGAGCATTGCAGACAATCCATTCGCATATCCAACACATCGTCGAGGTGACTGGCGAGGAGTACCCAGCTGTCCAATCTCTCGGTTCAGACTGTTCATGCAGATCGTAACACATGACAGCAGTTGATGAGGAGATGCAAGAACAAAATTGCGCATACAGTGCGCAGTGTGAACTTGGACGGTGTAGCTAGGATGAGGAAGGACTTGAAGTAGAGCATCACGACAGCTATCCGCAAGAGCAGTGAAAGCGGAGCCAAGTGATTGAATCAGGGAGGACAAAGCGCTGACTGTGCTAGTCAAGGTGTACTTGCTTGGCTCGCGGCGTTCCTGGATTACCTGAGGGTAGTCTTTCAGAATCTCGTTGATCAGCCATTTGGCCGCACTGAGTTGACTGTTTTCCCGCAACAATTCACGTCCAATGGTATCCTCCAAGATGCTCTTGATGAACTTTCTGGTCATGAGTAGACGGAATCGGTTGTATGAGACCGTCGGATGGTTCAACAACTCGACAAGCAGATTAGTTGCAATTTGTCCATAGCGTTCTTCAACGATCTTGTCACCCAAATTGCGCAGAACATATTTGTAGCATATACAGATACCAGCACGTGTGCGATTCGAAGTGGTGCTCTTCAAGTATTGGGTTGAAAGTTGTCTTAGGAGGTCAGGGAGAAGGAAATAGAGACGGGAATCGGCCTTTTTCGGAGCTGGCGACTCTGACATTTCTGCCTCTTCCTCGTCCCCCAGTCCCGAAGTAGGTTTCTTGGACATACGCTTCGTCTTCTTCGATTTCGGCTTCGGCGCAGCTGTAATATGTGCATCTGTCGCATGCAGTTTGATCAGTGCTCGACCAAGGACTGCAGCCACAGCATGCCGCACTGGCGCCGCAGGACTGTCAATAACCTTCCATACAAGTGTTTTGAGATTCTCAAAGTCGGTTGTATTATCAAAAAAGGGTTCCATAGCAATCAACTGCTCCAAGCAACGGCATGCATGCACTTGAACAAAGGTAGACTTGTCGCTCGTCGCAGCATTTCGAGCCTGTTTCCAAATGTCGCGTGCGGTGACTTCATCGAGTGGGACACCAATCCCAACAATAATCTTGCGCAGCACGGCAAAGGCAACACCACGTAAGCCAGTATGGTTGCTCGCAGATTTGAGGAGCTTGATCATGGTCGAAGTCGCAACATTCGACTGCATGAACGCACTTTCGCCAACTGTCGCAAAGACCTCTCCCAGGCAATGCGCCGCAGCGAACTTGGTCTTTAATTCCGCTTCACTCTTGCTGGCATTGAGGATTCCTAGCAAGTCTGTGATTGTTTCGAAGAGGATCCCGCGATCCCCTTTACCGAGTATTGCGCCGAAACATCGTCCAATATTGTTGCGGAGGACTCGCGTGATGGTCGGTGAGGGCAGGGCTAATATCTTGAACAATTCCTTCTTGAGATCTTTCTGTTGGGAGGAGACTTCGGCTGGTTCCAATCCAGAGATATATTGTACTAGATCGGAGGTGAACGTGAGCATGTAGAGGTCCTGTTGTTCGGAGGGGAGCGCATGGAGCTTGGGGACGTCGAGCTCCGGAACAGCACTTTGTGGCGGTTGCGCGGGGGTATTTTCGGAGGCAGACATTGGATAGAATCAGGGCAGGTGTAGCCCCATAGGAATAGAAAGGGAGGAAGGAAGGTAGGAGAGTGAAGGTCAGTTGCGTCAACATCTCCTTATCGTGTGTCCTCAGCGTCCGCGGAGGTCGGACAAACTGTCGGCCCGCTGGGAATGTATACGCTCCGCAACGGAGTTCGAATTTCCTCCTAAGTACTATGGCTCTCCGGCTCAGGTTACTGCGACCGTTCCAGCGGGCAGAAGATAGCTGCGTACCATGTCGCTCATTCAGTGTATCTAGCATTGCGTTCTCTGGTCACAATAAATGGTCAACGATCAAGCACGACAAAGCACGGAACGACAAGGCGAAGAGCAAGGAACGTGCAATGGTTGGCAAGGAAATTGCCAGCGCTACACAGAGTGCGTATATCATGCAACTATGCAAATTGCTTGTATCTAACTTACACTAGTGTGGGGTCCTGATCCGAAGTACAATCCGCGACTGACACTTGCGCTATCGAATGCGAAACGAGCCTCCATTCCAAAGATTATTATCGAAGCCGCAATTTTACGAGGGCAGGGACTGAGTGTATCAGGACAAGCACTCGAAAACGTCACAATTGAGGCTATGCTACCAGGTTCCGTGGCTGCTGTCGTGGAATGCCAAACCGATCAGAAGGCGCGCGTACTCCAAGATGTCCGCTATATGATCAAAGACAATGGAGGAATTGTCACACCAACTACATATCTCTTTGAAAAGAAGGGAAGGGTCGCTTTTGAAAAGAAGGACGGTACAAATCCAGACGACTTCCTTGATCAGGCCATCGAAGCTGGTGCGGCGGACATCACCACAGATGACAAGGGCCGATTAGTACTGTTCACTGACCCTTCGGAGACAAAGAGTGTTGGTGAGACTTTTGCTAAGCTATCTGGTCTCAGTATTGAGGAGTTGGAAATCTTCTGGGATCCTAATAGGGATACCATGGTCGAGGTGCAGGATGAAGAGCAAGTCAAGGCCCTTGAAGATCTCTTGGCAGGTTTGCGTGAAGAGCCCAGTGTCCAAGATATTTACTTGAATTCGACGGAGAAGTTTTAGATTTCAGCATAGCCTGAAGCTGTTTCACCTCGAGGACGAGCAATGTACAATATGTGTATAGCGATAGATACCAAGCATTCAAGTGGCGTTGTGCATCTTCATTCCCAGATCTATCAATACTAACTTGCCGAAAAGCAGAAAGGATAATACCATAGACAATGCTCCTTATGAAGTCAAATGCTTGCAATAGAATAGACATCACGAGCTACTCCTTGCGCAAAGCTTTCATTGTACTCCTCATCAAAACACCAGTACCCCGAGACCCAATGGCCTCTAACCAATCCAACATATGCACACGGTACTCTTGCCAACTCATCTTAGCACCGCCGTCCTTCTCAAGTGCAACAAGGGCTTTATGAGTAACCGGCTTCCCCAATTTCGGACGATCACCCGTGACATCCTGATCTTCCTCCACGTCTGCAAAACAAGCGGCGGACAAATTGCAAAACGCAGCGTGGTGACTGAGAGAGAATAGCGATGTTAGGGCAATGTGGAATGCATTCTCACGGTGATAGTGTTTGGCAGCTTCATTCACGTCGCGGACGTAGGTTGTCAAAGCAGTGACGGTCTGGGCGGGGATGAGGCAGCCTAGTGCGTTCGGGTCTTCTGTGTTCAGGGCGCGGTTTCGCCATAGTAGGTTGCACATATCCATCACATATCCATTGAATCGGCCCACCAGGTCTGTGCTGTAGGCTGGGGTGCCTTGTGCTTGGAGGACTTGTGAGCTGAGGGAGGCTTCGAATGCCCCTTTGTAGACGGCTAGTATAGATTCCAGGCTTGAGATCACGGAGATGTTTGGGATGAAAGCGAGAGTGTACACTGTTTGGGCGTATGGAATTGTGAGTCGGAATCGAGCGTCTTCTGGTGCGTGGGAGAAGAGGTCTGTCAGAACCTTGTAGAACTCGAGCACGGAGTCTGCCGCCGGCTTGAAGGGTTTCTGATCTTCGTCTGCGGGGAACTCTAGGATGGAGGATGCTAAAAGTTCGACGTGCACAATCATCTGGCTCAAAGGGTGTGAATGTTCTGGTGTTGCTGGTTTTGATCGTAGACTCACGCCCCATTGACTGATCAGTGCTGAGTAGAATCCTAGTAATGATGTTCTGGAACCAAGGCTTCCATCCAATACTGCAAACTCCAGAGGTGACAGTAATTCACTGCGTAGAGATTCAAAAGGTGCGATTTGGGTGTATTGCAGAAGTCTGAAGACATTTTCACCATTATCTTTGCCATTCCATACTTGGAGATAGGACTGCAAAAAGGAACGGATTGACGATGGAAGGTCCTAAGATTTTTTGAGCGTCTGTCTGTCATGGCCATATCCCAACTGAAGAGCATACCTTGGTGAAAGAGACGTATCCTACAACATATTCCAACACATATGATAGTGTCTCAGGTTCATCATCTTCATCTTCGCGAATCATCTCCAGCTTATCTTCCAGGAAACTTCTCAGCCATTCATCAAGACGATGATATGCAGCTTCAGATTGAACCAGATGAAGATACTTCTGAGCCATTGCATCGCCTAGGGTTGAGATGATCTGATTTGGAAGCTCAATTTTCTCGATCTTTTCCACAAAGTGGCCAATATCACGAAGTTCCTCAATCGATGTCTGCTTATAGGATACCCGTGAAGTTTGCAAAGTCGGAACAACCACCTCGATCCTGCTTCTTTTCACGGTCCCCCGATAGACGACCTGGAAATTTGACTGTTGATTAGCCTGCACTTTTTCCGCATTTTTATCCTGGAGTCCCTTCGCATGGCTTGACCATTCAGGGTCGGGATGTTTGAAGAAAAGGGCATTTCTCCTCGGTCCGCCGAAATCACCAAGGATAATCTCAGGATAGTAATTCTTGAAGATCCGAAGAAGACTGATCAATTCTTTATCATCACCACCCGAAACCTGGATCAGCTCCATGAGGGCTTGAATTCGGAAAGGCTTGACATGTTTTCGCCTCGTGATAAGCGAGAGAAGATGGCACAATGGCTTGCGCAAACTGATCATATCCAGATAGTTGAAAAGAACCGCATAGAGCTTTCCTAGATGGGACCTCTCTTCAAGAAGATCATATGAAAGAATCAACCAGCGCAACAGCAAAACCTGTGTCGCTGGACTGGGTTTGTTCTTGCTAGGTCCAAGACAGCAGACGACTTGCGTGACATTTTGGGACGCGACTATCTCTTGTGGATATAGATTTTTGACCAGGGATGTAAGTGTGCCTTGGTCCAGGTTATTTCTCGAAGTCAAAATCTTCAGTAGACGGGCAAGCGCGGGTTGCGGAATGCCGTTCTCGTACGCGTCTGAAGCGATTTTTTTGGCTAGTTGGCTAACATCTGTGTATCTCTGCTTTGGAGGAACGAATGCAACTGCCATCTGCTGTTAGTAGCGTTTCTTGTCATCTCAAAGATGTGTGCTGACCATACCGGCTTCCAAGTGCTCGACCGCATCAAGCAGACTGCTGGATTGGTTGTCTGAGTAATTGTCAGTCACTGTTTGGTTGGAGAAACGCAATATAGTCACAACTCACCTGTAATTGTCTCCATTTTTACTGGCTTCGATGATTTCAATGATTGAGTTGTCTTCCAGTCCTGGCTTGCAGTTGCGTGAGCTCTGGTGCTGGCGCAGCCGCAATAGGGCGTGCCTTGGCTTCAATTACACGTGTTGGAGGGCGCAAAAAACAGGATATTTTGTGCAGAATAGTTAGTAGTTATTTAAACAAAGCAGGAATTGATGCTTTGGCGCAGATCTCCCTGGCAGTTGCATAGAGAAATGAACGTGGGCGCGACGGGGAAACACCCTAAGCCTAATCGGGTAGCCGTCAACAATTGTGTAGATCTCTTCTTCAACACTTTTAAGGCTATATCTACTTGACTTAGAGGCAATAGTGAAATTCATAATCTACAATCATCATTGAAGAGTCCGAAACTAGGAATTTAACTGTAGCACATCGAAATAGCGACAGTGTGATTCAACGGTCGCCAACATCAAACCAGCAATAAAAGGCGAGTTCAAGCTGCACCAAAATCTATGCAAACGGACTAGCTCATCGACTCAGACACCGATAGAATCTGTTTCTAGGAAACCGTTCACTTTCTCTTGCGAGTGTCCGACTTGGGAGTAGCCTTCGAAGAAGACTTAGCAACCTCGGGCTCCTTCTTGTCCTCCAAGGCAGGAGTAGTCTCCTGTTCCTCGTCGCTGTCACCACCCTGGCCAAACTCGTTGACACGCTTGTAGTCAACCTTGTACTTCCAGCCCTGGTAGAGCCAGATGAAGAAGATGACGTCGTCGCGGAGCGTAGCCAGGCGGTGGAGCCAAGGCATCTTGACAGTGAAAGCGAAGAGGTCATCAATAAAGGTGTTGAGGAACTTGTAGGTCAGGGCCTTTCCAGGCATGTGGGCAACAGACTTCAGACGGTAGTTGATGTACAGACTGGGGACCATCATGAGAAAGCCATACGCGTAGACACTACCCACGAGAGTCTCGATGATGTAGGAGTACCAAGACTTGTGAGTGTTGTAAACCAAGCTGTATCCAGCGTAGGCCAGCAGGAGGGGCACGGCCAAAATGTACAGGTAGCGGAAAGCAATCTCATCGTATTCCTGAGTCTTCTGCTCAGTTTCGGACAGCTTGTGCTTGTCCTCGAAGACGACCACATATGGCAGGAAGGAGAGCCAAGAGTTAGCTGGGGGAGGGCGCATGCGAACATCAACAGTCTTGGTAATCTTCCAGAATTCCAGCAGGATACCGAATCCTTGACTGGCCAAAATCATCCAAGAGGTGTTCTCGCTGTTGTCCATAAGGTACAGGAAAATAACAGCCTGCATGAAGACGTTGGCCAAAATAGTCCGAACAGAGGTACCGACAATATCCTTCTTCTTGCGCCAATGGGACTAAGATATCGACGTTAGCAATGAGAGATCACAAGTCGCAACACTTTCACTTACGATGTCGTTCTTGAAGGCCAGGGTCTCAAACAGCATATGCAGGATGGTGACAATACCGGTGGTACCAAGGAGCCAGATGTTAGTGTCCAACAAGATCTCCTTGACCATCTCCCACTCAGTTCCATCACCACCACCAGGGGCAGAGCCACCGTAGGCAGCCTGGCGAGAGCTTTGCTTAGAGCCCTCATCAACACTAGCGAGGATGCTGAACTTCCAGTTGGCCATGTTGTTGACAGTGATGCGCAACGGGAGTGTCTCAACGGTGGAGTTCAACTCGGTCATGTGGCTCTTCAACTGCCAGAAAGTGTTGAAAAAAGCGATGGGGTAGTACCATCCGTTCTTCCCAGTGGCATCGCGAGCACCGGTGCGCTCCAGCTGCAAGTACTGGCGAGCCGCAGGGTGCAACTGGCCCAACTTCTGGGTTCCAGAATCTGGGATCAGAGAAAGGGTGAAGTTGGGGTGGTAGTAAGACATGGTCTGGACATCCGGGACATTGTCATCATCCTGCTGCTGTTCGGCCTCCCCGGCAGTAGCCAGGAGGTTCTTCAGCTTCTTGACCTTCTTCTTGGCGTGGTACTGGTTCAGAGGGCGCAGGAAGTGAACAGCATCGGCGGTGTTGTAGTCCTTGGCAGCTGGATCCAGTTGGTATCCGGTACGAGCCAAGAAAAAGTGAGCCCAGAGAGTTCCATTCTGCTGGACCTGCTTCGGAACCTTGATGGTGGTGTCGATCTCGCGGGTGTCACTGTAGTTTCCGATGGTGAAGTTCTTCTCCTGCAGCACAAGTACGCTATCGGAGGACTTGAAGTTGGGTACGATTATGGAGGGTGTCACGTAGATGCTGAGATCGACGGCGCTGTCGGCCGGCCAGATAGGAGCGATGAGATCGGGGATGGCACTGGACTCGGCGATCTCGCTCGGATGCGGGCGATCAGCGAACGCAGGAATACCACCCGAACTGGCACTGGGTGAAGCACTCTGCTTGTTGCCAAAGAATTGGCTAACAGCAAACTGTCCCAGCAGGAAGATTCCGAGGCCCTGGAGGGCACCCTTGAAGCCCGACTAGAGAGGGGTCAGTACAGAGATAAGAGCAAAACATCGACACATACGTTGGACTCCTCCTGTCTTCGAGGCCTCTGTTCAGGCATAATGTGGCAAAGTACCTGAAAAGCTGAGATGAGAAGAAAAGAGAAAGGCGAAGTGGCCAGAGAAACAATTAGTTCCAGGCCCGAGCCCCAAGAAGCTACGGGAAGCGCCTTGGCATTCTCCGACTGCAACTCCGCATATCGCAGTGCTTCTTTCTTGTCGCGCAATGGATATATATGTATACTGGTGTTGATTGACTATATGGATCCTTCTTTCGATTCCCGTGCGCAATTTCCGGTGCACAATGAGCCTCGAGTATGGGTGATCACTGCAGGGGATTCACCCATCGGTATCTCCGTCGCGCGGCAGGTCCTTGCGCACGGCGACTATGCGTTTCTCGGACTGGCGCATACGGCTTTGGAGCGTGATGAACGTCGTCGCAATGAATTCAACGATTTCCTCGCTGAGGTGGAGGGACATCGCGGCGACGGATGGGGACGGCGCATGAAGACTGTTCCCTTGGATATCCGGTGCGCCTCTATATCCTATCACGGGAGATATTAATTGTACGCAGTAGCTGACAACTCTTGTGTCACAGAATGATGGGTGAATGTCAGGCGGTTATCGCAGATGCAGTCGCGACATTCGGAAGGGTTGATATACTTCTATGCTGTACAAGTCAAGGTACGATGCCCTGGTATTCTCGGTATGGTCCATCAGACCGCTAACGTCTTCAAAGCCCTCATTGGAACAGTCGAGGAGCTTGCGGCTTCAACCCAAACCATGAATCTCGTGCGCGACCAATTCGAAATCAATTATTTCGGCCCTCTTAATATTATCAAAGCAGCCCTTCCTTATATGCGACGAGAGCGTTCGGGGCATGTCATGATCATATCAGGAATCAGTAAGGTCTACAGCTTATCAAGCAATTGGCAATCGGTTCTGACCATATACAGCGGCACATATCGGCACACCTGGACTAGGAATGTATTGCGCTGCAGGGTGGGCCCTTGAAGGATTCTGTGATGTCAGTATCTGTTCACGCTGCCCTAAAATCACCAGTAACATACTAATCAACCCACAGAGTCTGGCGTACGAAATCGCCCCGTTCAACGTCAAACTCACCATCTTCCAATGCAGCATTGAAATTGGCATCCTCACAAATCTAGTCACAAGCGTTCCCCCAATCTTCCCCGCCTATTCCCCCGCCAACAATCAAGCCCCCCTCTTCCGCGGGATTCTCAACCACCTTGTTCCCCAATTGCCCGATGCAGCCGGGTCCTCTGGAAGCCCAGCCTCGCCCAGTGCAACACGGGATGACAGTGCCCGAGTTAGCTCCATTGAAAATGGACCGTTCTCTGCTCCAGAGGTCGTCTCCATGCACCCGCCATTAAGCTCTGCACATCTTGAAGTTCTTGTTTTAGAGACTGTATTTGCTATCACATCTATTGGCGGTCATGAAAACCCGCCTTCGCGACATATTGTTGGACAGGAAGGTGTTGCTAGTGTCAAAGAGAAACTAAAAACTGTCAGTGAGGAGTTGGAGGACTTTATACAGGCTAGTTTTGCTGTTGATGTTGCTGCAGACTCGGATCCTATGGCTCTTATGCCTGGAGTGAATGACGGGTCTTAGTATAGAGCATGCTTACCCTAGAAATCGCTATATTATATAATTCCCAAACTTCCATTTCTACGATCCTTACTTGTCGGTTGGTAGGAGCTTGAAACCGAAATATTTCATTGGCAAGCTGCAAAAGCAAACTTGGAAGCTATGGAGTATGTTCTCTCTGAATAACAAAGAAGAAAAGGGTATGGTCCTCCGAAATCACAGAAACTGGGAATTGCGCTGATTCAACGCCAGGGGTATGAGCAAGGGTATGAGTACTCAAGGGCTGAGCACGGGGGGTCAATTCTGAAAAGATAGCGCCTACTTCTGTCCATTCCGAACGAACCAAGCCTCTCGGACATCAAAGAGACTTCCTATGTCCTGGTTGTTTCGGATGCATCGGATGTCCTTCCAGCCATTGGCAACACGGCCATTGGGCATGCGGCCATCGATCTGTAGCATCTTCACAGCCAGGCCGTTCGGCGACATGATGTTTGGGACAATGATGTCATCAAGGTCATTTTCAGTAGCTTGAGATGAAGTAGGATGCAAATCTTGCGGCTGAGAGCTTGCAGGGTTGTCGGTGTCATGCTGCTCAGTCTCCGGGGACGCCTCAGCCTTTGCTGGCGAAGGATCAGGGTTTTCCATGAGTTGTTTAGCTCTCTCATCTTTTATCTCGATAATGGTGGGTTTCTCTGCAAATGCAGAAGGTTCAGGAACAGATGTGACAGGATCCACTGCCACGGCGCTTGAATCAGGAGGAAGAGTGGGTGTCGATTCGCTTCCCTCGGTTTTAGATACCTCTGGCACAGGCTTCGGTGCGGGTGCCACCTTGGGAGCCCTGGAAGGTCGTCCTCGCTTGCGTTTCGCTGAGGGCTCAGATTCAGACTGAGGAGTTGGGGCTGGGCGCTTAATAGCGTTCGACTCCTTCTTTCCGTCGGGGCTGACAATGATAACGCTGAAGTCTGTAGTCATTTCGGAATCCTTCTCATTAGAAGGTGCTGCGACAGTCTGCCTCTCTGTCTCAGTGTTGACTTGCACCTCTTCGTGTTTCGGGGTTGAAGGAGCTTCGTGCAAGGGACCTTCTGTGATAACTTTCATAAATGTATCGTTGGAAGCTGCAGGAACTGTGGGCGTGTGATTATCGTGTTGTGTCGTGTCCTCGGCCTTTTCAGGAGTAGCGCATTTCTGGGCTTTATCAGACGCGTCTCGGAGAAATACCCGTTCACCAGGTGGGATTGCGAAGGTCATCTTTGCGCCATCGAATTTAAGAATCTGTAGCGGTCAGGAAGTGGTCTGGCTTGGCCTGAATGATAGATACATACCCTGGCCTCTTTGTGGATAAATATTCTGTCCGCGCCCTTGCCGTAGACATATTCGAAATTCCAGATATCACCCAGCCGGAAAGCACCCTCGTCAATGAGGGTTTTAATTTTCACTTGTGCCATCTCTCCAGCAGCTGCATTCATAACAGCCTTTTGCTTCTGCCCCCAAAACCGCTCGTATTCCCGCTCTTTGAAGTTGTCAAAGTCACCAGCCTCACGTTTCTGTCTGGCATCTTCAGCCTGGTGCAGCCATTCAGGGTCGTAGCGGCCATTTTGTAGATCAAGTTGGAACTGACGAATACCATCACGCCAGTTATTTGAGTAGCGAATGAAGCTGTTGGGGATTGGAGGTATTCTGGCGCTTGGGTCGTCCGAGGTGGTCTCCGCATCGGGGTGAACACTTGCGGGGAGTAAAGCCAGGATCTCCCGCTTCTCGCTTTCTTCAAGGCAGTTCCATGCTTGAGGTTGCGCAAGCAGTTTCTAAACCAATCTTTTTTAGCTTGGAAGCTCAACAAGTAAAAGTTGTGCCGGTCATACCACTAGGTCGAAATCAATGAGGAGAGACTTATCACTAGTAAAGAGCTGCTCCTCACTCCATTTACCTCTCGCCGCGGCTCTCCGAGGATTCCGGGCTCGTGAGCCTTCAGTGGGGATTGACATAGCAGAACCCAGTCGTCCTGCTACGTTAGCAGAACTGGCAGCACCACTAGGACATTATTATACAAAATCAATAGGCTGCAGTGAGAGAAAACGCGGAGTTGGAGCTTACCCGGACCTGGTACTGCCCCTCGCGACCGCCTTTATCGGCGCCATTCTGGCTTCACTTCCACGGGGTAACACAACAAGGTGCTGTGCTTCCCACCGACAGAGTAAAGTCGCAAAGATGGTCAGATCAACGCAAATTGCAAGATTAGATGGTGAGTCTCTTTCTGAGTGATTTGAAGAAGTTAAGCGCTGATGGTGAGGGAAAACAGGCCTTATGTTGGCTGCCTCAGTCGACGATGAGCAGGTAAGTAGATAAGAGATGACCGAGATGATCACCAGCTTACATTGATCGCAGGCTGAATCGGAGCTCGCTGAGATCAAGGGCCAGGCTAAAATGATCTTCCGCCGCTTGAATCGCAATTCAGCGCCTCAAGCCAGCATTGAATCCGGCCAATACAATCTCCAGTAAGCTGCTGCAACCAACGTCCTGGATGGGGCGTAAATGGGACCATAATAGGAAATGTTCTAATTGCTTTACAGCTACACTATTCAAGACGACCTTTGTTTCCTCTGCATTTGCGACAAATCATACCCCCGCAAGCTCGCCTTCACTTATCTTGCTGATCTGGCCACCGAATTCACCACTACCTACAACTCCTCGCAATACCTCTCCCCTACCCTCCGCCCGTACGCCTTTGTCGAATTCGACACCTTCATCCAGCGCACGAAGAAACTATACCAAGATGGCCGCGCATCTCAGAACCTGGACAAATTGAACGATGAGCTCCGTGATGTCACAAAGGTCATGACGAAGAACATCGAGGACCTTCTGTACCGCGGTGATAGCTTGGAGCGCATGGGCGAGTTGTCGGGAAGATTGCGCGAGGACAGCAAGAAGTATCGAAAGGCGGCTGTGCGTATCAACTGGGAATTGTTGTTGAAGCAGTACGGACCGTTTGCTGGTGTCGGGCTTGTCATTTTCATCCTTCTCTTCTGGCGATTCTTCTGAGTTCCTTGCTTTCGAGGGCCGTTGCCCAAGCTCTCCTTGTATGAATGTATGCATAGTTAATACCTCGGTGGTTGCGGGATACAATCCACCAATTCTAGAATGCAAAGAATTATGTCAAAACATGTATTGAATTGGATGTCTAGATCTCATCCTCTTCTTCATCAAAGTCATCTTCTTCGCCCATGTCGTAAAGAATCCGACCACCTTCACCAGGGCCATTTCCTTGCTGGGCATCAAAGTATGGCAACACCACACCCTCTCTATCGCGTCTTTGCCGGTCAGTAAGGCCAAGCTCAAAAGTCGATGTAGGCTCCTCGTCTTCAGGACCGATGTGTCGCGCCATAGGAGGATTGTACAGTACATTGTCATCGAGCAGGGTCACCACTTCTTTCAAGTGCTGTGGCGAATAGCGCGAGGCGGGCGGGAGAAGATACCACTCCAAAACACCACGACCACTCTTCCTCCTGTGCTCCAACTCAATGACAATTCCCTCTACGGAACCGGTTCCAGCCAATTTGTCCAATCGGCCCAGTAGAACGCCTTCCTGTTCTTCGTCCAGCCCAAAAACTGGCGGCGCTAGACTGCGGTCCCGAGCAGCCTTTTGTGCTAGGATGTGCGAGAATGAATGCAAAGTGATAATGCTTGTGGCAAGATATGTCAATACGGAAATTGGCGATGGCGAATAAGGACTTTGCTGTTGGGGTTCGGGGACATCTTGATGATATGTCACCACGAGCGATGCGTCCACCTTTGCTGCTGGGGAAGCGGGTGCAATAAATGACCCAAGGAAAGAAGGCAAATAGAAGCTAGGGTCTGATTTTTTTGAGCTCAATAGTGGGTTGATTGAATCGATCAGAATAAGACGTCCTAAGAAGCCAATCAATTAAAGCACATGCTCCGCTTGAGTGAATGATACTTACTGCGCGTTGGGTTTTCAGATGCAACAGCACTGACTTCCTTACTAATATCGGCGGGGCTCTTGCGACGAGTTGACACAAAACAATCAACACCTTCTGGTTGTTTTAGGGTTTCAAAGGCGATGAGTGTGACATGGACTTTGGACAGCTATTGAACTGGTCAGCTTGGCTGCCTCCTCGTACTTGGGTGACTCAAGGTTGAGCCCTCCAATATTTTCCGGTGAGCTTACCTTGGCACGTCTTATGTATTCTTTATACAGGGGCGTGGCCGGTTGCTCCAAGGAGTCCTGGACAAGTGTGAGGGGCGACGCAGTGTCCCGCGAGCTCAAGAGTTTCGAGATCAAGAGCAGATTATGCGTACGTCTATGAGAAAGGTTGACAGGAGCCATCTTTACTCAAGTTTTGCTATGGTAATCTGCCAATAGGTTGCAGGAGCGCAGGGTGATGAACGCACAGGAAGTGGGGTGGCGCTGCAAAAATTTCGCGGTGGAATTTAAAGTTGAGGCTCGACGGGCCGGCCCGCGAACTGCGTCGCTCTCTGTTGGGCTCTTTCAGCATGGCCTTAAATGTAGGGCGGAATAGGGTTTGATTGCTTAGATTCTAGGCTCTAATTATATATTCTACCTTAACTTGCCCAAGTATGATCCTTCAATTATAGCTAGTCTTTTGTAACGACTCTTGAATACTGGCTTGGGATTGTTTCCAGTCAACGATTCTTAGTTGCCCGTTCTTGTGCCTTTATGGTTTTCCAAATATTCATAGGGGCTTCAAGTACTTATCAAGCTGGAGTATCGGTTTGGTTATTACGCATGTGGACCACTTCGCCAAATCCACTCTCCTAGATGGCATTACTTACATCTTGATGTTTATTTTGGGGGGATCTATCTCTTTCTTATTACTAGGGCTTTTGTAATTGAATGGAAATCTTTTGTGTTTTAGCAATAGTTGCTATCATCATTTACCTGGATATTGAAAAAGATCTCGCTGGTCTGTACATTTGAATTCTTCTTCGGGTTCGAGTTTCAGCCAGGATGAATTGAGTGGCAATACTCCTCTTAATAATAATATCTCTATAAGGAAGCTATAAATCATTGTATTATGTGGGAGTCAACAACTCTGGTATACACTCAGGTGTCTCATAGGTAGAACTTCCGTGTGAATGAGAGTTTAGTCTAATACTTTTTTGCTCCGCATTGCCAAATTGACTCCTTAATATCTGTGATATCCTTTAGTCAGTAAATAGAAGATAACAAAAATATTGGCTTTTTTCATTAGTATGAAGGCACAAATTTCTTGCATAGCTTGAAACTATATAATCGAATGTGTTAAGAGTTTCTGCACAAGATCCCTTATTGTGAAACCATAACTTGAGGGTTTAGACGTAGTAAATGATTTCTCTGCATATGAATGGGTACCATGCATTCTAACTGTACTTTAAATTAGTTATCAATAAAAAGATTGCTGATGTAAACATAGATCTATCAGTTCTGGTATGTCACAAGCTGCGTGAGTGGTCTTTATCCGCCACCGGAATAAACTTCTCTTTGGACCCGAGACTTGGGCAGACTCACCATTGCGACAACTTGATACCCTCTACACCAATACCCATACGCCCATTGCCTTTTTTGCTTTTGGGCTTGGTTCTTGCAACCAGCTCTATTCAACCGCGAAGCAGGGCCAATCACTACCTGTTCCAGTCAACCACACCCACCGTACGGGGCAACGCCCAGACCTGACCGGGTCCTTTCCACAATGGCAGAACCACCTGCAAAGCGCGCTCGTCGAGTCGACAGCACCGCCATGTGGGATTCGAATGATAATCAGCCACGTGCTTCAGAATCGGAATCGGCTCGCGACCGCAGAGCTTCACCACCACGAGACGATCGACGCGACGGCCGATATCGCTCACGTTCACGAGAACACAATGACAGAAGGCGAGAACGGAGCTGGTCTCGGGATCGCCGCGATAGAGACCGAAGGGACGGAGGCAGAGATGGCCGCGGGGCCCAGGATCGGAAGAAGAGTATCAGCCGGGAGCACGACTATGATAGACGAGGTAGGCGAAATTCCTGATTACGTGGTTTAGCACCATCTTGCTGACTGACTTTGAATGATTAGGAAATGCACCAAAGAGCGTCAAATTCCGCGAACGCTCGCGCTCGCGGTCCCCCGCTCGGAATGGCACACGAGCTCGCTCACCCCCTCGAGGCCCTAAGGGCGATCGCAGAGACCCTCGATCGCGAGAGGATCCTCGGATAGCAAATGGCGCATCAGAAGGACCTCGCCACGATGATGAGATGGACATGGACATCAACGAAGATGCAGATGAGGACGAGATTGAGGCGCAAATGCGCAAGGCCATGGGTTTCACTCGATTCCGCACTACGAAGAACACCAAGATTCCCGGAAACGACATTTACGGTGTGCGGAAGGAGAAGAAGATCGAGTACAGACAGTACATGAACCGCCAGGGCGGTTTCAACCGGCCGCTCAGTCCCTCGCGATGAGTTTTTGGCTGTTCTACGGATGTGCTCCATTTTTTCTTCCTTTTCTCTGTATTCAAAATCCTCTGACATTCCTCTATTTCTCTGGCACGATTTGCATTTGCGGAGCATGGTTTCTTGACATCTTACCCTACTGGCACAAGCCTTGTTGGAACTACCCTTTTGATACTCAAAATATTAGTAAAATAACAACCTCATCCCACAATTTATTCAATTTGATGTGTAGGAAAACCGGTCATGGTTGACTTGATAGCTGGCACGAAATATGACTGGATATGCAACAGGTTGAGTGACGTAGGCCGTTTCATACCCGCATACTGCTGCACCGAACGAACTTGTATTCTCCAACTACCCACAAAGTGGCTGCTTTTTGATCAATAGCCCCAAAAATAGCGCCGAAGTTCAGAATGTCGGCCACAGGAGATCGCCGTGAGATTGTCATTGTTGGTAAGAAGACACTCTTTGCGACTGTACCCCGCGCTTATTCCAATCGCTGACCGGAATACTCACAGGCGGTGGTATCATTGGATGTTGCTCTGCATACTATCTCACAAGACACCCTTCCTTCGACCCTGCCCGCCATAAAGTCACCCTGATTGAGGCCTCTGAAATAGCTGGCGGAGCATCAGGAAAAGCGGGTGGTATGCTAGCGCAATGGGCATATCCGAGCAACATCGTGCCCCTCAGCTACAGACTCCATGCCGAGCTTGCAAAAGAGCATGATGGTATGAATCGATGGGGTTACAGAGAAGTCAACTGTGGTCAACTGGTCGTGAAAGGTCGCGCTCTCACCGAGAAGAAGTCCGAAGATCGGAGCTCAGAGTCCCTTCAGAAACGCAGCACAGCCGCTATGTCCAAGTTCAAGTCCTCCAAAATTCCCCAGGATCTCGACTGGATTGAGCCAGACCTTATGCGGGCTTATGAGAGCATGAGCGGGCCTGGTGAAACGGCCCAAGTGCATCCCTACCAGTTTACTACTTCCATTGCAAAGCTAGCTGAAGAGAAGAGTGTCAACATTGTTCTTGGACAGGTCACAGATATCAATCGCTCAAAGAGCTCAGTTGAATCAGTGACATATACGGATAAGAAGTCTGGGGAAACACAGACTATCGCAGCTACCGATGTGCTTGTTGCTGCTGGACCTTGGACCAACACCATCCTTCCAGAAGTCCCGATCTCAGCCATGCGGGCACACAGCGTGGTGATCGAGCCAAAGGAGCCAGTCAGTAACTACTGTCTGTTTACAAACATCGAGATCCCCGCCAACTTCAACCCGGAGAAGAAGTCACGTCCTACTGTAGCTGCGCCAGAGATCTACGCGCGCCCTGATAGGACGGTGTATGCATGTGGTGACGGAGACAGGACAGTTCCATTACCGAAACTTTCATCAGAAGTCGAGATTGACCAGGAACGCTGCCAGGAAATCATCGACCAGGTGGGCAGTATTTCTGACGATTTACGCGACGGCGAGGTTCGCACGCGCCAGGCTTGCTATCTCCCCAACTGTGATTCTGGCGGTGGCCCGTTAGTCGGTCTGACTGGTGTCAAGGGTCTATACCTGGCTGCTGGTCATACCTGCTGGGGTATTCAAAATGCTCCGGGGACAGGCAAGCTTATGAGCGAGTTTGTGTTTGATGGAAAGGCAAAGAGTGCGAAGATTGCATCGTTGGATCCACGCGATCATTTCTGAGATAGATTATTGGTACTGTCAGTAGCAATAAAACACAACAGTATGTTAAATATGTCAGGTTGACTCGAGATGCCTGCCGAAGTGGAGCTCGGGCCACGTAATTGCGGAGAGGACAACAGCTCCGCGACCTGAGATAACAACTATCCAATTTTCAATTGAGCGACGCGTTTTGCACAATGCGTCACCTCGGGGTCTCATTTCTATTAACTTCGCTTCTGTCTGCGACTGGGATCATTGCAAGCGAAGATCCTAGTGATGTGTCCGTTTTGATTAGAGAGTCTGGACGCGCCAGCAACCAGTCCCTGCTATGGGGACCCTACAAGTCGAATCTCTACTTCGGAGTGCGTCCTCGCATCCCGAAGAGTTTGTCTGCAGGCTTGATCTGGGGCAAGGTCGATGAATACATTGGTGCCCAGCAGAGTATGTTGCCGAACCCTGATCCCTGTTGCTTGCTTGCATTGCGTGAAAGTGCGAAGCTGACACCTTGAAGATTTTAGGCACACCTGCGAACAAAATGAAGGCATGGATGGGTATGGCTGGGACGAGTACGATATCCGCAAGGGTGGACGGGAGACTATTCACGACGCCGGGAACAACTTGGACCTCACCATCGACTTCATCAAGGTCCCTGGCGGCGAGAACGGAGGAAGCTGGGGATTTCGCGTCAAGGGCGAGCCTCGTGAGGGTGCTAGCCCAGATCTACCCGTTTCGATGATCTTTTATACTACACTTGAGGGATTGGGCCATGTGGGCGTTGAGACCGACACCACCGAGGACTCTGCTGGCATTGAAGGCAACGTCAAGCTCAGTGGATACTCCTCGGAGCTTGGTGACTTCTCTATTGATGTTACTACCGGACCCGACACCAACAGATACCCTCGTTTTGACCACCCTAGCTCCACAGACAGGCCACTCACCAACAGCCTGGTGGGCAGTGTGTCATTCCCCGAGGAACAGCTTTGGCAAGCAAAGGGTATTTACTTCACTCAATTGAAGAAGCAGGTTGATGAAGCTCTTCAGGATTATGGCCAGGAGAACATCCCGCCTCCTGCCCAGCTCTTTACGATCAAGCACAAGCCTGGTCAAGGCAATGCCCACTTTGTCCAAAAGGTTTTCACTGGCGCATTCGAGTTCGATGTCCTGTTCTCTTCGGGCTCTGCTCCCGAGCCATTGACTTCGGAAACCCTGACCAAGGAGATTAAGGATGCCTCGGCTTCGTTCTCTGAGACATTCGACAAGGTTCTCCCACCGCAGGCGCCGTTCGACTCGCTGAAGTACTCCAAGTTCTCCAAGGCCATGCTATCCAACCTCATTGGTGGTATTGGCTTCTTCCACGGAGATGATGTTGTGGACCGGTCAGCCAACCCTGCGTACGAGGAAGAGAACGAAGGTTTCTGGGAAGAGACTGCCGAGGCCAGAGCTGCAGTGGAGCCCGTCTTGGAAGGACCTAAGGACCTTTTTACTTGTGTACCCTCGCGGCCATTCTTCCCTCGAGGATTCCTCTGGGATGAAGGCTTCCACTTGATGCCCGTGATTGAATATGACACTGATCTTGCGTACGTCTACACCGGTTCGATCAAGAATTTTGGCCCATACTGACTATGTTTTAGACTCGAGATTATCAAGAGCTGGTTCAACCTTATGGACGAGGATGGATGGATTGCGCGCGAGCAAATCCTCGGCGCAGAGGCACGCAGCAAGGTTCCTGCCGAGTTCACCGTCCAGTATCCTCATTACGCCAACCCGCCCACCCTGTTCATGGCCCTGGAGGCCTTTATGGACAAGGTCAACAGCAACAAGAGCAATGATGTCTTGGATAGCCAGGATGTGACCGCCAGCCTGCGTTCTGCTACTGTCCGCCATCCCGAGTTGTCCGAGGCATACCTTCGTTCATTCTACCCACTCCTGAAGAAGCACTACTTCTGGTACAGAAACACCCAGCGCGGCGATATCAAGTCTTACGACCGGGAAGCCTTCTCCACCAAGGAGGGTTACCGCTGGCGCGGACGTTCAGTGCAGCACATCCTCACTTCCGGTATTGATGACTACCCCAGACCTCAACCGCCTCACCCCGGCGAACTGCACGTTGATCTAATCAGCTGGATGGGTATGATGACCCGCACTATTCGTCGCATTGCTGAGCGCCTCGGCGAGCAAGATGATGCCGAAGAATTCGCCTACTACGAGACCGCTATCACTCGCAACATTGATGACTTGCATTGGGATGAGCAGGAGCAAACATTCTGTGATGCTACCATCGACTCGTTCGAAGACAGTATTCATGTTTGCCACAAGGGCTATATCTCCATCTTCCCCTTCTTGACTGGCATGCTTGGCCCTGACAGCCCTCACCTCAAGGCTGTCTTGGACTTGATCAGTAACCCCGATGAATTGTGGAGTGACTATGGTATTCGTAGCTTGAGCAAGAAGGACAAGTTCTACGACACCGATGAGAACTATTGGAGAAGCCCTGTTTGGATTAACATCAACTACTTGGTATTGAAGAATCTTCATGTAAGTGAATTCTATCTCGATCATATCCCGTCTAAATCTGACATTCTTTTGCAGGATACTGCATTGGTTGCCGGCGACCACCAGGAACAAGCTCGGGAGATGTACTCCCAGCTGCGCAAGAACTTGGTCGAGAATGTCTTCCGTGAGTGGAAGAAGACTGGCTTCGCTTGGGAGCAGTACAACCCTGATTCAGGTAACGGCCAGCGCACACAGCACTTTACCGGCTGGACCAGTATGGTGGTGAACATGATGTCTATGCCGGATTTGGCTAAGACTGAAGAGACTGCCCATGACGAGTTGTGAGCTATATTAGGGATGGATGTGAAATACCGTACCCTTAGATATCTTGATAGCTAGCACCAATTTTACTGCCAGCGATCTTCTCACCTTCTTCTTACCCATGTAAAATGTGCGCATGGAAGATGCGAAAGCACACAGACTTCGACCGGAGGGAAATGATAGTAACATGACATAAATTGGTTATCTCTGTGCAAGATTGAATCCTTGTCACATGGATTAAATATGTAGTGATCGTCGCGAGAGCCGTATGAACCGCCATGTGAATCAAGTCCTCCAACGCCAGGCTAATGTAGTCAATCTGTACCCCTTGTCGTAGCTCATTGAGTAGCTCAATGACGGCGATCACGATCGTCACGATCCCTTCTGCGTTCGGGGTGACGTCGGCGCTCAGCTGGAGAGTAGCTGCGCTCCTCACGTCGCCGTCTTTGATGTTCTTCATCTCTGCGAGCAGGTCGACTTCTAGAGCGCGACGCTGACCGGCGTCTGTGGTGGTCTCTGCCCCGAGATCGTGAGCGGGATCTGTGTCGATGGCTGCGATGATGGCGTTCTCTGTCATCGCGGTGTCTATCGTCGCGGTGTCGTCGGTGTCTGCGATCCTTGTCACGACTATGTTCTTCGCTGCGATCGTGTCTCTTTTCTCGTCGTGGACTCCGGCTGCGATCACGTCTGTGTCTGCGACTCGAACTATGTTCCTTCTCCCTCGACCCGGCATCCGGCATGTCTTCGTCCCTCGGTTGTGTATCATTGCTCCCATTTCCTCCAAGTGGAATCATGTTTGCGTTTTCAGAGGCTTTCGGGGGGATAGGAAGACCCAGGGCGACAGCCATAGCTTCCTCCTCGGCGTCCTTCACACGTTGGAGCTCCTCTCGCTCCTTTCTGAGTCGCTCCTCTTCGTCTTCGCCGTCGCCTTTTGCATACCAGGACAGGTCGCGGTTCTGCTGCCATCTACCGACCGGGGCCATTACTGAATGGCCCAGGTAGTTCTCGCGATGGGCGGAGTCCTTGACATCGGACCATTTGAACTCATTGCGGCCGCCGCTGCGATGTAAGTTAGCGAGATACGCAATCTCAAAGCTCTATATAAGCTTACCGGCTGCCTTCTTTTCGCACACCAGCAACAAGATCCATCATGAATGACTTGAGAAAGGAAAGTAAAGGTACAAGCTGAAGCCGGAGAGGGCACGTGCCGAGGGCGGTGAGAAGTGGATTTCATCATTGCCCGATCCACATCTCCCCGCTGTCATCGAATGTTTCCAGCAGCACAATGTCCTGTCTACACTTGACCACTTTCACTTCCTCTTTCCCACCCTTGGAGATGACAGTACCACCACTTTTGCTGAAGCTTCCCGACTCACACTGCTCATACTCGAGGAAGCACTCTTCCCTTCGTTCCGCCATTGCGGACAAGCGCCCTTAGCCTGGCGCAATGGCTTCCCCCTCACATTGAGGATTTAGGCCCTGCGACCTTCCAACAACGCCTTGAACAGATGCGGCCTAATCTCAAAGCGTTAAATGTCGAAACCCAGGAGCAGCGAGTACGTTCCTTTGTCTGCAAAGACCTCACGTGAGAGCTATGAACTGACGTGCGCTAGTTTCCTAGGTTGGTGCTTTTGTCCTAGATTGCCAGAATGGATTGCGGCTAACTAGCGTGAAGGCGGGGCGACAATTCTGGTCCGGATATAGCTACCTGGAGATGTAACTTGGTCAGTACCTACCAAGGCGCCTTTCGACTTGATCGTCCCATTAACTTTGAACAGGCTGCACTCTCACAACGTCGAAACTTGCTATTTGTAGCTCATGGCTGCGATATATACGCATGGATCCCGAAAGGATCCCGGCAGCTACTTGGGGTCCAACCAGAAATGATCATACACCCAGTGATGAAGCAGCCTGGCGCTGCTGGCTACATCGATCCGTCGGCACCGCATACAATAAACCATATCATTGTGGATGATCTGGGAGTAGATGAAGTTTTGCTACTGGCGACGGACTCTGGAAACGTCACTGGCTACAACGTTGAGGCTATCTTTTCAGAAATCAATCAGTGCGCAGAATTTGGACAGAAACGACCGTTCGATGGGATTGGAGTCAAACCTTTCTTTGCGGAATATGTCCTGAAGAGTGCCTGGGGCTTGGCAACTCACAAGTTTGCCCGTATGATTGCTGTAAGTTCAAATACCGGCAATATCACGGTCTTTGCGTTTGCCATGGTGGACCTTAGGTCAGAGAATGAAGACAGCGACACAGATTCCCCCCACAAGATGGAATCGGGAGAGCCTTCAGGAGAAGAGCAAACTTGGGTCAAAATCAACAAACCGGATCTCCTCGACCAGATCAAACAACAAATGCCCAATCACCGCAAACGCAACCTGCGGATGAGCTACAAAGGTCATTTCGAAAACATCCCGTGTGTGTCGTTTGCCAACTTCGATCTTGACCCGAATGGCTTGTGGATGGTTAGCACTGACATCTTCAACCGCGTTGTTGTCTGGCGAGTCTGGGACAGCTTAAACCCCATCCAGATGACCTATCTTGGAAACCCGCACAACAACCCTCCGCAGAGAGGATGGTTTGTCTTGCCCATAGACCCACGCAGAGTTCAACGTCACAAGCTCAAAATTGAAGCATGTGGATGTCAACCAATACCAAAATTGACACGGAACCGGATGATACTCAATGTCACGACCGCAATGGACCAGGTCAGCGAAATCTCGACGGCCCTTGCCCTTCGGATTTCTAGGTCTTCAATGACTCACAGACCCCTGCCCGATGATATCTTTTCATCCGGTTGCTGTGTTGGGCCCGACTCTCAGTCCCATTATTCAAGCCCACAGCAAGATCTCCCACAAGATTTTGGAGACACCGAAACAAAATTGCACAACACTACGCCGCGTACCCAACTTCGTGCAACACCTGCCATTGTCGACTTGATTGAAGACGACAACAAGAATTCTGACGTCCGTCCATTCGAACTCATTGTACCACCAATTCTTGAGGAAAATGAATTACCGATCCTGGAACGCATTGCTGTTCATCGTACGTAAAGCACAGCCCTAAGTGTGCCATTCAAGAAAGCTAACCATTATCTTAGCATCTAAACCTCGATTCTTCCCACTTCTACATTTCTCCGAGCGTGATATTTGTTTGGCTCCATACCCACTTGATACTGAATTTCAAATGCTCTGCAAAGCACCTCTTTGGCAGCGCTCCTACATGAATGAGGAGATCAATGCTGCCTGTGATCGCTTCAACATGGTCAAGTATGTCCCTGAACTTGGGATTGTTGTCGCAGCATCCCAAAAAGGCCGTGTTGCGATCATTACCATCACTTGGCAGGAGGAAATCGGCACCTCCTTTCGTCTGGACTGGATTGTTCCTTTCTTCGCACAGGAGATGGCCGATGAACGACCTATGGTTCCTCTTCTTGGCATTGCGGTGAGCCCTATGCCAGGATTCGAGATCCCACCGGATGTACCCTGTATCCCTCGGGATGTCGACCCTAAGGAATGGCTCGAGTTCAACTACCGCATACTGAACCCCGACAAAGATGATCAGTCAGATGATGATCCGTCCACCAGACCTTCCAATAATCCTGACCAAGATGCTTCCGTCACTGAGTCTCTACCTGCTGGCCAGGATGACCCCATGAAAGACCAAGGATCTGAAACTAGCCACCGTGGTAGTAAGGCATCCGATAGTCCCAGAAACCTCTCACTTCCTGAAATTCATGCCCACGCCTCGGATGTCTATCAGCCCCACGAGACATGGCATGGATCACATCCATCTCGACATTACAGGCTCCTTCTGATGTACTGTGATCATACAGTCATGAGCTACGAGTTCTGGCATAATTGGAGGAAATATTAGCAGCATTGAAGAGAATGCTGATTGCACTGTAAAGGCAACATTGTTTTCCGAACCCTCAGATCCACTTGTTGGCACCTACTTGTACAATTGCATGTGTAACTAATCAAGCCATACAAACACTACATATTAATTTGGTCCTTCGTGATGGGCCTTGAAGGCCACCAGAGAATGACATTCATCCTTTCACCACACTTCCAACTTCAATTTGCACACCTAATTGAGGCTCTAACGCTTTCAACATGAATGATTCTACGAAAAAAAAAATCTTACGTAGAAAGTTCTGCCAACAACCCTATCAGGTACTTCCCCCACTAGTTTAACAATGCACTGGGAGCTACGAAGAAAGCTACGGAGCTACCCTTTCAAAGCATATCATCTGTCCTTGAAGCGCAGGTTCCAAATCCAAACCAATCTGTCCTGCAATCCCATCATCCGTGACATGAAACCTCGCCCTAACAATGTCATGATCCCGCGGATCCTGGTTTACAACCTCCAGTTTTGCCGTCCAGGATTCCCCAGTCACGTGAACCATCCGAATCACCATGGCGACTTCATAAAGAAGTCGTGAAGCAACGAGTTCATTTCCACGTAACTCAAACTCCATATCTCCATACCCAGCATGATGATACCGCCCAGTATAGCCCTCAAGAGAAAGCAAAGGCGCATCAACCGAACAAGGTAACTCAGGATAGAGCCGCACCAACGCATTGCCATTATCAACTCTCCTCCGATCCCTCAGCTCAAGCATCTTCATCGACCAATCAATCCTCTCACAAACCGGAGTTTCGAGAAGCTCGTCTAGCAAATGCATATACAAAGCCGTTTGCACATAATTACTCGTCCCAGTCGTATTGCCCATCATAACCAATCCCCATTGGAGATCCGGCAAATACATCATCGTCGACCCGTATCCAGTCCAGCTTCCTGTATGCCAGATCAAGCGCCGGCCTCGATAGCTATCGATCCTCCAGCCGAGGGCGTAAGCATGCGGAGCGGGGAATGGGTTTGTGGCCTGCTCTGTATAGTAAATGTGTGGTTCTATAAGTGCGGAGTGTGCGGCGCGACTGATCGGACCGGATTGGGTCATCATGCACCGGAGCCATTTTGTGTAATCGAGGACGTTGCTGATTATTGCACCGGCACCTGATACGACCGGGAAGTTCGGGATCGCTTCTTCGGTGTATGCCTCTGTTGAGGCATTCCATGCGTAGCCGTGGGCTAGGGTTATTCCCCTGCTTGCTGCTTCCTTTACTTCTTGTGGGGTCCAATATGTGTTTGTCATGTTGAGAGGGCTCCATATTCTCTCTCTCATGAATTCGCCTAACCCTTGTCCTGTCATGCTCTCGATTGCATGTGAGACAGCGGAGAACATGTAGCTGCTGTATAGATATTGGGAGCGTAGTTCTGCGGCGAGTGGAAGGTGTCGCAACGATCGGATGCCGTCTTGAAGAGATGTTGTCTTTGGCTTGAAGCTTTTGAGGTGGTCTGGGAAACCGCTTCTGTTGCTCAAGGCATCTTCGAAGGTAACGCGTGATGTTGCATATTCATTCTCTAGAGCAAAGTCTTCCGGTATGACGGAAGAGATGGTCGAAGTCCAGGAGAAACCTGGCGGAATCTTCTCTGTAGCTTCCGTTGACACAGCCTCATCTATCAATAGTGATACGCTAGCCGCTGTAAATGATTTGGTTGTGCTGGCTGTAAAGAATACTGTCTCGGGAGTAACTGGGACATCAGGGAGACTAGCCAGTCCATAGCCCTCGTACCGTGTTAGTATCAGTGCTGTGATACGGATATGGCAGCTTACCTTGGAAAATGTAGAAGCACCGTCAATCACAGCGATTGCAAGGCCTGGAACATGCCATGTCTGCAACAAGTCTTGAACCAATCTATCGAACTCATCATTTAAAGAAGACACAGACATTTCAACTTCTGTAGATGCAAGATAGAATGATGACAGTACCCCTCATTTATAAGATTTGCTGACCCGGAGTCCGGCCGGAGTTGTTATATAGCAGCCTAGTTGAGCCTCATACGGGGGAGATTTGTTGCAAAGTAGAAATACCAGGGAGAAGGAGATAGGATTAGAAAGAGAGAGCAGACCAGATATATGAACTAGGTTACGGATGCGAATTAGTATAGGTCATCCGAAATCTCCAAGCGAGGAAAATAGATAAACAATCAGACATCAGTCCGATGAAGAAACATAATAGATATGCCCGAAAAATAAAATATGTATCTCGCCTTTCACTTTCTCGATAGTTGATGCACAGAAGAAAACAAAGAAGCCTCATCCCACTTCTGGCGTACTTCTGCAAGACGCTGAGCACTACGCGCACCCCAGTACCACTCAGGCGGTTCCTTGAGATCACTTTCACCTATGTAGGAACCCACCGCATGTTTCTTGATTCCGGCTATAGTGTTTTCCACCCACGCTTTGCATTGTGGAGTGTTGTCTTCACTTTCAGCAATGCCATACATCGAAAAGTAGTGATTCGATGGCACACGCATTGCCATATCCGAGCCTACTCGCTGACTGTATGGATACATGGGACACCAGAATGCCCATGATTTCCCAGGAGGGAGATTGACAAAACCCTCTTCCAGGACATCTGTCACATTGGCTCCTTCATCGATGAAGGCATTATCGGCATAATAGTAAAGAGATTTCGGGCTCGCCATTGCTTGGCCATGATGCAAGTTCTCTAGACTCTCCTCTTGGCATACCGATTCTGAAAGAGCTCCAGGAGGGCGGCCGGTATGCATTGTGAGGAGTGCATCCTCAGCTTCCGCAACACTACTTTTCATAGCGACAAAATCAACCTTGAAACATAGCTCGCCATCGGAGTGAAATGCCACCATGACGATCTCGGTATCTTGGTCGGCGGTTGGAAGGACAGATTGGACCCAGTTGAAGGCTTCGCGGTACATCTTTGCTGGATAGATATATGCCGATGATCGGAATCCAGTAGGATAGGGGTTAAGCTGCAAGTGAAACGTAGTCGCGATTGCCGGGAATAATGGCCCGGCTCCGCGGGCAGCCCAGTAGAGGTCTTGATACTGGTCTTTATTGCATAGCAAAAGTTCGCCTTTTGCTGTCACTACTTCCACGGCAAGCAGCTTGTCGGCTGCCCATCCCCAGTTCTAGAGTGTATCAGTAAATGGAGTCGATGGGAAGAAGGAAGTGACATACTCGACAATTCCATCCTTGACCTCCCTGAAGCATGAATCCTCCCAGTCCAACATCCGGACAGTGGCCTGCAGGAAACATGAGTCCATGGTGTGTTTGTAGATAGCGATTCAATTCTTGTCCTGTAGTGCTGGTAGTTACTTTGGCTGTGTTTGACTCGACATCCACAGTGATATCTTTCCAACTTCCGAGATCTAATAGGATCGAGTGTTCTTGTAAACTCCAAACGGAGATTGAATGTCCTCCGGATCGAACGGCTAGTTGACACTTCTCCTGCTGAGCTATTTTCACCGCTTCAATCACATCTCTTTCGTTAAATGCGGTGATCACAGCACGTGGAAAGTATCTGGGGCGATTGAGATTAAAGACATTTCTCACACGCGCTTGTTCATATGTTGCACTGTCACTTGTTTCTCGCCACAGGAGCTTCATGATGTAGGTTGGATGATGGAGTGAGGTCAGGGATAAGCGCAGAGAGGCGTTCTTAAATGCCAACTCCGCATCCCGTGCACACTATAGCTGCATTATGCCTAATACACTTGGAGGCAAATTTATTCCTGTTAGAAGATATAGTTTTCCTGTCTCATTGCCATGTTACTGCATACGGAGGGGTACCTCTTTAGATACGTCATAGCAGCTGCATTATAATATGTTCTGGGTATACATCGCAGATCAACCAGACACATCCAGAGAAAGACTCGTAGTACCAAAACCCAAGGTCAAATAGTAGTCAGGGACACGGTCTTCTCTTATTGTGTTTCTTTCTGCATTTTTTCCAATTGGATAATTTTGTACAGCCAATCAACGCTGGAACAAAAGGTGAAAATTGTTGTGAAAATTCGGATGCCAAATGGAAATATAGCAAGGTACATTGTGAATGCATACTTGAGATCCAAGGTAAGCGTTGACTGAGTATAATTTGACCAAGGATATGACGTTATCAAAGTACCGCCACGGGAATCAACGGTGTGTGTAACCAAAAACAAGTCGCTGGAAGGACACACAAAGTGTGTGGAGGAGCATGTAGCACAGATGATATCAAAAGAGTACGTAGAAAAGTTAAATAGAAGAGTCAAGGGAAGACATAATTCGTTGTCTCATGCATCAATCTCATTATGACGCTGTTTGTGAAACCCAGGGGTTTCATGTATGGTGGTGGTTGTGATGTAGCTTGTATACATCGTGTCGTAATTTCAGAATTCATCGTTCAGCTCATCGCTATCCCATTCATCCTCGCGATCATTTTGCACAAGGGCTAGAAAGCGTTGGAGGCCAGCACGAGCTTCGTCCTCCTGTCGTTGGCCAGGGTGGTTATTGTCCCATGCATGAGGTTCGTCATCATCATTATTGAGAGGTGGGCCCAGATAACCCAGAGGGCCTTGGTTATGTGGAGGAGCTGGGGGGATATCTGCCCATCGGACAGGCCTCCGAGGTCCGTCTCGGTTGTTGCGGTGTCTGACCTCGGCCATTGCACGAGCTTGAGCTCGGCGCTCGGCTGCTGCGGCGCGGGCTGCTGCATGATCTTGTCGACCGGGTCGTCGACCACCGGCATTGACGCGGGGTGGGACTGGGGCGGGTGGAGGTGGATGTCGGTGGCCGTGCAGGTCGTCTTCATCATTATCAAATTCGAATGCAGGGCGATCCTCGTCGCTTTCTTCGGCCTCCTCGTGGATAATTGCTGGCGGTGGATCGTCAAAGACCAGAAGCGCTTCGGGAATGCGGTGAAGTGCTTCGGCTCCGTCTGGATTGAGACCATCGCCCCCTTCCAGATCCCAAAGCCGGTTATAGCATTTACTCTCCAGAGTGTTGAAGTGTTGATAGGGATTGTCCGCGGACAGCCAGCTTGAGCAGAGGTAACAGAAGTGGGTATCACACTGGAAACAGCGCATATGGTTGCAACCCATTTGCTTTTGACAGGGCACATTGCAGGTGGGACACGGAGATGTGTATAGGCGCAGATATTCCTCTGTTGCCTTTTCTTCTTCTGTTTTCTCACCTGCACGGCGTGGGTAGCAACGAATTAGTTCTCCGTGCCAACCTTTCTTGCAAACGGAGCAGAAGGCATAGTTGCAATCTTCACAGATAGCTACGCGTTCTGCCATCGGAGGCAGTTGGTCTTCGGGACCGAGAGGATCAAATCCATCTTCATCATCCGAAATCTCCAAGTCATCGGTCATTGGGTCTTCGGGTTTCGGGTGACGCTTGGATCGTGCTGCTCCCTGGCACCATTCTCGAGGGCAGTAAACAGTGTTCTTATCGGCTTCGATCTTTTTCTTGCGCTTGAGGAAGACATATCGCTGAACTGCCTCCGGAGGCAATGGGATCTGCAAGAGCTCGCTAGGTCCAATGCTAGGATCGCGCTTTTTGCGGCGTGGTGTTTGGCCATCGCCCTGTGCAGGTCTCTTGCTGAGCTCGCAGTCCGGTGCCATGCATTTTACACTATCTACATCGCCCTCGTGGATGCAGGTACCGTAGAAGTCTTGCAGACAACTGACACAGAAAACGTGGGAGCAGCGCAGCAATCGATAACAAAGCGTACCCTTCTTTGGTTCGAGGCAAACTCCGCATTCAAAAGTTCCCTGTTCAAACTTCTCTTGTTCCGCTTTTATATTGAAGTCCAATAGCGCCACTTTCAGATCTCGCGATAAGCACACTTCCCCCGACGCGGATTGAATATCGAATGTTGTCTCCGCCAGTTGTTGCAGATGATCAATATAAGTGTAAACGACCAGATCATTTCCACATTCCTCCCAAAGTCGGCGGCAGTCGTCAGATAACCGATCGATAACCGAGGCGGGCAGCCATGAGGGAACGGTTGTCAGATGAACGATTGGTGGCTTCTCTATAGGATAGCCCTCGGGTAGTTCGATTTCGAGTTTTAGCGGAGGTAAATAAGTCAGGATATGAACGTCCTTAACAGGCAGCTGGTCGAGCTCTCCTTTGGATTCATCCAAGGAAGTCGGAGGGGTAATGGTGGCGTTGAGGGCGACATCGATTGGCTGTTGAAAATAGACAGAGATCGGTGACGATGGGACTACCGGCAGTTCAAGCGCGGCCTTGAAAGGTGACCCAGGTTGTATCTGTATCTCCGGGAAGATGGCGGCGATGGAAGACAGCTCGACAGAGCGGTCGTCCTCGGGGCACTCTAGTTCGGTCATTTTGGCGCGGATGAGACCGATTCGCTGGAATTTCCGTCAGATTGGATTTTGGATGTAGTGATATTCCGTTAAAGCCTTCCGTTAAAGCGTTGTGATGCGATTCGGAGACCGTATATGTCTCCCACAATATGCCCTAGCACAAGAAGGCCATCGCAATCGCAAAGAGGTTAAATGTTGTATGGTGACAGATCGGAGTGAAGTGTCAAGGTCGGGCAGAAATGGAGACTCCCCTGCAGGAACACTTCGAATCAGCGATGCGACTGAGATGCTAGTGGTAAACCAACCAGTAGTTCACGGCGCCCCGAGTATCCGAGGCCACTGTTCGGCAGAACGGGAGGGATCTAATAAATGATGTAACAAGAAATCAGGAGAATATGGCGAGAGCAGCTGCGTCATGGTTTGAAAGATAAAAAGCTATAGAAAGAAAAAGAGACACAGAGGAAGAAAAGAGAAAAGAAAGTGGGATCCCACTCGATGCCTGAGAAAAGTCCCCGCCGTTGGGCTTTGTATCTCTTATCACGGACCGGATTTACCCTGTCCCAGACCCTGAACATCTCCCAGTTCTGTACTTCACCTCACTTTCTCTCCTTTAGTTCACTTCACTCTCTTTACTTTACTCTATATTCACCATGGGGGACACTCCGCTCGCCTCGTTGTCCTTGACTCATGTCCACTATGTGTGTCTCCCTGGTTAAACCCCATCATATTCCTATGCTAACTTACCTAGAACCCCGAGGACCAGTTGTCCTTCGTTTCAGCCTGGTTGGCTCTGATTCCCCAGGCATTGTGTGTTTCATATGCAACCTTGATCTGGTCAACTAGAGAGGTGGAGGTAATCCTCATGTTTGTTGGCCAGATGGCCTGTGAAGCTCTCAACTTTGTTCTTAAGCGTCTAATTAAAGAAGAGCGACCGAAGGGTAAGTGTTCATGGCCGAAACCTCGGAGGTCCTCCAACTGACTGGCTGTTACACAGAAATGTTTGGCAAGGGCTACGGCATGCCCTCCTCGCACGCCCAGTTCATGACCTTCTTTTCCGTCTACCTGACCTTCTTCCTCCTCTTCCGTCATAGCCAAGCTTCCGCCAGCTCCTACCCCAACGTTGCCGTCCTTCTCCGTGTCCTGGTCATGCTGGCCCTTTGCATGGGAGCTGCCGGTGTTGCTGCCAGCCGTATCTACCTCAACTACCATACCCCGAGACAAGTCCTCGCTGGCTGTGCCGCCGGTTTCACATGTGCTTGTGTCTGGTTCATGTTCACCAGCGTGCTGCGAAGCTCCGGCTGGATTGAATGGGCCATGGAACTTACCGTGTCTCGATTTGTCAGGATCCGTGATCTCGTGGTACGTGAAGATCTAGCCGAGGCCGGCTGGCAACGATGGGAAGATCGGAGATTGAAGCGTCGCGGTAGTGACAAAAAGAAAGCCTAAGGACGGAACCCGACTCATTTTGCGTATACCCGGATATTGTAGAAAGAACGCGCGTCACCCTGTACATTTATCGCATTTACCGCATCTATCGCTATTAATTTGAATACAATCTCGAAGTCCCAACATTCGCGTGGACCATTAGACAAGTTACCGCCTTTCTCACCGCCATATATTTGCCATTCTATAGATCACTCGCTAGAGATGTAAGACGTTGCCTAGAGCGCTTTGTAGAGTGGTTCGGTGCTGGAATTATCTAGCATTCAAGTACGGGAGGGAGCTCTGAAGCCCTTTATATCAGGTATCGTGAGGTGTCTGATAGTCTCAGGCGTGTAAACATTGCCCGGGGTCACGTGTCGTCCTCCCAGAAATCAACACCGCAACTCAAACTCGCATCACTAGCTTTGGACGTGACGAATTGAAATGTATAATGACTTACTTGTATGAAACCAACTGAACTCGACATATATCACTATCCACTGGCTTTGCTGATGCCGGGAGTGTGAATACCGTTGATCTGGCGATCCACAACACCTGTCTGAAACCCAGACTCGCCAAACTTCCAGGGATGGATGCCCCATCTGATACACGTGACTCCACGATGGAGGAGCATCACATCGTCAAGGCCGATGAGGTCGACCAAACCGGGACTGATATCTCGCCCGTTTCAGACGACCAGCTCATGGAGGAGGTGGCTGAGGGGCTCCGCCAGGAACGCCAGGAACAGGCGTCTCAGGCCGTACCCGCTGAAGAGACGGTGCTGTCCGAGCCTGAAAAATCCAGGAAACGACCAGAACTCCGCCGTGAGACCTCTGCTCCTCCGCCGCCGTTGCAGCCACCGCCTCCGGCTCCGGTTCAGGAGAACCCAGGGAACCCAGGACAGCCCACGGATTCATTGAGTTTGTCTCAGTTGCGTAAACTCGTGAATGAGATGCCCAAGATCGAACAGCCAGCTTATGCATTTGAATATGCCGACGCTCAGCCTTTTCCTGATGAGTTGGAAGAGTGGTTTCAGTATAATGACTTCGATCGTGTCATGCTGATGGGCACCAAGGCCACATTCAATCAAAGATGGGGTTTGTTTTGTCACCAAAACAAGATATCCATGGTCGCATCTTGGCTGGACGTTTCCCAAGATGTTCACCGTACATTTATATCTCAGCTGCTCGGCGGCCTGCAGCATGACGATGTCTCAGTACGACTGGAGGCGCTCGAAACGATCTGCTACCTGTTAACTGGAGTTTGGGGTATCACTGGTGGCAAGGCGGCTCCAGATTATCCGTCAAAGGAGAGAGCTCACACCTCGACTGAGGCTCCTCCAGGGAAATCCTTGCAGATCGATTGGATCGACGACAACGTCTCCCTCCTCCAGGAATGCTCTGGAGTGACAGCTCTGATACAATACATGTGTCGGCTCTTCGACAAAACTCGCTCCAACATTGGCACGGACGTAAATGGAATGGAGCACGAACGGCTCAATCCTGGTGACATCACCGCCCCAGAGCGTGAGGCCAATCTGCTCCTGACAAGTTTGTACTTTATCGTGGAAGTGGGCCGTCGGGAAGAAACGTCTTGCACTGGGTGCAGCCCCATTCGCGATACATTGATTGATTCGGATCCTAATCTGCTGGTATCCATTGTTGAAATCATTGCTCGTTTGCGCTGGGATGAGTCTGCCAATATTCCGCTCACCAGAATTCTTCTTTTGCTCTGGAAATCGCTCCTCCTTGTTTTCGGAGGTCTTGATGACCTGAAGCGAGCCAAGGACGTCCTGGAGCCTTTCCATTCAGCGGACAGAGGCGATACCAACCGCCGGACTCCCTTCCTCCATGCCTCGCCCTTGGACTACCATGTCTTCCGCCAAGAAATCACATCAAAATACCCAGCTTACAACCCTCCACCACTTGCCGTTCCTTTGGAGTTGGAAAACAACTCGATTCTCCCCCCTCTTCCACACAACGCCATCAAGGTGAACTCATCGAGTGGTATATTCTGTGGCGTTGGTCCGTCAGTTGCTGGCGGCAATGGATCCATTATCCAGCAGTCTGTTCACATCGCAACCCCAGCACCATCTCCACCGCCATCCCCCATTGGCCCAGGAGGCAAGGCAGGAAAGAAACAGAATTACCAAACCAACCAGAACTTCCCCTTTATGTACCCTCCTTTGGATGACTCCAGTAACCGCATCGGCGGCAAGGGTACCACAGAACGTCAGGATACATTGGTTGGCAAGCGTTGGGAAGGCAGTGATGTTCCTGCATCGATCATTGAAGCTGGAAGACTCTTTTCTACGCACGTGAAGATGACCCGTGCTATTCGACAGCTGTGGCAGGAACGCGAACAGTTCATGACATACGATCGTGGTTGGAACGCTGAGGATGCTGCCCATTTCCCCGACGCCGATCTATCAGATGATTTTGAGCATTTGGATCTATCGGAAGGCGAAGAAAAGCCTGAGACGAAATGCGAACAGAAGGAGACAGATGATCCTGACATCCAGCGGCGCTTGGATGCTGTTGAGAACTTCTACGTGAGTTACATTACCTGCTGAATTTGACATTAGCTAACCGTCATAAGGGCAAAACCTTATCCCATCTTCAATCTATTACGATAGTTTTCTTGAAGATTATATTGACGAATGTCAGCTCAGTGGTCAGCCAGGCTGGCAGCTATAACCAGAGCATGAGGTAAGCCCCATGTATCCAGCTTGGATTTGAATTAGTATTAACATGATATCCAGCAATGGAATGAACGGATCGCACGATCTGTTCTCTGATTCGGCCATAGATGAACTTGATAACATCAGACTTCGCGAAATCACCGGAAAGGCAGTCTCTGGAATTTTGGTGCTTCTTTTGAAGTGGTTCAAGCGGTCTCGTGAGTTTCATCGACCTTATTGAGCTCTGAAGCATATGACTGACCTCTCAAGATATTTTGAAATTCGAATATATGACCCAGCTACTCCTTGACTCCAACTATCTCCCTTTGATTCTCAAGATGTTCGCCCACCAAGACGTCGATCAGGCCGTTGCACAAAAGAATGACCGTGAAGACTTGTCGTATGTTGCTCGATTCATCGATTCAAATAGAACACCAAACCAGTTCCTAACATCTACCAGGTTTTTCCACTTCTGCGCCAGTAACACCGATGCTCAAGATAGCGATGATAATTCAGGTGGAGATACTGAGAGCGAGGATGAGGCCATGCCACCTCCAATCTCTCGACATCGCCCCAATCTAACGCGCGGGCTATCCGATGAAGGCTCAGTCACCGATATGTTCAATGGCCCCATCCGGCCTGAAGTCGACGAACTAGGCTATCCAACAGTCCCTCCCCCAAAAGAGCCTATCACGACCTTCTCCTTCCGCAACTTCTTTTCCTCCATCAACTACCTGCACGTGATGCAAAAGATCACTCGCAACAAGGCGCACCGTTGTCTCCTGCTCGTGCAGTACAAGTCTAGCAACATCCTCCGCAAGGGACTCAAGATCCCAGACCCCCATCTCCGCGACTATACCCTCAAGCTGTTCAAATCGCAGGTCCCGTACTGCGGCAGAAAATGGAGACAGGGTAATATGCGCGTCATCACCGCTATCTACCTCTACTGTCGTCCAGAACTGCGGGATGACTGGCTCGCTGGTTCAGACGTAGATGCCGAGGTCGAAGAAGCTTTGCCATTGGAACAAGCTCTGCGCGGTCTAACCCATTGGTGGCATCTGCGTCAATACAAGGATGTGATGGGTGGAAACGAAGGCACATCGATGATGGAAGAAGAGCGTGATTTCTTTGTTCGAGAACTTGAGTCTATGGGTTGGGGATTTGCTGATGATATGCTTGGTGGATCTGGCGATGATCAGGATATGGCTAGTCAGATGGTTAATGGGACTGAGTGGGAAGGCGTGCCTCTGCCCGCGGAAGGATGGCCGTAGTCGGCTTTTTGGTAATGTCTCTGCATAAAGATGAGATCGATGAATTGCACATACCCGCTGTGTCGGTTGCGTTATGATTATGGTACAGGCTTGATTGTAGTCTTATGTCTGATATTAAATCATTAGATACATTCATTGCCTTTAGAATACATTGTTTTTGGGCTATGTGATTGTTCAGTTCTCAGTTATTAGTCTAGTTGCCCTGTTCTCTAGGCACATCTCTTGACATCTTCCGGCCATAACATCTTACGCCTGACAATCGCAACTATAGTGGTAATCCCCACACCTAACCACATTGCGACCTGTAATACCGTCATAATAGATGAAACCCACAGGATACCTTCGGACTGCAACACCTGTCCGATACTAATAGTCGCTATAACGAACCCAGTATTAGGGAATACCATAGCCCAATACACAACTGACATGGGAGGGGCTCCCTCGCCCCCAAACACTCTAGCAGACGCTAAAACACTGACAAGAGCAATGCAGAAATGGAAAAAAGCCATAGTCCAAACGAAGATAGCGACGAAAGAGGCCATCATTACGGCAATGTCACCGGTGCTAAGAGTGACACTCCCAATAGACTCGGGATCCGCGTAGGAAATGATATATCGTGAAGGGAAAATTTCCACTGCCTCCTTTGCCATTCCGATTAAAGCAAGAGCAGTGAAGCTCCACGGCCCGACAGCAATGAACATCTGTGGGCGCTTAGACCGCTCTGGGAGACCGCGCTTGGCGAGGAAGTACTGGTATTCGCCGTAGATGAGCAGAGACTTTATAAATCCAAAGCCTTGTAATGTTACGCCACCGATGAGAATTGGCAATGCTTGGTCCCGTGGTTGACTGGCGGCAATGGATGAAGCGATGGTACCGGAGAGCATGGCTGGGAAAGAGGGCAGAAGTTGTACGATTGGGAATGGCTGCTTTTTTGCCATGGCCAGATGGTACAGATACCAATTGTGGGATATAGCCAGGAGGGTGGAGAGCGCGACATAGATCCAGAAGACGATTCGCAGAGCTACTTGTAGCCAGGGGCCACAGGAGTTACTTCCGTAGCTTTCTGCTCCGAGAATTATGGTTGCGATCGATAGTAGGCATGTCGATGCGAAATAGGTTTCATGGCCGCTTTGGAATGATTCTTTGAGGGCGCTGCGCTTGGAGACGAAGCGGAGAATCATGCATGTTGTGACCGCGAGAAAGAGGAATAAGTTTAAAATATAAATTATCTTGCCGATGGTTTCCAGGCCGGTGAATTTGTGAGGTGTGCGGTAGAGAAGGACAGCGATGCCTCCAGTGGCCATGGACATGGAGTACCATCCCCATGTAATCTGGCAAACTCGGTCTTTGAGGGTGACCTTACTGTCAAGGTCCATTCTGACGGTTTTAAAGTGGGATGTAATATTTTCGTGCGAAATCCAGCACATAGATATCACATTGTAGATCGTTGCGCCTTAAACAAGTTTCGGATATTCGATAGATCTTGGATAATACGCCGAGTATAGACCCACAAGGCTCAAATCTTTTTTTGGTTTCGGCATGCCGATGTCGGGAATGTTCGGGATTGACCCGAGCTGTCCTGCATGTCCGTTCGGGGTGTCAAAAGAAAAATTATGCATGTACAATAGTTTGTGTGTAATTGTAGCATATCACAATAACATCTCTTTTTTCTTTCACATAATGCAGCCCAGACCATCCTTAGTTATCGGATAAGTACTCATTTCAATCAATCCTCTCGAGTGGCCGATACGTGGGTTCCCACATCTGGACGCGAATCCAATCATCTAACTCGCGGGCATCTCCTGGGATATCATATTCCTGCGCTAAACCTTCTCGTACAGCTTCTTGAATAACAGCCTTGGCAATTTTCACGCTCAAATCACGAACTTCTTCAACGTCTGGCAGAAGGGGCTTGGTCGGAGCTTGGAGGGCAGGAGCCGCAGCTGCTAGTGCTTTTGATGCAGCAACTATCATTTTCATAGACAAATGGCTTGTTCGAGAGAGAATAGCCCCCAAACCAATGCCCGGAAAGACTGTAGAGTTGTTACACTCTCCTAGGATCTCGTTAGCATGTATCATCGTGCTGTCATATGACATTGAATGTTACCAATTTCTTTTTCAACGTCTTGATATTTCACTGGAGGAAAGGGGCTTCCGGTCGCAATCAAAGCTCGACCTTCTGTCCAAGTGTTGATATCCTCAGGCTTGGCTTCGTGTAGTTGGATTGCTCAATGGGAACACAATTGGTTGATCCACGTTCTTTGCCATCTCCTTGATAATTTCTTCTGTGAATGCCCCAGGCTGTGTAGAAGTGCCGATCAGCACATGGGGCTTCACTTTCTTTACCACAGAAAGCAAATCATGCCCTTCAGCATCTGCCCATTCCCTGTCATCCCTTGCGAATAGCCTTTGAGCCGGGGTGAGGTCCTCTGATTGAGATTTAAGCAACAGACCGTGCTTATCGATACACCGGAAATGATACGTGAGGGTGTGCTTTGCAAACGTGGATCTGAGCCAGAACATACCATACCTGGCTAGTGGCATCCTCCTTTGAGCCATCAGCCTCGGTGGCAATGGCATCACTGATTTGATCCGCAATGCCAGTACCCGCAGATCCAGCCCCAAAACATACAACTCGAACATCCTCGAGCTTGACCTTGCTCAGATGAAGACCTGCAAGCATAGCAGTCAATCTGACACATCCTGTCCCTTGGATTTCGTCGTTAAAGCAGGAGATTTGCGAGCTGTATTTTTCCAGGATACGCTTCGCATTTTGCAGACCGAAGTCCTCGCTAATAAACCATTAATGCTGTACAAAAGTATATCCGAAATGCTGGTCAAAACTTACAAGTGAATATACGCATGCGGATATCTCTTCTTCGCAGCGCAAACAAACTTCTCCACAAACGCGTCATACTCCTCACCGCGGACTCGGCGCTGGCGAAGGCCCAAGTACAAATCATCGTTGAGAAGATGCTCATTCTTTTGGTTTCATTAGCGCTCGAAGTACAAAAGGGATATAGAATGCCTTACGTTAGTTCCGCAGTCAAGCACTACAGGGAGCGATCTAGACGGATGGATGCCACCGCAGATTGTTGTGATGGCCAATTTGGCGGAGGAGATGAGTACCGCACCCACGCCCTGATCGCCAATTCCAAGGATCTAGAAACAAGGTTAGTAGGGGTGTCATAAATAAAAGGGCAATAACTCGCCTGCTCTCCATCACTGACAACGATGTAGTCAATGTCACCTGGTGGAAGATTGCGAAAGATTTCATCAATCCGGTCCTGTTCTTTAATGTTAAGGAAACATCTCTCCGGCTTTCTAAACAGACGCGAGTAGTTTTGAATAGCTTCGGCTTCGGTGGGTGTATAAATCACACCAAACATTTCCTTAAGATGCGATTTTAAAAGCTGGAGATATGTATCAGCCTAGTCACAACTTACACCCAGTGGAATTACTTACCTGATAGAACAGCACTTCACTCTGTGCCTTCATGCTGGCCAAAAAGGTATTCTTGGCCAAGTCATCTGGGCGACTTTTGTATTGCTGATAGGCTCGTTCCACTTGTTCGTCTAATGTCTGTATATTAGGTGGAAGAAGGCCTTGAAGCTTAAAAGCTCCTCGTTCCTCTGCAGAAAAGGCCGATCCTTTGTTAAACTGCGCACTGTGCAGCAGCGCCGCACCCTACCCTGTGTTGTTAACGATACTCGCAGTAATTATTAGGAACGTACCTCAAGGGGACACTTCAGAGTGCCGGATGCCGCTCGGGGCAAATGTCCAAAGTTTGACTGAGGCATGAGGGATACGAAAGCAGACTGCGGTTCGCAATTTGAGCTGGCTTGTAAAGTATGCCGCCAAATATGGCTTAACAAACTATGATGCCACCGATGTTCGGCATCCCGAGTGGAGCCGAGTGGATCTCGCAGAACAGGGCTGCACGAAAATAAACGTCGCAACTCCACCGTCGGACCATAACTTGTTTCTCGGATGCTATTCCTAAAACTTCCGGACGCCCTAGGAAAAAGCGTGACATATCTCAATTACATTTACATGTACTCACTGAGTAAAACATGGAGTGTTGTTCGGTTATATATTCCATAGCTAAGGTAACGGGCTGGCTACAAAATTTCTCGCATAGTATTGCACATCTCACTTTTGGCTCAGAAACAGTAGTTTGTGTTCACTAGGAAACCAAATTACAAGAGTCAAGCTTTTATTTCGGATTTCGTCTCCATAACGTGACGTCAGCGAGTCTTTACGACCGAGTGCTCTGGATGTCTCAAAAGCTCTTCGTTCAGTTGGGAAGCTCTTCTGGCCAGGCCCGTATAATTCCGATGTGATCATGAATCCACAAGGGAACTTAACTTTCAAAGAAGTTCTCTGGTTCTACTCAAACGCTACATACTTGCATCCCTGTCAGCGATCCATCAACATGAAGACCTCAGCGAATCTCACACCATACACCTACGAAAATGATATATATGGAGCAGGCTTGAGCGATCAAAAGCCCCCAATCTCCTTTGATCCTACGAAATGGCAATCCCTCGCAAAAGAACGCCTCCCAGCTGATAGCTTTGGCTACGTCTGGGGCTCAGCTGGTACCCGCCAAACGGATGACAACAACAAGGAAGCATTCAAAAAATGGGGAATCTTACCTTCCCGCTTGGTGGAAGCTGATTTTCCAAGCCTCAAGACGAATCTCTTTGGCGATGAATACGACTACCCCCTTGCTATTGCACCTGTCGGTGTACAAAAGATCTTTCACCCTAACGGGGAAGTCGCTACCGCAAAAGCGGCTGATGGAGAAAATGTCACTTATATCATGAGCACGGCAGCATCAACGAGCATTGAGAATGTAGCGGATGCCAATGGTTCTGGATCGCGCTGGTTTCAGCTCTATTGGCCTTCCAATGATCATATGGATATCACGGCAAGCTTGCTGAAAAGAGCCAAGGATTCTGGATACAAGGTTCTTGTCGTGACGCTTGATACTTATATTCTTGGGTGGCGACCCAGCGATCTTGATAACGGATACAATCCCTTCCTTCGCGCTGATAATATTGGAGTCGAGCTTGGGTTCTCGGATCCGGTGTTCCAGGAATATTTCCGGAACAAGCACGGTATCTCCATTGAAGAAGATGTCTCCAAGGCAGCGGCTGAATGGGCACATACCATATTCCCGGGTACCAGTCATGGATGGAACGATATTGAATATTTGCGCAGTCACTGGGACGGCCCGATCGTGTTGAAAGGTATTCAGACTGTTTCCGATGCGAAGAAGGCGCGCGAACATGGTGTTCAGGGCATCGTGGTTTCGAACCACGGAGGCCGCCAGCAGGATGGAGATGTCGCGTCTTTGGAAATGCTGCCTGAAATTGCGGCCGCGGTTGGAGACGATCTCGAGATTTTGTTTGACTCTGGTGTGAGATGCGGTGCAGATGTTGTGAAGGCGTTGGCTCTGGGGGCGAAGATGGTTTTGGTTGGTCGACCATATGTGTATGGACTAGCTATTGGTGGCGAGACTGGGGTCCGACATGTGCTGAAGAGCATTTTAGGAGACCTTCAGTTAACGTTGCATTTGTCTGGTATCAAAGATGTGACGAAGGAGAACCTGAACCAATCAGTACTGCGACAGATCAGGACTTAGGACTCAAAAGTTAGGATAGCATACTGCAAGCTGAACGGGTGCCCTTACGTCTGACCCAATTTCATCACAGATCATCGTTCAAGTTCTCAGAGTCTGGCACTACCACCTTGTACTAGCATAACTGGGTGTGTCTGGCAATGTACATCATTACCCGTTTGGGGGGGTTCACGGAATGTAGAGCTGCAGTCATTGCAGGGTCAGTTTTCCGACCAATAACTCCACATCTTGTTGGGGTTAGTCCATCCCTGCGCTTTGATGTCTTTCGAATGGGTGATTTTTGCAGTCTGGAGCAGGGCAGCATAAACAGATGCCGATAGCGGAAGAGAAGTCGCAGGGGCATCGATGTCTGAATCTGCACCTAGTATGTGTTTCGCTAGCTCACGGAATGGCTAGGCCTTCGCTTAGGGAGTTTGTACAAACAGCAAGTGTCGGATGTTTCCTTAACAGACTGGAATGTGTGCCGAATAGAGATGAGAGCCATTTTCCACGAACAATCGTGGATTGATAAAACTCCGATGTTACCAAGAAAAGATTTACCTCCGTCAGCCCTGCAGGTGTCACAGCACGGGTGTTACGGGGGGGGATCTGAATGGAATACAATCCGGCGAATCGGCATAGAGTGGCAGTTATTTCCCTCAGTACCTGGGCATGCAGATAGATCTGATTGAAAAGAAGCATGTAACCTTGGGTCGTTACTATGATCATTCTTCGCTTAATTCTTTCATCATCCATAATTTTAATTTACGCGCTCACATTCTCCCATCGTACCATACTCAGGCATAGCACGCATCCATCCTACCTGCATAAGGATGGAAACAAAAGCTTTCCCCCTCACATAGTTGCGTGAATGTCACATGGCTAGCTCCATTTTTACCCCCATCGGAAATCCTTCTTATCGTCTAAAAAAAAAACATCAGGAGCAAACTGTAAGTGGACTGTCGGATAATTATTTGAGGTTGTATGCTTCAGATCTAGATGGGTGGCTTCCAGCATTGGTCGCGGAATCATTTGGCCCGCTAGCTGAGCATGTGGCTTGATTTGCTCAATCCCATGGCATTTGCTCTTGGCGAGGGCTGTCAACAATGCAATGGAATGCCACGACGGCAGGGTAATTTCTAGTTCTGAACCACTTATAAATTATGCGTTCTCACCCCGGAAATGAGATGAATATCATCCCCAAATTTCTTTGCTACTGAGACTCTCCTGCCTTGTTGCCACCCAAACCTCAAAAAATTTCATTTCTTGACCGAACACAATGGCTCCAACTCTGCGAACTCTTCTTGTGACGCTTGGCTTCGTCTTCTCGGCCGCCGCCGAGTCGAGCTCCTCAATGCCGACGTATGGGATCGACGTTCGATCCGAGGGAGACTGTAAATGACCCTTGAAATCCGACATGGAGTCTATTTGCTAACTAGTCACAGGCATGTCCTGGTATTTACCTCAACTCCGGTATCCTGCCCAGACCTGCAACGACGTCGTCAGCATGCACCCAGGGCTTGATTTGGCCACCTTGCTCAAGCTGAACCCTTCGATTCACCCTTACTGCGACAACATGCTGCTCGGTCAGAAGGTCTGCCTCCGAGCCAAGCAGGAAACTGACTGCCCCAAGGCGGCAGAACCCAGCCTACAGCCTCTGGAAACTAGTCCACCGCAGTGGCAAACTAGTCCCACTCCCAAGCCGCAGGTATCAAGCTCCAGCCATTCTTGGCGTTGATATCGGGGAGAATGCGCAAGGCCTCACAGACGAGAGGCAGGTCTATCTATCAAAGCCCCTTGTTTCGATGACACTTCTGGTCACTCTGAGTGCGGCACTCTACTATTTGGATCCCCATGTCCCTAGAGCGAACACTAGTGTGACCTTTAATTTAATGAAAAATGCACTTCACTTGGCTCATGATGATTTCAGGTCAACCACGATACTCAATAACTAGGTAGACGCTGAAACGATGTAAACCAATGGGAAACCGGTATTTTACATTCGAAACAGGACGTGGTACTTGGCAAGATGACTTGGGATTGAAATATGAAATCTTCTTTCTTGCCATGAAGAATAGTAGTATACGGAGCAAGCCAGTCCCATTTCAGAAAAGAGCAAGGTAAGAATGGGTGCATCTAATTGTTTCCCCTCACATGTATGCTAGGTATCTAGCCAACATAGTTGCATACTTTCGTCTCAATCAGATATGTGAAATCACACCCGTGCGATTCTCTAGCTAAGTCCCAGCCTCTCTTTGTCCGACGCTATAGTCGTATATCGGAACTATAAGCCAGCAGTGAGCAAAACAGAGGCGAAGAAAGAGACGCCAAAGTGAGATGAGCAATATAGAAGCGATACACTCGCTATGATGGCTCTGTCAAAAGTATCAAAGATTTTATCAGTGGCGTTATGCATACGACTACTACTACGGGTTGTATTACCATGTAAAGTTACGTGTATAGCGTCAAGTGTAGTAAAGTACTTGATTCTTCTGATTAGACTCGCCCGCAGAGACCGCGCCTTACAGAGTGCCTTTTGGACACTCCAAACATCTTGCTATGTTTTTATAGTATAGCGCATACGACTGTTCGCATGCATTACATCTCGCTGTTCAGCACTGACTCGTCAATGCCATGGTCTATTCCACGGTATAGCTGTAGCTCCGGGAAACCTCATCTAGGGTCTGATTACTACCCTGGAAAGGAGGGTGAGCTGCACTAACATAACAGACCGACTGCGAATGGAAGTCTACAGTGGCATGGATGGTGATTCACACACCCAAAATGGCAGGCAATAGAATGGCAGACAGTCACAACGATTATCAACTTATCAATGCACTCTCTTTCATTCTCAAAGGCTGATTCAAAATATATTTTAGGTCCTCATTAATCCCTGGGCTGTATTGAATTGGCCGGTAATGGTTATGGGTTTAATACCATAATTCTATCTAGAATCCATTCGAATTTTTGGTGCAAACGAAGCAAACAAAAGGGACATCCTATGAAAAGTGCAGTATTCTACCTAGCCCTCGAGATCAGGGGCAAATTTTAGATGTTAAGAATTCATGCATGCCGGAAAACAAAGCATTGTCATAGGTGCCTTTCAGCCCCACCGCGCTAAAAACTTCACATGGCTGAACACCTCGGTATCAGATGGTCGGATCGACACCTCTCGATGTCGTCTGTGAATGTGCGAATGTTCATTAATCAGAAAAAGCAGTTTCAAGAAGGGATCTGCGTACCCACACCTCGGTTCCCAACGACTATTCGTTGGAATTCCCTGTGCGTCCACAGTTGAAGATGAATATAAGATACGGGGAGAGTGCGAGGGTGTTTGACACCTTTTGCCTATTCTCCCACCTAACATGGCTACACCGATGAGGAACCCAAAAGACTCCATGACGTCCACCTGGCGTTCATGGGATCGCTCGCAGTGGAACGCCGGACACTGGCTTCTCGAAATCCTGAATGTGCACCATGTCGATGTTGATCAAGAAGTCCCAGTTCACCAGAAGGACGAAAAGGTCCCTTATGCACCAGAGCTGCAGTTTCATGTTTGGGTCCTGATCCACGCCTTTCTGCCTATGGCCCTTCACCAACTCTACATTGGTTACTTCGGGTACCCTTCCAGGCTCGTTGCATTTGCATTCTACAGCTTGGCCCTGAAATTCAATGCTGTGCACGAAACACACGTCCTCCGCCGCGTAGGCCACAACATTGGATTCCTTGACGGGGACAAGCATTCTCGCGATGGTGTACCTGACGTGGGAGTCGGGAAGACGGTCCAAACCCTCGTGTCCGTGATCGCGCTCCGTCCAATGTTTACCATTTTCTTCGCGTACCGCGCCGACGAGGGCCCTTCCTCAATGCGGTGGGGGTGGCTCATCTTCGAGACTGGCATGTATGCGCTTGTGCTCGACTTCTGGTACTATATGATGCACCGCTCCGCGCACGAGCTGGAGTACCTCTGGCAATTCCACCGCACCCACCACTTGACGAAACACCCCAATCCGCTCTTGACCGCGTATGCGGACACGGTACAGGAGTTCATTGATCTTATCGGCACGCCTCTGCTCACATACGGCACGATGAAGCTGATGGGATTCCCCATGGGCTTCTACGAGTGGTGGGTCTGCCAACAATACGTGGTCTTCACAGAGATTCTTGGCCATAGCGGCTTGCGCATGATCGCCACCGCGGTGAATCCCTGGACCTCGCTGCTACGGTGGTGCGACATGGAGCTCGTGATCGAAGACCATGATCTTCACCATCGCAAAGGCTGGAAGAAAAGCCATAATTACGGCAAACAAACGCGGGTGTGGGATCGACTGTTCAATACTTGGATTCCTCGTGTGGAGGGGCATCGCGACAATATCGACTATGTCAATACAGTGGATATTCCCTTGTGGTAGGAAATACGAGTACCGCTTCGTACTCATACAGCTTGTTGATCAAATGGTTTCGCATTATATACTAGACCCAAGACTTCTTTGCAAACTCTCCGTTCATCTTGTCCAAAGCGGGCGATTATCACATCTTGGGGCTATCGATCGACGACTTAATGACATGGAGGCCTTGCCTCTCGTTTTTTCATCCGCTTGGTCGCTTGTCACGAAGTATATATGAATAGAATAGATAAATCGCTTTGTATACGTTGAGATAATCTCCCCGTAGCTCTAATTTTGAGAGATTATCCCTGTCGACTTGATACTGTACTTCATGAAAGATCGTCTATCAGGCGAGCGTCCATATGCAACTATATAATGCACTTCTCGTGTACGAAATTTCAAATCTCATATCATGGGTCACTTGTCTGCACATACTGCTGTTAGGAAAACATTGAGTTTTCTATTCATGAATCTCCTCAAGCGATCCTCATTTATCATGCATAGTCCTTTCCTTACTTTGGGATCCCTTTTTCTGCTCATCCAAAGAGCCCTTGCGTCGAAGTTGAAGTATGACCGATTGATCATTTATGGAATATGGAAGTAACTATGACTCCTGTTGTAGCAACTGGCAGAGGCAGATTGACTAGCTTCAAAATTTGTTCTTATATCCTCATGCTAATCTTCAAATCCAAAGATATCGATAGATTATCAGCAACCAGCGAAGCCATATCAGACTTTCTCCCGAGATATTGAAGCGCAAAGATACATGCTTCACAATTATCTCTGAAGCTTTCGACCAATCCATCATGCTCGTCTGAAGTATCCAAATATTCCAAAGATATATATCCCGCCTTGGCAAAACAATGGACAAGAACAACAGTCCATGGCTCAACTAAGAAGGCGACTTCATTGAGGGAATCATGGAAATGGCCGCTCATGGTGGGATCTTGTCCCTGAAGTGAAGATCGAGCCAGTGCACCGACCGCAAAGGCATTATCCGTCCTGAGCTTCGACACAATATTTGTAGCTTCACGAGTGCGACGTTCAGTGATAGAGCTAAGTCTCCCTTGGTCAATGCTCTCTATCACATCTGCCAAGAGCATCGTAGCGAGATGCCAATGGCCGTCAAGTATAATGTACCACGACTGTATGCGAGGGGGAAGTAGTCCATGGTTAGCAACGCAGTCTAGCATGAATCTCTGATACATCGAATTCCAGTGCTCATAGACTAGCATGGTCTTCTTGATCACGTTTTCTAGGCAATCGCTACTTGCACCTCGATAGACCAGGGTTTGAAGTTGCGTGATTCGGCGGTATAGCAAGACCTTGACAGGGGTTGCCTCGGAAAGTACCGACGCAGCTTCTTCATAGGAGCATGGCCATCGCGGCTGGGATGGTGTTGATTCTGAGTCATCGGTCGGATATCGGAGAAAAAATTCACCCCATACGTCTTTCCTGTGAAGACTGTGGCTTTCAGGAATATTCCAGCCGTTGAGATCAACCTCGTACCTGGGTTCAAGGATGGTAGGCGATGCTGATGCAATTTGACTGTCTTCATCCGACACCACCAGCGGGCGCTGATACATCGCCGCGCTCAAAGTATCGAACATGACTCCCAACCAGAACATAAGGCCAAGCGTACTGCGGTGCTCATGACTGGTAAGAATCGGATCATTTCGTGGAGAGGAAGGAGTCGTCGTTTCGAAGAGATCAGTCATCGTAGATCCTATTGATCCTCGCCTACTCTCTCGTGTGAAACAAGACGCCTCTCGTTGTAGCCTTGTGAACTTATGGCGAAGGGTGAAGAGTTGACGGTTGGCGTTTTCGAGGAATACCGGAGCAGGGTCATTCTCTAATAAGCGGCCCAGGCGGGAGTCCTGTGTTTTATCCAGCGGACTCTGAGTCAAGGAGAAAATGATATTTGCAAATATAATCCGAAAGGAAGGGATCCCGGTTGACCGCTCCAACGCTTGTCTTGCTTTGTTCCACACGTTCACTCGAATTGCTCTTTCATCATGCTCAATTTCCGCTGGAACAGATAAACCTGTACCTTTCTGGGCATGCTGAGTCCACTGGGAAGCAAATGCCATGATTGCCAAATGTAGAGTCTTGAATGCTGTCCTATCCTCTTCTGCACTCAAAGCCCGACCACGTATTGACGAGGAAGCACGATCCAAGCGACAGACCCTGATACACATTCGGTTTGACCAACTAGGTCCCCAATCCTTCATTCCTCTATCAGGTAGCACAACCCCAGTCGAGTCGCTGTAGGGACAGTTGTGCTCTGTCAACCAACATGATAGCGCGTTTTCCATACTGTCATGGTATATGCGGATCAAGTTGCGTGTCATCGTTGCACGAGCAAATTTCCTTGCCGTATTGTCGGACGCAATACAGAACGAACGTGGGGCACTGGGACTCGAGAGTTCATTAGACGTAAACATTGGGAAATATTCTTGAGTTTTACGCTGGATCGCTGGCTGCGTGGATTCGGATGAGGAATTGTTAGATCCATCTTCGGGCTCTTGGGACAGCTCAAAGGTGCTACCAAGGCAGATTGGCAGAGAGCTATGCCAACTGGCCTGCAAGTCAATACCTTCCAGGGCCTTCTCAGACCCCTGAATAACTGCATCGGCATCCCAGTCATCTAGGCAGTCACCGATCCAAGGAAATACTCCAGACTGGCCACCTAGTGGCCCGTTTGACTCCACGCCTTCAGTAATTGCTTCTTCCGGGAAAATCGATGACGGCGAAGAGGAAGCGAAACTCAACACCTCGCACATTTGCGTCGGGTTGAGAGCATGCCACTGTGAAGGCGGTAGCGCCTCATCAAGCAAGACACTACACGAACTCGGAATGGAAGAAACATCACAATTCCGATCTGAATCAGCCGCAGTTGATGGTTGCCTTTTCTGGGCTGCGGTGTGAGCTGTGTGCTTCAAGGCAAGCCAGTTGAAGGTGCAATCTTTCTTCCATCGTTTGCAGTTCGAGCAAGAGAAGCCATTCTCCCTTCGCATTTTCTGGGATCTTGAAAGTCAACATCGTCCAACGCTATGTTGTACCAAATTTGACTGACCGGTGCATCGCAGCCTCTCTTTCCCTTGCGGCATTGATCGCAGCTATGAAGCTGACGTCTGCGGGACATCGGCATGGCCAGGGCGGAAGATGATCAGACAGTCACAGCCTGAGATATGATGGTCCTGCTAAGTTTCTTGATCGGAATCCACCTTGAAAGTAAGACAAGAATTCCCAGGCTATGGTATTTACCAGTTTCCGGGGTACCCGACCTTAGCAAACTTTTGCGGGGTTTGTGGGGACTGGAAGTGCGTGGCGTCGAGGATAAGATTTCGGGTCAAAGGAACCAGGAAGAGATACACCGTCTAAATATTCATTGGTCTAATGTTGGATCGACCGAACAGTCAAATATGATCATTTGAGCTCTATGGAACGGATTATGCTAAAGGGTGCAGATGCTCGCTTGCTCACGAAGCAGCGCATGTTTTGCCTAGTGAGGTTCACGCTGGGAATATAGAGGGGGGGGAACTGAGTGAGATCTGGGGAAGGGGTGGATTGTGGCGTCAGTAAACCAGTAATGACTCGTCTTGCGGCGAAACGTCGGAGTCGGACTGGATGTGGGGATCAGCAGGATTACGTTCAGCGCCTGTTGATCATCGACGATCCACCCTCTGTTTGACAATGATTGGCAAATCACCAAATATAGACTAGCAATTATGGGTATGTGATCCGAGAAAGGGTTGACAAGCATCACGTGGTACAATTCATACATTCATACGGAAGAGTCTACATGTTGATTATTTGCTGGTCCCGTTATTTCAGATGACGCGCCCCATTATTCATATATGCAGCCAATAGACCAGGCACTGAATAAACTTGAACAGCTTGAATTTCTTGTGGAAACTAGTAGAACTAAATAATTAGGTGATCCTCCACAATCTGACACGTCGAAAACTGCAAAATCGGGCATCCAGAGAGAGACAAAATACGAAGCACGGCAGTGAGGAAGCTCAGGATTGGGATAGTTGTACACGGACTGTTTTCACCTCTGTGTAGTTCTCAAGAGCATACGAACCCAGCTCTCGACCGATTCCTGATTCCTTGAACCCACCGAAGGGCATCTGATAGTGCAGAGTGTTATAGTTGTTAACCCAAACAGTTCTGATATAAGTGGGTTGTCAGCAAAACCATAGGGCTATTTGGTATAAAAAGAAAACTCACCCTGCCTTGATCGCATTTGACACCCTGATAGCGGTGTTGATGTTGGTCGTGTGAACAGCCGCAGCTAGGCCTGGGATTAATCAACAGTCAGCGTAGGCTCCCATAGAATACAACGTCTCCTAGTTTGGGTTCTTACCATAATTCGTGTCATTGGCCACGCGAATAGCTTCCTCTTCGTCGCGAACCCTCTGCACTGTGCAGACAGGCCCAAAGATTTCCTCCTTCACAATTGTCATGTTTTCATCAACATCAGCAAAAATAGTGGGTTGAATGTAGTATCCTTCGGCTCCGTGTCGATCACCACCGGTGATAACCTTGGCACCTGCGCTTTTTCCATCGGCAATATAACTCATGACTCGATCATATTGAACTTGAGAAACTTGAGGTCCCTGGAAGGTTTCGGCATTGAACGGATCGCCAACCTTGTTTTCTTCGGCGCGCTTCTTGAACAGCTCTAAGAATTGGTCGTAAATGGCTTCGTGAACAAGGATTCGAGAACCGGCACAGCAACATTGTCCATGGTTGAAGAAGATGCCCATGTTTACCCATCCAATTGCCTCCTCCAGATTTGCATCAGGGAGAATGATGTTCGGCGACTTTCCTCCGAGTTCGAGTGTAACTTTCTTCAGGTTGCTATTGGCAGCCTCTCGCATAATTTGACGTCCGACCAAAGTAGACCCGGTGAATGCGACTTTGTCAATATCCATGTGTGCCGCAATCGCCGCTCCAGCATTCCTTCCAAATCCTGAAATAACATTGACTACTCCAGGGGGAAAGCCGGCTTCTTTGATAAGCTTAGCCACATATAGTGCTGAAAGGGGCGTTTGCTCCGCAGTCTTCATGACAATCGTATTGCCTGTCGCGAGGGCAGGGCCGATCTTCCAAGCGAACATCAGAAGGGGAAAGTTCCACGGAATGATTTGGCCGCAGACCCCGACCGGCTCATGTCGGGTATAAGTCAAACTATTGGCATCCGTATCGATTGTCTGTCCATAGATCTTATCGGCCCATCCACCATAGTAGCGCAAACATCCGGCTGAAGCAGTGACATCGCCTTTAGCCATTGTAACACCCTTTCCATTATCAAGGGCTTCGATAGCAGCGACAGTGTCGATATCACGTTCCAAAAAGTCAGCGAGACGAGTCAAGAGGCGGCCACGATCAGAAGGAGTGATGGTTTTCCACTCGCCCTCCAGAGCTTTGCGGGCTGTTTTCACGGCGATGTCCACGTCTTTCGCTGTGCCTTCGTGCACAGCTACAATGGGCTTCTCATTGTGAGGGTTGATTGTCTCGAAGGTTCTACCTTCCACACTCTTCACAAATTCGTTGTTGATGAACCTAAACGGTCTCGTTAGAAAATGTATGACCTTCGACGGGGGCTGAGTGGGGGAACTTGCAGTCCCAGTGGCTGTTCGTATGTGACCACTGGGGTCTTGATTGTTTGGAACAAAGACATTACTGAGGAAAAGGCTGGACGGGAAATTCTCATTTGATGTTTGAATGAAGAATGTGTGAGAGTCGTGTCTAGGCTGGGACTCGAGGCGATTTATATACCCAGCGGTTATAGTATGTGTGAGTCCAGACGACGGATATCACCGGAAGATCAAGTAAGGGGAGTATGACTGTATCCATCGATGCCCGCTCGGAGTTTTTCCATTGCGCGGGAGACTGTCCATCGAGCGCTTCGCAGTCCGCATTCACTGACCCTGGACTTAACCGGGGCAATGGATATGCTGAGCGCTTTTCTAGCAGTATTTTGACAACCGCAACTTCACTTGACATCAAGAATGTCTTGCGATGGCTCTAAGTTCCAAAATAGGCAAATCCGAGTTCTATGAGAGGTGAAGATCGCCTTGATCAGCCGTGCGGCTCCGCATGCGGGCCCCCGCAAAACCCCGCAACGTTTCCCTCACAGTTCACGCATCATCGCTTGTGTGTCTGGGGAAATTCTTGGAAATGGATGCACTTCCAATCACCCGCTTGTCCGAATTAATTTGTCTGATTGCAGAAATTCCGAAGATGGAAAGGGGAGTCAGGGTTCTTTATCAGAATGGCCTTCTCTGGCTCCATTATTTATAGAGGCTCGAACAACACCATCTGGAGTCAATCAGTTCAACATTTTCACAATCCTCCAGACCCAAATTCAACACACTACCTTCACTGTTTCTCTCATTCGACTTGATTGACCAACATGACTATCTCCGAGATGACCATCCCTGAGATGCAGTGGGCACAAGTGGCCGAGAAGGTCGGAGGGCCGCTTGTGTATAAGCAGATCTCTGTACCCAAACCAGGTCCTGATCAGATCTTGGTGAAGATTCGCTACTCTGGTGTTTGTCACACCGATCTACATGCGATGATGGGCCACTGGCCTATCCCAGTCAAGTTCCCCCTGGTTGGTGGACATGAAGGCGCTGGTGTAGTTGTGGCTAAGGGTCCTTTGGTTACTGGATTTGAAATCGGCGACCACGCTGGCATTAAGTGGATCAATGGATCTTGTTCTGAATGCGAGTTCTGTCGCCAATCGGATGACCCCCTGTGTGCCAATGCGCAGCTTTCGGGGTATACTGTTGACGGCACATTCCAGCAATATGCTGTTGGCAAAGCTACCCACGCCTCGAATATTCCAAAGAATGTTCCTCTTGACGCAGCCGCCCCTGTTCTTTGCGCTGGTATCACTGTTTATAAGGGGTTGAAAGAATCTGGAGTCCGGCCCGGTCAGACCGTGGCTATTGTTGGAGCTGGTGGTGGCCTCGGCTCCCTTGCGCAGCAGTATGCCAAGGCTATGGGTATCAGGGTAATTGCTGTTGACGGGGGTGATGAGAAGAAGGCCATGTGCGAACAGCTTGGCACTGAGGTATGAAAGACAAGAGCCCAGACTTCAATACAGAGTACGCGTGCAAATCTAACGAGATTTAGACTTACGTTGATTTCATGAAGTCGAAAGACTTGGTGGCTGACGTGAAAGCGGCCACGCCTGATGGTCTTGGAGCGCATGCCGTTATTTTGTTGGCAGTGTCTGAAAAGCCCTTCCAGCAGGCCACGGAATATGTTCGCTCTCGAGGAACAATCATCGCCATCGGTCTGCCCCCGGACGCGTTCCTCAAAGCCCCGGTTCTGAACACAGTGGTCCGGATGATTAGTATCAAGGGCAGTTACGTTGGAAACCGACAGGATGGTGTTGAGGCTCTCGATTTCTTTGCCAGGGGCCTAATCAAAGCGCCGTTCAAACTCGCTCCCTTGGAGGACCTTCCGAAGATCTTTGATCTCATGGGTTTGTCGATCCCTTCTTTCTTTGCTGAAGTAATTACTGACTCGAAACAGAGCAAGGAAAAATCGCCGGTCGCTATGTGCTTGAGATGCCGGAGTAGTGGATTATTTGTCGAGATCTGGAGTACGATTCATGGGATTGGAGTTGAGATCTATTTGGGTGACGACGGCTGCAGAGGGAATGTACATAGGGCACGGCACAAATTGTAACTTTGATGTCATTTAACCAGCATGAATTGATTTACTTGAAACATATGTTGCTTGTCATTTCTCTTTATTCAAAGAGCTGATACTAGACTTTCTTTATGCTCCGAGTTTCCGCAAAATTTCTGGCCTTCGTTGTATGTGACTGATGTATGACTGAACAAATGAAGAGCTACAACATGTATTCGAAGCAATATCATCTGAAAATAGGGTCATGGCGAGACCCAAAAGATCTAATAATCGATCACGCTGACACGCTGACACAGTGAACGTGCTCTACCTTTTGCTCGAATCCGCGCAGTCAAACGCAGCTCAGCTCGACATCCAACGTGGGGGCGCCTCGGACGACCGCGTATCTCCGTCTAATCGATTCACAATCTTTAGCTGACTCACTTGCAGCTAGGCGCCCCAACTTATATTCATAGTTCGAGTTTACACACGAGATCATCCCCAACGAAGAGTCGTTCGGCGTTCTAATTCCGGTCTATATCCTACGTCAAACAGAGTATTGGGACTGCTAAATATGGTCACCCCAGCTTGATTATCGTATCTATAGAAGTGCTACGCGACCCAATTTAAAATCCATATAGCAAATTTTTCTAGACGGGAAAGAATGTACTTTCCCAGCCACTGCTGATAGCAAATCCACAGCTTGATCCACTACCTGGGCATTGTGTGGTTTCATCGTCGATTTGAGCTTTCCCTTTCCACATTGTTTCAATTCTTGTCAAAGGTTCTAGGTCCAGATTTTCATTCTCAATGTGGAGTAGACTCGGGTCAATGAACTCTGGAAGAACTTCCCCAAACGTGTCTCCTTCAGGGGCATGTACAGCCGCTTTTAGGGTGTTAGTACACTCGGTATCCTTATTCCTACTCAGTATATTAGTCATTTGATTCTGTGAGTGAGAAATCAATACATTACCAATCAAGTGAGACCTTGCAATCGGTCTGTTTATGACGATCGGTCAATTGTATAAATGGAACGATGCGCGGCAAGGCTGTTCTCCGTTCACTTGTGAAGAGACGAAGATATTTCGGTGGCTTCCGATACCCATCAACACATGCATCTGGAATTCCACGCCTTGTACATTCCGCACATGGGCGTTTGTTTCCTATAATGCGCTGTGAATAAACTATGCTGGTGATAGCAACGGATGCACAGGCTATAGTGGACTTACCGCATGTCTTGTGTCCCCGCTGACAATTAGAGCAGGACCTTCTAGCTTTCTTCCGGCGCTGAGACATCATGTATAAGGTAGAGATACTCGGTGGTTGGGTGTTCTGGGTCTGGACGGCTGCATTATCGGCGTTGAAGGTACACTGCATGAGGATGGCGCGCACTGACTGGTAGTAGTCAATATATATATTGCTTGAAAACGCATGGAATGAAAAGTCCTGAGATGTTGCGCCGTGCCAAGAACTCCAAGCCCCAAGCGTTGCCGGCAGGTGATGTACATATCTTTCCTGAAACCAGGAACTCGGCATTCGCCGTGCGAAATTTGTAAAGCACCGTTCTCTCATAAAGCCCGCATGATTCATCTCCGTATTGTTTTCCCCAGTTATCTTCCCCGGACGCCACACTGATCTGCATCCCCGCAAAATGTCTCCATGCGGATCCGCATCAAAACCGGAACCGCATACCGCGCGCCACCCGACCACTTGATTTTGAGATTCTGGGGAAATGCGCTGATCGCCTTTAATAATTGAGATCTAGATTAGCCAATAAATGAGCCTACATCCTGATTGTTCAAAATTTACCCTGGTCCCCGCGTTTCAATAGCGATCTGCTCCACTTCCGTTCCGCCGCAGCGGACGAAGCTGCGCCAGGAATCGTACTAGCGATATCTTACAATCTGTTCTATCACACGTTTGATAGTCAGAGGAGACAACTGCATCATTTCAAAAAGGCAGCCGCTCCCCTTGGATCCCACTCATAATTCTCATCAATTATAGTAGAGAAACATGGACAGCCCCACGACACAAAATGGCGAAACAAAGCCGTCTTATGAGAACAGGGAAGGCGCAATGCAGGGCCTTACTACAATCCCTACATCAGTGACCCTGTCTGCTGAACAATTCGAAAGACTGTACTTGACTCCAATGACACGACATCAACCTGCAATAGCTAAACAAGTTGGAAATCCGACACCTTTGTGAGTTCTCATATTCCACATACAGAGCAACGTCAAGTTTCTGACTTAACCCCCTTGCTCCACTCTGAAGAGCATTGGGAGGATTTGTTATTACCACGACCCCACTTTCATGTTGTTTGATGGCCTGGAGAGGTGCTAGTGGGAACGGAGTCGCCTTCATGTAAGTGAACGAAATCAATTTGACTGATTGATACCATACTGACACAAGAAGTGGCCCAATCGTCTTTCTTGGTGGCCTTTTATTGCTTATAACTAGTATTCTTGAATTTATACTCGGAAACACGTTTCCCTGCGTCGTATTTGGTACCATTGGTAAGCCCGACGTCCCAATAGAACTCTATGCTTCTTTGTCTTTTGATGTCTAATCATATTTCTCAATAGGAGGATTTTGGTTTGCTTTTGCAGCTACCATGATTCCTTCTTTCAATGCTGCCGGTAAGTTCACCCCCAAACGTGCAAGCTGCGAGACGAACTATCCTAACTCATTGGCAGCGCCTTATTCCTCTACTGCCAAGGATACAGCAGCCGGATTATCTAGCGCTGGCTTTTTGAATACCTACGGTAGGAATGATATCTATCTCAAGTTCCTGTGTGACGAATCTGACCGGTCGCTTTAGCATTTCTGTTCATCACAATGGCAGTTCTCATGTTGATCTTCATGATATGTGCAACACGCACCAATATTGTCTATACCCTCATCTTTCTGTCGCTAATGATTGTCTTCCTTCTCTTGTCGTCAGCGTATTGGCTCTTAGGTGAAGGAAGTGCCGCCACAGGCGACCGATGTGTAAAGGTAATGGCTCAGCTTGTTTGCAGCCCTGCCAATAACATAAAGCGTATACTGACTTGGCATTTCCATTTTTAGGGGGCCGGGGCTTCACTCTTTGTTGCAAGTCTCCTTGGATTTTATCTTTTGATTGTTCAGCTGTTTGAGGCACTGGACTTCCCGTTCCATTTGCCCGTTGGAGATCTAGGGGTGCTGTGGACCCGTACCCCACACAAGTAAGCAATACTGAACGTAGGGCAATAGGTGATGCTAACAGGAAACAAGGGGACAGAAACACGACATTGAAGAGGGTGCTGCTGTTGGTGATAATTAATATTGCCACGATTTTGTTGATTCTTCTCTCCCAATGAAACAACTGTCCTCGGTGATGTACGTCGCATGTTAATCTAGTGTTAATAAGAAAAAGGAGCCTTTCAGAACTAGAAATACAAGCATTATACGCAACCATCATGATCAGACGTCCCTTTCTTTCCGATACTTGAAGCTAGAGAATAGATTTCCTTTTCCGGTTAGCTTTGTTCTCTAACATTTAGCGTATCTCTTCTCCGCAGATAACCCAGTTGCCAGTTGCTCCATTTACTTTGCTTCTCAAACATCTTAGTCTACATGGCTTCCCCTGCTAAGCGGCACAGACGTATTTATGTCGCGTGAGTGACCCTTGTTCATCGTTTCGTAATCTAACAAGTTCCTAGTTGTCTACACAAAATCAAATGTTCTGGCTCTCAACCCTGCTAAGCATGTTCCTTGTCGAACCATCCTGATCGATGTGAATTTCCTCCAAGGGATCGCAAGGTATCGGTGTCGGAGATGTAGGTAGCGAATATCCACTACGAAAACTCGCACACTTACGATGAACATGCTCCAGGTATATAAAAAGACTGGAGGGGGAAATTGAAAGCTTGAGAGCTCAGACACAGCAACTGCGAGAACCCACGCCCTCTGTAACCATCGACGAGCCTTGCAGTGATTCAAATAATCAAACTAGACCAGCAACAAATTTCCCCGATACCGACGTTTCGAATCCGCTGCTTGGATTGCCTGCCGGCTTTGTCACTGCTGGCTCTGCCTCACTTCCATCATACATCGGAGAGGCTTCAAGTGTTGGATTTGGAAATACTGTTTTAAACTGCGTTGATAAAGATGCTGACCTTGCTATCTTGGCTCCTGCGGCATATTTCGAACACGAAACCTTTAATCGACTTGCACGACCAAGTGTCCAACTGCCTGATCGAATCGAGTCCCAATTGTTGGTAGAAATTGCGATCTAATTTATAGGCACCGATTATCATCTCGTTCTCAAAAGGTCTTTCTATGAGAAACTTGACCGAGTGTGCTCGGGGGAGGACCAACAAGACCTTGTGTGGCTATGCAAGTTTTACGTTCTGCTAGCATTGGGGGAAATTTATTCGAACCGAGAACGCTGAATAATGACTCAACATGTACCTGGAACAGAATATTTTCTACGTGCAGTTGGACTATTGCAAGACCGATATGAGAGCCCATCGCTTGATCAGATCGAAGTAATAATTCTATTTGTCAGTTGGTTGGCCCAATACCTGGTCCGGTCTTACTGACCCCATATTGCAGTGTATTTACTCAAATGCATTGGGGCGTTCTAGATCCGCATACAATTACATTGGCATCGCTATGAGGATGGCTCTTACGATGGGACTCCACCGGAGTCTGCCAGTTGAGACCGAATTTACTCCAATTGAACGTGAAGGCCGAAGGCGTGTCTGGTGGACACTATACACATTGGACAGATTGTGCAGCTCGATCTTGGGATACCCACTGCTGATAAGTGACTCTACAATTGACGTGGAGCTGCCGACGAGTGACAGCCTGTCTTCCAACGAGCAAGAGGAGTTTGCAGATCCAGCGCATTTGGTTGCGATCGTCAAACTTGCCAGGATTACCGGTCAGATTTGTAAGAAGGAAATCTCAGCTTTAATGGCATATGTTTCACAAATCTGACAAAATATGATTCTAGTAAGCGACATATACTGTCTACCACAACGAAGCCAAGAGAACGTCGTGCAAAGAGTTCACCGCATTCTCCTGAGTTTGCGTAAATTCGGCGAAGAACTGCCTCCTAGTCTGCTTTTGCGACAAACCAACCTGCCTCGGAACGTCACAAGTCTTCATCTGCATTATAATCAGTGTGTTATCTCAAGCACTCGCCTGATTTTGCTCTATTTATTCAAATCTCGTTTCTCCCTGAATGCTGCCACCGCGGAAGCTACACCGAGAATCTTTTCCTCGACATTTCTCGCCCTAGCAGAAAGCTGTGTTCAAGCTGCCAAGGCTTCAAATTCAATCTTATCAAAATCATTTGTTGGGGGAACACTTGCATCTTTTGGATATTTTGACGCACATTATCTCTTTTCGTCAACTCTTATTCTGATAATTTCCACTGTCATGGATCCAAATGTTGTTATGTCTGATGCTGTCTCATATGCTTTCACTATCCTCAAGGCTATGAAGGAAGATGGTAACCTTCCTAGCTGTGACTACTATGAGAGGCTGCTGCGTACAAGAGTCAGCGTGGGAAAGATGAAAGAAAAGAGCGAGGCACATGGTCGTGCACTGGTAGTTGCTGACGACGCTCAAATTGTGGAAACGCAGACATCTCATCAGCTGGACGGGCAGGTATTGGGATTCAGCGAGGGTCTACCTTTGGATCACCCGTTGATAGATAGCTTTCTGGCCGATCAGGGTACATGGTCTAACGGAATGTCCCCCGAGGATCAATTTTTGAGAGATTTAGCTTGTGAACTTGGCGATGAATTTCTATTTGGGCCACAGTAACATATCAAAATCCTCATGTCAATATCCATTTATCAACCATTGCACTTGCAACTATATAACGTGTAGAAATGACCATGCCGATGATTTGGGTACTTCGGTGATCTACCTGATAGTCCGGATATTGGTCCGAATACGAAACGGCGCACTTGAACTAAATTTATACGCTTAAGACATAGACAACTACCTTGGGCATGAGATTATGCTCGGTCAATTTAAGGAGAGTCTCTTTAGCTTATCAACCTTTCTTACTTGGCTGAAGGAAGGGATAATTTCCGTATGTTTGGTGGACGCGTTCTAGGGACACTCAAGCCCCCATTCTTGCTATCAATGTCGTGCGGGGTCGGCTTCGCGTTTCTCTTGCCGGAAGTTGCATTTTCTCGGCTTCTCGACTATTTTACCGAGTGGATACCAAAGCATGAGGCCGTCAGATGCGGAGGCGATGATGCCAGATAGGAATCGGAAAGACATGGACGTGCCGAAAGGGCCATACGCACTGTCCGAGCCGTTGCCCACTTGACTACTTACTATAAACAGTGAGCAACGAACGCGTTCCGTCTGTCATATTCAGTCAAATATTTTACTGTCTCACACTGGAAATCTTATAAACCATGACTGAGCATGGAATTCGAATTGCGATTGACCGTGGTGGTACCTTCACCGACGCGTGGGCGCAAATACCCGGTCACTCCACCGATATAATCTTCAAAGTCCTGTCTGTGTGCCCAGAGGAATACAACGATGCGCCCACAGAGTGCATCCGAAAGATCTTAGAGATCACTAGTGGATCATCAATTCCACGAGGCACTCCCCTGGACCTTGAACCAGTTGAGTGCATCCGAATGGGCACCACAGTCGCAACCAACGCACTCCTCGAACGCAAAGGCGAGCGAGTGGCCCTGCTTATTACCAAGGGATTTCGAGATCTTCTCAAAATTGGAAATCAGTCCCGACCAAACATTTTCGATCTCTCTGTGCAACGTCTCACTCAACTGTATGAGACAGTGGTTGAAGTCGATGAGCGAGTTACTGTCGAAGGCTTTTCGGAAGATCCAGAGCCCAAGGATATAGATGTTAACTCAGATTCAGCACTACGAAGGGGATTAACCGGTGAAATTGTTCGTGTGTTGCGAACTCCAGATCTCGAAGCAGTTCGAAAAGACCTTCTTGCGGTCTGGGAGCAGGGATACCGCTCTGTGGCTATTGCACTCATGCACTCATATATGTTTCAAAACCATGAGATATCCGTCGCTGAAGTTGCCCGAGAGCTTGGTTTCAAAGTCATTGCATCTTCGGGGCTTCAGACAATGGCAAAGCTCGTCCCTCGGTGTCAATCGGCTGTGGTAGACGCATATCTTTCACTCTTGACTGAGAAATATTTGAATGAATTCCGAATGGGGTTCAAGGGTGCATTAAAAAATCAGCATGGGAGGAAGCTCTTTGTCAATAAGTCTGATGGTGGATTGACTTCGCTTTACAATTTCTCTGGTCTTCGGGGAGTGCTGAGTGGCCCCGCTGGTGGAGTTGTTGGCATGTCCCGGACGTGCTATGATGCCGACGATGGAACACCTGTGCTGGCATTTGATAGTAGGTGATACACCAAGCATCTCCCTATTTGCAATAGGAAATACTAACATCCCTCCACAGTGGGCGGCACTAGCACCGATGTTGCGCGATATGCGGGAAGTCTAGAGCATATCTTTGAAAGCAACATAGCTCAGGTTACCATCCAAACACCGCAGCTCGACATCAATACGGTCGCTGCTGGTGGTGGATCTATGCTCCTCTGGGAGAACGGGATGTCCAAAGTAGGCCCTCATAGTGCAGGCGCCTACCCTGGTCCAGCATGTTATGGAAGAGGCGGTCCGTTGACTGTGACGGATGCGAATTTCTTCCTTGGACGCGTCATCCCCGAGTATTTCCCCATGAAGCTGGACTTCAATGTCGTAAAAGAGAAATTTGTTGTCCTCACGACCATCATCAATGCCGAGAAAGGTGGATCCTCGGAGCTTACTGCCGAAGAAGTGGCTATGGGATTTGTTTCGATTGCGAACGCCACCATGACTCGCCCCATTCGAGCATTAAGTGAGGGTCGTGGTTTTGAAACTGCTGCGCATAATCTGTGTTGCTTTGGCGGTGCCGGTGGACAGCATGCTGTTTCGATCGCCAGGGACCTCGGGATTCGAAGAGCCCTGATTCCGCGATACTCGAGTATCTTATCTGCTTATGGTATGGCTCTTGCCGATGTGGTGGTCGAAAATCAAGAGCCCGAGGCGACATCGTTTAGTATTGAGGCTATCACAAGGCTAGAGGAGCGTTTCCTAAGACTCAAAAAAGCCGGCGTCGCTGGTCTCGTCTCACAAGGATTTTCAGAGACTCATATTGTCCATGAGCTCTTCCTAAACATGCGCTATCAAGGAAGTGACACGGCTTTGATGATTGCGAAACCTGAAATAACAGAAGAGTTTGGGACCGCGTTTGTTGCTCGTCATCAGCAGGAATTTGGTTTCACATAACCGCGGGAAATTCTCATTGATGATGTACGTGTTCGGAGTATCGGAAAGGGCATGGATGTCACCCTATCTAGTGCATGTGCAGAGTTGAAAAAGCTCAAGGATTCACCTCCTGCTAGTCCAATCCAACCAAAGCAGAACACCGAAGTTTACTTCGATCAGTCAGGCTGGACCAATGTCGGCCTCTACTCGCTCAAGGTCCTCTCTCCTGCCACACGGATCAATGGACCGGCCATGATCATCGACAAAACTCAAACTATCATTGTGGATCCAGCAAGCGAGGCCATCATCCTCCCGGAACACGTCGTGATTGAGATCACGGGGACTGAAAAGCCCAAGTTGAGCACTAACGTCGTTGATCCCGTGCAGCTCAGTGTCTTCGGTCATCGTTTCATGAGCGTAGTAGAGCAGATGGGTCAGACTATGCAGAAGACCTCTGTTTCCGTCAATATCAAAGAGCGATTGGATTATTCTTGCGCAGTTTTCTCCGCTGATGGCAGTCTGGTCGCCAACGCACCACACATTCCGGGACATCTTGGATCAATGAGCTATGCGACTGCCTATCAAGCGAATCTCTACAAGCCCGGCGAGCTAAATCCTGGTGACGTCCTACTGAGCAACCACCCCAGCGCTGGTGGTACCCACTTGCCAGATCTCACGGTGACTACCCCTGTGTTTGACAATGATGTGAGTCCAACAAAGATTTTGTTCTTCATTGCAAACCGTGGACACCATGCCGATATCGGCGGTATTCAGCCTGGCTCCATGCCACCTCAATCTACTGAGCTCTGGCAGGAGGGTGCTGCAGTGGAGTCGTTTAAGATGGTCAAAGAAGGCAAATTTGACGAACCAGGCCTATTAGAAGTGCTGGTTGAGATCCCAGCATCTTACCCTGGATCAAGTGGCACTCGCACGCTTCGTGACAACATTGCCGACCTCAAAGCTGCCATTGCTTCTAACAACAAGGGTATCCACCTCATACAATCATTGGTTCAGGAGTACACGTGGCCAGTGGTCGAAGATTATATGCAAGCAATTCAAGACAATGCCAGCCAGGTGACTCGTGATCTTCTTCGGATGATTGCCAATCGATTCGACGGACGTCCTCTCGAGGCCATCGATTACATCGACGATGGAACGCCTTTGGCTTTGAAAATTGACGTCAATCGAGAAACTGGAGATGCGATATTTGACTTTACTGGCACTGGGCCCGAGCACTTTGGCAACTTGAACTGTCCTCCGGTCATCATGTACTCTGGAACCATGGTAAGTCAATTAATCCTTCTCCGGAGTTTCTCCAAGAAACGTTCTGACAAACTCAAAGTATTGTCTCCGCTCCATGATTGCATCGGATATCCCTCTCAATCAAGGATGTTTCAAGCCCATCAAGCTTGTCTGTCCACCAAACACTCTCCTATCACCCTCACTCAAAGCGGCCACGGTGGGATCCAATGTTGAGACCTCCCAACGCGTAGTTGATTTGATCTTCAAGGCTTTCCGTGCAGCCGCAGCTTCCCAATGCACATATAATAGTCTTACGTTTGGCTATGGTGGCAGCGATGCAGAGACAGGAGAGGTTACAAAGGGCTTCGGATACTATGAGACAATTGCTGGTTGATCCGGAGCGGGAGCGGACTGGAATGGTGAAAGTGGCGTACATACGCATATCACAAATACACGCATTTCCGATCCTGAGATATTTGAACGACGCTATCCTGTGATTCTGCATGAATTTTCAATTCGCAGTGACAGCGGTGGTGCAGGTCGACACAGGGGTGGTGATGGATGCGTTCGAGATATTGAGTTCCGGCTCCCGATACAAGTCTCTATTCTATCAGAGCGACGAGTGATTGCTCCATATGGTATGGCTGGTGGCGAGGAGGGTAAACGTGGTGTCAACATTTGGTTGCGAAAGTATCCGGATGGAACGAGTCGGTCAATCAGCCTTGGTGGAAAGGCCACTACTCAGATGAGGGCCGGTGATCATATTATTGTTTGCACTCCTGGAGGAGGAGGCTACGGCAGAGACCCAAACAAGAAGCCGGACTATGAATTTGGGGATGTTTTCAAGATTAAAGAGAAGTTTATTCCTGGCTCCCTCCGGACTCAGAGCAGCGTTGCGGGGAAGACTGCTATGGCTATGGGCAATTGAACCTCGCATCATCTTCACATATAATTATCTCGAGAATCTAACTTTGTTCTTCCATTATTTTGCTACGTGATATAGTGTGATTGACATTTCAAAGTTTAGAAGACTGTACAAAGAGTGTCGTGATGAAGTGGTAGAGCAAGGACGACTTCAAAAGTTATATGTACACTACAGCTAGTCGTCTGGTTTCAAAGTGGATTTACGCAGTTATGGTTTTCAATTTTCCCGGTTCTTTCTGCGTATTTTTAGAGACAAAAGTGACTATAGGCGGCTCGCAAGTTGTAAAGATGCTCAACGACCGCGTCGAAGTAGAACAATCTCCAATCCAATATATCGGGCTAGGTTTTTTCGTCGGAAACTCGAAAGTTGAATGAAAGATAACTTGAATTTAGAAACGTTCGCAAAGTTCAAGCCTATCTCGATCAGCACTGCTTGTGTGTAGACTAATCATACAGATAGTGTCTAGACCTGCACATCCAACGCCGATTGGATCGGTTACAGTCTAGCCCAGCCGAAGACACAATCTTTATCTCTGGGCCTTATCTTTTTTGGATACAGCAACTGACATGGGCGGCTTTTGTTATGCTGATAACTACGAATCTGGCGTCAGATGCGGCGTCACTGACATTAATACATATCGGTGATGCTCCACGCCAGGGACACTACGATTCATACTTTTGTCATTGCCCTTTGCCTTAACAATGGAGATTGTATCCGTCAAAAACCAAAGGAATTCCCAAGTCTCTAGGCCCGATAGGAGTGAGGGAGCAAGCGAAATTTACATAGACCCAGCGAAGGAAAGCCAAATGATGAGAAAATTTGACGTGAGAAACCATATAGGTCCCCACTACATACATTTACTGACGTATGATGCAGTTTTACGCAGTTGGAATGCTAGGGTTGTTCTACATGATGGCAAATTTGGACAGAAGCAATATCGGCAATGCTCAAACAGCCGGAATGCCGGAGGACCTGGGACTAGTGGGAAATCAGTTCGGAACAGCTACAACCTTGCTGTAAGATTAGTTTATGCCCCTTGAGTGAATCTGTTCTGACCAGCTTTGGGCAGCCAGATATGCAACCTACGTCCCATTTGAAGGTCCAATAGCAGTTCTTTTGAAGATCGTCGGACCTAAGCCTCTGCTTTCTACATGCGCGTTCTGTTGGGGAGTTACAACTTTAGGAATGGGTGAGTATTGTCCAACTCACATTATGCACAAATAATAATGGATTTTTAGCTTTCATCCAGTCCTGGAAAGGGCAGTACGCATGCCGCTTGCTGATGTGATTTTTTGAAGCGGGTCCGATACCATGCATCAATGTCTATATCGCCCTGGTATACAAGAAATGTGAGCGCGGGGAGCAATCAGCTATTATCTTTGCATTTAGCGCGTTTTCAAGCGCTTTTGGTGGACTGCTTGCGTATGGTTTGACGCAAGTCCACGGGCCCAACGGGTGGCAGGGATGGCGTTGGCTTTTCGCCGTCGAGGGAGCTATGACCTTAGTTCTTGTTCCACTTTTTTTGTTTCTCTTTCCCAACAAACCCGCCGTAGCGTGGTTCCTGAGTGCCGAAGAGAAATTTATGATGCAGGCGCGGTATGACAACGATCCGCATTGGGGTCAAAATGAAGAATTCACCTGGGCCGAGTCACTCAGTGCGTTCACCGATCCAAAGTGGTGGGCATTCTGGATCTACCAGTTCAGCTCCGATATCAGCCTCTATGGCTTCACGAACTTTCTTTCAAAGATTGTGTCCGGACTGGGTTACGCCGGAGTAAAGGCAAACCTGATGACAATTCCCATTTACATGGCTGGTCTCGTTTTTTTCCTCAGCATTGCGTATTTCTCGGATCGGGTAGGGCTGAGAGCTCCGTTCTTGGGTGTCTCTATCCTATGTCTTATCATTGGATATTCAATTCTCATCTCAGTAGAGAGCTTACGGGTCAGATTCTTTGCATGCTTTGGTAAGACTGCACCCTATCTTGAATGCTCTTCCCCTATCTGATCACCGCTAGTCATTGCGCTCGGCATTTATCCTACAACTGGATTATCACTCATGTGGCTGCAAGACAACACAGCCCGTCATTTCAAGAGAGCCACGATGGTAGGAATGACTCTTTGTTTCGGAAATACCGCCGGCGTTGCCGTTGGCCAAATCTTTACAACCCAATCCGCACCCCGATATGTGAAGGGGCTGTCCATTGGCCTTGGTTTTGCCGTTGTTGCTTTATTCATGGTGGCAACTCTAACTATTGGAATGACGATTGTGAATAGGAAGAGGGCGGCAAGGATTCGGAATGCAGAAGAATCAGGGGAAGTATTGGAGAAGAGGCCAGAGAAAGGGGATTACGATGTATACTTTCGCTATTCGCTGTAGAACTAAATCTTCTGTTGAATTTGAGAAACTAGGGAACGAACGAGTCAAATAGATGTTCCGTATTGTGAATTGGTTATTGTAATAGTTGCAGGTATCCACGCCCATCTCCATTCGGTTTAGTGTAACGGCAATAAGTCTAGAGGTTTAAATATTAGAAAGCAATTAGACTAAACGAGAAAGGATAATCACTCCAGAGTGAACGGTTCGACAAGGCCAGGGCCAATTCTTCCCAGGTGAGCAATTCAACCACAGATTTAATACAGTTTTCTCTCAGTAAGGGAGGAAGATACTATCATCTACATGGTCAGATTTTGTTTTCTGAGCAGGTGTAAGCCACATGAATAATCCGATTCCAGGGCAACTGTTCTATGACAGAGCGGGATCTGCAAAGCGTTGGATGTGATGTTCTTCGGACGAGTTACAGAATGCACAGAATTCTCCGACGTTAGGCCGTAAGTTGTCGCAGGGATGATTTGAATAGGTGAAGGTACATGGGCCAAGGATACTATCTCAGCCTTGTGTTTGTCATAATTAGGCAACAGATCTGCTACTAATCAATTATGTGTCATTATATTCCTTCATTTGCGGTATATCGCGCATCATGCCTTCAATTACGGTATATCGCGCATCATGAACCTGACCACTATGAAAAAAATGCACCTCGTTGTGCGGTCGAGATGAGACTCGCCGAGATAGTAGGGCGGAGGGGTCAATTGGCCAAGATTTCTGGGCAAGCGGAATACCCCACGAATTTGAGGAGACGCCAGCGGTGGAATGGAGGGGATTCTCAAATTGTGCAAAACACGAACTGCTCAAGAGAAAACCAATAGTTTGGCTTATTTTTGGAGGTGTAGTCAAGAAGGCAATCATTTTACCAGGGTAACTCGTGAAAATACTAGAGACAGTCTACAACGAAGGACACTTACGTTGCAGTTCCAAGCACTGCCCATTAGAATATGCCAGGAGTGGACATGTGCGGGGTAACCAAGAGCCGCTGAACTAGAGTGAAGAGGAGGCTGAGTCCTGAGGCTTCGGGGATCGATCGGCGTAGGGGTCTGCCAAGGCATGACCCCGAGGCCGGGGGCCAGCTTCTTGGTCAACTGTCTATATTGAGTTGAACTGAATGTTTATGACGATTGAAAGGACTTAACTTGCAGCCTTGAAATTCTAGTCCGCAATTTATGTTAACCTCGACTAATTCTCATCCCGACTAGATGGTAGTTTGTGATCCAGGGACGTGAGTGAAAATTATGATTGGACTTTTGTATCTTCGCCCCCAGACTTGAATCCACACTTCTGCGCAAGCGCGGACAATCGGGCGGTTTTTTCAGCCGCTGTCCTACCGCAATTCGCCTAGAAAAATATAAAGCCTCCTTCTTCTTGGCTTTCACTCCCTTCTATCTCTTTGAATGCTCAGTCAGCTTGATTCTCTCTTGAGTCGCAGGGCCTTCCAAGGTTGTTCAGAGAAAGCCTGGCCGCTCCCTCGGCGAACCTTTCTCAAGATATGGCTGAAAATGCCTCGCTCGGGCAGGATACCGAGTTAATTCCGATTCGCGGGAGCTACCGAAGCTCAGATCGCCTTATTCACAGCCTTTCTGAGGAAGGCCAGGCAAACGAGCACCACAGACAATCCTTAGATGAGTCCCAGTCGAAAGAAGAAGAATCGGTCCGTCAAAATCGGGGTCTTTTCGAAGGCTGGAAGTTCAGCGCATTTTTGGCTTTCGTGTCGAGCGTGGTCGTATTGTTGTTCAATATGATCTTTCTCATTTACTCAGCGGCTACCACTCGGAACGCGGGTGGAACGACTCTTATGCGAGGAGATTGTGGAAAGATGCAGCATTTGAGTACTGTAATGCACTGGGTAATCAACTTGTTGGGCACTGGTGTGCTAAGTGCCAGTAACTTCGGAATGGTATGAGATTTCACATGCTCTTTTTCGCGAAGGGAAAGCCTACTCAACTAACTGTTTCATCACTGCAGCAATGCCTGGTAGCTCCGACTAGAACAGACATCGATCGTGCTCACAAAAAGCACAGCTGGCTCGACATTGGCGTTCCCAGTGTTCGAAATCTATTCCGGGTATCTTCCAAACGGTCATATCTATGCCTATTTTTAAGTTTCTCGTCTCTTCCTTTCCATTTGTTCTACAACTCCGCCATTTACTACACAACCGCGGTACCGGCGTATGATATATTCGCTGGCTCTGGATCTCTGGGTCAGATGAATTGGTCAAACGTCCAGTTGCAAAACTTAACCCAGATTCCGGGCAAGGACAACTCTCTCAAAATTCTCCAACGTGCCGCCAAGAATGGCACACTGCACCGTTTGGAAAGTGGGAGTTGTATTGCTGCCTTTGCACAAACATACCAAACAGCATATGACAAGCTTCTGTTGGTAACGGAAGATGTTCAGGGCAATGATTCATACGCACTGGTCTTCACGAATCCTGTGTACCAGGCCACAGGTGGATACACTGCCGTAGCCATGGATCCCTACCGCTGGGTTTGTCCTCTAGATGGTGCTTCGCAGCACGCTTGCAAAAAGACCGGAATTTCCGTCGTTCAAAAATGGGCCGATAGCAAAAGTTGGACCGTGAATCAGCAACCTGGCTATTTCACGATTGACGATAAGTCGGCCGATTTTAACATCCAGTACTGTCTGGCTAAGCCAGCGAAGCAGCAATGCAGCCTGCAGTATTCGCCCCCTTCAATGATTGCGGTCATTATTTCCAATATTGTGAAGACAGCAATCCTGTTATACATATGGCTTGGGGTGACTAAAGCTCCTATTTTGACTATCGGTGATGGAATTGCATCTTTCTTGCGCCGCAATGATATCTACTCACAAGGCATGTGTTTGCCCTGTGACGGCAGCGCAACGTATATTCACCCGATCCGCCCGATATCTCCATCACTATATAATAGGGCGTTCCGTCATCCTACCGAGTACAGAGATAAACAGAGACGATGGGGTTCTAGTATCTCTACTCGTTGGGCCCTTTTTATCTTTTGGTGGGCTGCGCCCTTTTTTCCGGGTGTTTCTGTTTCTGGTTTTGCTTGACGCTGACATTTGACACAGGTGGACAATGTCTATCCTAGGTGGACTCATTGTGCTTTTTTTTGGATTGATGAGGATTGACAATATCGGGAGCGACATTTGGGCTACAAAGCTCGGAGACATCACATCGCAAACAATCATCAGCACTGGCAGCAGTCAAAGATTTGTCACCAACTCGCTCATAGCCAATTCTCCCCAACTCATCTTCTCATTCCTCTATGTGGCATATAACAGTCTTTTGACTTCGATGTGTCTTTCCGCCGAATGGAGCCGCTTCGGCAATCTGCGCAAAGGTCTCCGCGTCTCTCACAAACCCATGCTATCACAGCGAAGCAACTATTTCCTCTCGCTACCATACCGCTTTGCAGTGCCACTCATGGCAGCCTCGTCGATTCTTCACTGGCTTGTTTCACAGAGTCTGTTTGTGATTGCTATTGAAGCGTACGATTCGGCTATGAACAGAGATCCCTCGCAGGACGTTTATGCCTGTGGGTACTCGCCCATGGCCATTATTATTGCAACTTCGGTCGGTGTTATCATGTTTACGTGTCTCATTGTTCTAAGTCTCCGCCGGTTTGAATCGGCGATGCCAGTGGCGAGCAGCTGTAGCTTGGCCATTGCTGCAGCGTGTCATCCGGAATTCGACCCTAATGTGGATGAAATGGGGCCTGAACCTGTGGAAGAAATTGAGTCTGAAGACGAGGGGGAAGATATAGCCTTATTGCCTCTTCAATGGGGGTCGATTGCAGTCGATGGTCCTGTTAGGCACTGTACTTTTGCTTCTGGGGACGTATTTCCTCCCGAGGAGGGGCAAAAGTACCAGTGACATGAGAGAGCTGTCTTTGGGGATGACACTTCCCTTCATTGAATTGAGGCTTTCTGCAACAAGTATTCCGACTTTTCGGTTTTAAACGCTTGCACTCTCCTCTGGTTTGGTGGACGGATGCCAGCAAGTCTTCTCACTGGGCCAACGTTGGTGACAGCAAAAATCAACATATTGAATCGGCGCGTGGGGCCTGCGGGCGGACGGGACGGAGCCCCACAAGAGGCGGCAACGGGAGCCCATTGGAGCCCCCTGTGGTCCGCTCATTTCAACTGAGGTCCAAAACATATTAAATTCCATCTTTTGCAACGCTATAAATCAATAGCAACAAATTTATCCCTCTTATTTTGAGTGTGCTAATATTCCGGGTAAGCAGAATAGTATATGCAATAAAATATTATTATCTAGCGTTGAGGTGAAATATTAGATCGAGGAAGGTAGATGCCTATCATAGTTAGACCTCGTGTGTTCGTAATGACCTAGAGTGGGGGCGTATTGCGAATCCCAGTCGGAAGGATCAGGGTCTGAACTTGAACTTCATCACCGTTGAGATAGGAATGGTTAATCATCGTCCTCAATTTCCTAGTAAATCAAACTTCAGCACTTTTGGTCATCCAGGGTTCAACAGAGGGTGGGACCCAAAGAATCTATCATATTGTAGGGCGGTTAAATCGGCTTGTAAAAATCTTTCGTCTCACCAGTATTGTCTCTACGTAGGCCTTCGCACGTCCACTTATGCAGGACTATCGCTATTACCTGACAACCTCTAGATGGATTCTTACTTATTGCATCCCACTGTAGAAGGACGGAGACAAGCTAAAGGACAAGGTCAGACAACAGCAGCCGGTCGTCGTTAGTGAGATACGCATGTTGGGGGCCTTGAGCTCTGGGCGCTTGCATGCGGAAGTCTCCAGCTGGCTGGGGACATGACTGAGCGTTTTCAACGCCAAGAGATTATCTCTCACATTGCTAGGCCATGTTGGGGTCCTGCGGGTACTTGTCCTAGAACAGGACGAGGGAATAGTGACGGCCTAACGGGGCTTTGGCCAGGCAGCGAAGCATAAGGGTGTGGCCGAGACTTCATCGCGAGGGGATAGCATCTTGCCAGATTATCTTAAGGCTCACTCACCCTAATGTCAACCGGTAGAAGCTAGTACCAAATATTTGTGATCAAAACAACCCACCTTCGAGAAAAAATCAGTATAGGAGGGGAAGGACACGTCAGTGGTTCAAGGGCGTACAGGATATTCAGGTGTAGAATAGTGGTGTTCAGGGCATTCAGGTGAATAGGCTGAAGGGGCTGAAGAGTAGGGCGGCAAGAGGGAGTTTCCGAACAAGTCAAAAAAAACGAATGAATGCGGACATATAACAGTAAGGATTCGCTAGTGGTCACCCACCTAACTACTAACTTACCGGCGTGTGGCTTATGTTCAGAGAATAGTTGGGTGGGTGTCGCCCGGGTGAGTTTAGGGTGAGAGTCGCGCGACCGGGGGTGACAAGGGTGAGTGCTCTATAGACGGGGTGAGAATCAGGGTGATAATCATCCAAGTCGCGCGACTACTGCACTGACCCCCTCAGCTGAACAACAACAGAATGTGGTTGGATTATACCCATCCGCCTGAAACACTTCGCATCTTGGCATCTGCACATAGCCACAACTAGAAACATCATAAAACCAGTTTTAGAGCCCCGGTCTTGGGTAGGGCCGCTCAAATTATCTTGGTTCAGAGGACTACAAGAGTTTTATGGATGAGTACTGGAACAATGATCATTTATTTGGCCGCAATGCATACATTTTGACCGGTAGGAGTTTATATTGCTTCGGAAATCCAGTTTGCATCTCAGACTTGACCACATCCATGCCAGCGGCATTGAAGATCTCTTTGAACTTTGAATCCATCCTTGTGACACTGCTGTCCAACTCGTCATACATGTCATTTCCGGAGGGGTCAGTGGAGAGGTTTTCCTTTACGACCATGAGCCCGGAACCTTTCAGGCACTGACGACATTTTGCGATGTATGCGACAAGCTGTGCATCTGTGAGATGTCCCACACACCACTGGGTCCAAATCAAATCGTATTTCTTGTGCGGGCTCCAATCCTGAAGACCAACGTTGTATATATCTCCAACCACGCCCCGCTGGCCCAATTCTCCTTCCTTGAGAGCTTGAGTAAACTTTTCTACCGGCTCGACGATATCCACCACTTCACAGACATCGCTGAGGAAACCCTTCGTCACGCGACCGACGCCCGCGCCGCAGTCGACACCTAGACCAAGTTTTTGGCAATCGGGAAAAGTAGGAATCAATCGTCGGACTTTAGCCAAAAAGTTTTTGGATCCTCGCAGTTCGATCCGTGTATACCAGGGGAAGTTGCCTAGCATGGCTAGCATACCACTCGAGGTGGCAGGAACGGTGTTCCAATAATTTATCGACGTGTCATGATCAATTTTGGAATCCGCAGTCATTGATTCATTGAGCGATAGACCGTTGACTGCAGGAGGTGGATTTTGAGGCATGCTGCAGAGGAATTTAGAGATTCCGTTCAGGTTAGGTCCGAGATTTTCGCACTTGCTCCGGGGTTGATGGCAGATCATGTGATCGAAGGCCTGAGGCATCAAATTCATAGAGAGTTCAGTATACACATAATCTGCAAAGTAGCGGGGAGCTCTGTAATCGTTTTATTTGATATAGCGAATCAAAGTCTATTTTCCAATATTTGCTTCAACCACTTAGCACAATCAAAGGTGGAATCCAGAGGCTCTTTGTCCAATCCCCATACCTCAACAAATTGTAGACCCCGAAGGGAAGAGAGCCCACGGATGCCTGTATCGAGTTTGAATTCCTCGCACGGAATCATTGACAAAATGTCTTCATCGAAAACAAGACGCAAGGACCTTAGTCTTTTGAACTGCTTCAATAGTTGCACGCATCTTGAAACGTGAAGAGAAGGTAAATGCAAATCAACATCTTTGGGGTTCGATATGGCCTCTAGGTCGCTGCTGCTGAGCCAAAATAATTCCAATGATTCCACGTTGCTGCGCCCTATTCGACCAATGGAAAGTGCAAATTTGACAAAGTCATCCATATCATCGAATCTGAAATTAATTGATCGATACGCGAAGGGTAGTGCTTCTTGACGCATCCATTTATTGACGAGTAGAGCGCTGGTGTTCTGACTTAACGGAAAGTTAAATCCACTTGAATCTCCAATTGATCCCGGGAAAATGTTATCAAGAAGTTCCGATGGGTCTGTGTATTCCCACTCTTGCTTTTGAATGGCGAGTTGAAGGATATTTAGTCGAAGTTCTTGCGGAACTTTCACCAAGTTACCGCAATCAGTCTTGATGGAGTCTCTTTGAAGCTGTATTATTTGTTTGAGCTTATGATTCCTTCAAGTCATAAAGGGTCGTTAATACCTTTGCATTCGTCTTAACCTGAGACGCCTCGATTTCAGTTAATAGGAGAGGTAGGCCCAATCCAAATAAAAATTGAACGTCTAGTAAGAAAACGTAGTATCCGACATCACTACAACGCTTCAAGGTAATCGTAGCCTCTTCACTATGAAGTGACTGTGCTGGAGTTAGGCAAAGGGCAAGCTAAATCGAAGAGGGACTGAACAAATGGGACAGACGTACATGAATCTCGCCTAACCCTGGAAGCAGAAATTCACGGGCAGTGTGGCGTTCCTGTAAATTTCGCCTTCGATGTTCTTGTAGCTCTTTTTCAGTTCTATGCAACAAATTATTGGAGACAGGTGACAGATCCGAATAAAATCGCTCTTCCTTTCGAGTTTCATCGTTTGGGGGTTCAATCTGAAACCCCAGCTCTTTTTGCATTTCAAGAATCGTAACAACAGGTCTTTGTTTAGCCATTCTTGGAACGGAGGTTACCGAAGAGCTTTACAGTCATACGCAAAGAAGGGGTGTGGAGTGAGGAAAATCCGCGTGATGAACATCCTCATAATGAGGATTATCACGGACCCGTTCGGATAATAGTTATACCGAATGAACACCCGGGACCGGAACAACACACACTTTCTGAAAGCCACAATTTGCTACAAATTTTAATGCTATCGATTATTTGTTACCAACCAAGCTTGCTATATTTCTCAGGACCATTGAATAAATCGGAAAAAGTTTTCGCACCGCAAAGATGTTGTTCTGATGTTGGCTCGGAAAAGCTACTATCTTGCGACTCCGCACGGCCATGTTGTATTCATCGCCCATCAGCCTCTTTCTAAAATCTTGCAATGGCTTCACTGTATTGTGGAAAAAAACTTATGTTTAGAGGTATAAAATCATCACAAGGGCCTTGATGACGCTTTTGAAATCTAGCTATGTTCGAACCTCCTAAAAGAACAGCCACGAAGAGCCGGTCATCGTCGTGTTATCTGCTTCAATATCGAAATCTCCATCGAAGAGCAAGGCAGCCGCTTTATCTCCCATATTATCTACCGCAAGCATGAAGGCCGTTCTGCCCTGGTCATCTGAGATATCCGACGCTGCGCCTGCATCAAGCAACATCCGTGCAACCTGTGTTCTTTCGTTCAACACGGCTAGATGCAAGGCTGTTTGCCCAGAACAGTCCCGTGCATTGAGATCGGCCTTTGCCTCCAGGAGACACAAGTTGATCGATGGGTTCCCAATTGTCGCAGCAAGCATCAACGGTGTCATCCCGTACGTTTCCGCATTGACATCCGCGCCATATTCGATCAGTAACGGCACGACTGATTCAGTGCCCTGTTCGATAGCATGATACAACGGGGGGCGTTGAGAGAGCCTCGTAAGTTCACATTGGCTCCGTATCCCAACAGAAGCTGCGCGACCTGCTTGTGCCCCAGAAAAGCGGCAAGCTCAAGCGCAGTATATCCCGCAGGATCCTTCGCGTCGACATCTGCTCCTTTCTCAAGCATCATGCGCAGCCTACCGAGCTGGGCTTCTTGTGCCGCTACGCGCAAGCCACTCGTCACGGTGCTCCCTTGTCTTTTGTCTTCGGCAATTCTCTTCAAATTTAATCGCTTTCCAGAATTTTCCATTTTACTGGTCACCGAATCCAAGGTGTTCTTACTGTCGCCGGAATTTCCCAAAAGGAGACTAACCATCGTCGCATGCTCTTGGACAGCGGCACCGTACAGAGGAGTCCACCCATCTTTGTCCTGAATATTGGGGTTGGCTCCTTTTTGCAACAGTAAAGCAGCTATCTGCTCATGTCCTTGCAATGCGGCGATATGTAACGCAGTGGCGCCATTCTTGTCCGTAAGATCGGAATCAGCTCCACTTTCTAGCAGCAATCTCGCTACCGCGGGTGAGCTATCTTGCGCAGTCCAAAAGAGAGCAGTCTGTCCAGCACAATTCTTCGTATTTACCAAAGCTCCAAATTTCAGCAACAATCGAGTAATCGGCTCATGTGTAGCAGCCCAGTGAAGCGCAATGTTGCCACCCGAATCGGTCGAATTGACATTCGCTTTCTGAAACAAAAGCAACTCAACAGTGGCCACATGAGCTCCTGACACAGCAAAGTCTAATGCAGTGCTTCCATTGCTATCTTTTGCGTTGATGTTGGATCCACTTTCAAGAAGCATCTCCACCATTCCCTTGTGACCTTCTTCCGCTGCCAGAAAAAGCGCTTGGTTCTTGGTATCTATACCAGTGCTAGAACGGGCTTTCGCGAGCAATAAATCCAGCACTTCGCATTTTCCACCAACAACAGCCCAATTGATTGCGGACCACCCTTCGTGGTCCGTTATAAGCTCGGCGCCGCGCAGGAGGAGGACTTTGACCAAATCTTTGCTCCCGTTCTTAGCAGCCAACATAAGAGCTGTTTCTCCAGCAAAATTTCTTTCGTTGATGTCATTCCCATAATCAAGGAATAGCTCGACAGCCTCCCTCTGATCGTTCTGGGCTGCAACGAAAAAAGGAGACTCACCGCGGCTATTACATATGGTAGTATCAAAGCCCTCACTCAACAAAATCTTAATGATCCTTGTAAGGCCCCACCAAGCTGCGATGTGTAAAGGACCGATTTGTTTTGGGTACCGATTGAACCAGTCTTTGACCCGTGGCGAGGTCGCGTACAGAACTTGAACGGCGGACAAAAGCTTATTATTGTCATTGAGGTACCTGAGAATCAAGTTCGTATAATCGTCCTGAGAATTTCGCACATGATAACCCCAGAAATGGGCTGCGTATGGAAAGAACACGTGGTTTTCTAGTCTCATTTGAAGCGCTTTGCCGTCCGCACATGGTCCGCTGCCAAAGGCATCAAAAGAAAGGTAAACGAGGCATGCTCTCGCAATTTTTGAATCAGGATCTTCGAAAAGCCGCTCGGGGAAAGTTTTGAAGTATTCTTGCAGGGTTTGATGAACAAGCTCTACAACATCTCTCGTTTCGTCGATTTTGACCAAACCAGTGCAAATACTGATGAGAAGCTTGTCATCAACACACTGAGTTTCTTCAAAATCGGTATCATTCGCCCACACTCCCAGGGCATGGCGAAGCTCGTTTACGTGAAGGGGTCTTTGTGCATGAGTAATGAATGAAAGTGCATCCTTGGCAAGGTCACAGAGTACCGTTTCTTGTTGCTCGATTCTCTCCATGGCCTCATGATAATAGTCAAAAATGTTGTCTGGCAAACTAATCAACGTTTTCCGCACACCTGATATATGCGGTTGTTGGCATATCTTTTCGACGTGATGGTAGGCGAGTAGAAACCTGAAGCTTTTTTTTTAGCACACACCCCTCAACATTACTGCTTGCTTCCTTACATTCCCTTAGACTTAGTGATGATTTTTTCAATAACTTCCGCTTGTAAGCTAGAGTCGGTTTGAATGACAAACTTTTGAAAAATGTTTCTTTTCGAAATCTCTGAGTCAAGGAAAATCTGCAGATCAGATGGATTTGCCGCGATATGAATCCGCTGAAACCCAGAAAGCTTCACAGGAAGGGTAATGTGCGGGCGAGATGTGAACATGAAGCGAATGCTGGTATCCAGCATTTTTATGAAACGAAAGAATTCGTCTCTATTATATTCCGGACACTCATCCTAGCGAACAATCAGCATGTGCATGACAGGAACTTTTTGTACTGAGTATTTACCAGCGCATCAACGATAATGATCGTTTTGCAGAAGAAACGGCCGAGAGACTTGATAAGTGTAACCCATTCATCACCCGTTGGGTCTCTTTTTCTCATGGCCTTTTGATCGCGAAATTCTTTTACCACAGGCGGTATGTGTTCGATTTGCGCAGTTAGTTGTCGTGCAATGCTGGACAGAAGAGCAAGTTCAGAATGTGTGTTCGTGTCTTTATAATTGCAGTACATGAATGCAATAGCAGTGCCAGTTCCACGGGTCTTTTCATCAACGTCATTAATAATTATTGACCTAAAACGTGTAGTGACCAGTGTAAGATTAATACACTTCCAAGCGTAAAATCCAATTCGCGTTGATACATACGTTAATATAGTTTTTCCACTGCCGGCTTTCAGGGATTTAGCATTTAGGCAATGGCATTCAACAACCAAAGAGTACTCACGATCTCCGCAACACCAAAGAGACGAATTACCGGTGCCGTTCAACCATCGTTGGAATGTTTCGTGGCTCAGGACCCATTGACAAGTTCCATCGTGATGTTTGCCAAACTTGTCTTTCTGTGTAGCAAGGAAAGTGTGTGCTGAAAGGTCTTCCAACACATCTTTATCTGAAATGAATGAGAACGGAACGTTTTAGGTGCGCAAGTAGACAACGTACCTCCGAGCTGCTTGTACACTCGCTCAGACTGCTTTAGAGAGCGATTTGCTTCACCCACTTCGACGAAAGTGAGAGTCACAATCAGCTCTTGTTCTCGCTTGACCATCTGATGAAACTTATCGTAAGCCGAAGCGAGCTCAACATCTTCTCCAGATACGAGATTTCGCAATGCTTTGGCTATTTCCAATTGTATAAGTTCGCATTGCGGTTTCAGTGGAGGTGATTTGATTCTTTACTTACCGAAGCGTCTTTTCTTAGTGTATTTCGTGCAAATCCCACATAAGATCAGCACTGACGTTAAAACCTCAGACAAAACAAATTCAAGCTCAGGTACTGGAGGTATTTTCTCCTCAATTGTCTTCAGTCGTTTGAGATACGACTCCACATCACCAAAGAACTCAGCAACCTTGTCAAAATCCGCTGACACAGAGTTTGCAGTCTATGTATTATCAGCAATAACAAATCATAAGAGGCTGATACCTTACCTTCAATAGATGTCGCACTGCCGTGAAAATAGCCATGCTAGGCGGAAAAGACTATGCCGACAAGACTCATGTTAACTTTAGTGCCTAAAAGAAGCTTTATCGGTACGTACGTTTGACGCTCCCTGAGCAACAACCTCGCTGACCGTTTCAATGGACTTTAGGCTTCGGCTGATAAGACTTCTGAATTTGTCAGTCTTCGAGCCATCATGCCGAGTTCTTTTGAACTCGTCTTTGCGAGTGTCTATCTCGCTTAATACATCTTCAACACTGTTCGCTGCCTCAATTGAGCCGATATCAACTTGAGTTATATCCTTGTATCGGTCAATTGCAGCTCGCCAGATTGCACCAACATCAGCCATGTCATTAGCACACATTTCAAAGTAAATAACCTCGGAGCCAAGAAATACAGGATCAAAAAAATGGAGGGCTGCCTCAAATTCACCGTTCTATATCCAGATGAAAATCGAAAACAAGTTTCACGATGCTAAAGGTTTAACCCACCAGAGGCGGGGCGTACGCCTCCAGTCGAGACTATTACGGTCGTTACGCCGCCAGTCGAGGATCGCCTCGACTGGCGGCGTAACGACCGCTGCTTCACCCTCTCCGCAAACGAGGGCGAAGTCCACGCGTTATGAACAATCGAACTTCCCAGGCCCCCGTTCCGTTCACCCTCCAAACGAAAGAAGCCTTCCTGCAACACGTCCTCGAAAATCCATCTAGTCGTCGAATATCTCGACATGATACGGAAAATCTCCTCGAATGGTTGACGAACCCTTCAAAACGACCCACCTCGCAGACAGAGTTCAGTCGACGGAACTACGTTCGGAAAACTTTCACCTGGGACACTGGTTCTCGAAATCTTCTCGCAAAGCCAAAGTCTGGTGAAGACGGCCATCGCGTGGTGGTTTGCGAAGATAGAATCGCGGACATCGTGGAGTGGGTCCACGAAAGCAACGGTCATGCCGGATGGGATAGCACTTGGAAGAATATTAGCACCTCCTACTATGGGATATTGCGGTCAGATGTCATTTATCTGCTGAAGCAATGTCAGATTTGCGTCCATGACCCTTCCAAGCGTCCCAAGAGAACAAGAGCCAACATAACAGACCCATTATCAGCTCAAGAAGCCCAATCTACTTCGAAAAAAGAGGCAATTGAAGATGATGATATCAATTGGGGCTCATGGACGTCCGAGTACCCGGACCAGGCCGAAGCCAATTATGGCAAATGTTGAAGATCAGACAAGGCTGCTTACTCCCGGTACAAGGGAGGCTCTAGGTAAGCGACCTATTTCATTGCCCTTGTGTCCCATCTAAACCAAGTAGTATAGGACACATCTATTCGAACCTTACTGTCTCATTATGTACTTATGAGACCGTCGATATACCCGTGACTACATCATAGCTTTCTGAGATAGGACCGGTGGAATTTGAGTTTAATGTGTCATTTTTGCTTGCAAAAGAAGCGAACTGAAAGATCAAACTGGCTCAAGCTAATGTATCAAGAGACTTTCTACAAATATCCCTGATTTGAATCCATCTTCGTAGTAGGGTGGCAACCTTCTGGTCTTTCAAAGCAGGCGATGGGTCCTTGGAAGAACAAATCACTCCTATTACACCGGTATTTCCCTCTAAACCATGAATTGCTAACAGGCTTTCTTCCCAATAAGTTCTGACCCATTTACGGACCCATTCGCTTGCTTCTTCAGAGATACGGCCCGACGATGGTGGATTAAGAACATGCTTTTCCCAATCTTCACGCTTCATGCATTTGAAAGACGCGACAATACCCACGGCAAGGCTGGGTCCAGATGAGTTTATCTCGTAATGGCTTCGACAGAAAGTAGATTAGCTTTATGTTCCCCCAATCTAGGGCAAGAGGATTACCCATAGTATCCATGGGCACGCAGAGCCTCCTTGTCGTCGACTGTGATGTCTTGGAATATGACGTCATCTAAATATATAGCATCGCTTTCATTTCGATCTAGGAAAAAGCCATCTATGCGTGCTTGGGTCAGTACACTATTGAGCAGAAGTGCAATGTACAGTAGAGTATACTCACATTCCACAAGAAGGTAATCATTGGGGTGTGATCCGTAGCTCATGAAGACCTCATCCCCTTTCTCTAAATCACGACGTAAGTTGTCTGCCCCAATATAGGCGATCAAGAGAAAAAAAGTCCCTCACCATAACGAGCAGTGGCTCTGAATGTAGACATTTGTCCGTCAAAAACAACTTCGCAAGGCTATTTCACTGTTTTAGATCAATCTGCGAAGCGTGAAGCATGCCAAAGAGATGCTACCTACCGCATTGTCCGCATGATTAAGGTAATCGCCGAAAGGTACCAAGCCTATGGCATCATTCCAGTCATCAGGAGGCTCTTTGCCAGGACTGACATAATAAAAGCTTCGCGTATTCAGTATAAGCCAATGATATGAAAAAAGGCTCCAATCCGTGGTAGGGAACACGGATAACACAAGTTCCCAAGCATCATGAAGCCGCTTTTGCTGTTGTCCCAAGACATTTTGATACATATATTGGCTTCTTAAATCGCAACGGGGGTTGGAAAAGGTATTCCATTGTCCAGATGCGGAAGGGGGCAGGGGGATATGCTGTTTTTCGTAACCTCCCGTCCTTTCAGACCACAGAACTGGCAAGGTCTCTTGGAAGGTTTGGCGAGAAGGCCACGTATTACGCCATGCAGCCCAATGATTAAGTAAATCCGCATCTCCATGTGTCAAGAATGCGGCGAGAATCCCATGGACGGAGGCTTCGTGCGGAAAGCGATCGATAAACTCTCTCGGAACGCAGTCAATTGTAAGCATTGTTGACACAGGAACAGCAATCATGATCTCATTCGACTTTATTACGTGCAGTTCGTTAAGATTCTGCCCGAATGATGCTAAAAAGTATTCGGATGTAGCTCACCTCTATGGTTCTGGTCGCGATAATTCCCATACCGCGTCCAGGGATTCTAACAGGGGCAACCCCGTTAATTCGAATACCATTGAGCAACGCCCATTGCAAAAAACAATGGTGCTTGGCATCAGATTCTTGTTGCCTGGGCATTTTCAGATCGAACAGGATTGGTTGTTGCTGGATTGACGACAATCTCAGTTTGTCATTGAATCCACGTGATCTGAGCTCCCCCTTAGTAAGCCACACATCTACCAAGGTGTCATTGGATTGCCCGGAACTTTGCATATCGCCAATTGTCTTGATAAGTCTAGTGACTTACTGAAACAATCTTCAAGGGCACTAACGTGTAATCCAGAAACACAAATTGAGATCCGCCAAGGAAAGGCCGGACATAAAGCTTCTACATCTACGAATCACTGAGCGTGACTGATCCTCCAGACTTACTCAGACAGCTCATGCTCAATGAGGGTTCTATTGCGCGATTTTTCTGTCTGTGATGGCATTGCGGACTTCGCCGAGCTTGGTCCCAACGGGCTTCCGAGCTTACTTCTCATCGACTATGATGAACTTTCTCATGGTGATCACTACGAGTCGTCTCAGGTGCTCCTAGGCCGTGATATCGCTCCGCCTGACGATGAAGCGTTGCCATTTCAGGTGTTTTCACAAGCCGAGCATGAGTACGCTTTTTATCGTATAGATGGAGCACGGAATACGTTGCGGTCATGTCCAGCAGAACCGATTGTTGAATTGGATCATCGGATTCAACGAGCAGTTTCCTATCATCTTCAGACGACATTGATGGCTATGAGCCCGACCTCTAATTAGCTATGCTCGCTAGACTACTAGACTACGTCATTTATACTACGCTCTTTTCAATTCACAATATCAATTTTGCTGAGGTGATGTATAGGATTGGCAACGCTTATTCAGGGCTGACGGCAACTTTAAAATGAAAACTACTCATTTAAGGTGAACAAGATCAGCCCTTCTTCGAGCATAATCAGATTACCAGCTACCAATCTCTAGGATGGAACATAATTTGAGATAAAATGACACTGATCAAGCCTTCTATTGTGACCGGACGAAGACACTAGGGCCAACATAGTATTATCTCGCTCTAAAACTCTAGATCACTAAAGACAACCCGCATTATCGCACCCTCTAGCTGCAATAGATCGAGAATCGCGCAAGGTAGACTTCGTAGTACCCGGATATTCTGGCTTGGTGAAAAGGTAAGCTATAGGCTGAGGAAAGGGTGAGTGCAGAAGAACAAGTAGATACATACACAGGGCAATGATAGAACTCTTAGTAGTGATTGTAATGGATTCAGGGCGAACTGAAAGAGCTATCAATGAAAGGAAGCAACTAAGCTCTTATATATGTTGAACCATGGGGATAGAAATACAGTTTTATCCCCCGAGGCTGCAAGTACAGTGTCTATGCTTGGAACCTCGAATCGACAGCCATACTTATTATGAATTAGCGCATCTTCATTCAGAGCTCGAAAATTGCATTGTGAGAGTGTAAGGGAAGCTTGTTTCGAATATAATGAACGACTATTTATAAAGTCATCTGGAAAAGTACCGAAAATTCCAACTTCAAGTATGTGCCTGCCATTTCTCCAAACATGACTCCGTGTATTGTCTAGAATCTTACTCCATTCCAATATTCCATGTCTGCGATCGGTCGACCAAGACGCATCATTGATATCCATCCTGGTTCGAGAATATGTTAAGAGGTGCTCGTAGTATTTAAGAATGTTGGTTGCATACACTGGCGGTGCGGAGCACTGGCTTGGCAATCAGAGCACATATTTCCCTGCGAATATGGCTCGGGATGCTCGCCTCCGCAAGAAGGGTATTTGCCGCATCGTCGCACGGTTGCGGCTCCCATTTGGCTCATACACCGGCTGCAGATTTCGTAAACTCGATCGCACATCGTAAAACCTTTGTGATTGACAGGAAATTGAAGGATGTGGAATATGGTGAGGTAGAATTTGTTCTAAAGATTGCGATATTGAATGTTGAGGCTTTTCTCAAACGAACGGAAATGCCGGAGGTTTTATACTTGGTTCAGACTACCAGATCTATTGTCACCAAAAAACTTAGAGATGAGCTCAATCGGTCGTCTAGACAATTAACCGCTGATGCAAGGGTTCGAACTATCTAGGCGCTTAGCCAAATATTTTGACTATCTACTACATGTTGACGCTAATTTTAGGAAGAGGAGGTATCTAGGCGCTTGGCTGAATGTTCCATCCATTCTGTAGTGATTATGGGTCTGTAAGCGCCCTGTGATATTGAGCATGTCTCAGACTGAGTGCTTTTCCAAACAACTCAGATTTGGTGACCTAGACATTATCCTGATTGAAGCGCCGGAGCGGTCAATGTGGCGATGCTGCGGAGACACACGCATGACGAACGCCGCTCCCGCACTTCGATCGACACTTCAGTCGATATCTTGCCTCGGAAGAATTGGGGTTTGCTCCTCTTTTTAGCTGTATCCTTCGAAACACATGTTCTACATATCGCAATGAGACGATGAAACATGAGAGCTCATTCGTCGATGTCGCGGACTCCTCGTTTCGTAATCGGCATACTCGTAGTTAATATTTTTTCTTTTGATAATAATGTGGACAACAATAGTAGTTTCCTCGTTTCGCCTTATCTTTCATAAAGACTGAATGCAATTAACGAAGATATGTTTGGAAAGGTGAGATTACGTAGCCACGTACCAATAAAAACACTACTTTCAATCGAGCTGTGCGTAAAGTGGGGCTGCACATGACCCAAGAGCCTGAGAAATTCAAGTCGGATTTTGATTGATAATTCTGCTTATTGTCAAGGTGCGCACTCCATCCGCCTACGAGGACCTGAACGCGACGTTGCACTGATTTATGAGAAATTGCTAATCTCTTATCGAAATGGTCTCCTGTAGGTCGCCAATGGTTGAATCAAATGAACAGAATTCAAACTAACATCCTTTCTGACAGCGCCTAAAGATCATCGACCCATCGTCATCTCCGGTCCTTCAGGTGTCGGCAAAGGGACACTTGTTCAAAAGTTATTTGATAAACATCCTGGCACATTTGGATTTACCGTATCCCATACGACGCGAAAAGCGCGACCGGGTGAAATCGAGGGCGTCGCTTACTTCTTCGTCTCTTCCTCCGAGTTTTCTTTCCTTTGCGCCCAAGGTGCTCTCGTGGAGCACGCCTATTTCAGTGGCAATTACTATGGCACTAGTAAGCAGACCATTGACGACCAAGCAAGAAAAGGGCTAGTTGTGGTGCTAGACATCGAGATGCAGGGCGTTAGACAGATGAAGGCGAACCCCAGCATCGATGCGCGATACGTCTTTATCAAACCACCGAGCTTTGAAGCTCTTGAGGCGCGTCTCAGGGCCCGCGGAACTGAGAACGAGGAAGACATTCAGAAGAGGCTCGCCCAGGCTCAAGTCGAACTTGATTATGCCGACTCTCAGGGCAGTCATGATAAAATCATTGTCAACGATAATATTGAATCGGCGTATGAGGAGCTGGATATGTTCGTGTTTGGATCGACATAGCGAGATAACACTGTAGTTACTTTGCGATCAAACTATTAGGTTTCGACCCACCATGTCTCCTTACTTCTTGACTAACACATCGATCGATTTGCATCATCGAAAGCATGATTCTAAAGAGAGGCAAATAAGACAATTAGTATGCCAATAACAAGAAGCGCCGGTCAGAGAAGCCGAGACGTTCTCGCAAATCAGCTCTGCCAGGTATGAGTTTCCACTGAATTTGATCATAAAGCTGTACCACCAAAAAGTCTTGTGTGAATATCAATGCAATCGTAGTCAGCATCTCGACTTATAAAAATTCGCTTCCATCTATAGGCCTTCTTGCTATAATTTCCGAGTACACATTTTGGTTTCGTCACGGCCTCATGCTCTCGTGACGTTGAAACTATCTTGACCGCTCAGTTGCGTTAAGCCCTCATTTCTTCTGGAGAGCGGGAGCCTTCAATGTTATTATGTAGGAGAAGAATGGAGAGGAGATGAAATGGGTAACGGTACTGTATAGAAAACAGACGCAATATGAGTGTATTGGTGCTCGAAACTCTCATGGGACCACAAAAAGAGAAAGTGAGGCTATTTTCTCACTTCTAGAATACATACAACCTGCGGACTCAATTCAGCTCACCTTTATTAACACAGTCCCAATCAAAGATGTTGCGAGCCAATTTCGAGAAGGTGCGTGTACTCTGATGTTCGTCGACAATTCGATCTCTGGGTCAATGTCGCTTATTGTCACCTATGCCGATCTCTCCACACGCCTAGTCGTTGGAACTGGCTTATCCAACGGGTTTGAAATAGGCGTGGGATAAGTAATACCTGCGCCTGAATACAGAGATGGTGAGGATGTTCCCACAGCTGAGCGGTTTTCATTTGGGATTTTGCCTGACATCTTGTTGTGCTTCTCCTTCAGCATCCGATACTTCCACCTCATCCAACCCCCCTTCTTGCATGGTGCCAGTTGAAACATAACACGGTGGAGTTTCTGTTGACCTCTCACCTATCCCTATAGGACAGCCGCAGACAGGAGTTTGAGACGTTTGGAGGCCAGCGATGTGACCATCTTCATCGCTGTGGTCCATTGGCCTTCGGACCCTCCCGTCAAATGTAATATGGATGATTCACTTACTTTCGTGGGATCGCGAGACCCAGGAGCAAAAGTGAGTGAAGGGACTGTTGCGTTATAATTGTCACATTATCGGAGTGCACAGTCGATTTCAATGTAGGGACAACAATCGTGTGGGATGAGGGGAGATGGATTGGCACGGAGATTGTGGACTGTTTCTGTAATCCAAAGTGAGCCTTTGTTCAATTCTCAAAAGCCCAATCTCTGTGGTGTTTTGGACATTACCGCGTGGGGTGAGGTAACTCACGCGTTCGACAGTGCCGGGGTTTGAAAACGGCTAGGACCAGGCGTTGGTGCTGGCATCCGTGCAAGCGAGATTCCATTGATAATTTGTGGGTCCTATTGCTTAACTAGCAAGTGACGGAGTGATTAGCTCATGTAGATATGTACGTATCAGACACAAGCGGGCATCTGACACGTCATGATGAGGGCGCTTAGAGCGATGGGTTTATTTGATGATATTCGGTTACCTGGATTTCTCCTTACCTGAGTTTGTGTAGGAACCATGGAATCTAAGCTGAAGTTGTAGGACATGGACCGAATCGGAAATGGTTGCGTTTCTAGCACTGCCGTATTAGTTGACCAACTACCTAAAAGCAGGGACCCCACATAGTGATTTTTCAAGTGTAGATCAGAAGACCAGCGGACAGGATCCTTTGCCGGTTTCCCCCTAAACCTTGGATTTCAACTTCGAAGAGAACAAACAAAGAGAAAGCAGCACTTAATCGTGAGTCCCTGACGAGAAGTGCCGAGATTTAAGGTGAATGTGAAGCGATATAAAGGGTCATTCGGTGGAGGTCATCAGGAAGGAGCTGCGCTTGATTCTCCCTTTCAGCTGAACAGCGGTCGGCGTGACGGCCCGTGCCTCGTTGACTTGTACTTCCCCACCTCCCACTTGCTGTTGCCTGCTATGATCACGCTGCCATCAACTATACGAAAGCATGTTTATGAGAGATCTGTACCATAATTCTTCTATTCCAAATGGGCTTATATAGGTTGGTGTACATGTGTATGTCTATATGAAATAGGTGCGTGCTGTTTCCCCTGAATTGGTTATGACTTTTGCAGCCACGTCGATTGTAGTTCGACCAATCCGCTTAAGGGCTGACAGGGAACTGACAGCATGTGACCTTCGAAGTGTCGACGCGACTGCCCCTGACTTTTTCTAATCCTAAACCTTTTATTGCAGTTCCTCAACCCACGCAATCATGGGCCTTTCACAGAGCAAGCTTTTGAGCCAGGCACTCGACAAGGCTTGCCGGGACTATGAGTCTAGTGGGAAGAATGGCTTTAGTGAAACCCTTTTGGATCGTGAAGTTTGTCTTCTATAAATACGCAACCAGATATACGCTAACATGGACTAGGTCTTGGACTTGGCCCGACGATTTTGGGCCTCTATCCCTAAAAACTTTAGGAGAAAGATTGGTCGTAATATAGACGGTCGCCATCAAAGAAACCCGAAGAAATTCTTAAGGAATTCCCACGATGTCAACATTACCGTCCCTCCCGCTTTTCTAGCCAGTATAAATCGATGGCACGGTAACCCAATTTCATTCTTCACGGAAGGCAGTTTTCATCTTGGTTCAGCCGAATCACCTTTGGGCCAACTTTATATCTACCTCAAAAACCTCGAAGGGAGGATGGAGAAGGATGTACTACGCTCTCGCCTGATAAAAGTGTTATACTACCGTTTGAAAAACAGGCTATGCATTAACAACGTCCGTGCCAACGATGTGGAGATAGTGACCCAGATAACTTCCAAAGCTGGCATAATGAGCGTTGACCTAGAAGAGGTCAAGAACACTATCTCCAAATGGATCAAGGAAGGCATGAGACTCGATCTTTTATGCAAAGATATCAGCAAATCCGATTCTTCGGAAAACAAACACCTTGGTGTTTTGTTTTGCTTGCCTCATGATGCCAATGATAAATTGTGTGTCTCCTCCATTGGTATAAAAGCAAAAGCTGACCAGTTCATAGTATACATAGCTCAAGGTTCAACGGGGAATCCCGATCCAAGGAGATAATTCACCTCCAAGAACGTGGTATACTACGCGTTGAAAGAAAAGAGAGTATTGACGCTCTGGCGAGCAAAATATTTGGTGCTCTGTGGCAGAATGTTGAAAGTTCTATACAAGACATTGCATCCGTATCAGATTCAAGTAAGTAATTGGCTACCCTTCCTCGATATTAATTGTTGACTGAGCGGCCCTCTAGATTGGGCGATGCAACGTACCCAGGCCTTTCAGCTTCAGATAACAAGTGAACCAGGAAGCGATGGACTGAATGCAACAAACTCTGGCTATGTGCCATCCCCAGACGCATATTCTTCGACTCCAGAATCCATAGTCATAAATTCCTCAGTGAATCCCCCACCGAGATCCAATTTTCTGGCAGAGAATGATAGACCGAGAGAGCGAAAGCCCGGTATGACCTGCGCGCAAAATAAGGCAGATTCAACGCATACCTCAGAGATGTCCCATCATTCTTCTTCACGTGCACACGAAGCTCCACATCTTCTAGCACGGGATGCAGCACATCCAGAGTCGTCGAACTTCGGACCTGGAACACAGAATAACCGGTCCTCTCAATCGCATGATTTATACAATAGGGATTTGACGGGATCACAAAATCGTCCGAACACAAATTCTTCGGCCATACATTCAGCAGTCACCGCTTCCATCGAATCTCTGAGTTCGTCAATGAGATCAGAAGCAGAATCTAGTAATGACTTGGATGGCGAGATAAACCAAGTTCTGCGATCCATAGGAGGTGCACAGTATGCTCCCTTCCAAGATGGCCAAGTCCTGACTGGACCGGGTACCTCATATAACCTTCATGAAGGTGGACAGGAACTGATGGGAGGAGTACCACACTGCCTCCCCTTCCAAGATGGCCAAGACCTGACTGGACCCGGTATCTCATATAACCTCCACGAAGGTGGACAGGAAATGGTGGGAGGAGTACCACACTACCTCCCCTTCCAAGATGGCCAAGTCCTGACTGGACCGGGTACCTCATATAACCTTCACGAAGGTGGACAGGAAATGGTGGGAGGAGTACCACACTGCCTCCCCTTCCAAGATGGCCAAGACCTGACTGGACCCGGTATCTCATATAACCTCCACGAAGGTGGACAGGAAATGGTGGGAGGAGTACCACACTACCTCCCCTTCCAAGATGGCCAAGTCCTGACTGGACCGGGTTCCTCATATAACCTTCACGAAGGTGGACAGGAACTGATGGGAGGAGTACCACACTGTCTCCCCTTCCAAGATGGCCAAGACCTGACTGGACCCCGTACCTCATATAACCTGCACGAGGGTGGCCAAGAAATGAGGGAACTATCACACTATTTGCCAGTTCCAAACGGCCAAGCTATGTGGGGAATAGAGAGGACCATGAACCTGGATTCGACAGCAGACCAGAACCCAACATTACAAACAACTTCTATCACTGTCCCATCTATACCTGCTGGATCTGACGAAAGCCGAAATAACCACCAGTCGTCTTTCAGTTGGCCAATTTCGGCAACCTGACGATTGTTTTTCTGATGAGATGTACCTGAATGAACCATAAAAATAAATCAATCACAGTCTGAACTTAGAATATATACACTTAAGTTAAATAGGGCATATCCACGAACATCTATCTTAACCAAGAGGCGGAGGAACAATGAAAATGACAGTTGCACCTGCACTGAGCACTGGCTCATTGGTAATATAGGTGTAGAACCTCTCTTCCAATATTCCTCCGGGCGTTAGAGTGATATTATTAGATAAAATGACCAAGTAGCCTGACTTCCGAGCGTTCTCGAGTTTGGTGTCTTCCGAGAAATGGACCAAATGCCAGCGCCAGTCCTATTTACCGGTCAGTCTACCGTTCCAGGAAAAAAAATTAAAACCAATGGACTTACACGGCCGATTTGTAGATTTCCCGCAATACGAAGTTGTTCCGTGAGAAGAGAGACTTTTTCTGCGAGCAATTCGCCCCGGTATGTCTTATTTCCATTTTTTGTTTCGTGTGAGATCGACCCTTGGTCTTCCACTAAGTGACTCGGGGACGTAGCAGTTTCAGGTATCAGTTCCTTTATAGATTTGCGAATGGATTCGGCCGCAGTAGGGAGTTTATGGTGAGTCATCCTGAATGCCTAGCAAATAATTAGCTCTGTTATCACTCGAGTATTTATGTTTAGTTACCTGAAGAAAATGAATACTTGATTTGTACTGGATGAGACCCAGATATGTGGTGGTGAGGGGCAGGGAGTGAGGGCAACGATGGTTGGGCACAGCTGATTTAAGTCACATGATCTATTTTTCCGAAATTCCGATATGCGTAGACGTCAGGCGACTGGCCCACTTCCACGTCTCTTCTTTTCGCTCAGCAGCCGGTAAATGGAATCAGAAGAGCATCTGGTCTTTTATCACGGTATCATGCCTAACTAATACACCAAAGCATTCTTTGCCGTTTTCACACCCTACCATCGTCTTGAAAATGCGTATATCATGGGCTGTTGTTTGATCAAAAACATCAAGGCAAACGAGGCTTATGATGCCTGACTTACCGAATTGCTCACACAGAACCAAGAGTGCTAGCGAGGTACCACTATTATACACAAAATTATTCTCTCGGTATACCGGCGTTAATGCTCAAAAGAAATCTGGCAAAAGAGAGGGAGCTACCTCAGCGCTTAGGATAATATTATCACATCAAGTACATCGATCACGAAGAAATGAATCTGGGATAGAGCCTAGCTCATAGCTGTTTTCTGTTAATATACAGGGCAAGCGTTCCCAAGGAACCGAGGATGACTACCAGCGTCACTATTTGCCGCTCCTCGACGAACTTTTGAAAACCTTTCGTCAGGGAACGTCTTTCGTTTAGAGACTCGGTAGCTGGCGAAGTTAAGGCGATTGAATCTAGTGCGCGTAGCAGGCTACCAGCGTTTTGAAATCCTCCGTCGATCCAGCAGTTTTCGATAATTGAGCCAAGCCAGACATTTTCGGTGCTGGGAAGAAACTCTCTCCGCGGCCAAGTCGCTCGACCATCAGTTGGAAGGTTGTCTTTGAAAAGATCGATGTCGCATTTCTTGCCGGTCACAACTTCATAAATAACTGCTCCAAGAAAACCAAGGTCTATTCGAGTTGTGTATCCGTTATCATCGAGAGTATCCATATCGACATCCAAAGGGAGGAGAGATGCTTCGGAGAAATCGCAGAATTTAATTGTCATATCTGAATCGAGAAGGAAATTTCGACTGGCAATGTCTGCCACAAGCACACGTTTATCGTGGATATACTCGAGCGTGCCAGCCATTTCACGAAACCAAGACAGTTGGAGCTGTTGAGGTGGCTGGTTGGTTTCCAAGTAGGTGCGAAGATCTCCATTTGCCATGTAAGCAAGTTGGGTAGTCTCTTTTGAGAAACCAAGGCAGGTGACAATACCACCACATTGGGGATTGGATGATTGGAAACGACGATAGACATCTTGCTCACGTTGAATGACTTCGACGTTCATCTTAACCTCTACATCCGAGCTCCAACAATATCTCAGAGGCGTCTTGACGGCCAGGCCGTCACGTAGGACCACAACCGCTGAAGATCCCGATCCAAGGACTTGTTCCAGAGGAATCGAATCTCCGTAGAGATCTAAAAAGGGAGACACCATACTCTATTGTTGATAATGGAAGGTACGAGCTTTGAATCGGATTTACTAGGCTGAAACAAGGGGTAACTCCCTTTTTTAAGGTACATTCTCATAATCACGTGACCAAAGTCCAATTCTCCTTTCCAGATACCTGGTCCTGAGTATCATGCTCAGTGTGCTTAAAATCGAGACCATCATCGGTGCTTGGGACAGTTCTGTTTGCGTCTAGTCGAACTGCCCTGGCTTGTTGGAGTCAATGCATCGCATACTTTGCTACGCGCTTCGGCGGGTTTACACCACTGGATGTGGTCACGATCGGGATCGAAATGGATGCAGTTGCCTTCTGACTTTCCTTTGCAATCAACGAAGGTGACAGGGGTCTTCCAACGCTCCCAGCACATCTTGCTTTCGGTCTATTAGTTGAAATCCGAAAAAGGTGAGGACTTGAAGCTCGATATACATACATTTAGCGACACGATAGGTCTGAAATAGATTTTAACCAGTGGAAGCTTTTGTGTCTTGTCTTTGGTTCAAACATTTACTTGACGAGAATTGCGTTGATGGCGACGATAGCGACGTTTAAATACAAAATGCTGATGCTTTCTGGGCATTTGCAGTGTGTTTGTGCGCATTTAGATAATATGCAAGCCTAACGAGCTATGCGCCAAAAATAATTTACGAGCTACATTAACCTGTGGGACCATAAAATGGATCAGATAGGCTTGCGGAGCTGTTTACTATACCATTCTGGGCGAATCTATCTGGTCATTGACAGACTTGACCTACTAGAAAAACCATAAAACTTTTAAAAGACGGACTTCCACATTACGTCTCGAGATGAAAGCGGGGTTGACGCAATATTCGGGTTTGGCTTCCCCTTGTCCCCTCGTCATAAGGTGGACAAGCCCGGGACCTTAGGCTCTAAGTTTCTCATCGTGCCCTGTAGGATAGGAAATGAAAATGCAATCTACCAGTTGGGCAATTCCAGTCTGCAACTCATCACTTTCTGTCGCGTTCACAGACCTCGAACTATTCCATTTCGGTCGATTCCGTCGAGGACCAGACAAAATCGACCAAAATGGAATAGCTCGAAACCTAGCCCCTTGTGACCTCATAGCAGGGACCGGGGGACGTCTCGTAGTCTCATCATACTAACCAATTCGAGCAAATATGTCTGGTCTTGACACAAGATTGATATCTACGCTTTGAGCGCAGAATCCTAAAAGCAACAAGAATTGTTGTATATCCACCACGATATGTGCTGTATTCAATGGTATACCTATCTATATTGTGGAGACAAGAAAGAGGTCGCCATTACTGCTGCTTCATGCCAAGCTGTAACAAAGCCGAGGAAAGAAATCAAGAGCTTCGACAGTATTGTCGTGTTTGTGGAAGCTGCAATAACGGACAACAAAGCTCAAAGTCTGAAAACAATAGATGAGATGACTATTGTTCCGCGGCAAAAAGTTACGGAAACGTATTCTGTTCACTATCGATACTGAAGGGTGTACCCAATCTAGTGCCCAGGCACAATACCTTTTTTTTGTTTTCCCGACCACTGCCACAGAGCCCACATTTGTCAAGTATAAAGATCAGGGGTTCGAGAACGGCAGCACATTAATCTTCCTAAGCACTGCTTTGCCGTTAAATATCACAAGATTGAGCGAAAGTATTAGCCAAGTACCACAAGCCAAGCACTTCCATTTGCCACGCCATAAATTGACTGAATGTCCAATGTTCAAGAGTGTATGTGCAAAGCAAATAGCCCTTGAAATTTGTCACTAATACAGAGTAGATGTCATCGAGCGCCGCAAAAATGAGCACCATATCGTTATACCGGTATCTGTGCTTGATGCCTGGGGCGCGAAATACGGGCCAGATGATCTTCTGAAAATGATCTTCGATATCGAACGCGCAGTCAGAGCCATTGACGAGTCACGTTCGAGAAACAATCTGACACGGGATGAGATACCGAGGGAATTATACAACCACATCTGCAACAAGAACTTCTTACAGAATGATATAGGAAGGTTTGTCCAAGCTGCCATGCTGGTTGGTGATGATATAGATCCTATCAGATATTTTAAAGGATCAGACGCTTCGTGGGACGAAGAATCGAGGGTGAAGATGATAGGTGTCTCCCTCAACGGAGAAAAAGATCGTCATGGGCGTGATTTGATGCTGCTGCAGGTTCTATACGGGGGACTCCCGTTGAATATGGTCAAAAACGCCACTGAAGTTCTTCAAATCTTGTATTAAACTGCACATAGTACATATCAAGCTCACAGTGCTGTGGTACTGACGTGATGCTATTCTAGCAAGACAATTGCAAACTTTCCAAGAGCAAGTTCCACGTAGCCCTTTTGGGGAAAAGCCCATGCTTTCAGCAATTGAGATGTATATCATGATTCTCAGCTGATAGTAAGTATTATAATGTACTAGTCAAAATTACCGCCTTCGACGAAGGTCAGATCAGTGATATCTCAGATCCGCTTTATAGGGTTACATCCTGAGAAAGTCTATACATACACTATTTACCTAGTCCATCTTGGGTATTTGCCAGGAGAGTTATCGGCATCCCCAATCCTGAGGTTTATAGTGGTCCGTTTGTTCACTTACCTAACGGAGGGACATTCCAAAAAGGTAAGGTCAAGTTTGAAAATGAGTAGATTTTGTCCTTATAAGACGTGGTTGCTCTCAGGATGCACCTTCAGTGATAGCTATTATTACACCATAACCTACCTTCCTCTTGCCTACGAAGTCGAGAAATGCAAGAAAACCCACTTTCCCTCTTTCAAAATCTCATCAAGGTTCCGTTCAACTTGATGCAGATAGCTTTGGCTCTCAACTATCTTTTTACTGCGCAATCGGCAGCCGGGGGTGAAGCCAAGATTCAGCATATGCTCAAGCTAGGAATCAGCGAGTGGCAGGCTGCCTTCCTCCCTGGATGTGTTGGTCATGCTTCGGACTGGTGGATTGAGATACGGAGGAAACTGTTGGAAGCGGAAAGCCTACGTGCCTTCTCAGTGGAGGACTTGAAATGTCACCTTGGTTTCATTCTTTTCATGTTGCAGGGTATCTCACTCGAAGAAATACCCTCTGTGTTCATTCCATGGATTCAAGGAAAGTCGTGCACCAGGCCATTTGGAGGCAGGGCCAGCCTAGCACTTTTTTGTTCCAGCTTTTCCATTACAACTGTTCCGAACAACCAATCAGCCGATATATGGATGTTTCACCGAGGGTTTGTGATAGAGATGCATAGAGATCTCGGCAAGTCGCCTTTGTTTGATACCGGCATCAGAATAGAACACCTAGACATTCTGCTCAGGAATGTTGAAGCTGTTCTTGATTTAGAGAATGAGCGATCGGCAGCAATCCAGCCTTATTCTCTTAACCTCCGAAATTTGGTTGAACTAGAAGCATACTACGTGGCGGCGTTCCGTGCGATTGAACCAGGCGTACTCCTGAATATCAGGGAGAAGTGGAAGACGGTCTGGAACCAGTACCAATGGGACAGGAATAAGAGCTTACGGATTCTTGGACCAGTAAATTATGGTGAGATACAATGTCCATGTTTCCCCTGCGCGGTACCACCTTCTTATATTTTCAGATACAATGATCCAACAACTTGTTCAAATTCTATGGAACACTCAGCTTACAGACACACTACGTGCGATGACAAAACATATCAAAGGTCTACGGAATTCAAGGCCGGATAGAATGATCATGGGTGAGATACTCTACGTCAGGAGATTTCAAGAACGATGGAAGAGCGATCAATCTGGTTAGTTGTCCGGTATGGAATCACAAAAATACTCACTGACAAAGGTAGCAGAAGGCTCATTTTCTGTTCAAGTATCTCAGATATCCCCCAGCGTGTAAGCCTGTTAGAGCCGTGGAAGCTACAGTCAAGAACAAAATCTAGCAATAAACATATAGAAAACTGAGGAAGACCTTCACTTGGGATATTGATGTTTCCAATACATAGAATGCTATGCTAGATTTCTAGATTTCTTGAGCTTGGGGTTCGTGATTGGGTTGTAGTAGTACTAGTAAGATTGAAGGTTATCAGTCGCGAACCCGCTCAAATTTCCACATACAAGAAAATCTTGATAAAAGGTACTGGCTACATGAAGTTGTTTGTGCGTTAGCTAGCCAATTCGCTGCGTGCTTTCGAGTCTGCGCCCAGAAACCAAGACATGGCGATATTTTGCTAACAGCAGATAAATATAAAGGACCTTTCACCCATTCTTCAGCTTCAGTTTCATTAAGCCCTTGACTGAGATTACTTTGTCCCAGAGATTAATTCAACCTGATCAGCATGAAAATTTGCAAAAAAGCTACATCCAGTGACCCTTGTCTCCTCGACCGAATTGAGAATTTGCCATTGGAGCTCATAGATTTTATCATCGAAGCAAGCATCTTCTCCGAACCGAAAGGATCACACGAGGCCCTACACACGATTATGAAGCTGCATCGAGTGGAAGTGGGAACTGTTTTCAAGTCAAGGATCGAGACTGTCTTCAATAGTCGCTCGCTTCAAAACCACATTATAGCCAATTGGAAGATGTTCCCCGATTTCTCTCGAGGTGAAAAGAATCGGCTTACTGTGGACGAACACGCATCCTACGATTTGGCCTCATGGTCTATCAGAAATTGTTCAGAATGCTTTCAGTTTTTGCTTCGGCAGCACGCTATCACAGCCTCATACTTCTGTCACACAGGAGAGAGCTTCTATTGGATTGCTTGGAAGGATCATAACCTCGAACAGGGAGCTGTCATAGTAGCATCGATGAGCGATGAGCATCTTTTCCAGCCGTTTTTGATAGATCGGCTAGGTGAACATAGCAAATCCATATTCCAATCTTCCACATGGAGCGAGCCGTGGTTTAGGATCTGCTGGGACCGCGTGAAGACACAATCGCGTAGCGCACTGTCGTCACTTGGAACTCACGAAATTGGGCAGATTTGTCGTTTCGCAGATCCCGGACTTGCGCAGGAGCTGTTGGATCATGGCTTGGAATTGGGGAAAGTCCACACCGGTTACAAATCGCCTTGGATTTATGTGATGGCCCAGAAGGACCCAGAACCAATGTTTGAGTGGCTGTGGGAAAATGATTACCGCCCCCCTGAACACTTCTTGGAATCTGCGACGAGAAACTATTGCACCAAAGCTGCAGGCTGGATCATATCCCACACCGAGTACCAAGATTGGTGTCAGGCTCTCCTTTTTGCAGCTGGGTACACAAATGAAAGAAGTGTGGAATTGTTCCAAGTCCTGATTCAACAGGAACAGTTCCCGTTGAGAACGAGAGAATCTTTTGTTTGCGACATTCTTATCAGACTCGTGGATGAAGTCTGTGCGGCATCCCAGCAATACCACGAATTTTACCAAGGAGCTATCTTTCCGCAATGGCGGGATGATCCAACCGATTTCAATGACACAATCTCCAATCTACAAGAAGTCGCGGTACGTAAAATCGAAGCTGTCAACCAGCTGGTTGATGGAGTCGGGGTTGTGGGCATGAAAGTGAAAACAAGGCACGCTGGATTGCACCAGGTAATGGAGGCCCTAGAGAACCTTGACCGATGAGTTATGTTGCACTGGTAGCAGATAATACTTCAAAGTAATGATATGCTTTGCCAAGACGTGATTGGTACCATGCGGCACTTGGACAGTAATGATTCGTTTGCCTTACATATGGTGACAGACCAGCATACCGTAGCCAAGTTATAAATTAATCGGCCTTCCTTCTACCTCAGGCTCTGGAAAGCATTTCTACCTGACATTGGCAAGGATGGATAGTACAACCATTCAATCGCTTCGAGCCTGGGCTCTGCGATGGATTCGATCTAAATCCATTTTACCAGTCAGTCTTGTGTTTTGCTGGTCCACAGATGATGATTCGGGTACTCAAGCTACTACCAAACTAGTAATTCATGCCATATTTGCTGACTCACTAACAGACTTAGAACGAGGAAACACCGGTTCTCGCGATCGGTCACTCCGAAGAACTTCGACAGTAAGCGGGGATTGCATCATTCTTCCAAGCACACTTTCTTTTCCCACGATGCAATTCACATCGACAACACCACGACCAGATGATGAATTCATATCTATGCAGCCGATCTCCCCTGAGCCATACTCCTGCAATCGAACTGCGCCACTTGAAATGCCTAGACCCGTCTATGGATCTCCAAGGAGTACCTACCCACCTACATACTGATCGACGTTGCCTGCCTGGGGTGTGTGATTTGGGGATCAACATTTATTGGGACAGCCATCCAAGCAAATATCGTGTATTTAATAAACTCAAAAATAATCACAAACCAATGTGAACGGACCCTTTGAAGCCAGGGTCTAATGAATTCCGATCCCCTTCAGGCATGATCTCCCAAAGAGCCACAATCTTATTCAAAAGCCAGCTTTCCCCCGGGACTCCAACTGGAGCATTCAAAGACCAATCCGCTCCAGCTACCATGGATACTCCTCTTAGCACCCCGTCATTCCAGGCACCTGCATTAATCCATGGACGCCTGTCATTCTCACAATTGCTTCTCATACTTTGTTATACACATCTTCGTTCATGTCTACCTTTGACAGTTGGAGATTACCGACCGATCCATGATCTACTTTGTCGTCAAGATAAAGACTGGGTTCCTTGCATTGGCGGAGAAGAGCTCTCTGAGATGAAGCAAACACAATGGTGCACGACCGACCATGCAACACAAAGGGTCTGGAAGCAGATTCACAAATGGATGCTATCGCAGAATATCTTCCCTCCTGGTATATCGGCAGCAGAGCTTCGAGACCACCTGTGTTCTCTCCTTTGTCGGATTGAACAGGTATCCGCGCAAGGGCTTGATGCACTTCAGACACGGCGCGAAACATGCTCGGTACCAAGAGTACCTCTCAATAGCAAGGGAAGCTTGGTACTTCTCTGCATGAGTGTTTCGGTGGTCTCAATCCCATGCGAGATCGCCACCTTTGGCTTTATGGAGGACCCGTGCGCTATGCGATTGATGCTCAAACATCTTCAACAGTCGGCTCTATTCCCAGACGTTGTGTATATGCATCAGCTCAAATCAGCCCTTGACTCACTCGAGTTATTGTTGTGCAGTGGAGATGGCCTAATAAACTCCCTACCCCGGACCAGCACAACCGGTTACTACTACTCAGCGAGGAGTGCATACGCGACACAATTACACCGACATAGTCAGGATTCCGGATTCCAAGAATCGTATGCCATCTCGCAGTATGGACTTACGGAGCACTGCGAGGATTCCTACGGGACGCTGGTTCCCACGAAGCGCCGGAAGATGGCTACTGCAAGGGGTACAAAGGACAGAGGTCATGGGAGACGGTACTATTCTAATTAACTTGAGTCGCTAAACCTTGGTCGCGGCCCATTCTGTGGAGCCAACTTCATATTTATGCCGATCAACCAAGTCGAACTCGAGTGTGCTAGCAGTGACCCAAGTGGTGTCGTTTTTCAATGATGAATTATCTGTCCAATTGCCTGCTCCTTGATGACCCCTAGTATTAAAATCGCAACTCACTGAATCTTGATTGATTAAAAGCAGCATCCATACCGCTTAGTAGATGTGTAAATGTGGACCTCACAACCCCCAAAGAGCAGATCTGAGCTCAGTATTTGATGATGTGGGAGATGGTACAGTTGACGTGTCCGAGAGCACTTATTAGATGAGATGCTCGAACATGCGAGAAAGTCGTAACGAGGCACACAAACAGTAACCAGTGGGGTGCTCGACTTGCAACAGCGAATGAGAAACCTTTTCAACGCGCAGATATGTTTGGATACGGAGGCAGCATCACGGAGCGGCGGTGACCGACTGCTCCCAAATCAGTAAGACTTGTACTAATCTGGCTTCATGGGTTGTACGTGCCCTGGGTACGTGTAGTTGGATACATCCGAGTGCCAAAGGACCTGCCGGAAAGACGCCACTGAGGATGGAAGTCGCCTAAGAAGGAAATATGCAATGGCTCCATACAGTCGAGACTGTATCTTTCGTTGCCACGTCAATCTTGCCAGAACTGATCACATTTTCCACGAACAGACGCAGGCTATGGAGGCCACTTCCTGATTAGGAATCTACTCGCGTAGATTCCTTTCTGGGTTTAAAATGAGAAGCGACCCGCAGGTCATGCCCCATGTATCCCTTCGACATTATGTCTCAACGAATGTTTGATTTCCATGGCGACGACCAAGCCTACATCTCTTTCCTCGAGTGTCAGCTGATCAGTGCTCAATGGGCTGGTTTTATGGAATTCCCCAATACTGCGAGGGGAGAGATCTTGCAGGAGGTGTCTTCGACGAACAGCGTCCAGTTCGTGCCATACACCCCCTCAACGTCTCATGCCCGATCCAGCAACCCTGGGCAAAATGAGCTACCATGGAAGCGACAACTTGACAGCTTTATTTCCGCTCTTCCCACCGAGAAAACCTGGAGCGAGGCGAGGAAAAGAGCTGGAATCGACACCCCAATCAGAAACCAACTGGCAGTGCGACTGATGCTAGGTCACACTAACCATGCTACGTTTCGCTGGGTCCAACAAACTGCGTCGATTTCTCGAACACTTCCATCGGAGGACCAGGACCTTGTGCGAAGAGGCTACCAATATGCACAATTCATTAATCGCTGTGCGGGTGACCTCAGCTTCAAGACATCCGTGGTGTCCTTCCAGCAATTGATATTTGTCAGCTACTGCACGGTATTGATTCAATTTGGAGTAACGAAGGATACGGTAAACGATATGATGAGGCGATACATCGACCGGAACAACGATGATAGCACCCTCGAGGGCTATCGTCGTGGAGTGGTGTGGATCAATCGATGCATTGCAGCTCTTCTTGCCAATGGCTGGGGGCACAAAAGCTGGGAGATCTTCTTGCTGGGTAAGTCTTGCGGCTCCGAATGTGACTGACGCTAACCAGGGCCGGTTTAGAGAAGCGGTCGCTGGCACAATTCGCCCGCTTCGCAGCCTACGACGCGCAAAGTTATAGAACGCTGGTGCAGCGGCTACAGAAAGCCAATGTTCCGTTGCAAGAAGACGGCTGGACACCATACTCTATTCCCTGTATCGTGCAGTGTTTAGCGGGCAACAACATTGAGTACGTGGTCATCGGCACTATAGAGAATCTTCACTGACGAGCCGTGCTAGATTGTGGCGCATATGTCATATTCTTGGCTACGGGCCGCTCCAGGAATCCCCCGTGTTATCTCTGTCCCCAGGGTTCATGTATTCCTTCAAACAATTGGCTGGTGAGCCAGCCGAGCCATCGGTTGGTACCAGCCTACCACCAGCAAAGGCTCCGCTGGAGTGAAATTCATCTATGCCTGCCCCTCCGTCGTCCTCTCCCCCACGACCAAAACGTCCGCCTCGGGGCTGATCACGATATCCATGTGGAGTATGTAATAGTATCCCAGGAGAAGAGTTTCGACACCATCCCGGAGGTTGATGATTTCAGGAACGCCGGAGAGAATGTTGATGGGAATCACGAAGGATGCACGGTAGGTGGAGACCATTTTGACAATGGTCGTTCGAAACATCTTGTACTGGCGTCCCTACTCTGATCAATATGATTTCTGTGTTTTGTTTATCGTGTCTGACAAACTTGTAAGCCCATTACTTCGAGAAGAGGGCTGACCAACGGCGCCATTTTGGAGACTTCGTAAACTCGGGTTCTATGTTCATCGAGAGTATAGTCTTCCCCCCGGATCCGAGATGCAGAGACCCATTGAACCAGTGACCGTCGGAGAGACTCGGCCTCCCGCGTGAGTAGGAGAGGACCCACCATTCTCCTTGGATAGAGGTCATTGCCGGCGAGAATCAAATCATCTCCGATCGGATCATCTCCCAACTGTGCCATGGCAACGATGTTCTCTCAAGCCAGCTGGATTCGGGATCGAGACAAATATCATGGGCTGACTGAACCACGAACTAAGATTGGCTTACCCGCTCAGTGGACCATGGCTCAAAGGGCGGGCGGGGATCGCGGACGGTATGGGATCACGTGAGAGGACCTGCGTTAGAGGCCGGGTCCTTGGGTCACAATTGCTCGCCTACGCTGTGAAGTGGAACGTCCATTAAAATGATGTGAATGAAAAAGAAAGCTAAGCATGGAGGTGTGTTACCTGCATTGAGAGCTCTGGTCCTCGCCGATCTACAACATGGTTTGTCACGGGATATATGTTCTTGGTGGTACTTGTTTATTTGCCGAGCCTGTGTTGGTTGTGAGGACTGAAGTTCTGCTACGCTCGGAAGTCTGATTTTCTCGTAGTTGCAATCAAGTTCAGGGCTAGTTCGGACTAGCGTACCGCGTAAGTATGTCTTGGAAATGGTTGTATAAAGCCCTTTCCCCCCACACGGGCTGGCTAGTCTATAGAACAATTGGCGCAAGCTATATATATTCCAGGACGGAGCACGGAAGGGGGAGGGTGTCCTACACTCCCTCGCTCGAAACTTCATTGTTCATTCTCGCTTCGCATTACAGCGAGCGGCCTTCTATCTGCGCGGATATGAAGCCAAGAGGGTACCGCAATGACATCGCCTTTATCTTCGAGTTGGTCATGACCAACAGTCAGTTCTATCAGCTTGCAGAGATGCTGTTGAGCGGACTTACCGCTACGGAAATATCCCTGGTAGCGCATCTGCTCGGGATAACAGACAGTTTTCTTTACGCCAACAAATACCTAAACCCTCTCGGGGAACAGGATCCATTCATGATGTATTTTCTGCCACTTATACAGCAAGGGCATCGGGTGCTGATCCTTGGCGAGGGTCTCTTTGAGTTGATAGAGAGAATCCAATCTCCGGCTACGTACTGGAGCAATCGGAAGACGGAGATCGGTTATCTGGTGGCTCCGCCGCCGGAGATTTGGATTGTGGTTATTTCGCCCACTGAACTCCATCATGAAGCATTGGCCGAGCTCGTAACATCGAACCGCTCTTTTGACACTTTGATTCAGCCGGCGGGGAGCAAGTACATGCACAGGAATCCCGATGCGAGCATGCCAGCGATGCGATTCAAAGGTACAGGCCTGCTCCTGAGATATCGGCACCCTAAATCCGAGAGCCAATGGTCGAAATATATGTGCACTGTGGGCTCATGCTCTTTCGAGGTTGATTGGGATGATCTGTATAACGACATACACCCCAGCTCTACTCTTCCCTACATTGACGCTACAGAAGAGCCCCACACGATCCAATTCTCAAACGCCGATGCCACAATGGAGTTCAAGTCGGATATTTATAATGAAGATCGCTCGATGGTGTTATGGCAGAAAAAGTACAGCCTCGCTTCGAATTACCTTTTTACTGGAAGGGCATTAGACGAAAATGGGAGGGATATCTTAGACGAGGTGAAGTTTTCGTTTAAATTTCCATTCAGAGAATAATATACGGAATACATTCGTTGTTCGACATGCCTTTCCTCGATACATTCCTCCCATTCAGACGAAAATTAGCTGCCGTCGGTAATGTTCTAAGAGGTTGGTCATACGATTCAGTTCAAAATTGAACCAGTCGATGAGTCGTCGATCATTTGTCGCGTAGACTGGGCTCGCCACCAGGTGGTATTGGTGTATCATTTGAACCAAAGCGCTGACCGCGGTTTCCGGATACGAACGACCGAGTTCGGCTGCAAAAAGTGGATCAGAGCTCAGCAGGCGTAAATGACTCGCGTCAGAAAAATGGTGTTCGATTCTCTTGACGGTGAATTGGTGTTGAACTGCCAAGTCAAATTGATTCCTCCCCAGAGGGACGGCCAGGATGATAGAATTCTGGAGACCGGGTTCCATTGATTGAATCTCCGATTGGATATGAGCGAGGGCATGACATTTGTCGGATCCCTGGTCGCAAAGGTCGCAGCCCAAAAAAGCTTGAATGCGCATGGTCTACGCGTTGGTTGTCAGTCATGATCATGGAGGTAAGAAACCAGCAGGGGGCACTGACTGAAAGACGTTCCATCCGGAAACCCTTAGCCCACACAGGCTAGAGTTGCTAAAAGCTTTGTATTCGAAAAGTCCATGAGGGGAAAGGTAGCTATATATAGGCGGATTGTATCCATTTGGAGGCAAACAGCCACCGCTAATCCGTAGGAAACCTCGGCCCATGATATATATTTAAGCCTAAAAGGTAATCCTTATATCGATTCAGTATTATATAATATCCTTGGAGTCAATTACATGCGAAATGTGTCTATGCAGACCGCGCCACCTCGTAACTGTCGGGTAAACCCTGGGTACGAAGCTTTTGTGCCATAACCATTCGATACATCAGAGCCATCGTCAACTTCAGTGAGTTAGTGTCGGTGGTATTCATATAATGAACGTAGATTTCACGGCCCTGTGTTCTGTTGATTTGCTGGAAAAGGTGGCCAATATATTCCGCCGCAGCCCACGAGGTGGTGTCTGAGGCGTTGAAGTCTGGAAAGTGTCCAGAAATAGGTGAATAATAAAGCTTCTCCTCGAAGATTTCCAGTTTGTCCAAGATAAGGAGAATGGGCTTGTTTTTAAAAATGTCGCTGTTGACAAAGGAGTCGAAGAGCTTCATTGCTTCCCGCATCTGGTTCTGCTGACGCATTAGAACTCATCATTGAACACAGGATTTGACTTGATACGCACAGTGCAGTGGCCTTCATCTAGGCATTGATCATAAGTGGATAGTGCGACCACGAACATAAGATAATCCACGTCTTCAAGGCACCGCATCCACTTCTTTCTTTTTAAAGATTGGCCACCTAGATCCACCATGCGCCAATTGGTGTCAGACAGTGTAAAGAAGATATCGGTAGCTCCGTCCGTTGGGCTTTGAGGGAGAAGAATGCCCTGCCGCTCATGCTTAGAGAAGTCATCCAAGGACATCATCCGCATTTTCTCGAAAATGGTCGATTTGCCCGAATTATCAGGCCCTGAGGCTCGGCTTCGGTCAGCAATCCTTTCCATAAGTTGACCTAGCCCATATACTCACCGAGTAAAAGAACAGTGGTAGTCTTCCTCGCAGCCTTTCTTTCCGATTTGAGTAGACCCTCGATATGAGAGTTGTGACGTGATGCTTCATCATCCACATTGTTTGGTCCCATCCACCTCGCGACTGACTTTTTAAAGAACATAGTTTAAATCTGACAACTGTGAAAGTAGATCCAATCTCATTCACTCCCGACCGGGCAAGTGAATGTTCGATGAAGAAAAGGATGGACCTACAAGATGCCAGAATGGGTGAGCTTATACTTGTAGAAATAGAAGATTTGGACAGAGTCAATACCAAACTCTCGAACAGAGCTGTTATATCTGTCGCTATATGATATGTCCGGATGTGGTGACAGATCATTAGCCACTAGGTCAATGACGATTAGATTGCACACTCGAAAAGAATGGGATTTCGAATCACGTTACTCCATTTGACCCGCCTTTCTGGCTCGGCACAAAGGTTATGCGATATAAGATTTCTTGAGTTCACTATCCCTGAGGGCGAAGAGCCAAGGCTAAATCGAGTTAGCTCCATGGTTCTTTCTGCAACATAGTCGCGAGGCATGACAAATTACCCGATGCTGAAGCAGTCATTGCTACATAAGCCTATATTAGCCGATAACGTTACATAGATTAACAATTTCTACAGGATCCTCCTTAGCATCATTTCTATGACTATTACAAAGAAATAGTATAAGGTGCTGGGCCTGGAATTATAAAAATCTAAGCAGGCCTACTCAAAGCCAAGTATTAGCAAGGAAGATCAGAAACCCGCGATTTGACGCCAACTCCTATGATCTGAAGCAATTTTGACTGGTCCTATTAGCTGAAGAAACAAACGAGTATGATTCAGCACACTTACATCATAGTTGATGACCAGGTTCTTTTCAGGGCTCTCCCATTCATGTTCCGAATCGTGGCTTCCCAGTTTCGGTGCTCCATACCATGCAGTCCACCGCTGACCGTCCCTGACCCGGATCGCTGTAATGCTACCAGCTCTGTCCTGAACAATATGGATACCTCTCAGTGATTGGATGGTTAAAGAGACAGAAAGATTGCGACCGGCGAGTCCAGCAGAGCCTATCACTTTTCCATCATAGGCAAACATAACAAGTTCCAACATAGGCCATGAGCCGGGGTGTGGGACTGGGCGTGTTCTGAACGAGAATATCAATCTGTGGCATTGTTCGGCAGGCACAGAGTACTTGATTACAGCTGTCAGGCCGTATAATTCGGGATCGAGCGTCAGAGGCCGGGGTCGAGGTAAACTTCGAAAGGAGTCTAAGGCACTCTTCGTGTTGTTCCATGCAACCCAAAGATTGAAAGTCTTCGGTAGTCGAGATGTAGCACTTGCTTTCAAACTTTGTAATGCTCTCCGTAAATGAGGCCTAATATCGGTATCCTTGTCCGTGGCCAGCTGATAAGGAATGCCCTTGATGAGACAAAAGGCCAGGAATTGGTCCATCTTTTGAACGTCATCTATGCAAACAATTCCGGGATTCCGCTCAAGCCAAGAAGAAGCTTCTTGGATCATTGAATGCAGAGCTCCCTGAGTATCTTGCTTACCAGCCGACTCGATTCTGTCGCGAGACGGAGTTTCCGCCCAAAGCTCATGATCAATATCGTTTGTCTCACAATCGAACAGGGTCTTCGTAGCAAAAGGCCTTAGATAGACAAGGTGGGACGTGAATTGGGCCAGCCAAGAGTCTTTGAGGGGTGGACGGCCGAGAACATTCCATGCAACTTCCCAGCAGCAAGAGTGGATCATGGCATTGTTTTTTCGCGAAGGATACTTTTCAACGGGCAGAAGTTGCTCAACACATCTCTCCATTTCCATTGGTTGATGGTAGCTTTTCCAGGTGTCGCTTTCCCGAGTCGAAGGCTCGATTGGCCGCACACATACAATACACTCTATATAATAGTCAGGAGACGGATGTACGTGGAGCCCGACGGCAGCTCCCAGCGTAGGTTCAACTGGAGGCGGAGAAGCGGCATGCGGAAATGACATTGGTAGAGGAGCGGTCCGCTGATTGGCCATGACGCGAAGCGCATGTATCGATCTTGGAGGTGCTGGTTGAGCTGATTGGGACGTCATCGGGAAAGATGTTCTGTTCAATGGAACCCCAGGTCCCATACGCGGCCGAACATCTGGCTTGATGATATCGCTTTTCTCTTGCATTTAAGGAAGGGGGAGAGAGACTGGAGACTAATCGGATGATGGGGAAACTCAGGAGGAAGAGGAATTTTTGAATGGGCAACGCGCGACCTGGCAGGACGATGACTTTAGTCTCCGACCAATAAATGGCTGTGCGCAGGTTGGTAACAGTCTACGGGAGCCAATCTCATTGAGAGGGAGGATATGTACAGATATATACAAAAACAATCGATATTGGGTAAGGATTACGTGAAGTGGGGCTAATTAGTGGATTTCTGCCCCCAATAGAATCTTCGGCCCCCAAGTATTTCCAGCCTTCAATTTCGGCTCACGGTCCCGTTGTGAGCTGAGAGTCAGTAATAAGTTATTTGCCATCGTGAGAGCCAGAGGCATTGGGAACGCGATGATTAGTTCCTTCCGGAACGAACATGACATAAAAGCCGTTGATAAATCCGGACTGCCGTTGAGGGGTTCTAGGTACGGAGTTCGGCCCCTCGGAGTGCAGCTTCGCTAGCGAGAAACCTTCCGATGTAACATCAGTATAATACAAACTTCCATAGTGGTCTAGGCCGATCGATTCTGTCATAGCTGCGCTCTATTTTGCGCCGATCCTCATAAAATGCTAGCACACCCTCATACCTGTAAAGGGTTCATGGCAATGCGAGTGGTCGGATCACATTGGCGCCCCGTCGGCACTCGCTCGGCTAGAGCGTGCTTGCAAGTTGACCAATGATGGCAGGTTTGCTGCCGCCGTTGGTGATAAACATGATCAGGTTTGCAGGGTGGAACTGGTGGTCTACGCGGCTTAGATGATCACCAAGGGCTAAGTTGTGCTCGTGCGGGGCGATATGGTTTGGAACGGTTCATCTCGCTTCACCTGGCTAAAATCCGAACTGATCGCCGCCCGGAAGACTTCCCCGGCACTAGTTCAACCGCTCGGACTGTGGAGCACGTGCTCTTCTGTACATTGGTCCAGGTGGATGCGGCCCTACATTAGAAAGCCCCAAATATGTAAAATGATGTGTTTACATTAAAGCGTCTGTTCAAATCCGCGAAGGCTATAGAGGGATGTTGAATGGATCGTGAAGCTCTTAGCCGGTACAGTGCGTTTCGATATCATGAAATTGGATATCGCGGGGGATACCGGCACAGTGCATACTATTGATGCTTAAATCCCTAGTTTGGAATAAACACAAGTGCGATAAATGAGAAGCTGAGAAAAATCTGGCAGTCTGTAAGCTAAACTAGAATAATAGAAATATGGCTACAACAAATGGACACGTGGAAAAGCTAACTAAAAACGAAATAACAAAATACTGCGGTCGAGGGATCACAACCGAAACCATTGAACTTCAAAGTCCGACTAGCCAGTATGTTCCAGCATAAGATTAAAGCTCTATGTGCTCATCAAGCGGTGCGATGCCGGTCACCTCGACGTTGCGGTCTTCGCTGCTCGTCGCGCCTGCTCTGAGGGGAGGCTGATCCACGCATATTTAGTCGCCGAATTTCCCGCTCAAGTATTTTTACTTGGGCTGTTGTGTCCTTTGTCTTGACAGGGTCTGGCTTGCGTCTTTGCATGGATGAGACCGAACCAAAGGCTGGTTCACTGCGGTATCTTCTGCTACGGTGGTATTTTGGCTCGGTAGAGGCGTCGCTCTCGAAGTCACTGTCATCAGAGGACTCAAAGTGGTTTCTCGTTTTTCTTTTAGATGGATCCGAGTAACGAGCAAGCTTGCTACGATGCTTTTCGATGCGAGCTTGTTTTGGTCGAATAGAGACGTCACTCGCAGTATCTTCATCGTCATAGTCTTCATCATCCAGTCCGTACTTTTGGCGGTATGTCGTCTCGAGTTCTTCGGCCTTTTGGTATATAACTCTATCACCGTCCAAGACTGAGCCAGTCGTGATGCGGCGAATGAAAGATCGCCCCTCCAGAGTAAAAAGACCGTCTTTCCACTTGACAAGAATCCTAGTTTGCGGGTAGATTATGCCTTTCGCGGGCAGCAGCAGGCCGAGAGGATCTAGACCCTGCTCGTCATCCTCTTCAACCTTCCAACCGATGCCAACGAAGTTCTCCACGTCTTTTCGCTGATATTTCCAAAACTCTTCAGGAAGCCCGTTCCTGGTCCCGATCACTTTAGCGGTCCCGCGAGTCTTCGTTGTCAAAACGCGCTCTACTCGACTTGGATTGTAACTCTCGTGTGACCCAGCCCGAATACGATAGATTGGCGTAGACCGGCTTCCATAGCGCACGAAGATCTGAGAGCCAGTACCTTTGGGCCACCAATACATTACTTTGGCGGAGTTCAATTGACGTTGCTGTTTTATGGTTCTCGCTTCCAAAGCATCAAGCCCAGTGGGTTCATCGACATCAAATTCAATGTCTGATTCGACACTGGAATCTTCACTGGCTGAGAGCTGACGGGTCGGATCAGGCTGGTTATCGTCACTCTCAGAAGAGGAGCTAGTATCTTCCTTGTCTTTGGGATTCGGTGTTCCAATTCTTTGCTCAGCCCACACTTGACTGATATTCCAGGTCTTAGGAAGATAGTGTCGTTTATTGAAATGTCTCAGAACCTCACGGGTATTATTGAAAGCCGCCCAAAACTCCACCGGGGAGCCTTTGGCCACTGCGTTATTTGCTGCGTGCTGCCAGGTCTGGCATAGGCCATTGTAGCCAGTCTCGGGTATAGTACCAGTATCAATATCCGTAACGTCGTGCTTCTCATTGGCCCCTCGAATGTGGTGGTTAAGTCTTTGAAAGAATTCATGGCACCTTTCGTACTGAGGCTCGTTGGATGTGAAGAACTCCTCAACCATCCTTTCCGACTCTTTCGATGTCTCGCTCCGAATGACTTCCTTGACCCAGTGACTCAGTGGTTCTGGTTTGTGCTCAACCGGAGCTTCCTGATCAGATGCATCACTCAGCTCGATATCTGTTTCGTCGTTCGATTCGTGTTCACTTGCATTTGGGGCAAAGTCACCGGCACGAGTTGGACTCCTAGCAAATCTTGTCTTTCTCTCAGGAGCTTTGCCTTTCTTATGTTGAATAGACGTTTGCCCCAAACCTTGTGCTCTTGAGGATTCAGCTTGTTGGGATTCAGAGTCAGAGCTCACTTCCGTAGGTGCAGGGGTTTGGATATCACGAGCATTTCTCTGGGCCTCCAGGGCCTTTTGAGCCTTCTTTTTCTCCCTTGATTTCCTAGACATAGCCACAAAAGTGTTCCAAGCCTCTGTTGACGCCTTTTACGAGGAACAGGACTGAATTTATATAATTCAACCGCCACAGCAGGTATACGAAGGAGTGCACTTGGGCAGGCCGCTGCGAACTACAAAACAATGCTGCTGACTACAAAGCAACATTGCGGCCTAAAAACAATGCCGCAGGCTGCAAGCAATGCTGCAGACTATGAATGACGATGTAGAAGCAAGCCTAGAACTTGGGATGAAACACTAGTTCCGTAGGTAATTTCCAAACTTCTCCATCCGGAAAACATCACATGTGAACGAACACTCAGATGTGGTGCCAATAGCGTTTGACTACTACTCACCTTATGAATTGGGATGCGTCATCAATACTCCCAGGCCGAGAGCGTATTTTTCGATAGTGGGCAAAGCTTATGAATTGTGATAAGATTATATTGTAGACGGTCAAGTGTACATGCAAGTCTCCTTTGTAGAATGATACCGGCTTTCACTGGCATTCAGATGCAGTTTGTTGCAAAAATGCCATCATTTGTCCCAATACATTCGAGCACCTTAGAAACTTGTTCTGGTACCACTCAGCAACAGACACCCAGTTTGAAATGTCTTGTTGGTAAAGGTTGATAGTCATCTGTGCTTCCTCGATGATTGATTTCTGGTCTTTGATCTCGACTTCCGCTTGTCTTGCAGCCTCTTCGTAGTGAGACACTTTCTCTTCGGCCGCCATTAGTTTTTCTGTGAGACTAAAATTTTCAATTTGTATGTGGGTAACAAGGTTAAGGTCCATTTGCGCCTTTTCGCGCTGTAACTCATGAGCTTCATAATCTATCATCGAGGGGCCACTCCTTTTACCTTGTCAGGGCGTATCGCACGGAACTTCTGGCCCACCTCCCGGTGGAGTAGCTTGTAAGCTCCTACCGAGTGTTTACTCATATGCTTCTGGAAAAGATGCTCCAAAGACGGATCATCTATCTCCCATGTATAGGGGCAGTCGTCCTCTGTCTTCAATCGTACTTCGGAAGGCTCTACTTCTATCTCAAGCCTCTCAACTGATCAAAGCCTTTAGCGAATATGCTTAAAAGAAGCTTTGCGACTTACATATGTGCTGCGAGAGTCGAGTTCGGCAAGTTGACCGCCAAGAAGCTCTCTTCTTGTTGCCCAAAAGCTGAATGTTTTCGTTCATATCAGTCGGAAATCATGCGTCAATTGTACAAAGGCTCGGCTCCTTTTTAAATTGCTAGTCCCTATGCGACCAGTTTCAAGTGCCGCAGTGAAATGACGCTCAATCATTCATAAACTTCCTGGCTGATTCGCCCTAGCCTTCCAAAAAGACAGTCAGGGAAGAAGACAAAAGAAGTAAACTCCGTGTTTAGATACATTACTCAGATCCGATTTTCTGTGAGTAAAAGGCTTTCCTGTAAACCCAAACTTTTAGACCAGAGAAAAGGCTTCGACGGAACCTTCAAATTTAGATCACCCCCACTGTTCCATATCTCATGATATAATTGATCCTTGTCTTTGAAATAGGCATGCAGCACTCTTCCATCTTGAGAAGTTAGAAATTCTTCTAATTGCAGACCTACAAACCAACACTTCGCCAGTTCAATCCTCCGCAAGGAAGGCAAAGGAACATAGGATACAAACTCCAGAAACCCAGGGCTGTCAATTAGCGTCAAGCGTTCAACCTTTGCTAAAGCAGCTTCTGCAAGTTGCAGAATATTTTTGTCGTCAGCGGTCAGTTTGGAATGCATTCCATCAATTTCTAGGCCGTTGAAAACCAGTCCAGTGGGTTGAGCTGCCGCCATCCCCTTGAGTATTGCCTCAAAGTGAACAAGAAGTGAATTGTCACCGCCAAGGAAACACCTATTGGAGAACCATAGAAGCTGATCTTCCTTTGCTCCGTCAAAGGATAACTTGATAGTAGCCAGGTTGGAGAGATGCTGGAGTGATTCCGTAAATGTCTGAATATCTGTCCGCTCTTTCAAGACGATACCTTGAGATTTGGCAAGCCTTTTGAAATAGAGAAATGTTTCTTTGTAAGAAAATTGCTTTCCTCTGAGCTCCCACCGAAAATCTCGCTGATCCCTAGCATACTCCTGTGGTGTATAAATGCAAGCAGCGAAATAACCAAAGTTCTGAATCACTGTACGGATGAGTAAAAAGCCAAATAATAGACCTATGGATTCACATACAGGGATCGACCAACTCTGATGCATCATAATGAAGTACCCTCACGTATTTTGCAAAAGGAGAAGCTGCAAACCCACTGAACCTTCTCATCCCTTGATCTGAGAATTCGACTTTGAATGTACGAAAGATATCTGAGGTGCTGACGGATCTGCAGGTTTTGTTCACGAGTGAAAGCGACTTCAGGGAGAAGTAATTAAGTTCGACAACAACTAGTCTCAATAACTCAAAGGGTAGATCGGCAAAACCTACCATCTTGATATGAAGACCGCAGATTGTATGTAGGACTGATACTTCTTTGGGAGTGTATGAAGAACCGTTTGGCCTGTTCTAGAGCCATATAAATACGCGGTCTTTTATTTACAAGCCAATGAGTACCGCTCGTCAAGATTCAGATTGTTGTGGTTGAAACTAAGTGGTAAAAAGCAACCGGTTACTACCTAGTGCTCATTGTGGCAAATGCTGCGACACTGTTCTCGGTACTGCGGTCTGCTTGCCAGGAGCTTGCCAGCGTCCGAGCTCATTTAAATTCGCGATAAAAGAAATTCCATCCACTTTAGTCTTCATGACCCATGTTTGAGGATAGATTAACTAGTTTCATACCTTGTCCTTGCTCTCGAACCTAGACGTGTCCTTTAAACATTACTCTGGTTTTGATTGCACGGCTCATTGCTATATATATAAATGACGTGGACGATTTGCTCTTCATTCGTCAAAGTAGCATGCAGGGTCTCATTATGTATCAGAAGCCCAGGGTGGAAATATACGTATTCATACATTCTGTGTGCCTGCAAATACTAGTATCTCTTGGAATAATCTAAAATGAGAAGCAGAGGACCACAATGGCTAAGGCCTAGTGCATACATTTATGATAAATCCGTCCCACATTTCTGCTCGATGGTGAAGCACAAAACAAATTTTCCCGTTGATTTCAGTACTGCTTTCAAGCCTTTCTTGAGTCACGAAAAGTGAATAGTACCATCTTTTGGTCAAAAAAGTGCTATCACTAAAATCGAGCCTATGGACCACGCTATCATTGAGGCTATGGCAATATACGTCCAAAAATTCGTATTCAGTGGAGTCGCTGCATTTGTACCCTTTGAAATTCCAGTTGCTGTAGTGATTTGTGTCGGCGACCCCGCTGGATTTGTGGTAATGATGTCGTCAATCGTAGTTGGGGCAGAAGGTTCAGGTAGAATCTTTGTCACGGAAACAACAATTGGATATTTCATCAAATTGATATCCTTGCGCGTCAAAATAGACTTAGATGTTGCGGTCTCGTCTACACGACAGCAGTCGACTGGTCCTGAGGGGTATGCATAATGTGTGGCGATGCTAGTATCAAATTAGCATTATAAGACAGACCACAGAGCCGAGGTACTTACTTTTGTTGATCTTTGACTGATATCAGCTCAGTGGGGATAAAGACGAGGGGGGCTGTCACCATCTCCCCAAAGGCACTGTTATCTGAAGCCCGGGTGGCTAATGAGGAGTTGGCCCATAGAAATGCCATCTCTTCGTTCTTGTTTATCGTAAGAGCATCAGAAGGTTCCCAGTTGTACTGGTGGGATCGATTTCATATATACCTGCACTGGGGTGCTTGGTGTTTGTCTATGATCTTGACCACTTGAATGGAAGCGATTGGCAGTGCTTTCTCCAGCGTCACAGTGGTACCACACATTGAAATGATGTGACAGAAAGACGGTCTTTTAAGGGAACTACTCTATTCGAGCCTCAAAGGGTAAACCGACGAGCAATGCATGATACGCAGCGTATGAACAACTCGAAACAGTGCTGCTATATCTACACAATATTGCCAAATCATTGATAGATTATCGTTGTGGCACCCCCACATGAACCAAATCAATTGCGACTCTCAGACAGTGTCGCACTGTCGCAGCAAAACAATAATCTTGATGCAATTTTTTCTGGAGCCTGCCTTATCGATAAATGTGATTCCTAGCTTACGTCCAATTTTTTATCAACTTCTGTGAGAGAAGTTAATACTTCAGAGTTGATGGAAGTAGGCCGATGGCAATTTGGGTCTGTGCTGTAGTATATTAAGACACACGGTCCACTAACCCGAGCGGGGCTTCAAGCGCCAATCGGAGTCGGCCGGAATCCCCTACTTAGGTTCCCCAGGAGTACAGAACTTAAATAAAGCTCCGCTCGAACGATCCATCCATGCTAATGATGCACTTATGGCTCACAACAACGACTCGAAACTTGTTGGTTGAGCGTAAACATGATAAAGAAATTACTAATTAGTTAGTGCTATGTCATCGCGATGTCAGGAGCAAAAAGAAAGGGGCGGCAGGTAAATCCCTTAAAAGGCTCGGAACGGACCGGCAACTCCAGGGCAGTTATTTTTAATTTTTATACGGCCCAGCTTCCATATTTTTGAGTTTCGGGGAATACGGAACGTGAAACACCAGTTCTTTGTCTACCATGACTCAGTGCAGTGTCTAGGCACAATGGATACAAGTGAACGAAAGACAAGAAAGACTTTCCTAGATAAATCGGAGAAAATAGATTGAGCAATCTGGTGTAGGGAACATTCAGTGGCCAATATCTCAGCACTAAGTGAAAGGCGTTTCCGTGATTATTTCGGCACTCGATTCTTCCGACGAACGAACGGCAGGCCCGTGAGAACCGAATACGCCGTCTTCGCCTGTGTTTTCTTGGGGGAGTTGCTGAGTCAACTGGTCCAGAGTAGCCTGAAGGTCTTGCACAGTCTGCTCGCGCGTATGTAGGATAGACTGAAGACAATCAATCGACTCGCGCTGGCGTTGGTTTTCTGAAAGAAGATGTTCTAGTGTTCCTCTATCATCGACGGATTCAGACTTTTGCCTGCTTTTGTCTAATCGCTCTAGCCATGAATCAACGCTTGGGTACAACCCATTAAGACGAGACTCAAGCTCCCGCACTTTGTCCATTTCCAACCGAACGCTTTGAGACATGACTTGGCAAGTTTCGGTTGCATGACGTAACGAAACCTCGAGTTGGGATCTTTGATGCTGTGACCCGGAAACCGATCTTTCCAACATCATGCAATAGGCATGTAGCTTTTGATATGTCACAGAGTCGGTGTGAATCCTGAACTCTAAGCGCCCTTGGTAATACTTGGATTGCTGTTCCTGGTGCAGCAGCTTCTCTACCAAGAAAAATATGTCACATTTATATCTTGCAGTGTTTGCGTTGTCCTAACATTTCAGGCATCATTAGCTTTATGCTTCAACTTGGTCATATGCTGTCACTTGAATGTAGGATTTACTTGGAGAATAGTGGTAGCGGACGGCACTGCCTCTGAATTTTGATACTGGGCTTCATAGGGCATGTCTTGAAGAATTGGTTTGGCTTATGAAATAACAGAAATAATGCAACACGAAGACCAGTCTCCTTTATAAGTCGGTGAACCCGAACAATGCAGTAGACTATGGACTGCAAGGTTTCTACATTGAATAGGATTCAGTGTCGCAGGGCTTTGCCGGTATTGCAAATCGATTCCAGTGTCGCAACTCTATTTCGGTGTCTCGGAATGATTCACGGAAACCTTTTGGGTACAATCTAGTATGATTTTTCTATCTTGAGCAGGTACATATACGTATTTCTACAAGTTTTCTTACTTTTATTTTTATTTTGGCTTTTATTTTAATTCTAATTATTTGTCTATCATTTGTTTCAACATGTTGTGTCGGGTTCCTGCACACAAGGCCCAGCGGAAAGATGACCCGGAAACCGTGAACACTTAGGCTGCCCTATCCACACGAGCAGAACTAGTAATCGAGAAAATCAGGCAGTGAATTGTTTTCTAATTAATTGAGTTGTACCTCTTGATGAACCTAAAAAATCATATTTAGCATTACTTGGGTTCAAGTCTAGCAGATACCAATGGTTTCGTTGCCGCTCTTGAATTTGTCAATGGTGACGTTGCTGCCTGTAGATCCCACTTCCGGCATCCGCGTTTTATTGGACGAGAATTCTCAGCAACATGCGCTAAATCCAGCGAGTATCATGTACAGGGGTTGTTACTGGAATTGACACCTATGTCAACTCTTTGGCGAATCCTTCAAAACAGTCGTAAGTGGCGCCAGACCTGGACCTCTAGGTTCCCAAAGATGCTAGGCATACTTTGTCACCCCTGCTTGCATCATAGGGTGAGAAAAGAACTGTCAATAACACTCACACGCTTTTAGGAAAGGCATTGTGTCCCCTATCACCATCCTTTAATTTACCTGAGGTGTTTCCAGACCACCATCAACGAAATTTCTGCATCTACCGCCCTGGCCTCATTTACCACGAAACACGATTTTCAACATGAGTCGATCTGCTGGCCAGCGCCTCGAACCGATTTCAGAAGAGATTACTCCTGCGGATCATCAAATTCTATGCCTTGGGGGCACATCTTCCAACCTGGAGAGATTACAGTCCCGGTTACAACGTGCGAAGCGAAGATCACCAGACTTCAAGATCCAGCTGGAAGAAACAGCATATGAGATGAGCTATCTCAGAGCAGAGCTCCAGTGGCATAAAGAGACCAAGCAGATACTCTTGCAGTTCCAAGAAAGCATGTTTGATATATTTGGCGCCCTGGAAGAAGCCCTCACTCGAGCAACAGCGCGCCTGCACGACTCAGAACAAGAGTATCTGATGCTGTGGAATTCAAATTCCAGAAGTGGAACTGGAAGCTACCTTTAATTTTCAAATATGCCATGGCGTGAATAAGATCCGAAAGGTATCTCGGCCGTTGAAGGTGGGAGTTTCTATATGGTACTGCAATTGAACTGCATTATGAAGACCGAAAGTGGCCATCTTCATCCTTTTAATAAACAGTAATGTATAGGTTTATAGATCACAAATTCGTTATATGTCCCGCTCATGGTAACGACTTGCCATGTCACCAATTTCCTGCATCACCATCTGCTCCCTCTTGATAACTTCGAGCAGATACCCACTAAGCGTATTGAACTTCGATTCCAAGCTTTCCATTCCTTGGGACAAATCATTCATGCGGTGCTCCATATTTTCCAGACGGTGCTCTGCATGATCAAAACGGCTGCTGATGCCTTCGAGTTTGTTACCAAGCGCCTCTGAAAGAGCACTACACTGGCTCAGCACACTATTAACTTGCTTTACCGTGATAGGTAGTTCTTCAAGCGTGTCAGAGTCGGCCTTGGTCTCCTTGGTATCGTACGTACTAGTGGCAGACGAGGATCGTACTTCATCGGGCTGACTAGGAGGTCGTTATTTGTAGGCCAGGGACTCGTCATGTGTAAGAAAATACCTAACATCATGTGCTCTGTAGTCACATCTATCACGGTAAAATTCTGTTGACGGGACACTTGAGCGTTCCGGGTACGCCTCAGTCTCAGAGTTAATGTTTCCCATGACCACATCCTGCTGCTGAGCAAAAGCACTGAAGTCGTTGTATGAGTCAGTGTTTGCTTGTGGGTGAAACGCATTCTCATTGGTGCTGAAGTAAAAAAAGGGATCACGAGGCTCCCACAGATCGTTCGGGTTATTGAGCGCCAAAGAGGCCTCATAGGCATAATCTTGCTCAAAGTCGGACATGTTTAAGACATTTCAAGATGCAAGTTGATTCCGGGTACCAGCGCCGCATCTTATATTTCATGCTTTGCTGCTAAGCGCCGGATTTCCGAAGACAAGGATATGACCTCTAGCTGTTGGATAATGAGAGCTCCCTATTGGTTGTAATATCCGAAAAAGATATCACGAAGGGTAGGGTTGAGCCATATGCTTTAATTGGTGCTGTAATCCCTGCTTGTCTTTTGCCCCCCCTCGAATCAGTGATACTGATAGATGCTTTGACAAAAGTACAGCACACTATGATTTCTAAACTAGTAAATGAGGGTCAGGGTGAGAACAGGGTGAGAACTCTTTTCTGTAATTGACTGTCTCAGTTACTTCAAGCATGAACGGAATTATCACCCTACTCATGAAACACGCTATCGAATTAAGGAGTTGCGTTAAGATTTAAGTATCGAGCACCACGACGCATAAGGGAAGCAGACTCGAGAGAATTCTGGATTGCTTTACTACTCCCATTATGCAGAACTCGATTGATATTGGCTGGCTTGACGTTGGCACCCATGAAGACTCCACGTTTGCCGTCCAAGACCATGGTAGGCTGGGACGTGTGGTATCCGAGCTTTGCGACCAAGATAATCAATTTCCATCATTATGTGTGTTCCTGGGCGGGAAAACCAAGAGCCATGCTCTTCAACAGCTCTATCCTCTGAACAACATAAAAAGGCATCAGTCCAAAGCGCCAATCAAACTGCGCTACGATGTCGCTTCTTTGCAAAGCCGCCGGCCAGTACTACTTGCAGATGGTGATATCCTGCATACTGACAAATATTATCCCTCTAAGAGGCTGGATGCCGGCGTTGGCCATCCCGTCTCTTGGGAAAACCATTCAGCGACTATCATACTCATGGTGTTATGGTCACGGTTGATATTTGCCTTCACGGATGTGGTTTGTATCTTTATCGACGACGCTGCTTGCTTTGAAAAGGTTGTTCATTTTCTGATCAACTGTTTGCAATTTCGCTCTGCATCTTCATTTCCGTCGCTACATTTGCCAAGGGTGGTATTTATTTATGGATTGGCCGTTACCAAAGAAGAGAGAGATATGCCTGACATGGGACTACTCAACCGCAGAATCCAAGAATGCGGTTATAATGATCTATCCGGAGTGTTCTCTGGGATTACGTCTTTATACCTACATGACAGAAATATCTCTGATCTTACGGGGGTTCAGCGGATCAAGACAGCGATTACAGAACAGGTTGATGCCATTTCCTCTGTCCGACAGGAGAACCTGGACCGGCCGAATGGAACGCAATTAAACGCATTATTTCAAGCAGCGATTCGCCACACCTTAAAGAATATCGCGCACCCATTCGATTTCGTGAAAGCTACGAGGGAGGACCGCCCTGTAAATTCGTGCGCAGGGTCGCAATTAGCGCATTATCTTGAGATCGGTCACTGCGCCAAAATCCCCCTCTCCAGGTTAGCTCCCACAATTGCGTCGGCGCTTTTTATGGACCACTATGTACCTGGGATGCTCGGTTAGTCAGGCCTAAACATCCTATTGATGAAGGCTGACATCACTAGCTATGAATCCTAATATGGTATTTGGGATTCTGTATCGGTCTACTGTAATTGCAGCATATCGCCTCTTTAAAACAGCATGGCCCGATGTGTGTCCCGCAAAGGAAACTGAGTTAGTTGAAGCACATTTTACTTGCTTGTTCAAGCGATTCTCGGAGAACGCAGTCTCGTCGGCAGATTTACGCAGAGAACAACTCAAGTCCCTCAGTGGTCGATTGTCTCGCATACGGAGTAATCGTATTTGCTTGGTCTGTCTTCTGCATTCTGCGCAACATATTCTAGCTTGTGGACATACAGTGTGCGACCGCTGTGCTCAAATTTTCGGCAGCCCTGCCTCCGGATTAGAGTATCAATTCACTCTCAAGGGTTGTCTTTACTGTCTTTACCAGAGGCCATTAGTGGTAGATGTCCTTCCGCCAACTATGAGTCCTACAATCCTTGCCATCGATGGGGGTGGAGTGAGGGGAGTAATTCCGTTGGAATTCCTACTTCTCGTGCAGGAACATTTGCGTCCTTGCATGATACAAGAGGTGGTAGATCTCTCACTCGGAACGAGTTCAGGTCAGCCAAACACCCACGAAGTAGTTGTGCCATCTTCGAGTCAGAAAACCTAACAAACAATATTTCAGGAGGGCTGATTGCCTTAGGATTGTTCGCACTATCCTGGGAGGTTACAGATTGCTCGAAACGATTTGATACCTTGGCACGTCGCATTTTCCGCGAAAGACGCTCATCTGTGTTGCCTCTACTCCTTCGTCAAATATCTGGCTTTAAGTCAGTCTTTGGCGAAATGACGCGATGGATCCAATGGCTACTACATGACAGCTGCTACGATTCACGGGTCTTCGATGCCGCGCTGAAGAGTGCTTTTGGGGAGCACCGTTGTATCTTTGGTGCCTCGAGAGAAGATCCTCGGGGACCGATACGCTCAGGATCAAAGGTTGGTGTGGTAACTACGAGCATCTCCAGGGAAACGAGTACCTTTGTGATAGGAAATTTCAACGCCTCGCACGACTCAGTGGAGGAATACGGCAAGTTTAACGACTTCTTCATTCCAGCTCCCTACTAATGTGACTAGACTATCAAATAATACGCCCAGATGATACGCGGAACGAACCGACAGTGTGGAGAACGTAAGTCCGAAAAAATGCGGCCCAGTATCCAGTCATCGCTAACTGAATCTAGAGCAAGAGCAACCGCCGCCGCACCTTTGTAAGTCGATCTTATGCAGTAGGCTATATGAGTGGAACTGACCATTGGATCACAAGCTTCTTTACGCCTGCGGACCTGCATGGAATTGGTTCATTTCAGGATGGGGGACTAAAGTACAACTTCGCAGGAGAGATCGCAGCTCAGGTTTCTCGCCAAATTTGGCCCATGGCCATGGGGTCCACAAGAATGATATCATTAGGCACTGGAAAGGCACAGCCAAGTGATGAGACCCCGCATTTTCGCCATGTCTTTCGTGATAGTTTCGTACGCCGAGGATTCGATGCATGGATGTCAACCATGGAGACAGATAGCGATTGGAGGAAATGGCGAGGTCGCCTGAGGGATTCGGTCAGAAGTGACAACCACCGCCTGGACGTGTCACTAGGGAGCGCACCTCAAAACATTGACGCTGTCGGGGCTATGGAAGACTACCGCAATCTTGTCATCCTCCAAATCGGCAGCGCAAGAATGGCCCGGGATGCAGCAACTACAATGCTCATTTCCAGGTTTTTCTTTGTGGTCGATTCATTGCCAGAGGATACCGCAACACCATTCTGGTGTCGCGGATCAGTGCATTGTAAAGGATCAGCCCAGAAGGTGATCCAGGCTTTGGAAAATCTCTACCCTGATGGGCTTAGCTTTGTCTCAGACTCTGGATTGATCGACAGATTTGGGGGCCAGAACAGTCTCTGCCCTTTGTGCGGCTGCTATAACCGCTCAATCTCTTTCTTGACCCGCCACCTGGACTTTACAGTCAATTTATATTTACAAAACGCCTCCAAAAAGCGATGGAGAATTGGCGGATTCCCAGAGAGTGTGGCATCGTTTGTTTCAAGACAAGGCCTGCTGTCTTCGTTTGGCCAAGAGAATCACGGGTATCCCTGTAGAGAACCCTGCCAGAGCTGTGACGTAATCCGAAGCCCCCTCAGGGGTAGGCGACGTAGGCGCGAATCAAGAGGCTCTACAGAATTTTATCCCAGGAAGCGCGGGCCTACATAGTCTGGCGCCGGACCTGAATTTGGTTTCTGACGTATGCGAAGACAGATTAGAAAGAAATTTTGGGGTTCACATGATATACTTTCCTTCAATGTATTATAATTTTACCTGATGATACATATAAGCCTGTAGGCTCTTTTATATTTTCTGGTTACTTCCACAAATAATAATAATCGAAGCCATGGGTGGCCCTGATCCTGACAGGAACTCTCGAGTCAAATTCCAGAGGCGATCTCAGACACTGAAAGATAAAGCTCATGAACTTGCCAAGTTTTGCGATGCGAATGTCTACCTATTCGTCAATCACCAGCGAAAAACGTTTGTCTATAACTCGGTCGAAGATGGGTCGTGGCCCCCTAATGATGAGAGCCTGGTAAGTAAGATGTAGCCCAAGCGAGGTGCCATCAAGCTGAGAGTAGCAGGAACAACAGTACTCCAACCTTGAGCGAACGAACTTCAGCGAAATGGACGAGCCGCACCAACGCTCCAGGGATAACTTGTCTCGATTCACTCAATACTTTTCTATCAGAAGAGAGCTCTTTCGGTCTTTGGAGGACCTCTACAGGGATATGGGCCTCGCCAATGTTAGCGCTGATGAAGAGTCCTCAGGCGCATAATTATGTCCTTTAGATTACGTTCTCTTATGGAATAATGACAGTATAGTTGAAATTTCTTGGTAGTTGCGCCCCGTTTCTGATCGTGTGAAGAAATATATAATATCTCATTGTTGGGGAGAGAGTAGTGAGTGAAGACCGCTTGTTTTAAATTAACTTTTGCTTTTTTTACTGACATTTTGTTCTGTCCATGAAATCTTGTGCGAGCCGTTTTATATGGCGCAGCGTGCCTTAAGAAAGGGCCTTCGCTGCATGTGGTGATTCATTCATGTCAAAATTGCGAAAATGGCACCTCAATCCCCTATTATTCATTATCCTCAAACCGGTGGCTTGACGTATGAGCCCCTTGAATCCAGTTACATAAGGATGATTTTAGAAGCAGACGAGATTGCCTGGCAATACAATATTCTCGCTAGCGCAGCTCACTGGATACTTCTTGCTGGATATTTAGTGATGCCTGGAACGTTCACGTCTCTCCAGAAGTCCGACGCTGTTTACAACAATCTATCCGAAAATGAAGCAGGTGAATTGATTTTGAGCACTATCCAGAATCCTCCGCTTCTCGCGACGGCAATTGTACTGTTTGTCGCAGGCTTGGCGATCATGGGATGGCTATTCTGGGAATATCGCGGGAATTACGTCTGGCTTATCAACCGTATTTTTATGTAGGTTTCACGCTTGGATTCTACAAAACAGTCGCTAATTATATCAGGCCCACACTGTTGAATGCACTAGCGGGTTTACTCACTACGATTATTAACTTATACACTGCTCATGGCGGCGATTGGTCTATCATGGCACTCTTGACTGTGATTACATCTGGCCTTTCCGTTGCTTCCTCCCTAAGTTTGCTCTTTCTTTTTAAATTTGTGAAACTAGGGCGATTAAAACGGGAACACAATCAGATGTTCCACAACTACGATTAACCTCTTCGTGTCTAAGAATTACCGATCCTACGTGCAATGTGATTTCGGGGAAATGATCTGGAAACCGTGAGGAATAAGACATGGTTTCTCTTTTTGTGTACTCTGGGTCATAAATTTGTACTTCAGCCTCTTGAAAGGAAGTGAGAAGATGGATTAATAAAACAAATTCAGTTATCTCGCCGCTTCTTGTGGCTGAACCCCACAGTACATGATCGTATCCAGGTAATGAGGTATCAAATACCAGGTTCGACTATCTGGTTCAACTTGTTGCAAGAATGCGTGCTGTGGATTGTGAGTGTGGGCCTGAAGGAACATTGCAAAGGGGCCGAACCTCGAATAAGTAAGAATACGATGCTGAGCTAATATGCTCTACAAAGTGAATGGCATACTTCGACAGGCTACATCCAGGATTGTAGACCCCAGATTCTTGCTCAGGCCTGTTCAAGGATTTTTGCGATCCACCAAGTCGAAGCAATAGTAACCCGGCTTTTTCACGATCTAATTCCATGGACGTAGGAGCATTCTCAATCATGCTGTCGCCGATGTTTGCTAACCAAGTTAGACTTTGATATGTGGTTTGAGGATTATGATACTGACCTATTTTGATGCTTCCATCAGAACATAAAAGAATATTGTCACAGTCGACATGCCCATGGGCTATCAGGAGCCGCTCATGGATATACTCAAGACCCTTGAGGAAGCTCCGGCAGATGCTTGCTATGTCGATTTCACTTAACTGCACAGCGGGAGTTGAGCTGACTTGCGACAGATTGACTGCAAAGCCATGGTAATTATAAACCAGATGAATGGAGTTGCTATCGTAGAAAGCCTCTACCAGCCCCACCAGATTTTCGTGAAACGCAACTTGAAGTTTAGAAAAGCTAGCAAGCTTATTATCGGCGCTTTTTCTTTTGATCAAGACAGTTGAATATCCAAAGTAGTTGCCGAGGCTTAGCCATCCGCAACCTGCCTGATCGACCTTCCAATTCAAAGAATACTTCTGGGTGGGATGTCCAAGGTGGGGGAAACCATGTCTAGATGGCATTTTAGTATTAAGTTCTCGGCACAAAATGCGATGGAAAACCCACCTCTGAGGAACAAGCCTATCGTGGTTAACGTTCTTGGATTTGCAATAGAAATCATCTAGAGCGATGGCTGTTGGGAAGGGATTATTCAAATCTTCAAGTTGAGACATCCTCGTCATGGGATTGAGTAAGATGTAGGTTGTTGGCGAGGCACCGATGCCGAAGAAGCCCCGTTTTATGGCCTTGCCGTATGATACTACCCATCCGGTGAATATTCATGCATTTTCTTGGGGCGTAAACGTTTGAGTGAATTGAGGTTCACCACCTTCACCGTCTTACGTGTGATATTGGAAGCCACGGGCGGGACGTTGACAGCCAGGTTAGGTTGTGATAGGGCCGTGGCAAAAAGAAAAGCTAGTGGTTTCCCGATTTCAGACCAATTTGCTGACCCTTGGCTGGAAGGGACCTGACACAATACTGGGTAGGAAGGCACAGCCGCCGACACGAAAACAGAGTCGCGGACATGAGTCGCGGACACGGAAGCAGAGTCGCAGACTGACCAAGCATAACCAACTATCCCAACTGGATTAGATCGACCAAATGTGCTCATTCCCCACTACAACAAAAACAGACACTCACCAAAGACACATCAGCCCCATACCCGCCAAAACCAACAATTTAAGTTTGCAGGACTGTTTTGCCACACAAGCACCAGCAGTAGAAGAAAAGTAAACATGTGTCGAGGACATATAAAATCACAGTTAGTATCCGATCCAGTAGGTGAATAAATTTCTCTGTCCTCTCATCAAAATGAAATTTCTCGGCCAAAATTATCTTATGTCTACTCCGGTGGCAATCTACGGTGCAGTGCTTATTTTGACTATGGTCTCATTTGTGTTGTACAGTTTTGCAAAACGCATCTACTTATCTCTGTCAGCTTCATCGCTGTGGTCTTCTCGCATTCGACCGTTCTTACTGAGACATGTAATTTATGCACGATTATATTGGCGCTTCTTGGTATTTGGCTCTACGCCAAGGTCTCATTTGATATTGACCCTTCTTTATTTCACCGGCACTGGCATCTGCAATATTGTTCGGGTTCATTCCATCGAGGATGCTGGAAAGAGAGCTGCGCAGCTTTCGCTCCTTAATCTAATTCCGATGTTTTTTGGTGGTAATTACGAATTCGGTGCCCGGCTTCTTGGGTTATCTCTTCGTTCCTATGCGTTTCTTCACCGTTCTTTTGCGTTAGTGGTGCTTATAGAGGCTATTGTTCATTTTATCATAATTGCTCAGACAAGAGTGGTATCGTGGAAAGATGACATCCAGTTCTATGGACTCCTTGTACGCCCTCCAATCAAAGAAAGCTTGTGCAAATACTAAATGCGATACAGACAGCAAGCTTGACCTTGGCTTTAGTCGTTCTCCCAATTGTCAAGAAAAGGGTCTACGAGGCTTTCCTTGTTACCCATCTGGGGTGTGCTACAACGATGGTTTACGCACTTTGGCGGCATACCCGCGCGACTGAAGGGAAACTATGGTTGTTTCCATTGGCATATACGTGCATGTTCGCCTTTACTGGAGCTTTACAGCTCATTCGTATCATTTATCGGAATATGGTTTTGGGAAAGACCCAAGTCAGGTTGAATTTGCAGCCCCACGTAGGTGATGTTGCATTAATAACACTATCCTTACCTCGACCGTGGGTTGTGCGCGCTGGCCAACGTATTAACTTGGGTGTTCCCCACGTCGGAATCTTTTATATTTTCCAAACACATCCTTTCGCCATCAGTTGGTGGGAAAACAACCTGGAGGGACAGGCAGTTTCTATCTCAATATTGATTCGGCCTCGTTCCGGGTTCACAAAAAGGATTTTTGATCGTGTTGAGCCAAACCGAGAAACTAGAGCTTGGATTGACGGTCCCTTCGGTCCCTCCTCTGTAAATTGGAGTTTAACTGGAGCGGTTAGTGACTATGGGCATATCTTCATGGTCACTACTGGAATCGGCATAGCGGCTCAGCTGTCTTATATTAAGGAGCTTTTGGATGGCCATGACAAGGCGCAGGTCTCCACGCAAAGGGTGTCGTTAGTCTGGCAGTTAGAAAATGTGGGTGATTGGGAAAGCGTGCGTGACTTGCTGCAGGTTCTTGTCAGGCAGGATAACGGATACGTGGGGCCTCACTTCAATCTTTTCAAATTCCCATTACTAACGTTGCACAGATGCTACGTGTTTCAGTCTATGATCCTATACACACAGAATCAGAAACTGAAGTTCAGAACATCGGAAAGAATGGCCTTATTCACGTGCACCGCGGCTATGTAAACTGGGAAGAGCAGTTAGATCGTGAGACAGGGGACCAAATTGGAAATCTGTTGGTACTAGGTTGGTTTCTAGCCCTCTAAGCTAAGGCTGAAACTGATAACGACTAACTTGGAGTGAAGTTTCTGCACAGTCGCAGGTGCGGTATCAAGTCCGCAATTTGGTCAGGGCGCGAGTGAAAAAAGGAGTGGAATTATTTGAAACGGAATTTCAACCATGGAAAAAAGCCGGAGGTTTGAAAGCTTTTCTGAAGCCATGAGTTGGTATCTCTCTACTGTACCGCATAGATCATTTCGAATAACACAGAGCTCCGAGACGGAAAGCTAGCTGCCTACCTGTATCTCGAGAATGTTTCAATGATGTATCAATCAAATACTTATCACTGTGCCACTAGAGATTATTTTATGCAGTATGACATGGTGGGCTCCCGCAGGACTGAAGGCTCCCGCAGGACTAAAGACTCCCGCAGGACCGAAGGCTCCCACAGGACTAAAGACTCCCGCAGGACTAAAGACTCCCGCAGGACTAAAGACTCCCGCAGGACTAAAGACTCCCACAGGACTAAAGGCTCCCGCAGGACTGAAGGCTCCCGCAGGACTAAAGACTCCCACAGGACTAAAGGCTCCCGCAGGACTGAAGGCTCCCGCAGGACTAAAGACTCCCGCAGGACTAAAGACTCCCGCAGGACTAAAGACTCCCGCAGGACTAAAGACTCCCGCAGGACTAAAGACTCCCGCAGGACTAAAGACTCCCGCAGGACTAAAGACTCCCGCAGGACTGAAGGCTCCCGCAGGACTGAAGGCTCCCGCAGGACTAAAGACTCCCGCAGGACTAAAGACTCCCGCAGGACTAAAGACTCCCACAGGACTGAAGGCTCCCGCAGGACTAAAGGTTCCCGCAGGACTAAGGACTGAATGCGTCTTTAGGACTGAAGTCGCTATAGATTTTACATAGAAAAAAGAAGGAGATCACTCCAGCATATAAACATATTCCTCATGTGTGTAATTTCCTTAGGCTTTAACTAGCTTTTCCATCTTCCGAACTTCTAATTCGGATGCCTAAAGGCAAAGATTTAAAGTAGTGTCGTTTCAAACTCCATGCTCCGCCTGGGTTTGCAAGGCGTAGGAATTCGTCCTTTTCATTGAATCAGCAACGTTTCGGAGACATAATAAGGCTAGTAATACTCACATCTACCAGTTGCTCAACACTTGTATCTTCGTTGGTTTTTTGCACAAATGTATGAGCCAGCTTTGAAAGGGACAACGTGTTTATGCCAGAGCTTGCCTCGAGGAACGTGATTGTTCTGTCATTGAGGGACATTACAATGGACCCAATAGCTTGAAAGTCCTTCTGGAACATACTGGAGGCTTGGCTGTTCAATAAACATTCTCCAATATTTGCTTCTCTTGGGTTAGACAGGTTTTAAGTTGTGTAGAGAACACATACCGAGTTTAACTTCGCCTTGCCAGGTAAGGAGAATATTGCTGAAATCTAACAGGCCATATGATGTCCGCAAAGCCGAATGAATGAATTTCAGACCTTCCAGAATTTCTTTGCAAGTTGTTGCTATGTCTGCTTCGGTGAACTGAACAGTTCCTGCAACACAACCAAGACTGACTGCCAAGTGCTCATACTCATAGATCAAATGAACTGTGACTTCAGATTGGAAGTAATCAATCAAGGATACCAGATTCCGATGACTAGCAAATTTTAGTCCTCGAATATGCCTTGATTTGTGGGTACCACAGTCCTTGATGAGATAAACTGGGAGATTTTCCGTATCTTTCAAAGCTACCATGCCTCGTCCGGCTTGGTCAATGCTGAATACCTTATGGTACTCGTCGAGTGTGCTTTCCTTGGAAGTGGCAAGAGATTCGCCCTGTTTATCTGACTTGATGGGGATCCCCAACCGGGTTGAATGGTTCTTCCCAAATACCTTTCTCGGCCAGTTTGTTGAGCCCCCCGTGCTGTTATCTATATCGCTTGCATCGAAATCGTACTGCTCCGCGTTTGCAACTCCTCTCTGGGACCATAATCGATTGGGCAGGATGGTCTCCCGTTTGGAGCTTGAGTCCATTTGGCAATCGCTTTGTTGTAGCCCTCGGGCTTTAAAGGGAATATTTGGTGGTTGGTTGCTTGACGAACTTTCGGCTTTTGCTTTTCGCTGAGAGAATCGACAGTGAGTTCTAACGAACACAGTTCCGTGGCTCGGATCCAAATTTATGGACCGCTCCCGGCTTAGATAATACTTTTATTATTGGATATCAGCGCCTTGTTTCGTGATTCCGCGGACATCAACTCGCTGGCAGGCCCCCCTAGCCAAGTTTATTGCCACGGCCTACCGAGCGGTCCAGAGTCTCGAGGCTTGGCGCCGATCTGTGAACCCAAAACAGTGTCGCAGCACCATTTAAGACCCGATTTTGCCGCTCACTGTAGAAAAGCAAAATGGACGTCTCCAGTAATTTTCTCGGGCACCGGACCAATCACCTTGCCTCCCAAAGACTCCAATTCTACCGAGGCTGTGCTGTCATCGAATTCCAAAACTTAGAATTTGAAACAAATTCCTTACTTGGAAGCCGGATGTTGGATGAACATAACGTTGACAGAATCCTCAAAATTTTTGAAATTGAGGGTTGCGGCAATTTAGAGCCGGAACACAGAGTTGCTGCTCTCATAAGCCAGGAAACATTGTCAAAGGCGCTTTCGCTATCAAACATCGCACGCGAGTCACTTTTGGATCCAACAAACCATTTGCAGCTGTTCCTCGAAAATGACGCGCAAGTAACCTGTATATACGGGAGGCACCGCTTGAAGGCTGCTGAAGCATTCGGAGAAACAAAGTGGTTGGTGGATATATATCTGGATGGTACGTAAAAATGAGGATCTTAATCGGAATGTTTCTTAATGTGATAGCAGTCATTCCTTCAGACGCTCTTGCTCAACTTAGAGAAGAATCGATGAAAAGTCTTGAACTCACTGATGGCGAAATATATCGCACACTCAGGCTATATCAGATATCGCAGAACAAAGCACAGGAAAGAAAATGGCAAGCGAAGCTGAGATCTGATGGGCGACGCCAAGATATTCGGCGCTTGCAGCGTGATGAAATTCTTGTTGGAATACTTGACAGCCTTTTACCATTTGTGGGACTGTGGAGGCCCATAAAGTCAACGCAAATTGAAAGAATGCTTGGGCTAAAATGCCCGGAGGTAAAGTGCCAATCGCTTCCTTCTAGCTCACTTGTCCTGCTAATTGAAAAAGCTTTTATATCATTATCTGAGTCACATACATGAAAGATGGTCTCGGGTTTTTGATGGAGAAGCCGCGTCATTTGTAGACCCGATTTCTGTTCATTTGGTTGAAGGACTGATGCCTCAGACCTCTCTTAGCGATCAGCGCCGAATTGCCAGTCTTGTTGAGTCACATCAGATTTTTCCCTTAGTTACTGGAGCTGGGGATCGAGGGACTTTGCGAGACCGTCTTCTCTCAACACCTGGGAGGATCATATCATTGAATACCCTGGCTCAAGACTCACTGTTTCTTGAAGAACCGGCAAAAGCACTTCGTTGTCTCTTTCCTAATTTTACAGGAAGCCTCAATAAAGTCATGCGCCGTCAGTGGGGTCTAGTGGGAACTCAAAGAACACTGGAAATCCAGAAAACCGAGCATGTATTCGAAGCCACGCAAAGCTCCGCCAACTCTTTTTCACTCTGTATGATGCAGCTTTGGCTTTTTGCATTCCGGCACTTTATCCATCAACGGCGTCGCACAAAGAGTAACAGGCGCAATTTTGGATGGTCCACAGAGGACCACAGCTTGACAAAATTAGCAAACCTGGCTGATCGCTTGGGATTCAAATCAGATGAGATTACCACGCTGCTTCAGGAAGACATGTACCAAAACATTGCCAAAGGATTGATTGAATCTCTATGCAGAGAAGATTTCTACATTATCCAAGAGAGTCGAGTACAATTGTTGTCAAATCAGATGCGTAAATTTTTGCGAAATCTTCCAAGATATTCCGAAGAGGATCTTGAGGCAGCGGAGTTCACAACGGATGATACTGAAAAACGGGCCAAGAACAGATACAACAGCCCAGTGCATGACCAGTACGAGCATCAAAGAAAACATCTTTTTTTGGATCGAGTTCTTGGACAAGATCAGCCAGCTGCACAATATCCGACTTCCCTTGGCGTAACAAGAGAGATTCTGTGCTGCTTCTTTGGCCATGAGATCCAAACAAAGACATCGAGTCAGCCAGGCAGAGCTCCGGAGACCTCTGCGTTCCAAGATACTCTTGAACCTACGGGTGATGATAATATGACGATGGATGCTTCAGTTGCGGCAAGTCCTTCCATAAACGAGAGCCTAATCGGACAAATGGATGCGACGCTCGAGAACAGGCAATCAGCACAGATGGATACAGAAGAGCCACTGCCAGATCAGTCTTCCAGTCGGTATTCCCGAAGTCCAAATGTGCCTACCACACCAGTGGATGATCCAAGTGAGCCAGTCGAGATTGAACCTTACCCAAGTGGAACACCAGATGCTCCACCACTACTCGCCCCTGGCTTTGAAGTTCCGTCTTGTAATTGCCTAATGGAGACGAAGAACTACCTTTCTGTGCGGCGAAAGGTTCCTGAGATTCTCAAGATATGGTTTCAGTCACAACGAGAGGTGATCGTAATCTTTCTTTTTGAATCGCGGGCCTATTTCAAATTTAGCTTGGTAGGTGGAGTCAACCTGCGATTGGTGTTACAAGACCTTTCTAGGGAGCACATTTTCATAGTCATCAATGAGTTCGGTATTGAAATGCCGGACATAAACAAGACATATGAGGAGGCATTGAAAGAGCGTTTGTTACTGGTTAGCAAAAGAGATAACCCAGCTCAAGGGAAGAATGAGGTTGGAATGATCTCATTGGACAAACTGCGAGAGTATGTCTTTAAATATGATATCCATACGGGAAAGAGAAAGGCTACTTTAAACGAGGAACCCCGCAAGCGCCATGCAGGAACAACAAAAGACCCTTCGGAAGAGATCTGATGCTGTGGATATTTGTCCTGTTCTTTCATTTTTACATGCCCCTACCAATCAGATTATTTGCCTCTCAGATCTGCAGTAAGCCTCGAAATGCAAAGTCTCAGGCCATAGCTGAAGACCCTATGAATTGTCGCACTTTGCTTGAGAATGTAGTTTTGTGAAGGTATGCGAGTGAAAACAGTAAATTCAAGAGTGCAAACGTGATAACATTCCGAACTTGGGGCAACCGCCTGGACACGACTACATATTTCAGGCATTCAACAATCTATTGATTTAAGCCAAAATGTCTACTGTACAGTTAAAATTATACAGGATATAATATCAAGAGCATGAAGTCGCAATGTTCCTGTAGTATTATGAAGCGCCCGCCGGATTTGTCATCATTTTCTAAGAGGGCATCAGAATGCCTTCTTTTGATGAGCTCGTTCCTTCCTCTTGAAGCTGTATATTGATATCCTGAATTGAATGAGTGAGTGAACCTGCTTCAAATACTGACTCGATACCTACCGTAGGGTGGTCCGAAGGAAATGTGGACTGAATAAGACGTAGACCCCCGTGACGTGAGCGGCGAATGACGATGACATGGACAACCTCTAGCCCAAACCATTGTGCCAGTCTCGTAAGTGCTCGAGGCATGATCCAAGAAGGGGTATGCGGTAGCAGTAATCCTTCTATATAAATAAGGAGATTGTTTGGAAGATAATATTCTTGTTCTGGCGTAGAACAGATTTACTATACTTTAAATGTCGACGGAAGAGAGGCGAGGTATTTTTTGTCTTTTTCTTGGTTCCTCGCATTACTGCGGCTATCTTGGAACATACGGGGCCGAGGGGCCAAAATTAGGTTCAGGACCTTGTGGTACCTTGGACACTAAAACCTGTGCCGCAGTGTACCGGAAAGTGTGTCGCAGAGTGTGCCGGGAAGTGTGTCGCAGGCTTTTTGCCACACATTGTTATAACATATAAAACTATTCATAAATTTAGTAGAGGATATCGTGGCTTTTTATCTTACAGTACCTTCAGCTCCCACAGAGACGGAAAGAACAAGAAAGAAAATGCATCTTTTTTTCTGTGTCCCTCTCATTGCCCTCTACTTTTGTGCATGCCTTGGTGGTACCCTTGAGGTGATTGATTACGATGGCCAGTGTGTAATGTGGTCTGTCCACAACCATGGCTGCACGGGATATTCTGCGCCTTTTGGATTAATTGACGGAAGTGACTGTTCGCGTGAGTAAGGACTGCATACACTATATGGAGCACGGTATTAATTCCCGCTTTTCTTCTCGATTCAGACTTGAGCGAAGTTGAAGACGGAACACGCGAGAAAAAAACCGTTCTTAACGTTGATGCTTGTGGCACGGAGGACGGCGAACCAGTTGCATGGATTACGGTGAATGAAACCGGTCTCGTCACGTTCTCCAATAAAAATGGAGCTAAGACCGCATGCACCTTGAATGACGGACTTAAGGTTGGTAGCAGTTGTGATGCTACCAACTCGGCATCTTCATCTGTTTCTCATCTGTGTCCTACATCATCAATTACTAGCTCAGGGCCTTCCTCTATTCCAAATTCTGCGGGACCTACCCCCAGCCAGGAGACTATTTCTTCATCCGATTCCGTCAAAGGTTCTGGATCTTCGTCCACTTTGGGGTCTTCATCAAGCACACTATTTAGTGAGACCCCACCTCCAAGTCCATCGGGCTCGCTCGGTTGTGGTGGTCCTGTGTTGCATTAAATGGGTTTCCGGGGAACCAAGACTGCTTTCATGAACTAGTTAAGCTGGTTGGTCCTTGATGTGCTGAACTTGAACTTTTTGTTATTCCAGTCTGCTGAGATTGTTTGTTATCTTTGATATTCTTGATATTCTTTGAATTAAACTTGAAGTTTCCTTTGCTCGCGAACTCACGTATCCCAATAATACAGTATAATGTACTATTATCAGACTTGACGATCGCCCTTCTCGGGTAGACATTCTTGCCCATCTTGGGTCCTTTTTATGTCCCTCCAACTAAAAGACCTTTAGGCAGGGACCTAATCCACTCGTTGATGTCGCCTAGTATGCGACCATCTTGTGCAAATGGCGTAACACAGTGGAGCATTTAGTAATCCTCAGAAGGTGCAGTACAGATCTAGTAATCTTCTGCCACGTATTTTCATCTGCACGACACAGAAAGCTCTTGCGAGAGCTGCATGATGAGATTGAAATGTGGCTCCGTATCGCGTTCGATGTAGGTTATTATAGAAGAAACATATACACCTTATACTTTGGAAAAGCTTACACCTATAAGCGCTCATACCTTTAAGATGCGGGACTGATCTAGCATCCAATTCATATCTGAGCTTGTGCGGAACCATTATCTTTATGCGAAAGCTCTTGTGCAGAACTAGACATTGCACGAGCTTTTATGATTGATCATTCTGCAATCTTTCAGAGACACATGGCTCGTTATTGGTTTGGAAAATATAATGATAAGATAAATGCACAGCTGTCCTATAAATAACGGTATGGCTAGACATATGGTAATCAAAGTCACTTCACATCATCTCAATTTTATTTTCACAGGCTTTCTAGTATACGCTCAGCCTCTAGGCTCAGCATCTGGCAATCACCAAGTTGTATGAGCTCTTCCATAAATGCATCCTCATCAGAGGTTTGGATGTCGTCGATGTCGGTCAATACAGGCTTGCCGTAGCAGCCTTCTGGATTGGACATTGTCCTTTGAGCCCGGTCATCTTGGTACGTCTTTGTAGCCTCACACTCAGACACGCGCATTCTTTTTCGGTCGGCCAATATAGGCGTAAGACAGTCCTCAGAAATTGTTTCTATATCGTGCCTTTCATCCCAATCATTTAGAGGCACAGGTTCAGCCTGCCACTTCCTTTTTCGCTTGACACAATTCGAGCGCGGCTCCTCAATAGAGTGTGAATCAAACATGTGGCGACGAAGATGGGACAGATCTTGATACTCCTTCTTTTGACAACATGGGTGTGGGCAGAAGACAGCTGTCAAAGGGTCCAGAGAATCAAAATGCTTGTCGATGTGGTTTAAGAGAGTTGCTTTGGATATCCATTGCTGGAACCTCTCGTCTGGGGCTTTTCCTTTGTCGCCTAAGCAGAATGGGCAGAAGCCAGGGGCAACAAGTGTATAGCGAAATGTCAAAATACCACATCGAGGCTGAAGATTGTCGAGGTGGCTTCGGCAATGGTTTGACCATGCGTCTTCGTCACAGACTACCTCCGCACAGAGATAGCAAAACTGAACAAAGTTGCGTTTTACGCGTCGATGGGCACGTTTTTCATTTCTGTATCGTTGCTGGTATTGTGGTCCACCTAAAGACCTTCTTTTACACTGTAGGATATGTTTTGCTCTTCCCTGCATCGCGATACTAGTTTGATTAGCACTAGCAACTCACTTTAGATGGTTAGTCGTGCTTACTCGAACATAGATGTGGAACAGACTGGACATTGGCCGTCTTCAGGAAGCATATTTGGGTAGTAAACGACGCGCTCTCTCGATGTGCAGAGCGCAACCATGTCCCGTAGGCACTGTTGACCAATGTTGCTATCCAGCGTTGTTTTCGTAAATAGGAAATCTCTGAGGCGGGCTCGTTCCGGTAGGTACTTTTTGTATATGTCGAATACTGGTGTTTTATCCCGCTCTGAGAAATCATTGCCGGAAACATATTCTTCGTACGCAGAATCCCACCACCTTTGAACAAAGTCTTTCTTCCAAGCCAGCAAGAGCTTCGCTTTCTTGTTATAGAGCTGCGTACGTTCAATGGCAAGTTGTTCATGAAGCCTAGGTTTTCCAGCAATCCTAGAGGTCAATGACGCAATGTTCTCGTTTATCCTCTTGATATCATCCCTCTCTCTAAATGCAGTGATAGCAGCCGCATCGAGTTGCTGGGGAGCGTTAGGGTCTCGGTGGTGAGCCATGCTTTGCTCCATATCCCGGCATTCGTAGTCGGGCTCTAAGTCGTAAAATAACGCCTGGATATCCAGCGACTTAACAGAGGATTGGTATTTGATATAGGTATCATGGTTTTGATGGTCAAGCGCTTGGCCCCGTGTCGCCTCGGATGCCTTTGCTAGACGAGTTTAGTCAGAGTTCTATCACTGACAATGAAGGAATGCTCACGGTCAATGCGGTTCGCTACACCACCACGAATCCCATGCACGCGTAATACATCTCTGAAGCACTCCCGACGAGCCAGACTCGTAAAGTTGTGTCGCAATGAAGAGAACGTCAATGCTCCATTTTGTTTGGGTCCTTCCGGCGTAACCATTCGAAAAAAAGGAGTATCTCTCACACTCTCCTCCCACTTGAGCGTATATGATTCTCTACCCTTGGGGGGCTTTACATTGAGAACCTCCGCTACAGTACTGAGGCCTTTGAAAGCACCGTCAGCTATGCCATGCACTATCACCCAAAAAACAAAATTCATCCCAAGAACTGGATGTTCTCTGAACCAGTTCCTAGGCCTTGTGTGCTCTGAATTAGCTCTTCGGGGTTGACTATAGTGTAGATATGGCTGCGGTCTTACAAAATTGTATCGTCGCGACAACGCCATCCTTTCAGAAACTCTGGATCGATTGTTACCCAACGTTTGAGAGAACCAGTTTGAGGGCTCCATTTGACATTCAATGTGATATGCTGTTATCATTAGCATAATATTCGATGGCATAGGCCAAACACAAACCCTGTAGTATAAACATTCGTTGGTGTTGCGATAAGCACTTGACTCAACCACAGCACCCGCCCTAGCACCAGATCCAGAAAACATTGCGAGAGCACTTCCAGTCTGGACACGTGCCCTCTCGTGTCTGTAATCGTGCCAATCGTTGCCAAAAAGACCGCGAAGAAGATATTCTATATCCTTAGCTGTGACTGTGGAGCGTTCTCGCGGCTTCGTCGGTAGATTGTACTTGGCTGTCAAATCTGTCCTAATGAACTTCAAAACATTAGAATAATTCATAGAAAGCCAGTGCATAGGTCTTACATTCAGGACATCATCCTTGATTTCACGAGGAAGTGAGCGAGAGGTTTCTCGCTCCCATCTCGAAGTGAAGCTGATAAGATTTAGACAAGCAGTCTTCTGTGAAGGAAGGTTTTTTCTTGTTGCAACATAATCCTCCGCAAAAGATTTCAAGATTTGCGGAGTTGGGTCTGGTTCATCTTTGGAAAAGTTGGCATCGGCCGCTTCGTTTCGAGAAAGTCTCCATCTGCTAAATATTAATGTGCGCCTATCAACTACAATCAGACAACTTACAGAGCCCAGTTCAAGACAGATTTATCATATTTGTTGACTGTAGCAGGTGCTAGCGCTTTATGGCATATAACGTTGTCCTCTCTTTCTCGCTCGGTCTGATACTCGTGAGTGAAGCCACGTGATGCGGCAAGTGCAACACGCTCATCGAGAGCTCTCTGGAGATCTTTAGGGAACATAGTCTTGAACGCTAGGGGAAAGAAAAATATAATGACAAGCCGGAATCAATGCCTCGGTCATGTATTTATCACCTTGGGTACTTATGCGGAGGGACATCCATCATCTTGTCACCAGTTCTCACCCCTTTCTCACCCCGTTCTCACCTCTATCACCTCGGTCTCCAGAATTCTCACCCATATCACCCGCACTCACCCTAAGACAATTTTTTTAATTACTTTAATTTTCAGGGCGCCTCGAGAATTGGCCGCGTAGAGAAATGGGCTTAAGTACGGCTGAGCGGACGGGAAGCCCTGTTCTCCACACCTTGTGGTCGTATGTGCTTTAATCCCAGCCGCAGCTCGTCATGTAGATTATTTCTCCCGTGCTGTTAGGAGAAAAATGGACCTCAGTTCCACTGTTATTCTGTAGATCCTCCACATCCGAGACAATACCACGATTGTTTAGCCAGTACTATACGGAAAACTTGTACGTCTAATCTCTTCTTCTAGTTCTTGGATTTTCACTTTTTCCTCTACTTTGATAGTGAAAACCCTGGGCCGCCCCGGAGAAATCCCGCGCCGGGCTCAATTGGCTCTAGCGCGGAAATTCTCAACAAATATAATCGGCCCGCGCCAACATCTCCTTCTCCCTTTTCTTTTCTCTCCATCTACAGTTTACATTTCGATGTAAATCAATTGGGGCTCCACATTGTGGCTTGCTGAAGGTTACTCTATGGCTTCGGCCTAAGTGGGTTTCTTTCCGTTCCCGGCCCTGGAGAGGAACGTCGCTGCTTTTTCCTAAACGCTCTCTACGCTGGTTATTCCCCCTCCGGGAATGCCTAGGGTGTTGTCCGGTGAGAAGGCGTACACTATTTTCTACATACATGTGATATTCTAGCGAATATCTACAACACAATCAATGCACTCTATTTGCAATATTAATTTTCCCTGATGCTTCCTCTTGAAACATAAAGGTCACTGAATTCAACCGGTGGACAGGATTCAAGCCAGGGCCCCCCCTGATACTCCATAGACCTTAGACCAAGAATTCGAATTCATTTAGTCGGAAACCCACAGACAAGTTGGTGTTCCCATGGGCCTAGACCTCATCATACTAACGCATGTGTCATAGTCAATAACTTCGCCATATCTACCCCGTTTTCCGAACAGCTCATTATTGACCTCCGATGTCGTCTACTTCCGATTTTACATTGCTTCATTTTGGGACAACCTCTATGGTCCTGCATTGATGCTTAACGACCACTTTCCCGCTATTGACTATCACCGAGGATGAACCCAATGTCACTGCCCGCGTGATCGTTGTCAACCAAAACAGTGAAACAAAACAAAAAAATTCTCGAAACTGTCAGTTTACTATCAAAATGCCCGGGGAGGAATTCCGACGGTAGATCGACATGGATATGGTTCCTTCTGAGGTCTGTCCAATCAGGGTCTTTCCGGCAGCAGATGGCCGGCCTCAATTAGCATCCATCCCTGTCCTTTCAGAACGGAATTCATTCCACATTCAATTATTATATGCCTTGGAAACTACTAAATGGCTAGCCATATACTGAAAAGTTTCGGATTTGTTAGATAAATCTGTCAGCCAGTCGTTACCAACATGGCAACTTCCGCACAAAATCATTGCAAGACGTGCCGACCGAGACAGTGTCTTCTGGTTGTCCCCTGCTCTGTCACGCTTCGTCAATGGTCCACTGTACAATCCCCCCACACCCCCCCCCCTTCTAGCCACATTTCCATCCAGGAGTCTGTATTTACCTCAAAGACCTCTCATCTTACGTCGAAATGGACATGCCGGAGAACCCAGAATCCAAATCCCACCACAATGCACTTCCTGTGAGTAGAATTGAGAAGGATGGTTTATCCAAGTCGCAAATCAACACCGCCGGCCCCAAAATAGATGGCAATGCACCAAACAATGTCAGAGAGACTCTTTTCATGATTGCGATCACCTTGACCCAACTGGTTCAGATGATTCCACTCGGTGCCGGTATAAATTCAGGCCTTTCAATTGGGTAGTCGCTAGGTGCGACAGATGTCCAGTCTGTGTGGATTGTTGCATCGTACGCTTTGACCCAAGGAGCGTTCGTTCTCATCGGTAAGCTTTCCCTTTATCACACACCTCATTAAACTAAGACAGCTCATTAGATGGCCGCCTGGGAGCTGTATATGTTCATAAGAATATATTCTCAATTGGTTGTATCTGGTGGGTTGTTTGGGCCCTGTGTGGAGGATTCGCAGACAACTTGGTGTCCATGTGCTTCATGAGAGGGCTGTGTGGAGTTGGCGGCGGTCTGATGATTCCGAACATTGTGGCATTGCTAGGCATCACCTTCCCACCTGGAAGGAAGCGGAACCTTGGCTTCGCACTATTCGGGGCAATGGCGCCTGTCGGTGCGGCGGGTGGTTCTCTGGTCTCTGCAGTTATCGTCTAGGTGACAGAGTAGAAATACTTGTTCTTTATGCTGTGAGAACGCATTCCTCCGGAATTGAAGTTTTCATTTGCTAAAATGTTCCCTCGAAGTGGGCTATTAGGCTTCCTGTTTATGGGACTGCGATTATCTCTGTTCCTCCCGATGAGCTTGTGGATCCGAATGGTTCAGTGGATTGGATTGGAGCTTACCATGGAGTCGGCGGACTTATTTTGTTCAATTCTGTGTGGAATTAAGTTCCACCAACGGAAATTTTATGAAAACCTGAAGTCTATCAGGTTTGCAGCCAAGTCCCCCTTGTTGGTTGGAACAGCCCCTACGAGTTCGCCTTTCTGATCCTGTCGATTATTCACTCTGGTGCATTTTCCTTCTGGGAAATGAAGATGGCCAAAGAGCCGATACTGCCGTTTAATATATGGAAAGCACCTTCTTTCAGCTTTCTTATGCTCACCATATTCTTCTCATGCATGAGTTTGGGTATCTACTTTTGGTACATGAATGTGTATGTGATTACCATTCGGGGAGACAGCCTCATCAAGTTTGGGGTTCAGTATCTTCCTCTGACAATCGTGGGTTATGCAAATGCATTTTTCGCAGCATGGGTGTGTCTGGCAATGACCGCCATCAATATTCTATTGGCCACTTTTCCAGAACACCTAACATATTGGGCAATGGCTTTTCCAGCCATGTTTCTATCTGCGTTCACAATCGATTTGATTGTCACAGGCGCTCAAATCATCGCTAGTAACACATTATCAATCAAGCATCAAGTTGTTGCAGGGTCCTTAGTCGGAAAGTTGCTCAGTTACGGTATGAGCACCGGGCTTGGATTTTGCTGGTACCGTGGAGGTAAACACATTTGACAATGGGAAGGGTCTTCTTCAAGGTTATCATTGTGCTGCCTATCTGGCTGTGGGCTTAGCTGTCGCTTCTCTAATCATGGCTATGGTATTCATCCGCATCCCTAGAGATACACGGGAGGGCTGAGTGACGAAGATAGGGCAGAATAAGACCTCCAACAAAGATTATGTGTAATCTGTGTTGAAAGTATTGCATAGTGCCATGCACAAGCGTACTCTTCGTCCAGCTTTGTTATTGGTTACTTAGGTTGTCTCCACGCCACCTATAACCCCCCTTTGGTTTCTCTACGAGATAATGGTACTTGAAAATCTCTCTTAAACTCTAGAGCGTTGGATCCATTCTGTCTAAACAGTAGTGCAACAGAGGTCATGAGTCTCTCCAGATCCCACGCGATAAATTGACAATCTTTGAACAACTCCAACCCGAGGCACATGTGACTAACAAGAGAACGGAGGTAATGCACAGGCAAACTCAAACCGGTACCTATGTATGAAGGGCTACGCTTGCTATGAGCGTTTCATGCAGAAAATGTTCCGCACTTGATCAATGGCGCTGCCCATAAGCTGGTGGTGCGTCTTGTACTCACTCGCTGCATTGCTCTATAATCCGGACACTAATTCGTTGCCATAGACTTTACAGGCTGTCAGGAATATTTAAACATACATATCCAATGTGATAGGGTAGCTCATTGATTGGTGGCTATCTCAAATAAACCTTGTATTCGTAGCAAAAAAAGAATACACTAAATTGTATCAATCCAACACGCCAAGCAAGTCATGAGTCCACCCGAGCCAAACGAAAATTCACAACACAGCACTTCAATCATAATATCTGGCTACCACTCCCCCAATGATAGGCTGCTCGCCAATTTCACTTCGCGCCTCACCTTTGTCGACCCCCTTCGCAACTCTAGCTTTCACCCACTCCCCAGCAGTAATGCCGACCGCACTTTGGTCGGGCGTTTGATCATACCCTAAACGGTGCAGTAATTCACTCACAACCGGTCGCAACTCAAGATTGTCCTCAGGTCGAACAAAGTATAGAACACCTAAACGGTCGATATCCCTCTGGTCTGGAGGAGGCGCGACTACCCGATGTATACTACTCTCAAGGAACCCATTTGTGAGGAACTGAAGTGAGTCGGCAAGGTTCACTGTAATGCTCTCTGGGTAGGGTTTCACCCATTTCCACTCGCCTTCCGGGGTACGAACCTGCAGCGCAGCAACTGGCTGTCGGAATAGCAAGGTCAGGCTGCCGAAGTCTGTGTGGCCTTTGGACCAAATTCCGGCAGCCCTCTCATTCTCCTCCTCGCTCCGGCGGTGATACTTCATGTACCGCAGGTGGCAGTCACTTTTCTCCTCATAACGGTGTACATTGAGGAAATAGTCTTCAGGGAGCTCGATAATGATAGCCAACAGTATGAGAAGTTTACGAACAATATTTTCGTGGATGTGACGTGCGAAACTCTCAATGATCGGACGGTTTTGGCTCACGATATCTGGCTGTGGCCGTTCAAGGGCAGGGATGAATTTTGGAATGTTGAAGATTTCTGTTTTGTCGAACACCCCGGGACTGATTTCCTATTCAAAGGGTCAGAGCTTTATCTTTGAACATCACGGTGTCTATTTTTGCATACTCGAAGACCCGTTGGCTTATACCCGTTGTAGTCACCGTTTTCCAGCTCTGCACGGAACTTCAACTTCTCCTCAATTGGAAGCTTGAAGATCTGCTGACCAATAGAGAATTGCTGGTCAACATCTTCTTGCGATAAGCCGAAGTTGGTGATGTAGAAGAAACCTAGAGACAAGTAAGTATGTAAATTACGACGGAATGGTTTCGCAGTACTAACCGATATTTTGAATGGCATCGAAGAGCTGTGTGGCTAACCGAGTCTTACCACCAGGCAGGTCAAATTGAGATAGATCCAATGTGGCAAGGTCCGCCCAGTCCACTAGATTCAAGTAATAAGTTACTCAACACTACTATGTCACGGCCCATGCTTGACTAGTTGTGTATAACATAGAGAAACTTACGATCGAGAGAGGTCTCTGGGACCTGGTGGTAAGTTGGAATTTCGGTGCTTGGGCCGATTGTGGCTGGGGTTTGAGCTAATGTTGCCATGGCGAAATAATGCCAGAAGCGGATTCACGGAACAAAATATTGTGACAAGCAATGTTAGCAAGGCAGTATTGTTGTGGAGTTTTCAAATATACGAGGAATGCGCGTTTTTATTAAAGCTTCAATGTTGAGGGCTTGGCGATAAGCTCAGAATTGACAACCAAAAAAATGCAATAGCTTAGTCCAATCGGTCAATTTCTCACTGTCCGTAAAGCAACTCTCATATTTGACATGCAAGCTCGTCTCGAGCTTTGGTATGTTGCTTGACCTGTCTCCGCTTTCGCGTTCAGTCAATACCTCATCATCTTTTTCTCCGTTTGCGTGATCGATGCCAAAAATCCCTGTGCAAATGACGACTTCACCAGCCACCATCTTCCAAACCCCCAAAATTTCCATAATCTTTGCTCTTGGATGAGAACAGGGCTATGGAAAACAAGAAGTTTGTATAATGAATAACGCAAAAAAAACACACAAGATGCGGAATTAAAGTAGCCAACTGCTGCTAGAGAGATTATAATGAGAACAGCATAGCCAAAGTCAGACAAAACATACATCAATACTAGGCTGTAACGGTTTACTACAACCCCAGTTTATCTTTCACACACATAACGTGCCTACCCGGATATTACGATACGGTTGTTTCCAATTATCTCTGATAATGGAAGTTCATCTAGTCCGTTATGTGCGCAATACATGTGGACTATGAGACAATCTGTCCAAGGCCTGGACCTTTTTACTTGGCATCAGCCTTGATATCATTTTTCGGAAAGTCTCCGGACTATCATAGTAGAAATAGCGACTTGCATATTTATAATTGAAACTTGGTCTGTCAAAAAGATATTAAGCAACACCTGAACCATGTCAGACACAACGCCCGACCAGGTCATATCCAAAGACTTTGGTAGAACAACGGCGACCGATCTTTCCTCGACCATCGGAAGTGACTCCGGCCATGATCTTCATTCCGTCAGACGTGGCGAGGCTCTCGGGGAAGCTTTGTCGAGCCAAGAAAGTATTGATGGCTACAATCCTGACCTGATGAGTGGGAGGACACTTCTCACGGCACAAGAAGAAAAGAAGCTGCTACGCAAGATTGACTGGCGGTTAATGACGCTTTGCTCGCTCATCTTCATGTTCAAGAATTTGGACAGCAACAATGTATGCATTGTCACTGACCCTCATGTCGATACAAAATGGCTTACCGCTCTGTAGGCATCAAATGCTCGTATTATGAACCAAGGAACAGACCAGAATATTATGACACAGCTTGGGATTGCATCAAACGAGTACAATCTTGTGACTGTCCTCTATTATGTACTTTGCCCCGAATCGACACCAATATCATGAACAAGCACTAACATATCTCTTAGGTCCCATATATCGTTTTAGAAGCACCCTCAAACCTTTTTCTCAAGAAATTTTTTCCTTCAAAATGGCAGTCCAGGATTATGATCAGCTGGGGTGTTGCTTTAATGTGCAATGCTGCAGTGAAAAATAAGGGGGGGCTATACACAACACGATTCTTGCTAGGTCTAGTATGTTTTCCACCTATCAATTTCTGAAATATCTAGCATATTTCTGGATCACCCCTAGAGAAAGTTATGAACTTCACTGACACCATTATAGGCTGAAGCTGGGCAGTTCCCTGGTGTTATCCTCCAGATGACATATTGGTATCGACCGGATGAGATGTCATTGCGACTGCTTTACTTTTGTAAGTCATCAATTTCTTGTCAAGGTATCTAGTGTCCTAAGGATTGTGATAAACAGATATCTGCGGAAACGTCTCGGGTATCTTCAGTGGTCTTCTCGCCTACGCCTTTGACACTGTGTCAGGTGCGGCAGGGCTTTCCGGATGGCAATGGTAGGCGACCAAAAAAACAACTTCTATGTTTCTTTATGCTAATCTAATCTTAGGCTGTTTCTCACTGAGGGCATTGCGACCGTGATCTTTGGTGTTGCGATCGCCTTCCTACTACCAGACTGTAAGGACCCTTTTCCATTTATAAGCCACCCCTTGCTCGCTCTCTAATATTGATATAAGGTTTAAAATGCAGTTCCCGAGACAGCAAAGTGGTTGACCAAAAGAGAGAAGAAGTTTATTCAAGATCGGCTACCAGCTAACGCTCCGCGAGCGAACGAGCAAAACTTCAATTTCCGGGAAGTCATCGAATCGCTGAAAGATGTGAGATTGTGGCTTTTCACATTGATCTGGGCTTCCTTTACCGTTGGAACCAACGGCGTCACCTTCTATCAATCGACCGTGATCGCGAGTCTTGGCTACACGTATGTCTTATACTTAACAATGTGTTGATGGAGCAAATTTGGCTGATTAGCTCGCAGGACCGTTGCTCAAGCACAACTGCTCAATATCCCTATCACAGTCTGCGGTCTTTTATTCATTGCTGTCACAGGCATCGCAGCAGACCGCAGTCGCATACCTCGGCCTCTATACCCACTCTCTTTCCTCATCGTGATCATGATCTGTTACGGTGTGTTCGTAGTGTATCCTAGTACAGGCGCTGTATATGCTGTGACATTGATTGGAAATGCCCTACATGCGGGATGGTTTCCAGTCATGTGGTATGTTGTTTCTATTTTCATCAGTTCTAAGCTTTCAAACATGACTGACAATCTACAATAGGCCGTGGCGCGTGCAGACTACGTCCCGAGCTACAGGATCTGCTTTCTCCATTGGGTTCGTCAACAGCTACGGCCAAATCGGAGGTGCCATCGGTCCCCAGTTGTTCAACAGCAAATACGCCCCGCGCTATACACTGCCTTTCTCCGTGGCCATGGGCTTAGTTGGTCTATGCGCAATCCTGACGCTGATTACATGGTGGGTGACTTGGGATACGGAGCGTGATACTAGGCGCCTGAAGCTTGCCAAAATCGCAGCGGAGAAAAGGGGCGAGACTATTTTGGAAGATATTGTGGACAATGACTTGAGGGCTCGTTAATGTACAACGAGACTTGGACATTTTCGATAGAGCTAGGTTACTAATAGGTCAAGGCCTACAAAGTACTGTTGTGCTGTTGGGGAAATTGGAATTCGAAGATATTTCACTGTCAGTGTTCGCAGTATATATTTTGGCGACAGTGAACTTTTGTCGAGCTTGAGCTGTTTCAATCCCCCAGTTTCCGAACTTGGTCATATTTACTGCATTCGTGATTAATATCCAGTGTCTCTAGTCGATCTGTAAATATCCGACATCGCAAACCAAAAGGTCCGAGGGGCCAATCAGAATCAGACAAACACCCCGGCTGTATTGAAAACCATCCGAGCCTATAGAGAGAACCCCCAATCTTGGGCTCATTTCATGTGACCTTGGAAATTCGACATTCCTTTCGCCTATGATGAACAGTAATCTCTTGAAACCCTCGGCAATCGGCTGACATAGCTCCAAAGATGGCCTCAGCTGAACCTCACCCGCCCGCACGACCATCCAGCGACCCCTACTTCAGCCTGGGAACATTGAGTCGCCAAGTCAGTACCAACTCACAAGAAGCCCAGATATGGTTTGACCGGGCGCTCGTCTGGACTTACTGCTTCAATCACGACGAAGCAGTCACCTGCTACAGGCAGGCAATCGCGCACGATGAGAACTGCGCAATAGCCTATTGGGGGGTATCCTTCTGCTCTGGCTCCAACTACAACAAAACATGGGCATTATTTGACGAGAAAGACCGAATCAATGCGATTAAGCAGTGCTATGTATTTTCTCAAGAGGCTCTGAAGCGGCTCGATCATGCATCAGCTTGGGAGCGGGCGCTCATCAAAGCTCTTGCGAAACGATACCCTAACGATGATCCGAGCAGGAATCTGGCCGCCTGTAACAAAGCATACGCGAATTCCATGAGAGATGTGTATTTGGTACTCGGTCGCAACAACTTCGACATTATCACCCTCTTCGCTGATGCGTTGATGAACTGCGCTCCACGGAAGCTATACGACGCCCGTACGGGACTTCCAATTGCATCGTCTCCAGTGTTTGAAGTGAAAGATATGCTGGAAAACGCGCTGAAAATGCCGGGAGTTGAGCAGCATCCAGGTCCCGCGCACATGTACATCCACCTGATGGAAATGTCAGCAACACCCGAAGCTGCTTTACCAGCGTCAGAGATGATCCGCGAGATATTCCCCGACACCGGTCATACATTTCACATGCCAGCCCATATCGATGTTCTCGTGGGCGATTATCGTCGCGCAGTCGAATACAACTTGAAGGCCACCATTGCGGATGACAAATTCTTTCAACAGAATGGCGGCTTGACGTTCTATAGCTATTATCGACTTCATGATTATCATTCTCTCATCTACGCCGCGATGCTCGGTGGAAAATCAAAGGCGGCATTGTCAGCGACAGATCGAATGGAAGCTACCATCACAGAAGAGATTCTGCGGGTAGAAACACCTGCACTCGCGAATTGGATGGAATTTTTCAAAGCTGTCAGAGTTCACGTGCTTATTCGCTTCGGAATGTGGGAGGAACTTAAAAAGCTTCAGCCCCTCGAGGACAGGCATTTATATTGTGTTACAAATGTCATGCGGCACTACGGAAAGGGCATTGCGCATGCTGCTACATTGCAGCTTGAAGAAGCAGACAGGGAGCGAGAGCTTTTCAAAGAAGCTTCCAAGCTCGTCCCGCCGACGCGTCTCGACTTCCCGAATAAAATCATTGACATTCTCAAGGTGGCATCTGCTATGCTGGATGGCGAAATCGAATACAGAAGTGGAAATTACGAGACTGCATTCAGCAGACTACAGGATGCAATCACTTTGGAAGATGAGCTTCCTTTTGCTGAGCCCTGGGGTTGGATGCTTCCTGCAAGGCATGCATATGCAGCTCTCTCATTGGAGCAAGGGGAAGTTGAGCGGGCTGCACAAGCCTACGCTGAGAATCTGGGGCTTTCTCCTACACCGAAACGGGCACACCAACACCCAAATAATGTCTGGGCTCTTCATGGCTATCATGAATGCCTCGAACTATTGGGTCGTCAGGCGGAAGCAACCATTATCAAGAAGCAACTTGCTCTTGCTCTTGTAGAGGCGGACGTTGAAATCACATCCTCCTGCTTTTGTAGGTTGGGGAATATACCTTTGTCTAGTGGAAAGCCTAAAGCGAATGGTTGTCATAGTGGGAAACAGAAGTGTTCGTGTTAGGTCTGGAAACTTTTCTTTTCATTATTCATATATAGGAAAGCTTGACGAACTACCAGCTTCATAGAAAGTCTTTCGCGTGCTTCAAATTGGCCCCATCATAAAATAACAAATTACAAGATGGGTATTATACAAGGGCAACTGCAAGATCCTTGATCATTCCTCGAACTTCCCCGACGATTCGAAAACAAGGCACTAACTTCCTTGCCACTGGGTCTTGCGGACAGAGATCAAGCGGATCGTAATTCATGTCTTCTTTCTTCCGGCAGCCACCCTCTAGACTGGGGCAACTTTCGTGGCCGACCAAATGCCGATTGCGCTGCCGCATTGCAAACTTATGTCCTAGCACTAAGAGATGTTTTGCATCAGACTGTAGACCATGCGTGACGAGTTCGTAGAACTTGTCGCCACTCATTTGTAACCCGGGGCCTGGTGGAAGTCCAAGACCTGCATCTAGATTGATGGCCTCGGTTTCATTCCTCATCTCAAGCTCGGAACAATATTTTCTCAACCAACGGAGGTACTTCTGGTAGCCGGCTGTTACTCCGAACATGAGTTGCCCGATCAGGAGCACGTTTTGAACGGTCAATCGAGGCGGCTTCGACACATCGTAGCATATTAGACATGTAAGAAGCCTTTCTGTGAGAGACAACCCTGCGCGAATCGTATTGATGGTATCATGCGACATATTCGTGCGACTCAAATTGCGGATTATTTTCGATACCTCTTCGTCACATTTACACGACTGGGAGAGTGAAACCGGAGATGCATAGGCACCAAGGGCTGTCGACTGGATTTCAAGCTCATTTGTTACGCTCTGCTGTAAATTCTGCCATGTTTCCAGTGGAGCAGAGAAAATGTTCCCGTTCTCGAGCATCTCCCAATGCAAAGGGTCAAATCCACAATTTCCGGAAATCTCATATGGCAATGACTGGAACTCATCCGCGCTGAGTAACGGGTCGACGGCTTCTGGAAAGTGCACAGCGGGTCGAGGCCTGTGAGGCGAAAGACTTGACGAACTTGAGGATTCTGTCTGCTTATCTTCATTTTGGAAGCTATCCTCTGGATGGTCCTGTCGCAAGCGCTTCCTGGGCCTCCCGGGAACCCCTTTATCTTTGAATTTACACGTCATTGACACGCCTTTGCAACGCGAGCAGCCACTCTTTTCTCCCGAGCATCTCAGCTTTCGAGTACCTGGTCATCGTTAGCTACCTATCACATGGTTCGGAGAATAGACCTACGGCAGGCCTCGCATGAGTTTCGTTGTCTTGAACTCATTCTATGTTGGAGTTATCTCAAATATGCCAACAGGCGCCGATGAAAAGTTCAAGATCGCTCGCTCATTCTCTGCTGAGATGGCGAGCTTCGAGCGGGGTTCTACAGTTAGCGGGAGATGCCTTTTGGGTAAAATATCCATTCGGAGGCGTTTATATTTAGGACGAAATTCAAATATGTTGTGTAGAAAAGCATATTCCGAGTATACAGACCCCGCGCAACTCATGATGATTATGAGACAACAGTGGACAGGTCGTTCACAGTGCGAGAAGCATAAGCAACAATTAACACTTTGACTCCGGTGGCACGTAGGAACTACTTTTCGCCTAAAATTGCCACTCACACTTCCTTAGCATTCAAATCAACGCAGATTTGGAGGCGTAACAAAATATATGAAGACGTGACGGGACTCATGCTCATTTCCTTGAGTGTGAGCTGGTGTGTTTTGCGGGGCCACTACAAAAGCGTCCGAATAGCTCCGAGCAAAAAACGTCCGAGCACAGTTTGTGCGGCTACATAGTGAAGATACTCGCCTAGCTGCATTGTATCAACTGGTAATTCGAACTTGCTATCTCAACTCATTTGAAAAGTTCATTCTGAGACCCACAATGCCAAATGGCGAGATATACCACTGCACATGATGTGCGTCATGCCTGGATCATAGAACAAGAGATTGCCCTTCTGGATGTCCGTGAAGAAGGCCCATATGCTGCGTCACATCCTCTTTTTGCAGTCAACGTACCAGTATCGGAGATCGAGAGCAAGCTGCCTGCACTGGTGCCTCGACTGGCTGCCCCGATCGTTGTCTATGACAGTGGCGAGGGTTACGATGTTCGAGCTGTGTCCCGGATCTCAGCCATGGGATATGAGAATGTATCCATACTCGAAGGTGGGCTCTCTGCATATTCTCTCGTCGGCGAGGTCTATCGTGATGTCGGTGTTCCATCCAAGGCATTCGGCGAACTTGTCGAATCCATCAATCACACACCATCCATTTCAGCGACAGGGCTGAAGGATGCCTTGGAGAATAAAGAAGACCTCGTGATTCTGGATGCAAGACGATTCGAAGAATTCAATACTATGAGCATCCCTGGTGGACGGAGTTGTCCCGGAGGAGAACTGCTCTATCGCTTCTTCGAGACTGTGCCTTCACCCAAGACCACGGTCGTCGTCAACTGTGCTGGGAGAACACGGAGTATTATCGGAGCCCAGTCTTTAGTCAATGCCAGAGTCCCCAACAAGGTGTTTGCCCTTCGCAATGGGACAATTGGGTGGATGTTGGAAGGTTTCAAGCTGGAAAATGGTAAAACAGACCGAGCTTCACGTCCTTCAGCCAAAAGATTAGCCAAGGCATCACGACACGCAGACTGGTGGACCTCTCAGCTTGACATTGCTCTTCTCGAACCGTCTAAAATCAGTGACCTGGCCGTAAATGGGCAGGATCGGACTCTGTACCTGCTCGACGTGAGAGACCCAGAGGAGTATACGCTTGGGCACCCGTTTGGATTCACCAATGCCCCAGGTGGTCAACTGGTACAAGCGACCGAAGAATGGATTGGTGTTCGAGGCGCTCGCATTATCCTCTATGATACGGACTTCGTTCGAGGTCGCATGACAGCCAGTTGGCTCTATCAGCTCGGATGGGAGGTTGACGTAATGTCTTCTGTATTATCACCATATCCTACTGGGCTTTCAGTACACAGGCCACCCTCATTGCCTCACTTGAAGGTCCATGGAATTTCAGTCAATGCCCTTCGAGATCTTAAAGGGGCAACCGTGGTTGATCTTGCTCGCAGTCCGTCCTATCGCAGAGGCCATATTCCCGGTGCATGGTTTGCTTCTGGACCCGAGCTTATTAGAGATTTGAAGACTATCAAAGGGAACGAACATATCGTGCTGACCTCGCCTGATGGTATCGCTGCAGCCATGAACTGCAAGGAGATACAAGAACTATCCGGCGGACGAGACTCGGTCATATACTTAGAAGGAGGAACAGAGGCGTGGGTGGCAGCCGGATATTCCCTTGAAACCGAGTCCCGATGGCTTTCTGAGCCGATAGATGTCTACAAAAGACCATATGAGGGAACAGGGAATGCGAGGGAAAACATGCAGGCATATCTTGACTGGGAGTACGGCCTTGTCGCTCAACTGGCAAACGATGGGGTGGCCCGTTTCCGCGTTGTACGAGGCCCGCGCGCAGGTGATGGAAGTGAGGATTGTGATCAGTAATTGATTTTTCTCCATTTAAGTTGAAGTAGTCAGTTCTTCAGCTTGAAACCTACTGAAAAGGGCGCAAGTGCCCAATTCGTAGGCTAGAGTGCTCGGCTTGGCACAGTCTTTGTTACCCCAAGCTGACCGCGTTGGGCGTCCGGTTCTTAATAAGGTCGTGGTTTGAGATGACCTCAATAGATGTGCTCAGGTCGGCCTATTGAAGCTGCGTGTGAGTATGAGCTGTTGCCAACTACCTTGTTTGACCAATCATAATTGGTCTTTTACCTCCTTACTGTTATTATTTGCTAATTCCGGTTTTCTTTTGGGAAGGAAGCAAGTGGCTTGTGTTCTTAGCTACAATTTACCGCTCCGCACAACGCATCTCATATCCTTCCATCTAGTGTACAAAGCTGCGATTTCCCTAGAGCAGAGGCATGAGATTTAACCTTGTATGGCGGTCAAAGTTCCGAGGTCAGGAGAATTTGAAAGGGCACAGTTCCAGAAATAGCGCGAGAATCCCGCCTTTTCCCTCTATTTTGCGATGTTTACACGTCTCAGGTGGCGGTATTTCCCTTGACTATGTGATAAGCTCGAGCAAACGCGTTGTCCTCGGCTTTCTTGGTCCTCGGACAGAGCAGTTCTCCCTCGGGTCCTTGCTCTATCAGATCAATTACGGATTTGAGGCTTACAGAGATCGTTGTCTCACCCCTGAGGATCCCTATGAGCATAGGCGTAAGACTCTGGACTTGCTGCAGAACATGGAGTTCCCGCAGTTGAACGGGGATCCTTTGCTTGACTGACTGAACAATATTGCGAGAATTTGTATGCTACTTGAAAGACAAGGCGTTTTCTTACTCGCAACAGAAAGTGCGAAGTCATGATTGTCATTATTCATTAACCCTGAATTTACTCAGGGGGTATTTGCAGTAGTATGTGTATCTACAAGCGTTGACTCAGATCCCACAGCAGCCAACGACACCTCCAAAGGAAATACTGGACCAGAATTGCCCAAAGGAGGCGCATCATCCATTTCGTACTCCTCTCCCCTGCCAGCTTCCGGCACCTTTTCATCATCATAGTCAAGGGCCACTTTCCCCGGTCCACCAAGCCCACTCGAAGCATCGAATTGCCCGAAACGATATCGTCGGCCAAGTGCTTCGAGATGATCACGCTGTTCGGTTTCAGACCAAGCCATGGTGCCCCGGATATCAGATAACATGCGGGTATTTGCAATCCACGGCATGAGTGACCCGATCGAGCGTGGAATGGGTGGTCCGTTGTAGTATTTCCGTCTAAGCCAAAAGACAAATATTAAAACGGCGAAGTCGAAGGATAATATGATGATCATGATGACAATCGTTGTGTCGGAGGGTGGGACATCCCATACCGCTGCGGTCAAGGTACCATTCACTGGTTTGGTGCGCGATTCGTCCGGGAGAACATCCAGGTACAGATCGCGCCAGAGTGATGTGTGCATGCTGAAGGTCGATTGATAGACAAGCTTGACGGCCCGCAGCAGCGCGGTCTGGTCTTGAGGTCCGAATTTAAATCCCAAGAATCGTTTTGAGGATGCATACATCTCGCTCGTTACCAGTGCTGGTCCGTCATGGTCTCGCGTGAAGGCCTGTGTGAATGATGCCAGGCTATCTGATGCGTTTTGGAACATGCGCCCTTGGGTTATCATGCTGCCAGCGACTGGCGAATAAGATTGTATCAATCCCTCTGGGCAAAAATGGATGTCATAGTCTTGGATTTGGATCTTTGGCTGGCAGTGGAATGCGGTTGGGTTCGCAGAGACAATGGTTTCTATGGCAGTTGCTCCTCCATAGCTTACTAGCACGAAGGACTTCTGGCATGCGATATCGGTCTCGGTGGGTGAAATCAAAAAGGTCGATTCATTCCAGGCGTGATGGTAATGTTTAGTTTGTTGAAATTCCGCAGTGCATTTCATACCGGATGAGCTGTGAGAGGGTGTATATGTCCAGGACCTGTTATCGGAGATGACGTGTGAATTGCTGGAAGAAATCTCTGCGCATTGAAGGTCGACGCCAATACCCCGTGTTCGGGCCGTATACAACTTCCAATCCGCGAACTCGTCGTTCTCTTTGACTTCGAAAGGTACAAATGAAGTATTGGCCGTTGTCCACGCCAATATAGAATGGTTGGTAGACAGAGTATCTTCGATGAGGTTATAGCCATGGAAATCAACCCTAACTTCAGGGTTCAAGAAGTGGGAGTCATGATATTGAGGCACCAGGTCTGCCGTAACCTCAGACCAGTGGTCGACCGTTGGTTCGAACATTCCACTGCTGACAACGGTCAAGAAGTAGTCAATCAAACACACCGAGGAAAGCATTACTAAGATAGGAGGCGCATTTGAGCGGAACTGTTTCCAGATCGTGATTGGCGTTTTGGATCCATAATTGACACTCAGAGACTCTCGCGCCGAGGCAGCGCCCTCTTTCAGTTGGACCCAAGGCTCCAAGTTACTCAAATGACGATGGACTGAGATGAAAAGAGAGCTGATAATGGAGGCGATGACAGTGGGTCCATAGATCAGATACAAGTAGAGGATTGTCGCCCCGGTAGTAAGTGAGTAGCCAAGTTTGTCTAGATGAAGAAACTGGAAAGACGCTCCGAACCCAGCGAGAACGCCCGCTATGGCTATGCATTCGAGTAGAAACCAAGGCGTCTTCACGAAATGAGGCTTCGCATTAGACCGTGGCCGCCGTGTTGCTTGTCTTGAACGACGAGCTCGGGCGAGCTTTTGTAACCGAGACGTGCGTGAGCTTGAAGATGCAACATACACCTCGCGCGGGATGATTTCCATCTGCCTTCTGTCGGGTCCATCTATCCATCGGCACCATAACGATCTGGCAAATTGGCGAAGCTGTCGCGGGGTAGCAGTGTGAAAGTCGATGTCAGATTTGATCACCGCGTCTGTCGAAGTGAAAATATCTGTAATGATAGCGCACTGCACTGCGATGGAGCCGGGATCCGATTGGAGAAAATTTGGTCGACGTTGATACAGGAAGAACATGGAAAAGAGTAGGACACATGATGCCAGAAGGATTGATTCCGCAACAATGGCGGAGTGAGAACTCACGCTATAAACAATCCTCAGGGTGGATTGCCTCGCGTTGATTCGGACTGGGGGAGTTGTGGTGTTGAAGAATTTGTTCATCGAAACCGTAAAATGCCGGTTCCAAAGGTGGCGAATCTCTTCTTGGTAGTCGCCAACGTTCGAGGGCTTCAACGGGTCGATTAACGAGCTATTCACCCCTGTTGATCGAGTCAAGCCAGGATGGGAATATCGGTATCCGGGACCCCATAACGGAAGCTCGCCGTTCTGGTATCTCCGTAGAAGACTCCTTTCGAGGCCTGTTATGCTGATTTCTGATGAGGTCATATTTGTTGTCTTTTTGGAAATGTTTGTAACAGTAGCGACCGAGGTGTTTGCGGGAAGCGAGATCTCCGCCATCGCGTGCATGTATGTGCTGCGACATCCGAAAACCGTAGCATTCGACGAAAAATTTCCCGATGATGTAGAATTGATATTGATAGTGAGGCCGACCAGTGCAAGTGATTCGCACCCGGTACGAGTCAAGGTTGATGTTGAGTTGACAGTATTATACGGGTCAAGAGGTTCCCAATGTCGCAATTGGTATGATCCTTTGCGGTCTGGGGAAGAGCTATTCAAAAGAATATCCACCTCGCATTCGGAATCATCCCTAGCTCCAGAGGCTTTTTGGAGTTGGACGTTGCGTATGTTCCAGGTCAAGGTTGCTGAGCTGTCGTTGCTGGTAGCACTCGTGGAATTTGAAGTAGTCCAAGTATAGGGGACAAGATTCTCCAACCTTACTTCTGTGCAAGTCAAATTGGCCCAGTAAGCAGGTTGATTCAGTTGCCACGTCGCACCATGCTCCCAATGCATTGGCCTAGAGATGGGTGGTGTGGCGTAGTTGAGAGTTCGATAGAAGAAAAACGTGTCTGCGTGAAACTCAGTCTTATTGCCACGATGATGTCTGCCCTCTTCCAGCCAATCATTCTGATTTTCCAGATTGGCCAGACTGGGCCAGGTATAAACAGATTCCAAGGAGGTCATGTTAACCTCGTGAAGCGACACAAGCCCTGACATAAGGGATGGCAGAACCATTCGTTGAATCATCGCAGTAAATGATACGAGAACCACAATCCAATGCTTGTTTCGAATCGCCGTTATTGGAGCCAGAATGCCGAAGAAATAGCAATAGTTGGTGAACAGCACAGTCCCAGGAGCTCCCTCAGGCTTGGCCAACTGGAAATATGGCTCCAGCCGTAGCACATCGAGGGAACATATGTTCCATAGTGTGAATGCTAGCACAGCAAATGCTGTTGGCAAATATGTGGGCAGCCTTGTGGAGAAGTTTCCAAGCTCTGTGTAAGAGAAGAGATGAATGAGACCTTGGTGGCGATTGGAATATTCACGAATGGCTTCAATCGCAATGCACATGGACAAGTAAAGAGCGGCAACACTGAAAAGATATGGACGCCTCAGCGAGGTTGGGATCCAGCACTTCTTTTTTTCGGTTGGAATGCTGGAATTCTCCGAGCCATCTGCAGGCTCGGACATTTTCCCTGCGCCAGTGGACGTATTAGGCCCAGAGTTTTCCAGGGCTACCCAGAAGCATTGCAATGAGCTTCTGAATTATCCTCTCTATTAGCTGCGGATTCAGACAATTGACGAAGCAGAGGCGCGTTTCAAGTTTGGGTTGTATAAGGTTTGCAGGGTTTGCACACTTGGCGTGGCGCAGCGTCGGTCTGACCGATGACTCGAACTGCCAAGAATTCTCACTCCTTTTCACTTTGGTTCCTCATATCAACATTTGATGTTCTATATTGAATCATTACTTTGCAGCTGTCTGTACGTGCTGACAGCTGGCGCCCGATGTCGCTGGGAATCACGTGCACACTCGCCACCGGGCTCTACGAGGCCTCGACTCTGGCCGCCGCTTTTGCTAGTACTTGCGGCACTAATTTTATCTTGGAAGGTGACTATGATCTGGGATCTGAAACCTGACCTATCCTTGAACTTGACGGCCATAATCTTACATGTGGGGGCGGCTAAACGGGACGATGCTTAGCCCCTTTTTTAGAGCTCTGTTCTCCATAAGTACGGAGCCGAGATGTCATTTTCAAAAGAGGGCCGTAGATTTTGGTCTGAACAGATGGAATTGCATCCTAGGTCGAGTGGGTTGATGGCAAATTCCGTTATATTCTTTGTTCGAAGGTAAATTGAATAATGCGATAATGCAGGACTGTGGGAAAAAACCCCGTTATTTCCGTGGAGTGTATCTGGCAATAAATCAAGCTCAAAAGTATTTTCCATCTGAAATCTAATACGTCTTATAATTTTCTGTTCATCATAGCTTTGAACATGGTATGCTCGCACATCCATCGTAAACCAATCAAACAGTCAAACTTGCAGCATACTCCCCGAACAAAGCCTCCAAACGCTTACCCTCGTCATCCGCAACCTCGCCATGAGTCTTAGTGCTGCCGATAGGATGATACGGGAATGGTCTACGGAGCTATCAACATACAATTATCACAAAATCAATTGGAAATCCACTCACCCATATTCCGGCACGAAAATAAGTCTCGAATCGGACCCAGAGATTTTGACCCGAGCCGCGATGACCTGTTTCCAGATTCTCTCGAAACATTCTCTCTCCTCTTTAAAGACAGGGTTGGTCGGCTCTGGGCATTGCGATGCTTGTGTTGTTCCGATTCGTGCATGGTTGTGGTACACCTGACTCATTGTTAGTCGTATTTATTATTGCTCCCTTGGTGGATACTCACGTGTGGGATGATTGCATTCATCATGAGCTTGTCACCTTCGCTGATATCGAGGACTCGCTCACATCCAACCATCCAGTGGGAGAAATCGGCGTTGATTCGGAGTCTTTCATATCGGTTAGCCGTTGTCTTTACACATAAGTAGTGGGCGTCATTGATTATTTCCGTACTCTGGGACAGCTTCTAGGATGCGCTGTGTGGCATAAGGCATGAAAAGGGATCGGTTGCGGTGCGTTTCGTGCCAGACACGATCGGAGACTCCAATTTCCTTGTCAACAACCAGTGTGCCCTTGTAGAATTTGATAGACTCTTCGACATCCCAAAGATCCCTACATTGAGGTGTGCGCGATGTGAAGTATGCTTCAATGAAGTGGATACTCACTCGCCGGATTGGAAATTCATATATGAAGGCTTCAATTGTTGAACCAATTGGAGGAAGTGTCGATAGTTTGTCAAATGGTGGTCTGCTTTTGTGCCCATTGGGCGAGGATCGAGGTATCCATACCAGGACGAGTGGAACCTATTCAACTTCAATTAGCATTACGACTTGGGTGGCAGCATTTCGGTTGCAATCCAGATGCTAACATCAATCCGATTTCGAGGCCATTCTGGTCACAAAGTTCCTTCAGGTGTGGGAAGTCCTTGCTTGGTTCAAGCCCATGGATGTCTACTTCACCACCTTTTCAATGACATATCGTTAGTTCAGGTTCCCGCAGCAACAGATACAATCATCTCAGAGATGTCAATTGACATACTATATCCATGGGCCTTCAATTGCGGGAATTCCTGAGCCCAGTTGTCAAGGTTGGAACCCGGGGCAATTCCCCAGACAGAGCGAAAGCGGTCAATTTTCATGGCTGGGAAGGAAGTAGAGTAGGCGGCGCAATCGTATACGTTCAAAATTGATCTTATAGCTAAGATACAACAGGAACTGCAAAAACTATATATATTTCCACGATAGCTTGCATACTTGCGCCATAGCTTTTCCGCATGGACGATCTTTCCGCTGCGCCCGAAAGAAGAAATGCTCCCCGTCCCCCGGTGGGTCACCCATATCGACACTATGGCATGTTGATTGTGTTGCTATTCGGAGTGGATCTCCGTGCTATGCTAAGTTTGGTCACTTTGCGGCGAAAAATGCTCTTTAGGGATGGGCCCCCACTCACTCTTCTGGGGATGCGGAGATGTTTGTTCAACATCCCACTTGGCTCGCACCACTTTCTTGTTGGCTTGTGAAAGAGGGAGGGTTGAATGTGATAGATTTCGTCATATTTTTGTCTTTTTCTCGGAGTTGCTCCGGTTTTCTTTTGACGCGTTTAACTAAGGGAGCTTGAGAATTTCGCGTGCGCATTGCTGACCATCTTAGAGCGAGTTCGGCTCTCAATATGTGATTTAAACAATACAATACAATCTGGGCGTCATTGGCGAACAGTTCCTGGCAATTAAGTGAATGCTGGTTGTTCATTGAGGCTTGTAAACGTGAGGCATGGGACTCGAAATACGTTTGGAAATGTTGAACACGACGATATTCCGGGAAAAGGCAACTTCGAATCAATTTTCAATATATGAAAGTATATAAAGGGCTTACTTAAAGCAAATCAGAATCCACCATTAGGGTGGATGATGACCTTGGTGTACCCATCTTCTCTCTTGTCGAACTTCTCATAGGCGGTCTCAGCATCAGCAAGTGCAATCGCATGCGAAATCACGAAGCTGGGTTTAGCCTTGCCGGCAATGATCATATCTCGGAGGTATCGGTTATAAGTCTTTACATTGCACTGTCCAGTACCGATTGATAGGCCCTATGAAGCTATTCTTAGTAATTTGAGGAGCTTTCAGCCAAATGAATGCGTACCTTTTCCCACAGCTTTCCGAAACTGAGACTGAGCATTCCATTTGAAGTGGCAGTGTCGGAGGCTCCGGGGTCGCTGGTGTACCGTTAGAGCATTGCAACGATATGGGGCTGTGATATGACATACCTAGGAACGTAAAGTCCAGGAATACCGATTCCTCCACAGGCCCTTGTCACACGAATGATGTTTTCGAGAACAATGTTCGCCTTCTCGGCAGAGCCAGTGGAGTTAGCAGCCTGGTATCCAACAGCATCCACCGATCGGTCAACCATTCCACCATTGTGCTCGATGATTTGGTCGACGGCGTCCCCCCTTGTAAAATCGATGGGAATGGCGCCCATTTCCTTGGCTGAGTCCAGCCGTTCGGCGACACGGTCGACAACATAGATGTTGGATGCTCCTCTCAGAACAGCCGAGTAAGCTGCCATGAGTCCAACCGGGCCAGCACCAAAGACCGCGACACTCTCTCCGGATTGGAAGCCGGATATTTCGAGACCATGCCATCCTATAATAAAGTATTAGACTAATATTATTTCCACGAGAAGGTAGGCTCATTCATACCGGTGGGGAAGATATCTTAGATAAATGTTAGTAAAGAATGCATCCAGCAGTAGCGCCAAAGAGAGGGTCGGTTTACCTGCAAGAAGAACAAAGTCGGCCTCATGCTCCTCGCCCGGGGGTAGCTTGAGAGCATTAAAGTCTGCATAAGGAACTCGAATATATTGGGCCTGTCCTATAAAAATTCCGGATTTAATGCTGCTGAAGGCGCATTGGAGTTTGAGATAAGCGCATACCTCCTCGGTAGGGACCCATTGCGACGTAACCTGGATATGATCAGCCTAAGAACACAGACGATCATCATTCCGTGTCTTACCGTAAGCACCACCGGCAAAGCCAGGGTTCACACCAGTACAAAAAGCGGTTCTTCCCTCCTCGCAGTTGCGACACCGACCATCGGCGACGTTGAAAGGCATGACCACGCGATCACCCTTCTTCAACAGTGTGACACCTTCACCTAAGTCCTCGATAATTCCCATGTTCTCGTGGCCTGTTCCACGTTTAGCTTCAATTCACGCGCCATGTTCACTCGAATAGATCTTACCGAAAGTAATACCGGGCTCGGCAGCTGTTCGTCCTTCGTACATGCTATTGCTCCGTTAGCTTCACGCGACATGATCGCATTATGTGCGCGCCATGAGAATGCTCACTGCAGGTCAGAACCACAAATAGCAGCCTAAAGTCCAAGTCAATTTGGTTCGCGTCTCAATCCGGGCGTTTGATTACTGACAGTTGTAACCTTGACAATAATATCATCAGGATGTTCCATATTAGGCTTCTCAACATCCTCTACTCGAACCTGATAAGGTCCGATGTAGTTGAGTGCCTTCATAGTGGTAGCAGAAGCCATTGGGTATGAAATGGGGTATGTGATGACAATTAGATTTCACCGGATGTCAACGGGCGCAGTGATGTATTTGTAGGTTTTGGCGCAACTCTGTCCCGCTGTTGCTCCGGATCCAACGTCATTCTCGCGCTCGCTCAAATTAAAACATAACACTGTAAATCTGCTCCTCATGAATCATCGCAAAGCTCAAAAAAATGAGAGGGAGCTGCATACTCTCCCGCATCCGACCCCGGGAAATATTTCTCTTTGTGGCGTCAGTCGCCGCACTTACCGGAATGGGGTTGGTGGAGTCGGAACTTAGTACTTCACACCTAGCAAATTCTATACAAGGCCTCCAGTTCGGCTTTTGGTTGGGTTATTATTCTTCCATTTTGTGCTTGTCATGAAAAATGGCATGCCCAGCTCATTCTCGTGGCTCGCCGCTCGAGGCCTCAGGCAACACAATGCCACATTCTCCCTGTCGACGATGAAGATCATAAGCAATAGTAGCTATCCCAGCTCGACTTGATTGACACTGGTATAAAATGTTGGCAGATGTATTCCAGAGCAATTCTTCAGACATGTAGCTGATGCGACTATCAAAGTCGTAAGCGGCGGACTTATAAATTGCTCTACATAGCGGCGCCTACCGCTACGATAACACTGAGGACATCCCATCAGTCAGCGGTAAACCTCGGCAGAACAATACTTGTATGTGTCAAGGCTGCTGCCCAGTTAGTTGAAGGGAGCTTCTCCCTGTTCTTTCATATGTTGAAACGGTCATCTGCATGACCCTGAGAGCGCGCTCATTCGGAGCTTCGGTCTTGTCCCGTTTGTAGCCTTATTGAAACATGACTTGGAGGTTCAACATCATGCTCGTCGCCATCATCTCTACCTTTCTTTTGACCCTCAGCCAACAAACTATTTGCCGCAAATTTCCCATCAATATCAAGCCTATTTCGAATCATTTCCATCGGCAAACAGTAATTGGGGACTCGCAGAACGACTGTGTCTCATACCCTATGCCCTCTCCTCTCAACGACTGAACGGATCAAGTTCGGCACCGGCCCAGGAGGATGCGTTGTCTACGGCTACCCCTCCACTGGTGGAGTTCTCGTCAAAGAGGCTGACCTTCTCGACATGCTCTTCCTATCGGTCTCCCGCTCTCATGAGTCGCAGCGCTCTCCCAGCCTCAATGAAGAAGACAGATTCTGTAAACTCATGCGACGGACTGGTGCCAAGTGGTGGTCGAGTAGGGAGGATTGACTGGAAGTACGGTTAGGCGCGAGGGAGATGACGGAAGAGGAAGAAAAGGCACTGGTGTTCGGTTGACCGACGGATGGAGTAGGTGTGTGGTTGTTGAGATATGTGAGCGACAGGCAACTTCCAAAAGATTTTGGGAGAATGAGTTTAGCGATGAATATGGAGGAGAAGAAACAGATGATGAGAGAGTATGGCGCTACGTTTGTTGAAGATGTCACGCAGGTGGAGGAACTTCGTGATAGCTAAGCATATCTTGAGTCCTACTAGCCTTGGGATAAGTATTTGTAGAAAAGAAGTTCATTTGATGCTATGTACACGCACTGCAACGAGTCTTAATTCTATGTACGCCGGGTAAGGGCTCAGTTTATAGACCAATACAGCGCACCAGCAGCCATAAATTGACCGAATAGGGGCAATCGCTTTGAAAATTGATACTCTTCATCGATGCAAGGGGAAGGGCTCCCCAATATGAAATTTTGTGAAACCTGGCCAATTTTTTACTAGCCAAGAAGAGGAATGGTGTTCAATGGAAATAACGCCCAAAAGAGCGATTCTGCTATCATAATCACCCACATCAATGTTCGTTCATACTGATACGTTTCCTGGGCTGAACAGATTGCACGCCTCTGTCAGTTCGTATCAATGTCTGATCCTGAGTCTGTTTTGCGTCGTAACTGCGTTCGGTGGCAAGACGATGAACATCTTTTGCGTGCCTTTGAAGATGCATTTCGTGTAGGAGATTCTCGCTACACATATGACATCTCCGATCCTCCAAGTGTGTTTTTGGAAAGTGTCGCAAAGTTGATTTATATTCGCTATATTTGTGTGTTCGACGATGAACAGGCAGCAGAGTATCGATGTAACATTGAAAACATTGAATACGAGTAATAATCCGAACAAGTGGTTCAGTGGGGATACATAAGCTCTCCCCTAGCTAGGTAGATTCACAATAGTTTTCAAACTGCCACTCCGGCCTTACAACATCTCGCTTGCAGTTACCAGGCGAAAATCGGAGATAAGATCTGTTTGTTCCCTCAGAGGATATGGAACAGGTACCCGGGGCATACATATCATAAAGTCCTTTTCGAAATACCTTGCTCAAGTCAATTAAGTTTGTTACTTGCTCTTGATATGTACCGACATTCACAAAGTTTCATTTAAGTTATCAATTGTTCAAATATGTTTTAGAAACACTTGGAATAATCTTGACTGCAGATATGACTCAGTGGGGTCATCTGTGTGCTAGACCCTTTAAATAAGAATTAGTGCGCTGCCGAGGTGTGAAAATCTATCTCTGTTCAGTACCGACAGCAATAACGCCTATCCTTGTGACCCAAACGCCACGCCACACCACGTTTCAACTGAAGTGAGATATACGACTGAATATCGTACAATATGTCAAAGTTGGTCACGGAGGCGTTATCCATTTACCCTCAACCTTGTTGATAATTTGATTGGTAATTTGGTGATATCCAACATTCTGCCTACATTTCCTACATGTTGCATCTCATTGAGTTACCTGAGCTATCACAAGACAACAATAATCGAGGTGATAACTTCGTGATATTCCCCGCAAAGTTGAACAAGGGTGGTCCCATGGATGGAATGGTAGTTAGCCAATGGCATCATATGATTGTCACCACAACATCCGATTCTGTAAATGTATTACATCACTATACAAATTGCGGGGAAATATAAGAACTTCCTCTCTTTCTTTCAATTGTTTCATTCTTAACTATCTTCCACTTCAATTTCCAACATGAACAACTACAATTCTCAATGGGTCTCGTTCCACATTCGGGGCCACCTGGACAAGGGCGACGTTCTGGTTCAGAACACTGTCATTGAAGGGTATTTGCTGTTTCCCAATGCTCGTAATATTTCTAATTTGTCGTAGCGGGGAGTTTTACGATGTCTATGACCGCCGCAAGTCCCTCACCGAGGAGGAAATCGACGAAATCGTCATCGCTTCCGATGGTGTCGGCGAGATAGGGGCACAAAGCCGTCGGGGCAGCGAAGGCCGCCTCGACCTGTTCCATGACAACGACAAGATCTGCGAGCTGCATTGGGAAAACAGAGGAGGAAATTATGTCAACGTGGTTGAGGTGTTGGACAAGAGCGACAAGTATAAAATCGAGCATAGAGGATGGAGTTCAGAGGCTGGACCTCTCGGACACGTCTATATGGATATCTTTGCAAAGAAGTAGTGCTTGGCAGCTGCAGCAAGGGGGAAACATTGAGGTTTCAGACCTCTACTCCTGCTAATTTAGGACAACGCACCGCGTCGGCCTGAGAACCAGCCTGCCTCTTATTATTTGCTTTGATCGAGGATAGTCACTACTAGTCATAACGAATCAATGGGCTTCAGAACCCGAATTTCAGATCTACTCTTAACATGCGCCCATTTGACTGGAGTGATCTCCCTCGCTATAGTTGTGTCTGAGGTGCATTGATAGCGCAATTTTTGGTCGGCAGCTATACTGTGTTTTCCGTATAATCCTACTCGCTATTACACGTAAGCCTTCTATGAAGAAGCATGATGCGCCCGACCAAGAGAGGTTGTCTCTTTTTGCCCTTCTCTATGCTGAAGAAATGCTGAAGAAATGTTATAACGTAAATGACCTTGCTCTGTATTGATCTTTTATCAATATTTTTAGCAAATACTTCTTTGTTCGCGCATCTAGTCTGGGTCTCTAGCACGAAAGGTGGAGTTTTGCTCCCAGTAGCTTATATATTAAAATCACAAACTTACAAGCTCGCTCGATCTTTATTTTTCTGAGAGTCAACTGAATTTTAATCATCCTGCTCATTCCGATCGCTCGATGTTAAAGCGGGGCTTGCATATTTCTTGCCGGGCGGCACTTCCGATTATAAGCCGCATACAAGCCGCAAATGAGCCGCACGACGCAGATGATCTCGATCTGATCTACACAGCCTTATTTTCGAATAGTATATTACTTTTAAAATCTCTCGGCACATGGCTTTGAGAACCGGGCTCCGCTATACATTTAATATTCGCGGCCAATTTTCGAGGCGCGTGACTCTAGAAGCCGAGGTGGCCGAGGTGAACACGGGGTAAGAAGGGTCATCCAGAGTGGTAGAAGCCACCCGCCTATCTTGGCTTTCAATTATTAGATTGGTTTGCTAGAGCTAAACATGCTCTACAATGATCTCTGGATGGTTCTTGAGAATGTTAAAATTATCCGAGGCGGTACGAGCCGCCAAGCGTGCCTGTTCCTGTTGGGGCCAAAACAGCTTTCACATCCGGCATTCATCCGGGGCTCCCGCCAAAGTGACATTTATCATTAGTGCTCCTCATTGATAGGTGTATGTTTGCTAGGCTAAAATCCATTTCGGAACCCATTTTGCTGGAGTGTCCACTCTGTGCACGACACCAAACTACATCCAGACCCAACGTCCGATGAACTCCGAGCTTAGCGCGAAAAGCAAAGGTCTGTTCGGCGAATCCTGGCTCGAGGGGCGTGTGATGACTGGCTATCGCCACGCCGTTAATCTGCCTGGAAGCCACTAAAGGGTTCCTGAGTTAGATCAGGATCATTAGTAAAAGATGGAAGCGAGAGTGGGCTCAGGCAATAGTGTAGAAAGGCTGCCTGTTCGCCCCTTTGTCGTGATTATAGATTAACAACCTTTTTTTCTGCAAATTCTTCTTTCGCAGGGTGTTCCTTTGGTCAATACTACACACGCATCCGAATAATTCAACGATCAACAAACTGTGTGGCTATGTGGGGAATCTCAGTCCTGCCGCTCGCCTTGGCTTTGCCATGCGCCAATGCCATCACTCTGCACAAACGGCACGATCCTGCAGTATTCCAACTGCCGATCGCCCGCAGTGATCGACCTCAAACGTTGCAAAAACGCAGTTCCAAAGTTGCCAGCACGGCATTATACAATGTGGTATGAGTCATGCTTCCGATCTGATCAGTTATTTCAGCCTCTGGCACAAGGGTGCGACAGAGACTGTCTCATAGAGCTGATGATGGAAAGCTGTACTGACTCTGCGGATAGCAAAATATGTATTACATGGTGAACATCACCGTCGGCACTCCGGCTCAGAATCTCTCCCTTAGCCTCGATACCGGCAGCACTGACATCTGGGTTAACATCCCAAATTCCACCTACTGTGCGGCAGATGATGATCCCTGCTCCTCTACTGGATTATTCAACTTGGAAGATTCCTCCACCTTCAAAATGCTGGATTATGAGATGAACGCTACCTACGCCAGTGGATTTTTGGCTGCTGGTCACTACGCCACTGACACCCTGGTCATTGGAGGCGCCAAAGTGAAAGATATGGAGTTCGCGGTGGCGGAAAAAAGTCTTAATCCCCGTATGTGCTTTTTTGATCTCTTGATTTCCAAAAAGGAAAGCAAATGGAACCTGACTAATGGTGTGTCCTTCGGGGACTGCGTACAGATGGCATTTTGGGAATCGGATATGCAGCAAATGCTTATGCCGCTACTCATCTCCGCAAGGAATACGCCAGCCTCCCGGAAGCGCTCGTTAAAAGCGGTGCTATCAAGTCGGCCGCATATAGCCTGTGGTTGAATGAATTCGATGGCACTGGGAACCTTCTTTTCGGGGGTGTTAATAAAGCCAGATATCAAGGCGACCTTCAAACTGTGCCCGTTATACCCATACGCGACAACTACTATTCATTGTCAATCGCCTTGACGGATATTTCTGTGAAGAACACCAAGGGCACCAAGAGTTTTGCAACAGGCCTTCCCTTGGCCGTCACCTTGGATAATGGGAGCCCTTTTATCGTGCTGCCCAAAGAAGTGGTCGATCCTGTTTACAAGGAAGTCGGTGGTGGTTATTCTTCAACCGTCGGTGCCGCCTATATCCCCTGCGATATGTACACGGAAGATTACAATGTGACGTTTAGCTTCTCGGGCGCCAAGGTCACGATTCCCATCAGCAACCTGATTTGGGAAAACACCGCTTACGACGGTTTCCCGAAAGATACCTGTATCTTCGGACTTTCCTATGGTGAGCCCGGAGTGAGTCTTATGGGTGATACGTTCTTGCGTAGCGCCTATGTGGTCTACGATCTCGCCAATAACGAAATTTCTCTCGCAAACACCAACTATGACGGGGGAGATGATGATATTCACGAGATTGGCACGGGAACAGACGCGGTTCCCGGTGCGACTTTAATGCCCTCTGCCGTCACCTCGGCTACGGGTCTTGACCCCAGTGCAACCGTAGTTTCGTCGGGCTCTTTGGGATCCGAGCCCACTGGAACCACAGTATATGTCACTGGTACTAGTACTGCGACCGGAGCCGCTAACAGCGGTGGCGCCTCGAGCACCACATCTACTGGAATGGCGGCGATGCCCACCAGTAAGCCGAATCATCTTCTGCCCGGTATCCTTGGTGCTGGCTTGCTGCTTGCATTATAGTTAATTCACCAGTTATCGCTGTACTATGGACACCGTTTGATTCCCTTTGTACTTACTTTACTATTTGCATCTATATTTAATGAACTCGTGGCCACAACTCGAAAGAACGGGGCCTGACATAGTATGCTTCATTAGTTGAATAAATACTATTTTCTCACTACCTGTGTAGAATGATCTACCCAGAGGGCTTGTCTTTCCTTGCAAGAATTGATAAGGCGACTATAACAGTACCAAGAGAAGTAGACCCCGTTAGGTCTTCTTCACATCAAGGAACCATCAACGGAACTCATCATGGTTTGAACTCGTGACTTGTGGATCAGTCAACAAAATTACCTCATTGCCGTTACGCTCTACGAGTATCCTGGCCAAGCCCCATTTCTCGGCGAGATTCCAGTGAAAGCCCATGCGGATGAAGCTGTACGGTCTAGATGCTGTGTGCAGGCTCACGGACCGTTGGGTGATATACAGCATATTTGGCTGACTGTTTGACAGGAAGACGCCGCAGTAGAGCTTTAGTTGGTGTCCCTTAAGAAGGCTTCGGATTAGCAATATTCCTGTTTTGTCACTTACACTATACTTTACATAAAAGTATCACATTGCTTATAAAACAATTCAACACGAAAAGCTGGCTTCGAGGATTGAGCACAGTGTCAATTTCCACACCAACCCGTATTCAAGTGACGATGAATCTCGGTGCTTATTTGGAGTCAAACACCGAGACCGGTGCCTTGCAATACCAGGATTACATACAGACTACTCGCGGCCTTGTTTATTACAATACCTACCTTGTAAGTCAGTACTTATTATTGTCTGACGCCTCGTGCTCCCTCCTGGTATATGCCAACACACGGTGGTTTACCACTAGGTACCAGTCTTTTTTTTTTTTTTTTTTTTTTTTTTTTTTGCTGGCTCCTGGTTTTGAACTGACTAAACACTCAAAGTTTTGTTTTGATATATAATATGAGGTACCGTGCCTCTTAAAAACGGTGTCGCCGCGTGCACCTCCTGATTGTTTGTCTAACCCTGGTTGCCAAGATTCATGTTACTATACTAGGGTTAGGTCCGGAATACCAAACATTTCAGTATTTTACTCTCATCAGCCCTAGCCAATGTATGGATAGAAACCATGTTCAGTGACTTGCGACCCCGCACCAGTTCTATACCCAGGCACGTCCCGTCCCGAGCATAGACTTTGCATCCACTTTCCTCATAAGAGTAATCGTGACATGTCCTCCACTCAACCACCACAAGATTATTATGCCATTCTACAGATTCCGCAAAACTCAGACCCAGATACTATCAAGACCAATTAGAGGCGTTTGGCTTTGGCAAGGCACCCTGATAAGAACCGAAATCCGAATGCCAAAGCCGAATTCCAGCTCGTAGGACCGCTTTGCCTATGTCTTGTCTTCGCTAAATTGTGATTAGCTTCATGAAGCATATTCAATCCTTGCTGATCCAGAAGCTCGCCAAGCTTACGACGCCCAATGTCGCGCTTCAAGTACCCAACAATCGACGGACCAGCCGAACAGCCCAGAGGCACAGAATGAGAACAGGGAGAAGCCTTCAATGAAATATCTACAATCAAAACTTCGGCAGCTCACCGAAATGCTCAGGGACCAGGAATCTCACCTACGAGATGCGCGGGCAAACTTGATGAAGCTTCACACATATCTAGCAAGTCTAGACAATGCGGTTCGATTAATGGAGCAAGATAAGGCATCTGGATCGACCGTTTGGAATTACCTGAGCTCATTCCTTCCTGGAGGGGCGGCCAGGATTGCGGAGCAGGCACAACAGTGGGATCGTTTATATCGCGAAAAGATTGCGATACGACGAATTAAAGAGACAGAAAAAACCAGACGATTGGCGGAAATTCAAGCGCATGAAACAATCGCTGAGTCATTTCGACAACAAGCCTTTTCGGTAGAGTCGGAGATCAGAAGAGAGAAAGAGAAGGAATACCAGGCGTTCGTAAAGAAAATGGCAGATCAGATGAAGAGAACACGTTCAGCACGGAGTCAATCCCATCCACAGAGATCCACCACCACAACACCATGCCAGCATCAAAACTGGTGGAATCGGGTTGAAGGTCGCTTTCGATGTAGCAACTGCAGGGAGGAAACTCGGCGCTTTGCTTTTAAGTGCCCGGGATGTGAGAAAACAGCCTGTGCATCCTGTAGAGATGATCTCAGACGGAGAACGTGTTGATTTAATCATAAAATTGGCCAATATTATGATGAACGTCGTGTTTGAAAGGGCCTATCCATCTTTGCTCTGTAGCAGGTAATACTTCAAAAACCTAGGGTCATACTATAGAAAAAACCATCAGGAAATTCACAGTATGATGCATAGAATCTGCGAGATTTCGCGGGCATTTGAAGGCTCACCCAAAGAATGAGAACCCAGATCCCACATCCAAACACTCAGTGGGGTGATCTATCAGAGTAGCACTCGCTCGATCTCCACTATACTGGTAGTTCAGACCGGCCCTTGTCCGGGCGCTGATTGTTCAGTCAAATTTACGATACGGCGCAAAATGAACAGGACGTTCCCTGAATCAAAATACAGGAGAAGGATATATACCTGGTGAGGATGAGGCATGCAACGGACTTCAAAGAAGGGTCTCTTCGCTGATCGATTGGGAGCATTCCTTATTAGGCCCCAAAGCTGCGTAGCTGAGCTTTCCATCAAAGACGACGGCCGGTGACCGCGGTTCACCATGATGTTTTTGAGAAATATGGTCCGATGAGTCACTGCGTCTCTCAGCATACCCAAGTTGGAAGAAAGCATAAGCATAGCCGGAGGTACGCTGGCGAAGGAAGAGCTGTTCACGCATGCGGAAGTCGTCACTAGGTAGAAGCTTTTAGTTGTCATCAAGTGCGAGAAGGGCCTGGTAAGCGTGGCACAGGATGACTTCATGTGGCAGATGTGGGCAGAGTTCAATCTTGCTTATATCCGAGATGAAGAGAATAAGGCTGCTCTGAGTCCCATTTTTAATGACATGTGTCCTGAAGTGAAATCTATGGGCGTGCGGGAATACATGGGAAAAGGTTTGGATTACACAACATATTGACTCAAGTCAAACCTGCGATGCACTTACGGGTTTAGAGGTGGGGAATTTAGATGTGAGGAATACAGTCGATACAATCCAATACAATGATTACACGCTTGCCACGACTTGTAAAATGAGTTATGTGATTCATTGACAGAGGTGATCCGGAATAACTCCCCAAGTGGATTAGTGTCTCTTGACAACCAGGGTTCAAGAAACAAGGAAGAGTGTAGGGGGTGACACCAGTTTCCAGACGTAGTGTATGCCTTCAACTCAGAGAAGAACTCCTCGATAGTAGTTAAGCTAGGTGAATAAGGTGGTAGATACACGAGCTTTATTCCTGCTTCCATGCACATGTTCTCAATGCGACCAGAACGGTGGAAAGATGCGTTGTCCATAACAAGGGAGGATTTTGGTTTTGGCCATCGCTCACAATGTCGAAGAAGCTGATCAATGAAACCCTCGAAGACTACAGCATCTGCGAAGCCCTGAAATATACGAGATAGCAAGATTCTTTCTTCGCAGTTTGCAGGCAGTACATCTGGTACTGCTGACCCCGAAGGAAGTTGACTACCTGCAATGGTGCCGTGTCTAATAGAGACCAGATAGTTCCTCGTAACCTAATTCGTTTATCACATCCAGACTCATCGACGTAAACCAAGTGATAGGATTGAAATTCGAATAGCTTATGCATGTAGAAATCTCCTAGATCCGCGTTCTGTTCCTCTGCTCTCTGTTGAGCCACTTTCTTTAACAGACCCGCCAAAGCAAGAGCCTGTTTGAGGCTCGAACTTATGACCTAGACACGTAACTCGTCCCACTAAAAGATTGCCATCTCGTCCGTTGCCTTTTTCAGGCGGGCCGGGCCGAGAAGTCCCACACGAAGCAACCTTGGAATTTGATGGAAACTCAAAGATCGTGCGGGGTAGTGCGAACCAGTACTGTACTGAGCAAAATCTGGGACAAATCACCCAAAGATTCGCTGCTGAAGTTTTTTCAGACACAAAGAAGTGTAACGAAGTAATCCTGACCGTGCTCGTATTGTCCAATTGGTAGTTAATGGCTATTGCATCTTGCCTCTTTCGGGTTTGATACCACCTTGCTCCGTGACACCGTACGACTCGAATAAAATACGATCACCTCCAAAAACCTTGGCAAAATAGGTTGATCTCCTGCTTCCTCATTCCTTACACATTCTGGTTCCATAGAAGGCCAACAAAGTTATCTGGTTGCCTCCAGCTGATTTATCCCCTTGCATCCAAAATCCCTCCGCCGAGATGCCCAACAGCACCTCGTCATCCAAACTTCGCGTAGCTATCATAGGTGGCGGAATTGCCGGTCTTTCTGCTGCTGCATTCCTCCGGAAAAACCGTCATTGCAGTATCATTGTCTATGAGCGTCGTGATGCAGACTCTCAGGAGACTTCCGCGGGGCTCGGGCTCGGAGCTAACGGCATCTCCATTGTCAAGCAGCTCGGAATTGACAGAAAAGAGATTAGTGGGGTGGTGGGCGCCGGGTACCGGACTTATAACATCCACGAGAAGGAGATAAGTAAGTCCCGGGTTGGTGATGAGCAGGACGGAGATTGTGGTTTGTGGCTTGTATATCGACAGGATCTCAAGGACGCGTTGTTGCGGAGAGTCACCAGTGAGGATGAAGATGGAGAGGCTATCAATGTATTATACGGCTGCCATATTGTGAACGTTGATCCAGAGGCTGGTGTTGTTGAATTTGCAGACGGAAGCTCTGTCGAAGCCGATCTGATTATCGGTAAGTAGAAGACTATGAAACTCAGCAACGGTTAAATGAATAACCTCCTCCAGGCGCAGATGGAATTCGTTCAAAGGTCCGCGGAGCCGTCATCCCAGCTTCGCACCCAGAGCCCACCCCGTGCGGTCTTTCAATGTATCGATTCGTCATTCCAATGGACGTCGTGATGAACACCATCACGACCAACGGAACTATTCCAGCTATGTACAACTACGACGACGGCATCTTCATAGCAGTTATAGCTGCTGGAGATAAAGGCAACCGTAACGTAATTATGTATCCCTGCCAGGGGCATAAGCTGATGAATTGCGTCTGCGCTGTCCCGGACTCGAGTCTCAAGAGCTCAGCCAAGCTTGAATACTCTTGGAATGCCAAGGGGAGTGTGGAAGAGCTATTAGAGGAGATCGAGGACTTCCCCGAGTGGTTGAAACGAGTCTTTAGGTGAGCTTTGAGCACTATACTTCACCGGGCTAAGATTTGCTGGGCTGACGAAAGCCGCCCAACCAGCCGCACCCCTCAAGTAGCGCTATTCCAAGTCCGGGACCAGGAGCCCTTGCCCACGTATTTTAAGGGCCGAACCGTTTTGATCGGCGATGCTGCTCATGCCATGGTGCCTTATCAAGCCCAAGGCGTCAACCAGACTTTCGAGGATGTGGAGGGTCTCAGCGTTCTATTTGCAAACATCTCCGACCGTGACAAGGTCCCCGGTATCTTGCAAATCTGGGATAGCATTCGCCGGCCACGGGCATCGGAAATTCAGACGGGCTCGCGGGCTTCTCAAGCTAAGATTGCGACAAAAAGCGCAGGTGATGCCATTCTGTCGGTAAAGCCTCATGTGGGTATGAAAGAAGCTCTTGAGCAGCTGGAGTAATGGCATATAATAATACATCCTGACCTCCTCAGGATTGACTGTTTGCCTTGTGGAATGAAATAAATCTCAGCGCTTTACAAATCAAAAGGAATTTTTCGGAGGCTCGAGAGGTAACCATCACTTGTCCTGTCTTCAGCAATAAGTAAAATGGGTTCAAAATGCCGGATCGAGGCGGGAATTGATTGACTATTGGTGCCCTTTCGGTGGAAGTGGTTCACGAGACTTGGCTGTGAGGAGGTTTCGATGCGGCGCTCCCCGGTACGAATACAGCAGAACATACTTCCCCAGGAATGGGACTTCATGAAGTTGCGCGCCGATTATATATACCTCGTACTAGACTTCCGCAGAACCCAACTTAACTCGAACCCAACCCAGACTGGGTTGGGTTTTGTGGAAGTCTACTAACGGGAAGACGATGCACTGCTATTAAACAAAAGCGCAAGTCTTGCTGTGTAATAAACTGGTTTTCATGAACATAGTGATGGTAATCTTCACAAATTGAGAGCGTCGAGTTAGATGATGCTCTAGCCAGCAACAGCCACCATATATTCTTTTGGCGGTACCGAATAGCCCACTCTTCTTGAGTCACTCATTCCACGTCAAAGTAGTTACCCACAAGGTCCAGCAAAGGATCACTCGCAATTGCCATAAATAAACTCTGTGCATGCCAAGCCTGGTAGAAGAACAGCAGTAGCGGCAGAGTGATCCCGGTCGGTGTACCGAGGCCATCTAGACTTCAAGTGGCACCCGTGAGCATAATATGCCGCTGGGTATATAAATTTCTACACATTGCGATTTCTCAATTGTTTAACAATATTAGCACAAAGGTCTCGACGCGTGTTTATGCATTACAATTGCCCGGCTTTAGCTTCCTGCCTTTTGTATTTTCCTTTTGCCAATTTTCGGGTCTCATTGAATGCAAGTGGCTATGTTTTTTATATCACGACGTAGCAACTAAGCCTGTTCCCTAGCCTCGTTCTCAGCGAGGTTCATGTCTCCTGCTTTTAATGCCGCCCACAGATCAGGAAACTCGTAAAACCGACTACGTTCACCCAGATTCATCTTATTTGCGACTCCAGATACCATAGACCCAGCATCAACCAACAACTGTGCAATCTTCAATCGGTCGTTACTGAGCATCTCACCTTGACGACCATAGTATACTCCCGTGTCAAGAGCAAGATGCAATGCTGTCGGGCCATGACCGGGGCTCCAACAGGGGAAGTCCATGTTCTTTGTTACTGTACTTGCATGTACATCCACACCAAGATCGAGCAGCACCCGGACAATGTCCAAATGACCACCCATGGCTGCAAGATGGAGAGGTGTGCCTGCCCAGGGACTTGACAAGTATAACCCTGTCGGTTTGTCATTTCGATCATTCCACGCATCAGTGGAACAATGGATATCTGCACCTTTGGCAATCAGAGCCTGAACCATCGCTGCTTGGCCTCGATAGCACGCGTGGTGTAGTGGTCGCCAACCATAGCAATCGCCAGCCTCAATTTCGGCATTGTGATTCAGCAAGACTAATAACAGATCGATGCTGCCGTATACTACTGCCGCGTAAACGGTTGGGCAAACTTCACGACCTAGGTATCGATTTAAGATGTACTCAGGGGCAAGGCGTAACAGGCTTGACATGACCTCGGGATTGGTTTGGGGATTCAACAAAGCGAGGTCTGCCTCGCATTTAGATTTTCCAAATTTGGTATGCTCATGAGAACTGCTTCGAATCATCAGCAATTTCACTTTCTGAAGTTGATAGAAATACTCACCGCGGGTCCGTCTCATAATCCGCTGTTAACAAGCTTTCAAATATGTGGGCATGACGCAACATAGCAGCGCATTCAATTGCACGGAGACCCTGATTGTCAAGGATATCGATTCGCGCGCCATGTATAATTAACGATTTTAGAAGGGTCTCATTACCCTGCTCTGCTGCGAGATGCAGTAGCGTGCGCCCTTGGAAGTTGGCTCTATCCAGAGCGCCTGCTTGCTTCAGACAGTGACACAAATACACGACGGGATCGTCTTCCTTCGGTACATTTCCCAAGAACATTGACCAATGAGACTCATTTGGGTGAGACAGTGCGTATTCCAGCAGAAGTTGCAGATCTTGCGAGTTTCCGTAGACTGCGGCATTCAGGATTGGGTCAAACGCAAGGGACGAGAAGCCGTAGACGTCTGCACCAGATAACAATAGGTCTTCAAGTATGTTTCGTAGGCCACCAATACTGGCCGCCAGATTAAGAGGAGTTGAGATTTTGGGGCCATTTTTGATGCGTTCTTCGACTTTCATCCTGCTTCCGCCTTCATCTTCGTCCTCATCTTCGTCCTCTTCGTCCTCATCATCCTCCTCGTCGTTCTTCATTCCGGCCTTTTCGTCCACATTCGGGCTCACCTGATCAGTCTCATTGAAATTTACATCTGCGCCAGCAAGTATGAGGAGTTTCATAATAGGCCTGAGCCTGGTTTCCAAATCCCCGGCAGCGTCTCTCTTGCTTTTAAGGTCTAGAAATGACCGAAGAAGCGTGATGAGCGAGCGATCCGGTGCTTTGAACCCGTTTTGCAACAGGAAGCGAACCGGACTGACTTCGAGTTCCTTGATGGCACATATCAATGCTCTCTCTGGAATAGTATTTGTGGGAAGGATGGCCCCTAGGGAAGTTAAAGCATGGACGACTTTCCACCGACTGCTGAGTAGGGCAATGTCGAGTGCTGTGTGCGAGTCATCCTCCACATCGTTGAAATAACTTCTATTTCCTTCCCACGTTCGTTGTGTTATCATTCGCGAGCGTATACCACTTCTCGGGTACTCACAAAGCTGTGAAGGTCTCAAGACTGGTTTATTGAGGAGACTCTGAGAGAATTTATGGTCTTTGTTTTGGCAAAGCAAACAAATCACCTCTCTGAGATCAGCCTCGTCGACATTATCATCGCAGCGAGACAGATAATGCAAAGGTATTCGCCCTTCACAGTCAGAAGCCTCAACAGAGGCACCTGCTTCAACCAGAGCTTTCACTAGTGGAACATGAGGTTGCAAGACAGCAAAGTGCAGCGCTGTCATCCCTCTATGTTCCTTCAATGAAGGATCCGCTCCTTTGGAAAGGAGGAATGTTACAATCCCCATGGTTTTCTCTTCTGGTGTTTGAATCTGATCCGCGGGATTTTTCCGACGAAATTTGTCGTTGCGACCTAGCAGAAATCCGCAAGCCTGCATAAGTGTAGATGCACCTCTCCTCGCAAACCAAAAATTGAAGTCTTTCGTGCTGAGACGACTATTTATGTGCTGCGATAGTTCGCAGTACTCCTGGGTCTGCTGGGGGTTTACAGCTGCTCCACGGTCGACAAGGGCGATGATTGTATCAAGGTACCCATTCATAACGGCCTCGTGAAGAGCTGTACGTCCGTCACTGAGTGCGGCGTTGATATCTGCCCCATGGTCTGCCAAACATTCAACGTATCGAGCATCACTGCGAAAGGCGGCGTACCAGAGTGGATTCCCAGAATTGACATCTGCACCAGCTTTAATGAGCATCTGCAGAACTTCCCATTGACTGTCACGGATTGCACATTGCATTAGGACCGATTTCCATTCCGTAACATCGGCTCTGCGATTCTTGAGATCTTGCCTGCCAACGCCGCCAACGTGAGGTATGGTGTACCCAAATCCACAGTGATACTCCGCCTTTCCAATGACTCGCCACATATTGGCCGTGAATCTCGTGGTATCGAATGCTCCTTGCCTCCAGATGGCGTTGAATTTTGGGGCAGGCAGCTTGTTATCAGGGATTTCCAAATAATGCACCAGCTCGCAAAATATGTCCACAGCATTTTGATCAAGCTTCTGTCGCTGTGCAGCCACAATGATTGGGGGCAGTGCATCGGCATATGACTCGACCTGCTCCTGGGACATATTACGGAAATCGAGATCAGGCTGCTGATACTCCGCGTTATGTTCCAGAAGTTGTTTTACAACATTCAATTGTCCACCGACAATAGCCCAATGCAATGCTGTCCATCCGAACTTGTCCCAAATACGATGATCTTCACCATTTTCAAGCAGCGCGCGGACCTGAGCTAGGTTTCCTTGATACGCCGACTGAGGTAACAGCCCCTGAGGAGTATGGCCTGCGATATCCGAGGCAGCCATAATTCTTTGCTCGGATCGATAAATCGATCAGTTGGGTGTTGTTCCGAAGATTAGACACCCGCCAGACCCCTTTTGGTCTCCGCCATGGCTTGGCGCCCCAAGGACGATAGGCGAGACCTAGTGGGAACTAGCGGGAAAAAACCACTTGGCTCGTAAGCTTCTGGACAACACCGAAACCCCATTCAATATATTGTGCGCAAAGCCCCCCGGATCCATTGATTACCTCCAAGGTGCACTGTCAGGAACGATACCATTCGCCTTTCATTTACAATAGAGTTTGTCCCCTCTTGATGGCAAAATATTTCATGATCTGAGCCACAGTCCGCTTTTGTGTGGACACAACAGCTTGGATAATGCTTGATTATATTGGGAGACATTTATCAGAGTCATATAGATCCAGGCTACTCGAGAGGAATGAAATAAAACTTCGACTAACACCCGTTATCCGTGGAGATATTGTACCGCGTTAGGGATGACCTTCTCCAAATCAACGATATTGTCACATGCGGCATATATAAACCGGTCAGGGCGGACAACGACAAAGCCGTTTCCTTCAAGCGCTTTGCCAAGATAGAGAGGGTCATAGTATTGCGGTTCCGGCCGACCGCGACATAAAGATGACTGAGCGAATTCTTCAGCAGTAGCTAGCCGGAAGATCGATAATAGGTCTCTTGTTGCCTCGGTTGATTTTGCGCCTGTGTCTTCAATAAGGTATGTCACTTCTGTAGAACGAATCTCTCCTTTGGAGATCTCCTCAATCTGAGACACTGATTGCCGAACAACATCCAACTCATCAACAGAGCCAAGATAGACCAACAGTTGGAATAAACCTTTCTTTTCTTTCGAAAAGAGCACATCGTCTGAGAACATCACCTTTTCACTCCCAAGTTGCTTACAGTACACCTGTGGAAGGCAAAGTCCTCCTTTGTGGCTGGGATCAAAAGGCAAGCCTGGTGAATGATTATACTTCACCAGTCCCTCTTTTCGGTATCCAAGTCTGAAATCCCGCCTCCATCTTGGGATAAGGTGCATGAAGAATAAAGACCAGTCGCGTATGAAAATTTTGATGGGATTGCCTTCTGTAACAAATTCGCCATTTTTTATCGTTGCTGCCAGTGACCTCTCCAGTTGCTGTTTTCGCTCGACGTACCAACCCGACAGAACTTCCTCGTGGTTGTTTATTGCCACTGTCTGTCGTCGGCAGAGAAGCACCAGACGCCAGGCTAAGGAGACGGCGTCGCGGAATCCAGAGGCAATTCCTTGGCCGCCAACTGGTATACGATGTTAGACTTTACGAAGTCACTGGTGTCAGATATGGAAAGACTTACACGGAGGAAAGACATGTGCAGCATCACCACAAAGGACTACTCGCCCATGAGACCATCTGTTGCAGCTCCTTGCGGAAAATCGGAAAGGTCGTGAACGAAGGACACGGATGCAATCCTCTGGAAATTGAACATCTTCCACAATTCTGCCAATGGTAAGTATGTTTTTGCTGCTTGCAAAAGATCTCGATCTTACCCGTATCGACTCCCCGGGTGTGTAATATAGGGAAAGACAACTTTCTCGATGTTCTCAGGCTTGGACATCTCTTCCCCGTCTTCCCCGGGGCGCACAACAAACTCAAACCGCCATAGACGGTTGGAGGGCAATCCAAAGCGGCCACATACAGCCGGTCGCTCCGGATTACAGACAAAACGGAAGTTTACTGGGAAGAATAGATCATAGACTTGCTCAGGGGTATATCCAAGTCTCCACAGTGCAAAATCGGGATGTGTCTTTTCATTAGGAAGGCTGATTTCCCAATTAAGTGCTACCCAAGTTTCGTCATAGAATGCTCTAAATTCAAAAGTTAGTGTCAAGTGCGATCTCGGGTTAAGATACTCACGTATGTGCTTGTTCCATGTGAATACCAAGCGGCTCGAGGAAATTCTTTCGAGTAAAGCCAGTTTTGCCATCGGCACCAACAAGGAACCGGGACCGAATGCCGTGGGTAAACCCATCGGCATCATTATATTGACTGTATACGTGGTCCCCTTCTTCGCGAATCTCAAACACACTAGCTCCAGTGTGCAATTGACAAAATTCGGACTTCATCGCATCTCGCAAGTGTTTCTCGAGTATCGGTTGCTTGTGACAGATAAAGCCTACATGTCCTGTGCCACCTTCAGTCTGTAGCTGTCAATATTAGGGCCCTACACTGATAGGGTAGATACACGAACCGTTCCATAGTCCATCTCCAGGAAGGGCTTTTTGTCTAGAATCTTCTCGGTTCCTCCGATAAACTTGAACTTGGACATGCCTTGATGGTATTTGAGTATAAGAAAAAGTGAGCTTCAGGACACGTAACTCACACGTTCCAATGTCAGAATAAATCTGATCGTAAATTCCAATCCCCTGAAGCATCCGAATTCCATCCTCATCCAGCGCAATACCACGGGGATCAGTCGTAATTTCTGGTTCCTTTTCTATAACAATGTGAGGAATAGACATTCTCCCGAGATAGGCAGATAGCATGGCTCCGGTAGGCCCGCAGCCACAAATGACCACATCGGTGGTTTCATAATTTTCTTGTGCCATGTTGATATTGAGAAGGAAATCTGACCGACGAGGTCAGCGAGGACAGCAAGTGACGTGTTTAAAGGACGTTCAGATCAAACACCATGTCGTGCCCCTGTGCATATGCAGTGCAACCCCTAGTGTGGGACAATACATCGATATGCATCAACATGGCATGGATATCCGTATTTCCGATTATATCCGAATGCGGGGATGAAGCCAATGGGTCCCGCACCCGCACGCGAGAATGCGGGGCCCGGCGGGACGTGGGGTTGGGCTCCATGTGGCGCATATAGTTCGTCCAGAACTCAGATCGTGGGTTTGTGAAGATTGCTACAACTTCAAATTCTCAACATGGTATGTTGCCCAAGATTGAATTATGAAACATCTTCACTGATTCCATGTCCAGGCCATTCAAGCAAACCACGGCGCCTCAATTGCCGACATCATCGCGATCGGACCTGAGTCCGAGAGTGTTCAGGCATGGCGCGAGCGATGCAAAATCAAGACTAAATCACAGATCCATTTGGTGAAGTTGTCACATATGCGATACCAGCATCCCGATCTCGAGGAGATCACTACTTTCCTTCAGGGTGCGTAGTTACGTGTCTTTATTTCCAACGTTTCACTAACTTGTACTCAGATTTTGGTATGACAATCGCCAAGCAAACGGACGATGAGATCTGGTATCGTGGCTACGGAGTAGACCCTTACGTGTACTACGCCAGGAAGGGCCCAAAGCAGTTCCTTGGTGGTGCATTTGAAGTCGAGTCATACCAAGACTTAGAGAAGTTGGTAGCCCAGCAGTACATTATCATCATAAACGCTAATATAAGATAGAGCAACGCAAATTCCAACGGCTGGCAAGATTGAGGATCTTACTTATGCCCCTGGTGGAGGACACATGGTCACTTTGACAGACCCCGAAGGCTTTGCGATGAATTTAGTTTTCGGGCAAACACCTGCCACTCCCGGCCAATACCCCGAGAAGCTCGAACTGAATTATGAAGCTGAGAAGCCACGAGTCCGCAAATTCCTTCGCTTCCAGCCCGGACCTGCCGCAGTTCATAAGGTTAGTGACTCCCACCCATGAGTATCATCATTTGAGCATGGCGGTTAATGAAATCAAAGCTTGGTCATTACGGATTTTGCACTACCAATTTCGAAGGTCTCGTTGAATTTTACACGAAGAACTTCAACATCGTCCCAACAGACTTCCTCTACGTCGAAAAAGAACAAAAGAAGACAAATGTCGCACTATTTGCCCATATTGACCGTGGCGACAAGCCTGTTGATCATCATTCCCTTTTTATGAGTTCCAACCCAACAAGTCATGTCCACCACTGCTCTTTCGAAGTCCACGATTTCGACACACAGAAGCTTGGTCATCAGTGGCTAGCCAAGAAGGAATACAAGTCTGTGTGGGGTGTTGGTCGCCACATCCTTGGGTCTCAGATCTTTGATTATTGGTGGGATACAACAGGAAACATGATTGAGCATTATGCCGACGGTGATCTGGTCAATGATCGGACTCCTATTGGGTATGGTCCTGCTGGTGATGAGTCTTTGGCTGTTTGGGGGCCTGAGGTTCCGTCTTGGTTCTTGCAGTAATCATTCTTTAAATGGCATCTATAAAATACGTCATTCTATATCATCCATGCGTTCGTTACCTTGTAAATATAGATTCTTAAATATAGATTTCTTACATACAACCATTTCAGGACGATTTCCCTACAATACGGGCCATAAGTCTTTTCCCACCCCCAACATTCAAATCATCTGAATGGCTCACCAAATGCACTTAGAAATCGGCTAGAAAGAGGCATGAAAGGAGGTGGTAAAAGGGTGTCAGAGTTAGGGAACAAATAATGCATAAAAAAGCAGATTTATCTTGGCGTTTTGTAAAACACTTTTCTAATACTTCACACCACTGCGAACAGACTCATGGCCACTATTGTAGGTATGAAATGCAAAAGTCTGGGCCACCATTCCACGATGACGTCTATATCGGCAGTGATAGCCTGAGATCCTGGATTCCTTATCTGGACTCGTTGATTTCGTTCATTGTTAGTCTACCTTCAATATGCTGATCTAGCTGCCAAAAGGCTAGGGTTTTAGGCCACTGTATTCAAGTACAACTCAATTAGGGAGGGCTTCTACATATCTCGAGAATAATGAAATTTGTCATAAGGAGGTCTCGCGCTTCATTGTCTCTTTCTAATCATAGAATTCTATAAGTATTCCGATATACATTGCATCTACGATCACTCCTTATCGACTTTCATACCGGACTTTATTGACCAAAGTTCCAATTTGATCAATCTTAACACAAATCTCATCACCATCACGAAGCACAACTTTAGGCTCGCGGAAGAACCCAATACCAGCAGGAGTTCCAGTAAGGAAGAGAGTTCCAGCTTCGAGGGTAGTACCCTGCGACAAGTAAGAGATCTGCTTCTTAATGTTGAAGATCATATCCTTAGTGTGTCCATCTTGGACAACCGCGTCGTTGTGAATAGCTTGGATTGAAAGAGTCTGTGGGTCTTGGATTACGGATGGGGCAACAAGGACGGGTCCTGTGGTTGACATGGACATTAGCAAACAATTTGCAGTGTTCGACTATGTTGATCTCACCAATTGGGCAGCTGCCGTCAAGACCCTTAGAGAAAGACCATTGCGCGGTAATCATCTGCAGTGTTCGCGCAGAAACATCGTTGGAGGCAGTGTAACCGAGGACATAGTCCAAAGCCTCCTCCTCGGGAATATCGCGACCGGACTTGCCAATAATCAGACACAGCTCGGCTTCGTAGTCACTAGTATCGTCTTGGGCACACTTGGGAATATTGATGGCGGCGGGATAGGGTCCGGCGAGGGCAGTGCGAGGCTTGGTGAAAAGGATGGGAGCTTTAGGAAGGGGGAAATTGCCTTCTTTGGCATGGTCCATGTAGTTCAGGCCCAGACAGCGGATGTAGCTGCATTGTTCCTGTGTTACTGGGGAAAGAAGCTATATGAGCTTTAGTCAGCAAACCTATAGACCGGTCATGCATGCTTCTGGGGAACTGACCTGCTTCACATGCATAACCTCGTCCGTAATGCGGCAATCAAAGATTGTTCCCTCGATCACCTTCGCAGCGATCTCCACTCCGTCGACACTGTCGCGTCCAATGTCACGGGTTGTGTCGACCAGTTGGCCAAGATGAACCTGGCTGTCCTCGACAGCGATGAAACGAATAAGGTGGGTCCAGGAAGGCATTTTGATAATTTTAGCTCAGAATTGAGAATTTGTTGAAACAGGAACTGGGATAGTAGTTCAAATAGACCTGGAATAGCAATTGAGACTTGGGGCTATGTGGGGCCTGGGGAAGGCGGGACCGTGGGACAGTTTTATACTTCACTTCGGACTTCGGGGTATGATTTAGTGCTATGTCCCACATCACTAAATCCGACATTTCGGTCATCTAGTAGAATGTGGGGAGTGTTCAATCTGGTAGAGGGTCCACACTTTCTTAGTTTATTCAAGGCCGCCATTCTGTACAAAGTCGTTCGTCACTATACATTTCACTGACACAAGGAAAGTGAATTTGCAGGAGGGGAACTAAGATACTTAACAAGATCCTCTCTCATTAGAAGTTTAGCGTCTACAGCATGCTGTTTAATTAAGATTTGAACTTCCATTCTTTGTTATACAATATTGATATGATAATTATCAATACTCACAACCTCAGATACCTCTCATCATCCTTGAAATCCGGAACAAGCAAATTCAATATTGAAGTAAAAAGACGAGAAACACCCCAATGCCCAACACGAGGTAAAACATCAACCAACCCACAGAATGTACTCGACTCTGAGATAGTAGGTCGCAGCACTTTGAATCCATTCGCCTCGAATGTCAGCCGCTGACAATTAATTCCAATTTTCTGCAATTCAGGGAACTCAACGCTCGGATGACAATTATTTGTCATCTCCGCGCCAAATTCCGTGTAACAGAACCAGATAACTGCAGCTCGAAATATAATTCGAGGAATATGTATTGGAGGCTCTGTTCCGATTGGGCTTTTCTGCAGTTCGCGGAGAATGATTGCCGCGTGAAGTGCACATCGTTGCCCATCTGGTGATGAGGCCCATTCTCGTATGTACTCTCTTTGGTTTTCGGATTCAGTGAGACCTTCTTTTCCGATTGCCAATTCTATTCGGTTGATGTCTGCATGTAATGAGATGAAAGCAGAATGCCACAGTACAGCAAGAGAGTAGGTCTCGGCGTTTTGGGCTCCGCTCGGGGATATTTTGGTTTCGTAAAGATTTATCAAAGCATTTTCGTAGGAACTCTGTTGTTCTAAATTGGCTGTGCTTTTGGCTTCCATTGCTGAAGCTGCGAGACTCTCCAGCTCCAAGTAGGTATGGAAACCGTTGGTCATGGTGTTTTTTGAAAAGCTCAGTTCATCAGGAATCCTGGTTGATGGTCGTAAACTGCTAGCATATGAATGCGATCCTGAAAGATGCGTAATCATTTTTTGTGACCATTCTTTTGCTGTCTTCGCTAGCCAGGGTTCATCATCAGACAGAAGGGGAAGCTTAGATGGCGAGTGACGAAAATATGGATCTGAAATGAACAGTTCCGAGATTTCGACATCATGGATATGGATACCCGCAAGAAGCCTTGGAAGCTATTAGAAATTTAATCAGCCCATGGTGCAACAAACTCACCTATTCCGTTCTTCCGCTTGAATCCATGTCTTCCATGCTCTTTCTGGTGTGTGGGTGATGTCACTTAGGCTCACGTATTCTGATGCTTTCTTCATCATTTGAGACCCAGTAACTCTTTTTGCCCACTAAAGTACAATGACTTAGCTCTTCGTCAACTTGATTAGAAATATTCCACTTACAACTACAAGTGTCCCGTGAAACGTCTGGGCGATAAGCAAATCCTTCTGCCTCTGTTCGTAATGGTTAGCTGCTTAGCTGTGAGTACAAAGGTTGACCTACTCCGGACAGCAGCCCAAAAGTCTGCCCTATAAGAGCTGCCTGGATCATAGCTATGGTCTCCAGTCCTTGGCGTGAAAAGTACCCCTCCCACTACAGCAAGTCAGCCGGTATCCATCAACTCAATCATACGATCTGTTGCGTACCGATGATAGAATCGCTTTGTTTAGCGTCTCAAATATCTTCATCCCTTGAGAGGCGGCATAGGATGATCCCACAAATAGACTTCCAATAGAGCAGATGGACAGTAAAAGTAAAGAGCTTTTCGAGGATGGGCGAAAGGTTGGTGCGTGAACAATCGGAAAGACAGGGTGGAATTTCGTGAAATACATTTGAATACATAAATTCTAGTTTGTTAGAGGGTGGAGCAGATATCTGGTCGTGAAGTCCAAGCTTACCAAGAAATCTGTCGATGGAAGAGGTAAAAACGGTATGTCTGGTTGAAGCTTAACAGCCAAGCTAGCTCGATAGGCTTCGTCCACTTGGGTTTGTTCGGGTATCATTTCAGGGGTGATATGGCCGGTTCTGGATAGACCTAGCCACGTGGGACCCATATAGGTATGCCAATGAGTACGTATAAGCTCTTCGCGTGGTGGAGTGTTGTCTTCCTCTTGAGGCTGGATAATTGGGACCGTTGGTTCATTCTGAGAATTCGATAGATGCCCTGGAAGCCACTTTGTGGTTGACATTATAATCTCTGAATTCAAAGCACTCAAATCAAAGTCATCGTCTGCAAACCAGGCTGGTATTTGGATATTAGAGTCTTCAAACATCCAAGAACCATGCTGGGTGAGATCGGCGAAAGATGAATCGAGGGTTGTCAGTCGGGATTGAGATCCGGGTGTTGGAAATCCCGGCGTATTTTTTTCTTTGTTCTTCTAGTTGTACTGGGGCGACCTCTTGAAAATCGGACGTGGCTGTGGCTTGGTTGGCAAATGAATAGGATGTCGACCGAGTATTGATTCCGCCTGGGTATTCAGATCCAACTGCAGATGACTGATGCGGGGGTGTCGGAAGCTCCCTATAATCGGGTGACTGTCCATATGAAGACACTTGATGGTTGTGGGATTTCTGCGGTGCATCATTCGTATTGTCCATGGCTGCTCTTGCCTCTACTCCCTCTTGCAGAACGCTGGAGGGATGACACCTCATATGTCGCAAAAGCGAATCACTGAGACAATGTTCAGTGTTTTTCTGACCTCCTTCTGTGGACACAAGAGATAGAACATACTGACGACTAAACGGCTTTCTGCAAATCGGGCAGATAAAGGGCTTTTCCCTGGTATGTGTTCTCACATGGCGTGCCAGGTGTTCATCCTTTGAAAAAGTCTTTGAGCACCAAGAGCACAGACGCTCACGTTTGGTTCGCAAACGTTCGCTGGGCATATTTGATGTGAAGTGTGTTAGATGTGAGTTGTGGGGATGAGAGGTGCAGACGTGGCGAAGCCAGTCCGGGGGTGTGGCGGTGCAAAAACGGGAATTTCAAATCCTGATGATGACCCTGCAACACTTCTGAACAAATCAATTGCTTAGGGGTCGAGCTAATCCGTGTGTCCGCCGTGCGTTGAATACAAGTCCAAGTTCCGGGTGTCCCGCATGTCGTGTGTGTCCCACAAAAACGCGGGACCGAAGGCGAACACCCTCACTGCAAATCAGAACACGCACGTTAAGCCAATAAAGCAGATTAAGCTCAGCTTGTCATGGTGGCCCCGCGTTATCAACTCTGGGGTAAATGGGGGAAGCTATCCCTGGAGTGGATATTATGCGAGGTGGCCCATTGTTTGGGGATTTTCTTCATTCCATTGAGACATTCTACTGCATAGGGACTGATACCGAAGTAAGAGACCAACATGACATTTCTATCTCAGGAATTTTTTATCAGACAGACTACCAGCACTGTCCAGACAGATATCATCCCTGGAACAGACTTGATGAGAGAGGGCGAGGGCATCCATTTGACACACGGGGCCAATCATGATATACAGTGAGTCATTTGAACTATTATGTATTCCGATTCATACTCATATGAGAACAGACTCAATCCCTGTCCATCGCAAGATCCGAGTGACCCCTTGAACTGGTCCAAGCCATGGAAATGTGAGTATACAGTTCGCAATATGTTATCTGCACTAGCTAACCGTGCTATCCAACTAGACCTGGTTATAACTACCCAGTTTCTATTCCTCTTCGTCTCTGTGGAATCGGCTTTATCGATGGGACCAATGTTTCCTCTATTTGCAGCCGAGTTCCAGCTCAATGATACACAGCTTAGTCTCTTGACAGGAGCATGTGTACTAGCTCTTGGATTTGCCAACTTTATCATCGTTCCTTGTTCCAATATCTTCGGTCGGCGTCTGACGAGTCTCGGTTTCTGCTTGCTGGGCATTGCTTCGTGCATATGGCAAGCTTTGGCCGTGTCTTATAGCAGCATGCTGGCTGCACGTGTTGTGAATGGAATTGCTACTGCTACTAGTGAGACGCTTTTAGTGCAAGTTGTGGCAGATATGCTTTTCCTTCATGAGAGGGGTCTTTGGACGGGTGTGTATTTGTGAGTGTAATCTCTCTTACTATCAGCTTTCTCTGACATTTGAAAGCATGGGGTACTTCTTAGGTTTGTTTATTGGTCCTATCATTTCAGGCAATATTGGGCAAAGGTGAACATCCCGCATTTCCGCATTTCACAATGCCGGATAATATGAAACTAATATTTACTGTTCAGATATGGCTGGCGAAGCTTCTTCTGGCTATCCCTAGCTCTCACTTGTTTCAACTTTATCACCCTCCTATGCTGCTTCCCAGAAACCAGGTTCCGCAGAGACACACAACCAGAAACCTCTCGGCTTGAATGTGAAGCTCTGGCCGCTCACAATACTAGCAAAGTAGAAACAGAGCAGCTCGAGAGTATCGAACAACGCAGCAACATTGTGGGCGCCGGCAGACCATCCAGATCCCAGTTCAAGCTCTGGCAAGCCCCAGAGCCAGCATGGAAATCATTTTTACTCCGAGATATCATCTCACCATTTCGCCTATTTCTTTTCCCAATCATCCTCTGGGCAGCACTTAATGTAGCCGGCCCCGCCAACGTCCTCCTATTCTGGAACTTGACAGAATCCGCCATCCTCAGCGCCCCTCCATACAACTTCTCGCCATCGAGTGTGGGATACTCAAATTTTGCCTTCGTCGTTGGTGGTTTGGTTGGTCTTGTTACCGCGGGTCCATTTTCCGACTGGATTGCTGTGAGAGCCACGGAGAAGAATAATGGGATACGAGAAGCAGAGATGCGCCTGCCAGCTCTTATTCCCTATCTCATGTTTACTGTCGTCGGTATTGTGATTGGCGGGCTGGGTTATGATCGACTCTGGGACTGGCCTGTTGTGCTAGTTGTCGGTTATGGCTTCAGTGGGCTTTGCGTGACCACTGTTCCTACGATAGCTATTGCATACGCTGTTGACTGCTATAAACCAATCTCTGGTGAGATTATGGTTGTTGCTACTGTTATTAAGAACACTTGTGGGTTCGTGATGAGTTACTGGGTCATGCCTCTGGCGGCACGGAGGGGTTTCATCGTGCCTGCTATGGTAGAGTTTGGGTTGACGATTGGACCAATGATTCTGGGGCTTCCTATATATCTCTTTGGGAAACGGTTGCGGAGGTTGACTCGCAATTCCAGTGTACATGGTTATGCAGGGTGATTTCTGTAATGAGGTAGCATAATATAATTCGGGTGTGTAGTTCAGGGCATGGCTACATAGCGGAGTATGTAAGGCACAGTACTTAGGAGAGACCGATTCGTTGTAGGCACTCAATATCTGCAATCTGATAATTAAAAGGATGAGGACTGCCAGCAGGTTGATTCGATTTACTACACAGAAGGCCTGTTCAAGGAGTACAAACTGCATGGAGTGGGTGTGGATATATAGGTAGCAAGTGGGTCCGGTTGATCCTAGCAACAGGGTGACAGGTGTGATACGGTTAGATATAAATTCTAAGAAATGGCAGAACTAGGCACACAATAATTTATGAAGTGACAGACCCTATATAATAGCACAATTGCTATATCTAAAGTGCATCCACACTGGCAATGAGAAAAATGAGATCCTCCAGTGACGTTGCGCCTATCGATAAGCACCTCACGTGATCGCCAACTTTTTTTTCTCCCATGAACATCTGCAACATCTGGACTACAGCCACCACTCCACTGTCGCCCATCATGTCCGACGAAATTGTGTGGCAGGTTATTAACCAGCAATTCTGCTCTTACAAGCTCAAGTGAGTTCTATTTACCACTGAAACGCCTATCGTATTTGAATTTGCGTTGGCAGACAGACGAAAATCAGGAAAAGCCGCTAACGATCGACTTTTTTCTCGATAGGACGACGAAAGACCAAAATTTTTGTCGCAATGAATACAATGTCAGCGGTCTCTGTAACCGCCAGTCTTGTCCGCTAGCCAACTCGCGCTATGCGACAGTGCGAACCGACCCCGAAACAGGCGTGATGTACCTGTACATGAAGACCGTCGAACGTGCCCACATGCCGAGCAAATGGTGGGAGCGTGTGCGCCTGTCCTCCAACTACGCCAAGGCCCTCGAACAGCTTGACGAGCGTTTGATCTACTGGCCCAAATTCCTCACTCACAAGTGCAAGCAGCGTCTCACCCGCCTGACGCAGGTCAACATCCGCATGAAGAACATTGCCAAGGAGGATGAGCGTCTTGGAGAGAAGGTGGTGCCTAAGCTTGCTCCTAAGATCCGTCGGCGTGAGGAGACCCGTGAGCGCAAGGCTCTGTCTGCTGCCAAGGTTGAGCGCGCTATTGAGCGTGAGCTTATTGAGCGTCTGCGCAGCGGTGCTTATGGTGACCGGCCGCTCAATGTTGAAGAGGGCATCTGGAAGAAGGTTCTCCGTGGTCTTGAGCGCGCTGGTGACGGTGAGCGTGATGTGGACATGGATGATGGCGAGCTCGAGGAGGAAGAGGAAGAGGGTGTTGGTGAGGTTGAATACGTCAGTGATCTCGATGAGGAGGAAGATCTCGAGGATATGGAGGACTGGCTGGGCAATGACTCGGCTGATTCCAGCGACTACGATGACGATGAGGATGAGAGCGATGAGGACAGTGAGGATGAGCTTAGCGAGGATGAGAAGAAGCCTAAGCCTAGTGCTAAGCGGAAGGCTGCTGCTCCTCAGTCCAAGCCTCGCAAGAAGGGACCTCGCATTGAGATTGAGTACGAGACCGAAGGTGCCGGCAAGGAGCTGGCATAAGGAGGAAAAGTTCACCTGTGCATGGCGTTTGGGTTCTGTGTTACATTTTGTAGTGATCGGGATACCCTATTGCATCCATTTTACGATCCAAGTCCAATGTTATTTGTACAAAAATAACATTCCTCAGCTTTACCTTCAAATTCTTTAAATTCAATTACTTTCCACTCGTTAAGATGAAACCGATCACGTGCCACCTGTCGACTAATGTCTACGGGTTATCCCATCTTCCTTTGAACATGAGGAGAGATCCGTCTAATAGAAGGAAAGGCCACAATTCATCTTCTTCCATCTCCAATCCCTCGCCTACATCATCTGCATCAGCTCCATCATCTGCGGATTGGGTCTCCACCGGTCAAGCTCGCTCGTGCCGCCCCGCATTGAAGCTCACTCCAAACAACCACACCACCCACCATGAGCTCATACTTCTCCTCCCTGACCACCTCCTCGGCCATTTCTGGCCTAGGCTCTCGTCTGACCAACCTCCGCCGAGCCATCACCCTAGGTGACGAAGGCGACGACCCCGAGAACGAAGACTGCTCCCACATCTCTAACGCCCTCCGCGCCTATTACAACGAAAAAGGCCGGCCTTTCCCACCATGGCTGCCTCAGGATCCTAAAGCCCCAGTCTCGACGCCCTCCTCGCGCCAAATCGCAACTACCCAACTCTCCGGTGGCCAACAGCCCAGCTACGGCCGCAGCGGCGGTCTAGGCGATCTCTGGGGTGATTCCGCGCCTCAAGCTCAAGCCCAGAACCCACAGACCGCTAGTCTACGTCGTGGCCGCGGAGGCACTGCACCACCTCTCGTCGCCGCCAACAGCGCACCACCTGGCCCCGTTCCCTCCGGCTCCCCGCCCGTTTCCCGGTCTCAGTCTGGCTCCCCGGGCAACCTCCACCCTGCAGGAGCAAGACCCTTACCCAGCCAGCGTGCTGGATCGCATCAGTCGGCCCAAGCCCGTGTCAACCTCGACCGTGCCGGGTCAGGTGGTGGCTCGGCGCAGGATCGGTTGCGGGCCAGATTGCAGGGCGGCCGGTCTCCTAGCCCCAATGTCGATCCCAGTGTGAGGAAACCAGTGGGTGGAATGGGCCGACGCTGAGTGAGGATATTAAATGCATTGCATCGCGAGCATGGCGCTGGGAGTTTTTTTGTTTTATGTACATACTCGAGCAGATCGCACATATTAGACCTCTACCGGGTACAGTGCATGTCCCATTTGCAAGTCCGGAAGGACCCCGTAGACCACCACTCAGACAGCCAGACTTAGATCACATACGAGGTATGCGACAACTTTAGTCCAGGGTTTACAAGAAACAACAAGGACACATCTCGGCTCGACATGGGGAAAATCCCGCAGTTTGCCCCCCGAGTCTGCTGTGTGAGGGGCCGTTATATTCCGTAGTATACTCTCATATACCTATTTGCTTTTGTACTTGTATATCGGAAAGTGATTTTCATAGATGGCGCTCGGCCCTGCACCCCATTGGCCCAAACCCTCTTCTTCTCTCCAGATTCCATACTATTTGTCGCCGAGGTGTCGCTGATATAACGCAGTTCTCTGGAGAACCCCAACTCCTACACTAGATGCTTCACGTCTTACTCACATCCTGGATTATTCCCGAGGAGATTTATCCCGCGTGGGATGTTAGCCGTCTCCCACATTGGGTTTATCCGCATTTCTTCTCTATACTCTCGTCTACTATGATGCCGAACGGGAAGCCGGGAATCTTCTGGAATGGAATGCCCTGAGTATGCCAAGTATATTCAGGTATACTCAATACTGCATACGGAGGATAATAGACTTTCCCTGCGAAGCCTAGACGTAAATTGTATCTGAGACCATGGTTGTGCGCCCTGGACGCAACAAGCCCTATAATTCGTGCTTCCTTCCGATCTCTCTATATTTCCCGGTCCTCCGCATTCTCAGTCCGATCTGTTTATTCCTGCTTTTGCTTCCGGTGAGTGACCGCGTTTACTCTCTTCCCTCAGCCCCGGACCGGCCATTGCACCCGATCCTTCTTCTCCTCTCCGTTTCTCTACTCGATCCACATAGTCTGTACTCCAGGATCAGATCCGTAACATTTGACTTTTCTCTCGCGTGCGTAGTATGTGCTAATCATCGGGACTGGTTTGTCTCAAATAGTCCTTGATTTCCCGAACTTCGGTGGTTCTTTTTTTCTTTTTGCCCGGCTGCGACTGAGGTGTCATGTTCCTCTACTTCTTTACTTCTATACTTCTATACTTCTATACGTCTAGTAGACCACACCTCTTCTACTTGAAAGCAAACATAGCCAAACCCAAAGATTTTGAGATCCCACAGGACTCACACAGGGAGGGAAAAAATGACGTCCACGAGATAGACGACATCGCCGACCAAAAGCTGGAGAACCTCAACGAGGCCGCTATGAACGCAGAGTTGGCCCAGCTGGAGGAGCAACTTAGTGCATTCCCCACGCCGCGCTTTAATTTGAAGATGTCTAACCCGGTCATGTTCACTTGAATCCTTGTTGCTTTCGCTTGCATGGGTGGTATGCTGTCTGGTCTGGACCACTTGCTGATTAGTGGTGCCATTCTCTACCTCCCCATCGACTGAGGCTTGAACTCTTCCCAGAACAGTCTTGTTAATGCTAGTATGCCTCTTGGTGTTGTGGCTGGTGCTTTGATTCTCTCGCCTGCCAATGAGTTCCTTGATCGGTACTGGGCTAACTGCATGCTGCCCGGCTTCTTCATTGGTCTCGTTCTCGTCGGTGTGAGATATCAAATCGATCCTGTTGCGCACTCCAGAGCTGTGCGGGGTATTTAGCTCACTGGTATCATTCTCTCCATGGGTTTCTTTGGTTTGTACGCTTGTCTGACTTGGGTTGTGCCTTCTAAGGTCTTCCCTACTTGCGTCCGTAGGGTATGACCGCTGCCGATGCCAACTTGTTCCTATACTCCTTCATCGGTTTATATAGCTTCTCTCGCATGATGGAGTCCGTGACGCGGATTACTTTGAGCCTTGGTTTCTATGGTGGTATTGCTCTTCTAGGCTGGGTTTATCAGAAATTCTTTATGCCCGAGACTAAGAACAAGTCTCTTGAGGAGATTGATGAGCTCTTCTCGTTGCAGACTTCTGTTCTTGTCAAGCGTGACATGAAGCAGACTGCTCAGGTTATTCGGAATTTGTCGCGTTTTCACTTGAGGGTCTTCTCGTCGGAGCCTCACAAATAGTGGGGCTTAATGTACGGTTCTCAATTTGTGTTGAAATGTTGTTATCTGCCTTTTGCATGGCTCTTGTTTTGTGGCTCCCGATGTCATGTAGTTATCATTTACTTTGATCTTTGATCCACAGAGTTATACCCAATCTATATTACTAGGGTCAATATATTTCTCCGACCCTTCAATCCCGCTCAATGTAGCCATAAGCAGGGCTGAATTTGCTTTGCTTCCCATCTGACTTGGTGATCTGATATCACACCATATCCCTCACTGTAAATCATGCAAGGTCAACCTCCAATCCCTATCCGCCCCACATATCCACATACGGCAGTCTATTATTGCCATCAGCTCAAAAGTCTTTCTGCCTATAACGTACCGTTTTATGTATTAGTTTTGCCTTGCTTGAAGCTTTCGTTGTCCCCTTCTTTTTGATTACCTCCTCTTTGTCCATTTTCCAACTACCTTGATTACAGTTAGCCAAAATTAGGGTAACTTTTGTAAGGGAGGTACTTGCACGTAAAAAAATATTTTATAATATGAAAAAAAAAAAAAAAGGTAATACTACTTCAAGGCGGTAGACAGGGCGGTGAGGTCTTATATTAGCCACGATGTTATTTTTGAGCTGATGGCACCAACAAACTGCCGTATCCATCTGATGTATCAGAAATAGATCTACAATGCATGAAAGGAATTCGAAAAGCCCCACTACAAGCATAGTACAATATTGAAAGAGATATCACCAAGCCGTACCTCTTCCACAATTGCCATCTCGTCTCCCTTGATCTCCATGAGAATGCCAATACCCCTCAAACAAGGCACAACAGTCTACAGATGGTTCCTGCCTCTGTATGACTTCTGGGTGCTAGGAATCTGCAACAAACAAGCCTGGTCCTGCCCAACAAAAACCACCCTCCTCCCTTTCTACAAACACAACCTTCGAGCCCGTCATCTGGATATCGGTCCTGGAACAGGGTATTACTTGGTTAATAGTGCCCCGCCGCCCGAAACACAAATCACGCTGTTGGATCTGAATCCAAAGTCTTTGGCTCATGCTGCGAATCGACTTGATAGGGCTAGGAAAGGGAATGTGCATATTGTGCAAGCAGATTTTATGGCCCCTTTACCTTTGACTGGTGTCTTTGATTCTATTTCGCTTTTCTTTTTGCTGCATTGTTTGCCTGCGACTGTGTCGGAGAAAATGGGGGTAGTTAAAAATCTGGGGAAATTCCTTGCACCTGATGGCGTAATTTACGGGTCTACGGTCCTTGGGAAGGGGGTTAGATATAGTCCTTTTGGGAGGTTTCTTATGAAGCGTTTAAACTCCGGAGGGGTTTTCTCTAATGTTGGTGATGGGGAGGTGGAGATTAAAGAGGCTTTAGAAAAGGAGTTTATGAGAGTTAAGACTACGGTTGTTGGATCTGTTCTTTTGTTTGAGGCTAAAGGGCCAAGGATAGGGTAAAATATGGATCGTGTCTCATGGCTGATGGGTTACTTGTCTGCTACATGGGAGAAGTTGATTTTTTTTTTTCTTCTTTTTTGGCTTATTTAGTCTTTGTTGGTACTATCTTTTCGGTATTTCGCTTGCTTCGATATAGAAGTGGAGAAATCCCAAATCTTAGACCAGCGTGGCTGTTGACAGCAGTAGATTACTTTAGAATCTGACATCACGATGATACTGTGAACACCGGGATATAAACCAAGTTTTCTCGGTAGATCTGATAAGTTCGATCAACTAGAGTAAATTGACTATTTAAATAAGATGGTAACCAACGCTAGATGCATTTCCAAGGTATGATGCTCAAGATGATTTACAGGCCACGTGAAAGATCAGTGGCAGCTAAGGTGACAGAGAAACAAAGTCTAAACGAGGAAGAAAAACCGAATGCACCGAATGCTCCGATTTAACCACGGACCTTCCGGTAGCTTGGTGGGTGCCATGATTGTTTAATCATTTTGCCGGCCCAGACTGGGACCAAGGCAACGGCTAGTACGGCAACAACGCGCCATAACCAATCGAGGGTGATCACGTAGCTGAGGTCAAAATATTCGCCTAAAAAGGGAACACTACCTGCGTACACAAGTAGTGTGCCAACCAGGCAGAAGATCATGACTGGGTGCCAGGTTGTGACTGCGATGGCCACCATGCCCAACTCGTTGAGTACCAGGGCTGTGAAGGAAAGACTGATAAGTTGTGGGCCGGTGATGGTGTCCAGGAGAATCTGTGAGAGTCCTTGGATGACTGCGCCCTGGTAGACGGAGATCATGACCCAGCCAAAGAACGAGCGATAACTCAAGCTTTTTCCCGTCTTCAACTCTTTGTACAATTCGGGGTAAAGATTGGCAAGACGCTCGTCCACATCGCGATCAAAGGCGAGAGAGAAGACTGGGGCATTTGTGTAGACAGTGGCGTAGCCGACCATGAGCCAATTGATGAACAGCCCCTTGGGGTCGAAGTGACTGGCAATGCTGTACATGGTCTGACAGACGCTGATAATCAAACCACGGTGCATGATGAATTGTGCTAGCTTCGCAGATCGCTTGTATGAGTTGCGGCCATGCCACACGAGAAGCTTTGTAATATGGTGGAACTGGGTGATACTGAAATCGGCAGCAAGAGATGCCTGGCGGCCTTCTTTGCCCACAATACCAATTCCCACATCAGCTGCTTGAATCATAGAGACATCATTGCCACCATCGCCAATGCAGCATACACGTTTCTTGGTGTGTTGGCGAATCAATTCCGCAATCTCGGCCTTTTGGGTGGGAGAACATCGGCATGCGATCACCGCAGGAAGTAAGACCGCAACGGCAATGAATGCTGTTCGGAATTGCCCAAGCATGAGAGTCAGAGACTCGCCATCAATCAACAGACAGCAGTCCGTTTTGTTACGCAAGAAGTCAAGGGCTTCCTGGGCAGTTGATTTATCTGTAATTTTGGTCACGGTGTGGATGTATTGGCCTCGAGAAACGAGTTTCGCTGAAATAGCAACACATCGTGCGGTTTCAACTTTGTCACCAGTCAACATCCAGATCTTGATGCCTGCATTACGCATAAGCTCAAGGGATGACTTGACGTCACGCTGAAGCCGATCTTCCACACCCGTCACTCCGGAAAGTTCCAAGTCTTGCTCAAGGTAATCAGTCACGACTTTGGCCATGCCAGCATCTCGTCCTTGTAGTGAGAGGGATGCTTGTCTATATTTGGCAGAAAATTCTTGATACTGCTGCGACGAAAGACGCTTGCGTCCAACAACCAAAGTTCGCAAACCTTCTCGGGCCATGTTTGCTGTCTCTTCATCCAGCCAGTCATTTTTCGCCACGATAGACGACATGACCGTGTCAGCACCCTTTTGGTAGAACCAGATCTCGCTGTCATCTTGGCCCGATGTCTCGAGCACTTTGTCATCTTGCTGGAATTGCACGATTATACCCATCCGCTTGCTGTCAGAAGTGAATGGGAAGATATCAAGAATACGAACGCGAACGACGACTTGCTTGGTGTCGGCGGATTCCAGAGCAATGCTTTGTCGATCGCGATAACAAAGCTTGAGTCCGACCTCTTCGGTATACCGGACGATAGCAATTTCATCTGGAGATGATGCTTGGTAGCTTGTTACTTTCTGACCATCTTCCTCATCGGTGGTTGGTGTGACGTTGTGACAGAGAGCAAGAGCTAGAATAATATCCCGCACACGGGAGCCAATCTCTCTCCTCGTACGTGGAGCGGTGGCCTGGCCAGCTTGAGTTCCGTAAGGTGTTGAAGGAGTAGTCAAGCCATTGCCCGCAAAGCTTTGACGAATGAATGAAGCCACTTCATCCATGGCCTCATTGGCGTATGACACAGTGCCAACGTGTATTTTCTTCAGCTCCATTTCATTTTGAGTCAACGTTCCCGTCTTATCAGAAAGGAGGTATTCAATTCTCCCGAGATCCTCGGGGATTGTGCTGGTACGGACCACTGTGCCCGGAATATCTTTGTCTCGTTGGATGAATCGCCCATAAACTGACTTGGCCATATCCAGGTTGACCCGTAGACTCATGGGAATAATGGTTGAGAAGAGAATGAGATAGATCATGATGGCGACATACCACTTCTTGTCGTTTGTAGGCTCGAAACCTTCCAGGCCAACAAGAACGATGGAAAGTGTGAGTGTGAGGATGCAAAGAATCTTGGTGAGGTTGTTGATCTCGTATTCCAATAAACCGACCTTTGAACGGGAAGCGGAAGTTGATAAAGCGGCGCGGGTTTGTGATCCTGTGTAGATAATCACGGCGTAGGTAGTAGTGTTGGAAGCAAGAACCGTATTGGCCCAAGCGGTATTGTCAATAGTCAAAGGCGCTGAAGAGGTGGATTGATCCTCGCCGGGCGTCCTTGGGTCGTTTGGCTGAGGCCCATCGTAAAGGCCAGGGGGTGAGCTCAACTCGATCGTACCAACGAATTCGTTTACCCTCTTGTCAGGAGCACTGGCAGTTATCTGCAATCGAGAGAAGACGCTCAAGGGTATTGATTGGGACAGAACAGAAGGTAAACGGAGCTTCCAATCGGTCTCACCGTCCAACTGATCAGTGCGGATAAAAGTGTCACCAGCTGATGAGTTGTCTGCAGTGTAATGAATTTGTTCAGAAGATCCCTGGTCAGATTCAAGCAAATTCGTAGATGCTCCTGGCTCCGCTGATAGTGATTGGCGTGGAGTACCAGAGTCGTTCGAAACACTTTTCAGAATCACCACATCGGCGGGCAAGCGTTGGTTCTTCCGAACTTTGAGTACATCGCCAACTTTCAGGTCACGAGACTTTTTCGTCACTTCCATTGGGGAAGACCTGCTTAGCGACACAGTGCAATATTCTTCTGCGTTTGCCTCGGCATCTCTTCGACGCCGTCCAATGTCATCAAGTGCCTCTTTACCGAGTGATATGGAAACCACAAAGGCGAGAGGAGCAATATACGAAGACATGTAACCAATCCGTAGCACGGGAATGACCTGAGACAAAGCCACGAGAAGGAAGTATATGTTAAAGAAGAACGAGAATTCGTTGTAAAGGGTTCGCGGTAGGAAACTCCAGGGGGTATATTTGGCATTGGAGACGACGTTGGCGGGGTATTTGGCAGCCTGGTACTGCCCAACAAGCACTTCGCGGGGAGGTTGATTTGATGAATCGCTCGTGTTTGATCCAAGCTTAATGGAATTTCCCTGCAGGAAGCCAGGTGTCTTAAATCCGGAGAATCCCAGGAAGCCGCCCTTCTTGGGTGATTCGTCGTCATTGAAAATACGGGTCGAGCTTGTCCGGTTCAGAAGGGGCGCATCATCGTCTGCAAGATTCCTCGAGCTCGCATGTGAGCCCCTTAAGCCTTCCTCTTCCTGGTTCTCTAGCAAGGCGTCCGTGTCTTCCTCAAAGTCTCCTTGTCCAGACGCACTGCGTCTCCACCGGCTTCCCACGCCGACTCGCAAGTTCCGCAGTGCAATTCCTGGTCCATAACTTCGTTTGCGGCCGGTATAGTCTCGAGAATCGCGGGATGCGTGAGGTTGTTCTGTGCCCGGGTCAAGCTCTTCCAGGTCTAAATCATCATCCGAGTCTGAGAAGTCGTCTGGCACGGGTTCCGAGGGGTGCAGGTAGTCGGCTGACGACGGCATTGTCGGAAACGTGGGATTGAAGCTAGTTGATCAATGGCTGTAGCGTTGTGCTGGCCCTCGCATCAAAGGTTCATCTCAAGTCACGGCATTGGTTAGGAGTTGGTCTGGAGCATGGTGAACGAGTGTGAGAACAATATCAAAGAAGCGCCAGTTATAAATGAAGCCAAAATCAAGAACAATATATAAAGACAAATGTTCGTGACTGCCTTGTCGGGGCCACGCAATCACATGAGTGCATCTGTTATGTCACTGCTGATATAATCACATAAGGTTGGCATTACTCGGATTAACTACTGATCCGAGATCGACCGTACACCGTACTTAAGTAGATCAGCCCTGATCACTGAGCACATCAGGTAATCTGTTGCATCTAAATACTCAATGAAGTCTACTATACAGGCTCTAGATGTTGAAGACAAAAAATTATCATCCCATAGTCACCTGGGAATATAATGTAGGGCTGAATGGTGACGTCCATTCCCAATATATTTGTGTACTTGAAACTCATTGGAACGTCAACTTTTGTCATAGTTCAGAAATAACCATGTTTAAAATACAACACACTATAGAAGACCATTCAAATAAGGGCTAAAATGAATAAAAGAACGATGATCAGAACATCAATTGAAGAGAATCGGTAGATGACTCGGGAAGTATTGTCACGGCAATGGAACATCTAGTCTCCGAGAGGTTTGGATTTTGCCTAATCGGGCCACTTGGAAGCTGACTCAGCACCCCCGACTGGATCTTGGATCCAAAGGTTGGTCGCGCATAACATTGCATGGTTCTTATTGCCAACTGATGCATACTTCCTTTCTTTGGCTTTGTTGTTCTGTTCATCTCTATACTCTTTAATGGCTCACTGAGTCTTCGATTTAACCACGATTGTTGATCTCCTGAGGCGTCATTGGAGACGTGTCAGGTTGATCCCTCCGGACTGCGACCCCATCTCCAGTCACGTTGGCAATCGAGTACCACGCCGCTAACATGGCGCTCCAACCCTCCGAAAAAGACACGGACTCGTGGAATCCGGCATTACTGCCCGAGGGCAGTCAAGGCACTTATCCGAACGCCTCGTCCAAGGGTGGCTTAGCCATCGCGCACGATTCGAAAGAGACGGCCCTGACCGACGCGAAATCGCCACAAAGCGACGAAGACTTTTCTGCCTGGGATATGTCGGATGAGCTAGGCACCGCGCAGCCGCAATACACAAGCATGGACGGACTGGTGAACAACACCTCACCAGGGGTGGACGTGGCCCCATCTTTGGATACTCCTCCCATCGAAACACAGGGAGCAGATAGCGCAACCGCCATTGCAACTGAACCAGAACCTGTTTCCGAAACAGCTTTGGTGAGGGAAGCAACTCCTTCAACAGATAAGCAGACTGCCGAGCCTGTCCCCGAATCGGTACCTGCGGAAAGTAATGGCATCAATGAAGAGACTTCCATGGAGCAAACAGCCTTACGAAACGAAGCGCAAAATGCGGACCCAGAGGATTCATCGAGATTGATGGAGGAGGAAATTAGCAATGCACTGCTCAGTGCAGAGGAGGCCGCTCCTACTACTGAAATCCCGCTTGCGGGTTCTGAGCCTGCGATCGCCGCCCAAGTCGAAGACAGCCATGAATCGACCTTAGTTGCGGAACATGTGATCCGAAAACACGAACCGACCGTGGTTCCCGAGTCCACATCCGATGCGAACATCGATGTACTGCCGACCACCGAGGACGTCCCATTGTCCGAGAATGCGCAAAACCACAGTCAATTCGAGACTGTTGATTACAAACAGGGTGTGGCTCCCGAAATCACATATGAGACCAGTAACGGTGTATTGTCGGCCGCCGAGAACGTGCCGTTGTCCGAGGATACGCAAACTAGCATTCAATCCGAGACTGTCGACCACGAGCAGACTGTGGTTCCTCAGCCCGCATTTGAGGCGAGTAACGACGTCTTGCCGATCGCTGAGGACCTGCCATTGTCAGAGAATGTACAAACCGACATTCAACCCCAGACTGTCGACCACCCAACTTCAGCTCCGAATGACATCCATTTAGCTCAGCAGGCAGCCAACCCAGAAACTCCCACTGATACTCAAAGCCCGTGGGCTCAGGAAATGAGCCGCGATGTTGATTCAGAGGACGATGGTTTCTTTAGCCAACTCAACACTCAGACAAAGCCAATCTTCTCTCCACCGCAGGCAGAGTCCAGGTTCGAGGAAGGCCTTCCGCTATTGGATCAATCACCGGATTTGCCAGAACCTCTGCAGGTAGATAAATCAATTGCGGACGTGTTTTCTAATGATGGCGACGGAGAGGATTTTTTCGGTAATCTGGGGTCTCAAGAAACCCCCCAAAAGTCCCTGGACGAAAAGCCTCATGAAAGTCTCTATGACAATCTCCAAGAAAAGCTTCAAGAGAACCCACAGCAGGAGCTTCAAGATACTCTTCGACGAACGCCTCAGGAAAGTCTCCTAGGAAGCCTTATGGAAAACTCCCAGGAACCCTACCAGGACAACTCGCATCTTCACAGGAAGAGTACGCCCCAGGTGCTAGTGTCAGTGGGATTCGATATTGACTCTCCAGCCAGCGATGCCTCAGCAGCGGCGCAGTTTGATGACATTCTTAAGGCTACGTCGTCCGAACCGGCAGCTCCTGCCGAACCTTCGGAGGAAGAGTTAGCCGCCAGGTGGGAGGCCGAGTTGGGTGACGAACCAGATGATGATCTGGCAGCTCGTTGGGAAGCGGCATTGGATGATGACGATATCTTGCTCGAGAACGATTCTATCCCGCCTGTCTCTGAAGCACCCTTTGAACAACCCTCAGTTCAACAGGTCAGCAATGGAGTTCCGGTCGGGCTGAACAGCCCTTTCCAGACCCCTCATGCATACTCTCAACCCAGACCTGTGCCTGGCGTATATACACCTCACCAACCGTCTACAGCGGATCTTTTGCAAGGTATGCCTGGGACTGCACCACCAACCAGTGCAGCTATGCCGTCATACTTTTCGCAGCAGCCCCAGAATCCAGTGACAACCAGAGGAGAAAGTTTTGCTGAACGACCAAAGGAGGGTTACAAGTCTCCCTACGACCTCCCAGAAGACATCTCTCGACCTCGAAAGCCACCTGTCACTCATCGGCCTGTTCCTCCAACCGTCACCAGCATGCCTCCGCCTCCTCCACCAGCTGCTCCTGGCATGAACATGCCAGCTTCAACCACTTTCTCGCCTCCAATCGCTCCGCCCGCCGCTACGGCTCCTCCCCCGGCCCCGAAGAATTTCTATGAGGAGCTTCCATTGGCACCACCGAGGTCTCGGCCTGCCAGCTCTGGAAGGTATACTCCTAATCCACAGGTGGTTCCAAGTAATGGACCATCTCTACCGCCGCCGCAGGCCCAATATGCTCCTTCTGCACCCACGGTTCCACAGCCTGTGCCCATCGCTGCCCCAATGCAAGCTTCATTGCAACCTCTCGAACAGCTGGATCCCTATGCCAGCTTGGCCTCCAGTGCTCCTGCCGGTCCTCCTGCTACGTCGCGCTATTCGCCTCAGCCGCCTGGCCTGCAAGCACCAGCGAAACCCCCCTCGCTGCCGCGATACTCCCCTGCACCCCCTCCCACCTCTTTGGCTCGTAATCGTTATGCCTCTCAGCCATTGAATGTTCCTGGGCATAGTCTGCCCTTCCAGCCACGAACTTCAAGCCCACTCGCACATCATGAGAAGGTATCATACGTTCCCGACCCATCACAGAAGCCCCCATCATTGGAGCCCGCGATCAACCTTTCGCCGCCATGGCCTGAAAGTTCTGGGTTTGGGAATGTGCCTCCCAGTATTCCACAGTATATGAACGGACCTGCCGGGGCAGTTCGCAGGGAAAGCGCTGGCTCACCTGTTCAGGCGTCTTCCCCGCAAAGTCGCTATGCCCCTCAGGAGTATATCAATGAATTCGCCCAACGCATAGCCCCCCCCCGAACTATGCACCTGCTCCCCCGATGGCCATGCAGACCTCTCCGCCACCTAGTGAATTCCAGCCTGGCCCTCTCCATAGGTCTCAGACGCAATCGCCAGGCCGTGGTATGGTCAGCCCACGTTCCTCCGTACAAAATATCGAAACCGTGCAACGCCCTGCTTCTGTGCATGGATCTGGTTCACCAACCAAGACTGTGAATCCATATGCTCCCGTTCAAGGACCTTCGCAAACCCGCGCCGTGACTCAGCACCTTGAGTTTATTCCTCCGATAGATGGACAGGAACAGGATCTTCTGGAGCGATGGAAGGGAGCTCCTGTTTTCAAATTTGGTTTCGGTGGATCTATGTTGTCTAGTTTCCCCAAGCACATTCCCCGTTACTCTGCTGGCCAGGTGGCACCCATGATCAAACCAAGTCCCGGGGAAATCAAGACCTCCCAGCTGAGCGAATACCTTCCTTCTACCGATACCATTGTCCAGCACCCTGGTCCTTTGAAGACGAAATCCAAGAAGAAAGATCTCGTTGCTTGGCTTTCTAGCAAGATTGCGGCCTTTGAAAACCTTGGTGTTCCGGCTCATGATCAAGTTCATTCCGATGCACACAAGCGTCACGAGGAACGGATCCTGCTCTGGAAGGTTGTCAAGCTTCTGGTTGAGACCGACGGTAATCTGGAAGGTTCCGCGGAGGTTCAAAAGTCTCTCCGCCACGCTATTTTCCCTTATTTGACTGCCCCTGAAGCAGGTGGGTCTAACGGCAATGGCTTTGCAGATTCAGCTGGCTTTTCGCCTATGGAGCTTTCTTCGCAGCCCGATGCTGTAGACTCTCAGTGCTTGGAAGAGCTTCGTTCTAACTTGATTGATGGTGACCGGGAAAAGGCCGTTTGGGGCGCAGTTGATCGCCGTCTATGGGGTCATGCGATGATCATTGCCTCCACCATGGACAAGTCGATCTGGAAACAGGTCACACAGGAGTTTATCCGGCGGGAAGTCAGGTCCAAGGCCGGCAACACTGAATCACTAGCAGCTCTGTACGAGATTTTCGCTGGCAACATTGAAGAGAGCATTGACGAGCTGGTGCCTCCGTCCGCTAGGGCAGGCCTGCAGTTGATCAACAAAGCTGATGGCCATGGCTCTACCAAGAATGCACTGGATGGTCTGGATAAGTGGAAGGATACTCTAGGATTAGTGCTGAGCAACCGAAGCTCTGAAGACCATCAGGCTCTCCTTGCCCTTGGTCGTCTGCTTACATCTTATGGACGCACGGAAGCTGCTCACGTTTGCTTCATTTTCTCGCGAGCCGCGGTGTTCGGCGGACCGGATGACCCCCAAGCAAACATTGTTCTACTTGGTGCTGACCACAAGCGTTATGCTTCATCCCTCATGGACGAAGACGCTATCTTGCTGACTGAGGCATACGAGTATGCTACCTCCGTTCTTGGAAACTCTTCCCTGGGCGGTATGCCACATCTGTTGGCGTTCAAGACACTGAATGCCAGATGTCTCGTTGACCGGGGCCGCAACTCCGAGGCCCAGAGCTACTGTGATGCAGTTACAGCAGCGCTGAAGGCATCTACTAGGCCCTCGCCTTACCATCATAACCATCTTTACGCTGAGGTGGAAGAGCTTTCCATGCGCCTCCGTCAAACTACAAGTGACAATGGTTCCTGGATCTCTCGACCCAGCATGGAAAAGGTATCTGGTTCTATGTGGGCACGTTTCAATAGCTTTGTTGCGGGTGATGAAAGTGATGCTGCCTCTAATGGATCTGGGAAGGCCGGCGAAGCAACGGACTTCGGGCCGTTCGCCAACGTGGCCGGAACACCTACTATCAGCCGCTCCCCATCTGTGTCTGACACCTATGGCTCGTACCCCGGAGCAGGCGCTCAGCCTATTCCCACGAGTGGTGGCTCGAGGTACCACCCGTCCAGTCAGAGTCAATATGCTCCCAACGCGTCGCCGGAGCAATCTAAGGGCCGGTCCTCGATGGATTCTCAGCGATCGAACCCCTATTTCCCGCCTGCGGGACGTCGCACCTCGCAAGAGTTCTCGCCATCGCTTGATTCCCAGATGTCTCAAGGGCCTGTATATGGATCCCCCAACACGTCTGGATATCAGCCGACCCCACCTCAGTCGTCTTACGTTCCTCTTGCCCCGGTGGAGGAAGCTTTGTCCCCTGCTGAGGCTGTACCAGCCACGCAACCCGTAGTCAATGGCCTGTTCTATCAGCCTCCGGGTCAAGCAGGTGGTTCGGCCAGCGAATCCCCTTACTACCAAGGGCCTCCTGGTATGCCTGATTCGGAGTCACCTTACGTACCGCCAGTTTCAGCCTCATCCTATGAGCCCATGGTTGGTCCCATGGACACGAGCTCCGGCCAAGAGATGGACCAGATGGCCCCCGAAGAGCAGCCAAAGAAGAAGGCCTTCATGGATGATGACGATGACGATGATCTCGCTGCGCGGGCAGCAGCTATGCAGAAGGCAGAGAATGATCGCAAGGCAAACGAAGCTTTCCAGAAGGCAGCAGAGGAAGATGGTATGCTCCTCAAGTCTCACAGTTGAATTACGCTAATCCAAATCCTACAGCTAAACGAGATGTCCAACAGTCCGGCAAGAAGGGCTGGTTTGGCGGCTGGTTTGGTGGCGGCAAAAAAGAGGAAGCACAAACCGGTGGTGGTCCTATCAGGGCTAAACTTGGCGAGGAAAGCTCCTTCTACTACGACCAGAACCTGAAAAAATGGGTCAACAAGAAAGACCCTAACAGCGCTGCTCCAGTTCGTGCCACACCCCCTCCTCCTCGAGGCTCGGCCCCTCCTAGTCGGACCGCGAGCTCGGGAAGTATGCCGCCAAACGGCGCTCCTCCGATGGCGTCCGGCAGCAGACCCCCCTCTTCCTCGAGTGCCGCCCCGCCACCGTTCTCTTCAAGCCCAGGTATCTCTGGACTTGCACCCCCTCCCCTACCTCGTTCTGTGTCTACTGGAGCGGCTATGCCAACGCCGCCTGGTAGTTCCAGTGGACCACCTCCACGACCTTCATCTTCCCTGACTCATGCCAGTTCGATCGATGATCTGCTCGGTGCTCCCGCAGCACGCAAGGGCAACACAGTCCGCGGCAAGAAGAAGGGTCGCTATGTCGACGTTATGGCCCAATAATCATTGGAAACTCTTGGGGTTTCAATGATCTAGTCCTACCCAGTACATTACTGGATAGGGCATGTCCGTTTCTTTTGTTTCATTATGTTTGCTATCCTCATGTCTTTATTTTGTCACTCTATGATCTGTTTGACGAACACCTCTACACAAATAATACACCCTTTCCCCCTTACCCTAACCTATTTGCTGCATTTGTCATTGCCTCAGCATCTTGCATGTGTCTCATCTCGTTCCCCCGAACAGACACTCCATCTGGCGTTCTCGCTCACTGAACCTCCAAAGCATTGCTTTTGCACATAGCTTGATCTTCGTTGTTCTTTGCGACCTCGTCTACAGTGGCGAGTGCCTTTCCTGGCATTATGTATATCACTTTCCCATGTTATCTACGGTTTGCTTCTGGAACTTCTTGTCTGGATCTGAAGGTCTTTTCTTGCATGCTTTGCCATGTGATTGTCTTAATAACGATTAATTGATTCGGATTTTGAACGCCATTTTCATTATGTTTGGTTATGGATACTGTAGTTCATCACTGTAACTTTGGACTTCTATGCCCAATCGCCTGGCCCACCGTCGGCGTTCACGGGCCTACGTATGCAGTGCATTTATATCAGCCTTGATATATTTAACTCGTCCACAAGTTTATTCACTTGCCAGCGATCCTGTGTGCCCTTCCTCTTTTGGCAACATCTCGGCACTGCGAGCACCTTCTTCTCAATAAACCCAGCCGGATCCGCTGCAAATGAAAGCCAATATTAGCATGAACACCATGATCATTATCAATCGCAATAATGTTAATCTGGAACCCTTCATGGTTGGTATCGTCAGCTGGGACAAGGTGGTCAAATGTTACACACATTCAGATGGAACACACTATTCGTTATTTAAACATTGAAGGAGCTGAGAAGGATTCGAAGTAATTGTGTTGGCTACAGCATACTCATATATATCTCAACCCACATTCTCTCATTTGGTTCTAGACGCTTGTCTGGAGTTGTTGGCCGGAACCGGGACCGTAAACAGGTATGAATATCCCAGTCAAATGCATTTTAGTCCAGGTCAAGCCGTAAATGAGTTGATATAATACTGAATGCCTCATGTCAGAAAACTCAGTTGTCAAACATGGATCCAAACTCACTGTTAAACAAGATTCCTCCCCATTCCAGCTACCTGGCAAATAAACATAAAGTACCAGAGCCATTTCATTGATAAAACCTGTTCATAGCCAAGTCAGCACTGCTAATCCAATCCATATACCATGCCCATCTGTATAAAACTTACAAGCAACAACCTTCGGACTAAGCCGCCCAATACTAAGCACCCGACTCCAATCCCTCCCATCAATTCGCACCTTCGCCCACCCCTCTTCATCCCCCTCAGCATCTTGCATCCGATTTCGCTCACTAGGAAGCTGAGAGATCTCCTCCTGCGTCATCTGCCCAGCCGCCAGCGGCGGGTTAACAAGATCAGACCAAACACTCGCAATGCGGATCTCATCCGTGGCTATGGATAGCCGCAGCGAGCCGTGCATATTAGCTGATAGTTCAAGTTTTGGCGCGTTGTTCGTTGATAATGTCGGCGCGCTTGTTCTGTCGTTCTCGCCACCAAATGAGGTCGTGCGCATTCCCGGTGCATCGGCTGCCATCACTCCTGGTTGGCGGCTTTTGGAATCTGATGAGGCCAGTTTGGTGAAGCGGTCTGAGATACTTTTTAGGTGGAAGAGGTTTGGGAGGATGATGTGCACTTCTGGGTCTGGGCAGTGTGGTTCATGGAGGCCTTCCACTGCTACTTCGTGGAGGATCTTAATGGGTATCTCTTGGGTTATGTATGTTTGGCGTTCCCGTGGTCCTCTTTCGCCTATTGTTTCGTTTGGGCCCTCGGGTGGGTTATCCGGATCTTCTGCTTCATCGGTTGTGGCGAGGGCCATGTTTCCTTCTGTCCATTCGGAAGACAGGACTGTTAACGCTAGGATGGGTGCTTTGTCTTTCTTTGTTAAGCGCAGTTGGGATGTTGATGCGCCCCATGCTGAGCGTAAGGCGCGGTTGAGTATGCTGACGTTGATTTCTAGGTTGATGGCGTCGGAGTTGGATTCCAGCTCGTATGTTGAGTCATCGAAGATTGTTCCCTAGACAGTTAATGTCTGTATTGAATTGGCTAGGTAGATATCGTACAACTGGGATTGTTGCCCACACTTGCGTGCCTTGATCGGGGATGATGGTGAAGCGGATCACCTCATATTCCAGGCGCATCCAGCATACCTTGCCCAACGAGGACAAGGACGCTGTGAGTTCTGCTAATATTAGACACTGTGAAGTTTTTGAGCGACTGGACCTACTGGAGAATACTCTGGAGTCTCGCAATTGAGCTCGAAACCGCATTGTTTCAGTTGTTGACGGAGGAAGAAGTTCTTATCGCTATCAATTGTCTATCACTGATCTCTTCTCTCCTCTCTCTCGACTCACTTCATATTAATTGATCTATGCTATTTATTCTATTCTCTTGGCAGATCAGAATATGACAGTTCAGTCTCACCAAGAGTCAAGCTCGCCACCAAAGCTGCTCCTACGCCTGACCCGTCCTCCGCCGCTTTGAGCGCGACCAAGTCCGCCTCCCCCGGCGCCCAATCCAAGATCTCTCGAAGAGCCTGAGCAGCCCGACCCTTGAGCATGTCATATCTATTGAAGATCGAGCTGTTCACCCCAACATAACGCTGGCGCATGTTTTTCTTCTTGCAGATGGCCGCGATGCCACAGGCGTAGAGACGCGCCGCACGCGTCGCGATGAGTCCGATAAGATAACGACAGGTCTTCAATTCGTCCAACGTGGGACGAATTCCGAGATTCTCTTCGAATTCCTCTTTCATATCGACTGATCCTTCGGAGATGTCCATTTCGGCGATCGATAGGAAGGAGGCTTCCAGTGAGTTCTCACTCGGATCATGCCTTGGCCTTTAAAGAGTCTACTGTCTTCGTGCAAGGTGATCAGGATCAGGCGCAGCATTTCGCCTATATACAGCCCCGCAACCATCTTTTCATAAATCTGTGTACCCGGTATGACAGATTGCTTGTCTATTTGATGGTCAAGAGGTGTCAATGGGAGCACTGCGCGCTTATTATCAAATGCGCCATACTCCGTGTTAATGATTACACTTCCATCCTCTGGCAACCCTGAGTCACGGAGCTTGGGAATGAAGCGACATTCTTCCATGTACGCTGCGTTGCAGCCCGTGCTGAAGATGCTGCCGATCTTTACCTCAGGATCCCGGTAATGTGATGCAACGAGTGTTCCCGTTGTGTCGTTGACCAGGGCAACCACTTTCAATGGAACGTTCTGTTCTAGTCAGATGACACTCTTTGGACCGCAAGTCAGAGCTTACATTTCTTTTCAATGCAGCTTCTAGCTGCGGAACTATATCGTTGCCTTCCACTCCCGGCACGTTGAAGTTCTTGGTCCAGCGCTGCAGAATGCCACTCCGGATAGACCTCTGGTCCACCGGGAATGAAAAGGTAAACGATATTGGAAGTGGGCTTTTTGGCATCCTGCCGGCATGATGATCCTCAAGAAATGATGCCAACTTCTCGGCAATGAAGTCCCAGAACACGTCCGTTGTGCGCGTCTTGGCATCATCTGGAAGTTTGTACTTCCGCTGGATTTGATAAAACTCCCGTTCCCCGGCCCCGAGACATACCTCACACACTCTCAAACTTGTTCCTCCCATGTCGACCGTCAGAACTTGTCCTTTCTCGCACCCATTGGGCAGTTTGGTGACCCAAGTAACGTTCATTGGCTATGCGCGTCAACATGCAAGTCAGCATACAGAAGTATCTCACTATTCCGGTCCACATGGTACTGAAAATGGAACCGCCGTCGACGGAAAGTCCCTTGACTAGCTCTTCGACAAAATGCGCTGTGATCTCCTTTAATATGTCGGCGTCCACTAGGAACCAATCCTCATATTGCTTCAAAGATTGGGCGAGCTCCGCGGGCACACCCTGCAGGATCTCTGGCCGATAGCGGAAACCTTGCATGATGGGCTTGAAAAGCAGATGCCGATTTCCTGAACCTTGAGGATCTGAAGAAACGATCTACTTCTGCTCCTTCAGTTCCGAGGACGCCACGATGACCGCATTATGATCGATTTGGCTCCTAGATGATATATACAGAATTAAATAAAGAGACTATTACATATATATTTGCTATTAATTTACTATTGAATTGATTTATTTGTGTTTTATAGAAGATCTTTTCTATATCCCTTGCTTTGTGCTATCAAATCGACGAGATGTGATATATCGATTTCTAGGAAGTTGGAAGTTGCAAGATGCAGTTGCAAGGTCTGAGTTGCCCAAGCAACTTTTCTGCAAGAAATAGAGCAGTTCTACATACTTTAGCATGAAGAAAGGAAAGTAAACATCGGATATCGTGACTGCGCGCGAACGGGATCGCCGGGACGTGCTCCACCCCCTGATCTCCAGATATCTCCAAAATAATTTCAGCTTCACTTAATCCTCCGAAAGGGATATTCACGCTCTTTTTTCTGTATATTTCCCTGCCTGCGCCTCTTCTGTTTGCTTTTCTGCTTCTTCTGTTCTGTTTTACCATCTCTCCCGCCTCTGCTTTTCTTGGCTGCAGAGCTCCCTGCCACTCGAGCTCACAGCTTGCTCTCTCACCGTGCAACGCGCGTCTCAGCATGCGGATTCAACAGTCTCTCTTCCTTAGACCCCGTCATTCTTATGCCATACTCGAGCCCGTCGATGCTTATTGCGCCCAAGACCTAGGCTGAACAGTCGGAATGGCAGCCAATCGAATAAACCCCAATCGCCCACTCATCCGCCTTTCCCCCGTCCACTCCCGTAATAACTCTCGCTCAACCTCGCCTGAACGACCTGCTCCTCTTTACCAGAAAATTGACCCTCTACTGAGCAACCTCTCCCCCGAATCGACCCTCCACGCCCTCACCTCCACCGATGCCGTCCCCTCCAACGAGGAAGGCGCCTATGACATCCTCTCTCAGAGTATATCCCAGGTTTCGCCTGCGGAGCGTGCTCTGGGGATCCGCGCCGCTGTAGCTGCTCAGAATCTGGACCTGTGGCATAAGGAGGTGCAGTCGTGGACATGGCCGAGCCAGCAGGACGCAAAGCTTGGAAAGGGCTTTGTGCCTCCACAGGCAGCTTCGCAGTCCAACGACACCCTTTCCGTGGCACCCCCGACCATTCCGGACGACGATTACTATGGTAGCTTGTCAGCCAGCGTGGTGGAGCGATATGAAAAGAGAATAGATGAGATCCGCGATGGAATGGACGATCTTAACGTGGAGGAATTGAAGGAACACGTTTTGAATGCCCACATTCCTTCCAGATCTCGCCCTTCGTCTTCCACAAGTTGCGTGTCTGCGCCCCCACCGCTCAGTTATGTGCAGCTCAGTGACTTTACGGCTGTCATCACTGCAACCATCCTCCGCGCCCTTCCTTTCCTCTCTCGTCTCAATGCCCTGCTTACTACCTGGGATGTCCGCCTTCTTGTTCTGCGCCAGATTCCTGGTTTACTCAGGGAGCTAACCATCACTCGGTCCGCCCTTGATTCCTCCCTTGATTCATTGCAGTCCCCGCAGTCTTCTGCTAGCCAACGCCGATACTCCGACGCGTCCTTGGTTACTGATCATGTTAGATTGGAGTCTGCGGTTGTTGCCGTGGGTCGGCGGATGGATCGCGTTCTCGATGCTCTTGAAGGCCGCCCGGATTCCTTGCCTGAACATTGGATAGATGATCTAGAACATATTGAGTCGGACTTCGCTGCCTGGGTGGTTGAGTGTGAAAAATACAAGGTTCATAACCAGTGGTTGCGTGCTCAGCAGGAGACGAAGTCCCAAGCTGCCGCCCAGGCTGAATCCGAGAAGCAATTGGAGGAGATGCGGCAGGATCCGGTTTCCATTGAAGCTCTCTCGGAGTTAGCGAATGATGGTGAACAGAAACATGTTGATGCCAAGCATGAACAATATGCCGTCGAAGTTTTTTCCCACGAAGCTCTCACACTTACACAACCACTTGTGGAACAGGCGACCCTTGCTATGAAAAAGCCATCACCTCCGGCTTCTTTCCGTGAACAATCTTCCGAACCAAAGATCTCACCACCTCCGCCGACATCCTTGATAGCAGAGAAACAAGAAGTTCAAGCACCTGTTGCTGTGACCGAGGATCTTACAACCCCAACTCAAGCGGAATTCCCATTGGGTATCTTGTCACTCAATGGTCAACTCTCCGCAGGCCAAACACCTCGTGCAAATGGAATTGTTTCGGAAAACAAGGAGAATATCCCTCCTTCTATTCCTCAGACCGACCAATTTTGGTCGCCTCCTCGGAATGCGACCATTGAAAGTGCATTGACTGAAAACAAAAATCTATTTGAAGACCCCTTCTCGCGGCCTTCTACAGCCGAAGCCAAGGCCCAGCTCCCAGCAGTCACTGTGTCTACTGATGTTTTGCCTGTCGGAGACACGAATGTACCTGCTAGCAACGGTTTGCGATCCCAGATAGGAGCTGGTACCCGAGTAGAGCAGGTCCATGTTCCCCAGTCCGACTCTGAAACCAGCCCCAAGGCTCATCTCGTCAATCGATCTGCTAAGCAGGATTCTCAAACACCTGACGAGATTCCACATGAGCGTGACGTTGCAACAGCCGGGATCTTCTCCCCGGACCTGCCTTCGGATACATCTGATATCCGAATGCCTCGTGTAAGGTCTTCTGTCAAGAGCTCCTATCAAAACACCGTTGCTGTAGTTTCTGGTTCAGGCTCCATTCCTGCGGGGTTGAAATCCCAGATACCCAGTCCAGTGAAGAAAGCAGACGTGCCACGCACAGTTCGAAAACCGCTACAAAGTCCTATCAAGCTTTCCAAAGCCCGATCCGGAAGATTAAGCCTTGACAAAGAGCCCCAGCTGTCACCGAAGATCACCCGCCGTCGTCGGACCTCCACCGGATCTGTGCGTTCCTTGCTCTCGGACCACTCTTCGCTCATCTCGAGCCCTGACGTGCCGGGGTTGCGGACTGCATCATCAAACGAAACACCCATCAGCGCATCATCTCATCCCGAATCCGCATGCCCCCCTTCACATGACGATTACACCCTGAGAGAGGATCGCCTTCGTCGCCTGGAGAATCTCAAGCCTGATCCCCGGGTCTCCTTCCAGCAAAGTCGCACTGTCAGTCTGCCTCTTGAGCGATTTATCAATGAGCGATTGGAGATGGGCTTAGGAAGCGAGTCAGCGGATGTTACTTCGAGACAGCCCGTCAAAGCCTCGACTACATCCGTTGGCTTGCCCGAACTTGCCAAGGTGAGCACAGATTAATCGTACAATATTTGTTTGATGACTGACTCCTTAATTAGTCTCGAACCAGAAATGCAGATCGGGATTCTGTCGTATCCTCACAAGGACCACGCATCTCGACGCGTCGTCCCCAACTTTCTCGAGGCAAATCTGCGTCTGACCTGCGCACCCAGAATGAAAAGTTGAAGGCCGCTGAACACAACCGAAACGCATTCAGTAGAAATTCTGCTTACCGAGCCATGGAACCTCAGGTCCAGCCCAAGTCTCTCCGATTGCGACAACGATTGACTGCTCATCCAAGCCTTGAAAGCTTGGGCATCAAGAGACAAGAGCTCTCTTATGTGGAGGAGCATGAATCCGAGCTCACTGATTTCGGATCCCGCCCCTCTTCACCAACCAAGCACGTAAGACAGCCTCGTGACCAAATGGATGAACGGATCAGCTCTATTCTCAACACGCTGCCTGGTCGCATTCAGTTGGTCGACTCAAACCACGAAGCAGACACTTCGTCTCCATCATCCTCCGTGGATCGAAGAATGCATTACCGGTCAGAATCACCTACTGTTCCTCCAACTCGCAGTACTACACCTGCCCCTTCTCTGATGTTGACGCCTGCTGCCCGAAGACGTTCCCATGCATTCAAGACAGAAGATAGCTGCGTCAAGCTCTATCACCTGCACCACGGAGGCCAGTCCGCACCAACCAAACTGTTCGTTCGCACTGTCGGCGAATCCGGCCAGCGCGTGATGGTTCGCGTAGGTGGTGGATGGGCTGACTTGGGTGAATATCTCCGCGAATACGTCATCCACCACGGCCGTCGCAAGGTGTCTGAGACTCCTCGTGTTGAAGTGCAAGGCATCCGAACTCGCTCCTCTCCATCTTACTCCTCGCCGGGCACTATGCTTACCCCGGCTGCTTCATCATATCTCACCTCTGGCCGAGCCACCCCCTCCCGGCCCCAATCTGTGCTCAGTGCCAGGCCCCCTTCATCGCTTACCGTCCGCAAGACACGACGAAGCTCGAATGCATCTGACATCACTGGTACTCGTGCAGTTACCACCGGCCATCTGCATGCCTTCACCTCGCCTCCCCCTACTGTCCCCCACATTCCCGCATCAGGCGGCAGACGACTCTCAGTCTCTTCGGGTTATTCGATTGCTGAATCGCATTCCCCTGCCAACAATCCTGTCCCTCTTCCCCACGATTCCCGTGCTACTCCGCTGGGCTTGGCTGGCCCAAGACCACGTGCACGATATGAATCCATGAGCCCGGAGGGTGAAGCCTGGGTCGAAGATGTTCTCCAAAAGACTCGTCGCTCCAGCTCGCACAACCCACCACCAATCGGACTCGGTCTGATGGAGCACGATGATAGCCGATCCGAGATTGGAGATGCCGGTATTAGGTACTCTCTACCGAAAGTCCGCAGCATCGACGAGATTGGATCTATTGGCACAAGTCGACGGGTCGCGTTGAGAGGGCTTGGGAGTCGCAGGTCGTAATATCGAGAGTGCCTTTCTGCCTTTTTACCCTTTATCTTTTACCATTTGGTATTTCTTGTTTGCATTCTTGGCTGCCCTTGTTGGGTCGCTATCTCTTCACATTTCATGGTCTGATAGACCCAGTGGCAACATACGATAAAAGCCACATTTGTTTGATTTCGGGTTTGATAATTTGCATCAGCGTGGCGAAGTTCTGAATTGGTGTTTTGTGTTTTTGTTTGATTGTTTTACATGGACGGAGTTAGCACTACAATACCCATAGTGATCTTGATAGGATGATATTGCATTTCCTCCACCGCCAACTAACACCTGTAGTATATCTCCATCTAGATGGCCTCCCTGCCCACAACCTTCGTAACAGCAACCCCATCCTTCCCAAACTGAGTCTCAAACTCCGTAACGTGAGTCTCATAAACCAACCCAGCATCCCCCTTCTCCCCTTCCTTTTCTTTCAAGTTCAATCCCCTCTTCCCATCACAACTCGCCTGCACCCACTCCAAATAATCCGGCGCACCAGGGAAAATAACATTATCCGCAAGAACAACCGACCCAACCCCAACGGCACCAAGTCCCTCCAGCAACTTCAAATCAGACAGATAAACACTCTGCCAGTGATCCAAAAACAGCATCGGGATCACTCCTTCAACCTGCTTGCTAGACACAAGACCACGCAAAGTCTCAGCGGCAGTGCCCACAATAACAGAAACTGTATCACTCAACCCAGCAAGAGAAATGAGTTGATTCGCAACGGCTGCCATCTCTGGATTGATCTCGAGGCTTATATACTTGCCCCCGTGTGCGCGCATTGCCGCGCCAAATTGGATCGCCGAGTAGCCTATGTACCCGCCTAATTCAATCATTAGGGGCGCCTTTTGGGCATTTATGAGTTCTTCAATGTAGGCGCCTTTTGCTGGGCCGATGTTCATTAGGGGGTTTGTGGTTGTGCTGTAGGTGTTTATCGCTGATAGGAGGTTGGTTGGGTTGTTTGTTAGGGCGCTCAGGTCTTGGGCATAGATATAGTGTAGGAGGTCGGTTTCGCGGCCGTCCTTGTTAAAGTCAGATATCCTCTGTTTAGATATAGATTTGATGGGGATGACTTACCAGGGCGTACTTGGTTGGCTTAGGGCTGAATGGCTTGGACATTTTGACGACTGATGTAGATAATAGAGTATTTAGGACTTTGGATGGTGTTTTGAAGCTGATTGTAGTGAATTGACGATGTGAACTGCTTCTTATAAATGTATACTCGGGATATACATCTATTCGGGGCTTTCCCCATAGAAAAAGCCGAGTCCACTCGGCCCCGAGATGGAGTTACCGTTCGGTGCGCCAAACAGAGCTTTGTTAACTCCGGCCTTTAGGGGTCCGACTCGACTTGAGGCTAATGTTGATTCTCGGGGATAACATTACATCTATGAATGCTTAATATGCCAAAATTAGAGGTACTTCAAAAATGATCGTATTCCGGGCTAATAGCCTACGCTGGCTGCAGTATCAAGTAAAAAGTGCAATATGAACGCCTTCTCCCAATGACTGTATCCGCAACCAAATCGTGAAAGAAACATGAAGGATATACATCGTAAATCGTGGGCAGAACCAGTCGGTGATTGGAATGTGAGAGCAAATTATCAATTCAATGATTATTGTGCACTTCGTTTCCACGGGATATCCTTACGAAGTAGCTCTCGGAGTTCTGGGGAGATCACCTTCGGCTTATCGGCGTTCACTGCCTTTTGGAGATTCGAGGGGCCAGCACTAACTCCGCTGCTGGATCCAGCAGGTCCCGGTGATTTACCTTTCTCGCCTGGGCCCTGATCTCCGGGCCGGCGTTGGTGAGCGGTCGGGGCAGCGGGGAAGTTGTCTTTCTTGTCGATGGCTTGGACGGAGCGCTCGAAGCGATGGAAGAGGGATTCCGCGCGGGTGAGAAGGGGAACCAGTTCCATAGTGTTTGACAGTTCGTTGACTAAGGAAATTAGCGATCGAACAGCAATACTGTGGAATGTTGACATACTATACTTGAGGACCTCATCAAAGTGCTTGAGATGATCCATAATCACGTCACGGTGCTTCTCGAGGATTGCTAACGCAATAAACAGATGGAAGCTGCTGGAGAAGTAGTCCGTCCATAATGTCTCCCATAGACGGAGCACGTCGGACCAATCAAACTCTCGTTTGTACCAGACCAAGAGCATACGGAAGAAGAAAAAGAAGTTGGTACTGTCGGCCGACTGCAGATGCAGGTAAAGCTGCGGGTCCATGAGTTGGACGAGGTTATCCAGAGCCAATAGCTGGCCACGCATTCCGGACTGGTCCCGGAGGAAGTTGTGTTCCTAGAAATGTCAGTAATGAGACATTACCGAGCTGCGGACGGCTTACCATTCGATCCATGAATCCTACGAAAGCCCAGAAAGCAACAGCGTCGTCTTGCATTACCGCGTAGATCGGCGCCAATAGATCACTCATTCCTTGCACATAGCCGAGATCTGGGTTATATTCGTTGTACGTCAGGAGCATATCCTTCATCTGCTCTAGATGCACATTGGTACCGGTCTCGGCAAAAGGAGAATCGGGATCGGGGTGAGCAATGTCCTCTCCGGCGAACAGAGGAACGGTTCGATCCGTTCGGTGAACATCCTTCTCTACACAATGAATTAGTAACTATCCAATCTGCGATAGGAAAGAGATCTTACCTATGCGGTTCCGCTGCTCTTTCCAATGATCGAACTGCTCGACTGTCGAATTACCTTCGACCATCCGCTCCCACCAGCCTGCTTTGAGTCGGATATACTCGTCGCGCTTTGAATTCATCAACGCCTGGCGCTCTTCCCGGCTGCTATCCCAAGGGTATACCTCGAGAAGGAAGAGCCAGGCGTCTTTTCTGACGCCATCGTTTGGATCCAACCCACCGTGGAAGATTCGTTCCTTGACTTCTTCTACGGTCACTTGAAGCCTTCCCGATGTTGGATCGAAGAATCCCTCCCATTCTTCTAATTTGAGTACCCGGCGTCGCTCTTGGAGGGCAAGATTCCCTGTCTCCATTTCAAGAATTTCAAAGTCTCCGACTGAGCTGTTCTCCATCTCCAGCATATCCTGTGCGGTCCATATACGCTGGTTTCGGTCCTTCTCGCTCTGATCAGCTACACTCATCGCCCAACGGGCCAGATAGACTCTGGCACTGTCGAACTCATCTTGTAGCGTCTGGATTTCGGGGTTCTTCATGAGACGGCGCATCTGAGGCGGAATCCGAGGATTTTCCGCAATCTCATTGGCAGTTCGGCGGGTGAATGTTGTGATCTTGCTGAGCTGCTCCAATACTTTCCACCGGGTCTCCTTGAGAGTCTTCATGAAGGGGTCCATGCTGGCATCGGGCGCAGCGGCTTGGCTGGACCCGGCCGCAGCAGCTTCTGGCTGAGCCTTTAGTGGCATTGATGCATCGCCATGAGTGGCCGACCGTCCAAAGGACAGCTGGTCCTCGTCCGATGGGTTGACGAGGTAGACGTTACGGTCCACGGAGGAGCGCTCTACCTCCACATATCTCCGGAGCCAGCGCAGAACCTCGTCACCGCCCCAGAATAAGCTCCCTTCATTACCGAAGGGATCAAAGTTCTCTCGTACCCTCTTCTTCTTCTGCAAAATAGTCGACTCACACTCGTCATCATGGAAGAAGAGTGCTGGAAAGCCGTCGCCCGCCCGAGTATTAATCACCAAACTTCCAAACCACCATCCTAGACTTGGCGGTCGTACTAGAAGCGAGTATATCTCTGATAGCGGGACTGCAAATGCATACAACCCGATGGGGTCTTTGTATGTGGTGGTAGTCGGAAGCGGCGGAACGAGGTACTTCTGGCGCGGTGGCGATGCGTCGTCAGAGAGGTCAACTTTCACATATGTATCGTAGGCCTCTCCCAGGGAGGATTCTGGGACCCATGCAAGAAGGTAGGAGGGCGCATCAGGGTTCTTGGATTGAGTGGCATGTGATGCGGGGATTGGTTTTTGTTGAATGAGGGCGATGAACCCAGCGATATTGTCTTTGGAGGAAGAAGTGGGATGTACGTAGACCTATATACTGGTCAGTTGAGAGCGCAGTTGAGGATGCGGAGGTCGTACTTTGCTTTTGGAGAAGAGCAACTTGACCCCTCTCGTCGAGGAGGCTTGGGCGATGGTATTGTATTCATCCTCTTCGTCGTCACTCATGGCGTAACAGGAAGCAGGCGGTGACGGTGTTGGAGGAGGTGTGTACTTAGGGGCCATGATGTTGAAGAAGAGAAGTAAGCTGGTGATGTGAGCCCAGAGCTTGGAAGAACGACGTAATGCCGATAAGATAGCGCCCCTCTATCAAATGTTCCCTTGTTGGCTGTTTTACTCTTCTTTGTAGGGCTTTAAATATAAATATTTTAATATTCATTTGAAATCACTTGCACGTTTTCTCACTTCTCACTTATTCTCTGTTCCAGTTTTCTCGTTTGATTTCTGGTTACGGGCGCCACTCGGCCTCCAGGCAGCCAAATTCACGCCAAACTGGTTTCATTTACAAGATGATTTAAACTATAGATTGCTTCCACAGCCAAGCATAACTAGTAAATTGAATCACTGCTCACTATGTTTGACATATTTGTGGCCACCAGATGTCTGTTTTATACCTGATGCGTACAGGATATAGGTATAGCAGAAATAAAGCTCAAGTATTGTGCATATAAGTATGCTTCGAGACCTGAACCTGTTAGCTTATATTTTTCATCAGGCTTGTATTCCCAATAATAATCATGAAGCTATCGAGATTTGTCGGCACTTGTGTCTCATGCCTCTTTGTCGTTTTGTATATTAAAAAGGCCACGGCAGACCACTGGTTACATAAGCACAAATTTGGCGTCCTCGAGAGCACATTGACTGAGTCGAATTTGGGAAACATCAAGTGAAAGTCAACAGAGTACCATTGATTCAATCTGAAGTGCAGATCAACATTGGTTGTTGGGCACCTTGAACTGGTCACTATCAACACCCCCACAATCCGAGACATTTTATGCCAGCCCGGTATTGGCAACTTCTGCCCCTAAGGGTTCATAATGGCTTCCAAAGAGCCACGCATCCTGCCGTCAGATATCATGGAGTCTCAATTGGCCACAATCGATCTCCTGGCGGCCATGTTTCCATCTCCAGGAGAGTTGGAAATCCCAGAATCCACAACGCAGTGTGTTGAGAAATTGCGAGAATGGTGTGAAGATCTGACATCCGTGCCCGCAAATATTCCTTCAAGTCTGTATCTTCTTGTATGTCTACCAATAGCAGATGGAGATAAAAACATTCAAATCAACGTCTCCATCCCACTACAATGCGACGACTCAGATACCATTGAACAACCACCACCCTTGGGATATTCGCTTCGACAACCAGAATGGATGTCTAAAGCCGAGGTAGCAGAAGTCGCAACTTCAATACCGGAGGGTGATGCTCTAGAGGCATTTGAATACTTCCAGACAGAAGCCAGTCGCTTTCTTGAAATCAAGCAGAGTCAGGCTGTGTTCTCAGAAAATAACGGCCCGGGTGGCCCGATCGTGAGAGTCTGGTTTTATTTCCCATCTCTGTCGACTCGCAAGAAGAGAGATGATCTGGTAAACCTTGCACCAGGATATTCTCTCACGGGCTTTGTGCTGGCTGGCAAGCCGGGCGTGTTATGTCTTGAGGGTGCATCGTCTGATGTTGATTCCTATATGAGCTTTATAAAGACAAATTCTTGGGGTGATATCCCCAGCCACCAGAAGAAAGTTAGTGAGAGGTTTCGTGAGACAGAGGGGATACAGAGAGTATTTTCTGGAATGGAGGAGATAACGAATTCGCTAGGGGAACGAGGTGGGCAGCGGGCCAATCGGGGTGATATGCAAGCACTGGAGGCGTGGTTAGGATCCAGAGGACTGCAAGAAGCGTTTGAAAAGGTCATCTTTTAGGTGGTGAATGAGGTGGAAATTAGTGTAAATATACCTGCCGATAGATTTGAACGCATGAACGAGAAGATATTGATTATAGCATGAGACCTGGAAGATATATCAGGCTATACGTGAAACCCGACCCGCATGGTTCCAGCGTAACATCTATGCAACCCGGGAAACCGCACTTCCGACGTAGATCCATCTCAACAGTCCTGCTTCCGTTATCTAGGGAGATCTTTCACCCAAAGAACCCTTGACAGACTCGACTTTCTCAAAGGTACATCTATCTGTCAGCTGCTCAGGGCACCGAATCAGGTGCGCATGACATCAACTTCGGGACTTTTTAACTCTTTTTGGAAACGCTATACCGCACCCTTCCCAGTTCAAGGTTCGACAGAAAAACAGTGTGCCACCAGTAGACAGATACATGTTCGTGGATTGAATTCAAAAGCCAAAAGCCTAAGCATATAAACATGACTGTCTTATGCCATTGCGATTCAACCCCCAAATGTTATCCGTTTGATATTGACGAAAACCAGCGACCATAACACTATGTCAGAACTCACTCGTACTTTGCCCGCTTCTTGGTACTGCAACAACTCCCTCTATCAGATGGAGCGACGGGCGGTGTTCCTCAAAGTATGCATGTGCGACCTGTCGCATGTTTCCGTTAATGCTAACTACGATATAGTCCTGGTACTTGCTCGGCCCAGTCACCAGATTCCAGAAAGTGGGTGAACATGTTCCGTATGACGTGGCACAGCAGTCTATTTCTGCTGTTCGCATTTCGGGCGATAGTCTCAATCCGACTCCTGAGGAGTTGAAGGTTGTCTGCGCGAAGACGGTATGGAGTACCTAAATAGCATCGAGCGGCTTGTGCTAACAATATCGTACAGGGCAAGGACGTGCGTAGCCATGTCACTCCAACTGGATTGCTGTTTTCAACCATTTCCGATGATGCTCCTAGCTTCCATGAGTTCTTCCCCGAGCTTGAGGAGCTGCTTGGTAAAGTCGACTTTACCAAATTGCCGTATCGTCGCAGCATTAGCTATGAAGGTCGATTCAACTGGAAGACGATGTAAGCTATCGTTTCCAGATTCCAACGGCATCGATATTAATCGTCCGTAGGGTGGACGGATATCAAGAGTGCCTGCACTGCCAGTACACTCATCCATCATTCTCGATTTACTACCCACCTACTTTCTACAGTGTTCACAACAAACACAACTTCTCTCAGCACATTGCAGACCCCAAGAAGCCAGATGACGGGCTATTCTTGTACTTCTTCCCAAATTGCACGCTGAATGTCTATGGGGGTGGTATGTCTTCATTCAGAGTCTGTCCGACCGCAAATCCGCATGTCACCCGCATGGAATTTGACTACTATCATCTTGCCGAGGGGGAGAAATTTGAGGAGTATTTCAAATTCGTGCGCCAGGTTGCTATGGAAGACTTTGAGCTGTGCGAGAAGGCTCAGGACAATCTGGCTAAAGGGGTTTATCATGAAGGAATTCTTAACCCGGACAAGGAGAATGGCGTGTCTTGTGAGTCATTGCTTTCTCACTTGCTCAAAAATTGTACTAAGATCTAGTAGACTATCAGCGACGAGTGTTTGATATGGTGTGTGAGCAGCATGCTACTGAGAGAGCTGCGAAGACAACCAAGGAGACAGGAGCTGAGGAACATACCGCATCTCCAATGGTCCAAATGGAAGCGTAGTAGATCTTGGTATCTCAATGGTAGTCGTAATGTTGGTAATCTGTATCAATGCAACCGTTTTCTCTCTATCCCTAATGTGTAGGTGGAGTTGAATGCACTGATTAGCATAAATATAGAACAAAGGAAGCAACGACTCATTGATCTTCGATATCTAACCCAAACAGGGGTGAATATCTATCAGCAGAGGACCACACCAGCTCAGGATCTAACAACCAAATTGGGAAGTACAGTTGCGAGGGGTCTGCATCAAGGGCGGCAAAAGTATAATGTGGGGTGGGGACTTGGACCTCCCTCAGAAGTATATCAGCTTGGGGGAGTTCATGATATTATCCAATGTTTTCAGTATTATTGTGCGGTTGATATTTGCTTTTCATGGAGTCCACTCAGTTCTATTTCCCAATCTCTCCTGCTTCTGCCCTCGTGGCTTTGGTGACAATCGTGTTCCTACTTCGTCGGGCATGGCCTCGCTTATACCAGCAGAAGAGGACCACTAAGCTCGCTGATGCAATCGAGACGCACCAAGAATTAGACTTGGTTGTGTTAAAAGAGCCCGAGGTCCCAGATGGTTGGTGGTCTGGCCGGGATGTGTTCGAGCTCGAACGCCGCGCGCTCTTCAGTCAAGTAAGAGAGATAAATCAGATTTTGAACCATTGTACCTAACATGCATGTCCAGACATGGATCTATCTTGCACACATATCGCAGTTTAAAAAGCCTGGCTCTTATCAATCTTTTGACCTTGCCGGGTATCCTATCTTCTTGATTCGGGGCAAGGATGACAAGATCCGTGCCTTTCACAATGTGTGTCGGCATCGTGCCTATACTATCACGAGGAAGGAAAGTGGTGCATCGACGGTTCTCGGCTGCCGGTACCACGGCTGGAGCTACGATACCACCGGCCGCCTGGTTAAGGCGCCTCAGTTTGACGATGTGCCTGGATTTGACAAGTCGCAGAACAATCTGTTTGAGATCCATGCACATACCACTGTCCATGGAATGGTACTTGTTAACCTAAATTCCGGTGAGCCAGAGCCGTTTTATGAGAATATTGTATCGGCTTGGAATGGATTTTCTCGTACATCCGGTTTGGAAGTGAGCTCCACTTGGGTGAACGGACAGACTTTGACTGGAAATTTCAATTGGAAAGCAGGAAGTGAGTTGCACATTGAGATTTTAGAGAAATTTTATTCAATTACTGACAATGTTTGAAGTGGGAAAATCTCAACTCAATGCGTTCACTACAGAGCTGAGCCGTCAGATATCAGAATTATCTAATCCATCGCCTGTTTTGAAGGCTGTCCGATCATTAATGCAAAAAAGCACGCGCATGGAGACTTCCTTGTTTCCAATCACTTTCCTATGTTCTTTTGAACATACTGGCCTATGTCTGGCTCTATCCATCTTTCCAGCATCCGAGAAGAAGTCTAGCATTCGATACGATCTATTCACCCGTTCTGCGATAGGCAATACAGAGAGCGAGGTACTATCCAAATCTTCATACGAAGTTACAGAGAAACTGGTTCGAGAACTTGAGGACCACTATCAGGCAATCTTGGTAGATAATGGGTGGGTTATCTTGTCATTGCTTGTCCCCACTGTTGTTTCTCTGTTGACAAGTCCTTTTATAGAAGCTCAATTGAAGTAAACGCAAGCATCACGGGTATATGCAGTCGATCAAAATCTGTTTCATTGCTAACAACTTCACAGACACTCGCCAAATCCTGAGCAGAATTCAGAAGCACACAAAGCTTGAAAAGATTCAAGGTGGTCAGATTCTACCGGCTACACACAAACCCAAAGGCAGCATTTTATTCCAACAGGCTGAGCAATGTAAGTCCATGTAAAGTTTGAAACAATATCCGATGTTGATCTCCTACAGTGTGCCAAGAGCTGGACTGCGTTAGTGGTGGATCGCAGAATGGGACTTCATCAAATGCACTGGATTGGTAAATCTTATTGGGGACACAAGCGCTTCTTGATATGTCACTACATCTGATTTAATCTTCATGGGCTCGTTAGTTCTCCCTGTGTGATGGTGATTGCATGAACGCGCAATACCCATTATGAAGTTGTCCAAGGCGCAAAGTCTACATTAGGTCCCGCAAGCACGCTGCAGAGTGCTCCTTTGAAAATAAGTAACCTAGATACTGGCATAAACAGAGCAACAACAAAACAAACATCAAGCCCGCTCTCTGTGTAGAAGGTACCTAACCTCCAAATTTGCGAAGCTAATTCCATATCTTTATTCGGCGTGTACCGTCGTTGGCGTAGTTCTCGTGAATCTGAAAGCCGACTGATTTTTGTCCGATTATATTTCCATATCAAATGGCTCATCATAGTGTTATCTATCATGTGTGCTTCAAGGAAAAGGTTGACCACAATTCAAGTATATCTTCTTCCACAAACCGAGTCGGGGGATCTTTTGAGGGAGCTTGAAAAAAAAAAAAACAAAGAACGATTCGAACACTCTGCTTTCTTTTAAGTTTGAATTCCTGATCAAATGTCAGTTCAAAGGCCTGAAAGAAAGAACGCACTCTAAAACCGAGCCTTAGCATACTGGCTCGGTACTCGGTTAAGGCAATTAACTACCATTACATTTCAAAACATGATTCGTTATAAAGAACACAGAGGGCCAACGCTCCAAGCTCACGCAAAATCCTATTAAATCTCTTTTTCGTCTGGTTGTAATGAGAGATCTAGAGTCATCACTTAATTATATCAAGCAGGGTTTGATAAACAAAGAATACCCCACTCAGGGATCTATGTTCAAACCCCCACTGCTTCAGTGTCTCAACTTGAACATGGTTTGGACTGCTTATGAAACCGTTCATTTTTACATTACATTCTCATTATATAATACACTATACCAGGGCAGATATAGGAAGCTACGCAGGGCACCAATATTATGAAAAATATTATACGGCAGTCTATTAGAATCATCAGCTCAAAGGCATTCTACCGTTTATATACCAGTAATATTATTAGTTCAGTATACATCTAGATAGTACTACTACGTGTGACCTGCCTATTATCACAAGTTTGAGGCATATATCACGCTAAAGCTACCACAATGAGGGTCTTTAGCTTATAAACACCCTGTTTTGCTACCAATAACTTATTGGATAATCTATACACGAAATCCTCGAAGTGAGCGTACCGTTTCATGTGTTAATTTTGTTCTAATTCGACCTCTCCTTTTTCGCATCTTTTCTCGTCTCTTTTTCACCTCCTTTTTCCTTATCACACCGGATAGAAAGCGGCAGAGCGTTCAGTCGGGGACATCAAATTGCGTGCCAATTGACGCAGAGAGTATGTTTTTGTATTCTGGTTATAAATAATGGATAATAAGATCCTGCCCTCCTGTTCCATACGTTTTTGAGAATTTTGAGAGCAAATTGATGGCATGGTGGGTGATTGAACACGAGAAGTTGGAAATAAAATGCGAGATTTACGCAAGGGGCGGCGCTCGGTCGAATGTTGCGTTAAATCATGATTTATGTTATTCACGAGGATAAATTCTCCGCGGATGTTCGTCAGTGCGCAGACCGTAAACGGCAGAGCTTGCATAAAACTACGGAATAAAAACTATGTGACACATTGTCTTTCCTCGTTGAGTTGCCCACATTGTCGATTCAGTGTAATTTACTTGTTACGTTGAACAAGATCTTTATAGTTGATATCAGCAGCACCGTCGGTATCTCACTCCGACCACTAAATTTGGCTACAGGTGAATCGTTTAGACTCATCGCACGGCGTGAAGACATGCTGTACAACCACACCTGGTTGCGCATGTTTCTAAACAGAAATGTATGAGCACATATCCCCTAGAAGGTTTGTAATATCAAGATATCTCGACTATCATGGCCAATATTCGACGCCGCTCGGTCGCAGCCCAAGCAAAGGTGATGGCTTGTTCGCAATATCAATTGAAAATCATTTTGCGAGAACTAAAATATAAATATCTAGGAAAGAGTGCTGTTTTTCGACATCAAAAATCCAAAACTTGCCAGCTCTTGAATCAGTTCTGTATTCTCTACCAACGGGTTTTTCTAATCCTTACTGTGACGAAGACAAAATGGAGCAACTTCTATGCAATCATGCCAACAAAGCGAGCGACTCTCTGGCAGTCATCGATGGAGAGCAACGATTTACCTATCGAGATTTATTGGCCAAAGCAGATGTTCTGGCTTTGAAATTGGCCAAGAAGGGAATCGAAGCCGAAGAGCCCATTGGCATTCTGATAGGAACAGGCTGGCAACAAGTGATTGCGCAAGTTGCCGTGCTGAGAGCAGGAGGATCTTGTACCCCCGTTGATCCATCTGTGCCTGACAGTCAGCTTCACGACATGCTTAATGACTTGAACATGCGAATGGTTATAACGACAAACGAGTTGTCGACAAGGGTTTCTCAGTTTGATGTACTGCTTGCCGAGTCAGTACTTGATTCTGAACACGGTATAGACGACTCTGGGGAGATTCTGGTGAATTCTGAGAAATCTCAGGACCATAGAAGCCATCTCATCCATACATCTGGCTCAACAGGGAAACCCAAGGTCGTACAGATCTTCTCAAAGGCTATCATGCATCTTGCCACTTCGTCCCCGCTCGATATCGGGCCAGGGGATAAAGTCGGAGAGTTAAACAACCCCGGTTTCGACCTATCCTTATTTGAAATTTGGGCTACCTTGCTTTCCGGTGGCACAGTGGTGCACATACCAAATTCGATCATCAAAGATCCGGTCTCTTTTGCGGCTTTCTTGGAGGATTCAAGCATTTCCGGGCTTATTCTACCTTCTGCCCTTTTCACCGCGGTATCAACCAGTATTCCTACAGCCTTTCGCAATGTTCGCCATGTGATCACCTCCGGTGAGTCACCAAATCCTCTGGCAATGCAAAGGGTCCTCGGCAGTGATGCCCCTCCGGAAACCCTTTGGAATGGCTATGGACCTACCGAGACGACATGTTTTTCAACTTTGAAGCGGGTGACGCTCCAGGAGGCGCAAGATGAAACCATTACAGCTGGAGTTCCCTTTGGAGATACTTTGCTATATATCATTGATGAAAACCGGAGCCCTATTCTCAATGAGGAAGTTTCGGGTGAAATATGCATTGGGGGACCAGGACTATCTACTGGATACCTCAACCGTCCCGACGAAACTGCAGAAAAGTTCATTGAGCTCAATATTTCAGAGTCTCCGGACTCCAGCAACGGGAAAATTGTCCGAGTCTACCGGACAGGTGATCTTGGTACGTGGAAGGGGAAGGAACTTCACTTCCTTGGCCGTAAAGATCTCCAGGTCAAGCGTCAGGGGTTCCGTGTTGAACTGGAAGGTGTTGAACAAGCCATAGCAGCAAACGAGTGTATCCATGCAGCGGCCTGTCTACATGAGAAGTCCGCTCATGGTGCAGGTTCTGACCATCTTAGGGCTTTCATTGTCCCTGAAGACGGTAGCTCAGTTGATCCGCAAGAAATTCTCAAGATGATGCAAGATCGACTTCCCTATTATATGGTCCCCGACGAAGTCCATATCATAGATGAAATACCGTTGAATTCTCGCGGTAAAGTGGACCGTGGTGCTTTAGCCGATAAGCACCGAAATCTTCAAACTCCGCGATCCTCTGAGGAAGTTGTGGATGAAGAAAAGAACCCCGTCAGTATTGTTGCCGAAATCGTGGAAGGGATTTTGAGCATCAAAAATATCGGACCGGATGACAATGTTGTTTCTCTTGGCATGTCTTCAATACAGATCGCTCGATTTCTTGGCCTGATCAAACAACGATTTGGAAAGTTGCTATCAATCAAAGACCTCTACACAACTCCAACAATTGGATCATTGGCAGACTATCTCAGCAAAAAGGAGGAAATCAACTACGGGCCTACTGAAATTTTGCAATTTGAAGAGGACAGCCATTTTGCAGATGACATCGAGTTGGTCCCAGACTGGTCATCTGAAGGTCGCTTATTCCTGACGGGTGCTACCGGATTCCTCGGGGCTAATCTTCTATACCGCTTGCTCTCCATGTCGAATATGAAAGAGATAGCCTGTCTCGCTCGAGGCAATGAAGATCATTCGCCTATGGATCGAATCCAGAATACTCTCAAGAAGTACGACCTGTGGAACGAAGCTGTTTCCCATAATATGGGAAAGGTAATTATCGTGGACGGAGACATGACAAAAGAACATCTTGGGCTTTCGCAGAATGATTATCAATGGCTCACTTGCTGGGCACCAGCAGTTCTCCATTCAGCTGCGAAGGTCAACTGGTGTGATCCGTACAGTGCTCACTTCGCGCAAAACATCCTGGGGACGAAGAATGTTCTCCGAGTTGCAGCAGATGGGCGACGCAAGTCCTTCCACTACATCTCAAGCATCGATGTTTGGGCTGTCACTGGACTCATACTCGGAACAGAAGTGGTCTCTGAGGACGGGCCATTGAAGACTCACCTGGCTTCACTCCCTTTCGATACCGGCTATGCCCAGAGTCAATGGGTAGCAGATGAAATGGTTCAAAGGGTGCGCGACAAAGGTCTGCCTGTGAACATTTACCGCCCAGGATTCCTTGTCGGTGATAGTAAAACAGGAGCTGGGAATCCAGATGATTTCTTCACTCGAATGCTGGTTGGATGTGTTCAACTAGGATATTGGCCGCATCTGCCACACCAGAACCAAGAATACGTTACAGTTGACTATGCTTGTGATTCAATTTTACAAATTGCTTCGAATAAACACAACATGGGCCGGAACTACACGCTCAGTGCGCCAAAGACAGACCTGACTACCAACATGGAAAAGCTATGCACATTTATAAACCAAGCTGGCTTTTCTATAAAACAGGTCCCATACCCGGAGTGGTTGGAAAGATTGCAAGCTTGGGAGGGTCTTGAATCGAGCCCTGTGATATCTTTGATGCCCTTGCTCGCAGAGCCTGTTCTGCGTGGTGCAACACGTCTCCAGACAAGCAAATATTCTCCAGTCTACGATTGTTCAAATACCTTGAAGGTACTTGGAAATCATGATGGTGGTTCTTTCGTCCAGCTTACACCCGATCTCATCCGGAAATTTGTAGGATTCCTGACGCGCAAAGGGTTCTACAACTTTGATTAACTGCCTTCGGGATCTTTGATACTGAAAGAGGTGGCGATATCATCGTTGCCGTCTATATCACTCTTTTGTTATATTTTGGTCTTCCATGTAGTCAGTCGTTAGCTTGGTTCAAATTCTCACAATTTGCCATTTCGCCCATTAAAGAGAGCCACTGTATACATTATTTGTTTCACCAGACCTATCTAGCTTGGTATTCCGGGGATACTTCTTAAAGCTATAGATACTAATGTGAAAACATAAGACATCAGCTCATTGTGTACAATCCTGTACCTTACCTCAGCAATCTGTTTCTATTTTTAGAAACATATCCCGTCCAGCAGGTTGGAAGGCGCAGGCATAGCTATCGGCAAACTCCCTCGTGTTGAATATTTTTACTCTGCTGTAATGCTATGTTCTCCTATATTGGCATTTACCTTGGCCATATCTCGGGAATAAGGTGGCTGTTTGTAGTTGAAGTTATAAATAGCATGGCCCGTCTTCCTGAAAGACTGCTATCCACGATTGTGGTTAGTTTGCCCAAATATGAGCAGACTATCAGGTTCATCTCATTCCATGACGTGAATGTTGTAAGTAGCTATCTATTTCATCATACTGCATGGATCATATTACGTATAGGAATTTTGATACCAAATTTCTGCTCGCCGTCCTCTCTGTTACTGAGTGGCCAACTCAATTCTTCACAATCATTGTAAGAATCCTGCGCGGGGTATATGACACAGTCTGACTGCGCAAGACGGGTGATTTCAATCTTATATGTGTTCGTGTTTACTTTCGGTCCCTAAGGTGTCCGGGATAGTCCGGTGTTACCAAAGCCAAGAATTTCAGGGGCCAAAAATGTAACTTGATCGCAGCTCTCTTAGTCGACGTCATTTGGTGTCAGATTGATGTCATGTTGAGGGACTTGGGTTTAGGATGAGTGAAAGTTGTAGCCGGTCAGAGAAGGCGCGAGTAAATCCTGTCTGAAATCAGGCCAGGCGGATCTCAATGCGGCAGCTGTATTTCCTCGCCATTGGGCATCTGCAAATTAATTTTATATTTCAGGCACGTGGTTTATGTGGAAATTGAGATTGAATTGTAGGTTCTTCAGGGGAAATCCCTCACACATTGAGAATTCGTCTCCAACGATCACCGCCAGCTCTGCAGTACATCAAACCGGACACTGTAGATCTTAGCTATACGACACTCTCGTGCGAGTGTTGATTAATTCAAACCCTCGGTCCGAAATCACCACTGATCAGGATCGGCATCTGCGAAAACAGTTCCAGCAGCAATCTCATCATACCAAATCTGCCGAGTACCCTGGGTGCCCTTCATAGTCTTATCATCATGCCATCCATTAGCATAGAGACCAACACGGAACTGGAACGCCCGATCATCGGCAATGGTAGTAGCAATGTTATACTCCTCGAGAACCTTAACACCATCAAACCACAGCTTGTAAAACCCAGTGCCATCAGACTTCCAGCTAGACTGGATCTCAACCTTGTGCCATGCGCCTGCAGTCACAGTGGCCAAGTTGGAGAATGTCTGGATCTTCTGCGCGCAGATTGTGCCTTGCTTCACGCGTGTGTAGAGCTGGTTGCCGACGAGCCAAACCATGCTTGATGGCATCCAGTCGTCGCAGCCGGTGTCGGTGAAGTCGGCGATGAATTGGGCAATGTTGTAGGATTGTGCTGGGGAGAATTGCCAGTTTTCTTGGAGGCGGAAAGTGAAGCCGTAGAAGCCTGTGTCGCCGCGCTTGTACACGTTGTTCTTGACAACTTCCGAGTGGTAGCGGCCTGTGTAGCTCGAGTCGTAGACTTGGGTCATCTTCAGGGCTGTTGGTCCTTCGTAAAATACGTTGGTCACTTGTTGGACTGTGCCAGAGTGTTCCTGGTTGGAGGCATCCCAGCCTGAGGTTGTTCCGGTGTTACTGAAGATTTGCGTCGCCTGGGTTGTCAGACTTAGTGCCAACACCAGGGCGGCTGAGGGGAGTTTGCCGAACATTGCTTTTTGTGTGCAAAATCTGGAATTGAGATAGATGAGATTGATGGTTTGAGAACCCTTGTGTGACTGCGGATGCTTCCTTTTATAGTACAATTTCAGCTTCCCCTGTCGAGGAACGGCTCAATCGGTCCCCAGATTAATTGGATCTGTCTCCAGAGACTCTCTCATGGCCCTTGGGGAATTTCCTAAACGAGAACGAGATGTGCAGGTTGCAGCGGCTGATCAACGCCATAAGCTCTTCTGCATGCTACAGCGGAAGGGTCTTGGTGGAGAATGCCGTGGAGCAGCGTGCTTTTGGTCGCCATTGGAGGAAATATGCGGTTTAACTCCTTGGCCCGTAATTCCGCCCCGCTCGTGTGCAGTTCGTGCAGGTGCAGTCAGACTTTGGCTGTTTCAGCGAAGCCTCAGCGTTACATCGCGAGTGCAAAATAAACAAACATGGTGCCGGTCTAACTCTTTTAGGGAAATGATTCAGGAAGTATAAAGAGCAGATGCAGTGAGGGTAACTCTTGTCCGATTTTCATTCCTGTGGGCTAATATAGTCAATATGAGTGGCTGCAGAGGACGTGTCATGCTTTGGACCGCAACTCAACATTGGCTGACCTTCAGCTCACTGCTCACGAGGTTGTCAGCTCAGGCCGAGTTTTTTCGTCTCGTTGATCGTCACACCTTAGGGGTATGCGGATTTTTCATCTGAAGGTCCTTAAGGATCGTGATTTGTGGGCATTGAAGTCTGCAGACTAAATATGCTTAGTAACAAAAACAGGAAGTGAGGGTTACGATCAAAAGAAAATAAGTCTGGTGCAGCAGAGAAAACAGAAGCAAAACTGCTATCAACCTAAAGCGGACACGACATGGTTTAACGAAGCCATCGAAGGGAGGACAGATATATAACGAACCGAAGACGATAGAAGCGCTCCTTTACCCCCAATTCGGATCCGATTATATGCCTCGCGCTAACGCACGAAATGTCAGGTGAGACCAGTGCACAAAAATGCCCCCAACAGCCCCATAGAAATTGCTTATGTATAGTGAGCCTCCACTCTCAGCAGCCCTTGAGACAAGTGTTATCGGAAAAAGTCAACGTTTGGCTCTCAAAACAGGCCCAGATGGGGCTTCCCGCCCCCGTTGGTCCTCGTTCCGTGCAATAGTCTTGAGCTAATTTTGGTCGGACGGGACGTAGATTCTTGCTTGCTTGTTTTGAATAACGGCCATGGAGCTTTATGTGAGATAGCGAACGTTGTGCAGACAATTGCCAATGGTTCTGTCTAAATACTGTACTGTCGATCATCTTCGGTTGATCCGCTGTGGATCTTCGAACGTATCAATCTGACTAGGAATTGAGGTGATAGCAAGCCTCGTACTTAAGTGAGCATCGTGCAAGTATATTAACATAGGTGGCACCATGCTGTTATCCTTGGGGGCCGACGACAAGTCGTAGATAGACCGAGACCGATTGTCTTTTGTTAAGGTGTTTTATTTGGAAAGTGAATATGTCCCCTGTAGACACATATATAGCACTACATATACTCCACGGATTTGTTAACCGATGTTGGAGTTGTGGCGTACAAAACATGTTGCTATTGCATGAAATGGGCTCAGGAACTAACGGGCATATGTTGTTGGATTGAGATAGGGCTCATATTGTGTAGGATTCTTGTCCGGCTACTGATATAAGCAATGACGTTAAGTTGTGGCAAAGAAGAGTAAGCAGGTACCATTTTAGTACACGTTATGCATGCCTGCTGCAAAACGCGCTGAGAACTACTACAGGGCTGTTGTGCTGAGTATCGACATATCCTCGGTAACCAAGGCTGCATTTCACTAATCTGGCAGCTGCCTGGAACACTCTTCAGTAGATTTATTGTATCCCTACGGGTCCATTAGGCTTGTCAGATTGTGCAGAGTGTGCAAAATCTCCACAATTTCTTGGGGCCACATGGGGGCTGGGGGCGATGGGGCGGGGAAGAATACATGTAACAACTGAGGAATGTAATAGGCTAAAAATATACTGGGGCGCATCATTGGCGGTGCAGTCGATCCCTCAGTAGAGAGTAATACTTCGTGTCGATCCCCTACTTTCTTTCCCCTGCGCCTTCACGGGTACGAGAATTCTATACGGGTGCTTGAACTAACAATGTAAACTTTGAATTCGGATTAAAGCTATATCATAATGCTATTTTCACTTTCACTGTCTTAAAGAGTGCATGTATCCTGGTTATTCCACGGCCTGGACCGGTTCTTTGGCCCCAGCGGATCGCTATTAGTTGCAGGACGCTAACGGATAATACCCGCATTGGTTACTCGAGTTAATGCAGCATAGTATTTGGCCCCGGAATCATCTGTTAGCCAGGGCAGTACACCCAAGGGGCCAAGAGGATGCGGATGTCATTACTTATTCGCACCTTATTTTGTTTTTAAAGAAACTTCATCGCCAAACTTAGCATTCCATTTGCCTTTGCACTTTGACAAAAAAAAAAGAAAAGTTGCAAGTCCGGGTTTGGTTCTTTGTTGTATACAGGCCACATTCGGGGAGGAACAAAGATTACACACGCCTCCGCGAGTCTGGCGTGAGCGGTGCGTACTCTATCGGGGAGCTGATCACTTGGTCGATCTCGCGTGGCAGCCTAGCGGCAAGATGCTAATAAAGAGCAGAATATACAATCAGGTCAACAATGATTGTATAGATGAAACCACTGGCCAAAATGGGATCATATACTTGCCTTCCGGTGCTTCGGCAACGAAACACTACAAAACACACGATATATATTCCAGCAGGACGAAGACTCCAGGACCTCATAGAACACCCTTCTTTGAATCAACTCCCCGTTCACATGGCCAGCCCAAGCAACGAAGACACAATGCGACCTGCAGAGAACGTCCCAGTCCGGCTCGAGACCTCACACCCCCCTGTTCCGTCCAAGCCATCCGACGCCAAGTGGGAAAACCGAAACCAATCACAGCCAGATGTAGTCAAAGAGGAAGAAATCGACGGTTCATCAGTCGGGGAGCTCGGGGATTATTGGCCCGACTCCTCGCAGGAGTCTTTACAAACAATCATTGACTTGAATACACTCCAGTCTGAGAGGGAAACCCCAACCTCTTCATTGTCGGACCATCCTCACCAGACACACCTGACCCACTCTCCTCCTGGGTTATCGCACTCACTCGTGTCCTCGACTAGCCCAGGTCTGAATATGAAGCACTCCACCCCCTCGTCGTTAGAGAAAGAGCTAAAAGAACGAGTGCAATTCTTGTGCGGATACTCTGAGGGTGCAGAAACGGGTTTGAAGCAGAAGACTGGGGACTTGGATGTGCTGGATTGCGCTTCGTCGTGCTATAGTCGTCGCACTTCGCTCGGCAGTATTGGCAGTTGGTATAGAGATGGACCCCTTGACAGGTCTGCCGATGAATATTCGATCTGTTGCCCTGTTGCTGCTGGTGTCTTTGACGACACTTCTCTTCCTTCTCCTCCGCATCAATCGACGGTGTCGCACCGTATGTATGCGCCGAGTAGCTTTACACGCCCGTACAAGTCGATCACCCCGAAATTGTCAATGAATGATCTCAAGAACAAGCCCTTGCCTTTGGAGCCAAGCAGTGCCTCTCCTACTCGCCGGTCCTCAACCCGCCGAAGCAACTCTTCACTGTCAGCAGCGTCTCAGCGTTCTAATTCGCCCTTTTCTGCATTTTCCCAGAAGGATATGCTTGTCTCTCCGCTATACCGACATTCCGCGACGGTGCACTCCCATGGAAACAGCCACGCATGTCAGAGCTGTGGTCACCGCAAACCACGGTCTCGGTCTCGGCACGAGTTCAAAGTGGCTGGTCATCGGGCTCGCCATATTCCAACCTTGTCGCAGGCAGCCGAGGAACTGGAAGATGCTCTTGCGGACTTTGAGGGACGAGGACAGAGGACATTGCTTATTCTTGATGGACCACTGCAAATAAGTCGAAATAATGGCGACATGATTGCGACCCGACCGGCGCCTTTGCCTCCATCTACAAAGCCTCACTCTCAGCGCTTAGACACGCGGGTGAAGAAGCGGGCTAGTATTAAGCCGGCCGCAGTTCCGCCCAAGGACAAACCCAAGACCATCAAGTTCAAAGAGGAAAAAGACAAGATGCGACGGTCCAGAGACGAAGAGAAAAAGGAAGTCAGTCCCAAAAAAGACAGAAAGAGCCAAAAGTCGTCGTTTCTCATGCCATTCCGGAAGAACCAAGACTCCGAGCAGGTTAGCGTGACGCACGCAGCCCCCGACTTGGATTCTGCAAGTCGTGAAGATTTACTTCTTCAGTTACCTCGTCTGCAGACTCACTTGAAATTCGGCAATCCTTTTGATCAAGCTCAACAAGCCCTGGCCTTACCTCGCCAGCCACCCGCTCGGGCACCAGTTGAGCTGTCAGACAGCCCCACCCCGGACGTGCACCTTCGTTTTCATAACAATGAGAAGGTAGCCAAGATGCGACAAAGTTGGGCGTGGGTGTCGACTGCCCAGGCAAGCAGTGTGCAACTCCCTGAACATGTCTATGAACTCGATGCTGCGCCGCCGTCGCCTTCTATCCTCCCTTTGGCCCCCACGTCCCCCGGTCTTGGCCAGGTGGAGTTCCCTGAAGAAATGCCAATTGATCTTATCTTGTCGATTATGAAGAGCATTGACTCCCTGGACGATTTGTTCAATTTTGTTCTGGTCAACAAACAGATTTATTCCGCATTCAAGCGTCATGAATTACCGATGATCAAAAGTGCCCTTTTCAAAATGTCTCCGCCCGCATGGGAATTGCGAGAGATGAGTCCGCCCTGGGAATTGGAGTGGCAATTACTGTTGGATCCTGATTCTCAGGTTCCCGAGTATACGCCGACCCTGTATTTACAGCGCTACGCAGAGGATATTTATACTCTTGCCAAACTCAAAGCTCTTGTCCTGGCACGATGTGCACCTTTCTTACGTCGCGATACTGTTCGTGGTCTGGCGGGTGTGGATAATACCCGCGCTGAAGAGGTCGACGATGCCTTTTGGCGGGTCTGGACATTCTGTCGAATTTTCGGCAGTGGGAAAAATCGCGAAGCTGATATCATGGGTCAGATGGATTGGTTGAAGGGTGGTGTTATGGCGCGGAATATCTTCAACTCACCCTCTACCGTGTCTGAACCATTTGGCATGAACAATGTCCTCTTCGAACCACCAGAAGGATTCGGTCGCGGTAACCTTGATGGTCTGTCGCAGAGCCAGATGTATGATATTACGGAGATCTGGACTTGTATGGGAGTTTTGCTTCAACCTTTGCATGGGAAGTGCATCGAAGCTCGCAAGGTCGGTATCTTTGATGGTATGCATGTTCCAGAGGGCGATGCAGTTCGGGAAGAGACTGTTCTCGGTGGGTGGTATTCCTATTACAACCAATTCTGATCATTATAGCTGACTTCTTGCAGAGGAATGGACCTCCTACGTGCTCACACTGGGCCTCTCGGCAGTATTGACACTCAGTGCCGTCTGCCCAGCAGACACTACAACCGCGACATTCAACAAGGCCAAGTCAATCGGCTTGACGAAATGGGAACCAACAGAAACCGAAGTAAGCCGGTCACCATTTCTAAAGGAAGCCGTCGCACGGGCGTACGAGCTTCAGGAACGAAATATCTCTCCGCAATCAAGTATTTCAGAAGGAAAGCGAAGCAGCAGCTCCCATTCCGACTCCACCCGTGAAATTCGCGAACGCCAGGCTGGTTTCGCCCGCGAATTAGGTCACCGCCGTCGTCTACGTGGACCATCCAGTGAGCCAGAAGGTCGCTATTCCTTCTCGGCTGAGCGTCCAATGTCAGAGTTTAGCGCCATTGTCCGTAACCTCGATGGCTCGATTCGAGTCCCTTCGACGGAAGATGAGCCTCCCGTTCCGCCCGTCCCAGCACTTGTTCTCGATCGTTGTTCTATTTCTACTTCCGGCTCTGGCTCTGCGTCTGGAACTGGCAGCAACCCTCACACACCAACCCAAATTTCAAATCCTATCACTCTATTCGCTCCTCAAACGCCCCCGACTCCGCCAGTCAGAGTTTATGTGCCTCTGCAGCCTCAGGTCTTGGATCCCGCCGATCGCGCCATTGACACGATGGTCAACGAGATGGGTTTCGACCCAGAAGACGCCAAGTGGGCTCTCAAGATTACCGATACTGGCGAAGGCATCGATGCTTCTGCTGCTATTAAGCTCCTTCAGCGCCAACGCAAGAAGAACGAGCGCAATCCCTTTGGCAAACGAGGTAGTCTACTGTCTGCCGTAATCAAGCGTCAGAAGTCGCAGGAACATGGCTGGCGCTGGGCTTGACTGTCCATCTTTTGGATCTTCTTCTTGTATGACTTTTTGGCGTTTTGAATTTACTTGGCCTTTCTTCTCGATCGCATTGTGCCATATACCCATTTATTCCCTTTGTATTATTCTCCGAAGATGTTCCTGGTTTTAATTTGTTACTATACCATGTTTATGAGGTCTGCATTGTTTTGATCTTTACTATTTGATACTCATATGCTTCGCGATTATTTATATAGGCTCCGTTCGCAATAAATGGAATTTTCTTGAATTTATCTGCCTAAGCACGATGTGGAAGAGTGCATAACTTAGCCCCCAAAGGATGTCTGGAGTAGAAGGACCACTCAGAAGATGATCTACTTTGAATCTTGCCTTTTTCGAGTTTGAGAGTGTCCAAATATATGCGCTTCCCTATATCCCGAGAATACCAGCCCGGATTATGGAAGTTACCCCGGATCGGAGTGGTGATTCTACCGGAAGCAAGGTTGGCCGGCACCGGGGATGTTACTGGATAAGTTGAACGTAGAGGCTACGTATGTTGATGAAGACGCATTCCCTGAATCAAATCTGTTGGAATAGCAGCGGATATCTCTACTGCTAGATTGCTACTTCATAGCCTTAAATTTAGATAGAGAGACAACCCTGCTTGATGGAATTCACTGTACTCTCTTGGCAGACTATTGCATAAGCCATTCTGCTACTTGCAAACCTGGCCAAGATATTATAGGGTGGAGCCAAAGAAGGAGATAGCAAAGTTCAACTTCGGAAACTATTACACAGCCATTCAACGGTTCTTGCTATAGGATCAATCTTTATCTATATGATCTTCACGAACTTCAACTGCCTCCCCTTCATAGGGATCAACAACAGTAGAAGCGAACTTTCGCGCAGAAATCCCCCTCTCGAATAACAAATCCAACTCTTCGTAAGTCCGACCTTTCGGTTCAGGTAAACGAAAGAATGCCCACACAAGGCCAACCAAGCAAGTCCCAGCCCAGAAATATGCACAACGAGCGCCCCAGTTCCAGGCCGTGGAATTTAATTGGTAGTTGGTCAAAACGTTGACAACTATATTGCTGATGTTGTATAAACACCGTGCGAGGACAATGGTCTTAGCCTTGAGTCGTGTAGAAGACAATTCCGAGACCAGAGAATATGTAACCGGGCCGACGGTGATATCGTAGCAAAAAGTGAAGATGATCAACATGGCGCCGATGGCCCATTTCGCGGCGCTGTTTTCGCTCGGCGCAAATGAAAGTGAGCCAGTTATCATGAGGAGAATAAAAAGACAGGCGAGGCCGCATACGTGGATTGTACGTCGGCCGGCGAATGACATCAGAAACCATGAGCCCATTGTGCCCAACACTCCAAGGCCGTACTGACCTAGAGAGAGATTGAAGGATTGCACCGTTGGTAGACCTGCCTGGACGCAGAAATAGGCGAAGTAACCCATTAGATTCTGCCCACATAGGGTCTGCACGAGCCAGACTACGCAGACAACTTCTGTTCGGCGGAGATTTGTTCCCTTGAAGCAGTCCCAGTATGTCGTTCCACTAGAAAGGGATTTTTCTAGTTCGTTGGTGTGCTGAATCATAGCAATTGTCTCCTCGGGGTTGAAGTGAGGGTCTTTGGACGATGTCAAACGTTGCAGGGCTCTTCGTGCTCCTTGGATATTTCCCTGTCGAACGTGCCACCAGGGTGACTCAGGCGCGAATAGACATCCAATCATGATTGGTAGTGGCCAGGCCCATTGCACACCGAATGGAATGCGATATGCCCATTGATCATCGCGAGAAATGGACCCACGGTTCACGCCAACGGCCACGAATTGTCCGAATACCCAGCACATGTTGATGAATGTTGTCAGGTAAGGTCTGAGCACCACCGGACATACTTCCGAGGCGTATGCAGCTGGGAGAGTTTGGAAAATACCCCATGGTATACCAGCAAGAATTTCAGCAGCGAGTAGCATCTGGATGTTGATCGCGAAGAAGAAGAGGAATATGACTGCTGTGATGGTGGCCAAGGCAGAGATCATGGTCCGACGGTAGCCAAGACGCTCCGAGACTAGACCGTTGATCAAAAGTCCAATGACTTCACCGCAGCGTGCACCGTTTGACAGACCGGATTGCCAGGAGGCAGGAACAGCCCATTTCCCCGAGGCTGTCAGTTCGCCGAACTTTTTGTTGAAAGCAGGTGACGCATACATCGAGCTCAGTAATGCGAGATCATATCCTTCCATGATCAGGGTGGATGAGAGAAGCACTGACCAGCCGACGGCTTTAGGGTATAGTTTGAGAGCCTGCCAGAGAGTCATGATGTGCTCATTCTGGGCTGCATGTTGGCCATCAGCTAGAACAGGTGATTTGCCGTCCATTCTGACGGGATCGTCCATTGTAGCCATTTGAATGAAAGGTAGTATTGGCGATGGTTGATCTCAAGCGAGAGCTCGAACAAAAGCTCTAGATTAAGAGCTAATTGAAGGGATTCAAACAGGCTTGAGCATAGTCAAAGCCGAAATATCGGGGAAATCCGCAAATTTATACGAAAAACACAAAACACAAACATCATACACACCACGCACATCACAAGATCCGGGGAAGAAGCCCATCGGCCGTCACGAAGAAAAAATGGAGAAAACTGGGGAAGCCGAAGTGTGGGGGTCCATCCGTAGCGAATCGGTGTTGTCGAGAGTTGCTCGTCGGCGGCAAGTCGGGCGCTATTCGGAGATGTGCACGGCGTCGGTGGCTTGGCGGGAATTTCCTCGTGTTGACCGAGTCAAGGCCGGAGGGGCAAACGGCTATAAGAGGGAGGAAAGTGTGCTTGGAACGAACCAAATCAAGCCATGTCACCTCACGCACAAGATATTGTCCCGACTGGGACTAATAACTGGTGGAAGGAGGCGACAGTCTATCAAGTAAGTTATTGATTACTCAGTTTTGTTACTTGCAATGATCATACTGACTGACCTGATCTTAGGTCTACCCAGCATCTTTCTATGACTCCAATGGTGATGGATGGGGTGATATCCCCGGCGTGATTGAAAAGATCCCCTACCTTCACTCACTTGGTATCGATGTGGTGTGGCTGTCCCCAATGTATGACTCACCCATGCATGACATGGGCTATGATGTCTCTGATTATGAGAAGGTGCTACCTGCTTATGGTACTGTCAGGGATGTGGAAGATCTCGTTGAGGCATGTCATTCGCGAGGCATGAAGCTGATTCTGGATCTTGTCGTCAATCACTCCAGTGACGAGCATGCTTGGTTCAAGGAGAGCAGGAGTAGCAAGGACAATGAGAAACGTGACTGGTACTTCTGGCGTCCTCCACGATATGATAAGGCTGGAAATAGGATACCACCGAGCAACTACCGCGGCTACTTCGCAGGGAGCACCTGTAAGTAAAGCAAACGATGTTTTGGGATATCGGCTAACTGCCCATAGGGACCTGGGATGAGACAACTCAAGAATACTACCTACACCTCTATGCGAAGGAGCAACCAGATCTCAACTGGGACAACAAAGCTACGCGCGAGGCTATATACAACAGCGCGGTTCGATTCTGGCTAGACAAGGGCGTCGATGGCTTCCGAGTCGACACTGTCAACAAATACAGCAAACATACAGATTTCCCCGATGCCCCAATCACAGATCCAAAAAGTGATATCCAGCCAGCCATCCAAATGTGGTGTAACGGACCTCGCATCCATGAGTTCTTGCGAGAAATGTACAACGATTCCTTTGCCCCATATGGCGACGTGATGACAGTTGGCGAGCTGGCCAATACTCCCGACCCGCAAAATGTACTCGAATATGTGGGTGCATCAGCCAAGGAGCTGAGCATGGTGTTTCACTTGGATATTGGACACATTGGGATGGGGCCCAGCCTGGAGGAAAAGTACATTTTTCATCCTTGGAAACTAACAAAGATGAAAGCCATTATAGAGAAATGGCAATCTTTCATCGAGGGAACAGATGGCTGGACCACTGTTTTCTGTGAAAATCACGACAACGGTCGCTCCGTCTCTCGTTTTGGGTCTGATTTACCCGAATTTCGAGAGATATCAGCCAAAATGCTAGCGCTTATGATGATTACCATGACCGGGACCTTATTTATCTACCAAGGCCAAGAGATCGGTATGGTCAATGCTCCTCGTGATTGGTCAATTGATGAGTACAAGGATATCGAAGGACTGGGGTACTACCGGGAAGCAGAGCGACGAAGTGCGAGTGGTGCAGATCCCACGCGCAAAGATCGCATCATGAACGGCTTGCGCATTTTGGCTCGCGATCATTCTCGACTGCCTATGCAGTGGGATGACTCTGAACATGCTGGCTTCACAACTGGAAAGCCTTGGATGCGAGCTCATGATCTTTCCAATGAGATCAATGTCCAAAAGCAAGAGAATGACGCATCTAGTGTGCTTTCATTCTGGAAAGATGTATTACGTTTGAGAAAAGAGCATCGAAACTTGTTCATCCACGGCGCGTTCGAAGTGCTCGACTATGAAAACCAGGAGACCTTCTGCTTTGTGAAATCAAGAAATGATAGTTATGCATTGGTTGTTTTAAACTTTACTGCAGCCTCTCAGCCATTCACACAAGCTGAGAGAACTGTGGGTAAAAGTTTGCTGGTGAGCAACTATGATAATTCCATTTTGGGGACTTTGAAGCCCTTTGAAGGCAGGGTGTACGTGTGATGATCCATAGAAAATTCATTCCTGTATACGTGTGAGGTACTGGGAAGGCTCCAAATTTAATATTTCAAGAGTATCTTGTTTTATAGCTGTTCAATTAACAAGGCAACATAACTTGTAGGGTCGAGCTGAAATAGTCTTGAGTATTTAGGCAGTGCCATTCATTTGACCAGTGAGAATTTATGGCTCGTTAAGATTCTAAGCATACTTAGATTCCCGATTTTGCATACTTATTCTTGTCACTCGTAGTTGACTGAACCAATCCGGCTATGGCCGCCAAGACCGCACAACCTCCCGGGTTTGCCCCGGCTTCTCTCCGAATTCTCTCCGCATCCCCGGATTCTACGGCATGGATTCTGATCTAGATTCGAGTATTCCTCCAAAGCAGGCATGCGATGGCTGTCGTCGGCGAAAGGTCAAATGTGTATATCCGCATCCTTGCAAGCAATGCCGAGCGGCCGGCCTCGTCTGCCGAACATCTATACAACGCCAGAGAAAGGGACGCCAGGGCCAAACGGCCAACATTCTCAGTGAGCTCAGATCGAAAAAAGTTGAAAAAGCTCTACCAACTAGTTTGAGCGCTTCTCCGTCCACGTCCTTGGTCCCACAGTCGCCTAAACCGCAAGGCAGATGCCAGTTCTCAAGAACCCCAAATCTTCTGAGGCTCGAACTTATCAATGCTTGTTCAGAATACTTCTTCTCTCGTATGAGGGGTACAGTTCCCATTCTGCAGCCCAGCGGCTTTCAGAAGCTGGTGGAGATGGCTGATACCTGTCTTCATGCTTATTGTTTGGTCACTGCTTTCTGTGCCTTCGTCGTCACTCAGACTGGGTTTGCTGTGGAACAATCATCTCGTCCTAATGCCGCATTGTTCTTCGAAGACGATCGGAGCTTGTTGGTTGAAGAGGCTACTGAAGCTCGGAAGCATCTCGATCCTTTCACAGATCCTGTGCGACAAAATATTATCATCGCATTCCTTCTTTATGGGTGTCATATTGGTTTGGGAAATCAAAGACATGCATATTACTTCCTCCGTGAGGCTACAACGCTCTATACCGCCAGTGCTCTCGAAAGCCAAGCCACCTCGGCGCAAGCAGACGACACGGATCCCTCTTTGGCAGGCAACTTGTTTTGGTTATTAATAGTATCAGAGAGGTAATTTTATTGGATAATACTGCTGGAACATCACTAATTCATTGACAGGGCTCATGCAATTCGACGACACAGACCAATCACCCTCAAGGTCACACCCCAAAGCCCGCAGTTGGAGGATGATCCCCGGTCAGAGGCATCGGCTGTTGGGTTTCGCTGTTTAACTCATCTCTATCTCCCTTTCGATGAAGAATTTTTGGGTCACTGGAATGGCACTCATACGACGTGCTCGATTGAATCCCTTGTTGCCCTTGAGGAACGCATTCGAAGCGCGGTACCTGCAGATCTTGATTTGCCAGATGTAATCATGGCTGATCTGAGAGTGTCTCAGCAGTGGCTACGAATTATGATATGGCAGTTATCTACCACTGCTGGCTTTCTGTCGACCAATCCTTCTCATGAATGCATGGATTTCCGCTACCCCTTGCTGATTGCTCAGGATCTCTGCCTTGCAACATGGAAATTGTCCCGGCAAAGTATGGAAACTCATGGAATTGGGCTGGTATATCATTAGTCTCTTGGAAAGTTGAAATTTGTCTAATGAGTTCCAGATCGAGAAGATATTTGAGGTTGCGTGTACCTTGATCGACGTGATGGCATGCCTTTCAGCGGCTGGGCTTCGTTCTTCGGGATTCAAGCTTGGCCCACAAGACTATCTCAAACATTTCTCCTCTCTAATCTACGATTTACCAGGAGGGCGGCGAAGATTCCTTCCTCTTCTTTTTACCAAAATTGGCCAAACGCTGCCTTCAATGGTAGACCCGATCACCATCCATCTGAATCTCCTACCTAACCCATTGCTGAGCTCAACAGACAATATCCAATCTACATCAACTATAGCCCGAAACGAAGCTGCCATTGAAGCTTCAGCCGAGACTGTCACTGATTCTATCTCTGATGATTGGGCGTACGGAAATTTCAACTATGCGGAGATGAGCCGCATTGGTGATAAAACGCCAGAGATTGATGAAGCATTTCTTCAATACTCGACTTATTTCCCTTGAGGCTCATACTTCAAAGGCAGCAGATTCATTAGTCTATTTACGAAAAGATGAAGCTGTTAAAAGCTGGACCGGCTGAAGATGGGAGGCCTTGCCAATCGCTTTTGCTTGTCCCCATCGTGTGAAAGATACCCGATGTCCATCAAATATCTCACGCTGCTCTCCAGAGCCAGAGCCGTTTCGCTCTTATTGAAATGGCAGTTTTTCGGGATATCGTCTTGATCCCCCAAAAACTGCCATGTATTCTCCTTAAACCATCCCAGTACTGGCATGAACGGATGATCAAAATCTGCCTCTTCAACATCAGCTTGTAACATTTTCGTCCATTTTTCATGTTCCATCTTTTTAATTGGCAATCCCATAGCCTTGCTGAGAGTATCACAAAATGTGGAAACTCTCACACCATCGACACAATGAATTGCTTCGGAGGGATATCTCTCCGGCTGCAAGAATACATCCGTGATGAGATTGGATACCTGGTCCACACCCGCAACGGTGAAATAGTGAAGGTCTTCGCTGACAGCTTTCAGGCGCGTGATGGTGAATGCCAGTCGCCAGAGGAAGTCTTCTGGGTGTGCGATTCCTTCCTTCTGCGATCCAACGATGAATCCCGGAATCACAGTCTGCGCTTTTTGGGTTTTGATATCTTCGCGATCGAGATGTTTGTTGTACTCGGCTAACAGCAACTGGGACATAAACTTTGTCTGGTCATACCCCGATGCCTCGGAAAGCTTTCTGGCAATTTGAGTATGGCTCTCTGTCTCTTTTGGCATGTATCCACCGGAGACATAGATCAGGTTGCAAGGAGGATCCATTTTCGAAAGTCCAGAGAGTATTTCGATGGTACTATGGACATTAACTTTCTCGAGCTCGTCGTAGCTATCCATCCAGTTCACTCGAGCACCATTGTGGATAATGCAATCGACTCGTTTTGTTGGGTCTGTTGTGAACAGTCGTTCCCACTTAGACTGTTCCAATCCGAGTTTTGCTCTGCCCAAATCTCCAGTCCAGACTTCGATACGATCTTGATAGCCTGGCTGCCACCACCGACCAAGCTCGCCATGCTCTTGGACCTTTTTCCGTGCTTCCCTTTCATCTTTGGCGCGGACAAGTCCAATCACACACCCTACCTCTGGATGCTCCAGGAGAGAGCGCAAGACTTGGCTACCAAGAAATCCGGTGATAGATGTCAAGAAGACAGTCGCTAGGCGAATCTGGATGAAATCAAGCTTTGGCTTCAATTTTGCAAGATCGGCGATCAGGTTCCTGGAATCACTGTCTTTCCGTTCCAGTTTGATTCGTCCTGTGAGACTGTCTGCAATGTTGCAAACTGTCACATCTTTATGCAAAGTCTCGATGTTGAGTTTCTTCTGGTATCGTCTCCGGATAGCGTTCACCAGGGTCACCACTTGCATTGATGTGAGACCAGTCTTGAGAAGCGAGAAGTCCCGTCCCCGTATGTAGCTCGCAAACTCTTCATCTTTGTTCTCGATTATATCTGCAATGATGTTGCTGATTTCTATCGCCATGGTTCTCGCTTCTGGGATTTGAGGAAACTCCTCGCTCGACGAGCCACCTCTGCGGCATTTCCGAATTTCTTTTTGGCTCATCTCCGAAAGTTGCCTTCGAAGCTTCTGTCGGTCGATCTTCTTAGACAACGTGTGCGGCAATGAATTGATCTGCACAAAAACACTCGGAATCATATATTCAGGTAGAATTTCAGACAGCTGGTCAGAAAGCGTTTCAGCCAGTTGGATTTTCTGATCAGGGCTTCTTTCAATGAACGCAACAATTTCGGAATCTATCGCTTCGTGTTCAGATACCACCACTGCAGAACGACCAGACTTGAGGCATAAGTTGATCGCGTTTTCAACTTCTCCAAGGTCCACGCGCAAACCTCGAACCTTGACATAGCCGGTTTGACGACCCAACAGAATCAATTCGCCATTTTCATCGTATTTGGCCAGATCCCCTGATCGATAGACTCGAGATCCGTTGATTGGGGGCATGAAGGGAGCCCATTCTAGAGACGAGAATTCCAAGAGGGCTTGGGCTTGACGATCAGGGTCCTTGAGGTACCCAAGTGCAAGGTACGGACTCTGTATCAGCAGCTCTCCTTCTGCGCCGACAGGCATCAATCTGTGCACATTGGAAGGATCTGTGATCCAGCATGCAACATTGCCGATGCCCCGTCCAATATTCTTCGGGTTATCACCGGGCTTCATTCCCAGCTTCACAGTGTCCCAGACTCCAGCCTCGGTTGTTCCGTACAGGTTATTCAATTGGACTTTCTCGCTCCATGTGGACACAATCTCCGTGGTTGGGGGCTCACCTCCAAGTCCAAGGCTCCGAAGATTTGGGAGATTTTCTGGCTGGATGTGTGGTACCATTGATGGGGTGAGCCAGGCGTGCGACACCTTTAGATTATGCATTGTTGATTCGAGATCCCCGCTGCGCTCTTCCTGGGAGACCATGCAGAGACATCCACCAGCGACTAGTGGGGCGAACACCTCCAGTATACTAGCATCAAAAGCAAGACTGGCGGATTGCATGAACCGAGTTGAGGGATCAATCTGGAGCTCTTCAATACATTCTAGAAGGCTAAGAGAGACTGCTCCATGGCTGTGGATGACTCCCTTTGGGACTCCGGTGCTGCCAGAGGTGAACATGAAATAGACTGGCTGTGAAGCATGGGTCTTGGTGTCATGCTGCCAGTCTTCTGGGCAGTTTGCATTTTCCAAGTGCTTTGGTGTAATCAGCGTTGCTTTGAAACCTTTGAAACGATCAAGTAGCTTTTCTTTGGTCACCAGATGTTGGACCTCAGCTCGTTCGACAATTTGTGAGATTCTTTCCAAAGGAGACGACGGATCCATCGGGGCGTATGCAGCACCTGCTCTCAGTATCCCGATGATAGTGATGATTGTCGAGACTGATCTGTCCATGCAAAGACCTACGGTGTCTCCGGGCTTGACGCCTTTGTTCGTCAGGACCTCACAGATGGTGGCAGATTGTTTTCCCAGTTCTTCATAAGTGATCCTCTGGGTGGTTGATTCAAGTGCAATTTTTTCTGGCCGCAGAGAGTAATGTTTCGTGAGGAGTGTATGCAGACATTCTGCACGGGCGTTTTGCTCGTGATTTATGTTATTGATATCACGCAGCCTTTCGATATCGAATGAAGATATACTGTTTAATTCTTCGATTTTGACACCTGCATCGCAAGATAGAGCTTTGTGTATACTCGTGAGGCTTTTCAATGTGGCGCATGGCTTGATCTCTGGTCTCTTGAGGCCGTTGCTGTACACGTTTGCCATGATACTCTCATCTGAAAGGGCAACAACCAGCAGCAATTCCACCTAAAATCACTGTCAGTTCTGGTTTCGGCTGTCTGAGATGTCATGTATGACGCGAAATTCATACCTCAAGTAGCTGGAGTGCCATAGGTGGACATTTCATTTGTTCATTCGACAATACCAAAACAGCGGTCTTCTGTTTCGTGCTACTGAAACCTCCCCAGTCCTTGATATCAACCGCCTGGGAGACCGCATCCCTCAATTGTTTGCTTGTAATACCACCATCCGTTGAAATTGACAAGCATTGGCTTCGAAGATTTTCAAATGTGACCTTGGTAGTCTTTTCAGAAGGCTTTTCGATTTGTGGTTGAAGGTGAATGAAAGTAGGTGAATTTGGTGCATAGTAGTCTCGCAAGAGAACTGACCAAGCAGCTAGTATTGTTGCCTCATCCCTGTCTGATCGAGATATGTCTGCGCTCAGTTTGGCCGGGCGACACGCTGAGAAGATATGAGGATTCTCATCATCTGTCACACAGCGGTGTTCGTTGATAGTCATGGCAAAATATCATGTACGATAGCAAGATTCCGTTGGTTTGGCTCCAAGAACTGATTCACTTTTGAAGACTTCCCAGGCTGATACTCGGCTTTATATAGTTTCACTCCACCATCGACTCGATTCAAGCGCCTTGCCTGTTTTTCATAGCATGACGTTTGTATGAACAATAGCGAGATTTTGGTTTTTACAGCTCCTCACATGTACAAGTCTCATTTGGTGTACTTCCTACTATTGTTTGACACATAGATAGAACACTCAGCCTATCTCACGTACTAACATGCATGCAGCCCTTTTTAGAAGAATTTGACCGTCAATCCTGCAGAGGTAGATAAATTCAGCAAATTATAACATCGCCACCTGCCTCACTTGGTAGCACAGGTCTTGGCCCGATGATCGAGGCATCCCAGTCATTTGTCTTACTTGCCTTCTCCTCGGTGATAATACCGGTGATTAGAAGTCATTTGGTGTCGGTGAGCTATACTCACGAGTCCTTGCACGTCAGATCATGGCGTAGCTTGAGTAACCCCAAAGATCGATCCTTGCCACAGCGATAATCTTCGGGAATGATTGTTATCCAATTATCTTGCGTCTTTGGCAGGACCTTTGAGTAATCTGCTTTTGTCATGGTGTAGCCATACCCCTTTGAGAATTCCGTGGAAATTATATCCGTTCACAGCACCCTGTGTGCTTGATAATCTAGAAAATGTCGCTGGAAACTCCTATGCATGAACTCACCGGCTAAATATGGCGGTTGACAACTCAAATGACGGAGCGGCAATCAATAAGCGCTACAGATTTTGAACTTCCAGTTGAGCCTGACACAACGACTCCGGGTGGTAAAATCCGTGGAATCATTCGTGGTGACTCATTTAGACTTGATTCTCATTCCGGCAATGTTTATGATGTCGGCAGCGCTCCAGGTGCAAATCCTGCTGAAAGCCCTGCATGTAACCCATTGTAAGGAGAAATCTGATCACACCAAGAAATATCTACGCTCCAGGCACACCATTGAGCGATCACACCGCCACCATGCATGCCATTACCAAAAGGTAGACATTGTATTCGATCACCAATCACCGCTGCATCATCGATCATGCTTGCGGAAGATCGATCGGAGACTTATCTCTGATTCGATATAGCCCTAGATTCACAGATTGCGTGTCTATGCAGTAAATATCTGGTATGTAGTACTGCATTCCAAGGTAACCTTATTCTACCTCAGACCCCGAGGTGTCTTTATTGGAGAGCAACATAGGGGAGTGGCTGTAAGGGGGAGTTCCTTCAATGGCCACTGCTTTCGTAACCTCGACCCATAGTGGGAAAGTCACTGGTGCCATTGAAACTGACCGTGTAATTGCTTTGATAGAAGATATGGAAGCGGATCTACCTCCCTCCCGTGATCTTGGACGGTAAGATCTTCAATATTCTACTTTGAAATGGATCGTATTGCTGAAGTATGTAGGTTCTCAACAACCCAGTTCGATGAGACTGCCATCAATCTCATGGTCGCAGGTAGTCTACGAAGCCAACCATGCATTGAGGAGTACCCATCTCTAGCAGAGTGAGCGGTTTTCTCTCAATTATGTATTATCCAATCATGAAAAGATAGCTAACGCCATTATCTCAACCTAGCTTCCGAGAAAAGTGTGTCTCTATCCTCGCCAATCTTTGGAATGCTCCAAGTGGCTTCTTCGGTGCCGCAACGACAGGGTCATCCGAAGCCGTTCTTCTTGGTGGTCTTGCGATGAAACGACAGTGGCAGCTTAAGCCTCCTGCTTGCCTGAACTCTCCTCCTAATATCATCATTGGTGCGAATGCACATATTTGCGTCAACAAATTTGCGGATTACTTCGATGTCGAGGCAAGAATTATACATGTCAGTGAGAAAAGTGGATATGCATTTGATGTGGAGGCCTTGGGAGACCACTTGGATGGGAATACAAGTATGAATCCCCCATATCATCAGGGTCATGTGCTGCTTTTCCGGTGCTGATTTGTTTTAGTTGGGGTCTTCTTGACTCTGGGGTGTCTACCTACACTGGACATTATGATCCAGTCCAACACGTTGCAAACGTGCTGGATGAGTACGAGCTTCGCACAGGAAACAATCTCCCCATCCACGTCGATGCAGCAAGTGGTGGCTTCATTGCACCTTTTACTTCCACCAACGCAAACGGCATCTGATGAGAATACATCTACCCTTCTCCTCTCATCAGCAGCTGATACAATCCTATCCTGATAGGGACTTCCGTCTTCCTCGAGTCCGGTCCATCAATGTCTCAGGGCACAAGTTCGGCATGGCACCTCTCGCGGTAGGATGGATAGTCTGGCGTGAAAATTCACAGATTCCACAAGGCCTCCTCCTTGAATCTTCTTATCTTCGGGGAACTTTGAGCAATTTCTCTTTGAGTTTCTCGAGATCTGGGGCACCCGTCGCTGCTCAATATTATTATAACTTCCTTCGGTTGGGGCTTGCTGGGTACCAGGATAGGACTCGGAGCTTGCTCGATCGGGCTGGTCGTTTCAGTGTCCTACTGGAACATACGGGGCATTTCCTCTGCTTAAGTGATGCTCACCGGCAGCAGACTTCAGGTGCTTGCCAGACGCTTTGTCGTGGGCATGATCAACCTGCTACTCCTGTGCTTCCGATTGTGGTGTTTAAACTTACTGATCGTGTTCGACGACAGTATCCTAAGCTGCAGCTATCGGACGTAAGTGATGCCATGCTTGACTTGAAGGTTTCCATTCCGAGTAAGTCGCTGCCGGTTTCCTCTGGAGTATCATTCATTGACCTGGTTTCAGATTACACTTTTCGGGGCTGGGGAGCTAATGGGGAAGATTACGAGGCCATGCGAATAGTGCTTCGCGATGAAATGACGACTGAGCTTATGGAGGAGGTGTTGGCAGGCATCACTCAGGCAGTTGAAAGGCTTATGGATCAGGTATCCATGGGGTAGATGAGCTGTGGCTCATATGGCTACTTCGGATATTTGCCATAAGTTGCTCCGGTAGGCACTCACAAAATGGAATGGAATAAGTTTTAGCAAGAGCAATGCAATAGTAACTGTACAAATATAGTGGAATAGTCTAACCCACAGGAAACAAGTCTAAAAGAAGTTTAGATCAAGCGCCTAAATTAACTCAGCAAAATGCAAAGCAATAATTCCATCAAAAAAAAAAAAAAAACATCGGGCTAATGTATATTTCAAATGCGATAGGCTGAAGCGGAAGCATAAACTCGTGACATCGTCATGTCGGCAACTTTTCAAGGTCCTGATACAGATCAAGGGACGTTTGCTTCATCGTCGTCCGACTTGTAGTTTCCATCATCGCTGTCCTCGCCCCAGCCGTCTGCTTCGAGTGATCGGCCCCGGATTCCGAAGCTCATGATGAACCCGATGAAGGAGACGGCGCCGAAGACGCCAAATGCCAGGGCTTCACCCTTTGGTTGGATCTTGGCTGTGAGAGAGAATAGTCCGCCGGAAAGGAACGGGCCGACTGCTCGCCCGGCTGCGGAGAGGGTCTGGGCGAGACCATTCAGCGCACCTAGAACGGCATGATTGGGTGCAGAATTCGTAACCAAAAGCAGAGCGCTGGTCAGACCACCCACGGAGGCTATGGTCTTAACTAGCAATACGAAGCACAGTTCGACCGCCATGAGCGCGGACTTGCCAGTCAAGCTCTCGGTGTTTGTGCTCTTGTACCCGATGAAAGGCATCAAGATGAATGAGACGACGAAGCCAAAAAGACCCGCACGGTAAGACCATCTATTGCCCATCTTATCGCGCAGGCGATTGAAAATACAAATCTGGAATATGATGGTAACAATACCAGCAAATCCTTGTGAGAGCCCAATCTCGGAAGGGGTGAGTGATCGTCCCGCCGGGGGTTTGGCTTGCGCAAAGATGGGAAACAGCGAATTGAAAGAAACGTTGCAGAAGGCAAAGATCAAGTAAGTCACAAGAAGCAAGATGGTATCCCGAGTGAAGATCTCATCCCAGGCAAGTTCTTCGTGGTGTCCGAGTAGGCTAGATACCTCGGATGCAGAATCCAGGTCACTGTCGTGGTCTTCGTTTTCTGTGCCGTGGTGATCATGGGGATATGGGACCGCCTGTGGGACCGCCACATAGGTCGGCCGGCGAGAAGAGCTGGTAAATTGCCACAGCCAGGTGAAAAGGCTGCGCACCTTTTTACCAATCTTAGGAATACTCTCTGCGTCTTCCAGGCTCTCTTCTAGGAAAAGAGTCGTCAGAGCAAAGTCCACCAGAAGAATGATGGCAGACACGAGGTTTGGCGCAAGATACGGGTAGGAATTTTTGTTTCCAGTAAAAGGGTTCGTTTCAAAGATCAAAAGTCCTCCCAAAAGAGGACCGGTTATACCTCCAATGCCGTACAGAACAGGGAGGTATGTGAAGGCCTGTGACTGGTTGCTTCGGTCGGTAATTTCTCCCAGACATGTAGAGACCAGCCCCTGATTGCCATTGACCACACCCATCAGCGCCTGCACTGCGATAGCTTGTCCAAGGGTCTTGCAGAAACCGAATGCGACGAAGCACAAGGCAGTCAAAAAGGTGCCAAGTAGAATCACCGGCTTACGACCAACACGGTCCGAGAGCCAGCCCCAGAAATAATTTGTGCCAAATTGGGCCAGTGCAAATGCCGATGCAATAGTCCCAACGTACACGCCTACTTGACTCGGCTCCACCTCGGGGAACGTCGATGCCATGTCGGGCAGATAGGGACTGATCGAGTTCAGCGCAGTTTGCTCAGCCAAGGCAATCATGGCAAGCACGGCCATTTGCTTCTTCGGCAACGGCGATTGTGTTCCTTGGTGATCAGTGGCATCATGGTGGAGATCGTGAGAGCCATCTGCTGAGGACTCGGACTGGCCCGAGTTCGGTCGTCCACGCGACTTGGGCGGAGGGGTATCAAAGGTCTGGTAATGCTGCGTGGAAGAGCGGCGATTCAACGAGACTCGGTCTGAGCCCGGCATAGTGGCAGCACACCGAGGGGTTCAAGAGGGAATGCGCTTCAGCTCATACGATCGTGCCGGTTGTAAGCGCAATGGTGTCGTGTGAGAGCTCGTGCAACCGTCTCAACCAAACACTGCCAGTTGAGGAGGTACCCGGTAGAAGTTCCGAGCGGCTATAAGCTAATGAGGGAGGTATTTTCAGGCAATTCGAGGTGTTGCAGTGGTCAGGATCACCACAATCGGGAAAGCAGGGAAGCCCTGATTATGTAAGCCTGTGGATGCTGACTCATTGGTTCTAGCCAGCGGTGGCGTAGTAATTATTCATGCAGCTTCAATGCCTACAATATGTGCAGATGTGTTGTTTACTTATTATTGGACCGGCCCTTGCAGCTGAAGATCCTCCTCTCATTCCTCGCAGTTAATTATCCATACTCTAGAGTAACCAAACACGCGTAGGGAGGCTTTCTTTTCTTTGTCCAGGGCACGTGATGGGCTATGTCATACCATTTATATCATTCCAGATTGGGCCTAGCTCGTCGAATAGATATCAGAACTGCCATTGAGGAATAGCAACCTGCCCATGTCCGTGGCCCATTTTCAATTGGGGTCATATTGAGTCAAACAAAAGACGCAAAAGGCCTAGGAAGCTCTGTCAAAATGTCAATGAAAGGGTAGATTAATATGCCTTCGAGAGGTAAAGCAAGCGATAACAGGCAAATTGAATTTCTACAAGCAGGCAGCCCTACCTAAATGGCTTGTAAATAGTTCTTTCTACATAGGATATGCAGTGAAATCAGTCTCTATTACAGTAAATACCTAGCTTTAGTAAAGGGGAAGTGCTATACAAAATTGGTAACATGGCCCTTCCGAAAACTCCGTAATGAGCCAAATTGTACGACATCTTGAATGATATTTATCTGCAAATATGTGGAAGCAGCACTCAAGGCACGGATGTTTTTTATGGGCTTGCGAGTGCTCATAGGGTCACTTGTTTTCTTCTCGATATGTGTTGCGAATCTACTGTTATGGAGGTCTGGCGATCTCGGATGCCCCTGCGTAAGCCGACATTTGTTACTGTTGGTGTTTCTAGCCTGGCACTTCCAGATATGCAAGTTGAAATCACTGTAGAAACTATTGCGCTAGATTGAAATTGGCTTATACTCGAGGAATTGATACTGAGTTAGTTCTCCAATTGCCACCCCTTTGTTTTTGTTTTTGTCTGCAGCAATGGAGTTCAATAGTCAAGTGCTCTGTATAAAAGCCCAATGCATTCCAACGCGTCTTGCTCTCCTCAAGCAGGAAACCTCTGCAATTATAATACCTTATTGTGAAGCATATGCTCATCATCGCATTCTGTCTGTAGAGCTGGTACTTGATACTTGATACTGCAAATGGATAAGTTAGCCACTCAAACCACAATTCGAAGAAAATTGTGGACGAAAATAGGATCTCTCGGACACAATGAAGAAAGGAGTTGCTGCATTATACTATTGGTATTCGAACTGTAGAAGCTTATGAGCACATCTTTCAATATTTGGAACAAGTCTGGATGCTCTGTTATATTTCCCTGGTCGATCCCCATTACCATTTCCATGTAGCCAGCCAATGAGCTGAAAATTTTATTCCATTTGAACTCTGTATCCATTGAAGTTGACCCGGTGGTCTCCGAATACCAGAGAAAATCATAGGAGATCAATACGGCTCTCATAAATAACCTTGCATCGATTTGCGGTCAACGATGTTTATCCGTTACGCACCAAAAGAACAAAAAGAAGGCATGTCAACAATTGTGTCACTTGATCCTTGTCTGTCTAGATCTGCAGGGCTACTTTATTTGTTTTGTGTCATGGAACATCTGCGAATCTAACAGCAATAATCTTACACTTTGAAGTAGCATGATCAGTATCAAATATCATCACCTCAGCCCTGGCCCATGAAGATTGGTATAATACATACGCTGTTTAGCGTTCAAATGCGACATAATCATCGGGGGGTTATTTCGTTAGGCTTACGGATAATCAAATCAGAAAAATTGGATCAACTTTCCTAGATATATATCGCCACGAGTAGCTCGGTCCATTCGACGAAATCAACGCCCGTGTGTTATTGATTCGATTTAGTTATTTTTTACTAGTCTGGTGTCTCAAATATCACCATTTTATATATTTCTTCAATATCAGTCGTTTTTGACGATTGGGGGTGTTTTGATTGTGACCATGTGTGCAACTATTGAATCAACATTGTGCCCAATGACATAATGTCAAAAATGGCAATCTCTTTCATCAATCAGCCAAGTGGTCGAGCAGTAACTCGGTCATTCAATCTTCCTTGGTCTAGTGGTGATGATTTCCGCTTGTCATTAACACCGATAAGCGCGGGAGACCGGGGTTCGATTCCCCGAGGGAGAGTTTCTTTTTGCCCATCATTTAGGATGGGCTGTAATCGCAGAATTTTTTTGAAATTTTGTATTCACCTTATTCTTCTCTAAATATCATATGAAAATTGACTTGCAATTACCTGCAATTTTCATGCAGGGTCAAGTGGTATGTATGCATACGAACATGAGTGGCATGCCAAGTGGATCCCTCGACGCAAACCCTAAGAAAATTCTGTCGCCCCATATAGCATTACCGGGCCTCTCCATTCATCAAGGCCGGCTGGCCCAATGGCAAGGCGCTTGACTACGAATCAAGAGATTGCAGGTTCGACCCCTGCGTCGGTCAATAACTTTTTGCTTTTGAAATTGTGCATGGTGGACAAGAAGACGTGTTGTATTTTTGCTTCGAAAACAGAGTAGTGGCTGTGAAGATGTATAATGGTAGGGACAGCTAGCTGCCTTAGGCCTACTTTTGTGCAGGTCAACACTGGAAGTTAAAACACGAAGCACGTGGTATCTCAAGATATAATTGGAACTAATGTCAAGCAAAGGATATAAACAAATGCAATAGCTAAAAAGATGAAACGATTATGATAAGGGAAATTCACTTCATCACTTCATCAATAAACTGACAGCCCAGGGAACACTAAGTCCCCGCAAATCACCATAGTGCTGCCCAACACCGAGGAAGACAATAGGAATACCAGTAGCATGAACCATGCTAACAAGTGTTCCAACCATATCACCAACAGTATCACACTTGCTGATGATGAACCCATCCAGATTCCTGCCTGTGCCGAAGGCCTGGTTGAAGTTGCGTGCTTGCATGACACTATCTGTGCCAACGAGAGCTTCGCCAACCATGAAGATCTTGTCCGGGTTAGCGAACTTGGCGAACTTCTCCAGCGAGGACATAAGACGCTGGTCATTGTGGCGGCGACCGGCTGTGTCGATTAGGACAACGTCGAACTTTTGGGCTGCTGCGTAGTCGACAGCGTCTTTGGCTACGTTGGCTGCATCCTTGCCATAGCCCTTTTGGTAGATCTCCACGTCACCTGCGTTCTCGCGGACGCTCAGTTCCTTGAGACGGTCTACGTGCACCCGGAGTTGCTCAACGGCCCCAGAACGGAAGGTATCGCAGGCTGCCACGAGCACTCGGTACTTGTTCTGCAGGAGGAAGTAGCAGATCTTGCTCAGGTTGGTTGACTTGCCGACACCGTTGACACCGACGATAGACATGACGTACGGCCGAGGAGTCTGCGACTTGGTAGTGGGAGCAGTCACGGCGTTGATCTCACGTAGCAGATCCAACGAGGATGTTGGGGTCAGGATATTCCGCAAAGAAGACTCCATGGCGACTTGCAATGCAGCATCGGCGCTTTGGAAGTTGCCAGTCTTCTTTCCAACCATCTCCCGCTTGACTCCATCGCAGAGACGGACAGCAGCTTCGCGAGCAACATTCTTCTTCAAAAGATGCTCCTCCATCGCCTTCAGAGGCTTCTCAAGATCAGACTCGGTCAAGACCTTTCCACCAACAATGTTGCGGAAAAAGCCTCCAACGGCATTGAAACCGGAACCAAGAACACCAGACGATTCGGTAGATTTGGCCTTGTCCGCATCGGCTTGATCCAGAATGGATTGGACTTCCTCGCCCAACTCCTTCAGCACGAACTGACCCTTGCCAGTTCTGCGACCCATATCGCCCTCAGAGACGGCCTCCACCGCCGGAGCAGTAACCTCTCCCTCATCAGCGGGGGCAGAGTAATCGAGGATCTCTCCGTCATCCTCATCTGCCATCCCGCTAGCATCCCATCTGCGCATTTTCTTCGCGGGGGCCTTAGCAGGCTTTCCCTTGCGAGAAGTTTCATCGCCAGATGATGCGTTGGCGCTCGAGTTTGCAGCCTTGCGCGCACGGCGAGAAACACGACCTCCTGGCCCGGCCTTTGCGGTAAGAAGATGGCCCTTGACGGGAGTCGAAGATCTAGAAGTATCAGGTGTGGCCGGTGGCGTTCCCTCGTCAGAGGTTGCCCCGGCTAGCACAGCTCTAGGCTGTGCTTTGTGTTGGTCAGCATGGAAGTCGTTGGTTGTGGGACGATAAGTAGGATCATACCTTTCACCAGGCCAGGGACTGGTGGCGGCGGCGGGCCTCCATTATCCGATGAGACAAGCGGGTCTTTCTTTTCTGTCTCTGCCTCATACTGCTCGGCGAAACCTCCTGAGTTGTCTTCAAGCTCCCGGACTTGCTGCTCAAAGTATTGATCGAATCGGTAGTTCTGGATTCTCGCGCGATTTCCTTTCACTTGGTCCCTGTAGAGGTCGATGAAGATGGTCGAAATATTCTCCAGAAGTTTGTCAATCCATCCGAGGTGAAGTAACGACTGGTAAACGGCCTATACACGTTCACAATTAGTTTCGAGTTCGGCATGGCGATCTCGATGGGCGCATGCGCAGACGTACCACGAAGATCAGATCAAACTCCTTGACACGCTTCCATTTGAGCGTGTATTTCTCCTTCTTGAATGCTGGCGACACTCCCGTTGCGCTGGGCACGACCTTTTCCTCAATGAAGACGTCGTTGATCAGGCTGTTGATAACGTGTGCGCCCACTGGAGCATACGACTTGGACCAGAGGACCACACCGGAAGTGGTTAAAATCTCGAAAGCCTCCAACATGCTGAGCAAGTAATCAAAGAATCAAAGAAGCCCGAAACGCAAATTGAAGTGGGAGTGGGAGGGAGGGTATCCGGGGACTGGTGGCGGAAGTTGGAGATCTCGGGAGCGGATTGGACCTTCAGCCACGTATAAACACTTTCCCTTCCTCGTTTCCACCACTTCGCCACCAAACTTTCCACTCTTTATTCGTCTATCTCCTCTTGTCCTTCTTCACTATGTATCGCGGTTCGTTCGCTCCGCCGCCTGCGCAATCGCCCCCCTTCATCACCCAGTCCCGCAACATGTCTCGACAGTGCCTATGATGCGCTCACCACCTCCTCCAGCTCCCCAACAACCCCCAAGTGCTGGCTATGGTGGGAACCCATACCAGCCCTCGCCTGCTCAGGGTGGCAGTGGCACATATGCTCCTGGGTTCGGCGGGTTCATGAACGAACCCACGGCGCAGATGGGTTTCCAGGTCGGCAAGAGTGCAATGGCAGCTGGCCAGGAATATATGGAACAGAATGTATGCACATTTCCCTTTCTTTCTTGCTATTCACATCTGACTAGATAATAGTTCAATCGCTACGTCTCCATCCCCGCCCTTAAGCACTACTTCAACGTCTCCAACTCCTACGTCCTGAACAAGCTGGTTCTCGTCCTCTTCCCCTGGCGTCACAAGCCCTGGTCCCGCCAGCAGGCTCGACTGACCTCCAGCTCTGCTGGTCCCAATGGCCAGATCATGCAGCAGCAATACTCCTCCATGTTTCTGCCTCCGCGTGATGACTTGAACTCGCCTGACATGTATATCCCCGTCATGGCCCTGGTCACGTACATTCTGTTGTCAGTGTTACTGGCTGGATTCCGAGGTAACTTCCACCCAGAGCTTCTGGGCTCGATCACCACTACAGCTATTGCCGTGATCCTTTTTGAGATCATGTGCCTGAAGCTGGCTACATACATTTTGAGCATCAACAATGACTCCCAGTTGCTGGATTTGGTAGCTTACTCGGGTTACAAATTCGTGGGCATCATTGTGACTATGGTCGCAGCTGAGATCTTGAACCCCGGTCAGGGTACTGGGGGCTGGGTTGGCTGGACTGTCTTTGCTTACACCTTCTTGGCCAATGCATTCTTCTTGGTGAGCACCATACTTGTGACAAGTGGAAATTCGACATGCTAACATTGAATTACAGCTCCGGTCTCTGAAGTATGTGTTGCTGCCTGATTCGACCGACTCCGCCATGCACGCTGGCTCGATGCACACCGTGGCTCGCTCCCAGCGCAACCGCCGCACCCAGTTCTTGTTTGTTTACTCCTACGTTGTTCAGTTCATCTTCATGTGGGTGCTTAGTCGGGAGGGACCCTCGACATCTGGCTCTGCGTCGTCATAATCAGAAAGGAAGAGATTGCTGATATAGAATGGAGGAATGGACGGATAGCATAGGGAGGATGGAGTGGATGTCTGATTGGGCATTGCACGGGGTAACGATATAGCACGACTTATTGTAATCAAAATATTTGCATTTGTAGCAGTCTACAGTACGGGTACTTAGGAATAAGATAGCTACTGGAATACAAGTAAGAAAGAGGTGTTATAAAAGATATTGTATGTTGTATTGACTATAGACATGCTGATAACTGGAAGATTCTGTCGAAGGTTAGATATGGTTCACCGACGACTCAAAAGCAAATGGAAAAAGTGCAAAGTAATGAAGGTCCTCAGAGATCTTGGTAGTTATGGTAATATCATAGCCGTAGCTCAATTACTATCTAGGCGTGATAAGTTTTTTAATCATCGGACGGGAGAAGGAGAGAAGTGGTGCAGTGACCGGAAACGCAAGAGCAATGTAAACATACCTACTAGAGAGATGTCGTATTGAGGTGGTCCTTGAAGTCAAGGGTAAACCTAGAATCTTTGAACAGTCAGCGCGATGTCTTTCAAATGCAATGACAATATTGAGTGGAAGGTTCCAAATCAGAATATGTAAGAAAATTGAATATCATCCGGCAGCGCTGTATAGAGACCCCGGCGAGGGCCTCACAGACGCTGGGTCAATCGCAAATTACCGCATCATATGAGGAGGCAGAATGGGAAGTGAGATGAGCATACCATAGTTAGTGCATACGGTCAGATGCAATGTAGATCCATGGAAATCCAGTGGCAAATCATCAATTGCCAGACAGTTAAGTCTTAAGCAAAAGAAGAACTGCGGCTGACAGAAAAAAATATAAAAGCACGGGCCCGGAGAATAGTTAACCCTGTTGCTGAGCTAAGCAGAGCCCTATCGCTGCGAGTGGCCGATTAAGCGAGAATTGCGAGTTGTGGGCACATCCGGAATTTCGAGCCAACTTCTGGACAATTGAACTCTTTCGACAACCCATACACATACCCTCCGACCGTGAGTGCCTTCCACTTCTACACGCTACAAGAACACCCGCGCTGAATTTTTCGTCTAGAATTTCGACATGGCCGATATCGATGTCAAGGTCGCTTCCTGGAAGCTGGTTGAGGTTGGCCGCCTGGTGCTGATCCGCAGCGGTCCTTACGAGGGCAAGCTCGCCGCCATCGTCGAGATCGTGGACCACCGCCGTGTACGTTGAGATCGCATTATCCCGAAAGACCGACAGAAACAAGAAATTGCGGATTTGGATTTCGGAGATTGAGTCGGGAACATTTCACTGACATCGAACCAGGTCCTCGTCGACGGTCCCTCTTCCGAGGAGAACAAGATCGTTCCCCGTCACGTTCTTCCTCTCGCCCACGCTACCCTCACTCACTTCACCATCCCCCAGCTCCCCCGTGCTGCCGGTACCGGTCCCGTGAAGAAGCTCTGGGCTAAGAACGAGATTGATGGCAAGTGGGCCAAGAGCGCCTTCGCTCAGCGCACCGATCGCTCCGAGCGCCGCAAGAACCTGTCCGACTTCGAGCGCTTCAAGGTTCTCCGTCTCCGCAAGCAGGTATGTGAAACTGGTGGTTTAGGGGATCAGGCGCACATGCGCCTGGACCCTGATCGAACCAGATCAGATCTCAAATAGTGAGCAATCAATTAACTCCACAACAGGCTCGCTACGAGGTCCAGAAGTCCTACGCCAAGGTCCGCGCTGCCACCAAGGCATAGATGATTACGAGGTTTCGGTGCATGGGTTGAAGGAGGTGTCCTGGAAGGGTTTCCATTGCTGGTCCTCCAGCAAAACAGCTGTATGCATTATCAATGAACAGCAAAAATGATTCAAAATCCTTGATATCCCGATAGGGCCATTGTCATCGGTTTTCTTTCCTCCGTGGACTACTGTTATATCCCCAATTTATCCACGGGATCGTCTTGCTCTCTCCAAAAAAACCACAAAAATAGAAGCAGAGATGCGTAAATAATATCTTAACATTTAATCGACCAACTGTAAGTCTGTAGTTCTTAAAGTACCAGTGGTGATGTAGTAGTCCAGTCCATATAGGGCAATGTGTGCAGTCTGGGGTGGGCATCCGCTCGCTAACGATTTTCGGGTCGGCCGCACAGCTCTCATCTTCAACCTCAACAAAATCCATCAACTACCACCACAGCTTGATACTTACCTCTCAGGTACGTATTGTCATTGAACTCGTCCGAATCCTCGCCTTTTCACCATCAAATCCCGCCGTTTCCCGGATGTCGTGCGATTCGTGGGGGTCGACTCTCCCACCATGCCCGCTTTCCCACCTTTCCCACCATGACGACCTCAGACGGCGAAAAAACAACCACTAATCGAATTCTGTATCTCTTATAGGCACACATTCGCAAAAATGGCTGACCCTCGTGTTGAAGAAATCCATGATGACGAGGTCTCCAAGACCGTTGAGGAGAGCTCCTCTGAGTCTGGCTCCGAGGCTGGCGATGAGCCCAACATCCCCGCCGGTGCCTCCGTCGCTGTCCACTCCCGTGGTGAGAAGAAGGCCCGCAAGGCCATTGGCAAGCTCGGCTTGAAGCTCGTCCCTGGCATCACCCGTGTCACTCTCCGCCGCCCCAAGAACGTATGTTTGCGACCGTGAGATCTGCCACCAGCGTTGAAATGAAATTTGCATTGCATTTTCATGATCTGCACGTTGCTTTGTGGTGGTCTACGATATTCGAATTGATGCGCAGATGCTAATTGTGTTGATAGATCCTCTTCGTTGTTAACCAGCCCGAGGTCTACCGTTCCCCCAACTCCAACTGCTGGATGTATGTGGATCTACACTTTTCAAAGCACGAAATTTGAAACTGACACTCTATAGCATCTTCGGTGAGGCCAAGATCGAGGACCTGAACTCCCAGGCCCAGGCTTCCGCCGCCCAGCAGCTCGCTGCCTCCGAGGCCGCTGGTGACCACGCCGGTCACAACCACGAGGAGGAGATCCTCGGCAAGGGCAAGGCCCCCGAGGCTGAGGCCAAGAAGGAAGAGGAGGAGGATGATGGTGAGGAAGTTGACGAGTCTGGCCTTGAGTCCAAGGACATTGAGTTGGTCATGGCACAGGCAAACGTTTCCCGCAAGAAGGCCGTCAAGGCTCTTCGGGAGAACGACAACGATATCGTCAACTCCATCATGGCCCTCAGCATATAATGAAGGTGCCCCATTAAGGTTCTAGGGATTGGACGATGGTGCCCATAGTTGTACACAAATAGCCCAAAAACAATTGAACCCGACTTGTTCGACAATCAACTTATTAGTATATATATATGAAGTAGCAGTAAACAAAATATAGCTAATTACAATATTACTTAGGTATGCATGTATTTCGCTGACGGATGTTTTATACTCGTAAGGTCCCGGAACAATAGCTCACGTGACCCAACCTCCAAACCTTTCCGAGCGCTCCTCGTTTCGGCACCTCCCTGCACATCGAACTCCCCTCTCTTCTCCCCACCCCCAACCTCTATCATACCCGTCACAATGGCTGCTGTACGTTCCAATCCTCCTCTTCAGCTGGTGCACGACCAGTCTGTCCATCTCGATGGCACCCGCTAACCCCCCTTACCCGAACAGCGCAGCGCCGCTACCAAGATCGACTGGGCCAAGGTGTCGACCTCGCTCGGCCTCCGCGGTCAGACCGCCACCTCCCTCCAATCCTTCAAGAAGCGCAACGACGAGGCCCGCCGCAAGGTCCAGGTCCTGTCCGAGCAGCCCCAGACCATTGACTTCAGCCACTACCGCGGCATCCTGAAGAACAAGGCCATCGTCGACGAGATCGAGAACCACTTCAAGACCTTCAAGCCCGCTTCCTACGATGTCAACCGCCAGCTGAAGGCCATCGATGCCTTCGAGGCCCAGGCTGTTCAGAACGCCGAGGCTACCAAGGGCAAGGTTGAGGCCGAGCTGCAGAACTTGCAGAAGACCCTCGAGAACATCGAGACTGCCCGTCCCTTCGAGGACCTCACTGTCGTACGTATCTACTGTGGAAATTCTGTGTTGGAATTGGTTTCTTACATTGGTTTTTTTTTAGGACGAGGTTGCCTCCGCCCAGCCCGAGATCGACGAGAAGACCGCCTCCCTCGTCTCCAAGGGCAAGTGGATGCCCCCTGGCTACAAGGTATGTGATGACTGCTATTCAGTTAACTTTTCAGTGCTCATACAATTTATAGGAGCGCTTCGGCGATCTGTCCGCTGTCTAAGCGCGGACTCTTGTGGCCTCAAATCCGCCTTGTTATCCCTCGTTTCATCACACTACGTGATCATGTTGTTTGGAGCCAAGAATATGGCTATTTCGTCGGTAGATGGTCAGATACCTCCGATAGTGTGGTGGGCTGGGATGTGTATAGAAACATACATTGTCGTTCCGTTATCAATGTTTCAAGTGAAGTAAAGTGTGCGTAGTTGTTTCTGCTCTATGGAGTATTGCACAGATCGCATTTCTCTATAAAATGCATACATAAAACAAGGTGGTCATGTGAACAACAAGCTCAAGACTACGTAGCGAGCCAAAGATATATATCGAGACAATGCCACCCACAAAACCTTGTCATCTTCTACATCAAACACAGAAATAAACAGTGGAAATATGTAACATGCAACACACGATACACCATGCAACAGCAACAACAGCAATGGAAAGAGAAATACAAATGCATCAAGCCACATACCTAACGCTCCATGCGGAGCTCAAAGACGCCAAGACTCGCCTCATTTACCCACTTCCCCTCCCCTCGAGCTTCAATTCTCTCATTGGAGACGACTCTGCAAGCGCCTCTTTGCGATCAGATGCTTGCTCATTGGCATGCCTGTGCTGTACCCTGAGGTCATTGCATCCACTGAGATGAGATTTACTTGACGTCTTCGATCCCCAGCAGTAGATAACTGTTCGAGAAACACAGAAAAAAAACAAGCAAAAGCAAAGAAAAGCAACAGAAAGTCCATCTATATATCTCATTCAAGCTTTGCTTTACAACCGCATTGTTATATCTGCAACCTGCCTACAAAGCAAATGGGCCAACAAGACCCAGACCCAGACCCATTGCCCGCCCAATACTCGCGCCTGGAATCTCTCCCCGTGGAAATAATTCAGTTGATATTCCTCCACTGTCTCGAAGTAAATCTCCCGCGTGCCTCACCGCGGTTGAGTAACGCGCTCGCCAGTCCGCTACTGTATACCTGGCTTATTCGGCTGGCGTTTAGCAGTACGAACCCCAGCTCGCGCGAGGGATTCTTCACGTCGGACTTTTTGCCGCCGCCCTTGGACTTTTGGGCTTTGTCTTGGGAGGAACGGCAAAAGCTTCAGACTACGCTGCTTGCTTGTCGGTGGTGCACTTTTTCGCTGTTTAGACGGTGTCAGCGGGAGTATGTTGCTCATGCTATTCGGCGGAAATGTGCGGGCTTGGTTTTTCATCAGGATGATATGTCTCTCTTGGAGAATTTAGACGCTAGGTTTGACGATGTGGATGGGTGTGATTGGGCTATTGATGGAAGACGTGGAAAGGGGGATCTGGTTCTACCTGCGCAGTTGGAGACGGATTCAACGCCTTCGACTTCATCGTCTCGTATCGACCGCAAAGTCGCTATCTGGTTCCACTTTGGTGCTGTGCAGATCCGTGAACCGCATGAGGTATACTACGAAAATGATCTCTTTAGACTGCCTTGCTCGGTGGCTATTCGTCCTGGTCGTATTCCGGATAAAGTTCTGCGGTCTCCATGGTCAGATTCTCAGTTCAAGTTTCTACAGCTGCTGTCTACGGATTTCTATCTGGATGAAGATGAAGTGAGTCCTGAGCGCTCTTCTGAGATTACATACCGTCTCATCCGGAAACGAAAGATCGAGCCTTTTCGTCGCTTACTGCGCATGCCTTTCCGCGCTGCGAATTGTCGTGTGCCTGCTCGCTGGCCGTTGCAGTCTTCGCATTACTCCCTGGTTCGACGGTATGGGTCTGGCTCTGGGGATCCATTTGTTATGACTATCTTGAATGAACGCTGGAATGATATCCCTGCCGACGCGAAGGAGGACTTGCTACGATACATTGAGCCAGAGGGTGCAACGTGATGTATAACCACACCATATTGAACTACCAAAGCAGGTACTATCTCTACTCTTCATGTTTATACTACGATACCATGTGCATAGCGAAAGAAGAAATAAACGTCATATCCCATCATTTGATTCATGATTCAAAATTAAGAATTGCGCCTCGGGGTATGTACTCCAGATAGCAGAGCAAGAGGCAAAACAGCAAAGAAAATTAAGATAAAAGTGAACCGCTGCCATAATAATCATAGATCCCCACACCAGCCAGTATTATCCTCCATTGTGTAGGGTGTCAGAGCAAGAGCTCGCCGGGAACGAGGCTGCTCTCAGACTGAGAGCATTTTGTCTCAGACTGCCGATCGTCGTCCGCGTCGACGTTTTCCACAGTAACCGCAGGTGAGGCAGGAGATGAGAACGTCAATCACGGTGACAACGCCGCTGATGATGGCGTGGCAGATCGAACCGATTGCGTTGACGATGGCCATGAGGCAGCTTCCGATGGCGCGGAAGACGCTTTGGATCTGGGGTTGGGTTAGTGGATGTTGTTGACGTTGAAGTGGATAAGGGGACATACGCAAGAGACGACGGCACCCATTTTGAATGTGTTTTGGTATCAAGTGTTTTGAGTTGTGAAGGTGAAGTGTTTAGGACCTTGGGTTGGTAGTAGAAGTAGACTCCGAGCTGGAGGATGCGTGTGTGTGGACGGTTTTGTCACTGAAAGGGTTCATGGTGAAGGGAAGAAGGTAGAGGTCAAGGTTTAAATAAAGAGAGAGATTAATGACGATTGTTGCCTGTGAGCCCTGGAAGATCTTCTCTCTACGTAACTGTTGTCTCAAAGAGGTGAAGATGGACGGCAGACAGTTCATGCAAAGCTTCAGAATACTATCAATAAGGCGACAGTGACGTAGAAGTTATGACAGAAGGCTTGGAGGCTTGCAGGTTGAGGTATGAAGAAGTGAGGTTCACTCAAGAGGAACTGGTTTGAGCCATTCCGTCATATCGACACTTCCTTGATTCGGAGCTCAAAGGTACAGATTTTTTATTATCTTAGCCAATCATTATCCCACGTTGAATTAAGGATCGTCCAACGTGCGAGGAACCACATTTAAGCTGTTTCAGGTCCCCCCAGGGTTCAATCCTGCTCTGACAGCTGAATATCTTTTTTGCTTGCTTGATGTCATTGACGTCATTTGATAATCACCTGATTTGCCTATATGGGCGGGGTCGCAGCACCTGACCCTGGCCACATACCACCAATCACATGATTATGCACATGTCACCTGACTTATCAGGTGACCATGCCCGTGGTTGGTTCTTTCCGCCAATCAGACGTGCATTGACCTTTTATACTTCAGTATCTTGTCTTGACCAAGTCCCACCCCGATGGCCTGAGCTCACTGTTCCTGGAGAATCGCCTCCAAGCAGTGAGTCTGCATATTCATGAGCGCCTCACAGGACCAAGATGTAACTGGGACGGCAAAGGTCGTCTTGTCAACCGCTTCACGCGGCAGACGTAGACCGGGCCGTCAGTTCAAAAAGCCTACGTCGAGTCGAACCTCCCGGTCAAGATCTGGTCCATACGACAGACCCTCCAATTCTCCCGCAACTCCGCGCTCGCAAGCTCGAACTATGTCTATGCTGGAGGCTCTCCCATATGAGGTGATTGAACAGATCTTTCTGTACTCACTCGAATTGAACTTCCCGCGCGCATCGCCATTTCTTTCCCAGGCTCTATCCCGTGAGAATGTATACCGAATTCTCATCCTCCTCGCCTTCTGGCGCGATCTACGGACCTACCCCGGGAGTAAGACCATCAACCGCATGATGGCTCCGTTCGACTATACCCCGCTTGAGGAAGATGAGCGCAAGACCCTACAAGAAGCAGTGCTTAAGTGCAAATGGTGTACGATAGATCGCGTGCTTCAGAGGATCCCGGATATGCAGATCCTGACCATTCACCGCTCCTGGATTAATGCTGGCATTGTGGTAGACGAGCACCAAAACGAAGATTTCAAGAGATTCATGGATCGCAAGCTGGAGTTCCAGAGCGTTTTCCATGGCATGGGTGAACCGCAGAATAAAGCCGTCGGGCCCGCCAAAGAGCGCATCCGGCAGATTTACTCACGGCTCACTCCGCAATGCCACAGAGGTCCCTACAATTTTGACCTCATCGTTCACCCCATGGTGGACATTGAAATCAAAAATCGTGAACTCAAAATGGCCATGCTTGTACCAGCTCTGGATCTCTGCAGCTTTCCATCCCATCTCCTCCGAGGCGGCAGCAACGGCTTTTCCCGAGAAGACGTCCGATTTCTGGAGATGCTGCGCATGACTTCCAGAAACTGGACTGACGAGAAGCCCAAGAACAGGCCAATTACAGAAACAACTGTCGACCGCAAGGCTCTGCATGAAGGACTTGATAATGCAATCCGTCATTACAACTACCATGCGCTTATCACGCTTCTCAAGATTGACGAGTTTGTCTTCCGCTACAAACTGGACGCTCCCCCGGCCCGGTATACAATCCCTTCTCATGTATTTGTCACTGCTGCCAAGCTCCCTCCTCGAGAAGGAACTACCCCTACCTGGCGCTTCTTCGAGGCTCTCATTCGCGCTAGCGCGGAATCTATTCCCCGCAATTCCCCCGAGATCACACAGTGGGTTGTCGATACGAAAGCCCGGGGCCATGACGGCCAGAATGGGTTTGATACCAGTGCCAAATTTGCTCAATGGGTATCGGGTTTCCAGATTCAACTGCCCAAGCATTTGAGAGAGCTTCATGGTCCATCAATACAACTGTTCAATGGTGGCAAATTGAACTGGCTTTTGGTCGAGGGTGGTGAGTTGCTCGTTGCGCTTGGTATCGACCTTGCAGACACCAGTGAGAATTCGTACATGCAAGATTGGTTGACTGCAACCAATATCAGCTTGGATAATTATTGGGTAATGGAATCCCCTACTTCGAAATGAATAGATCATCTGCATAGCAATGTACATAGATGGCGTTTATTGTGATTTATTGCGTGGCCATCTCAGAACTAAACAAATTACGAATTTACATTTATATATGTTAATAGATGATGTATAAAATACAAGAAACGATGTCACGAAAGAGTCAGTGATAGTCTACATATTCCCCAACAACCGCAAAATACCAGCAACACGTCCCCCAATAGTCAACTGATACCCAGTCTCAACAACACCCTTACACATCTCCCAAGCAGCACGACCATCCTTAGCCCCAGCCTCACCCTCGCGCTTCTGAATCGGATAATCAACCCGAGGGGGAATGGCAGTCCCCATAATCTTCGGGAACCGATCAACACAAACAGCCTTGGTATTGCACAATCCGCGCAGACCCTCCTCGCCCGCAAATCGGCCATAGCCTGACCCGCGTACTCCGCCGAATGGAAGCTGCACGGCATAGTAGCTGCCGAAATCGTTAACTGCGACCATTCCGGCGGAGATGTTGCGCACGCAGGATTGGATATCGGCGGCGTTGTGGCCGAAGACGCTTGCGCCTAGGGCATAGGGGGTTGAGTTTGAAATGGCGATTGCGTCTTGGACGGATGTTGCGCGCATCACTAGGAAGACTGGGGCGAAGAGTTCTTCTTGGGCGATGCGCATGTCTCTTGTGACGTCTACTAGGAGGGTTGGGGTGAAGTAGTGGCCGTAGGTGTGGGTTGGGTGGGCATGTTGGGTGCCGCCGGCGAGGAGGCGGGCTCCTTGCTTGACGGCTTCGGCGATAAGGGTTTCTAAGTTGGCGAAGGAAGCTGGGGAGATCATTGCACCCATATCTGGCGTCATGGAGTCGAGGAGGATGGAGCCCATGCGGAGAGATTGGATGCGTGGAGTGACGATTTCGATGAGACGGTCGTAGGTGCCAGGGAGAGCGATGATGCGCTCTACACCGATGCAGTTCTGGCCAGCGGATTGGAAGACGCCGCGCATGAGAATGGATGCGATTGAGGAGAGATTCTTGACGGTACGGGAGTCGTCGAGGATCACGGCTGGGTCTTTGCCGCCCAGTTCGACGCAGACGGGGATGAGGGCCTTGGCTGCTGATGCGCAGACCTTGTGGGCAACGGGACGGGATCCGATGAAGGTCAAATGTGCGATATCAGGATGCGAGGTGAATGCGTCTGCAACGGTGGGAAGACATACGAGCATGTGGACCAGATCGCGTGAGTAGCCACAGCTGGAGAGGGCACCGCGCACCATATCGAGGAAGTAGGCTGAACACCAGGCTGTCTGCTCGGATGGCTTGACGACAACCGCATTACCGGTGAACAAGGCGCTGATAACAGGTCCGATGAAGTTGTGGAGAGGGTAGTTCCAAGACACGCAGGCACCCACGACGCCGAGTGGTTCGTACGTGACCATATTCTTCTTGTACATCATTAGGAAGTTGGTGGGTCGGCGCTCTGCAAGCAGCGCCTTCTCGCCATGATCAATCGTCCACTTGAGCTTCTCTGCGGTGACGAGGATCTCACCGAATGAAGCATCCACTTTTGTTTTACCCGAGTCGAGGCAGCATGCGGTGACGAGGTCGTCTTGGTGGTCGAGAACATATCTGCGAGACGTTAGCATCCCGGGGAGCTATACCCGAGCTATACCCAAGAATGTAATAGGACAACATACTTCAACAATGTCCGGAGAACCTTTCTGCGATCCGCAAAAGTAGTCTTCGCCCATTCCCGCTGCGCAGCTGTGGCAGCCCGAATAGCCTCGTTGACATCGTCGACCGTAGCGGGCTTAATTCCGTTGCCGAGCACTCTTCCATCGGCAGGACAGTAGCTCATAATCAATTGATCGTTCCATTTCTGTCAGAGACCAGTGGTTAGCCCAAGAACGTGAAACAAGCGCGGAAAACATAAGCAACTGTACTCACTCCCCGAGCCTGATCCTCCAGGACCTTCTTCTGCTGCCCCTGGGCCTCATCCCAGGACTTACCAGTGCCACTCTTGCGCACTTCTGGCGGTACAGGGACGTTGAACGCGACAGCTGCTTCTTTGCAACTTTGGATGTAGAGGTACCCCACGTACACGGCGACGAAGGAGGCCAACGCGACTCCGATCATTGGGGCATATTCTGCGGATCCGGGAGGCGCATAGGCCTCTAGGAGGGATAGCACAGATTGTGGAATGTGCTTTGCCAAACAATCCATCCTGCACTGACTGGAACAGAAGTAATTGCAATTATTGAGTTGTAGGGGGGACATTTCGGTGGAGATAACATGACTCGGGCCGACTACGCCGACATGCCGGACCACTTCTATACTTGGATGCTTTGATCAATCTATCAACATACGCAATCCAATTTAATTTTATTCTACACGGCTTTAATATTGGTACTGGTTGTTTGTTTGTTTAGGTCTGGAAAGTAATAAGTCTGTGCATTTACATGACGGCATAGGAAACCTGGCAACTAGGGCAAAACTACCAGAAGATAGACCACAGGATGCACACATGATATAGAGGTCTCACATTTCCAACTTAAGCAACTATATCCCCTCTCGATTAGTGAGCTACCACTTGTCTGACATATCCCATTGTCATACTTTGAAGAACAGGTGTCTCGACTGTTGAACATCGAGCAACAGGCAATATAATTACTCCTCGCGTTGAGTGTGCAAGAGGTACCACCGAAAGTGCCACCAAATCCACTACAACACTCTTGGCTGTACGTTGTAGTGCCGGGCAATGGCATTGTGCTATGGGATCTATATCATGGAACTATCCGCTTTTCATGCATACCCTTGGCACGGTGCTTTCGAGTTTCTAAAACTGATAATAGATTGAAGTAGCATGAAATAAATAGAGCAACCTTAATAATACATAAGATATTTGAGCCATTGTTTCTTGTCATATACCGTAACCATAAATCACAGTCATAGTTCTGCTGAGACCCCATTCCTCAATCATCACTCAAACCAGAAAGTTCACTGTCAATATCACTTAGACTCTCACTCTCCTCATCCTCAGATTCCTGCTTCTTCCGCTTCCCAGTCGTCTGTCTATTGCCCTTGCCATTGACCTTCGCCTTACCATTCGTCTTCCCCTTAACAGCAACACCAACAGCCCCCTTCCGTTTCCCGGTCCTTGCAACAAGATGATCAATAACACACCCATCCTCCCAACCAGCACTAGAAGAACCAGTAATAGCCCGACACCGCGAACAATTCTTCCCATGCCGAATGAGAAGCTGATGAAGCGAGTACTTGAGATGATCAGGGATCCGAACTTCAAGGTGACTAAACGCCGTGACTTCATTCGCGCGCGGAGGGACCCAGCCGAGCCATTTGGTAAGTCTGAAGATGTGCGTGTCGACCGCGAAGCAGGGTCTCTGTAGACAGAAGAGGATGACGCAGGCTGCTGTTTTGGGTCCGATGCCTGGGTATCTGACTAGTTCTGTCATTGCTTGCTCCGAGGTCAATGTGTGCATGTGGTTGAGAGAGAGGACGTTTTGGTCCGCGCAGGCTTTTTCGTAGGATTTTTCATTTTCGGTTTCGTTTTCTGGTTTGGGTTTGTTTAGGAGGTCGTTTCGGCGTGTTTGGTTGTCTTCGTGGACTATGTCCAGGATTCCCTTTAGGTTTTTGCTTTTTATATCGGCTAGTCCGCCGCTTTTGATTGCTTCAAAGACGTCTTTCACTGTGGCTTGTCGTACGGCCTCCCAGTTCACGCTTCCTTTGCCGATTCCTTCTGTGAGGATGCCGAAGCGCTGTACGAGTCCATTGAAGGCTCTAGCTGAGTTGGCGCCTGTTGTTGCGCCGCTTAGCAGAGTGCGGATGAGTGCGTCTAGGACTGAAGGGACTTCGCCGCAGCCTGTTACTGTTAAGGAGGGTTCTGGGATAGTGGTTGGAGCCTTGATTTCGCCGTGGATGGTGGATAGTAGGCGATTGACTTCTTCACATTCTTCTGCACTTGGTTGATTCCATTCGGAAAAGGGAGAGGTTCCAGGTGTCAGACCATAAGTATTCTTCTTGGGTTTCCGGGTAGGAGTGGTCTGAGGTTTGCTATCTTCGATTTTGGTCGTCGCCCTGTCCACAGTGTCTTGGAGCTCAACAGCAAACTTTTCGACATTTTCTTGCTTGATAGGGTTATTTTCCTTGTCAGAGCCAGCAATTGAGATTTCTTTGGTAGCTGTTGGAACTGGCAGAGATCCAAGATTATGAGGTAGTTCGTCTGAACCCAGTGGCTTCGGAATTGTCACCGCCCGCGTCTTCTTCAGGGACGACTTGGGACCAGCATGTGTGACAGTGGCAGTCCTGACGCTAACAGGTTTGCTGGCTTTGGCTCCCTTTGATTGGGGCTCCTTAGTGCTTGGTCCTTGGGCCGGGCTGATATCCCCGGCCAAAGCAGTGTGCGCTGCAGAGCGAGTGACACGTCGCTCCATTGGTTTAAATTGAAATTCAATAAAACTGTGAAGTGTGTCAATTACATGCGCGGAGGTAAAAAGAGGGAGAATGTCAGAAACCGGTTGGATGATGCAGGCTGGAACCTCGGACAGATTGACACCTGAGGCCGCAATTGCTGCCTTACATATCATCAACTTGGACTTGATTAGTTACCTTACGGGATAAGAGAAGATATTTACGAATTTTATGGGAAACCATGATACATCAACATTGCTTCATCTAGATTCATATAGTAGATGACCTCGAGACGAGACACCGGGTATTGGTATTTTCAATGCTTTTGCATAGCAGCAGATCAGCCACCCAACAGCATGACAATGCTCCTTCAAACAAACTCCCAGACTCCAGATGCAAACTGCCAAATAGCCAGCGTAAACGTTAAAAGATAGTAGATAAAAGAAAGAGTAAGTCATCATCATGCGTCGTGGTGGTCCGCCATGTTGTGGATGCTGATATCCATCCGGTCAGAGACCTTGGGGTTGTGCTCCTCATGGCTTGTCTTGGCCTCGGGGTGAGTCAGAGAGTCGGTGTTGTCGGAGGCGGGGATGATCTTGCCGTTGGTGTCCATGGTCACGCCGTTGGCGGCGATCTGAAAGTCGGTCAAGTTGGCGAAGCCGTGGGAGACGGCCTCCTTGGCCTTGTCCAGGGCCTTGGACTTGCGACCTTCACCGCGGACGGACTCGAGGTGCTCGAAGTAGCCGTTGGACACGGGGGTCACGTAGCTACCGCAGAACACACCGACCTCGAAGTCTTGGGGCTCGGCCTGTCCGTTCTCACGGGCAACCTCGGCACAAGCATCCTTCAGATCGTCCAGGGTCTGGAAGATGACGCTCTCGGCACCAATGTGCTTGGCGATAGCCTGGGAGTCCCGGTTGTGGGCGACAAGCTCCTGGGGAGAAGCAAGATCGATACCGTAGATGTGAGCATGGGTGATCTCGGGAGCGCAGGAAGCAAGGTAAACCTTCTTAGCGCCGGCTTCCCGGGCCATGCTGACAATCTCACGACTGGTGGTACCACGAACGATACTGTCATCAACGAGTAGCACGTTGCGGTCCTTGAACTCAGCCTTCATAGCGTTGAGCTTGCGACGGACACCCTTCTGGCGGGTCTTTTGCTCAGGCATAATGAAAGTACGGAAGACGTAACGGTTCTTGACGAAACCGTGGCAGTAAGGCTTGTTCAGGTACTGTGCCACGTTGGTGGCGGATGTGGTGGCCGTTTCAGGAATGGGGATGACCACGTCAATATCCTTGACGATCTCGGGACCCAGGACATCGAGGATTCGTGCACCGAGACGGTCACCCATGCGTTGCCGGCTACGGTACACACTGATGCCATCCATGACAGAGTCAGGGCGAGCAAAGTAGACATACTCGAAGATATCAGGGGCGTAGGCCTTCTTGGGGGCGACCTGGCGGAAGACCGGCTCACCACCCTTGGCGATGATGACGGCCTCACCGGGCTGAATATCACGCTGGTTGGTGAAGCCCAGCTGGTCCAGGGCTACTGACTCGGAAGCCATCATGTAGTCCATGCCAGGTCCATCCAAGGACAGGCGAGAGCCGAGCACCAAGGGGCGGATACCGTAGGAGTCACGGAAACCAAGGATACCGAATCCTAGATAGTCAGCACCATATCAAAGATGTTGAAAGAAGGAGACTTACCGGCAAGCATAGCAGTACAAGCCCAGCCACCCTCGCAGCGCTTGTACATGCGGGTCAAACTGGCGAAGAGGTCCTCGTGGTTGACACGGGCCTTCTTGGTCTCGCTCAGCTCATCGGCAAAGACGTTGAGCATCAGCTCGCTGTCACTGTCGGTGTTGATGTGACGGTGGGCCTCCAAGTCCAAGTGCTTCTTGAGCTCAGGCGCGTTGATGAGATTACCATTGTGGGCAAAGCAGATACCGTAGGGGCTGTTCACGTAAAACGGCTGGGCCTCGGCGTTGGCACTGGAACCAGCAGTCGGGTAGCGCAGGTGACCAATACCCATTGAACCAGGCAGGTTGGTCACCTTGGCACCATCCTGGAAGACCTTGGCGGCCATGCCGTTGGCCTTCAACTGGTAAATCCGACCCCCGGACGCACAGGTTGCGATACCGGCTGCATCCTGACCACGATCTGTCCCACGCGTTTAGTTTCGCGGTCGCACGTGGGGATTATAAACCGAACTCACGTTGGAGGAGGTAGAGGGCTTCGTGGAGATCCACGGCAGCCGCGGATGAGGGGTTGGCCTGGATCAGAGCAATGATGCCACACATCCTGACGGTTTTTCTGTTTGAGTAGATGAATTAGCATGAATCCCACCCATAGCATGCACAAATGACAGAAGAATGTCTCAAATCAGTATGGATGTTTCTCCGCAATGATTGCTTAGGAAGTCTAACATCTATAAAAAAACCAAATTCATCATAGAGAGGGGGTGAACACAACAGAAAGAACAAAACAAAGCAACTTACAGAAATCAGGGGGATAGAGGGATAGACAATCACCACCCAAGAGAGAAGAGGAGGGAAGTCGCTCCATAGTGAAATTTTGTTCTGTGGTTTGGTTCGGTGGAGCTCGAGTTTTTTTTCTCGTTGGCCGGTTAGTCAGGGATGAGTCAGCTGTGCCCTAGTGGCCGAAAGGGGAAATCAACATCTACATTTACAGTACAGTATAAATTCATTGAATACCTTTGTTACATCTTGTCTTTTATGCTTCACATTCCCATTGAGACTAGTTCGCTTTGTTGAATGAGTAGATATACCCAGCCCTTCCAGCTCGTTGCCATAACTTAGTAGATCGCGCAGCACATAGTATAGCAGTCTCAGTTCTGAGTTCTGAATAGCATCGATTTCGAGACACCCAAGTTCCTCAGATAAATTTACCCTGCACTTTGCACTTTCTTTCTTCAGACAAAAATTGCCAATTTTGTACATCTTGCTTTGTCTCTTGGAGGCGAAGTCATCTCAACCTCGATACCCCGCGATATCAGACTCAGCTCACTGGGGTTTCGCTTTCCCTCCTTCTCTTTCGTCACTTCTTACCTCAAACTCCACCCCCAACCCTCCGCACCGCAGCCATGGCTGCAGTCGACCGAGCTCGCGTCTCGGTATCTCCCTTCGGATACCCCCAGGTCTCGCGCGGCCAGCAGTCAATCGCCGCCGCGATGGACTTGACCATGAGTGACGATGAGGACGAGGTGAATATTGAGCATTCCCTCTTTGCGCACATTTGTACGCCGGCAAAGTTCCCCAATGCTCAGGCGTTCATTGACCTGACCTCCGATTCTGAGGATAACGAGGACGTGCAGACCCTCACTTCGGTTATACAAAATGTCTCCGGTCCCTCTCGCGTAGCTGACATTGATAAAATGGAGCATGGCCAATTTGCGCAGTCTTCTCGGTCTATCCTGCGGGTCATGAAGCGTCAGGCATCCGGACAACCTGCCCCGACCCGTCACTTCCTGGAGGCCACCATTGGTGGTATCCTCTACCGTGCTGGCATGTCCCTGGAGCTCAAGGACGGCTCCTTTCTTAGGATTGAGCAAGTTGACCCTATGCCCTTCGACGTGCGTTTCACCGGCCGTCATCTGTTTCGTGCCACGCACCCTCACGTTAAGATGTATCTTCCTAAGCAGGAAAACGAATTGATCTGGGTCACGCAGAAGATGGACTCGGTGGGCTCCAAGCATGTCAAGAAAATTTGCGACATTCGCTTCACCAACCATCGCACCGACTTCGATGAGCCCACTGCCGAACTCACTTGCCGTCTCAAACTTACCATTCGCCAGCAGGGTGTTGTCATCATCCCTGACCAACATCCTTTAACGACCGACCAGACTGCCATTGAATATCTCAACTTCCGAGAGAGTGACGCCGGGTTTGGAAAGACATCCATTCAGCTTCGTGATGAATGGCGAGGACAAGGCCGGACGACGTTTTTCGGAGAGGGCCAGGCTTCAGCCGATGAAATGCATAACGACAGGGATGTTATCGACCTTACGGGCACTGTAACTGGAAAGGCGCAAGCATACACCTTTGGTGATGCGTACTGTGGTGGCGGTGGTATGTCCTGCGGCGCCAGACAAGCAGGACTGGACATCAGGTGGGCCGTTGACAATTCGGACCATGCCGTCGATACCTACCAGCGCAACTTTGACGGCGTTGAGATTGAGCATGCCGACTTCTTCAGTTTCCTTACCAACGATCCTAACTGGACGCGTGTGGACATCTGCCATTGTTCACCTCCCTGCCAGACATTCTCCCCCGCCCACACTGTGCAGTGCGCCAAGGATGATGCTAATTCAGCATGCATCTTCTCCGCTGGATCCTTGTGCCGAAGCGCGAAGCCTCGAGTTCTGACTATGGAGGAGACTGCCGGACTGCCTGAACGATGGGCTGAAATCTTTCACCGGGTCCTTCTTGACCTGGTGGAGATCGGGTATTCTCTCCGCTGGTCGGTATTGCGCTGCGACGACTATGGTGTCCCTCAGGAGCGAAAGAGGCTGGTGGTCATTGCTGCGGGGTAAGTGAAAGAAAAAAGAAGAAAGAGACGAAGTTATTCAGGGCAACGCTAACCAGGTGACCACAGTCCCGGAGAGACCCTGCCTCACTTCCCTCAACCAACTCACGGATTGATTTCCGCCCCTGGCCTTCTCCCTCGCACCACCATCTGGTCGGCTATTGCAGACATCCCAGATGATACCCGGAACCACGATGTCGAGAAAGCCCTTCATCGCTGGCGTCTCGCGCACCGCGCCCCGTTTGACGGACACCGTCCTGCCAAGACCATTACTTGCGGAGGTGGAGAGTACAACTATCACCCCACGGGGCTGAGACCCTTTACTGATCGCGAGATGGCTTGTCTTCAGACATTCCCCATGGAGTTTGAGTTTTCCGACAGCAATGTGCGAAAGCAGATTGGCAATGCGGTGCCCCCTTTTCTCGCAAAGGCCGTTTACACAGAGGTTGCCCAGAGCTTGCGAGAGTCGGACGCAAAGGAGGCCAGTGGAGTCTGGCATTGATCGCCGATCGCCATGTGAGGTCAATTGGTCCGAGGAATCACACTGTTCTTGTTTGTTTCGCGGTTTTGCTCCCTTCTTTTGATACCTCCGAATTTCGGTTTCGCATTGACCTGATTCTCCTGATTTCGGAGATGTACTCTGTACCACAGCAAATACCAGAACTCAATATGCAGAAATAATTAGCCAAAGTAACTTGTAGTGTAGCGTAAGTAGATCAGTGTCGGACCGACAGTAACCGACCCTCGGCATGAAGTCAGCTTGACATCCCTTTCCTTTCCCCAATTCCCCAACATTCTCCATTTCTCTCCCTCTCTCTACCTTCACCTTCACCGTTCCCTCTCAGTCTCCTTTTATTCTTCCTCACTCTATTCCAGGTCAATTGCGACCATTGCCCTGTCTTCCATTATGTTGCCAGTGAGGCGCTTGACCCACACGGCTCCCCGCACTTTGGCCCGCATCTCCAGATTGCCCACATTCGCTTCTTCTCGCATTTCAGTCCCTACACTTACTCACACTCCTCGCTTTTCGACCATGGCCGCACGTCAGTCTGCCGCTCCTGCGGTCCCTAGCGACAAGGCGTATGACCCTGAGATCCAGGACATGGCCTCGTACATCCACGACTACAAGGTGGACTCCGACTTGGCGGTAAGTGGAGCGGGTGACCGGAACCCTGAATTAAGCTGATTGATGTTTTCTACAGTTCGATACTGCCCGTTTGGTCTTCTTGGACACTCTCGGCTGTGGACTGGAGGCTTTGAAGTTCAAGGAGTGCGCCAAGCTGCTTGGTCCGGTTGTTGACGGTACTGTTGTCCCCAATGGTACCCGTGTCCCTGGTACTCCTTACCAGTTGGATCCCGTCAACGGTGCTTTCAACATCGGTGCGATGATCCGCTGGCTCGATTACAATGACTGCTGGCTCGCTGCTGAGTGGGGTCATCCCTCGGACAACCTGGGCGGTATTCTCGCTGTGGCTGACTGGATTTCCCGCACCAACCGCGCCGGTGGAAACCTTGGTAACGGCAAGATCCTGAAGATCCGTGATGTTCTTGAGGCTATGATCAAGGCCCACGAGATTCAGGGTGTCCTTGCTCTGGAGAACTCTTACAACAAGGTCGGCCTTGACCACGTTGTTCTCGTCAAGGTTGCGACCGCCGCTGTTGTCTCCAAGATGATGGGTCTCACTGAGAAGCAGACCGCCGATGCTATTACCCAGGCTTGGGTGGACGGCCAGAGTCTCCGTACCTACCGCCACTCCCCCAACACCATGTCCCGCAAGTCCTGGGCTGCCGGTGATGCCTGCCAGCGCGCTGTCAACCTGGTCTTGAAGGTCCAGAAGGGTGAGGGAGGTCTCCGCACCGTTCTCTCTGCCCCAACCTGGGGCTTCTACGATGTCCTGTTCAAGGGCAAGAAGTTCCAGTTCCAGCGCCCCTACGGCAGCTACGTCATGGAGAACGTTCTGTTCAAGGTCTCCTACCCTGGTAAGTGCACTTCACCCGATATGATTGACTATACTAACCCTGTACAGCTGAATTCCACTCGCAGACTGCCATTGAGGCCGCCGAAAAGGTCAACGCCAAGCTCGCCTCCATGGGCAAGAGCGCCAAGGATATCAAGGAGATCACCAACCGCACACACGAGGCCTGCATTCGCATCATCGACAAGCAGTTCAAGGAGATGGACAACTTTGCCGATCGCGACCACTGCGTGCAGTACATGGTGGCCACCATGCTCGTCTTCGGCCGTCTGACCGCCAGCGACTACGCTGACGGCTCCGAGGCCGCCACCTCTCCCCTGCTGGAGGACCTTCGCAAGCGCATCCGCTGTGTCGAGGATACTCAGTACACCACTGACTACCACGACCCCACCAAGCGTACCATCCCCAACGCACTGACCGTCACTCTTAATGACGGCACTGTTCTCGAGGAGATCGCCGTTGAGGCTCCTCTCGGCCACCGTCTCCGTCGCGAGGAGGCTAAGCCCGAGATTCTGGCCAAGTACAAGCGCCATCTCGAGGCACACTTCGACCAGGCTCGCGTCGATGAGCTGCTGAAGGTGGGCTGGGACCGCCCTCAGCTGGAGAACTACGATGTCGACCAATATGTCGACCTCTACGTCAAGGACAAGATGGTTGCCAACGCGTAAACCGCAATGATCAATGAGGAAAGAGACTAAGATTACACCGTGAACGTATATACCGCAAAATTGTATAGATACATTTCTTCCATAACCCGTGGATCACCCCGATGCTCCAGCAGTACAAGTAACCCCCAAATCAGACGGCGTATTCGCGCAAAGCACCTTGCCACTCCCAGACTTTGGCTTGACTGTATAAGAACCAATCTTCACATCACAAGTGCCCCCAGATCCACAATTCAAATTGCTAGTCACCGCTCCATACTTCCCACTCGTCACCCCGCTAACATCCTCAATCACAATACCAGACAAATTGGCATTCCCGGGATTCTCTTCACAGTACTCACTATTCTCCCCATAACAACTTTGAATCTGAACCGCATAGTCGCACCCATCAACAACAACACCGCTCCACGTTACATTGCTCGCTGTTGATAACCCATGAGATCCGCCAGACGGGTATGTCTTTATACCAAGGGCCTTGGTTGAATTGATCATCGTCGCGCCGGATACATAGATATTCTTCACTGTATCGGACGACCCTTTGCCCAGAGATCCAACAGATAACCCATGACTGCCCGTGCAGGTTATATCGGTGACAGTGACACCATCACAGCCAGGCTTGAAGGCGACACAGTCATCGTCATTGTCGACATCGACGTTGCTGATGGTGACATCTGTGCTGGCGCCGATGTCGAAACCGTCGGTGTTTTTGGGCTCGTTGTCGCTCTTGGATGTTGCATCCATTTTTAGATGCGAGAAGGTTACCCTCTTTGTGTTGCCTTTTACTGAGTTGAAGACGTTGGGTGGGTTTTTCTGGCGCAGGCTTGAGATCTCGATGTTTGATCCGCCTGTTATGTAGAGGAGAGTTGGGCGCGCGTAGCTGCTGTCACTTGCGAAGAGGTCCCATCTATGCGTTGTGTTAGTATTGGTTGGATGTATTGGGAGGAAGAACAAGGTGACTTACGCGTTCTGTCCATTTCCATCGATTACTCCAGCGCCAGTCAACGAGCGGATCTTGAGCCCATTGATATTCTTGATGTTTATCATGGCCGTGCGTCCTTCCCAGTAACTCGTCGACGAAGAGAACTTCAACAGCCCCTCGACTTGAAAGTCACAGCCGGTACAGCCTGCAAAGTCCAGCACGCTGTTCAGGTAGTATGTACTTCCAGCGGGAATAACGATCGTGCCTCCCTTTCCGCATGATGCGATTGCGGACGTAATGGCTGGGACATCATCTACTGAAGATGATCCACCGGCTTTTGGTGTACAGGTTGAAGCGCGGGCATTGAGTGGTTTTGTCGGAGTCAATGCGAGGGTTTGTGTGAGCAGCGCGAGGGCTGTGAGGGTCTTGGAGAGGGATGGCATGGTTGTTGGCTATTTTCATTGTGTCAGGGGGGAAATTGGTAGCCAATTTATCTGTAGTTCTTTACTCTGCTGTATCGCTAAGCATAGATGGTTAATATCTGGCCAATCTATAGTAGCACCGGAGGTGAGGTTTCATAGTTCGACGGAGAAACAAGCGTGTTTCTGAAACGCGCCCCGCTATTCGAGGAATATTTTTGTTCCTTTGCTTTTTTGTCGTCATTCTTTAGGTGTACCTGCAGGAAGCGGGATTATTAGTTCATGGCTGCCAATTAATTCCGGGGAAATGGCGTTCGCACGGCTTTTTCATCTGATTTCCCCGGATCTAGCTGTACCTACTTCGGAGCTGCGAACCCCTTGTTTGAAACACGGTGAACAGCCACATGCTTGGCCACATGCTAGACATTCAAAATGACAGGGAGCAAATGGAGTAGCGGTGGGTATATCAGCCTAAATATCACAGCTCTGCATGCGCCTGTCATTCACGGGAAAATCGGAGTGGAGAAGCTATGTCTCAACTATAGCTCCGTCTGCTATGCGATGAGACATGGCTGGCCCTTGAAACAGGGGGTATGAACAGGACAAGGTCTGCTCCAATGATACCATGGATCTGCATATAATATCCATACAATCGCACATCAGGGGCGATCATATCCTCTCTGGCCACGTTTGCACATCATGCATCTTGCCAAACCTCTCCTCTCAGCCCTAGCCCTTGGTGCCGGCGTCATCGGCGCCCCGACAGAACTACAACGTCGCACCGCAAGGACAAGCGCGCCCTCTGGATGTTTGACTGTCGGTTCTAGTGGTACATACTCGAGTGTCGGAGCTGCCGTCTCTGTTCTCGGTTCTTCGACTGCTGCTGCGTGTATCTACATTGCTGCTGGCACATACACCGAGCAGGTTATCATCAAATATGGGGGTGCCCTGACCCTGTATGGGCAGACTGCTGATACGGGGTCTTACAAGAAGAACACCGTGACTATTACGCATTCTATCAATTCTGCCACTGCTGGAAGTTTGGATAAGAGTGCGACTGTTAACGTTGTCTCGGACGGATTGAAGATGTATAACATTAACATTGTGAATGGATATGGAGCGGGATCGCAGGCTGTGGCGTGAGTCTACCGGAATATCTGAGGTTAGATAGAGACTGACTATTCTAGAATGGTTGCGAATGCCGATAAGCTCGGCTTTTATGGCTGTCAATTCTCTGGCTATCAGGATACTTTGTACGCCAAGTCTGGAACTCAGTACTATTCCAACTGCCTGATTGAGGGTGAGTCCAGCACGATCACCTATCTCGATGGATACTAAGAGATTATAGGAAACGTCGACTTCATCTTCGGCGATGCCTCGGCCTGGTTTGGTGAATGTGACATTGTCGCCAACGGCCCTGGTGCCATTACTGCCATGTCACGCGAGGTAGCCAGTGACACTGCCTGGTATGCCATTGATCACTGCAATATCAAGGCTGCGCCGGGTGTTACCCTTGACGGTACGCAGTACCTCGGTCGTCCGTGGCGCATTCTGGCTCGTGTCATCTATCAGAACTCCAACATTGGCAGTTTGATCAATGCCAAGGGCTGGAATACTATGGCTGATGGGGCTACGCCGGCGTATTATGAGTTCAATAACTCTGGAGATGGAGCTGATACTTCGAGCCGACTGTATGAGACTTCTATCTCAGCGGCTGTGACCAAGAAGACTGTTTTGGGTAGTGATTATGGCTCTTGGATTGATTCTAGTTATTGATTGATTGGTGTTTGTGTACAATGATGTTTGATATCTTCCATAGGCCAATAGTTAATGTTGAATTGTCATTCCCGAAGATCATAGGCATAAGGTAACAACTCATCAATAGGTACAGACACCGTACCTCCGTCCTTCTCCTGTACAACCACCCTAATACTAGGATGAAGATCACGCAGCACCTGTCGACAGCGACCGCATGGACTCACGATGGCTCCTTCTTGACCATCCTCGCCCACTGCAACGATATGCGTGAGTTTCTGAGCCCCTGAACCGGCGGCAACCCCGAGAACGACGAGCTCAGCACATGGTCCACCGGTAAAGTGGAAGACATTGACACCGGTGAAGATTTGTCCATTTTCAGAGAGGCCTGCGCTGGCGACGCTGTGGTTGTCTGATTTGGGAATTGAATTGATTGTGTTTCTTGCGAGTTCGATGAGGGCGCATTCTTTTTGAGTAAGATCCATGTTGAAAATAGAGGAGAGGAGCTGATCAAATGAGGTTAGTGATTGTTGGAAGTAAACGGCCTCGTGATACAGTTGGGGGCTCTGTGCGCGGGATGCTCGTTTCCTTTTCCGGTGCCCGACTTACACTTCAACTCAACCTGAGATAGACCAAGTCAACAGCATATTCATCTCTAATAAGCTAATATGACAGCTCAGAGGCTTGGAGGTCACTCTGAAAACTTACCGTCCATCTACACATGAGTTTGAATGCGATTCTAAATCTCGGCACTAGAAACTATTTTAATGGTCGATCATGTATAGATAGTAGAAAACGTATACAACGAAAACAATGTATCCCAGATAAATATTTCTGCAACGATAAAAAATATTTACGTTACTTTTCTGGCTTTGATCGAGGTATATGTTGCCACCTACTATGGAAATTTACCCTTGAACCATTCAGACTTACTCTCAAGGCCCAGGAAGCCTTGGTGAAGTCACACCTATTTCATGCGCGAGAGACCTTGCGCAATTCGCCCTCACAATAGTAAAAACTCAACTTGCTTTGGGAACATCCATTCGTTAAACAAAGGTCTATAATGCTATGAGTTACTTGCCACAAGGCGAAGGGAGCAAGATTTAGACCCATCAACAAGCTGGGCATTTATACCGGCTGACTGAATTATGCCATCAGTGGCGATTATCAAAAGTTCTAGATCGCTTGTGGTCCGTCGCACTAACCCAGTTGCTGTGGTATGGCAATTGTCCGATGATCTCCAGGAGTTGGACTCGGTTGGAAGACTGTTGAGCTAGTGACTCTGGTCAGATAGGGATAATGGGATTAAAACTTGGAATGACCAGTCTCATGCTTCGTTCACGGTGCATAACGACTTCATCTTACAATCCTGCATCGGGCGACAATGCATACATATATCATGTACAACAACGTGTATAGACAAGAAAGAATATTCTCGAGCGCATTGGATATCTCAAAGCAACTAAATACAAAGCTAAGGCAAAGCCCGGTCCTATGACTCGAGCATAGCGCATGGATATCAAAATATAAAGCCAGCCAGACCAGTGTACAGAGACAACAAGGACATCAGGATGGTGGTCTTGATCCGCATGCCTCCTCCTCGGGCGAATACGAAGCTTGGCAGATCGGGCACTTATACCGACGATATTCAAACCAAGACTTTAGACAAGCCAGGTGGAAGGCGTGTTTGCATCGATTCAAGACAATGGTCTCGTGGCTAGGGTCCCGCGCCGCGTGTGCATGGGGATTTTCTGTCCGAATTGGGGATTGAGTGCGTTGACTCCGGGCTAGAATAGCTGCATGTGGATAGGTCGGGTAGATCGGCGACGACAGTGCGCAGAGGCAGATGGAGCTGTGGGGTTGTTAGCCATGTTTCTAGAAGGTTCAGGCGATTGGTGTGTGTTGATCCTGTTTGGCCAAGAGGTGATATCATCCAGGAACATGGAACAGGACAAGGCATGGCATAGGTATAGCGTCGACATGGATTGGCCTGGATTGCCATGATTAGAGGGCAGCAAGGCCAGGGTCTTGCCCAGACTTTAATATTGCCGACGAGACACCGATGCGCCCAATAAGGCGGATTCAGCCTTGTGCCCAGCCCTAATGTCCCCGCACTAACATCATCGAGGCCAAAGAGTGCGATGCGAGAGAAAGATAACAACTTACCAAGTGTCTTGGCCATATTGCTGGGAATTTGTGGGCACATTTTGTTCTTCCAGCCATCGGTCCACCGAGACTGGATGCCCCAGGACATCCTGCAGGGGTAATTGCTGGGTCTGTTGATTCCCGAGCCTCCACTCGTCGCGATTCAATGAAGTCTCGTGATTGACTCGTCGGCGGCACCAGATGATAGTTCTACAAGTCATCAGCAGGGAAACACTTCGAGAGTGTTCGCATGCATGAGGGGCGTAGCCAAGACCTATGCGGGGACACACTCACAACGGAATCATGCTGATCAGGGCAAATATCACAACACCCCCAATCACAACCCCGATGATCTCCCCGCGGGGCATTGATTCCTCCATGTGGGATCATGCGAGTGAGGCAGGAATACGACAATTGAACAAAATTCAAGTATCGCCCAATAGACCCAAGAGGCCCAATGGGAATGCTTTGGAGAATGTGGGACAAGGGACACGGTGTGACATCCGGATCACTCGGGTGTATTATGCATAGGCACCGCAGTGCACTTAGAAATCACCGAGTTCCCATACTCTCTCGACACGCGTCTGACCAGAATGCAAACGGCAGACCGGGGCGGATTTGAAGGAGGCACTCTCGGACCTCACCTGCCAAGACTCTAACCCCAAGAAACCAAGATTAGCCAAGACATTTCCAGCCAAGAGAAGTCGTGTTGCCCCGACGGGAATAGATTGAATCTGAGCCCAGTCGCCGCCCGCCAAGTCTCCGCCCAGACTCTCCGGAATGTTCTTGGCACTCCGCAGCCAATCAGCATCCACCATTCCTCGCGTGGCCGGCCGCCGAGCCAATGCCGAGAGTCATGTCGTCATCGCCGCCCAGAAACCCAAGACGAATCGAAGGCGCCAAAAGTCCGCTCGATACCGAGACTTGGTTGTGGGGGGGTGATTGGTTGAGATATCGGAGAATGGTCCCCAGACTTGCGACCACTTCGACTTCCGGAGGAGATACCCGGTTGCAGGCGTAATTCGCCATCGGGTCCGACTGGACTTTATTTATACCCCGGAACGCCCCAGCAACCAAGAAAGCATTGAAATCAAGCAATTACTCTATACTCGCGTAAAAGAAGTAACTCTGCTCTGTGTATGGACTCTCATTCTCTTGCGGATACCTTCTACATGACGCCTCCTTAAGAGACTTATAGAAGTACACTACATCACTGCATCCACAGTTAGACCCCTCCCCTCTCTGCGATGTCTCAGGATAGAGCTGAGAAAGGCCAGGGTGACCAGACCCAACAACCTCTTTCCCAGCCTGCCCACTCTCTCACCTACACAGATGTCATCAGCGAATTGGGTACAGACTCCGATGATGGATTGACTTCAGGAGAAGTCAAGCTTCGGTTGGAGAAATATGGCGAGAACATGCTGGAAGGAGACGAAGGCGTCTCCCTCGCCAAGATTGTCATTCGACAGATTGCCAATGCCATGATGCTGGTGAGTGATCAGCGGAACTATCGGAGACTCTCGACTAACAATATGTAGGTCCTTATTATTGCCATGGCCGTCAGTTTCGGTATTCAGTCCTGGATTGAAGGTGGTTTCATTGCTGCCGTCATTGCCCTCAACATTGTGGTCGGCGTTTACCAGGACTACGCAGCAGAGAAGACCATGGACTCACTGCGATCCCTTAGTTCACCAACTGGTGTTGTATCTCGCGATGGAAAGACATCTACCGTGCCAGCCAACGAGATTGTTCCTGGTGATATGGTTGAATTGAAAGTGGGAGACACAGTTCCCGCTGATGTCAGGTATGAACCCCAGCCATTCCCGCTCCATGGGCGAAGTTAACCAGTTTCAGATTGGTAGAAGCATTCAACTTCGAAACCGACGAAGCCCTCCTTACTGGCGAATCTCTCCCAGTCCAAAAAGAAGCCGACGCCACATTTGACGCAGAAACTGGTCCAGGTGACAGACTTAACATCGCCTACAGCTCATCAACTGTGACTCGCGGTCGTGCCCGTGGTGTGGTCGTTGGAACCGGTATGAGAACCGAAATCGGAGCTATTGCCATGGCCCTGCGTGGGACAGACTCAAAGCGCCGCCCTGTTAAGCGTGGCCCGGAAGGAGAAACTAAGAAGAGATGGTATATCCAGGCTTGGACTTTGACTACTACCGATGCCATTGGCCGGTTCTTGGGTACCAATGTTGGTACGCCGTTGCAAAGGAAATTGTCTAAGCTTGCTCTGTTGCTATTTGCCATTGCCGTAATCTTTGCCATTGTTGTCGCTGGTTCTAACGATTGGCGTGGAGATAGCGAGGTTATCATTTACGCCGTCGCTACTGGTCTAGCTATGATTCCGGCTTGCTTGGTTGTTGTGTTGACAATCACTATGGCGGTCGGAACGAAGCAAATGGTGAAACGACACGTCATTGTTCGGAAATTGGACTCTCTGGAAGCACTCGGTGCTGTCACTAATATCTGCTCGGACAAGACTGGTACTCTCACACAAGGCCGCATGGTGGCCAAGAGGGCTTGGATTCCCTCTGTGGGAACATACTCAGTCGGCGCCTCAAATGACCCTCTCAACCCCAAAGAGGGTGACCTGAGCCTGGTACCTGAGCAGCCCATTCACCTTGACAATCAGTCACCCGGTCAGCCTTCAAGCCCAGACGACCTTCTAAAGGACAACGATGCCCTCAAGGAATATCTGGATGTGGCTTCTATGGCTAACCTGGCCCATATTCACGAAACCGCCAACGACGGATGGCAAGCTCGTGGTGAGCCTACAGATATCGCCATTCAGGTCTTTGCCTCTCGATTCGACTGGGGTCTGGACCGCTGGACCAAGGGCGAGAAGCCCGTCTGGCAGCAGCAGGCTGAGTATCCATTCGATTCGAGCGTGAAGAAAATGTCCGTCATCTTCTCCAAGCGCGATGAAAGCTCCGAGAAGACCCGCGAGATGATCTTCACCAAGGGTGCCGTTGAGCGAGTTCTCGAGGCATGCACCACGATCAAGTGGAAGGCTGGTGCCGATCCCGTCCCCATTGACAACGAGATCAAGGATGAGATTCTGGAGAACATGGAGGCCCTGGCTAAAGAGGGTCTTCGGGTTCTCGCCATGGCTGGCCGGGAGCACACCGGTACAAAGGAAGGTGGTGAGCCTCTTCCCAGAGAGGAGATTGAGAAGGACCTGTCATTCTACGGTCTCATCGGTCTCTACGATCCCCCTCGCCCCGAGACAGCCGGTGCTATCAGCCAATGTTACAAGGCTGGAATCTCTGTCCACATGGTCACTGGTGACCACCCCGGAACTGCCCGTGCTATTGCAGCACAGGTTGGAATCATCCCTGCGAACATGGATACGATCGCCAAGGACGTCGCCGACGCGATGGTGATGACTGCTTCCGAATTCGACAAGTTGACCGAAGATGAGATTGACAAGTTGCCTACTCTTCCATTGGTCATTGCTCGCTGCGCCCCTAACACCAAGGTTCGCATGATTGACGCTTTGCACCGCCGTGGCAAGTATGTCGCTATGACTGGCGATGGAGTCAACGACTCTCCATCCCTCAAACGAGCTGATGTCGGCATTGCAATGGGCCAGAACGGTTCCGATGTTGCTAAGGATGCATCCGAACTGGTGCTGTCCGATGACAACTTTGCCTCGATTATCAACGGTATTGAAGAAGGACGTCGCATTTTCGACAACATCCAGAAGTTCGTGTTGCATCTTCTTGCCGAGAACGTGGCCTTGGCTCTCACCTTGCTTATCGGACTGGCCTTCAAGGATGAAAGCAACCAGTCTGTCTTCCCTATTGCCCCTGTCGAGATCATTTGGATCATCATGATTACCTCCGGTCTTCCCGATATGGGTCTGGGAATGGAAATCGCCGCCCCAGAGGTTATGGACCGACCCCCACAAAGCGTATGTTCTACTAATCCCCTACTATCAGAATTGAACTAACAGCATTGCAGAAACAAGGAATCTTCACTTGGGAAATTATCATCGACACCTTGGTCTACGGAGTTTGGATGGCCGCTCTTTGTCTCTCAGCGTTCGCCCTGGTCATGTTCCGCTGGGGCGATGGAAACCTCGCCATGGGTTGCAACACCCAATACAACGACCCGAGCAAGCCCTACAACTGTGATACAGTCTTCCGCGCCCGCGCCACGACCTTCACCTGCATGACCTGGTTCGCGCTCTTCCTTGCCTGGGAGATGATGAACCTCCGCCGCAGCTTCTTCCAGATGCAGCCCGACTCCAAGCGTCGCTTCACCCAGTGGATGCACGACATCTGGCGCAACAAGGTTCTTTTCTTCGGTATCATGACTGGATTCGTTCTTGCGTTCCCGATTCTTTATATCCCTGTTATCAACCACAAGGTCTTTAAGCATAGCAGTATCTCCTGGGAATGGGGTATTGTCTTTGTTGAGACTATTCTTTTCTTCCTTGGTATTGAGAGTTGGAAGTGGTGCAAGCGGGTTTACTTCCGTCGTCAGGCTCGCAAGGTTGAGGCCGCCGGTGAGCAGCCTGGTGGTGAGCGGAGGGGTCTGAGAGATTTCAGCCGATACACCACCATGGATCGCTCGGATACCCAGGCTAGTGAGATGAAGGTCGAGCATTCCATGGTTTAGATTGTGCCAGAGATTTATTTTATTTTTCTGGATAGATAACAGATACGTTGCATTCGGAGATCCTTGATCTTCGCTATCATGAACATTTAGAGAGATACCAAGAGTTTTGATTTTAATGCATGAATTTCATTATAATTCTTCGATCTAGTATTGAGAAGTGATGCTGATTGCCCAATAGGTGACCCTCTCAGGTAACCAGTAGACAAACGCACGTTAGACGTAATCAGGGAGATGAACATCTTATTTGATCATGTTCTTGATCCAATCCTTAGCAGACTGATCATTGAGGTTGGATCCGACGTTCGGGCGAGGAGAGGCAGAGCAATCTTTCGCGAAATAGCTAACCATGCCAAACACAGTTTGACCAGTCTCGTCCACAATCGGACCCCCCTCGTCACTATTGCAGACAGAGGTTCCAGGCGCCAGAGGCACATCCGGCTGGAAACACATCATGTTCTTGGTGATGGGATTGTCATCCGCCCATAAATCGTTGCACTTGCTTTGTTCGACGCTCACCATGTTGACGTGGTGCAGCGACGTCGGAAGAGTTTTGGAAGAAGAAGCCTCCATGCCCCAGCCAGCGATTCGGAGTGGGTAATCATCGCCGGTGGCATCGTCCGTCGACGGCAGCAGCGCGGCGGCAACACCGCTGACTTCAAGGGCGCTTTGGGCCATATGTAGAACGGCATAGTCATAGTCCATGGTGCTGGAGCTGTAGAATGGATGGCTAGTGACTTTGGAGATTGGAATGAGAGCGCCTCCGGTGGTTCGATCGGCAGTGCCAACGCGGACCTTCAGGTTGGAAGCACTTGAGCCGTCGACACAGTGTGCAGTTGTGAGGACTGTGTATTCGCCAACGACAACACCTGAGCAAATCAAACTGTCTCCGAACCAGCTGCTGGAGTAGAGGCCAGCGATAGAGGGGTAATCGAGGGCGGTGGCTTCAGTGCCGTTGACGATGGCATTGACCGAGGTGGAAAGAGCGAGCCCAGTCAGGGCGAATGCATTGGTGATGCGCATGTTTAGAGTGAAGCTAGAAGGGGTCTGCCGGAAGGAAAAAGCGAAAGAGAAGCGGAAAACCTGTTAATAAAGGAGTCATTCTCAATCAAACTCTGAATAAATGGGTCGTGGCCCGATCGAGTGGACTATTGACAGATCTGCAGCAATTACGACATCCCTGGGAAGATCGTCGATCGGCATTGTGGCTCAATTGACGGAGATATTGTCCGTATCCAGGTCGAGTTCTTCAGAAGCCCCACCATTGTCTCAGCATCGACGATATACGGATAATTGTAAATAGCAAAGAGATCATATAGATGATATGACTGTTTGCCGACGTAGAAATAACCTGTTCGACTACTCACGATATACTTGACGAGCGTTGCGCCTGAGATATCTTCTGCGAAAGGACCGGCAAGGTTAGACAAGATCGGGACATAGAGCAGATCGAGGAATAACCCGATTCGTCCGGCTTGTCGCTCCTCATCTTGAAGCTTCATGAGCTTCCCGCCCTCAAACCATTGCAATGCGCGTGGTTGGCGAAATCGGGATCGAGGATTGGAATTGAGCTCCTAGACCTCTATTCCCGATATGCCTGGCATGTTCAAGCGCGATAATTAGGAGTTATATACGAAGGTAAGATGCAAGACGCGCGCCAGGGATACGAAATTTGAAAGCCGCCGATCGCCCCACGGTTCGCTTTAAGCCTAAATGTGCCTCGATTGCGGCACGGATCTATAAGATCTTGGCGATGTCTCGCGCCGGAAAATTATTGCCTATACAGCAATATGAATTGTTCACTTTCATATTCAAAATCATGCCTTACTGCACATATCATCAATTGTCAACTTGTCGTGTGTCGTTACGACTTTGCGAAGCTTCGAGGTTCGCCCGAAGAGCTTCGGCCGGCCGCAGATAAAGGATTCATCCGTGAAACATATGGACCGTTGGTCTAAAGCAAAGCCGACCGGAGCAACTTCTCCATCTCTTGCAATGACTCGGATTTGGATGTCACACTGGACATGAGATACAGGACATTACCCAGGACACGCGAGTGAACATTGAATTTATCACCGCCGATAGAGAGTTTTGTTTGCAGGCCCTTGGCAGCGTTGGAAGTGTAGCCTGGAGAAATGTTAACGGAAATATGATGTTATGATTGTTCGGGTTCTTACCTCCACCCTCAGCGTCACGCAGGGAAATACTAAGCACAGTACCAATAGCAAAGACGCTTTCTACTGATTCTGCACATGACAGATCCTGGAGTAGACCCTGTGACCAGACACTCCATACGTCAGGAGTGGAGGCCTCAGAAGGAACCACGGAGCTGCCGCGCCAGTCATCGCGGAATCCATCCCAGGATCCGTCCGACTCGAGTTGTGCCATGGTCTTCAGTGAGTCGACGGCAACGGTGCAACCAACAGCATGGGCAGTATAGCTGTGACCGTGGAGTAGAGCATCGCTCTTTTCCGGGCTGGAGAAGGCGTTGAAGATCTCCTCGCTAGCCACAGTCGTGCAAAGCGGAATCAATCCACCGGTAAGAAGCTTGGCGTTGACGGCAACATCAGGGGAGACACCCAGGAATGAAGCTGATGTGGAGCGACCCAGACGGTATAAGCCGGTGAACACCTCGTCAAAGATAATTGGTAAACCCGACCAGGACGGTGACTCCTTAGGGGCAGTTGCATTACCAGAGAATAGCTCGGGGTGCTCGCGGACCACGTCAGCCAGGCATCTCTGAAAGAGCGGGTCACAGAAGAGCATTCCACCAGCACCGAGGATGACGGGTTCCATAATCAGAGCACCAAACTTCATACCCTGGCGCTGGACCAAGTCCTCAATGGTTCGGTGGATATAATCCTTGTAGCGCTGAGCCGAGGTAGATTCAATACGCTGTTCGAGATCAAAGACTGAGCCCAATGAAGCAAAGTCAACATCCTCACCCAAATCAGCTTGGAGCTCACGGGGGATCTCGACTTTCCATGACCCGCCAACCATCTTAACTAGCGGGAAGTCAAACCAGTGACCACGGCCACGGTACCACTCAACCTTTTGGTTGTAAGTGGATGGCTCTGAGCAGTCCATCACTCCGATAGTGTCACCGTGGTAGCTGCCCTTGAGTCCCAGAATGCCAATTTGCTCCTGGCTTGCATCCCAACCGTAGCGGTCGCAAGAGGCGCGGAGACCCATCTTCACGGCAACTTCCATTCCTGTGCTTCCGTTGTCGGTGTAGAAGACCTTGGTGAACCGTGGGTTTCCAATGGTCTCCAACAAGCGACTTGCGAGGGAGAGCGCTGGCTCATGGACGGCGCCTGCGAACATCACGTGCCCGTAGCGGCCAGCGGCGTAGGCTGCAGAAAGCGAGAGATCGGGGTTACCATGGCCCAAGCCTTGGGTCCACCAGGATGCCGAGCCGTCAAATGTTGGCTGTAATTCGCTTTGGGTATTCTTGGAGGAGTTGGATCCAAAGGTCTGGAAGTAATCGTCGTGGGCTGAGTCGATCACAGTGATGTCCTTGGCTTGCATGCCTTGGTGCTGAGTAAAGGGGTACCAGATGAGATCCCGAGCCCGGTCGCCCATCTCTTCTAGTCGTTCAATGCGCTCAGTATTCTTCACTTTCATCTCCTCTAGGAGTCTGAGGATGTCGGATTCTTGTGCGGACTTTTGGTAATAGGTGAACATGGCCTCCTCGTCCCTCAATTGGGCATCTGCATCTAGCTGAGCTGGGCGGGATGGAGGGGTTGGTAGTGAGACTAGAGGAATGCTCTTGCCATTGAAGTAATCACGGAGATACTCGTGGTTCTGGTAGTAATCGTCTCGGAACAAGAGGACCGACTGCACGTCATAGCCACGAAGTAGCAGCGACTCATAGGCAGAGATGGAAGAAGAGATTCCTCCTAGACGGGAGTCTGCAACCAGCACAATCGGCAGCCGTAGAGGTCGGTACAAGTCTGCCTGCGAGTTGCCATTGGGCCCTGGGGAGTGGACACCCCCGGCAGTCTCGACGAGAGCAAAGTCAATATCCGAGCGGGCCCAGCCGGATAGAGTCTTATGAATTGAGGCGAGGAGATCATCGTCTCGTGGGATCTGTAACAGTTAGCTTTGGATCTGAGGGAAATATATCGGGACTCACCACTTTGTCCTTGGCGGCCAAATGCGGGCTCACCGGGTCATCGAACTGATAGAGACACTTGGTCAATGTTCCGGCACCAAAGCGCTTCAAGTGTCTGCGAATAAATCAGTGATTGAATTAAATACACTGACCTCATTGTCACTTACTGATCATCGGCATCGTCCAACGCTCCTGTTGACACAGGCTTGAGGAATGCGGCTTGTTGTTTCTGTCGGTGAACGGCATTGCACAGCACAGTCGAGACAATTGTCTTCCCCACATCAGTATTGGCGCCGTAGACCTGATGCGCACGTAAATTGCGCCACAGCGCAGCACCGACAGGCATTGTTGAGGTGAAGTTGAAGTTGTAGATCGCGGACGAGTCAAGGTGGATCCCGTGACCTCTCCACTCACCGAGGTTATTCTCGTTGAATCCCAACCGGTTGCTGTTCCCGTCAGTTCTCTTGCGCCAATTGACTCATTCTGTTCGTGTGTTCGGTTTCCCTCGGAACAATAAAAGTGGGCGATCTTCAACCCCGAGATCGGAATCCAGGAACATAAAAACAAACGGTTTTCTGCAATAAGCCCACCACATCACAATGGCTCCAATTCAAGCATCTTCAGCTCCAACACTTGTCGAGTCACTCTCCGCTGCATTGACACTCCGGGAAACCAAGTCTGCCCGCCGGCGGTTAACCGTTTTACCCCGGACAGCCGTGGACTTCTCGTCCAACGACTTTCTGTCATTGTCAACGGCGCCCGCTTACCGGGAAAAGTTCTTGGCGCTTCTGAACAACACGCCTCCGTCATTCCCCTTTGCCAGCGGCGGCTCTCGGCTATTAGACGGGAATTCGGCGTATGCGGAAGAGCTCGAAAACTTTGTCGCGGACTTTCATCAGGCCCCGACGGCGCTTCTGTTCAATTCCGGCTACGACGCCAACGTCGGAGTTCTTTCCAGCATTCCCCAGCCCGGGGATTTCATTCTGTATGATGAGCTTATTCACGCGAGTGCTCATGAGGGAATGCGTCTCTCCCGGGCGGGAGCTCGGAAGATGTTCCCTCACAGTTCGCCGGCGGGTTTGAGAAAAGTGCTCCAGTCCCAGATTGCGGCGGATCCAGCGATTCGGAATGGTAGCCGTAATGTGTTTGTGGTTGTTGAATCGATATACAGCATGGATGGCGATGTGGCTCCCATTAAGGAGTTTATAAAGGTTGTGGATGACCTGCTCCCTGCCGGGAATGGATATTTCTATGTCGACGAGGCACATGCAACTGGTGTATTCGGGCCAAAAGGTGCTGGAGTAGTCCAGGAACTCGGCGTTCAAGACCGCATGTTCATCCGAGTGCACACCTTCGGCAAAGCCCTGGCTAGTCATGGAGGTACGGCCCTTGATGCCTTTGACACGCACCTGAAATCACTGATTGACAATTCTTTAGCAATGGTTCTCTGTGGACCGGAAACAAGAGATTACTTGATCAATTATGCCCGTAGCCTCATCTATACTACCGCGCTAGGATACCCATTCTTGGCGTCGATCCGTGCTGCCTATGAGCTTCTCTCATCTGGCGAAACAATATCAGTAAGCTGGTCTTATCTACTCATATCCATAACCGATTTACTGACCAGCCCTGCAGCTACAAAATCGACTTCAGCAATTGATTCGGCATCTTCGGCAAAGACTTGATGGACTTCACACCCATCCATCTGTCATGTTCGAGGTTGATCATTTCCCCACATCTCCCATCATCTCTCTCCGCACATCACAGCCAAGACAGCTGGCAAGCTCGTGCCAGGAGAAAGGATTTATAGTTCGTGCAATTATGCCGCCAACCATCCCCGACGGAAAGGAACGAGTGCGAGTATGCTTGCATGCCGGCAATACGGAAGCCCAAATTGATGGGTTAGTACAGACTATTCAGTTGTGGCTAGACGAGAGTCGGAAAAAGGCAGCGAAGCTATGAGTCGCCCAAAGGGCGACATAAACAAGTATATCAGAAGCTCACCTAAGAGAAGGAGCTCCAGGCTCTCTACCTCTGAGCTGAATCAATGTAAGAATGATACCCCTTTTACTTGGAGGTGCAAATTACCCAGAATACGCGAATACGTAGGAACGGAAGCCAAGGATAATGTGTACAGTTTTCATGTTTATCTCCGGATCAAGCAAGGGTCTTCTAACAGAGGATCAGGGACCAGACCACCAGAGAGGGTCGTGTCCATCACTGTCTGGTCGAAGATGTACTCTGTTGGTACCCAGAAGTTTCCTATTCGCTAGTGTTTGATCCACCCCTGCGGCCTACGATACGGGAGTCCGACCATTGTAGTCAGGTAGATTGATAGGTTCACAAAAGGTATGAGCAGAGCGAGTGACCAAATCAAGATCACAAAAGGGGTGGCATGCAAGTCGGGTTTCAGATAGTAGTGGTGAACTGAGATCAAGGAGTGAAGATTGAGAGACAAATCATTTATGAAAGTATCCGTAAAAGACAATTTTCCAAGAGAAATCACTCTAAGCGAAGGGAGTGTTGATCCGGAGGTAAAATGATATCTGTCTTGTTCAAACATCACAGCTATTGGTGAAAGGAGATATGGTTAGCTATATACCCTTATAAGCACAAAGTCTTTTTTAGGTGCCTTACAAAAGTGACCAAGATAGTCAAAAAGAGCAAGCACAGCACTGCCTTAATTTCAAGTTTTGTTTGCCTTTATTGGTCGCCTGTCTTTCACTATGGAAGGTTCATCCAACGGAAATCATAGGACTTTTTGCACCCCTTGATGATGTATCTCGATACGCGAACAATTATAGATCACCGCCACGAGTCCGCATGAATAAATTGGCAGGCCTGCTGCGGTGTGCGAACTCCGAATCAACAATGTACTCAATATCAGTGCCCACAGGTTTGAAGCCCATCTGACCATATACATGCCGTCCCATACCAGATGCCTCCGTGATAGCCTCCAGATCTCCACGTCGCTTTGCTTCATCGAGACCCCATTGGACCAGAGCTCGTGCAATTCCCTTTCGTTGATAAGCTGGATCAACGGCGCACATATCCAGCACCATGACTGCTGGCGGTGTTGCAGTGCTCTTTTCTTGGATAATCTCCTTGCGGCGCCGGAAGAAAGAGGTCATCACTTGAGTGAGGTATCGCTGTTCTGATTCATTTCCTGGATAAAGAGATGCAAGCTGGAGGTCTTCGTGTACATTCCTAACTGGCTTATCGCCGTAGCCTTCCACTGCTGAAGCCTGTACCCAAATGGCAAAACCGGCGACCACACGGCAGCCATCCGAGGTGGGCAAGGTGGCTTTGAGGAAAACGGTGTTTGGGTTACCATGCTGGTTTTTGGTGATGGTGTTCCAGCGATTGATCATTGCAACAGCACCACGCGACTTTCCCTCTGGTGTATTCCACTCCGGGTTCATGGACATCCAGACAGCATCTTGTGCCTGATGCCCGAAAGCCTCGCTTGCACAGTGGAAAGCCTGGATCAAATCCTCGGCCTGGCTAACGGGTTCAACACATAATCCGTTATCCATTGTAATCCAAGTGCTTTGAGAAGTGCAATGTGAGAGGAAGGGGTTGTGAAAGAAAGAAGGTACCAAATTCATAGGTTAAACATTTAGTGCCGCCAAGTCCCCCATTACTCATCTCAGGGTCCCCGCGTCGGTTAATCCTCGGAGTGACGTTGAGCCATCCGCATATCTATGCATTCGCTATGGTTTTAGAGGAGGTTAATTAAATTTATTGCGTACTATAAGCAGAATACGGTTTACCAAGGGTACCTGATCGAGGTAAAGAACTACGGGCTCTAGCTTGTTTAGAATGTAGCACAGACATGTAGCTTGATGGTCTACGCGTGGGAAATTGGACTACTTGTAACAGCAAAGTTCCTTTGTTGGTTGATTCATTGGGAAACCCAATTATAAAAGGCATTTGGTTATCAAGGACACATGATCAAGACCATAAACCGGTCATTGATAAGAGAACGAAAATTCTCACCTTCAGGTCACTCCTGATTACTCCATAAAAATACCAAGCCAGGCAGTATCCATGAGCGTGATATGAAAGCGCTCATTATTAGGCCAGTACAGATCCATCAAGAACCGCCTGAACAGAACAAAATTCTGCTCCATATGATAAAGGCCGAAACCTCTTCATCATTGAATCGGAGTCTCCGCCCATGGATATGCCAGCTCGTGAAAGGAGGATCGGCCTGGCGAATAATCATACGTCCAATCGGCGCTGAAGGAATTTCCAAGTTAATACGGGCATTGGCATTTACACGCTGCTGCTCGCTATACACTCGCAGGTCTTCTATAATTAGATCCCACTGTGGTCGCCATTGTTCGAATATCTCCGTCCATTCCTCATCGGTGCCGTTGTCAGCTAGGACTGCGCACATTGACCATACAAAATGGGCGCTACAGAGCCACTCACCGAAATGTCCACTTGTGACGTTCCAATCACGGGAAAATCGGACTAGGTCGAATCGGATTATTGGGGTTTCGTCTGCTCCTAGGCGTGAAGAGTAGAATGGGGGCGCGGGCGACAGATCTCGATACAGAGGCGGGGGAGTTATGTGAGTACTGTTATCGCTGTTGTGACCCGTGTTAATTCCTGGAGGAGTTAGACGCCTGCGATTACCAGATGAGTTGGACATGACTAAATATTAGTTGGACAGATCTTTTTGGGAGTTTCCGGGTTAGTCATAAATTGAGTGCAAAGAGGATTTGGATCAGTCAGTGCTGTGGGATGGTAAATGGTATGAGTGATATTGGAATCTTTCCATTGCGGACTATTGGGAAACTTTATATACTTTCACAACCTCGACAATATTTTTCTCCAGGCCAAAGAGTTCTTTGACCTTTGTCCTCCAGTCGTTCAACAACGGGATTAGAGATAGAATGCCCATTGTACAGATGTCTTTGCTTACAAACATGCTTTTTTAATCGAACCTTGTTCAAAACGAATCTTTGTTCCCTGATATCCGTTCTTCGAGTCTCAAAATAGAATTGAAGATTGGCATCGTGACTATCATTGACAAGGAAGGAGAAAGCCACGGCGAGATTTGATTCGTATTGAGACATATAAAGGATCTGAGTGAAATAAAGAAGAGAGGCTGACAAGACTGATTTGGTCCCTAATACAGTCTTGGTGGTTTACATCTGAGGTAACACGTTCAAACATAGCTCGGTCCATTGAAGCCCAAAACGACTACATGTCTCACAGATTTACGCCTATATTTCTGAAATTAGACCACATATCTCTGAGCACTTCATTGAGTCTTTCGATGGTTCAAGCAACCAAAAAACCATCTGCACTCCACTATCTCCCTTCCCCAACCTCAAACCTCTCAAGCCTAGCGTGAATCAATACATTTTCACCTAAAAGCCAGTAGGCCTAGCACCAGAACTTCCGGAAAAGCCAGGAGGAGCACCTCCAGGTCCACCACCACCAGGGCCCCCCATGCCCGAATCAGGATTCGAAACACCCCCATCTTCAGTGATATAAGCAGCAGGAGTAACATCCCGATCAGCAGTAGGATCAACACCGACAGAAATCCAAGCAAAGATTCCATCTGAGACATCATCTCCTAGATAAACATATTCCATGAATGGGTCAATGGTTTCTGCTTCTTCGGAGAGGATTCCGTCTTCCGCGTTTGTTGTTAGCTGTTGAGTGTTTGCGTTGTAGGGCGCTGTCAATTCCACTGCTGTGATTAGGTCTTGATCGAAGAATGTTTGACCGACGTATGACGAGTGGGTTTTGTAGAGGCCTGTTATTGTACCGTTGGCGAGGACCTGGGTTTCGTTTTTCGGGTGGGTCAGAACTTCTCTTGTTAGTTTGATGTTTAAGTGAAACAATGTGTAGGATAATATGCAGATGGGTAGATGGGTATCATACCGTGAATATGAGGAGTCCGACCAGTATAATGACCAGGGAAGATAGATTCAAAATGAACAACACCATCTTCATCACTAGCCTGAATACCTCGCAGCCAAGTTGTATTGATATTCTCTTCATCAGAAGAGTCTCCGTTTCCACCGGCAACAATGCCAGAATAAACACCCTGGAACGATGATCGTTAATCTTTTCTCTGATCGAAAAGAAAGTCTAGATAGAAGGTAGAGCTTACAGTAGCATTGCAATGCCACAAATCCATGTAGATATCCGGCAGCGGCTCACAAGTATTGGTATTAATCAACTGGATATCCATGAAAAGAGGGACACCATCCTGAGACTCGACGACATCTTTGCGAACGAGTTCACCCGAGACATCTGCATCATATCAGCAAGCTGCCACAGTAGCAATTGAAGAATATTGACTTACAGTAAGGACCCTGAGTAACATCGGGAGCGAGAATACAAGTCCCCCCAGATGCGAACAAAACACTCGGGTCGGTGGAGAGATCGATACCCGTGAGGTTGGAGTGGTGAGAGATATTCAGATCCTCGGCGAGACTGCGGGCTTTGAGATATGATCCAGCTATGAGGATAACACTCAGTCAATGGTAACTATGAGTTAAGTCTTGGGCAAGGACATACCATGGTCAATACCACGACGACGACGCAGATGTTTTACGGCCATCTCGCGACGTGCAACATTCCGTCTCTCATGGCCTCTAGCTTTCAGCCTGGAGGCACACTGAGAAAGGCTTCGTGCGTGTATGGGGGCATTTTGTAGGAATGTAGCTCGTTCGGCAGCTTCAGCTTTGATATCGTGGCCTGGATGGGCGGATACGAGGCCTGTCAGGCTGATTAGGCCGACAGAGATGATGGATGCGAGGTGCACCATTGTTGATGTGCCAAATTGGAAGAAAAAATTCAGATAATTTGACTAGGATGCTGAAGCGCTGTCTGGATAATGGATGTATCATTGCGGATTCATCAGGTCTTTTATATCATTCTTGCGAGTCAATGGCACACGTCCGAAGACGGAGGACATCTCTTTCAAGAATAGCCTCGGTCAGAGCAGTCCCCTATATTGATGAAGCTGACGACGAAGATCAGGGTCCCATGTCCACCTCGACAAATAGAACGCGGCGCATTTCGAAGAATGACGCCGCTGCAGAACTGGCGTCGGAGCTCCACCACGCTTTAATTAAGGCCAAGCAGCCTTGTTCCGAGGTATTTGAAATGATACGGGGGTGGATTGGACTGCAATGGACAAACAAGATGATTTCAGGACGGTCATCCGAGCAAACAGATGCTTGGTCCAGGTCGATCATCCTTCACTAACGCTGGCCAAGAAAAATTGAACGCTTAGTCCCTGGTGAGTCAGCGGAGAAGCAGGGTTCATCGCCGGGACTTGTTGTTATAGAAGAGAATGTTGGACAGTTGGGCTATATGGTGTTGTAATGATCGATATTGGCAGATCTCCCCTGAATTCCCAACGGCGCCATTTTTGGAGTTTCTCTTGCGATACCCCAGCTCTGACTTCGAACGGTCGCGTCAATTCATAGATAGTGAAGCTATAGCATGACAAGGCTACTCTTTCTTTCACATTGAGATGAAGATCGGTGCTGCGTCGGTTGTCCGTCCTGACTCCTCACGGATAAAGTCCGATATGCAAACGTGATAGACCACCTTGATGTTCCCTGTACCTGTAAGCTAATCAGCAAGAAAACTTTGATAATACAAGTAAATTACAGAATAGACCAGGGTTACAACTAGGGGTTATAGTTGTAACATGGATGAACATGGATGGCATACGTACTTCAACTTGGCAGCCCCATCCTGCGACAAGCCCGCGGGCAATGTAGGAAGCAGTCCTTGCCAAGGTAAAGTCACCCAATTCTTGGCAAATGCTTCGAAACGTCCTTTGTTCCATTTTCTCTAGTGTGTATAAGCTCAGCGTGGCTGACATTGGTGTATTGCGCCGTAATTTACCCGGCTTGGCTCTCTAGATTTGGTGGAATCAGGATTTACAAGGAAGAAAGAGTAGCAATAGAAATTAGTCAATTATGATACATGCAGCTTCGTGGATATTGAAAAATGACACATCAAACGTCAACACATGGTAGAGACAGTAAAGCATAGGGTGGAAGAAGTGAAAAAGGCTTGAGACCAGCGTAGATTACCAAGAACCTCAACTCAAGATATTAAACAAAAAGTAGACCACCATACCAGAACCAGTCTGATACATCAGATTAGAGATAGGTAAATCTAAACCTCCTGCTGGGTAACAGTAGGGCCGACAGCCATCTTCTCGTCGACGAGGCCGATCTCGGCGGTAAAGGTGGAGTGGGGCTTCCACTTGGCGGATGTGCGGGGGGTGGTCTCCTCCATCATCTTGTCGACCTGCTCCAGGGTGAGACCCTTGGTCTCGGGGATCAGGAAGTAGGTGTAGATGAAGGCGCAGGTGCAGAGAGATCCCCAGATGAAGAAGACCTTGGCGCCGAGGTTGCCCTTGTCGGCATCAACCATGTAGGGGGTGATGACAGCGATGATGCAGTTCCAGAGCCAGTTAGAGGAGGTGGAGAGAGCGACACCGCGGGAACGGATGGGCAGAGGGTAGATTTCACCAATGACGACCCAGGCACCGGGACCCCAGGTGCTGGCGAAGAAGAAGATGTAGATACAGATGAAGGCGATCATGGCAGAGACGGCGGCCGGGTTGGCACCGTCGGTGACACCGATGATGGCAACGATGAACTGGCAGACAACCATGCCGAGAGCACCCCAGAGGAGGAGGGGACGACGACCGACCTTCTCAATGGCGTAGAAGGAGAAGGGAGTGGAGACGACGTTGACAATGGTGGTGATCATGCTCAGCAGGAAAGGATCCTGAATTGTGCCGAGCTGCTTGAAGAAGGTGGTACCGAAGTAGAAGACGAAGTTGACACCGGTCCACTGCTGCATCATCTGGAGAGAAGTACCGAGGATAGTACGGCGCAGGTTGCTGTTGGGCTCCCAGAGACTACCGCTGAAGCAGCTGAGCCAGGTGGTGAAGTAGCCACCCTGGGGGATGTGCATCATCTCGTACTGGTTGTTGGCGTCAATCTCGTTCAGCTCCAGGGTGACAAAGTCGGAGTCAATGGGCTGGCCACGGATACGGGCAAGCACATCACGAGCCTTCTCCTTCTGACCCTTGCGGATGAAGTAACGGGGAGACTCGGGCAGAACGAAGAGACCAATGGCCAGAATGACAGCCCAGAGCATCTGGAGGGCAATAGGAATGCGGTAGGCACCGGTATCCTGGCGGTTCTGGGTGGCATAGTCGACACAAGAGGCCAGCATAAGACCGATGGTGATGCAGAACTGGTAGCCAGAGACGATGGCACCACGAACCTTGCGTGGGGCGATCTCAGACATATAGAGAACGATGATAGCCGAGACGAAACCGATACCGAATCCGGCAATCAGACGACCAGCAACGAGGAGACCCAGGCTGTTAGCAGCAGTCTGCAGAATAACACCAATAATGAAGATGCCACATCCAGAGATGATGGTGGTACGACGACCGAACCAATCAGCCAAATCACCAGCGATCAAAGCACCAAAGAATGTACCAGCAGACAGAATAGAGACAATAAGGGACTTGCGAGAGGAGGGGATGACGAAGAGATCGGAGGGAGTAGTAGCAGGGTCCTACAAACGTTAGTATGGTCTTTCGGATGTAGATGAAGTGTAAATCAAGTACTCACGAGATGCTCGTACTTCTGAATGAAGTAGTCCATTCCAAGAACACCGGAGATGTAACCAGAGTCATATCCGAAGAAGATACCACCAAAGGCAGCAAAGGCACACATCAAGTAGGCCTTGAATGTGACCGGGGCCTCGACACGCATGGTGTCCGCAGGCGAGGAGACGACTCCACCACCAGGCATGGTTAGATCAAGATCAAGGGGTAAAGTGGCTCTGTTGTAAGAGACTGAGATGTGAGATGTGAGAGACGTGAAGAGATACAAAAAAAGTAACGAGACTGGGGGGGGAGGAGAGAGAGATTTATACTAGGATGGACCCGCTAGACCAAGCACCCCCAGACCCCATGGTCAGGTAAAAAAAAAGGCAAAAAAAAAAAACAACGCTAACCTCAGCCTTGGGTGCTCGGGGATGGAACTGTCGGCTCACAAACAGTCTTCGGCTACAGAAAGAGGCCAAGTCGGGCTGGAAGTATAGGAAACCGGGGAAGTCGATTTTGATTGGTTGACTGGCGACTCTGGGGAAAGAACGATCCATTATGGGCTGTGATTGGTCAGATACTTAGGGTAAAGTGGGGGTAACCACCAAACAGAGCCTCGGGCTGGACCCTCGGGCCCGGCGAGACCATCCCCTTTGGGCCTGGAGTCCGGGGCATTTGTCTTCTGATTTGTCAGTTTCGGTGGGCCACGTGCCTGGAAGTTTTTCTCCCCTTTTGCCTGCCCTTTGACCCTTTCTGATTTTGCTGGTTTGCCTCTCGCTAATTAGCTATTTTTATGTTTTCGTCTTTCATTCTCTTCTTTGCATGTTAGCACGCTTTGACCTGCTGACCTGCAACTGCCGTGATTCCGCAATGTCACATCGCCAGCCGTCTCAAAGCACAGACCTGGGGACGCCACGAAATATCACTTTCCTTCTTAGTGGGAAAGGGTCTTGGCGTCAGGCGGGCTGACTATTATACAGTATACAACAATATTGCTACTTGGGTTATTATGGTAGAGTAAAATATAAATTATAGGCATCATAGACTGTGTGTATAGTTTTAGAAAGTAGCAAATCTAGCAAATCTCGACTGATCAACGAGATCAACATGCCAATATCTCGGGCATAACCGAGCTGGTTCCACCCCCAGACAAGATTCCTGGCGTTTCTCTCCGGGGGAACCAACCACTCACAGTGTCTTGGTAGTCTTGGCTCACTGGAAATCTCTGCGAGTAATTTGCCACGGGTTATTGTCGGGCCCCTAATCTCTGGGTCTCCTTGGCATGGCATGCTACATGCAATTCGTTTTCGCTCTGTGGTTACTCTACTCTATACCCCGTATTCAAGTGCCCCCCCCCCTGTCTTTCCAAATGCAGCAAATGCTACAGGAACTGTCTAAGCGCTGTTCAAATTTATGAAACTTAAGCTTATTGGTTTACTGGCTTCGACTCCGTCGCTTGTCTTAGCCCATTCTAGTTGCAGGTGGGCCATGTGGTCTCATCCTGGGGACCGGGGGTAAGTGGATACGACTGTGCCGTATGTTCTCCAGTTCCCCGACCGAAAACTGGTTATCCCCGTCTTTTGCGCCGTTTTTTGTGAGCCGAGGAACATGGTCCGATGCTTTCACCATGCCGGTGAGTCAACTTCGTTAGACTAGCTGCAAATTATGGTTGTGGTGGATCTGTTGGGATTGTCTGTTGGTTCCATGTCGGTCTTCGGTACTTTCCGATGCAGAAACAACGTGGAGAGACCTGGAGATACTCCGGATTTCTGTTTTTTTTTCTGGGGTGTTACCCCATGGGTTGTCTGTATTTTCTCACCGGTGATGACTAGAAGTTCCTACTTGGGCCTTGTCATCCATGGCCGAGCCTTGAGTTACTTTACGCTTCAGCGGCAATTTTGGCCGGCAGTCAATCTCGTCATTCTCATTCTTACTCGATGACTTCTCTATTTGGGCTTTAATATCCTAGATTGATTGATCCAATTAAAATGGTTGACGACTGGTGGGTCACTACCGATATCGAATGTCAAGACCGGCCATCCGGCCCTCATGTCGCCATCCCTCAATGGTTTCAACGTAACTCTTGATCCCCTGTCCCCAGATGCAAAAGCGTGCTGCCTTGAATGCCTCCTTTTCATCAAGTTGAGCCACTTCTCGGTTCCAATACCAAGGGGTGCAGCTAGCGACACCGGCAAGGTCTTGTGCTCTCATCAACACCTGCAATGTCCACTCTTCTTCGGCAGCACAGCTGGGCTCAACGATGAATCTTTTCGTCGCTGACTTGTCTCTGTCTGCCTCCGAGATGATGTATGCAACGTAATAGGCAAGCTGATCGAGAACATAGACCTGATTCGAAGTTGCACCTGCTTGATACGGACCAGGAAAGAACAGATTGGGAAATCCAGACGTCATCACACCATGCAGCGAGGCTATTCCTTCTCCATGCCATTCCTTCTCCATGCCATTTCTGTTGCAAGGACTTGTCGCGTCCGACGATAGGCACGTGTTCAACATCGGTGATGCTTCCAAGGGTACATCCTGTGCCAAAGATGATTGTGTCTAGATTTTATTCTTTCCCGTTCACGATGATACGACGATCTAACACTGTCTGCACGCTTTTACCATTTGTGTCTACCAGTGTGACATCGGGTCGATTGAAGGTTGGGAGGAAGGTGTCGCTGAAGTAGGGTCGTTTGCACCACCCTGGATACCACGTTTTCAATGACTGTGCCATTACTAGGTTAGTGACTGTGGCCTCAATCCGATGACGAATCTTCTCCTGTCGCCCGAGGTCTAAACCTTGGATCCATGTTAGGTATACTGGTTGAAGAGATGAGGGGCCTCCAGTTAGTGCGCTGAAGCATGGCATTCTGGTCCACGCATCATCCAATGGGCCAAGTGTGGAATTGACTGGATTGCAGTTGCACCTGTTCTCACAAACTCATCTGTCTTGTCGCGGAGTTTGTCCATGGTGGGATTGTCTGGGCTTCCTCCGGTGTAAGCATAGTCTCATTGCGACGTATGGCAAACATGGCCTTTGCATGTGCCGAGACTATTTAGCTTTGGTACCTTGGGGGAATCTAGCAGACCACCGGCCATGTTAACAAATTTTGATGTGAGAATCGCAGGTAGGTGATCATTCTTCATTACTTGTACTTTCCAATAGGTATCCTCATTATTCCCGGTCGAAGTCGTATCTCACGTTCCAGATCATATCTCTTGAAAGTCGCTTTCATCTTCAAGTCGCTTGGCTAGAGCATTGTGAGTCCTGGATCATTGAAGTAGGGCCTATCGTCATAGCTGATGCCTGGTTACCCTATTGTGATAAATCACAGAAAGCCTATGGAATATGTGCTGCTATATAATTGAAAGAAGCCCCTTTTTTTATATTTGATTCTTTGCTTTTCCATTGTGATGGATCATAGATCGACCATCTCAGCATTAGTGTGTGTTGAATTAATTCGACAAGCAAAGCTCTGCATGAATATATTGCACTCATGTGCATATTTTGATGCAAGAGATAAACGTTGTGTTGCACAACAATTCCATTTAAAAAAGTTGCAACACCTGTGGAACTGGACTTGCATCTAGGTAGCCAATCTTGTAAACTTTATGGTGCTCAAGTTGAAGTTGAAATTGCACCTAAGCTTGGACGGCGGTGCACGGATACCTAATAGCCAGATTTGGATTTCTTTTGCGAGTCTCGTAATCTCATCGGCAATCTGTGGTGTAGGGTCAATGAGCAGGGGTGACCCAGCCATGCCTGTTAGCAGTTGTTTCAATTGAAAACTGAAATCAGAGGAGAGATGCTGAAAATATAACAACAAAATTGACTTAATATCGATTTGTTTCCTATAGTCAAGCACATCTTATGCCCTGGATCTTATTTACATAGCTCATAGCATACTTTTAGGGCATCGGCCGATCTCTGAATAACATTCGCTGGCGCCAAGAACGCCATAGTCTCGAAATGGCCGACCAATCAACACCCATTGGCCCGGCAGGTCTTGGCTCCCGGTTTTCCCTTAGCCTCGCAATTTGTGTCCGCACGAGGTTAGGTCCGGTCCGAAATACGAACAAACTGATTCGATATAGTCCGATGAGAAAGGATTGTTGGCAATGCATCTCGCGATTTGATTTGAGCCGTTCCAGGTGTCCGCGCTAGGAACAGGGTAAACAGGGTCCAGTGATTCTGCAGCCACATCGATCATGTCTTTAAGTAGCCATGTGCCTGGCTGTTGGTGGTCTGAGAGTTTTGCTTTTGATTTCAATTGTTTGCAACAATGATGTCCCAATCGCGTTTGCTTTTCGTTCTGGGGGCTTTAGCCACTTTTGCGCTTTCTGAGGAAGTTGGCTATTTTGACACGTCGATGTGTACCGATTCTAAGGGAATGACTTCCTGCTACAAGGATGCTGATATTGAGTACACAAGTTGTGTGAACAATAACTGTGTTGGTGGGAGTCAAGCGTGTCACGACTCATGCGGTGGAAGTGTTACCTGCATGAACAAGCAATGCCCCAGTCTGGGCATGGATTGTATCAATGCCTGTGAATGCCAGAGATCCGCACACCAAATTGACTGCGCTAGTGCAAGCTGCTGGAACGAGGTCAGTACATGGCAGTTCGATTCTGACCACTTGACCTAATACGTACATAGGTCTACTCCTGCGAATACCAGAATACCGTCGGTGACTTCTTTGCGCTCTGCACCAATCCCAATTATGATACAGTCCCATTCTGGCCAGCACCCGATGATGCCCCCGATGCTTGTTCTTGCAACCTTGGAAAGATCGAAAAGAAGGAGCATCTGATTGCGCTCCAGATGACGGAGTGCAGCAACAACATGACCAACCTCAATCAAATCACTAAGACCGATGCGATTGCGGATTACGGCCAAGCTTGTATGTGCTGCGGAATGAGTGCTATTATCTCTGCGTACGTTGAAGCCATTCCATTTAAATAGACTGTCTATTTCCACTAACCATTGCGCAGTATCTACGACACCTGCCCCGACACGAAGCCCTCTTTACTTGGCATAACCGAGTGGAATGATGCAATTTTTGTACCTAGTGACTGGGCAGAGTGCGGCCCATACCTTGAGGCATATGATTGTGCAGGCGATTTAGGATATGGTCGTGCTGATGCCGGTGCCATCAGCAACTATTACCAGCCGAGCAGCATGCCATCTAATGGCACCAAGACCCTATTTAACAAGGACGGTGTGGTGTCCACCCCGGTCAGCGGTGATATATTCACCTGGCAATTTGGTCATTCTATGAACGCGGTATACCATACGGTCACTGTTGCTTCGGCTAAGGCAGATGTCACTGGAGAAGGAAAGGCCAGTGGACGCGACGGTTCGGCAACAACTACTGCTACTGAGACTGGTGCCACTGCGGAGAGCACGCAGCCTGGAGCGGGTGTGTCCTTGGGTGTTTCCTTCTGGACTATGGTTGGCACTGTTGGTATCTTGGCCTGGTTGACCTTCTAATTTGAAGCTCAGCCCTGGTCTATGAACCATAAAATGCGCGTATGATAGGATACTCAGGTATTTTTGCAATTGAATGAATCCTGCTCAATATAATACAAGAATCTACGGTTGCTCCCGCTCCTAGAATTACACAACCAGCTCTATAATGTACAAAGGTATATTTTACAATGGGGCTAGTCACTAGCCGCCACTTAGGCGCCAATGGCCCGCAGCACAAACTCATACACGCCAAGCGTGATGATGGCCGACGGTAAGGAACGGACCATATGGGGAGCTAGGCCTCCATACAAGCCCGCCATACCTTCTTCTTTGGCGACAAGACGGAAGCATTGTACCAGGCCCGTATATTTAGGCCGGCCATTCTCCAGTGGCGCCTGGCGCAGTCTCGTTCGGATAACCTAAGGATGTTAAAAACCTAAGACTCAGACAGTTGCTTTCGATGGCTTACCTCATGGGGATATGTCATCAAACCAGCCACAAGCTTAGCGGAACTTGCTGCGCCACTGGTACTTATCCAATGGCAGACTTCGTCCCAAACAGGAGTTCGCGTTCCCTCGGTGGTTGCCAGCGATTGGCTGAAGCCAGTTTTCAGGCGCTCATAGAGCACCAGGTGTAGAGCCGTTTCAATGGAGCCAAGATAACTTGCGCTCATTCCTCTGTATAGACCTGCTATACCCTCGTTCCGTAAGACTTGCTTGATGCAATCCACGCTATTGCGATATCGCCGACCACCGCTGCTTGTCTTGTCGAGTTGTAGCCGTGTTTTGATTAGCCAAATCGGATTTGTTGCTGTGGATGTTGCCAACCCCGCGCAAATTGCAGCCTGGGCGTGAACCAGTGGAGAGTCTTCTGTGTATCCCATCAGGTGAGCACCGACGCGCTTGCAATTGCCGTAGACGTAAAACTTGATGGCAGTCGCTGGAACTACACCGGCTATGCTGGGACCAAGGCCTCGGAAGAAAGCCCGCCATCCTTCGGCGCGATATATAGAGTTGACAATGCGTATCGTTTTATGGTTCGATCCTTGACGTGACTGGTTGACGCCTGTGTTTTGGGTATGGTAGAAGTCGGACTGGAGACGTGTTCGTAGGACGTCGAGAGGGGAAGTTACAATGGCAGTAGCCATTCCACCGCTCCTATATGAAATATGTCAGAATCGTGTAGATAACACAACAGATGGGAAACTTACGCGCCTGCCAAAAGGTGTACCCATGACTTGACAGCCTTCTTTGGCGCAACATGAACAGGCTGAATTGGTTCTGCTTTGCGAGATTCCCCTGCATTTCGATATCCTTGTGCATGTCCCTCCATTTTCACGACGATCCCAATGATCCGATAAGACAAAAATGAAGTTGATCTCCAAGCAACTTTTCTCGGCGATAGGCTTTTCCGCGTTTCTCACATGGCGATAACGGTCACGTGGTATACTCCAGTCACGTGTATTAACTTCACGTGATAGTCTTGTCTTTGGACTTTTAATGTGAAAAGTACGGTGATAGTGTTTAGATGTTTGGCTATGTTCTTCATGTTTCAGTTACTTCAATGAAATTAAACTCGGTCAATGGTCGAAATACTTAGGGAGCAAATTCTTTGGAGGTTGTGCTGGGCTTCTTATTTCAACCGTCAAGAAATATACATCATTCAAGCCAATCCTTGAACATAAACTTACAGAAAGCTGCCCACTGCACAGACTTATGGCCCGTGTCGCAATATATCTTTCGTATGAAGGTAAAGCATGTGCAGAGGAGGGGGGCGAGGGTGTCATTTTAATAAGAGATAAATTTATAGCTCATTATGCTGTGGAGGCAAAACAAGACATCCATTTCATGAAAAATATAGAGATAAACACAATGACGCCATTGTACCAGGTTGATCTTTCTGTTGCTCCGAACTAATCAGATTCCATATAGTGCTTAACAGAGTCAAGAACAACTTTGTACTTTGTCTCCAAGCGCTTCAGCTTCTCTTGAAGCTGTGCCAAATACTGTTTCTCCTCTAGCTTCATACGCTCTTCGTTTTGGATGTCCATTTCATTTTTCACCAGAACATAGTGGACATCACTCATGATGTGACACCACACCCTTGCAAAAGTGTCTCTCAATTCTTTGAACACCAATTGAGATGAAGCTGCGGCAGCCTCGGTAACCACCTTGGCGATATTAGGGAAGAGAGTTTCACTCTCCAAAACACTCTGGATTACCTCCTGACCGACTTTCGAGTTGGCCTTGAAAAGAGACGAGCCGTCATGCTTGATCCCAGATCGATAAACAGGTATCATCTCCCTCATAACATAGGAAGCTTCATTAGTCTCCATGGTTTTCGCGCGGATTGCACTAAAAAAAAGGATTAGAGCAAGCGCTTTCTTAGCAGCAATTCAAAGCTCACTCAATTTCTGATTTCAAATCTTCCTGTGATTTCTCAACGAAGCCCATAATCTCTTCGATTCTGTAATCAATGCTGTGCACCATTGGATAGGGGAAACGATTGCCTGCAGATTTATTCAATCGATATGAAGAACTGCCCTGTGTCATCGATAGTACTTACAGGCTAGCTTGAGCTTCAGGTCCCTCAAATTTATCATGTTAAGAGCCGAAAGATTTGCGAACAGCTTTGGAATCCCTTCAACAAGGAGGTCCCATTGAAATTCGAGCTCTGTGCGCATTTTCCAAACAATCTCGCTATTCCAATTCACTTGTTGTCCAGTGGTACTGCTTATGCCCTTACCGTAGTTAAGACAGAGCTGGGTGTGTTCGACTAAAGTCATGAGAGTATGTTTAGCTGTGGCTAGTTCAGATTGTTCTTGCGACTAAGCGAGCCCCGAAGAACAGCACGGAGTGTAAAGAAGTAATTTCTCGAGGTTTCTTACCCAACGGCCACTATGAATGATGTTAGCAACCTTGAATGCAAACCCAATATGTGCCGGAATGTTTACATGAGCCCACTTTAAGCCCCGAGTGACGGCGGCTTCATTCCAAACTGCATGGCGCTGATCTGTAGAATGCATCAGTTGCATGTCAGTTGATTCCCCTTTACTTAAAACTAACCGAAAAATTCGAGAATCAGCTCCCGGAACATTCCATCAAATTCCTTCTTCGCATTGTCGATAGTGAGGAGTATCTTTGGTAAATATCAGTACTCAATGAAGATTTGCTAGAAGAGATGCGTTCTCACTTTGCTCTCGAAGCCAAGGATATCAGCCACATCAAGACTGTCTGAAGATCTTTTGGCTTCTGGAAGCGTCTCATGCATACAGCGCAAACTTATTGCACTCAATATACCAGGCAACGAAACTCGAAGAAAATGCTTGGCGTCATGGAACCTCGCTTCTGCAGCCATTGAATAAAAAAACCTTCGCAGTTCATGAATGCCACTTGAATTGACCAGCATGGGGCTGCTTCCACTTTGTACCTCGAGTCGCTTCTTATAGAGACTGTTGGATATACAGAAGACATTCAAGGAGTTGCCTTTGAATTGTTCAGCATACGCGGCTTGAAGTCCTTCCTTGACGTGATTGTTGCGCGCTGCTATGTAGAGGCTTGTTTTTCTACCGAACATCAGCGATCGAATACCGTGAAGATAATGGTGATGGAATTACTGCTCCTCAAGATCACGCTGCTGATCATAACGCTTTCTTTGTTTGGCTTCCTCAATGGCTAAATCTAGACCTTTTGTAGAGAACATTGTCGGACCAATGAGCTCTCTTTCCGCATTTTCAATGTCAATATCCTGCTAAAGGATTAATAAACCAATCACATGGAGATGGGGGTAAAAAGACCTCTGATTTGGTGCATATTATCGCAACTTTCAATCCTTTTCTGGGAGAATCATCCGCCCCAAGAGGGACATTTTGAGTGATGGCAGCATGCAAGCAAGACTTCACCGACTGGTCGGTGATGGCACGTTGAATCCGGACAACGATGAACACGTAGTCGCACTTCGTAAGATACTCTTGAGCTGCTTTCACTCTCGCAAGATTTGTATCCTGGAGGCCTGCAATAACGTTAGTACTTACTTTCCTCCTCCCCTGATAAAATGGGCGTCATGTACCTGGAAGATCTGTGATCACATAACCTGTCCTCAGAATGGGAGCATCGGTGTATACTCTAATATGATGACACAGAATCAGAGCGCAGCAACAACTTGTGCGGAGATATGAAGCGACATACCGAATGATTTTCGTGAAAGACCACATCATTTGATGCGTAAAGAGCCTGGTCATCTCATAGCATTCATCTGTAGTCTTTGCAAATGCTGTCCACTTGCCATTTTTACCACCTTCTGGCCATGGAATGGAGGCAGTCCACTGGTATAGCAGATTTGTGATACGCTCAAATGCTCCTTCCGACTGATTCAAGAGGAACTCTCGATCGAACTTCTTTTTATGGCCGAAGGCCGTGTTGAGAGATGCCCAGGCCTGTTCCGATTCCCGTTGATATCTTATGTAATCGGTTGGACTCACGAGGTTCGCAGCCACATCAGGGAGGATCATGCGACGAAAACTCCACACTAGCTCTTGAATGTGGTCTCTGATACTCGCATCTGAGAGGTATTCTACCTCGATCATAAAGCGTTCAGTTTGACCGAGCCTCCTTTGTCTGTACTCGGTGACGATGGAAGTACAAGCTTTACCGAGGTCCGCCTGTTGGAGTCAATAACGCCTCGCACTAGATAAGTACATAGCATCTTACCGCTGCCGCTAGATTCGGAATGTCGAGTAACGAATTTATCGAACTGCTTTTCCCTTCCCCGGAATTTCCTAAGAACGCAATCGTTTTAGCGCTCGAGAATTTAAACTCGCTTGCTTTTTTCAAGTCCTTGATAAGTTCTGTCGCCGCTTCTGGGTCAGCTGTTGGGTCGCCTTTGAGCTTGTACGCGTTCTGGCGGGCTAGCAGCTGCTTAAGGATCGAGGCAGAATTCTCTGCGATTTGAACGCCATTTGTAAGACCATATTGAAACCCAGCGGAGAAGAATTCCAATGCTGGATACTCTATCTCTGGAATTCCAGCGAGTGGAAAGGCCCAGCTATACCCTACGACAGATGTAGGTCTTGAAATCATGCTGATAGGTCGAGATGGCTTGGGTTCACCGGTTTGCGCGGTAAAGACCTTTGGCTGTTGACGAGGTCGAGGATGCTGTTAGTTGATAGATTGTCGTTAGGGTCCTGTAGCATGCGTCTCGTAAGGCTTCCTACCTGATTGCCGTTCTCTGCCCCCGGCGTTGCTGATTGAAGATTAACATCTTCTTGTTGACCGGAGACTGGGACTCTGACGGTGAAGTGATTTGTCTCATCATGAATCTCAGCAACTCCACTATTTCGATAGAGCTCCGGCTGAGAGTCTGATGACCCTGCGTTAACCGTCATTGAAGCAGCGTGTTCAGCCATGTCACCCACATCCGACATTATGTTGAGCGATAGCTTGCTAATGCGGTGGGTATCTTTCGGGTGAAGATTATTCTTGTTACTCGCAGGGCAAATCTGAGGAGGACTGGAGTATGCGCTGCTGTTATGTCTAGGAGGCCGTTGTAGATAAGGATTGAGAAGCTGGAATGAATGTCAGGGGACGAGCGGCGGCCTAGAGAGATTCGATTGCCGTTTCCCCTCGTGGGACAGCCGACGCATTCGTGCTGCAGTAGCTCGGCTCGCTTGTTTCACTTACTAGATACTAGCAGGGGTATGATTGCAATAGTACGAACATTATTCCAAGCTTGGAAGGTGGTTGGGGGCCAAAATCGTCCGCCTGGGTAGCAGCCTTCTGAATGCATTTCACATTCTAACACGCGCTTTCAAGACAAGAACACCAGTATACTAGCAGAGATGCTCAACTGGAACGAGCACGGGACACCGCAACGAATGCTAAAAGACAAGTCCCATACGAGTTGGTGCCGTCTACCGCGGAAATAGCGGCTGCAAGGATAAAAATAACCACTGGCGCTTCTCAGAGAGCAGCCGGGTAGCATGCATCAAGCAAAGATTGTGAGCGGACTAACAGCGGAGAAGGGCGAAACTGTACCGTAAATATTAGACAAGGACTGAGGGACTCAGTCGCTGACAAAAGGGAGTATGCGGGTTTCGGCCAATGGCAGAGAAGGAATGGGAATACTTGTGATCCTCTACTTCTGAGTCACAGGTTGAAACGAAAGGTTGGCTAATATCTGTAAGTATACAGAAAAGTAAGCCCCGACTAGGAAGCTTTTTGGAGCTTCCGGCGCACTATAGTACACAGCAGGCGAAAGAGATCCCTTAAATTTCGATCTCTGAGATCCTGTCATATAACACACTTGAAATCGCGTGACGGGCGGTTTCACAGTCGCTTGAGTAATAAGACGTGTGGCAATTCTAAGAGGTACACTCACACGGCAAAAACGCGTCGGGGAATACCCGTCGGAACTCGTGATTTCGCGTCTCTCAACCTCGGTTGATGGTCTTCTCGGATTTGTGCTCTTCAACTCCCCTGAAAGCCGAGATAATCATGAATCAAACAAGCTCAACACTGCTTGCCATTGCAATGACAGTGGCAGGCTACCTCAGCGCACTCTGCGCCACGCCGCCAAATCCACCCCCGATACAAAAAGATCGCCACGGGACTGATCGCATCAAGTTAATTGTGGGGAGTTTCGCAACCATTGTGCGTCGCACTCTGGTCACTGCTGTCATGTATCATGCGCTCGTGGCAGTAAGTCCATTCTACGCCCCTGCTCGTTTGCCGCAGGTATGTCCCCTGTCAAGGAACACGAACTCGGACCTTTTCGCGTGGAATGCTATTACTGTGTCTACCCTGGGACTTATATATATCGGTGCTTATATTCGTCTCTCGGCCTATGGGGGACTTGGCAAGAGTTTCACCTTCCAATTGGCTGCTCCGGCTGATTTGGTGACAACCGGTGTGTATGGCTGGATCCAACATCCCAGCTATACGGGCTTTGCTATGATAGCGATTGGGTGTGTGTCATTGTTTTTGCGGTGGGATGCAACACCTGCTTGCTGGATTCCTACGTCGGCACTATCTCCCTGGCATGGGTGGGGGATTACTGTGATCGCTGGACTCGCAGCGTTAGGTTTTTGGGTCTTGATAATTCGAGTGCGAGATGAGGAAGAGATGTTGAGGCAGAAGTTTGGGAAGAAATGGGAGGAGTGGCATCATTCGACTAAAAGGTTCATTCCAGGTCTTGTTTGAACCAGTTGGATCTATTCTAGCTGGTGGTGGACCTCTAGAGGGTAATTGTTGAAATAGGCGATAAATGCGAGGAACAAATGTCTCTGTCCACATTTGGAATGGAACTTCACTTCTCTTGTATACTGGGCTCCTGCTCTGTGGGCATGGCATCCAGGGCATCGATTGTCATATCAAAGCGAGGACCGGTGAAGTTCTTTCTTCCGTCAACGATCCACTGGAAGACAGAGATGATGATTATGACAGCGAAAGCTGCAATGCAGTAGTCTACTCAAATCTTAGCGAAACTTTTGTACCAAGGTAGATGTGAAGAACTCACTCATGCTGCTCCCCGTTACGGTGCTTGATGGAGGGAAAACGAATAAGACAGTGGTGAGACTGATATAAGATAAGGAAACCTGTGCAACATTAGAAATCCCATTTTGCATGAAAGGAAGATCCTATTGCAACACACAATATCGGCAAACCATCCAACCGCACTTGGCAATTTCCATTTTCGCTCGGGTATTCTTCGACGTCCCTGGAGACAATTGATGGCAATGGGAATTCCGTAGGATAGGTCGAGTGCAACGACTGAAGCTGAGATAATCGCATTGAAAGCACTGGTTTCAGTCAGTCACCATTAGATCGTCCCAACTAAAAGAAAAGAAAAAAAAAATCATTACCTCGATGATCCCAGAAAGATACATCCGAATGCAATAACCACAACAACACTCAACATGAGTGCGTTGAGGGGCAGCTTGAGTGTAGGGTGCACTGTCGCAAAGAATCGAGAAGCAGGAAGGCCACCGTCTCTACAAAAGATCAGTATCGGTCTTCCGTGTTCGGATAAAAGGGGTCTTACCTTGCAAAAGCAAAAATCATTCGGCTACTGGTAGTCATAACGCTGATGATAGCGAAAACCAAGCATACAAGAGGAAGCCTGGGGTTTGCAATCAGCGAATGAGAATAACGTTATGATTTCCGTTGCACCCACATCAAAAGGCAAATAGCACCTGCGTTGCTCTTCGTTGCATCGAGTAGGATCTGCAAAAGCGGCCCAGCTGCCGAGGTTGTCACTTGTTCCATGTTGCCAGCCACAAAAAGAAGAACAATGAGGAAGATCGATCCGGTCACTGTGCCGATTCCGACGCAGGAAACCATGATTTTGGGTCCTTCGATTGAGGCATTGGGTACCTCTACAAGCGATACATATTAGCTTATACGTTTGACTGGCACAAAATCTCGTTACCTTCAATCATATGTGCAACCGCATCCTGCAAGCTGTTAGCTGAGTATTCTTGGGGACAAATGAGAAGTCCACACTTACAAAAGCGGTCACACCAAGGCCTCCTTGAAGTAACTGGGCGTCGGTCAGTACAAGAGCTGCGATTATTTTGCATGCAAAGAACGTACACCAAGAAGCCATGCGACTCCATCAGGCCCTGTTTTCAATTAGAATAATCAGATCAATGTTCGAAGGGAGTCATACAGCCTGTTTGGTTGACAAAGTCACAGAAGACGAAGCTAAAAAAAATTAGAGAGTTATGTTTTAGATCAAGAGAACGTTTGAACATACTAGGCGGAGTTGTAGTTGGGAGACGCGCATGCGAGGACTGTGATAGATACAACCACAAACCCTCCAATAGACCACGCAACTGTCGAGTGTAAGCATCATAGCACAGAATAAAGAATATGAACGTACAAGCACCGCGATAGATTACCGGCAAAATGGAGTTCATAAAAGCATTTATCACAAATGAACCAATGGTCAGTCCAATGTAAATGAGGAATTGATGCCAGCGTTGCGGCTCATAGGTCTATGTACTGCATTAGCACAAGTTGGTAGTAATGCGGAGGACAAGTACCGAGTGAAGTGTGGAGATAATTCCAACGATAAGTTGACTTGACAGTAGCGAGTTTGTAGCGACCAGGGCAACCTGGACTTATCAGCGTTGAGCCGGTTCAAGGTCGATGAGAGCTTACCCAGCCCGCCACATTGATCCAGCCTGTGATCCAAGATAGAATCGGTACCCATTTGGGCCATGCGACTGTTTCTGTCAGTAGTGATCAGAACAGTCAATTAATGGACATACTCGCTTGTATTTGTCAGTTATAGTCGATGAAGTGATGAAAGAATAAGTATGACTCACCTGCAACCCAATGGTATTGCCCTCCTGCTCTGCAAAATGTCAGTCAACGATACCCAAGTACGCTCCATGGCAAAGTACACGCACGTCGGATATGCTGAAAGGAACTCCGCCAACGAGCATGCGATGCATAAGTTGCAGAATCCCGCCGTCACGAGTCCCCATATCACACTTGTGCTTCCACCAGATGTTAGACTAATCGATAAACTGGCCGAAAGTGCTGTCCATGACTGAATGGTCAGCTAGGCTTTGATCAAAAGTAAAGATTGACTTACATTGAGAACAGCAAATGCCAATCCTAGCATTGACCTTGACAAGCATCAGTATGGGACTTTCCATATTGTGGATCCACCTCACCATGTTGAAAAACTTCGCTGGAGTTCGGGCCGATGGCCCATCGCCGCCAACTGGGCATCATCACCCTCTAGTGGAGTTTCCTTCATCGTGAGTCGAGTTTCAAGTTGCAAGGTATACGTGGAACCCTCAAGGGAAGAAAGGGGTCTAAGTATCCGCAAGACAGGATGGCCTTTCCAAACTGCGGATAGCTCCGCAACATGCGGGGAAGCTTTGCATCTGAAGATAGATGGACAGTAGTAACATTAGTATCAGTAGTATCAGAAGCTGAAGTCGAAGGCTGTAGATCTTCGCATGGACTTACCAAATAGTGCATAGCCTTACAGCCGCACACGAATCAGAGTGAGAACTCAACCCCCGGAAGTCGCCACGATAAGAATGGCAGGTATTGGCTCAATATGCGATTAGTTGACTAATTGATTGCACCAATATAGTGTGTCTCTGGAGGCTTTAATATCTAATATAGCGCGTTGCGACCGCAGAAAGATAACGGATTCATAAGTGACCACTCAACTCCGTATAGTAAAGAGAACATGACAGTCATTCTCCTTTTCCTTTACCGCGAACTTGACCGGATGTTATAGGGTACTCCAACTCAGATTGCCTCTTTATGGGACGTCCCTTCCTTAACTTTGGCATTGAAGACAATCATAGCCGTCGGCAATAAACTACCTGGTGAGCAGGAATGCCCCTTGATTACTTAGACCGACCCGGATTATCCGACTCTTGTGAAATACCCTCATGGACATTCATAACCCGTAATAAATAACGTATTAGCGACCATTTGTGGCTTTCAAGACATAAAAACAATTTAATTATCTTATTCCTGCTTTCCCTGTACTTTTATTGTGCATTTCGAGCTGTAATACGAGGAACGTACTAGTTCATAGCAAGGAGCTATCAGGGGTATTCAATTGACAAGCTTTTGACCTAAGCGTAAGTTTGCTACAGTATATATAAGCTTAACAGGCCGAGAAATGATTGAAGGACGTAGTTAGTGACGGCTATTACGAGCCCGACGACATAAGCAATGCTGGACCAAGGGCGATACCATATTGCATAGCGATATGACATAGGTTCAGACAGAATTGATGAGCCACTTTCTAGAAACCTTTCGCCGAGCGAACATATCAGAGGGCCATAAAAACCTCAACCCTATCTTGGTGTGACAGTCTCCGGTCATATTCTGCAAAGAGTCAACATCCACCTCCTTTACCCGTCCGTAGAACCAGCTTGGCCTCCATAATAGACTAGGTGGTCCCCTATATCGGTCGACCAGCACTAAAAAGATACTCACTTATCTATGCAGCTCTAGGCAGAAGAGTGGGATGTTAATGACAATTGCCATGAAACTAAAGAAAGAATGTACGGAGGCATCCAAAGAATGACCGGTTGCCTTGAGCTATTGTCTATCATCTCGATTGGACTCATCGAAAGGGTGTAAGTTGGCAATTCCCGCTCCCAGACACTAACTCATTAGAAGAGCATAAGAGAAGGCATACGTTATAGAAAACATATTATATGAACAATGACACAATGACACGTCTATTCTTCCTCATCTTGGCAATTGTATTACGGCTCATCAGCACTATACTTATGATATTGAGCTTGAAGTCGCGCTTCCAAGCTGCAATACCAAGCTTGGTAGCACCTCTCATGGCACTGCCGACTCCGACTAGTAATTTTCATTAGTTTCCATATAATTTAAGAGCTCCATTTGGAAAATCACCAACTTTGACAAGAATGTTCATAGTTCCGAACAGCTCGTGATCTTAGCCACGGTATTCTTCCAGCTTTTCTCGTCAGTCACATTGGACTATACATGGAGATGTACCTTAGGCACAGCCACTGTATATTGCATCGCTATCATTGTCATCGACAGACAAAAGACGAGCAGCAGATACCGGGCAAGAATCGGTTGGCAATCCTGCTACACAAAGACCTGGGATTCATGAACTTAGATGCATCCCAGTCACTAATGAATCTATCGAATGAGCTTGATAGTATTTCGTTATAGCTACATTGATGTTGGCTGCATCCGAATTTCTTTTCATAAACCGCCCCGCTTTCGCGAGAGATAAGCCTCTACTTGCGCATGGGCATCGATCCGCTACGCGTTGCTCTTCAATCCTCGTTAAGTTTTTCTAATGCACAGCTGTCGATTTATATACCTAAGCCCATCCGTTAGAGTGTGGAGCCCGGATATTCCCAGGGAGTCGTTCCAGGAATTTCCAACCCGTTTGATGGCAGAGGCAAAGGCCTTGCTAGCCATGGAGACCTTAAATCCGCCTGCGATTCCTACAATCCAAGCATCACTCTAGCAGTTTTCCGGGATATGGCTTGTGGTTGCTCCTCTTCTGGGTGGTTGTATTTCGCATGGCATTTCGTATGGCCACTAACCTTGGCTTACACGTCTACCCTGATAAATTCTAACAACATATTACCTCGGCCTAATCAAAAGATATTGAGATAAGAAACTGCCTCTTTTGGGAGTTATACGCCTGGGACAAGCATATCAGCTTATATATAGGGAAGCTACCAAGCTTCGTCATGGCGCTGATAGGGCAACTTTGCCCTAAGCACCGTATTTGCCAGAACTCTTTTTCCTTCAGGGCCTCTATCTAAAGACCAATTCTTAGATAGTTGAATGATACACTCTTTTCATTATATTTCTTCTGTATCTGTCCATATACCAACTAAAAACATTGGAGGAAGGATTGCAGCCTTCATAGTCACACTGGGCAACTTGGACAGAACTAAATTTCTAGTTGATGTTCCTCAGCGTACTGCCGCAGCTATGCCTGGTCCGGATCGAAGCCTTGAGATTATTCAAGCGCGCATGAAGGATTCTCGGCCGCTTACTCTCCAGCCAACTCGATTCGGTATTCCCTGGTCGAAACCGAAGAATCCTGACAATACACGCCCTACAGACGCATTGAGTCCTCAGACGCGGTCGGCTCTCATAAGTTTGAATCTTGACCTCAGATTCGACTGAATTTTTCAGTATCTGGTGAACATACATACTATGGCCTATAGTCCTCTTCCCAATCCTTTGCTTGGTCAATTGGCAGAGCCTCCAGCAGGGGAGGCGATACCACAAATCCGCCTATATAATTTTGTATTTTACTATTCATTCTTCTTGGGGAAGGACATCGGGGCCGATGAGATATAGTATATACCATTTGATTCCTGTATAGTAGGTGCACATCGTAGGCCAATGTTCTACTACGGGTGACATACAAACATGGCCAAGTACGCGGTCGGAGCAAGAAGACAACACATGTTGACATCAAACAATATTCAATTTCGATGTCAAGACAGACACTCAACTTCGGCTTAGTGTACAACAGCTAAAAATATCATGAGTCTCATCCTGGAGATCTCAACGCCGAATGTGAACCGTACATGTACCGATGTGACGGGATGCCGGAAGAAACCCACAAAACCAAACTCCCAATCACGCAAAAAGTGCAGCAAATAATCATTCGAACGACCTCACTTCGTGACTGCCAGCATCCCAAAGTAGAGAACGAATGTAGAGACCCTCACCCCTTCATTGGGCGTGGTAGGTTTCGAGGGCGTGCTGAACATCGTGAAGACTGTTCTTGTCGCCGTATGCGTCCATGAGCTGTTGGTTTTTGGCCAGGCGTTTCTCTTCTTCCTTTAGGTCATATTCGCGACGAGACTTGGCTTCGATGTAGTAGTTGTATGCGCCGAACCCTGCACGTGCTTGTTAGTACTGTTCTCCGGAAAAGAAATATTGTTCGGATTGTAAAGCATACCGAGACCAATTGTAGCCATAAGGGGAATAAGCCTGAAAGACTAACGTTAGTCGTAATGTAGAAGGGGGTGGTCTTGTGCCATTTACCAGCGGCCATTCTTCGGCTTGAGACTCGGCCCGGTCGGGTGGTTGAAGGATTTGTTGGCACCGAAAGCAAATTGAGACATGGTTGAGTACAGAGTTTGGGTTTGGATGTGTTGTGTAAAGGGTGAAAGTGTGTAAAGGGGAAGTTGAAGCTCTCAGGAGGCGTCGGTTTAGCGGAAGAGGAATGCGGTAAATGCGGGGGAATCGTGACGTGGAGAGCCGATTCGAGAGCCGGGGATCCCGAGGTTGTTATACTTGGTCATCAGACCACACTTACACTGCCACATCATGCAACTGATCTACGCCTAAAACCTGCACAAATCATATCATAATTAAATCACATGTATCATATGTTCGATCACATATGCACTATCTATGTATACTTTAACCCGAAATGTGGAAAATAAAGAAGAAATTGCAAGTCATTCCACATTCAAGGTCAATCAGGTCAAATTAAGGTCTGCTAAAGACCGTTGTTCTGAGGCGCAGCGGTCGCAGGGCCTTCAGGGGTCACGTAGGCCTGTGATACGTGATTCGTTAGCGCGGTCAAGAATGTCGCTCACACGTCATGCATACCTTGGTCATTCCACCATCCACCACAAAGTCAGTTCCATTCACAAAGCTGCTCTCGTCGCTAGCCAGGAAAACCACAGCGTGAGCCTGCTCGATGGCTTCACCGAACCGGCCGGTGGGGAAGTGCACCTCACGGCGGAAGCGCTTCTCCTTGTCCTCGCCAAGCCAGTCCTGCAGCAAGGGGGTGCTATACAAGCATGAGTAAAAGTGGTACAAGAAAAGACAGTGATACATACTTCAGAGGAGCGGGACACAGAGCGTTGAAGCGGAAACCCTCACGAGCGTGCACGATGGCCAGCTCGCGAGTCATGGCCAGGACGGCACCCTTACTAGCGGTGTAGGCCAGCTGTGGGGTGGCAGCACCAACCAGAGCAACCACACTGGCAGTGTTGATAATGCTGCCACGGGCCTTCTTGTGACGACGCAAACTCATGACGGCGTGCTTGCTGCCGAACCAGACTCCCTTGACGTTGATGTTGTGTGTAAGATCCCAGATCTTCTCGGGGGTGTCGATGGCGTCCGCATCATTGGCGTGCATGATACCGGCGTTGTTGAAGATCACATCAGTGCCGCCCCAGCTGTCCTGGGACTCGACCATGGCCTGCACGTCGGACTCCTTGGACACGTCGCACTTGATGGACTCTAACCGAGGGGCAGAGGGAACAACTTCCTTCACCTTAGCCAATGCCTTGGCGAGAGCAGCATCGGAGACATCAGCCATAAGTACGTTAGCGCCCTCACGAGCGAACAGGATGGAGGTTTCGAGTCCGATGCCACTATTCACCCGGTTAGTCAATTGCTGTGGAGGAGAGAGGGTAAAACATACCCGCCGGCACCGGTGATAATGGCATTTTTGCCCTGGAGACGACCTTGAGTAGCAGTCATTGTGGGATAAGAGTAGAATGATACAGCACGAGTAGGATCAAAGTGTGTACTGTATACTCACCGCAGCTGTTACGCGGGGCAGGGATGTTACATAAGCGGTGACGATATGCTTCCGAAAGCGGAAAGGCGTTATCTGCCGCTGATAGCAGCTCGCCTGGCAATTGCGTCTCACATGATCCTGTTCCTGTTCCTGTTATCACTTTCTCGCTTCTCACTTTTTTCTTCCCTTCTCTATATCCTCAACATGTCGAGCCCAGACCCCGAGGTCACCCGTGAAAACATCGCCGAGATCCTCCAGCATGACACCAAGGTGAAGGTGGCTGGTGTAGATGTTGATGGCATCTTGCGCGGGAAGCTCATGAAGAAGAACAAATTCCTTTCCATTTTGACTGAAGGTTTTGGGTTCTGCTCCGTGATCTTTGGATGGGATCAACACGACGCAACATACTTCAAAGAGCTGGCCATTAGCAACAAGGAGAATGGATACCGGGATCTCGTCGCCGTCCCTGACCTGCGCAGTTTCCGTCGCATTCCATGGGAGAACAATGTCCCCTTCTTCCTGATAAGCTTCCTCGATCCTGATACTCGGGAGCCCGTGTGTGCTTGTCCTCGGGGTTTGCTGAAGACGGCTGCTGCCAAAGCCGAGGCGGCGGGTTACCGGGCCATGGCCGGTGGTATGTTCAAGTGGGAGTGACGTCTTTTGGTGCTTTGCTGACATTCACAGCCGAATATGAGTTCTACCAGTTCCGTGCACCGGGCCCTCACCCTACCCCTGAACAGGGTGCCTCTGCAACTGCAGCCTTCCTCCAGACACATCCCGCCGATGCCTTGCCTCCAATAACAGAGGGCATGTTTGGGTACTCGATCACCCGTCCTCTCCACAACCAAGATTATTATTATGGCATCTTTGACGCCTGCGAGCAGTTCCGGTGCGATATTGAGGGATGGCATACTGAGAGTGGACCGGGCGTCTTCGAAGCCGTAAGTGGACGAGGCTGAGTGTCGCATTGGGTTTGTCGCATTGGGCTAACATCAAGACAGGCATTACAATTTGGCGAAGCAAAGGACATGGCGGACAAGGCTGGGCTGTTCAAGTATGATCTCCAGAGCTCTGCTGCATCGTCATTGCTAACCACCGTGTACGCATAGATACGTTGTCAAATCGTTCGGAATCAAACATGGCATCACGCCTTGTTTCATGGCCAAACCCCGACAGGGCTTGCCTGGAAACAGCGGACACATGCACATTTCGCTCGTGAACACCGACGGAAAGAATGCCTTCATTCGTGATACTCCTGACCCGTCTCCTGCTTACCCCGACATTGCTCACCTCTCCGACCTCGGTCGCCATTTCCTGGCTGGTCTGCTGGTCGGCCTCCCCGATATCATGCCGCTCCTCGCCCCGACTATCAACTCTTACAAGCGACTGGTGGAGAACTTTTGGGCTCCTGTCACAGTCTCCTGGGGACTGGAGCATCGGGCCGCGTCGATCCGTCTTATCACCCCACCGACCGCCAGCCCCAAGGCGACGCGGTTCGAAGTGCGCGTTCCTGGCGCTGATGCCAACCCGCACTTTGTCCTCGCAGCCATCCTGGCGCTGGGGTGGCGCGGAGTTGAGCAGAAACTCGAGATCCCCGTGCCGCCCCTCTCCCGCGGCGAGGACATGGGTGGTGCCAGCGACCAGGGCGTGCGCCTGGCCAAGTCGTTGAAGGAAGCTATTGTTACATTCAGTCGGCCGGAGAGCGTCGCACGTGAAGTTTTTGGAGATTCATTCGTGGAGCACTTTGCTGGTACTCGGGAACATGAAGTGCGCTTGTGGGAAGAGGCAGTGACTGATTGGTAAGTTCTCTAGCCCCGGATTAAAGTTGACGCTTGCTGACTGTGTTGCAGGGAAATGAAGCGATACATTGAGACCGTTTGAAGGATACCCTTACGATAGCTTGTACATAGTCTAGACCTGAATGTCAATATTTAGCATGTTCATATCTCTGTACTCATAGTTCACATGTGACATCACATGCCCCGGGACAAATCGGGCATGAAGCACGACGCATAAGAAAAGCCGCGGCTGATTGGATTTCCGGGGTATATACACCTTTTCGGGTGAAGCAGGAGAAGAGAGAGTTTTTGAGAATTGACTCTAAAAAAAACCAACCCTATATAATTGCAGGTCCCCAAAGCAATTGACACGATATAACTGCTAACCGGAGTGATAAGAATCGGTATGCGGCGTGTGCCGAGTGGGGGGAGAGGCCGAGTATTTGAAGAGCGGCGAGAGAACAGAGAAAAACACGGGGAAACGGGGGATGTCGGCCGAGAGGAAGAGTTTCCCGAGGAAAAGTCCAGGCCACTAGCCTAACTGCTCACTGGTGACTGCGAAGTTCGGACCACCGGTTAATCGATTGTCGGCTTATCACTACCGCGGCTCAGTGACGTATTCCATATATACCTCTTGTTCTTCTCTTATAACTTAACTTTTCTCTAATTTCTATCTGAATTGATTCTCTGGTCTCTCTGATCTCCTTGATTCCTCTCTGCGCATGGAATCTCACTAAATCTATACCTTATACCTTATCATATCTAGTATATATACACCATGTCTCTCGTCGAAACACAGCTCAAGGATGTGGCCATCCTGGGCTCCATCAACAACGATGCCCGCAAGATCCTGACCAAGGACGCCTGTGCCTTCTTGGCCCTTTTGCACCGCACCTTCAATTCCACCCGCAAGTCCCTGCTTCAGCGCCGCATCGACCGCCAGGCCGAGATCGACAAGGGCAACCTCCTCGACTTCCTCCCCGAGACAAAACACATCCGTGAGAATGATGCTTGGAAGGGTGCTCCTCCTGCTCCTGGTCTTGTTGACCGCCGTGTTGAGATCACTGGTCCTACTGACCGGAAGATGGTTGTCAACGCTCTCAACTCCGATGTCTGGACCTACATGGCCGACTTTGAAGACTCCAGTGCTCCTACCTGGGATAACATGGTCAATGGCCAGGTTAACTTGTATGATGCTATTCGTCGCCAGGTCGACTTCAAGCAGGGTGGTAAGGAGTATAAGCTGCGGACTGACCGCACCCTGCCTACTCTGATTGCCCGTGCCCGTGGCTGGCACTTGGATGAGAAGCACTTCACTGTTGATGGGGAGCCTATCTCCGGTAGTCTGTTTGATTTCGGTCTTTACTTCTTCCACAACGCCAAGGAGCTCGTCGCCCGCGGTGCTGGTCCTTACTTCTACCTCCCCAAGATGGAGTCTCATCTCGAAGCTCGTCTGTGGAACGATGTCTTCAACCTGTCCCAGGACTACATTGGCCTGCCCCGTGGTACCATCCGTGGTACTGTCTTGATTGAGACTATCACCGCTGCTTTCGAGATGGATGAGATCATCTACGAGCTCCGTGACCACAGCTCCGGTCTCAACTGCGGCCGCTGGGATTACATCTTCTCTTTCATCAAGAAGTTCCGCCAGCACCCCAACTTTGTTCTCCCCGACCGCTCCGATGTCACCATGACTGTCCCCTTCATGGACGCCTATGTCAAGCTTCTCATCAAGACTTGCCACCGTCGCGGTGTGCACGCCATGGGTGGTATGGCCGCCCAGATCCCCATTAAGAACGACCCCGCCGCCAACGACAAGGCCATGGAGAGCGTCCGTGCTGACAAGCTGCGTGAGGTGCGCGCCGGTCACGATGGTACCTGGGTTGCTCACCCGGCTCTGGCTGCCATTGCCTCCGACGTCTTCAACAAGTACATGCCCACTCCCAACCAGCTGTTCGTCCGCCGCGAGGAAGTAAACATCACCGCCAACGACCTCCTCAACACCAACGTCCCCGGCAAGATCACCGAGGAAGGCATCCGCAAGAACCTCAACATCGGTCTCAGCTACATGGAGGGCTGGCTCCGTGGTGTCGGCTGTGTGCCCATCAACTACCTGATGGAGGATGCTGCCACTGCCGAAGTCTCCCGTAGTCAGTTGTGGCAGTGGACCCGTCACAACGTCTCTACCTCTGATGGCAAGCGCATGGACAAGGCCTTTGCCCTGCGTCTGCTGCAGGAGCAGGCCGACAGCCTCGCGTCCAAGGGACCCAAGGGCAACAAGTACCAGCTTGCTGCGCGGTACTTTGCTGGCCAGGTTACTGGTGAGGACTATGCCGATTTCTTGACCAGCTTGCTGTACAATGAGATCTCCTCGGCTGGCAGTGCTGCTAAGCTTTAAATGCTTGGTTTAACTTATGATGATGAATACCCTTTTTCTTTGTTTTCTGGTCAACGTTCTGATCCAATTTGAAGTTAGCATCGTTGTATAACAATTATTTTTACTTTTTACTTGGGTAACATATAACGTCGTAACGCCTTTCCACAAGGAAAGATTGTGTAAAAACATATTCCAGTACCTCCGGAACACTCAACTCATTATGACCCTTGCATATTGAGACTGGATGTCGATACCTGCAAGAGATAGAAATAAACGAACTGTTTTTCATTACAGTCACTGCCACCCCCAACTGGGGGCCAATTTGATGCGCGCTACTGTATAACCTCTGCAGGAACCCAATCAGGATGGTGAATGTGGGTCTAAAGCCTAATTCTGTACCCGTCGATCATATCCAATTCGAGTTAGAGTTGCGAGCTAGCGTGAATCCATCGCGATCAACCTTCTCAGCCCCATTTGTAGTATGGACGATGAGCACCAAAATACATCCAGTGTGCTGTGGGTACGGCATAAGAGGCGCAACTTTCCCCCCATCGGGCACCCCATCTTCTCATCCATTTGACATCTTTCACCATGGGTAAATATCTTGTCAAACTCATTGGGTCAGGCATTGGCCTCGCCTCTGAAGCCCTCTCCTCAGCCCGCAACAAGTCAGCCGAATACACATCCCATGATGACCACTCCCCCTCGCGAAATCTCACCATGGATCAAAGCCACGAATTCGTTTTCGCCGACGCAAATACGGCCGAAGCACTTGTCGTCCAAGGCTACGCGGAGCTGCCGACTCCTGCTGAGCAGGACATTTACGAACAATATGCAGAATTAGCCGCCGACACTGAAATAGCTCACTATAAGAATACGGACCTGTCTGTTGTTCCCGAAAATGAGCAGGGTGAATCTACCGAAGCTCACGCTGCAACAATCGAAAAGGAAACCAGCCCAGCCCCCGGGATAAGACACAACTGGGATGCATATAGCGAGTCAAACTACTCTGTCAATTTGGAGCGCCAGATCGATCAGACTGAGGCAGCCTGGAGGATGGATGAGACATCCTACCATGATTCGCCGCCGAGCTACGAAGAATCGGAATTTCCACCTGGTGTCGCCTATGAAAATGAACCGAACCAGGCACAAAAAATGAGTGTACCACGTGAACATGTGCCAATTACCGGGACAGTCCAGTACATGCAGCCAATCCATGTCGATGTCAACCAGCCAGCCAGCCATCCAAGCAACGCTGCCCAATACCCTCATAACTCCATTGATGCACCCAAGGTCGCGCCGTTGGTATTTTCCGATCTTGACCAGGAAGCCAAATATATACGGTGCGCTCCGGTTACTCCTCAGCCAAACCACACAGAGCTTGTCTCGTCTCACCAAAATGAGAGGCACCCATGTTGCAATGGAAAGCTGATCTCGGTGCTCACGGGAGGCAGGATTGGGAACAAGCCAGGCTTGATTGAGCGAGCTGCGAATTCCATCAAAAAATCCGAGAATACCAATTCGACAGTGATTTCAGGAATGACAAAGGGTGCATTGGGAAGTGAGCCGAGTCTGGTCGAGCGTGCTGCGACTTATGTTCAGGAGTCTCAAAGGGCCAAGCGAATTCCTCGGTGTGAAGCTCAATGCAGAATTAAGGAGCAATGGCAGAGACACCGAAACATGTAAAATACCGGTACATGGATGAATGATGCTCAGCGTGATGTGAAGTATCTGATGATTATCAACCTTTCCCCCCCCCCCAAGACGTGATGGATCAATGGTTGTCTCGAGGAGGATTCTTCGTGCCGAAGACTGGGCTGGGCCCTCTGATTGTGATCTTGAATTTATCCAGCATCAAATATCATGAATTCAATTCAAATGCTGTACTTTGCTTCAATCCATCGTTCCTCTACGTAGCTCTTCAAGGGAGAAGAAAGTGAGTGCATCCCGATGATGATCATGTAAATGGGTTATAGTGTTAGTGTAGGGAGGCTGCATCTGCTTGAAGCCGTATAGACCCGCTTGGCGTTCGCATCGCATACTTTGTTAGTACAAGTGTCTCAAGTTCCTCGCTTTGACGCTTCATGTTTCTGCTGGTGCGGTAATGAAAGTCAATTTCAGCCCTACGGGTTTGCAACCGCTAAGCTGAGAGTCAACACAGCCTCGTTGATGGCAAGGGTCGATTCGCTGAGCTTTCCGTAGATTCCGAGAGTTGGCAGGCTATCCTAGCTTTCTAAATACATAACCTTCGCCAATGCTGTTCAACATACGCGTACAGAAGAAACTCACGGTAGAAAGAAAAGCTCTACAATATGCAGCCGTATCCCTTCACGGCCGCTCCCGAACCCAAAGGGATCGACACAAAATCGAAATCAGATCCACCCGTAGAAATACACGTACGATCGAAATACTCCACGATACATTGTTTGTCATCAAACATGTGAGTATCGGAGTCCTCTTATCTGGATGAGGAAAGAAGCACTGTGTCGCCCCGTTTCACGGAGTGTTGTCGTGCCGATCGTGTACTGATAATGTTGGGCGGAATTTTAAACTCCGCCCTCCAATATTTTATACGATTGGTTGGCGCGAAAAGATGGAAAATATTATCAATAATGAATCCGACCCCGAAGATCTACCTGAGTAGTGTCTAGGCAGAGAGATAGTAGTGCAGTGAAAAGTGGACATAAGCGTTAAATTTCATATTTCTATAAGCTTCGACCCACTTTGCCAAGTCTAATTGTGACTCTGTTTAATACATGCAAATATTACCGGTTGCTCTAACGATGGTACAGCCGGATCTTGAATAGCCTCTCCGATTGGTCAATTGTAGTGCATACCACACCCTATGTTAGTGTTCAGTCAAGAGTAGTTTTCCTTTACGCTTCGTGATTGATCTCATCTGCTGCGATGGAACATTATTACAGCTGAAGTGATCTTTCCATCCTAAGAATAATCGCGAAAGACCAAAGCGTTGTTGTGTAAAGGGACAAGGTTGAAATGAGCTACGTGTGGCAGCGATATTCCATGGGAGTCACAAGTTGTAATGATACCACTCGGGACACCGGGACACTTGAGATCCGTTTGATCCCCTAAGAGCCGCAGAACTATACTCAATGGTATGTCGGTATTGCAAATCTACCATGGAATCTGTGTCTCCTTTTGGGCTCGTGCCGCTGACCTTATACTAGTTTCGTAAGAATTTTCACTCGTATTTTCAGCTCGCCATCTAGGGCTGTAACTAAAAATCTACCGCCAGGCCTAGTAATACAATATTTTCTTTTGTATACAATCTTATTGTGCCCCTTGAATAATGAAGGCACATCACATATTGCCGTCAGCCAGGAATTCACCAAGCTCTGGTCATGGTGTCCGCAGCAGAACAAGCAAGGCTTGCGATCGCTGTAGATTGAAGAAAATAAAGGTATGAAGTACTTAACCCCGTTTTACATGAGGTTCATGGGGCCCTTGTCTGACAAACTAAGTGTGATGGAGCCACACGTTGCTTGAGATGTCAAGGCGATAATGCCATTTGCATATATGGCGACCGGAAGAAAGCCCATGACAAAGTGTATCCTAAAGGGTAAGCGCCATAATTCATACTTCAGTTCTAGATTGGTGAATGTTTTGCTTATTCAATAGATATGCGCAGCTTCTACAGCAGCAGCAAAGGTGGCTTGTTAATGGCATTCAAAAATTGTACCAATGCATACAGATCGGAGAAGGCTGGCCTGCGGATCCATTGAAGCACGAGACCAACAATCAACCTCTTACGCACGACATACTCACTGCTCTAGGTGTCTTGGATCCAGAGCAAAGGGTGTGCAGTAAAGGCGAACACGAGACGCCACAGCAAGGGTTGAACGAACACATGGATGAATGCACGCAGCGATCAAAAACATCCCCCGGCCCTCAGGGATCCATCCACATCCAGCCTTTCCCAATGCCTCGCGATCTGAATGGATTTTCACCAGAAGATCAACTTGAACGCGGAAAGGTAGATCCAGATCTTGCCTTTTCGGCGCCGCCAAGTCTCGATACCACAGGGACTGATGACCATCTTCAATTGTTTCCAAACAGCAGTTTTTATACATATGAGGAAGCTAGCTTGACAACAATGGGCAATAATGTCGACATCATCAATAGCGAACCTCGGATAAGCCCAAACAACTATTTCCTTGAAGATAGTTGCATATCCACGGATATTGGGAACGATTCCAATGGGCTGAACCTGTCCCTTGATACTGGAACAGTCGAGACGTGGCCGATGTTGACCGAACCCTTTTTGGGGCCCTTCTATTCACATCACTTCCCTTCAGAATCATTAGTTTAATAGCCTTGGACAATCTTTGTTTTAATACCTCTGGGGCGGTTCATTCTCTTCTCCTGAGTATAGTTTTACAATCTACAAATTCGAGACCAGTATTGAGTTATTCTTAATTTCTTTCCATGATTCGTTCAAAGAATTTCCACAATTGCTCCATATTACAAATAATCATTACATCGGAACTTGAACCCCTTTGAAACTACTTCGTATGAAACCCTAGTCCATATGGTCGGGTAGATCTAGTCAGAGCTCCGAATATTTCGGTCCGGATCAGTTGTTTCCGGTTGTATTTGACCCACTCTCTAGTATTGTGACAGCCTTGTATTTTATATTGGGCTCACTGCAGCCTTATGTTCAACAGCAAAGGTTGATAGGGGGGTTCCATATGTATTCTAGTGTATAGTGATCGTTCTATGTAAACCCCTGGGGTAGAGGCCTACGGAGACCCACGGAAGAGAATTTATAAGCTGTGGTTGATAGGAGTTTTAAAAAGACTGGTCTTTCTCGCTTCTAGAAGCACGACTGAAGACTATCTCATCAATCATGTCAGTCTTTGGGGGAATACCCCCTGGGGACAGCGCCCAGTACCAGAAGCGTCTGGGAGCCGAGCTTGGGCCGCATGATGATTCTTCGTCTTCTCAGACCAAGATGGATGAATCGGATAATGAAAAGCCAGATGACATCGAGGAAGAAGTCCAGGAGATGGTGAGGCAGCTCACTCGTCACTCCACTCGGTTCTCTTCGTCCCAAGCGAAGAATCCCTTCTTCGAGGACGACAAGGAAACCACCTGGCATCCTGACAGTCCATTCTTCAAACCTAAAGATTGGATTCGAGCTCTCATTGCAGCTCAGTCGCAGGATCCCGAGCGATTTTTACAACGCTCTGCCGGTGTTGCTTTCAAGAACCTGCACGTGCATGGTTTTGGAAGCCCAACTGACTATCAGAAGGATGTTTTCAATGCAGTTTTGAGTATTGGTGGTCTTGTTCGCAACCTTGTCGGCAGCGGCAAAAAGAAAGTACAGATCTTGAATAATTTCAATGGTCTTGTTCGAAGTGGAGAGATGCTAGTGGTACTAGGCCGCCCTGGAAGGTAATTTCACACGAACATTTTATACGTCCGTTTGATAAGTGTCTAACCTAAATCTAGTGGCTGTTCAACCTTTTTGAAAACGATCGCTGGTGAGATGAACGGCATCTACGTCAACGATGAGAGCTATGTAAACTACCAAGGTACGCCATGAAGTTAAGAGGATGAAGTTTACCGGACAACTAATGAGACGACAGGAATTTCCGCCCCAACGATGCACAAGCAATACCGTGGAGAGGCCATCTTCAGCGCTGAAACCGATGTTCATTTTCCTCAACTCACAGTCGGCGAAACCTTGACATTCGCAGCCCTGGCACGCGCGCCTCGCACGCGGTTCGAAGGCCTAACTCGGAAACAATACGCTGAGCACCTTCGTGACGTGGTGATGGCTATGTTAGGACTGCGACATACATTCAACACTCGAGTTGGCAATGATTTTGTGCGAGGTGTCAGTGGAGGTGAGCGCAAACGTGTGAGTATTGCGGAGGCTATTCTGAGCGGAGCTCCTCTTCAGTGCTGGGACAACAGTACTCGAGGCTTGGACAGCGCCAACGCGCTGGAGTTTTGCAAGAACCTTCGTTTAATGAGTGATTATGCGGGAACTACAGCTTGTGTTGCAATTTACCAGGCCTCGCAGAGTGCCTATGATGTGAGCTTAGATGATGCCGGTGTCCCAACCCCACATCAACTAACAACATTTTCTTCGCAGGTCTTCGACAAAGTAGTTGTGCTATACGAGGGCCAGCAAATCTACTTCGGCCCCACTGGTGAAGCTCGTGAATTCTTCACCAATATGGGCTTTGACTGCCCTTCGCGCCAGACCACAGCGGACTTCCTTACTTCCCTGACCAGTGCAACCGAACGTCGTGTGAAGCCAGGATTTGAAGGCAAAGTGCCTCGTACACCCGCTGAATTTGCGCATCGATGGCATAGTAGCCAAGAATGCGCTTGTCTCCTGCAGGACATTGATGCCTTTGACAAGGAACATCCTATCGGTGGACATTCTTTGACCACTTTCAGTGAAGCACGCCGCCTAATGCAGTCAAAGCAACAGTTAGTCACTCTTTGGTTATTCTTCGTGTCTGGGGCTTATTGCTAACACTTATTAGACGCCCCAAATCCCCCTACACGCTCTCGGTCATGGAGCAGATCAACCTCAACTTGAAGCGTGGATTCCAGCGACTTAAGGCCGATATGACTTTGACATATTCGGCCCTCTTCGGTAACTTCTTTATTTCTCTCATTTTGGGGAGTGTGTTCTACAACCTCCCCGCGGATACATCCAGCTTCTTTTCGCGAGGAGTTCTTCTCTTCTATGCAGTTCTGCTTGCCGCATTTGCCAGTGCCCTTGAGGTATGTCACGAAGCCATCCAATATCCCAATAATCGTCGCGTCAGTTCTAACACAAGAATTTTAGATCTTGACACTCTACGCACAAAGACCCATTGTGGAAAAGCAATCTCGATATGCCTTTTATCATCCATTTACGGAAGCAGTGGCATCCATGCTGTGCGATATTCCATATAAGCTAACGAATTCGGTGACATTCAATCTCCCGCTCTATTTCTTGTCCAACCTCAAGCGCGAACCAGGTGCCTTTTTCATTTTCTGGCTCTTCTCGATTGTAACAACTTTGACCATGTCTATGGTGTTCCGCACGTTCGGTGCTGCCTCGCGATCACTCGCTCAAGCACTGGTCCCTGCTGCTCTTCTGATCCTGGGTTTGGTCATTTATACAGGTTTCGTTATTCCCACACGTGATATGCTAGGTTGGTCTCGCTGGATGAACTATATCGATCCAATCGGCTATGCTTTTGAAAGCATGATGGTCAATGAGTTCCGAAACAGGCAGTTCAAGTGTACTACTTTTGTTCCCTCTGGGGAAGGATATGAGAATATCGACCCCATCAACAGGATCTGCACCACGGTCTCATCCACTCCCGGAGATAGCTTCATTGACGGAGACGCTTATCTGCAAACAGCATATGCTTATACCAATGGACATTTGTGGCGCAATCTTGGTATTGTGTTTGCTTTCATGATTTTCTTCATGTTTGTTTATCTACTGGCTACAGAGTACATCTCCGAGGCTGCCTCCAAGGGCGAGGTTCTGATCTTCCGCAGAGGAAATCAACCTAAGGCTCAACAGGGAGATGCCGAGACTACGCCAGATGCAGCCTACCGGGCGGACGAAGAGAATGAGAATGCTGGTGCCAATATTCAGCGTCAAACTGCAATTTTCCAGTGGCAAGACCTGTGCTACGATATTAAGATCAAGACTGAAGAGCGCCGTATCCTCGATAATGTGAACGGATGGGTAAAGCCCGGCACAGCCACCGCATTGATGGTAAGTACTATGCGTCAACAAAACCTAGCTATGATTGCTGACTATTTCCAAGGGTGTTTCCGGTGCGGGAAAGACTACGCTGCTTGATGTCCTTGCAACTCGTGTCACTATGGGTATCGTAAGTGGCTCTGTCTTGGTTGATGGACAGCCCCGAGACGATTCCTTCCAGCGCAAAACCGGATATGTCCAGCAGCAAGATGTCCACTTGCCTACCTCCACGGTTCGAGAAGCTCTCCAGTTCAGTGCCTTGTTGAGACAACCTGCCCATCTCAGTCGGAAAGAAAAGTTGGATTACGTCGAGGAAGTATTGGAACTGCTTGGTATGCGGTCATATGCAGATGCAGTGGTTGGTGTTCCAGGTGAAGGTATCCTATCACAATTGTTCTGTGCACTTATGCACGTCTACTATATGATCAGTACTGACAGCTTTCAGGACTAAATGTTGAGCAGAGAAAGCGTTTGACTATTGGTGTGGAATTGGCAGCTCGACCTCAATTGTTGCTTTTCTTGGACGAACCTACTTCGGGCTTGGACAGTCAAACTTCTTGGTCAATCCTGGATCTGATTGAAACTCTCACGAAGCATGGACAGGCCATTCTTTGTACTATCCATCAACCGTCCGCGATGCTGTTCCAGCGGTTTGACAGACTGATGTTCCTTGCCAAAGGAGGACGCACAGTCTATTTCGGACAGATTGGTGAAAACTCCTCGATCTTAGCGGACTATTTCATCCGGAATGGCGGTCATGCACTATCTGAGGGCGAAAATCCAGCCGAATGGATGCTGGACGTTATTGGTGCTGCTCCTGGTTCCCACAGCGATATCGACTGGCCAACAGTTTGGAATGGCAGCCCTGAAAAGGAGGCCGTTATTAACCACTTGGGAGAGCTGAAATCAACCCTTTCTCAGAAACCCAAAGAAGCTGAAACTGAATCGGAACATCGTGAATTCGCATCCCCAACAAGTGTCCAGCTTCGTGAATGCCTGTCTCGAGTCTTCTCGCAGTATTGGCGCACTCCGTCGTACATTTATTCAAAACTCGTTCTCTCTATCCTCACAGCCCTTTACAACGGATTCTCCTTCTTCCATGCCAAAAACACTCAACAGGGTCTTCAAAACCAGATGTTCAGTATCTTCATGCTGATGACTATCTTTGGAAACCTTGTCCAGCAGATTATGCCGAACTTCATAATTCAACGATCTATCTTTGAGGTCCGCGAGCGCCACTCTAAGATGTACTCGTGGCAGGTGTTCATGACATCGAATATTCTGGTTGAGCTCCCCTGGAATTTCCTTGTTGCTGTCTTGATGTTCTTCTGCTGGTACTACCCGGTTGGCCTCTATCAGAATGCCGAGATGACCGATGCTGTACATGAGCGCGGCGCGTTGATGTTTTTGTATTTGCTGCTCTTCTTGTGGTTTACATCTACATTCTCGCACATGGTTGTCGCCGGTGTGGAAAATGCGGAGACAGGCGGTAACATTGCTAACTTGCTCTTCTCTCTTCTTCTACTTTTTTGCGGGTACGTTCTCTCTTCTCATGTTTCTTCACGTGGATTTTTACTCATATTATTCTCTCAGTGTTGTCTCTACACCTGCAGCCATGCCCGGGTTCTGGATCTTCATGTACCGACTTTCCCCGTTCACCTACCTTGTATCCGGCATGCTCTCCACAGCAGTCAGTGGGACAACTGTTACATGCAGTTCGATTGAAACACTGATCTTCGATCCTCCGGCGAACCAGACTTGCTCTGATTACTTGGGCTCTTATGCCTCTCGGACTGGAGGTTATATTGAGAACCCTGATGCAATGAGCGCGTGCTCGTATTGCTCTATGTCCTCTACCGATACCTTCTTGGCCCAGGTCTTTTCTTATTGGAGTGATGCCTGGCGAAATTTTGGCATCATATGGGCTTACCTGGTATTCAATATTGTTGTTGCACTTGGTATCTACTGGTTGGCTCGCGTTCCTAAAGCCAACAAGACCAAAGGCAGTACCTAAATGGTAATTGCCCCAGACTTGAGTACCGGTATTCACTCGTTATAACCAGTGGTCAAGACTGTTTTTCTCACCTGAGTAGACGGCGATCTCATGTTCCATCTGCTTGCTTTTCCCTCCATTTCTTTTCCTTTCCCTTCACCTCACTTCTTTTTCTTCGGTTTTTTTTTTTCTTTGTATTAATCTTTTTTATCGTCTGAAAATCACGTCAGATGAGAGTATGAGCTTATTTTTGTCAATAGAATAAATAGAATGGTTTAAGTTTTGTCATTGTTGTGTACTTCTGATACATCATATAACGTATTCGATAAGCGAGCTGACCACCCCATGCGAGCTGGCCACCCACCTATTAAATCTACCATTATTATTGAATTTTTCAACCACAACATAAATTCAGTAAAATTGAAGCTATTCAGACATCTCCGGGCACCTATTTCTCCTATGTCCTAGGTTTTTACAGAGGCTGCATCGTTGTGGTCTCCTCTTATTGGTCCGATTCGGCGTCGGCGATACAGCTCCATCTCGACCTAAGCTAGCTTCATGAACTATTTCCGGTCCTGAAACTATTGACATAGCCTCTAGAACCGATATTCCACCTTTATGAGCTATTCGCTTCCTCGTACGCTTCCTTTTCTGGGTTGTTTTCGTATTGGCGGCACGTAATTCGCGGTTTTCCTGGCGTATAATCGTAGCGCCGTGTATAGCTAGATAGTAGCCTTTCACGATCTGCTCAAAGGCTTTTTCGGCGCGCGAGGGGTCCTCTTATAGCATTTTCTTAATAGAGGAAGCTTGCCGGCGTACGTCCTTCACTATATACGGGGTTTTCGGCGTAAAATTGCGGCTAGAATCGCTTCCTCGACTCGGAGGAGGTGGAGGAGTAATAAGGCGTATATTTAGCTTCGAAATCACGCGATTCGGATCAAAAGGAGCGATACTAGTAGCTGCGAAGCTATTAAGAATAGTTTCCGGCTTAAATACCTCTCTTTAGGCCCGAGGATAAGCTGTAAGGAAGTCGTATTTATCGATACGACTAATGCAAAGCTTTATTTGCGAGTCTACTAGCTCCCTGTACGCCCGTTTTAGTACCCCAAAACAGCCGATATCGAGAGGTTGTAGGAGGTGAGAGGAATACGACGGCATACAGATTGGTATAATATCGTTTTAAGAGCAAATCGAGTTAAATTGAGGCGTAAGATGGCTGCTATGACTATCGAGGATAAGAAGACGATACCTCCCCTTCGTCCGGCTTGTAGTCGATAGAATAAAAAGCTTTTAGAGCTAGTTAAGACCTATTTCATCGGTTGTCTATCTATTATTACTCAATTCGAAGCGCTAGTCTAATAGGAGGTTGGTATCCTTGAACTATGCCTCTATAAGGACCTTGCCTTTGAAAATAACGTATGGCGGAAGCACCCACCCTCCCGCACTAATAGCTTCAATTGAGGTCACCTATTCGCGGTTTCTAGGTTGCAAAACGGCTCTCCGACCGTACGTTCTCCTTGTAATAACCTTCGCAGTAGCCGTAAGGCCGAGGGCGAAGCTAGTTTCGTCGAAATTGTAGATATCGTCGCCGACAATGCCGTACTTTTCGATCGTAGCTTTCACGAAGTTAAACCACATTAAAATCGCCTTTTCATCCTCGCATTAAGCCCGCCGGTAGTCGTACGATCGCGAGAATCGAGTAGAGAGGTCAGGGTGCCGTTTAACGAAGTTTTCGACCTATTTTTCGCCGACAGTAATAGGTGGAGTTGACCCGCGCGCTTTAAGTAGTAAATCAGCTGCTTCTCGTACTGTACGAGGCCGAGGAGCAGCTCCACGATCGTCGAGTGAGAGGATCCAATTATAAAGCGATTCCTCCTCGAAAACAGTCAATTTATGGCTATTGGCGCGAGTTTCGGCGCGATAGGTGATGCCATTAAGACGCGCCGAGAGCGTGGAGCGGGGGACATCAAAAACCGCTGCAGCTCTACGTACAGAGCTAAATTCTTGTTTCTGAATAGCTTCAATAGCTAATAAGATCCTACCCTCTTGCTCTACACGTTTTTGAGAGCATTGAGAGCGAATTGGCGGCATGGTAGGTGGTTGAATAGAGACAGTCTAATTACGCGGCGCGTTTTTGATGGGGTGGCCAGCTCGCATGGGGTGGCCAGCTCGCTTATCGAATACGTTATCGTAACGAAAGACTATGGTTGGACAATAAAATCAATGTATATCGCGATCTTTATACAACCTAGAAGACATATATAACAGCAATACTCCAAGTACCCCGTTGTATCTTCCCAAATCTAATGTTCACTGCACATATACACCCAAGCGTCAAGCCCCAGGCTCAAACACTTTAGATGTACTCCCAGGTAGCGGGGGTAGTGGAGTTGTCAGCCACAGCAAGGGCATCAAATCCAATGCAGTCAGAAACACTGCCGGAGGGGACAGTGGCGTTCTGCAGAGCGGCGTACACCTGCCACTTGGGGGCGGCAGCGGAGCGGCGAGAGCGGCGGTAGGTCGTGGTGCCGTTGGTAGGGCAAGCCATGAAGCCGGAGGCACCCTGGCCTTCGTAGGACCAGTGGCCGAAGGTGTTACCAGGGGTGTAGGTGAAGGGGCCATCGGAAGAGCCAGCGGGCTCGTAGGCGGAGTGAGGAGAGGTGAAGCGCAGCGCACCCTTAGGGTCGACGAAGATAGCTTGTCCACCGGGGACCATGACGTCCTGTAGAAATTAGCAACTCTGCAAGTTTGATAGAATTTGCCCATGGAAGCAATTCGCGAATACGTACCAGGAAGTGGCCTCCGGTAATCACAGTCTCGTTGGTCTGCTGGCAGCCAGGAATGCCCTCGGGGCAGTAGGACTGAGCGTTACCACCGAGGTAGAAGTAGCCACCGACGGCGTTGAGAGGCTGGAGATGGATGGGAGAAGCGGAACGAGCGGAGATAACGCCGAATGAGGCATCAGAGCTCTTAGCCTGCTTAGCCTGCTTAGCCTGCTTGCCGGGAATGGCAGCGACGAGAGGGACAAGAGAAAGAAGGGCGGAAATCTTCATTTTGAAAAGAAAGTGGAGGTAATTGCGGTGTGAGAAGCGAGAAAGATGCTTCCAATTCAACGGGGGACAAGCTCATATAAAAGTTGGAACATAGGGGGACGTGCTTGGTCTACTGAGCGGGTCAACCTGCACAGAAGTATAGAAGATCGACATCATACAGGGTCGGTACGGAGGGAAGCAGATAGACTAGAGGTGCATAAGCTTAGCCACTCCGAATATGGAGACAATTACACTCTTCACGAGAGCTTGATTGGGTGGCAAAGTACTAAATGCTGAGCCACTCGAAGTTTTGTCCATTCAGGGTTTTAGATTGTAGAACATGTCAACAATTGCAGAATCTCCACAGATCGACACAAAACGGCATTCCAGCAACTTCCATGCTATTCAGGAATAGAGCATCAAGTTAGCAAGTTTAATGTGTAGTGATGGCTTTGTGTTTTTCATTCCCTTTTTGCTAGCTATCATACTCTCTTTTCAAATGATATCATCGATTGTTAGAAGAAAAAAGAGACGCGGTATAGGTGGCGATCCCAATGAAGACCCTGAAGATATCATGTTTCAGGCAGAAAGGTAAGTGAAGATCGACAGGTCGGACGGCATTCCCTCCCAGAAAAGGAACAACTTTGGACATCCACTGAGATACGCAGGATGTGACGGTTGACTCCACGAGGGTCTCCACCATGTCTCAGGACACACCGGTGCTTTACATCACTGGCTTCATAGCATGTTGTACGATCAGTTGTGCCGTTTGATCTGTCGATCGAGAATCGGTCTCGACTTCATATAATTGCGACGGGAGTTAATCTCATGACCTTGTTTCTTCATTTCTACGAGCTCATACTAAGAGTACCTCCTCGATCTAGGGGCACAGCCACTGATTTGTTATTAGCTTTGCCACGGAGTGTCTCAAAGTGAAGTGCATGTAACCTACCTCTTTGGGTAAACCCAGATACTCCTACTGAGTCTACTATCAGGCTTGTTTGGCCTAACTAATGAGTCGGTTCCATCGCCATTGGCCTATGGGCGTCGGGCGGCATAGGAGCTAGACTGGTGTCATGCTCCCTAAATATGCATTTGCCCACTAGATAATACCCAAACTATCAATAACAAAATATGGTCCCCTAATGGGATAACGACTGACAGTGATGTATGTGTGATAAATTTCTACTGGGATAGGCAGCCTCTGAATACCATCATCGGTGTCAACCCTGTGTACGATATCAAATACAAATTTACTCTAAACATTCAACCTGAAAAGCTGCCATGTTCACATCTGATAAGCTGGTCATGTGACCGTCCCTTTTCACGTCTTGCACGCGTCGGGATCATCGCAAGTTTATGCGCCATTGGAGATTCTGCAGAATTATGGACGAGGACTGAATAGCCTTTCCACATGCCAAGGTCGAACCCTCACTAGTCAAGCCCTCTAAACAAGGCTGCAAGCACGCGTTGCAGTACTCCCCAAGATACCAGGAACCAACTAGGGACGATCGCATGAGATGTACACCCCATCCAGTGGCGATGAATCGGTCGAGACCGAGTCCAATTTGAAACTACTCCCCTTGAAACAAGGGAATCTCACGCAAGACCCGCAACCCTCGAGCTCGAAATCAACCGACCCGAATCCCACGATCGATGTCCCCGAGGGCGATCGTGACGTCTCAAAGCGGATTGAACAGTTCCTAGGCGAGGACCGTACACCATTATCGGACTCATTTGATACGGACTTGGAGGGGGATTCGCCCAGATCGTCTCTGGCCCTGAGCGACGACTGGGGCGGCCCAGCGGACAAGGGCTTGTTATTGAAAAATGATGGCCAGGAGGAACTCAAGGGCTTCAATTGGAGATCGCTGTTTCACTTGCAATCCTGGTGGAATGTCGCTGCGTTTGGCATAATCGCCATTGTGATGGTATGGCTGTCAATAAAAGGCTTTCCGTGGTCTTCGACAGGCGCAACAGTGAGTGAAACTGTGAGTGCTCCTTACTTTCCATTTTTTTTTTGCCATGATAAGCTGTTTAACAGTCATATGTACAGCAAACAATTCCCTGGTACCCTACCCCCTTGGGCGGAACAAGCACAGAATGGAAGGAAAGTTATGTCAAGGCACAAGAAATGGTCAGACGGATGTCTCTTCCTGAAAAGGTGAACATCACTACTGGCACAGGCTGGCAGATGGGACTATGTGTTGGAAATACTGGTAAGGACTGACTGACGACCATCCCATCACCATGACACACGCTTATGTGAATTCATCTGCTTCAGGACCCGCTGAACTCGTTGATTTCCCTTCCCTTTGCCTCCAAGACGGCCCGCTCGGTCTCAGATATGCACACAACATTACTGCGTTCCCTGCAGGAATTACAACCGGCGCTACATGGAATCGCGAATTGATGCGAGCTCGTGGGTTCGCTCTTGGAAAGGAAGCGCGGCTGAAAGGTGTGAACGTCATCCTCGGCCCTGCCATGGGCCCGCTCGGGATGATGCCTGCGGGAGGTCGCAATTGGGAGGCATTCGGATCAGATCCTGTCCTGCAAGGAGTAGCTGCAGCGGAAACGATCCGCGGCATCCAGCGAAACGGAGTCATGGCGACGGCCAAACATTTTGTAGGCAACGAGCAGGAGCATTATCGCCAAGCATTCGAATGGGGTACTCCAACCGCCCTCTCGTCGAATATTGATGACCGCACTCTGCATGAGGTCTTTGCCTGGCCTTTCGCTGAGAGTGTCCGTGCCGATGTTGCTAGCATCATGTGTTCGTACCAGATGGTCAACAACACGTATGCTTGCGAGAATAGTAAACTAATCAATGGCATTCTCAAAGATGAAATGGGATTCCAAGGATTCGTGCAGTCGGACTGGCTAGCTCAGCGTTCGGGCGTCAACAGTGCCATCGCGGGCCTGGACATGAGCATGCCTGGAGACGGCTTACATTGGACTGATGGCATTCCCCTCTGGGGAGGTGAATTGACTCGCGCAGCACTAAACACTTCTGTCCCTATGGAGCGATTGAATGACATGGTGACCCGCATCGTGGCAGCCTGGTACCATTTCCGACAAGATTCTTGGGAGCGACCTCCACCGAATGGAAATGGCGGTCCAAACTTTTCATCCTGGACTCAGGAGGGAATCGGCCATCTACATGAAGGCTCCCCGGATAATGATGCTACCGGGGTGGTCAACAGATTTATCGACGCGCAAGGAACTGGTGCGAACGCCCATTCTATTGTGGCTCGTCAGGTTGCTGCAGAAGGCACTGTTCTCCTAAAAAACGTCAACAACACCCTCCCGCTCTCACGACAGGTCACCGGCGATGCTGGAAAATACAGGGTTGGTGTCTATGGTGAAGACGCAGGCCCAGGAAGTGGCCCAAATGCTTGTGCTGACCGGGGCTGCAACCAAGGAACTTTGGCCTCTGGTTGGGGCAGTGGTGCTGTGGATTTCCCGTACCTGGTGAGTCCATGGGAGGCGCTGCAAACTGTTTGGTCGAAGGACACAGTTGATCTTCAAGGTTACTTGACGAACAATGTTGGATTCAAGGACCTCGCAGATCAAGATCTGTGTCTAGTCTTCGTGAATGCAGATGGAGGTGAGGGCTTCATCCGTAGTGATGGCATTGATGCGGATCGCAATGACCTTTTCCTGCAAAAGAATGGCACTGAACTCGTGGAAGGAGTTGCCAACCACTGCGGAGGTGGCCAAGGCCGAACCGTCGTCGTTGTTCATTCGATTGGCCCTGTTGTGATGGAGTCTTGGATTGACTTTCCTGGCGTCCACGCCGTGCTCTATGCCAATCTTCCAGGCCAGGAGAGCGGAAACGCTTTGATGGATGTGCTTTTTGGTGATGTCGATGCCAGTGGCCGCCTTCCCTACACTATCGGCCGAAGCTTGGAAGACTATGGCCCAGGAGCCCAGGTGCTCTATGAGACTCAAGACCCGGTTGTCCCACAAGTCAACCTCAGCCAAGGTCTTTACATTGATTATCGCTACTTCGATCGATACAACATCACTCCGCGCTACGAGTTCGGCTTCGGTCTATCATATACAACCTTTGACTACACTGCCGTCAGCATCGAAAAGCTACAGAAGAAGACCCAACACCCATCCCAAAGACCAAAGAATGAAGTTGAACCACCTGCATACGACAGCAGACCACCTCACCCCTTCAGTGGGCTGTTCCCTCCAGAATTCCGCACCCTTCGCAAATACATCTACCCCTACATCGTAACTAACGATGGAACTAATCCCGGTCCATACCCATACCCGGATGGATACGATAAACACCAGAAGCCATCCTCCGCAGGCGGTGGACCAGGCGGAAACCCCTCCCTCTACGAGCCCATGCTCGAGCTCTCCGTCGAAGTAACCAACACAGGAACACGACCCGGTCAAGACGTGGTGCAGGTATACGTCTCCTTCCCAGAAGATGTGGCCGAACACCGCGGGCTTGGCTGGTCGCGTGAAACAATCGATTTCCCAGACCGGGTATTACGCAACTTTGAGAAGATTTTGTTGCAGCCCGGGCAGACGGAAACTGTCAAGATGACGCTGACTCGTAAGGATCTCAGCTATTGGAGTGTTCGTTCTCAAAATTGGGTGCTTCCCACTGAGGGCAAGTTCCGTATCTGGGTTGGGCGAAGCTCACGAGATTTACCGCTTGTGGTCGAGTTTTAATATCGGCCGCAGTTGCGTTGCTTCTACTGAACATTGGATCTTTTAAAGCATGGCTAGGCGCTGTTTCATAGACTGAACGTAGATCTTAATTATATGGATTCACGAATCCAATACAATTGAAAATATTACACATGCACATGCCATTGACAGGAATTAGGTCCCATCGTTGGACATAAAGCTTGGAGACCATTAGACCAGAGATTGGAAGGTGTGGACATAAAAACGGCATAGCATACTATAAAATGTTACACGAAACGAGAAGTGAGGAATAAGATATTGGAAACGTTTGACAGAACTTTTGCTTCGCATGGTAGATGCACATGCACTGAAGTGTCTATCTGGAACACATGTACAATACTGGCGAAGGCTATACAACTAAATCTATGCCAGAAAGAAAACAGGTAGATCAACTAAAACAAACATAAACGCCGAAACACCGTCTATCAGATCCAATGCAGACCAAAACATTAACATGGTGCTCATGATGCCTAGAAATCACTGAAACCAGCTATCCCCTTGCGATAACGAATCATAATGCTCTGTGAGACACGTTTAAGCCTCATCGTCGGTATCCTGGGGCTTGGGGGTGCCCTTAGGGGAGTTCAGCCATTCGATGTGACGAAGACGGCGGCGGGCCTCACGGTCCTTCATCTGGGCGCGGGTCATCTTCTTCTTCTTCTTAGCGCGGAACTTGAGTTCGCCTTCGTCGCCAGAGTTGACGGCAGAGGGGGCGGCGCTGGTGGTAGCCGAGCCAGTGGCAGGGGTGCCAGGGGCGGAGGGAGTGTTGGGAGCGCTGTCCTCGAAGCGGTCCAGGCTAACGGCGTTGTTGGTACGGCTGACAACACGTCCATCGGCAATGTGCAACTGCTCGGGGCAGAGGGCACCCACGAACTCTTCGTTGTGAGAAATCATAACGACACCACCCTTGAAGTCACGAATGGCAACAGCCAGACCACCCAAGGAGTCACGGTCCAAGAAGTTAGTCGGCTCGTCCAGCACCAGCAAGTGGGGGTTGTTCCACATGGCACCAGCCAGCACGACCTTGACCTTCTGACCACCGGAAAGACCGGAGATCTCGTTGTGGTTGGCGATCTCGGGGTCCATACCGATATCCTCAAAGTGCTTGGAGATGGTCTTGGGGTCAAGGACACGGAAACCGAGACCTTCACGCGAAGCTTCGTGATCATCGAACTCCTGGACCATCTTGAAGAAGCCGAGCTCCAGCAGGGTCTCGCGAGAGATCATGGTGTTGTTCTTGGGGAGGAGACCAACCCATTTGCTGTGAATGATGTTAGTAAAGATGTTATAAGGAAAAGCAAAAGAAAGATCAACTTACACCTCATACTGGAAGGACTTCTTCCACTTCTGACGACCGATCAAGGCCTCGATACGGCGGGCACCGCGGCCGTCACCCAAGTCGACGTGCTTCTCGAGCTGAGCCTTATCGGCTTCAGTCAAGATACGGGTCTGCTTGAGGAACACTTCACGGTCATCACCGTTGGCATAACGCCACTGGAGGTACTGGCTGGGAGTCTTCTCCAAGTGCATCTCAACGTGCTCAAGAGCGTGCTGCTTGATGTAACCAATACGCAGGTTGGGGTGCTTCTCGACCTTACCCCCCTGGGGAATGGTCTCACCAGTGAGGATCTTGATGAAGGTGGACTTTCCAGCACCGTTACCGCCGATGATAGCCACACGGGAGGAAAGGGTGAGTGACAGCGAGGCATCGTGCAAAGATGGCTTGGGAGCATTGGGGTAGGTGAAAGAAACGTTGCTCATACGAAGAATGGCACGGGTCTGTGACTTGATACCAGACAGAATACCGGGAGGAGGGAACTTGAATTGCACGTTGGAGGCAGACAGGGTGTAGTAGCTCTTGCCCTCGGGCTTGACCTTGACAAAGTCGGCAAGGTTACCCTTGTAGGAAACGAGCTTCTTGCCCTCGTAGTGGTAGATGTCTGTGCAGACCTCATCGAGGAAGCCAGAGTCGTGACTGACGATCAGACTAGTGATGTCGGTGTGCTTCTTGAGGTACTCCTGCAACCATTTGACGTTGGCCACATCCAAGTGGTTAGTAGGTTCGTCTAGCAGAAGAACATCGGCCTTCTGGAGCATAGCACGAGCAAGAGCCAGCTTCATCTTCCATCCACCAGACAGGGAGCCCACGGGCTGAGACTGGCGACCCTCGGGGCCATCGGTAAACCCGAACTCAAGGAGAACCTCGGCGATGTGCTCCTTGCCTTGGGAGGCAATCTTGGGGTCCTTGGCAACATACTCGAAGATGCTAAGGTCGGCATCCTCGCCCTGGTTGTGCTCGACAAAGCAGGTGCGCACTTGGTCCTGAGGAGGGAAACCCTCGAGCTTCTCGTTGGCAATACTGCGCATCAAGGTGGACTTTCCAGCACCGTTGCGACCGCAAAGACCGTAACGGTGACCCTTGAGCAGGCGCAGCTTGGTGTGAGAGAGCAGAAGCATACCTCCGTAAGCGAGTGAGAAGTCGGCGTTGACGATCTCAACCTCGTTGGGGTCTTCAGGAACGGGCTTGCCGTACTTGATCTCGTCCTCGGCGATGTAGTGGGCCTCCACGGCAGCAGCAACGGCAGTAGCCTTCTCCTCCGACATGAGACCACGGAGGTAGGGGGCAATGCAGGCTGGGATACGGTCGTACATGCGGCAGTTGATGTCCTCGCGGATCATGCCGGCAACGAAGAACTTGACTGCCTCCTGCAGCTTCACGTCGCCGAAGCCAGCAAGGCCGCCCTGTTCCTGGATCTTGGCGTCCAGCACCGTCAGGACCTCCTCAGGGGTGATCTTCATGATGGAACCAGTGGCGACATTGCTGTCGCTCATGGCCTTCTCAATAACGTCGAGAGCGCGGGCCGACAATTCACGGACCTCGGGCAGAGAGGCACGGTCCTTGACAGACTTGACACCAGGCTGGAGCTTGGGGAGGAAAGTACGAGCCTCCATGGGGTCGTGAACCAGCTTGGTCAAATTCTCCACAACGACAACGGTCTGGCGCAGAGTTTCTTGAGGAGTGGTGGGGGTGTTGAGGGAACGCTCAAGGAGAGGGGTGAGCATGGCCAACACGGGCGATGTGACAATGGCGACGAAAGTAGTCTGGGAGAGGGCGTGGATGGCCTTCTGGAGAGTCTGGGCAGAGGGCTGCTCCATGGTCTTAATCAGGAGCGGGATACGGGGAGCGACATCATCGTTGGACAGGAGGGTGGTGAGGGCGTTCATGGTCTTGCAGGACTGCTTGGTCACTTCACCTTTCAAGTCATGCATGCCAGACTCGACGATAGGAATGAGCTCCTTGAGGGTCTTGCCCATAGCATCGCGCAACAGGTCCTTTTGGCGCTCCTCGTCCTTGGTGCCGTTACCAAGTTGGGCCTTGACGGCCATCTTTTCCAGGAGGGAGTAAGCACCAACGAAACCCTGCCACTTGCCGGAGCCCTTGCTCAAGTAACTCTCCAGAGCAGGCAGCAGGGCGTTGACCATCGCCTCAGGGCTGAGAGCGCCGAAGAGAGCGTCGATGGCGTACTGAGCAGCATCGCGCACGACGGCACCCTTGTCGGCCAGGGAGTCCAGAGCAATGTTGAAGATGCCACCATCGTGCATCAGGAACACATATTCGCTGAGGGGGAACTCGCGAGGGAAGCGCTCGAACAGAGCGCCGATGATGAGCATGGCACTCTCGCGCTTGGCGCCATTCTTCTTATCAACAGCGGCCTTCTTGGTCTCGGCAAGAATGTCGTAGTTCAGGAGGCCAGCACAGCCAACGCTCTGAATGAGCAGGTTTGTCAAGGCATATGCGCCATCGAGGGACTGCTGGGAGGACTCGGCGGAGAAGATAGTGTTGAGGAGGGACGAAATCTCTTCGGTGGTGGGGGGCACGCCGGAGGGGCCCTTGGCGACAACGGTCGGCATGGTCTCAGTAGACACCGTGTGTGGCATTGTCCAGAGAATGAAAGGCTCAAAGGATGAGCGTCGATATCAAGGATATCGAAGAGGCGAAAGGGAAGGGGGGGGCGCGCTCGAAGTGAGAGGGGCAACTCTAGGGCACAAAGGGCGATCAGAGCGCAACTCACACAAACAGAGAATCGAGGATCAGGTGGAATCGCAGGATCTATACAAGACGATTCTCAGACACCCAAAAGACCCAAACAGAAAAAAAAAAACACAAAGAGGGGAGAGTGAAGAACAGGAGATAATCGCCGCTTGATTGCTGATCCACCTGAATTTTTTTTTTGTTATGCTGAGTCAGCCAATCAGCGGGCGGCGCGGGGCCAGATGACAAAGGCGGCTAACCGCATTGGTCGTGTGTGTTTCTGCCTGAGGCTAAAGGTGCCTCGTGGCCTGAAGATAAGGGTGTCAACACTTGTGCCTGGCAATGTTGCCTTACTGCCTTATCGCCTCTGTCCATGTTCATCCAGGCCACCTCATAGATAAAACATCAATTGCTAGGCAGATTACAATAGGATTTGAAGTGCTCTCACTTAGGCATACCTGGATGCTTTTGCTTTGACTTTCACAACGACTCCAATGTATGATCCATGGAGATGTGAAATATATATTGCATCCACCACTATATCGCCGCAAGATGGTGTCACTCTTTGCTTATATTTGTCCTAATTTGATTTATTTACACCCACCGAGTGAGTTTCTGCGTACCATCAGAGAAGAGGATGGGCGATATAGGCCCTTGTGGCCTATATCGGATTGACTCCCCAAACCACGTCATACTATAGAACAAAGTACGATACTTGTGAATGGGCTGAATCTCAAGATTGTTGAAATCAGACTATATAGTTGTCAACGAGATTGTATTGGCTCTATTATTACCTATACTATGTGGAAGCTACAGATACATTCAGGATCCCTCACATACCAAGTCGGTCACTTTTACAGCCGATGCCGCATGCAACCGCCACGGGCCTCGGTAGACTGCTACCCCCCTGCCCCCGCGTTCAACCGACGCAAATAGGCCGATCACTGCATAAGTTCGGTTATTCTGATTTCTCTCGAATTTCCTCTTCTTTCAATCTTTCGATTCTTCAATTGCTGTGCATTTCCAGCTTCACCTCCCCGCGTTCCCGCCCCCACAAAAGTACCCCGGACCCATCTACACAATGGCTCTCTGGAGATCCACCCGCCACGCCTCCAAGTTCGCCCAGGTGAGTCGAGAAGCCACTGTGAGGGACTATCTCTGACCGATTCCAGGCGACACGGCCCATTTTCTCTCGTAATTATGCCACTGAGCCCGATCTGAAGACTACCCTGAAAGACGTCATCCCCACGAAGCGAGAGCTTCTCCAGAAGGTCAAGGCCCAGAGTGACGAGTCAATCGGAGATGTCAAGGTCGGCAATGTCATCGGTGGTATGCGTGGTCTCAAGGCCATGTTATGGGAAGGCTCTGTCCTGGACCCCGACGAGGGAATCCGCTTCCACGGCAAGACTATCAAGGACTGCCAGAAGGAGTTGCCCAAGGGTACCTCGGGCACTGAGATGCTCCCTGAGGCCATGTTTTGGCTGCTGTTAACCGGTCAGGTACCCTCGACTGGTCAGGTTCGCGCCTTTTCGCGAGAGCTGGCTGAAAAGTCCGAGCTGCCCCAGCACATTCTTGACCTGATCAAGTCTTTCCCATCTAACATGCACCCTATGACCCAATTGTCAATTGCTGTGGCCGCTTTGAACACCGAGTCCAAGTTTGCCAAGGCCTACGAGAAGGGTATCAATAAGGCCGAGTACTGGGAGCCCACATTTGATGACAGCATCTCCTTGCTGGCCAAGATTCCCCGAGTGGCTGCCCTCGTCTTCCGCCCGAACGAAATTGACGCGGTCGGCAGGCAAAAGCTTGACGCCGCTCAGGATTGGTCATACAACTTCGCAGAGCTGTTGGGCAAGGGTGGCTCACAGAACGAGGACTTCCATGACCTCCTGCGTCTGTACTTGGCCCTGCATGGTGACCACGAGGGTGGTAACGTGTCTGCCCACGCTACTCACCTCGTTGGAAGTGCTCTCAGCGACCCCTTCCTTAGCTACAGCGCTGGACTTTTGGGTCTTGCCGGCCCTCTTCACGGTCTAGCTGCCCAGGAGGTCCTCCGCTGGGTCATGGCCATGCAGGAGAAGATCGGTACCAAGTTCAGCGACGAAGATGTTCGCACCTACCTCTGGGACACCCTCAAGTCCGGCCGTGTGGTTCCTGGCTATGGTCACGGTGTCCTGCGCAAGCCCGATCCTCGTTTCGAGGCTTTGATGGACTTTGCTGCCACCCGCCCTGATGTTTTGGCCAACCCGGTATTCCAGCTAGTCAAGAAGAACTCGGAGATTGCTCCAGGTGTGCTTACTGAGCACGGAAAGGTACCTTGATCCCCGGATCCTATAGACACATATACTAACAGTCTGTAGACCAAGAACCCTCACCCTAACGTTGATGCCGCCAGTGGTGTTCTCTTCTACCACTATGGCTTCCAGCAGCCTTTGTACTACACCGTTACCTTCGGTGTCAGCCGTGCCCTTGGTCCCCTTGTCCAGCTGATCTGGGATCGCGCCCTGGGCATGCCCATTGAGCGCCCCAAGAGCATCAACCTCCTGGGTCTGCTCAAGAAATAAATGTCATCCTGGTAGCCTGGCGCCACCTGATGCTCATTGTCCACTTATGGTTCAATTGATGAATTCGATGCGAAGCGAAATGTTTTTCTTCATGCTTTTTGTTGGTTAGACCGCTGCTTGCTGAAGAGCAATTCCATAGACTGGATGGCAAAAGTCCAATAACAACAGGGGAAGCCCTTCACACACACCTATAAGATTGAGATAATGATAGGCAGGCCAAAGTAGATGAAACCGTATGCTCGCTTTGTGTCTTTTGTATAGGAACGGTCATACTTGGCATTGTGTACATAATTATGACCCCTGTATGCAAACAAACCAGCCCTATAGTTCTATTTTAGGATCGCGAACGTGGCTGATCTACCTGTATACAGTAATTTAGGCGTGCATATACTTTTAGCTGTAGCTAGCTATGATATGACCAGTCAACTCTGGTCAACTGACCTTTTGAATTTTCACTCCTAAACCTATTCCATATCTTCCATATCTTTCCATATACAATGTTTATTTCTCGGGGTCCACCTTCAAGGGCAGAACGGAGTATACAAGGCCGTCATCGGCCTCGACTTTCCTGGAAACGGACGGAAACCACGTGACAGGCTGAAAGCGATCGAATCACCAACTTCATTTCGCCAACTCCATCGCATTTCAGCGGCCCCATTGGCCTTTGAGGGTCGCCCCAGGTCCCCACATGATGTAATACGCCTCGCTGACCAGTTTCCGGATGAGCGGTCAAAACTGGCTACGTCTGCTCAATTCATTCCTTACATCCTTTTCTTTTTCTTTCATCACAATGGCTCCCCTTAAGCTTAACAGTGCCAACCTTCCACAGATTTCCGCCGCCGGCGACCAGGTGAAGGTCCCAACCTACGCCCGTGGCAATGCCGTCAAGGAGGGCATCGTCCATATCGGGATTGGTGGCTTCCACCGAGCTCATCTGGCGGTCTATGTCCACCAATTAATGGAAAAGCATGGTGTGAACGACTATGCCATCTGTGGTGTTGGCTTGCAGCCCTTCGATGCTGCTATGCGCGACGCCTTGGGTTCGCAGGACCACCTCTACACTGTCATCGAGCGTTCGGCCAAAGGTAGCACTGCCAACGTTGTTGGCAGCATCAACTCCTACCTCTTTGCCCCTGACAACCGCGAAGCCGTGATTGCCAAGATGGCCCACCCCGATACACACATTGTGTCGCTCACCATCACCGAGAGCGGCTACTACTACAACGAGAACACCCACGAGCTCCAAAGCGAGAACCCCGACATTCAGTTCGATCTCAACCCAGCCAACGATAAGGCACCCCGCACCACATTCGGCTTCCTTTACGCCGCCCTTGCACGCCGTCACCAGCAAGGCCTCAAGCCATTCACCGTCATGTCGTGCGATAACATGCAGAAGAACGGTGCGATCACACGGCACATGCTCGAGTCATTCGCCCGCCTGCGCAACCCTGAGCTTGCCAAGTGGATTTCTGAGAAGGGCCACTTCCCCAATGCCATGGTCGACCGTATCACCCCCCAGACTTCCCCCGCCGACAAGCAGTCTCTCGCCGAAGACTTTGGTATCGAAGACTCTTGGCCTGTTGTTACAGAGCCTTTCATGCAGTGGGTGATCGAGGACTGCTTCTGTGACGGTCGTCCACCATTTGAGAAGGTCGGCGTTCAGCTTGTCAATAATGTCCATGATGTCGAGCAATTCGAGAAGCACAAGCTGCGCTTGCTCAATGGCAGCCACTCCGCAATTGGATACCCTGGTCAGATGGCTGGATTTAAATATGTCCACGAAGTCATGGAGAACCCAGTCTTCTCGAAGTTTGTGTGGCAGATGATGCAGGACGAGGTGAAGCCGCTGCTGCCTCACATCCCGGGCGTTGACATCGATGAATATTGTAAAACCCTCATTGAGCGCTTCTCCAACCCGACTATTATGGACCAGCTGCCTCGTGTGGCCCTCAATGCTTCTGGCAAGATCCCACAGTTCATTATGCCATCCATTGCTGAGGCCATCTGGGTGACTGGCCCGTTCCGTCGCCTATGCTTCGTCGCCGCAGCTTGGTTCCGCTACCTACACGGTGTAGATGATAAGGGCCAAACTTTCCAAGTCGACGACCCTATGCGCGATGAGCTTCAGACTAAGGCCAAGTCTGGAGGAACCAACCCCTCTGAGCTTCTTAGTATTAAGAACTTATTCGGTGACGACCTGCGCGGCGACAAGCGATTCATCGAGACCATCACCACCGCTATGGAAGAAATTGCGCGGGATGGCATCATGAAGACGCTTCCCAAGTACGTCGATTAATTTACAGTGGATGGTTTAATTTGGCAAAAGGATTTTTTGGAATATGTGTCTTGGATGATGTTCACGTTGTTTTCTACGAATGTATCACGAGGGAGTGATTTACGAGAAGAGCGAGATATAGAGATAGATGATCGGGATAAAATTACATATTTATTTCACTACACCATGGCCTACAATCCTGAAGCCAGACACATGACATTGTGTCTAGAACCCAATATAGGAAATTGCAAGGGCCAAACTGGAATGCAGTGGGACATAGTTCAGGATTCCGGTTTTCAGTCTATATCTCTATCGTCTAGTTTTGCCCTTTTTTTGCTGGGGTTGAAGCAAGGGGTAAGATCACAATCTCCAAGTCAAGCCTCATGGGTCCCGGCGGGAGGTCCCGGCTTGATGGTATGGTGCTTGTTCTTTCTAGGCCCAGGGAACTAAACAAAGTCCCGCACAGGCGGCATCTCTATCAAACCAAGGACTTGGTGGAGGATGGTTCCTAACCCTATAAATCTCATAATCTATTTCATTCATTAAGTCAATGTATACTGTATAGTTGATCACAAACTTAAGTTACAAATAGGTGCCTGAAGTCTCTTTCTGGGAAGACAATATAGGAGTGTATCATTCTTGTGCTATCAATTGGCCTTCTGACTCCTCTTTCCAACGCCGCATTCCTAGATTCCTCCCTTTCATTCGCGATTTCCGAATCTAGACGCATGACACGGAGAAATAGACCGGTGTCGGATAATTGGTCCGAAAGAGACTTTTCGCACTTGGTAACCACTCTGATGGCGCATTCTATGTTGTTTGTTGATAGTAAACACCGGTGAATGATACTTTCTTTGTATAGCTAAGATTTTTTGAGCCTCAGATTCCGAAGCTTAAAAGCTTCAACTTCCCTGGACCGAGAATGATTCATTATCATTTTCAGTCGACAACTCTCGCCTCGTCTCTCCTTTCGTCTTTTCGCCAGACAAACATTCATTAGGACCAGCGTGGTTAATTGCTGCCTGTCATTAATTTCCGCAATTTAAACATACTTCGTTTCTGTGTCTTCCAAGATGAAGACACTTACTTTAATTTCCCTTTTTGGTGTCGCTACACTCGCCCACCCAGCGGGCCTGGTGAGTTTTCTTTCAGCTCAATCGAATGATAATTTCTAATGATTGATCAGTGGTGGGGTACCGACATCTGCTATACCAGTCCGGAAAACACCGACAATCACTGCTCGGATGTTCAGCAGACTGGCTTTGACTGGTCCGAGTTGGCCGACGGTGATAATTGGGGCTATGATGGCTTCGACTTTGTTGGATTTACCCCCAAGAATGGCTGCGGAGCCATGGAAGTGAGTTCAGGATATACCTATCAAATACATCGATCCTAACTGTGAAAAGGAGAACTGCATTGGGGGAAAGCTCTCTAGAGACGACGACTACACTCTCAAGGTGGATGCTTCCGACGCTCCTTTCTCTATTCGCAACTTTCACTTGACTACTTCTCGTCAAACCGATGTGATTCTCACCTACAGGACACCCGAGGGTCACGCTTGTCATCAAGTCGTATCCAGCTCACCCGACGGAGTCAATGTCCAGAATGACCAGTGTGGTGGCGCTGTCTCAGTGGACTTCCAACTTCCTGAAGAGAGCAAGTTCGGCGAGTGTGAACTGAACATCCACCAGGTCAACTTCGACTGTTCCGCTGGCGAAAAGCCCCCAGGTCATCCAGTTCCCAGTCCATCTCAGTCTTATCCGGAGTCTATGTCAACCCCAGCTACTGTCCATGTTACTGTCCATGAGTCGACTTCCAGCACACCGGAAGTCTCTTTGCCTACCAGGACTCCCGAGATAACCACATCCACAGTGTGGACTACTGCCGAATTTACCGTTACCAGCTGCGCACCAACAGTTACTGACTGCCCTGCACACTCGACTGCGGTGGTAACCTCGACATATGTTCTATCGACCACTGTCTGCCCGTCTCAACCCACTGAAACTGGACCTTTGCACTCAATCGGCTGGGGAACGACCTCTGCTGAAATCTCTTATGAGAGCTCTCATATTTCTATCCCGGATCATCCTCCAGCGGTGACATCCAAAGCTGGCGAGCCATCTTCTTCTGCCGTGCCTTCGGAACCAATCCCTAGTTCGCCCAGCACACACGCTCCATGCCCTGAATTGGTTCCTAAGTGTATGAACACTTGGCTCTCAATCCCAAAGTGCGACTCGAACAGTGATGCGGCCTGCTTCTGTCCATCTTCTGAGTTTACAGACAAAGTCACCTCCTGCATCCATTCCTGGGGTAAATCAAACCAGGAGATCCAGTCAGGTCTTTCTTACTTTGCCGGTATCTGCGCACCATATGTACCCAAAAATCCAGCTATTGTCGATATCGTTCCTACCAGCACTCTTCCTGGTCCTGTCACCAAGCCCAGCGTTCCCTCTCAGGTTGTTGCTATCACAAGTACACCTGTTGAGCATCTCAGTGCGGCCACGACAGCCCCCCATACCCCATGTACTACTATCACTTGGTCTTCTCATACGGTTACTGTCCCACAGGTTGGGTTCAGCACCGTTACGGGTTCTTCTTCCACCACTGTGGACCTAATTCTTATCACTCCCACCGCTACTGTGTGGAGTCATACTTCCTACTCGTCATCCACTTCGACCATGACAACCCAGTGTAAAACCACCACTCACTCTCTTTCTACTACTGCTGCGTCGAAGCCCACTGAAACCATTGTGGCTTCCAATTCTGGATCAAGATCAGGCTCTCCGAGCCCGTGGGCATTTGGCGTGGCTATTGTGGCTCTTGCTCTTTGCTAGCCTCAGGGCGGAGCTATCATCATATATCTTCAAACTTTTGTGATATAATTGAGCACGTTTCTACATTCAAAGTGAATTCAATTGGTGAATGCTACAAGTTTAAACCCAAAATCGCAAATGACCTTGCCCAAAACATGTTGTAAGTTCAGAATATATGCTATCCCGAGATGAGATGCGTGCGGGAAAACAAGCATATCCAATAGTGGTGGGATGCTTCTTGAGACGTATACTACTGTCGGATGCTCGGCTTTATAAAGTCTGTTGATGTCAATCACAACCGAGCGCTTCCATCTGACAATTGATTCCAGTCCTTCTGTCCATACGGCGAATAGCTGTCTTCACCGGGAGCAATCCAAAGGAAATGATCATCCTTGCCTTCTGGTGCCTTGGTACCAAGGAGTGCAGGGTCCACGCCCTCGTCACGGAGAGGTACCTTGTTCTGCTTATGGTTATGAATGTGAGTAGGATTCTCGACAACACGCAAGAAGAGCGGAACAGCATATCGAGGTAGCTTGGCGCGGGCAAAGCGGGCAAGTGCTGTGTAATCAAAGTTCTGACGGGCTTCTGGGCTAATTTGGATCGCTGCACAACCGGCTCGTCCTTCATGATTAGGGAGACGGACTCCATATACGTTGGCCTCGGCCACACCAGGGAATTGGCCGATAACTTCAGCGACCTCGGCAGTGGAGCTGTTAGATAGTGATTAGCTATGGCCTTGAAAAGTTAGTGAATCTACTACTTACACGTTCTCACTCTTCCAACGGAAAGTATCCCCTAGTCGGTCAAGGAAGTACCAACGACCATCACTAAGTCGACGTAGAGCATCACCAGAGCGATAGTAAAGATCTCCCTTCTTGAAGACATCACGCAAAAATTTCTTATTAGTGGCTTCCGAATTGCGCCAGTATCCTTGGAAAACATCCTCCCCGGGGATATTGACGAGAATCTCGCCACCCTGGTCATAAGGCGAGCGAACCGCAAAGCCAGTCTTGGAATCCCGAAGAATATCACCAGTTTCGGGGTCAATTGCTACCGGAACATAGACATTATGCATTACCCCACGCATAATCAGCCCATGGTGGCCAACACTGCCGGCCGTGAATGGACCGCAATTGTAATTGAAGAGACCGAAGATCCCCTCGCTGCTGTTGAAGAACTCTCCCACCTCTGCAACCCCGAATCGCTCGCGAAACTGCTCCCAAACGTCTGGGCGAAGGCCATTACCATACATGCAGCGGACCTTGTGGTTCTTGTCTTGGGGCGAGGGCGGCGGAGCAAGTAGATAGCGAGCGGTCTCGCCAACATAGACAAAGATAGTCGACTCGGAGTCGCGAATATCATTCCAGAAGTTGCGAACGCTGAACTTGGGACCGATCGCGATACTGACTCCCATGACCAGACACGAGGCCAATGATATCGCACCAGTACCGTGATATAAAGGCATGCAACTGTACCATCGGTCACCGTCCGGGCCAGGTTTATCCCCCATCATCCCCTGGCGTATAAAGAGAGTGGTGTAAAGTCGAGCCATAGTGAATGCGCATCCCTTGGGCAAACCAGTGGTACCCGAGGTATAGATCAGAATAGCCGGGAACTCGCCCTTGATACCCTTTGCTAGCTCTTTTGGTGGCAAAGACGTCGGGAGCGTGCTGATTTGCGCTTTTAGGGAGCCATCTAGTGTCATGGGGCTCATTCCAAGGCCAGCGATGGCATCCAGAGATTCCCCTACCCGCGCCTGGCAGCCGGAATCTTCGTCGACTAGGAGAATCTTCGAGCCACTGATCTTCAAGCAGTGCAGGAGCGCATCACCAGCAAGATTGTAATTGATGGCAGCAGGAGCACAGCCAATGCTCCATAGGGCTATCCACACCGCCATAAACTCTGCACTGTTTTGAAGATAAACAGCTACAAGCTCGCCCTTCTTCACTCCCTGCGATAGGAAAAAGTGGGCATATTGGCAGGCCTGGTCTTGCACTTCTCGGTATGTATATGACTTTTCGCGAGTCCAAAGGCAGCTCATATCAGGGTGGCGCTTCACGGTCTCCACGAAGACAAACCATGGATTTCCGCGGTTATGGCTGACTGCATCCTGGTCAGCTTGCCTTGGCTAATGATTTGGATTGTTTCATACCAGCCCGAGCATATTCGCGCTCTGCTCTCTTCGCTGTGAGAATGCCTGACACGTCTTTCTTGATATGGAATTTGGCGTTTAGATAACTGGCGACAGTAGCACCACCAAGCAAAGCAGCGGCAGCAGTTCCTGTGATCGGTCAATTTGCGCTCTTAGTGTATAGATATGACCATCGCAATTGATAGACAAACCTAGATCCATTTTTGGGCTGAGACAGGCCTTATGGTCGCGTTATAAAAGTTACCGAGGTCGGACCACAACACACAGCAGAAGCACAATGGTATGCGAGATTCGAGATTCTATATTCAAGCAGCAATTGAATGAAGAGAAGAAACAAATTGCAAATAAAGAGGAGAATAATGCACGGCCCTCGGCAATGCGACTGAAAGAGCCCTCGCGTCTGAGCATTTTGAGTGAAATGCGGGGAATTCATTTCACCTCGGTCGTTTTGATAGCCGATCCCTGCATTGTTCACCTCATCTCCAAACTTATGCCCAGGGCTAGTCTCTCAACAGTAAATATTGCCATGAACGCGTGTCCAGTCGCGGATCTCTGGCCTCGTATTTCAACAGACTAAGACAGAGGGAAACCTGTCCCTGTTTCCATTGTTCGTGTGCACATCTGAGGGAGAGTAATGCACCATGTCATACTCAGGAAACCGTGGTCCGAAATGATCTTGATCTCGTAATGTCGAGCTGCCACTAGGAATGGGATAGGGATGGTAAATCCAATCTCATAACTCATTGCGTCCTGTTGTTCCTATTGGGTATTCGCTCGGACATTGTTATCTCAACCTCAGCGTGAGACATACCAAGGGGGTTACGTTAGTATGAAGAGTGGTTTATGGCTATCAATTGCTCATATAATTCGAGGGATGTAACTTTTGTATAATTTGAATCAAGGTGTGAGTTGCGGGGGGATAGAATGGAACCACTTCAACCGAGCAGAAAACAAATCCAGACAGTTGGACTGTCATCAATTCTACGACTCAATAATTCAGACGAGTCTCTGTCTGTCTTGTGTCTGCCTGGATAGTCTCTAATATCGTATTTTTAGCGCCGTGTTCTCACTAGACAAGGGTTCAATTCCTGCCCCCCCCCCCCCCCCCCCTCCCCCCAAAGACACTACTCTGACAACTGCTGCCTGTGGCGATGCATATTGCTGTGGCGCAGGCGCTTATTTGGAAATAGCTGATGCCTGGTGAGTTCAAGTATTATAAGGCAGGAGAAAGCCACACTACAAACAAACAACACCGTAATTTTTTGTTTTGTTTACTCTTGGCCGTTGTTTCCTGACCATGCCCTGTGCAGCGATCTACACCATGGAGGCAATCCTCGATCTTCAGATTGTCCCTCCTGGAAATGGCAAGCAACACTGCCTAGCCAGAACCAAAAAGTCTGGTGGCAAAGACCAGTGTAGCCGTGTGGTTGCCGAAAGAAAACAAGAAAAAGCCTGGTACCTTCTGCGCGAATGCATGTCGTGTACGGATCTAGATGATCAGGCGGTCGGGTGTCATACGGAGGAGCTCTGTGAGCTGCTCATTCATAGCGTTCATCAAGAGGAGCGCGAATCGAAAATGAAGGAATGGAGTTGGAGGATTCTCGAGTTCAGAAATGATCCCAACAACCGAAATGCCTGCAGAAATCCCCCACACCCCTTGGACCAAGCGCCTCGCGCCTTGCAGAGTGATCACATCCCTCTATACGTCATTGGTGATCCTGTCGAGTCAGAGGAGATTATGATAAGCAGCCCAGACATCGAAATCCGAGAAGATGTCTCGGCGGAGCGATACCGGAGCATAGAGGCCGATCAGTCAGGCAATGTGTCCACGAATGAGTCAATTGAAGAGATATCAACATCGAATACTTCCAGGTCTCATGCTCCACATCAGCTTTCAGAGACTTCGACGGTGTACTCGCCTAACCCCTTGTCCTCCTGTCTATTTGGGCTGTTGATGCACTTTGGCACCATTTGTGGACTTCGCGTTCAAATTGGCAAATCACACTCAAGCCAGAAGAGTGCGAATGGCTCAATGGTCTATTTGAAATTGGAATTAGGGATTTTGGCGAAATTCCTGCCCCTGCTATTGGTGGGAATTGTCCAAGTAAGTTTGCTCGCACTCAGAGCATATGCATAGTGATGATTAGTTTATGTTTGATGATATATATAAAGTTATGGAGTTATGGAGTTATGGAGTTAGCAGTTAATGTTGAGGAACTTGTTGATCTCTTTTTTTTTCTCTTCCCACTTTATCCTTTGGTCCGATCGCCCAGATTGGCTAATATGTACAATGTGATTGGTGGGATCAGATGTAGTGGAGTCATGACGCAAACAGAAATGGTAGAAGGGAAACATAGTGGGAAACATAAGGCATGGGAAGTATAGGAAGGGAAAGGGAAGGAAAAGAAGTATAGGAAAGGGAAGTATAGGAGACGGAATACCAGAAACATCCCGGTTAGCCTCGGGAAACCAGTTGAAGCATGTTGGGCTTCCCAACACCCTACATCGCCCGGTGTGAAGTGAAAGTTGAGTCTAGGTGATCCTTTCCCCACAGTGTCACCGTGTGAATCACTCTACCCCTCATATATACTCACTTTCTCTTCTTCTTCAACCACCACACAATGTCTCTCCCTCTCCGTTCATTGCCTCGGTCCTTCCTGCGGTCCTACGGGACTGTGCAGGGGTCCAGCGTGTTGTCCAGTCAGACTCAGATCCCTCTCACCTTGACTGATGCAACGGGAGCAACCGCCCCACGTACCACTTGGACTCGAGATGAAGTCAAGCAGATCTATGAGACCCCGTTGAACCAACTCACATACGCGGCCGTAAGTCAATTGGAGCAATGGTTGGAGGATCAACTGACCACTGTAGGCTGCCGTTCACCGTCGCTTCCATGACCCCTCCGCCATTCAGATGTGCACTCTGATGAACATCAAGACCGGTGGCTGCAGTGAGGACTGCTCCTACTGTGCCCAATCCTCGCGGCATAACACCGGCCTCAAGGCCACCAAGATGAGCCCCGTGGACGAGGTATTGACCAAGGCCCGTAACGCCAAGGCCAATGGCAGTACCCGTTTCTGTATGGGTGCTGCCTGGCGAGACATGCGCGGCCGCAAGACCAGTCTCAAGAACGTGAAGCAGATGATCACCGGCATCCGGGACATGAACATGGAAGTGTGCGTCACCCTGGGCATGATCGACGAGCATCAGGCCAAGGAGTTGAAGGAGGCTGGCCTCACCGCGTACAACCACAACCTCGACACCTCGCGTGAATTCTACCCATCCGTCATCACCACCCGCTCTTACGACGAGCGCCTAAAAACACTTTCGCACGTCCGTGATGCCGGTATCAACGTCTGCTCCGGTGGTATCCTCGGCCTAGGTGAGGCTGACTCCGACCGCATTGGTCTCCTACACACCGTCTCCAGCTTGCCCGCACACCCCGAATCCTTCCCCGTCAACGCGCTTGTCCCTATCCCTGGAACGCCTCTCGGCGACCGCAAGATGATTCCTTTCGACCGTCTGCTCCGAACTGTTGCAACCGCCCGTATTGTGATGCCCGCCACTATCGTTCGTCTGGCTGCCGGTCGCATCGCTCTCACCGAGGAGCAGCAGATCGCATGTTTCCAGGCCGGTGCAAATGCCGTTTTCACCGGTGAAAAGATGCTGACCACCGACTGTAACGGCTGGGATGAGGACAGTGTCATGTTCAAGAAGTGGGGATACTACCCCATGAAGAGCTTCGAGAGGGCCAAGCTGAGAGTCGACCCTGTAACGGCAGAAACGGAACCCGAGGCTGCTGCGCCGGTCGTAGCTATCCCTTAGATCTAGATGAGCTTAAGAAACATGTTGAATCGTTGAGAAGAGTGGACTGTGTAGATGTAGACGCACGAGTAGAGGCAGTGGTTCTTGGAAGATATTCCTCCACGTGACCGGGGCAAAACATGCAGGAACACTTCCTTCCTCTCATCTTCCCCTGTTTACCCCGGGATATTCATCGAATGTTCCATTTTCTGTGACGCCAACTGTTGATCGGCGCTCCACTGTCAAATGGGCTACTGCCGAGGCCCAGCCGGACGCACGCTGTGATTTCAACCTCCATCAGGCCATCTTGCCATCATTATTGGACATCAATTTTACCACAGCGGATCGCACTGGTTCCCTCTTTAGTCTGAACAGGCTCCAAAATGGCCATTCAGATGTCCTCGAGGGATTAGCCGACTCCGAGGCCTCTCTGCGGAGAACTTCACATGTGGCAGCCGCCGATCGCCGCCTATTTGGCACCGTCCACGATCTCCTGTTCATTTGATGTGTAGGTTTTGTTGGGGTAAATTGATCCACAGGTAGATCCCGCATCATGGCTCTATTCACATGGGTCGTGTCTGTGCAAAATGATATAAACCAGATCCACGCCACCAGGAGTGGCCGCAAATCCACCTAAAATGCCCACCATGGATTCTAAATCGATGTCCAAAGATTCGATGAAATCGACATGGCGAACTGCGCCTCGCAGTGAGTGGAACATAAACCACTGGCTGCTGGATCTGCTCAACGCCCATCCTCAAGACCTCAACAAGGAAGTGCCCGTGCACAGCAAAGACGAGAAAGTCCCGTTTATGCCTCAGTGGTCTCTACAACGCTGGGTACTCTTCTACTCTGCACTTCCACTCCTCCTCCACGAAACATATATGGCCTACACTGGCCGTACTATCGGACCAATCACCGCCTTCAACTTTTACTTCTTCGCCTTCAACGCCACTGTCATCTACCAGGTGCACATTCTCCGTCGTCTAGGCCACAAATATGGTTTCCTTGACGGGGACAAGCATGAACGAGATGGCGTGCCCGACGTAGGCGTGGCCAAAGTAGTCACATCGCTCTACAAAACCACCGGGTCTCGCCTTATCCTCTCGGTCTTCCTTTCCTACAATGCCAGCCAACGCCCCTCGGAGATGTCGTGGGCGTGGCTTCCGCTCGAAATTGGTCTATACGGCATTGTTCTTGACTTCTGGTTCTACTGGTACCACCGCTTGATGCACGATGTGAGCTTCCTCTGGAAGTTCCACCGCACGCATCACCTGACCAAACACCCTAACCCCCTACTAGCCGCCTACGCCGACCATGAACAAGAATTCTTCGATATGGTCGGCGTCCCGATGATGACCTATTTTAGTCTTAAACTTATGGGTCTGCCGATGGGCTTCTATGAGTGGTGGATCTGTCACGAGTACGTTGCCTTTGCTGAAGTCTTCGGGCATAGTGGACTGCGTATGCATCTCACTGTACCTTCGACACTGAGCTGGCTACTTCAGATGTTTGACTCGGAGATTGTTATTGAGGACCATGATCTGCATCACCGTAAGGGGTGGCGTAAGAGCCACAATTACGGTAAGCAGACTAGGCTGTGGGATCGCATTTTTGGTACTTGTACCGAGCGTATTGAATCTGCGGCCGATAATGTCGACTACGAGAACACGGCTAAGATGCCTCTTTTCTGAGGCTATCGGGTTTACATTCGTCTAGACGTGGAAAAAGAGGCGGTGATTGCGAGTCACTTGTACATAGCTCAATCTTATGAATGATGTCAACATATATTATATTGCTACTTTGCTACTCGTCTAGATTGTGTTAGTCTACCCTTGGGGATTGAGTAGGGTGTACACGAGTGGTTTGGTTTACCCGGCCTTTCCATATTAGGCGCACGTGTTGGTCATAGGTCTGACCTGACTCAAGGTTTGTTATATCAAACTGACATACCACACCTGACATATATATCGTCCATCAGAGGAATGCGTACAAGTATCATGCATTACCAAACTACCAGGTGTCATCTCTCATATCTAAACCACTTGCATAATTCGAGCTATATCTACTCAATACTTATATGGATGTCTGATTGAGCCTGTGTTTATTTCTCCTGAGAGAAAATGTAAACATCATAGGTAGTCAGAGCATTTCCAAACCGACATCATTATCTCTTCGTGCAATATGTTCTACTGACTAAAATCTGACACCTGCGAAGCACAAAATTTAATAGCAAGAGTCTAAGCGATCTTCAATGTAGATTCGATATTGGCAAATCTTGTTAATCTCCAGCCTCCTGGAGATTCTATCACCTTCCTAGAAGGTACACAACAATTAATACACTTTTCTTCATTCTGAATACTTCTTTGCATAAACCAACAGATTTCATGTTGGACAGGTGCACATAACTTACGGAATATACAGGTTGAATTCTCGGCAGGGATGTGAAAAAGGACAAACTTGCAACATCTCTAGTGCCTTTCTGCAGGAAACGATTTCGTTGTACTTCCGTTTACGCTTTTTCCTTTGGAAGCCATTTAGGAGACGCCATAGATGCTAAATATGGGGCTTACATCAAGGTTTCGGTCGGTAGGCCGGATAGAGTCGGTCGAGTATCAATAAAACGAGGCTTCACGGAAGACGCTGTGCCTGAAGTTTCTTTACAAATAAACCTTGATTGGCGTTCAAAGCGCATGTCTACAGCTAAATTCGATCGGTTGAGCATATAAATGACAAATACTTCAAGATCCATTCCGGAAGATTATCCAAAGAAGGATGAAGCCCGCCAAGTGACCGGAAAATCCGACCAGACATAGAACTGAGCCAAGGTTATCTGTCTGTATAGCTCTGTAGTGGGTACTTGCCACCTTGACTATCGATTTGGGCGTCCCGGACGCTCGGTCTGCTTCCAAATTTTGGAACTTCATGCAGACCTAAACAATGACTGTTTCAGATCTTTGAGTTTGTGCTAGACTTTGACTATCGATATTGTACACGGAAGTCGTTGTCAAGATGCCTGGCCCCGCTAGTTCGCCGAGCGTTGACCTGGCAAGTATATCCGGGGCTTGTGTCAACATCAATAGTGCTGACATCTTGTGGGTACTTTCTTGGCCTGAGCTTTGAGTGACCACAAGCTCAATCAGGCTCTAGTGTCAAACAGTCGCCGAGATTTTCTCCGGCAATGCCGGGTTCCCACACAATCTCGGTTATAATGCACATATATTGCTAAGCGTTGAGCTAATGTAGGGCAGTCGCGTGGCCTAGGTGTTTTTATTCCGTCTGCATGGTCCAGTCAACGTTCACTATCGGGTTATTGACAATAGTGATTGGCTTGGTCTCAACCCCACCTACGTACGCTAGTCAACATCGGTAAGCCAAATCCCGACTGAACCAACGATCGATTTAGCGTGTATTTAGTGCAGAAACATAGTATTGTCCTGCCTAACTAGGTAAAGTCCAATAATTATTGATAGGTGGGTATAGATTCGTGACGGCGTACACTAAGTGACAAGTCTAGAAATAATTCTATGTAGAAGGAAACACCCGATCAACAACCTCAAAGCTGCCTCACAGACTGAGGCAGCTGCTCCTCGTCGGAGAAAACAGAAATCTCGACCTGCTTCGTAATTCCAGTACCGTCAAAAGTAGGAGAGTCCGGATGGCCGCCGACGCTGGTGCTGGTATGCGCGCTTTGGTGTAAAATGTGATCCACACTCCCATTCTCCAGATCAGGCTTGAACTTGCGTGTGCGTCGCGACTGGTTGGTTTCGTTTGGGTTCGTTTTGCGACCGGTGAAAGGACCGCTGAGTTCGTAGGAGCGCGAGAACTTGCCGCTGGAGATCTTGCGAACAGAGGAGATGATCAAGGGTCGGATGCAAGGGATAGAGGAAGTGATAATAATGATTGTGTTTTCGATGTACCCCCAGCGGATGAGCTCAATGCCACCGCTAGCACCGATATTTGTTATACTGGGAATCGAGTCGAGTTTGGTTGTCTTGATGATAGATGCGATCATTGCACTGATCCGTTAGTACCTCGCCAATGCCCGGAGGAGAAAACACTTACACAATACCCAGACTGAGCAGAACGATCAGACTGACCTTGATCCGGAGCTTCAAATTAAGATTCCAGAACACAAGAGCCGGAAAGACGGCCAAGAACAGATCGGTGGCCGAGTTGAATGTGTTGGAAAAGTAGGCGAACTTGATGATAGCGTTTGAATCACCGCAAGTGGTTGAAAGAGCGACAGCTGGATCCCATAGAGCAGCGACATTGCGACAGATACTCAAGGGAAGTACAGCGGAGGTGATATTGCCCGCAAGCTGAATGATCATAAATGCCCATAGCAAGCCCTTGTATATCTTGTTTGTACCGAGGAGAGGTAGAATGTAGAGAATGAATGCGGAGCGAGCGAAGGTAGTACTGAAGGTGACGATCGGGACCTGGATGGCAATGTATTTCAAGACCAATTCCTGATCAATCCGAGGGAGGGTTGTGAGATCCTTGCCAAAGCCATGTCTCACGCACAATGTCAAGAAGACGGTTGAAGCGATCGCCAAAAGCTAGACACGTTAGCAAAGACACAAAATAGCCAGAGGAAAAAATAGTACCTCGGCGAGGATCATCAAGGCATCGTCGAAGCCAAACCGTTTGATTTTAATCTTAGCAAAGACTCGTAAAAAGACGATCACCGCGGCGATGATCACCGCGGCCCAGATCCCCTTCTCCAGGGCTGGGCCAAGATCCTTCGACATGTTGTGGAGATACAAGAATTAATTGAAGATCATTGTTGAGACAATCCCAATCCTTTAATAAAGCAGGGGGTAACGCCTAGGAACCCCATGTGCTGCAGGTATGCCGGAAAAGAAAGTCCAATTTGGAGTTGAGCGAAAACCCAAGGTTCGAGTTGGTCAGAAACCCCGGATAGACCGAGAAAAGGGAATGGAAAAGACGTGGAGAGAGCCAATAGAGTCAGCTCATCTCCTGGCCCAAAAAAATGCCGGTGGATAGACTAAGTATTGGCCTGTGAGGTCTTTGAGATCGGCAAACTCTGATAGATTCAGCTTTGAGTCGTCCGTATAACAGAACAGGTTCTACGCCGGATGCGTCGTCTCCACTTAATCTATTAAAATGAGATGGATTAATCTGAATTAATCTAGAAACACCGGTACTCAAGTCTGCAGCCGCTAGAAAATTTTAACCCCCAAAATTTGAGACAAGTCAAGCCACCAAAGTCTCGTTGATTAAGGAGAGAAGCCCTAACGGGCGACGCCTGAGTTAGGGCTGACTCCCGGCTGGCTGTCCGGCGCGGCGTAGTTGGTGGCGTTGAGGCCCACTTTCATATGTAACTTGTAATATGATTGAAGGATCCAGTGTCTCTGTGCTGAGACAATTCGATCTAATGCCCGCGCCATGTCTGTGAGAGCCGTGGGAGTCCGAGGCTTAAACTTGTTGCTGGGAGGCAATCTCAACATCCTCATGTTCCGGTAGATGTGGATGGGACAATTATCCATGGAAGCCCAGCCTCTTCGGCTACTGTAGATCACATCTGCCGCAGAGTGAACAATGTGTATTCTGTAGATCTCCCCCAAACCCCAATTCCCGAGATCTTTCACAATCGGTTCATCGCGGTGGAACCCCGGTGAAATTCCAACTCCACCGTCAATATACAGACTAGACGCACTGGGGAACACCTCCGAGTAACTCATATGATTCCAGAATCTTTGCATTGACCATGGGAATCCGAGACTGAACATTGTCTGGTATAAGTAACGTGGTGATCGGCAAACTCCTCTCCATTCTTCAACCTTATCCCTTTCTTCATCTCCACCACCATGAAGGCCTGGACATTGACCTCTCTTCTCGCTGTCCCAGCGATTGCTGGTGTTTGCCATGTGGCTCGCGATGCTGACTGCCACTGCCTGCCCAGCGACAGCTGCTGGCCTGCCCCTTCCGCTTGGGCTTCGCTGAACAGCACCGTTGGCGGTCGCTTGATTGCGACCGTGCCCATTGGTACTCCTTGCCATGCTCCCAACTATGATGCCGCTGCCTGTGCTGCCCTGCAGGCTGAGTGGTATGAGCCGCAGCCTCAGTATGTTCATTGCCCTTGAATACGTTAACCAAAGCTAATCGCCACCAGCCTGAACTCGTCTTCATCGATCATGCAGACGTACTTTGCCAACCAGACCTGTGATCCTTTCTCTGCCAAGTCTAAGCCTTGCACTCTTGGCAACTTTGCCAGTTACTCTGTGAATGTCTCCTCCAGCGATGAGGTCATTGCCGCTGTCAACTTTGCCCGTGAGAACAACATCCGCTTTGTGATCAAGAACACCGGCCATGAGTAAGTCTTCGCATCCTTCTATGCTCCAACACAACTAACATGGTATAGTTACCTCGGTCGCTCCACCGGTGCTGGTGCCTTGTCTGTCTGGACCCATAACCTGAATGACATCGAATACCAGGACTGGTCGGACTCGGACTACCAGGGCCCCGCGTTCAAGGTCGGTGCTGGAGTTGTCGGCTACCAGATCCTCGACGCTGCCCACTCCAAGGGTCTCGTCGTCGTTACTGGCGAGTGCCCCACGGTCGGTCTCGCTGGAGGCTATACTCAGGGTGGTGGTCACTCCGCCCTCAGCACCCAGTTCGGCCTCGGCGCTGACAACACCCTCGAATATGAGGTTGTCACCGCTCATGGAACCCTCGTCAAGGCCTCGCGCTCCGAGAACTTCGATCTCTTTTGGGCTATCAGCGGTGGAGGTGCCGGCAACTACGGTGTTGTCATGTCCATGGTTGTCAAGGCTCACCCCGATGCCATCATCTCCGGTGCTGAGGTTGCGTTTGCTTCAACCAACATTTCCACCGATGTCTTCTATGAGGCTATCTCCCAGTTCCACGCTCTCCTCCCGGCCATGCTTGACCAGGGTGTCACCGTCATTTACCAGATGGCTGCTAGCTTCTTCAAGATTGCCCCCATCACCGCCTACAATCAGACCTCCGATGATGTTAAGGCTCTCCTGAAGCCCTTCCTCTCGGCCCTGACCGAGCTGGACATCAAGTATGCCGCCACCTACACTCAGTTCGACTCCTACCACGACCACTACAACAACTACATGGGTCCCCTCCCTTGGGGCAACCTGGCCGTCGCCACCTACCAATACGGCGGTCGTCTGATTCCCCGTAAGACCCTGGAGGAGAACTCCAACGGAATGGGTGCCGCACTCCGCAACATCACCCAGAGCGGCGTTATCGCCGTTGGTGTTGGCATGAATGTGACTGCCTCCACAGGCAACATCAACAACGCCGTCGCACCCGCTCTCCGCAACGCTGCGGTCACCATGCAGATCGGCACTGGCTGGAACGAGACTGCCCCATGGTCCGAAATGGTCGCCGACCAGTACAAGATCACCAACGAGTACGTTCCCCAGCTTGAGGCTGTCACTCCCAACAGCGGCTGTTACCAGAATGAGGGCAACTTCCGCCAGTTGAACTGGAAGGAGACTTTCTTTGGTAGCACCTACTCGCCCCTGCTGTCTATCAAGCGCAAGTGGGATCCAACCTCGTTCTTCTATGCCCTGAAGGCTGTTGGCAGTGATGCCTGGAATGTTGCCGAGTCTGGTCGTATGTGCCGCGCTTAGGCAAGCATGATTATGATGCGATATGCCACGTCAAAAGTGTTAAAGTGGTTTAGATATTTATGTATAGATACTCCATATAGTAATTAGATATGTTTTTGATAATGAATTTCTTTCAATTCAGTCACTACCAAAATGGACATCTAGACTGCCTAGACTTCTCTGCTCCACTGTCCCCGGGAATTTACCGATGGGGAAGCTAAGAGCCATCGCTAAGCTCAAATAACACTTTCCCTATTAGGTTTAGCAAGGTACAGGTCAATATATCCACGGCTAAAAGGCTGTCAAAAGGCAAGTCCAAACATTCATACATCTCTGTGTGTGGATATGCAAAATTATGCATTTCGCTTACTTCGCTTCTCGTTCTGTGTTCTATTTTCAGATACTCATGCAGTATTATTTTCAACTAAGACATAAAGTAAAATCATGAAAGTAAAGTTATGCTGAAAGATGCTTAAACAATGCTAATATCTATAAACCCATGAAACCCAATATATGGTGCAGATAACCCACTGTACACCGTGACATTTAATAGAAGCAAGTCGATTAAGCGTTGCTAGCGCAAGAGAAGCTGTTGCTGGAAGCATCGTCATGGATAGCCTTGCCAGAAACATAGAGACCAAGACCACACATGCAGCCACCAATCAGAATGATGAGAACATTGACCACAGTAAGGAAAATCTTCCTAGGCGAAGAGAACCATTTTCCCTTGTTGATGTGCAGCCAGTAAACACCACCAAGACCGTAACTGAACCAACTAGCAAACAGAGAGCTGATCAAAGAAAGGAGGTCGCTGAAGACGGGAATAGCGTCCGCAATGATCCAAGCGATAACCCAGCAGGCGAGTGCGATGGCAACCCAGGATCCGACAGCCGTCAAATCACGCTTGTGCATGCGGTCGGTTCCACGGAAGAGGCGGACATAGATATACTTGAGACCGATGTGGCCGTTCACGACACCAGCGCCAATAATCTAGAATTGTCAGTACGTCAACGTCAACTGAGGTAAGAGAGACAGCTTACGGTTGGGATGGCAATTCCGTAAGCAACCTTCTTCAACACGGGACCGGCAGATGTCAGGGCAGGAGATGCGACATCCTGGCCAACATAGTAATAGATGACAATCGCAGCCACGGTGTAAAAGACGATCTCAAATGTCTGTAGCATAACAAGAGCCTTAGGGAAATCTCTGGGCTCCTCCATCTCCGCAAGGAGACCGAAGAAAGCGACATGAGCGCAGTAGGCAAAGACAATGTTGGTGACTGCGCTGAAAGCGCGGAATAAATCAGTGTCAATGGTGGCTTTGAGGTCAACTCCGCCCTTGTTCTGAACGCCGACTCCAATCATAGTGATCAACACGGCAGTCAAAATACTGACGAACGCTAAAGACATAATTAGCACGCATTCCATGTTCCACGGGTCGAATCCACATACACATGCACGAGATATAAGTCATATTCTTCATAGTCCGTGGTAGAGAACACACGAAACAGATCACGAATCCAACAGTCGTAAAAACCATGGTGCAGGTACCGTGTTCGGTAACAGTGTTCATCATGACACTGAAAGTCAAAATGTGACTACCCATGATAAAAATCGAGAAAAGGAGTTGGCCCAGACCAAATAGCTCACGTCCAAAAGCACCAAACAAGACCTCACCAGCGTCGGCCAAGTTCTGAATATGGGGATATCGGGCGCGGAATTGATGGATCGTGTAACCGGTATAAGTCGCGAGAATGCCCAGTCCAATAATGAGGACAAGAGCAGGAGCGAGACCCAGCTCGGCGAGAGTCTTTGGCAGGGATAAAACACCGAGAGAGACAGATTCGGCAATCATAACTAGATGGGGTCAGAGGTCGTTCGAAGTGAGTTTTGCGCAGTTGATCAGCACTTACACATTCCGGTTTGCCTAGAAGCGTATAATTAGCATGCGTATTGTTATATGGTCATCCCCAATGCGCCACTTACCACCACTTCATGGTCTTATATTTGACCTCTGCACCTTCCTCGTTACCAAAGGCATCCTGGTATTGAGGAGAAACCTGGTCCTCTTCCATGTTCTTTTCCTTCCATCCTGACTCAGAGTCAGTTGGGTCATGATGCGGAGTTACTCCATTCACAATCATAATGTTAAAGCAGAAGTAAGGATGGGGAAGGGATAGAAATCAAAATTATACGAAGAAGAAGAGAAAGAGAAGAAACAGGTCTTGTATGTGTAGAAAATTCTTGAGGAAGGTGGAGCTCAACGTGACACCCCGGGGAAGTTGCCCCGAATTCTGGGGGCCAGGGCTCCTGGAGTAATTGTATTTCTATTGCATTGTGTTCTATGCTTAGGGTTTTTGCTTTGATGTCGGAGTATCGAAGCAGTTAAGCCTCGGTGGAGCTCCTGGGCGCGGAAGAGGTTGCACTAAGCCCACTTTTGTAGTTCGACAGCCAACCAGGGCGTCGGCATGAGAGTCTTATTATCTAACAAGAATCGGCTCTCTCGCATGGGCCGCGAATAGCCGCATTAAATTTGACACCGGGCCAATGCCGAAAGCAGACTCTTCAAGTTGTTACTAAACGCCAAGCTTATATAGGATGATCAGGTGCGTTCAGATTTCTTGATCTAAAATTGACATATATGCAACCACTGGAGATTCACAGATAGCATGCACATGTACTATGTATTGAAGCCGATGGCAAATTTCATGACTTCATTTGAGCTCGGGTGGCACAGAAGCCTTCTAGAAGCATAGTAACCAAACGTGGGCTGCTTCGGCTTGAAGCGTCCTTTCGCCACAGAAAAAAAACTTTTAGTCAAGCATTGCAACTAAGGCCGCCTAGAAGCGCCAAACGGCCTTGGCCGTTCTCTGGTTCAGGAACTCGGCTTTTGTGACAGCCCCGGGTGTCGGGTTGCAGGGACCAGAAGAAAAACTCAGGGGTCAGTGCGAGGGACAGACGGTGGATGACTTGTGTCATAGAAACTAGATTACTGGGGAAAGCCCCACTGGAATCTATGATGTTTGGAGAGGCCCAAATCCCTTCAATTACGGCAATCTTCTCGCAAATTCAATCACGGTAATTAGGTCACACTTTGTCTACTTCGGCATAACTCATCATGAAAAATTACTCCATATTTTGGCCCTCAACTCTCCAGTTTCTCCAAATCTTCCCCGGATGACCCCAGGATACGAGAAAACAGAACGTAATTAGAGTCCAAATCCCCGAGCCATCTTCTTCCACGATGAGTTCATTCTTGAATGCACCCCACGCTTTGCAGTTAGCTTGGAGATTATACGAGTCAATCAGTGACTTGATCTCATTGTATTGTTCCACAAGCTGGATTGCCCCTTCCAGTGTGCCATCCAATATGACAAGGCATCAGCCAAGCACCCAGATTGTCGGTTTTGAGTGCAATGACCCAGTATCCATTCTCAGGCAGCATAGCCGTGTCATGACTCGGCGGAGTGGCAGGTGTAGTGACGTTCCCAGTATAAGTCCCACTTCCGCGAGCGAGCACCACGAAATCGTGGCCATGAAGATGAATTGGATGCGGGACCGACATCGATGTTTCGATGACAACATAGATCCACACATTCTTGCGGGAGAGCTCAACAACACCACTAGCATTTGCCCAGCTGTGGTGACCCCGATAGACCTCCAAAAGCATTGGGTCCGTCCGATCAATATGTATCGATGTTGAATTAAGCTTCCACCGGTACAGACTATCTCCATTCTTACCTAGCGACACTGGCTCGGAATTGTTATAGAAAAGATCAAACACGGTTTCGGAGACAATCGGGGTTAAATTCGACATGTTCTCATCAACAAAGCTGTTGATATAGCTGCAGCCAGTGGTGGTAGGTGTTAAAGGCGAGTCACCATAGTATATGATTCCCATGGCGTTGGTTGGGTTCGCATTCTCCGAGCAGGCATTCTGGGGAATCGCAGTCAGCTAGAAGCTTTTGGCAACTAACACTTGATCGCCTTTCACAATGACATCGTATCGTTGACTTAATCTGTCATTGGTATAGAAAAAAGAGCAATGTATACATGAGTCTCACCCATAATTACGTTCAAAACGTTCGTCTTGTATGACTGGATTGGTACAAGGTCATTGGCAATGAGTGTCATGGTTGTGCTGGTTATAGAGAATTTGAAGTGCGTATCACAGGCACATTCACCAGCCGCAGTCGGTAAAAGCTTTCTTCCGTGAACGAGGCATTGAAGCGAGTCCCAGTCTGATTCACAGTGCCATCAGTACCGAGGACATTGGGTAGCATCTTCGTCCTGGGAAAACATCTTATGGGGACAACGTCTCATCTGTGAGAACCCCAACCAGACTAGGTCACTAATTGTACATAAATGCGCCTATTAATATGCTATCCAAGGGTGTCCGCGGGGCGTGCAAGGCTGCCTTGGTGGACATGGTTCGGAGAACAAAAATTGAAGGCCCACAGGCCAGCAAAAGAAGCAGGATCGTGCCTAGAATGTGGGTTCAATGTAGAAAGACTGAACGCGACAGCAAAAACTGATCCAAATAGCACCACTGTTTAACAGATAGAATAGTATTTCGGCCTACTCCACTACTTTCGGTTCTTTTTCACATCGACCTTCTCATCACACTTTTGTTACGATTGGTTTTTACTTCACGACAGAATCATGATATGGTCAAAGTCCCTAGGTCGCAATCGTCTCGCCCTCAGGCTCCGCTATGGCTGCCGTCGTGATCGACAATCGCAACTCGGAAACCTACAGTTTGTATGCTTATGATGAAAACACCGCAGGACTTCCATTATACTATGGCGATGGCTAGTATAACACAGCCGTACATAAACCACTGGAACTGAACTATTTTATAATGATAAAATAGGCGACGTGATCATCGCCAACAAAGCCCCAGACAATGCAACTAATGTTGGCCAGCTTGCCTGTGAGAGCTCCTGAGAACATTAACACATTGAATTAATTTTGACTTTGCGATAGTAAACCCTGGCTGGATCTTCTGGTCCACTGGTAGGCAACCCGCCCAATTCAACCGGTTCCAATTCAGGCAACAATACCAACACACTACCATTCTCGAACCAGCAGATGTTTGTCCCTAGTGCGGACTCCACCAATCATCAAGTTGGCTTTATAAGCAATGCATCTTCAGGGGAGATAGCCTCAAAAGTCGTCTGGTACGGATATTTCCTGCTTGTGGAGGTCGATGGTGGCAGATATACCTCCTTGTTCTGTGCCAAAAAGAACATTTAGCAGGAAGGTGCCTTTTCCTTGCAACCTTGCAATAGAAAATCATTGAAAATTACGATGAGGATACGGAGTACCATACAGTTTCGATGAGATCGATTGCACCATCAACTACCAAAGTGATTCAATGACAGCTAGATCTGAATCTATACTATGCTTAGCAAAGCGAAGCTGTGCTTGACACGGCTTTTTGTTCAATGTCATACTGATTATCCTATTTACCTCCTTTAAACCGCAGAAAGAATGCGCCACTTCTTTATGGAGACTTTTTGGGGACTAGTGACAAAGAAACCAGCTATAGTTTTTGTCTGCCTATGGTGAAGGATGCAAGAAGAGCCTATATGTTGAATGTTGCCAGTGATACATGTTTGCTAGTGGCGACGTTTCCTAGAAGTGAACTTGAATCAAGAACACTCACCTTCCTTTGGTCTTCGTTATACAATGGTTCTCGCGAGCAACAAATAGGATACGAAACGAAAGGCATAGTATCGAAAGTATCCCCTCTACTGAAGGACGTATTATTAATAAGGCATTTTTACTTCGTTTTGTTAGGGATACTTCTTTTTCGTATCCGCTCATCTAATTAGGCCATGTATTTATAGTTATATGTAATGTGATGCTCAATTGACACCGCCATATCCTTCAACTTCAACTTTAGACTAGCTAGGAACTGGAAGATTCTGGACATGTTAATATGGTTGTTAGAATGTGCACGCTATCCAGTCTGTGTATGGCTCTCTTTGACATAATGCACCGGATACTTTAGTACCTACTTTTCTTGTGACAAATATGAAAAAAGAAATCGGACAAACAGATTCCTGGTAATCAATGCGTGGCGCATTATTGACGTGTGAAGACATCTACAGGCGATGCTTTGAACTTCTTTCGTCTCGCCGTGACTTTGCCCTTTTGCGACATTTGTGCACAAGATTGCGCTATGGGTTGAGGTTGAGGTTGATCTTTGCTTTAGGCGCCTTCTTGCTACTCTTAGACAGTAAATCTTTGTTAAAAGAGATGTATATGACTGATTTGAAGATCAATTCGTAACCATCTATCACGTTGTAGTGATCAGACTTTCGCCACCTAGTTGCCAGTCAGAGGATTCTACTTTCATGGCGAAGCACTGTTCTGCTCGTGGTGGTGCTTTACAGAATCACATAGATGAAACTGTTCTATTGGAGTTTTGGGATCATAGAGAAAAACGATGGATATACCCCGAAGCATTTGGGGAGAGAGCCTTCGTGCGCCAAATAACGACATTGGACCCTAAGCCCTGATTGTCAAGTATCTTACTTTCTTACAGACTTAGTCACCACGAGAGTCTGCAGTATTTCATTAAAAAATTCTAATGAACCATAGTCCTTTAATACGTTACAAAGAATAAATTCAAGCTAGACTTGTTCTCTCTGGATTCACTCTTGATATGACATCAAGACATTGCATTGATTTCATATTTGGAAAAGCCCCTTAGATCTACTCGGAAGACATTACATTCCGGAAAGGGGTGTGGCAGTGTCAGCACTTGGCGCATCTAAAAATAAGCTCGCCTCAAATTGACACGGTAGCGCCAAGAGCCCTTTTGACGCCCGTGACATTCCGCGCGGCGGAAAGGACTTGGCATGTTGGCCCCTGTCTAGGAGAAATGACAATATTTCTTGCCAACCTGAATGCATCGGAAATCTTTCGTGATATGTGACTACAAGGGTGTATTCAAACAGAGGTTGCGAAACAAGGGATTTCTGTGCGCAAAAGAAGGGAATTCCACCTGTCTGATTTTGAGTCCGCAAAAGCAATGACCTGACCAACTACCTTGGTCAGGCTGATTTATCATGTCTCTAGGAAAACTTGGAGTTCGTTTCCTAACCGCCTGCCCCCGGGTACGCCGGGAAGGGGGGCGGGGTAGGGAAGCCCATTCGCGCTTGGCATTTACTGCATCTCGTTCCGCAAGCAAAGAACTCAATGCCAAGCGCCCTAAAACTGGGCAGTGCTCAAGTCAGGCAGCAGAATTTGTCGTGCCAATGTCTTGGAATATGGATGAGTCCCTTTCTCTTTGTAATCCCGCTCATACGGTGCCTCTCTGCCAAGTGCCTTGTTTCGCAGTGATGATTCGTTACATTATAGGGTTTATTGCATTATTGCCCTTTTGTTCTAGGCAATGTACATTCATATTCCTGCGTTGCTCTTAATGCTCACAAATCCTGCTCTCCATCTCTCACTCCCATGTATTTTCTCCGATGTCGATCGCCCGTCCGCTCGCGTCGAATGAGGCCTGTGATCCTTTCAGGGTGGTTGACTGCCCTTTTTACCTGTCTTCTCGTTCAAAATGCCCTCGCTATTGACGTCAACCCTGATGACGAGAGTAGGTTCATTCCATAGGCTACCCAAACACTTCAAACGACTTACACGTACCTCCCCGCCAGGCTCCCTCAAAGATGCTGCCAAGACCGTGGCCTCCGCCATGATAGATTTCTACAATGACCGCGACTCGAAAGACATTCCAGGTAAAATGGACGGTACCTGGTGGGAGGGAGGTTCGATGTTTATGACCCTCATCCAGTACTGGTATCTGACAGGCGACAGCCAGTTCAACGACGCTATCCAGGAAGGGATGTATTGGCAAAAGGGCGAGGACGACTTTTTCCCCAGCAACTACTCCCAGTACCTTGGTAATGACGATCAGGTATTTTGGGGCTTAGCGGCGATAACTGCCGCTGAAGTGAATTTTCCAGAAAGAGAAAATGAACCCTCATGGGTCTCTTTGGCCGAGGGTGTCTTCAATGGACAGATTCCTCGCTGGGACATGAGCAGTTGCAGTGGGGGTTTGCGATGGCAGATATGGCCCTACCAGAATGGCTATGGGTTGAAGAATGCTATCTCCAATGGGGGCTTGTTCCAGCTTTCAGCACGTCTCGCCCTATATACCAAGAACTCGACCTATGCTGAGTGGGCTGAGAAAATTTGGGATTGGAGTGCGTCTACGCCGCTATTAAGAAAAACTTGGGTTATCGCCGATACCACTTCTACCGCTGCAAATTGTAAAGATCACGGTGATCATCAATGGACTTACAATTATGCTACGTATATCTCCGGTGCGGGATATATGTATAACTACGTATGTCTACCACCTTCCCCCAACAAGTTAATTACCTGGAAATTCAAGCTGACTGGAGTTATAGACCAATGGCACCGAAAGCAAATGGCTAGAAGGCGTGACTGGACTAATGAAGACATCTGATCAATTTTTTCCCGATTCCGGTTCAAACCAAGTCATATCTGACATTACCTGCGAGCCAATCAATAAGTGTGATCGAAACCAGAAAACATTCAAAGCCTATTTTACTTCCTGGCTTGGATTCATGTCACAGATAGTACCGGCCAATACCACGGCAGAAATGATGGCAAAATTCAAGAGCTCCGCTGTCGCTGCCGGTCAACAATGCTCTGGCGGAAGCGATGGAAAGCATTGTGGAATTCGCTGGACGAAGAAGGCAGAATGGGATGGAACTTTAGGTCTGGAGCAGCAGATGTCTGTTTTGGGTGTTCTTAACGCTGTCATGGTTCCATTCAAGGCCGAGGGTCCCTACAACACCGACAACGGTGGAACATCCCAAAGTAACCCACATGGAGGTACCAATACCAAGGATAGTTTGGGGCCTGAGCCTATCGAGACAGGCGACAAGGTTGGCGCGGGGATATTGACAGCGGTATTTGTTATAGTCTGGGTCGGGGCTGTATCTTGGATGGTTAAAGGCCAATAGATTCAACTTAATGGGAAAACTGTAAGTATATGTACATTTAAGCTCTTGAGATACCGCGAAATTCAATGCGTTCAATGATATTTCGTAAGAATCGCGGGCTAGTCACGATAGTGGAATGCGCCATGGTAGGTTAAGTTAAAGAATAAGCACTAGTCATCACGTAGTACGAAAAATCTAGACAATGAAGGGACTTTCTCGCCAAAAAGAATTCATCCGTGGTCATACGAAGGCCAAAGTCACGTTGGCCGATTCAGTAACCAGGCCCAAGACTTCAGTTTTCTCAACATAAGATATAAAAGAGTCGCATACGACATTACTAACTACTAGCTATATATTAATCGTTACCTGAGCACCCTAATTGGTACTAAATGTAGTGTAGAGGATTGTGGTTCGCCGAATAGAAGGTTGGAATGTAGGGGAGATTCTAGAGTACGTCGCCCATTTGTACTCAAGAGTGAATGGATAAGCTTAAGGATCTTATGAATGTACTCTTGCATTGGCTAAGGCTATGCTGCTCTATACATATTGACCGTACATGTATTGTCTCGTTGAATCGATACCAATATAAAAGTTTGCCTGCCTTTGAAAACGCCACTAGCGGGTCTTATAGGCTTAAAGATATGCCTAGCATACCTAGTCAAAAGCTAACAACGAATCAACAACGATATTTCTGTATCGTATCAGCCACATGATGTTGCTCCAATGTGATCAGCTGTCCCTTTTTGATTGCGTCGGAGACGTATGGTTGGCCACAAATATCTCTTTAGAAAAGATTTGAGAGATTATGAAGCATCTCCCTCTACGTATTATCCGGGCGACTTGACTACGTGCTTAAAAAGATTTGTATATGAAAGAACTTCTCCATTCAAATAGCGTTCATTAAGTCACAGGATTTGAATGTAAAGGCGCCATGCGTGGGTGGAAGCGCGACTGGGGAAGTGTTACGGTACCCCCCCTGGATTGACAATCCAGTAAGGTCTTGATAATGGATCAAATGTTGATTTCAACACTCAGGGATGATTCGGACAGGTGATGTTGATGAAATTTTGCTTTGCATTCCATATTTACAATCACGCGATGCGGTTGGGATAATACGTCGCAATCACTAGTATCGGAAAGACTCATGTGTCAAAAAATCAAAGAATACTTTTAAGCTGATTAAAGCATAAGGCATATGAGCTTTAAAGCACGAAAAACATCTTTCACACCATGTCTTCTTCCCGTTTCGGGGTTTGGAGGGGTGCCTTTTTACACCAACGCTTCCAAGCTCTGGAAGTGTCACCCATCGGAATAGAAAATGGCAGAGAGTCTTCACAGAGGGATTGTAGAACGGAATAATATCCAGCTAAGCTGGCAATGAACCCGAATGCACCAGCAGCGGTGATAAGATTCGCACTGATTTCAACCAACCCGTCGCCCAAGGCAAAGCTGGATGCAGCATCGAGAATGAGACACAGCTCAAGTCCGAGGAACAGAATGATGTAGACAATGTTCCTGTTCGGGAATATTAGCCTTGGCGTCGGGAGTATGCAGATTGAAGGTACTCACAGAGCGCAGCTGGCCAGCAGGAAAAAAAGATTGAAAACCGCCCATACTAGAGGCAATGTCAGAGGAAAAATATATGACAACGAAAACACGTAACTTACTCAAAACAAAGAAGCCGAGTGCGTTGTGGTATTCCGAGGTATAACCGCCATATGCTTCAGCGATGCCTAATGACGGAATCAAAATTACCCCGTAACCCCCATAGAATAATGCTTGATGATGAGATTCCAGATAAGCCAATCCATACTAAATGATATATTTCGTGAGACAAACCATATGCAGAAAGAACCGTATAAGAGAATGTATTCCCTCGGACCATCTCCCACTGTGCGGAAATGAGTAGACCAATTCCAGCAACGAAGCAAAGATCACCCATGAAGATTGTTTGTGTAAAAACTCCACGAAATTTCATCATGGCCAAAGACAGTGATAAAAAAGTGGTAGCAAAACCACCCATCGCCAAAGGCGCCTATTTAGACGAAGATAGCATGTTAGTACGTACCCTGCATCTAACTCCCAGGTAATTCAAGGCTCTTACGGGGTTGGCGAGATAAGCTCCAGGCTTCATGGTCGATTGTGCTGGCTTCGAGACCATTGTTTCATTTTCCTTCTCGGTTGACATTTCTTCGGATAACATCGGTATATTGGCAATGAGTCTTCGGCGAATCTATCACAAATCTTAATTGTCTTTCGATCTCTAAATGAGACATTTATGCTGTTTCTTTCCGAATCGATGGACCCGGACAGACCCGAATCAATTGATACCCCCGAGGTTGTTTTGACGATTCGCAGAAGAAAAGCAGTTTTATGACAAATTTGAACCATCAAAAATGTAATAGCATTGGAGACTGGCGAATACTCCGTGCGGGATTTGTGGGTCTCGTCCCCGCCTTCCTGGGGTGGCCACTTGAAAGGAGGCCCCGCCAGACTTGCGGCCGATTTAGCGTTCAATTATTTGATTTCCATTACGCTACTCTTGGATACTCCAACATCACAATTTATTAGTCGACACCGTATCATAGGGCGTTGAACGCTCCTTATTTGTAATTAAGGAGCCGCAATTCTAGATGTTGAGACAAACTCGACGTTTGTAAATGAAAATCATATATTCTACGTCTATTAGCGCCCACCCCAACCTGTTCACCTATTTGGCTAGTACCTTCCCGGTTCATCACGTCGATCTTGATCTCCCCGTGTAACAGGTAACCTTGTCTTTTATCAGGTAGACGTCCTGTCAATCAGGTGAAGTGTAAAGATAATAAGTGGTCAAGGAATAACAAGAGAAATGATTATCTTAATAATACAAGATTAATATCTTAAGATGCGGAAGTTCTTCTCTGAATAACTTCATCCTTTATAATATAGATATAGATAAGCAGTAATAATGGGATAGTTGATAAAGTAATAATGGAATAAACATAGTGGATGTTCATAAGGATGACATAATATATTGACGTTTCAAAGATCATACTTCTCGTTGATGTATGACGATGACTATAATTATAGCAAGGATGGGTGTAGTCATGTTGTGTGCAAAGGTTTGGATGCCGTTGAATAAAATTATAGACCTATTTCACGCCGACTGGCTCGATCGGGTTAGTCCCGCGGTCCTCGAGTAGTAAATTGGCCACTTCTCGTATAGTATGCGGCCGAGAGTAGCTCCACGGTTATCTAATGATATAATCCATTTAACAAGCTTTCTCCTCTAAAACCAGTCAATTTGATGGCTGTTAGCGAGGGTTTCTTCGCGACTTTCGACGCCGGAGATGCGGCGAGTAAGGGTTGTAGCCGATGAAACCTGAAAAATCAAGGAACCTCTACTTTATAGCTCAATTCTTTATTTCTTTCTTAAAATCACCAGAAAGAACTAGGATAGACACTATCTCTTTCAATCCCAAAATAAAGCCCCTCGCTCTCCTTTTTATACTAGCCGGCTGTGCTATCGCCCGCACCCGTCTCTCGTTCTTCCTCTTAGCACTTTAGACCCTTAGTGCAGCAAGCAAAACGAACGCGTAAAGGTCAACAAAACCACAATCGCGGCGCACGACACGGTGCTTTACATTATTATTTATAAAACTGATATGGAGATAAATCGGGTTTAGCTTTTCATCATCTATATCGAAGTCAATATCAAAAGCCAGTGGCTCCAGGATCCTTCTCAATAGGCAGCTAAGGGTCAGAGAATTCAAGAAATGGTCCCTTCAAATGATGCCTGATCGCGTTCTGAATCACTTCCCGATTTCAGCTGATTTAATCTACCAGAACAGGATTGACTGGAGCCCTAGGGCCTGTCTATAGGATCGACTACGTTCGTCCACTATTGGATATATAGATCAATGTGCAAGATTAGTCTAGGTTACAGGAGGGTGTCGCCTTTTGATGACCGTTACGGAATAACAGTGCCATTCAGGTCGGTCAAAAAAAAAGGAAGGAAAACATACATCACCACGGAACAGTTAGGATTTGCTAGTGGTCACCCACCCAACTACTAACCTGCCTGCGTTGGGCTTATGCGCGGTTAATAATTCGGTTGGTGTCGCCCAGGCGAGAAATGGATGAATGTGCTACTGACTGGGTGAGAATCAGGGCGAGAATCAGCCCCAAGTCGCGCTACCAATGAACTGTCCCCTTAGCTACGGGACGATGAATAGTCTTTGGATGGGATTTCTGTCAACAAATCTTATCCTATCATTTTATCCAGTAAATACTGCTTAAATATGCATCGTCCGTCACCTTTTTACCTACTAATCAATCAACCAACCCAAAAGTCTACTACGTTTTCCCGATGCAAGTCAATTCGCCCGACTCATTTAAAGCCATCTCCATTGATCATATTATGATACATTTTTTTCCAGACATGCACTGGCCTAGCAAAGCCCTCTTCGTCCCTCTCAACTTTCAGTATCCTCTCAAATCCCTGCGCTTTCAACTCATCCTCAAACGGTGGCCTGATTTGGATCGTCTTATACATCTCTCTCAATTCTTTATTCTTCTTTGAAGCTTTCGCATAATTGCTCATAGGCTGCGGTTCCACGATGAGATAGCCCCCCTCATTCAGTATGCTACGTATGTGCGCAAATAGCGTCAACATCCCGGAGTCCCCGTTGTTAAGATGTATCCACTTGGTCACAGAGAGCAGTAGTACAACGTCGAACTTGCCCCGTGCGGTACCCGTGTACGCGGACGCATCTACGAAGTCAAAGTGCTCAAATGTGCACGGCCCGTCCGGGTACGCCGCCTTCGCCTGCTCGACCAGCCACGGATCGATATCGACGCCGACTGAGGCGGCCGCGCCGCAGTGCGCTATCGTCTCATGGGTCAGTTTACCCGCGTTGCAGCCTAGGTCTATGACACGCGCGTTGCGGAGAATATCTGATGGGAGAATGGAAAGACGCTCGTCCGGAACGGTGGGTGCCCGGAACTTAGTGTAATATTGGTGGTAGTTGCCATGGCGCGCGGCGAGGTGCGTAGCTTTGAAGCGCTCTGCTTTGGAAAGTTCTGTTGCAGGGAGGGGATGGTGATGACATGCTTCTGCCATACTTGGAGATAGTGCGAGCAGAGAGGCACGTGTTGGTAATGATATTGATTGTGTCGAAAAAGAATTTGTGATGATGTGACTAACGTTAGATTTTAGTACACTAGATAGGCCATATATTAGGATTTCAAGGTCTTGAAATTTTGTGATCAAAGTTTCGTTGCGCTACCGAAAGGTTTGTAGGGTTTGCATACTCTTTGTGCCTGAGGCTCTAAATACTTGTCAGTGCTGCATTCATGAATACGGATTGAGAACCGGAATTATAGTAACTCCGAATGAGCGGATTACTAATGATGAGCATAGCATAAATAGCAAGAAATAGCAAGTGATAAATGACAGAGATTTCAATGCCCTTATTGGCTGAGCAAGTTACGGAAGACAGCAAGTTCCAACACTATTTAGGCTGGGGCTTCTTAGTGTTATTATGAAGGATGGGTTTTAGATTAAGGCTGAGCAAGTGTTTATCGCTTAGCATTAGATACTCCATATAGCTAGTTCCTAAATACTATCTAATAGAAACCATACGATCCTTACAGAATCTCATTGATACCTCATTGGTCATGTGATAGATACAAGTGGGTCTAAAATTTATACAATCTTAGTCTTAGTCTAGCCCATGGAGGCATAATGTGTCCACTGATTAGATCTTCCCAATTTCAGGAAGGGAGCAATATTTCCCGAAGTACGATGGCGGAAAAGTGTGAAAAAAAAATTCTAAGGAGTTCAAGAACTCAATCCTTTCGGGATATACACAAGATGACGTCAGCTTTGCTTACTGTTTTTTCCCGCGTCTTCGCTACGTGTGCAATTAACATCCATACCGAGGTCGTACTCAACATGCCATTCAGACAGGCGCTTCAGGGCATTATCGATAAGGTAGACAAGGCTTGGGAGGAAATAAGCCATCACGCCCCTCAGCCTTCCCCACCGCCTATTCCAACTTCCAGCAAACCACCACTAGCTTATCAGGAACAGCACTCGCAACCCCAGATCTACTGGCGGCCCAATTTGCATCCTCAAATACCGGTGTCCTCCAACTTTTACCACGAACAAGGTCAGCATGGATGGGGCAACAATGAGTCGCAGAATTATATCGACAGCCCGCAAAACTCATTCCATTCAACCCAGGGCGATGCGGTGATCGTGCGCGCTTTGATCAACCACGGGCATCCTGATCCTGCCCAGAAGTTTACCAGCGCCAGACTGTCGAGTCTCCAGACCCTCGGCCGGCCACGGGGCTGTCTGTCGGCCAGGATTACGGCGCCGGTTGCCCGAGGTATCTGGCCTGCCTTTTGGCTGCTGCCTAAAGACCCCTTCAAGTGGCCCGAGGATGGTGAAGTCGACATAATGGAAGCGTGGAACGGCAATGCTGTCAACCACACTTGTCTACATTGGGGCCACTTCAGCGGCCAGGACTGGAACAAGCATCGCGTTATCGAATCCCCCATCCCCAACATTAGCTCGCCGGCGGGGGTGAGATACGATTTTATCTGGGATGAGGACGAAACAACGGGCCGGGGGCGCTTGGTCTGGTTAATTGATGGTATGCCCATCATGAGGGCCGAGAAGCCGCCTGGCACGAGGAAGATGAGTGAGTTCAGAATCCTTATCAACATCGCCGTTGGAGGAAATGTCTGTCAGGGAAACATGCCCCACGATGGATGTTACGAGACAGTGGTTCGTGAGTTGGCCATGTGGGACGCGCCGCCTGGGGGTTGGAAAGAGTTTGACAGGGCTTGGAGGAATTCCAAAGACGGCAATACCATGTAATGAAAGGAAGGAACTTTAAATTGCGAAGTAAATCAACTATGTCCACTTCCACTAATTTCTACAAGAGGTATCTCTGACTTGGCGAGTGAGATGAGCTCTCGGATAGTGATAGGCCGAATTTAATCATCTAAACAAGTAAAAAGCGATGCATCTTGGCTTGTAATTAGTTCTTCTCGCAGTTCTTGCCTTGCGCAAGAATCAATCAATTCACTCATTTTTTATATGACCAAGCTACTTCCGCAATTCTGTTGGCCCCTTGGTTGTTCCGAGTCCCATATTCACTGATCAACATCAATTTCGGACTGGTATTGACTCTT